TCCTCAAACAGTCTGTCCTCATCCTTGAACCTTTCAATCGCGTCAACACCCTTCCTCACTACCGGTAAGAACGCGGATTTGAGGGTGCGTGGGAAAGTGTAGCTGCTCTGTGGATTATTGGCATCGAAACACTGCTCGACTCCATCCTCATACACAACAAAGAAATGGTTGCAGCAGCCATCTGCAGCCCTTGTTGTCGCTGCAAACCTCGCAATGTCCTTCTCGTTGTAATATATCAAGACCGTGTTGCATTCTGATGGGTCCTCGATCAGAATATCGCTGGACTTTTCGTGAATAAAGTAGATAGCTGGTGGCTCGGGATTGAAAGTCAGACCATTACGCACCTGAAAACAACACCACATACCAGGGCGCTTAGGGTAGTACCGCATCATCATTGTGATATAGTTCCGGGAGATATAGTCACACTTTAATGGGCCACCATTGGCATTGTAGACTGTGAAGTAGTCTTTCTCTAGCACGATGAACGGTGATTTGTGCGCTCGCTGCTGTTGGACGGCCTGTTTCTCGCTGTTAATATCGATGAATGGCACCCTCATGTCAACAATGCAAGGGCGGATGGCACTGCGATCAACGTGGGCCGGGAGGTAAGTTGAAACCATGGCAAGGCTATAGGAAAATGAAGTTGCAACAAAAATAATGAACAAATCTGTGAGAGTAAGCGGCAGCCCCCGGTCTTTTATAATCGACGCGAGCGGTGGAATGGCTGCGGAGGATGTCCCTGCCGAGTGGTGTTTCACTTTGGGATTTACAGATTATTTTGGTTCCAAGAAGATTTCCAGACCCGGTTGCTGTGTTGAGCGCAGATTTTCTAGGTGTCGCAGTACAGAGACGGGCCATTTTGACATTGACTCCATTTGTAGTAGTTCTATACTCTGCAATACCACACACAGGTGGTGCCGTGGTGGTATGTGTCTATAGACAGAGTACAGTCGGTACCTGAAAGCCGATGGCCACATAGCTCAGACATGAATTTTGGAGTGACGTACGATCGTTACAAGTAGATGTAGCCAGCAGAGCCCGTGTTGACTGCAAGAGCACCAGTGCACTACTTAACTCTGCCGATTTTCACATAAAAATGGCACGCATCTATGGCTGTCCAGGTGGTAGAGACAGGATACCTTAAGCCTTTCCTTCACCAAAAAGCCAAATAGGGATAATTGGATCAAATCTGATTCCCATTCTATCGCCCAGCCATGAACACAGCAGGTACTGCAGCATGTTCACAATCCTTTCTAGCCTACAAAGACCCACATGGCTCGACTCCGTGCTGCACACGTGCATGACGGGATAAAAGCTGGCTCCCACGGCACTGCTTCCTCGATGGCCATAGGGTTAGACGTTACGTCTCCAGGACCTTCTGTGCATTTTTGTTTTATCCAGATACGTGTCTCAGTAAGGAAGACGTGTGTCGCTGCAATACCCAGGGGACAGCACAGCCCTCATCCAGCGCTACAGAACAAGTATAAAAACCCAAGTGGTCGCCATGGCGTACACTGGAATCATCCAATCCTCCTCCGCTCCAATCCCTCCCAAAGATGCCTACTCACACCCTTAACGAGCTGCCTGCCAACATTCTTACCAGAATAATAGCTTTCTTGTGCCACGACATAACCCACGAGCATGCTGTCCTCGCTGATTACTGGGAGGCAATGCGCATCGCCACCGTCTGCCGCCACTGGAAGTCTTGTATGCCACCACATGCCTATCGGTTTGTTTTTGTCCAGCGAACGATTATACGCACCCATCCTGAGCAGCGCAGCAAGGATGTCAGGCAGGTAGTGTGGGTTTCCAACATCACATCGCTCCTCTGTCAGCAAAACCCACACTTGCCAACCATTCTGCGTGTCATCATGAGCGACGACTACACTGGACCCCTCCGACTCACAACCGCACTTGGTGCCCTTGGTCTCACATCACCACCCTGGGATAGGCTGAGCACGATCCAATTTTATGGCAAAGGCATTTTAAGGTCGGGAACAGACAGCCGCACTTTGGACATGCAGAAAGATGCCAATGCCTTTTTCGATTTCATTCGGCACAGCTACCAAACCCTGAAAGCAATTGGGCTACATGCAGCTATTCCCCCGCACACCGATGATACTCTGGAAACTCCTCCCTCTCCTACTACACCCGAACCATTCAACTATACCATATCACCACACTACCAGACGCTACTCTCGAGATTTGCTCGCCGGCTTTCCTCTCTCCAGTGCTTCCAGCCAATGACTTTGACATTCCACGCGCCAGCAACTCTTATGCTGGCTTCACTTGAGCTTGACGAGAGCTGCTTCCGGGTTCTTGCACCTGAGGTATACTTTGAGTGTTTGAATCTTCGGAAGCTGAGACTGCTTAATATAGAGAACGAGGTGCCGGTGGGAATCTTTAAACATGGCTTCACTTGGACGGGTCCTCTCAGCCGACTCACTGAACTCCAGCTCCACTTTAAGAGCGGGTCTGATTCTCAGCAGCAAACCCTGGCCCTTCCTGCCCATCTCTTGCGCACATTTCCAAAACTCTCAAAGCTGCTGGTTAGCCAATCCACCGGTGTGTATCGGGATGCATACTCCTCATTCCAAAACGCGCCGCTGAGGCTGCTGCAGATCAACGAGAACTACCGTAAACTCGCCCAAATCGACACTGTCATTATTCGCAACATTAGCTGCCTTCACCTAAAGACTATTTTACCTGGTGGAGATAGCAAGGTGAATGATCCTGCACATTTTGTCACCCGGTTCTATCTAGCTGACTCCTCGGTTCGGAGAGCTCTACTTCAGACCATGGTGCCCTTTCCAACACGCCTTTTCTGGCAGAGCCTCGTATGTCTTTCGTTGGACACAGACATCGCGCCAATGACACTCATCAAACAGCTGCTGGGACAGTTGGTCCTACTGAAATACCTCCGAATTTCATGCACGACAATGGACCCAGGTGATAGGGATTCCTACTACTGGAGAGAGAGCTACATGTCGGAGGATACTTGCGACGCTATTCCACCAACTGGTCATGACGCTATCCGGCTGGACGATCTACAGACTTCGAGCGACATCCGGACAACGAGCAAGAGCTTGCAGGTTTTCGGCATGCGTGCCACAGGCTATTTCGATGAAGCAGCCATATCTAGATTGCTTCTCTCTCTTCCGGCACTCCAGCAACTTGCCGTGGATACTGAGCATGCCGATGAAATCCGAAGCAATATAGAACGGATACAGTCGGATGTTGTTGTATGCGAGTACTCAGAGATCAGCCGCTACTTTAGACTCTACTAGTGGCCTTAAACATGTGTGCTGTGCTCTCTTGCCCATTTCTGAGGGGGAGCACTACGAACAAAGGTTGAGCAAAGAGCTGCCAGTGCGTAGAGGACGCAATTAATTCTGTGAAGGGGAAAGCAAAAGCGACTACTGCGCTGGTCCACTGGGATCAACTGCCATTCAAGGCATTGCAGTAAAAAAGCAATCCACATACAAAAGAGACCAAGAATTCTGCTCTAGGGGTGGATTCAGCATAGCGATGTTGGGTTGGGCGATCCTGCTGGTCGCAGGTTGCCAAAAAGGGAGTGCAAAAAGCTGAGAAGAGTGGGATTCGAACCCACGCCAGTGATACTGACTGCGACCTGAACGCAGCGCCTTAGACCGCTCGGCCATCTTCCCAATCGGCTTGCTGAGTCCTTAGAAAATGGAGCACTGATAAAATGAAAGGCAAGATGTTGAAGTTGATTGCCGATAGTCTCTCTCAGTACACATGCTGTCATCTAGATGACTGTTGATGCACAGCAGGTAGCATGGGGCATTATTAGAAGCAAGGGTGTGTGGTGGTGCAGCCAAGCGAGTCGACGTGTTTGTCATGTTCGCCAGCTGGCTTATCTTTCCAAAGCCTCTGCGGAATCGACGGCAGACAATGGGCTGATGCTTATCACGACGCGTTGCATCTCCACTATGCTTGATATAGGCACCTTATCTCGTGCTGCACAAAGCCTCTATTCACGTGGAGGATGCTGGGCGGCTTGCTCAGAAGAAAACCGCCAGTGAGCCACAGCTACCTGGTGTCGTCGGTGCTACACTGCTGTCTCTCCAGCAGAAATGACCCAGGGGCCACATGCACATGTGCGTATACTCGTGCCAACTCCACCTAAATGTCAGCAGACCAGGTCGTGGTGAAAATAGCCATAAAAGCCCTGGACCACGCACCTGTTCTGAGCTGGTCCGACGCAGAAAGAGCTTGTTCTCGCAAAGCGACCCCGGCCACCGGGCCAAATAGCAATAATGCACTTTTTGGTAACGCCTAATGCGCATCAGGCGAGCAGCGAGGAGTGCTGGTCAGCGGCAAACTGGCACTCCGAACAGTGATGCATGGCTTGCATGCAGCTCCATCATCCATCACCGCAGCTACACATTGTCTGGCAGCAACGGCGTCCCAAGGAAAAGCCAAATTTGGCATGCGCAGCACCCCGGCCAGCCAATGACCGCCGCTGCAGGTGCAGCAGTGTGGGAGCCCGGCGAAGCGCTGAAAAGGGGGCAACGTGTTTCATGATTTTCGCGTTCTATTCGGCCTGCTGGGCAGCCCACCAAGAGAAAGCCTGCCCAGACGATATAAAAGGGTCGGTGTCTGGCGCTATTTTCGCCCTCCATCTCATCCCTCAAGACACAAAGCACATTCTTGTTCAAACCATCTCCTTCCTTGCATCTACCAACAACTGCCCAGCAATCTTTGTCGGTGTCCATGTCGCTACTGCCTGACAGGATGGTGTCTGACATGTCGAATGTGCGATTGTGTGCTCGAGTGCAGACGCTGCCAAGGTGTCCAGTCACACGCTCTACACTATATCGCCAAAGTAGCATTTGGCAAACATGCACAGCGCCTGCCTGGTGAGTAGCATCGCGGACCTGTAATACCAGTACATATCTTCATTAACACTCATGTAAATACAACAAATACACCTATTAATGATTGCCACACAGCCTGAATAACGACATAGACATTTTTTTTTACTTGTCCATGATACTTTTGAATTAAACAGTGTAGACGAAACAAATACTTGGCTTGGCCACCCCGATATTGTGAAGAACACAATAGATAGCTGTTTTCATTCAGAAGAATCCGGCCACAACAACCACAGCGGCAGCCACCATGGCAGCCGGAACAGCCTTGCCTGCACCATTTCCTGACATACTCTTCAGCTTCGACTGATCAAGCGAGTCTTCATCACCGCCCAGGCTGCCCTGACTGGCATCAGCAGATGCATGGGATCCGGCGCTCTTGCTCTTGTTCGAGCTTGCTGCCTGGGTGGCTTTCGGAGCATCGGTGGTGGGGCGCGATGCAGCAGTGACAGCATGGGTGGCGGGGTCAATCGAGATCTTGGGCGACTCCTTCTCCTGAGCGGTGGGCGTCGGAGCCACAAGCTCAGCGGTATCGACGGTGATCTGGACGGCGGGGGCGGTGTTCCTGGTGAAGCCGGGCACCAGCGATTCAAGGCCAGCGGGGATTGAAGCGGCGTCAGGTACGGTCTCCTGCTGGCGGGGTGCCGGCTGAGTGCGCGGGTTGTTTGGGTCGATAGGCGCCGGTGCCTGGGTGGGGGCGACAGGCGGCTTGGGTGGGACAGGCAGCTGGGCAAGAATGTTTGCATCGAATTCGGCGTAGGCTGTTGAGATGAGGGCAGCGAGAACAAGAGTAAGGCGGTTCATTTTACAGTATTCTCGTAGAAATGCGCGTGCAAATGTAGAGCCGTGGGGGTATGTTTATTGGAGAGAACAGGGAGGCAACGGAGCCAGGTGCAAAGGATGAAATGAAATAGGTGCCGGATATCAGTAGCAAACTGCCGGAATGGCTCGCATATGAATGTTTTTTGGAGGCAGGGAGGTGGCCTGAAACAAACAGCAGTGGGCGAAGTGGACGTCAGGATGGGGACTGCGTTTCTTAGAGCGGGACCGCAAAAACAAAACTTCGATGGCCCAGGTGGGACAGTAGGCATTATGTGGAGGATTGTTTGCCGAACCACGCTTCTGCATGTTTACTACTGCGCCCTGAGCATGCTGCCCGTGCAGCGCCACACCAAGGCACTGGTGGTTGTTGTTTTGGCCAGAAAATCTAGAATTGCTCCATCCCACTCGCCTGAGGAAAGAATTGGACTACCAATGTGTCAACAAACGAAAGCCCGTCGAGTTACTCGCATTCTGCTAGCGACTGCGTGGGGAGGCTTGGATGCATGGCCGCATATTGGTATTCCCACTCCCCCTTTCGGCAGCCTCGTGGACAGTCATTCCGTGACGGGGGCATCAGGGGTACGCGTCTAAAGGACTAAGGGCAGATAAACTTTTCAACAGAAGGTAAAAGAACAACAAGCGAATGGCTTAGTCAGAGCTCTCAGTCGGCCTCTTGGCGCCATTCGGCACGACAACCACCGGTATAGTGCTGTGGTGCAGGACATACTCTGCAACACTGCCCATCAGGAACCTCTTGACGGAGCCGCGGCCGTGGGTGCCCATGACGATCATGGTGGGCTTCTTGATATTGGAGCTTGCCACCAGGACCTCCTTTGGGTTGCCAATGAGGCAGATGCCCTTGACGACAAAGCCGTCCTTTTGTAGCCTCTCGGCATAGGGCGACAGGATCTCCCGGCACCGCTCCTTCGCCTCGTTGTCAATGGTAATGGTCTCGGGCTGGACAGGCTTGGACAGGCGGTTGAATGGCCGGGCGAGCGAGCCCCCGATATTTTGAGACTTCCACGATTTTGACTCGGGCTGCACGTTCACCAAGACAACCTACAAAAGAAAGATGAAGCGAGGGGTTGAGTGAGCGAAGCAAGCTTTAAAAATTCGGCAAATTCAGCGACCGAAATTTAGGTGGTTCTTACCAGGTCTTTTCTCCGGCGCAGCAGACGGTCCGCAGCCCAGTCGACGACAATGTCTGAGTTGGAGCCTTCGTCGATGGCAATAATGATGGCGCGGTCAAAGTCCGAGAAGGCCACGTCGTCCTTGTGGATCGGGACGACGGTCTTGTGGCGCTCGATCTTTGGCGCGCTGCGTGACAGGAGTATGGACAGATCGTCGGCCTCGTCCTCCATGTTGACGTCCTGGGGGGTTTTGCCCGGAATCGATAGACCTTGGCGGCTCATGGCTGAAGAACAAAGACAAGGGGAGGTGTAGGGGATAGAACTGATAAAATAAAAAAAAGGAGTGAGAATCGCTGCAGCGGCATCTATGGCAGGTTTTCTCCGCCAGCGTGCTGACAAAAAAGCCAAGAGCCCCGAACCCCGAGTGGGCCGCAGATTCCGGACAAGCGTAATCACTGCAGAGAGATCAGATCACGGAGTGTCCATGTGGTGGTGTGCACACGTATCATATGCACGTATGGCGAACGTGTAATGAACTTATGCGCTCCTGAGGTTCCCAGGATCATGCTTGTATATTTGTGGTACCTCAATTTCCGCTTGGTATATACAGTATGGTCAAGTACATGGTGCTGCAGGCGACTTTTTCTTCGCGTATACATGTTCAATCCCTGCACGCCATGGTGCGATGTTCAGCGCTCGCGACGTGAGGCTTGAAAGGGGTGAATGCCATAAATAGAGGGTGTCAAGACAGCAACAAGCGAGCCGAGGACAAAGGTTGGGCGCAGAAATTAAAGTCACACACAGTGTGTGGGTCATCTGTGCAATTAATTTAAGCACGCCTCCAATTTTCTCATTCAAATTGCGGGCTCGCCGGGGGCGCGGGCGAGGCTGATGTAGCGCCGGTGTTGGGCAGACGAACGAATCTGCCGTAGTCTGTCCACTCATCAACAGAGTCCATCGCAAGGATTTGCCGGCACCCCTATGCCCAACGGAAAGATGTATCCAGTATACCGTTTGCAAGAATGGCTAAGGGAATCCGGTGGTGATCGGCCTTATGCGGTCTCTCAAAGTGGACTTGGGGTGCGGGTCAAGGCGGTATGTAAAGGGCAAGGGAGGGGAGTTTCAAACAACTTTCTTGGAATGCGTGCATGAAACGGGCAGACCCAATGGTGCAAGCGGCTATTGCCGATGGCGTCATTTCGTTGGCCGTGCTACTTTTTGGCTCTGGCAGCTGCAGCTGCATGCCCAGCGTAAATTTCCCTGGCACGCTCATAGGAGACGACGAGGCAGGAGCGGGCCGGAATGGGAGGGGGTTAGCTCGGTGAAAGGGAAGATGGGATTTGACTGGATGGAAAGTGGAATTCCTGGCTGTGAGTTTCTGCGTGAGCCGGCGCTGGGCTGGAAGGGAGCAGCAAGGAATTACACAGGAAAATGCGCATTTGCAGGCCAGCGCAGCCCGGAAAGGCAGCGGTACTAAGGAGGGGATTAACCGGTGCAGATAGCGAGGAAATCAAGCTTGGACTCCCCGCCGGCAGGCTCCTTTGCCAGCGAACACGCAGTGGGGGTTGCCATCTAATTCGCGCACCGAGTATTAGTCAGAAAACTTATATACTGGGCCCAGTGCTCCAATCGGGTGTTGACTTTTTCCAACCCTCTTGCTCTGGCCGCTTTTTCTTTTTCCACCCCCTCTGGCCTCCTCCCCAAATTTATCCTTTCTTTTTTTGCTCCCAACTCGGTTTTTTATATTGCTCCTGACTGATTCTGTTTCACCTTTTTCGTGCTCTTTTCAAGGATACTATTTTCTCAGACGTTTCGTTGTAGCCCTGAGGAAATATCATCACTTTTTGGATTATATCTCTTATCGATTTTGAAGAGTCTAAATGGCGGATTTGAGCGCTTGGAACCAGCTATTTCGCCTGAACCCGGATTCACCACAGACTCCAATGCTTAGCAGTCAGGAGCTTCAGGACGAGCTTGCTCTGTGGAGCAATGCGCAGTTCAATTTTGAGCCAGTTAATGACGAGCCACAGGGCAAAGAGTCACCAGTATCGAGCACTTCGTCTTCGGAGGCTCGCTCAAGCATTTCTAGCACCTCCAGCAACCAACCACAGCAGCTGCAGCCGCAAGTACAGCAGGCACAGCAGCAGAGCTGGGGATTTATGAGTCCTCAGCAGGAGCCACACACGCCGCACACAAGTAGCTCGCAGGGCAATGCACTCGGGTTCATGATGGGCGGGCAGGCTACTGCCGACATCTTCAGTGCAATTGCGGGAGGGACCGCCTCGCAGCAACAGCAGCAGCAGCAGCAGCAGCACACTCAGTGGGCGCGGCTGTCGCAGGCGCAGGTCATGTACCCGCAGCAGGCACAGCAGCAGCAGCAGCCGATCATTGTCAACGGGGTGCCCATGATCCCGCTGGTTCCGCTGGCTCCTCAGCAGCCGCAGCCGCAGCAACCGATTACGATTTCTCCCTCAGCTACCACCACCACTGCTGCAGCTTCGTCTTCCTCGTCTTCCTCGTCTTCCTCCCACATGATTGCCATTGCCCCTGCGCCAAGTGCACCGACCTACCACCAGCCGGCGATTGCACCCAAGACCTCCTCCAGTACCGCCAATGGCGCTGCCAGCAGCAGTGCACAGACAGTGGTCTCGGCGGCAGCGGTGGCACCACCTCCGACGCAGCGCCGGTCATCGTCCAAGCCCAAGGCGGCAACGCCTCCGCAGGCTATCAGTGATGATGTGTCCAACAACGACGACGAAGAGGAGGGTGATGAGTCCCAGCGGCGGCGTGCGGCAGAAGAAGACAAGCGGCGGCGGAACACTGCGGCGTCTGCACGTTTCCGGATCAAGAAAAAGATGAAGGAGCAGGCGCTTGAGCGGACTGCACGCGAGATGACGGTCAAGGCCGAGGCGCTGGAGAAGCGGGTGCAGGAGCTGGAGACAGAGACCAAATGGCTCAAGTCGCTGATCACGGAGAAGGACCCGAATGTGCTGAACAACGTCAGATGCCCGTGCCACCATCCGGCGGGAGTTGACTTCTCGGGCAACCTGGCTGTGCAGCACCACCAGCACCACCAGCACCACCACCAGCAGCACCACCACCTGAACATTGCGCCGGCGCCTGCCGACCAGCAGCTGTTCAAGAAGCCCCGCGTATGAATATTATATTGAGGTATTTTCAGTACATTTTAGTAGCTCCGAGAAATTGACCTTGTTTTACCCACGAAGCCTTTGGGCAGCGGCGTTGCGTGCTGCTCTGCTCGGGGGTTTACGGTTCCCCTTATCATAAGGCGCCCTTCAGGTCAAGACCGAGCGGACAGACGGGAGTGCTGGGCCAGTCACAGCTCTCCAAAGCGAGCTGGCTAGGGCGATCCCAGGTACGCGTGCACAGCTTGGAAAGGGTTGGGCAGGCAGACAGGCAGACACCAGCACCTCACGCACCCCAACAATCCCCAGCCCCGGAGTTTGCCTAGCAGAGGGCAATAGATAAGGAGAAAGTCGAGAACAAGCAGACACCAGGCCTGCTGATAGAGAAATAGGCAGGGATAAAAATTCTCCTTTGCGAGCCTTTCTCCTCTTCTCCCCTTCTTCACCACTAGCATTCTCTTTTATACGCTCTTGAATAGCAGTTAGGATACACACCATGTTTAGCCTCACCCGTCGCGCTCTTACCAAGTCTCAGGTAAAGTATAGGGTGGCTGGAGGAATTCAGACGGAACTGTGAATCAGGGGAGCAGGCCAGCTAATATCCACAGAGTAGGCTCTCAGCATGGCCACCCGCACCATGGCGTCGCAGTCGGCCGTCGGCACATACGCCGGCGAGAAGAACGGCAGCGGCAACTACACGGTGACGATGATTCCCGGCGACGGCATCGGACCGGAGATCTCCAAGTCGGTGGAGCGCATCTTCTCTGCGGCGAAGGTGCCGATTGAGTGGGAGCACGTGGACGTGACGCCGGTGCTGCGCGACGGCAAGACGGTGATTCCTGACGAGGCACTGCACTCGATTCTGAAGACGAAGATTGCGCTCAAGGGCCCGCTGGCGACGCCTATCGGCAAGGGCCACGTGTCGCTGAACCTGACGCTGCGGCGGACGTTCAACCTGTACGCGAACGTGCGGCCGTGCAAGTCGGTGCCGGGCTTTGCGACCCACTACAGCGATGTCAACACGGTGCTGATCCGCGAGAACACCGAGGGCGAGTACTCGGGAATCGAGCACGAGGTGGTGGACGGAGTGATGCAGAGCATTAAGCTCATCACCAAGCCGGCGTCTGAGCGCGTCGCGCGGTTTGCGTTTGCCCATGCGGTGGCGACGGGACGGAACCACGTCACTGCAGTCCACAAGGCCAACATCATGAAGCTGTCTGACGGTCTGTTCCTGCAGGCATGCCAGGAGGTGGCGCGCGAGTTCCCGAATGTGCAGTTCGACGAGGTGCTGCTGGACCGCGCGTGCCTGCAGATTGTGCAGGACCCGGCTCAGTACGCCAACACTGTCATGGTGATGCCGAACCTGTATGGTGACATTCTGTCCGACATGTGCGCTGGTCTGATCGGCGGTCTGGGCCTGACGCCGTCGGGCAACATTGGCCGTGACGCGTCGATCTTCGAGTCCGTCCACGGCACCGGCCCCGACATTGCCGGCCAGGACAAGGCCAACCCGACTGCGCTGCTGCTGTCGTCGTGCATGATGCTGCGTCACATGAACCTCAACAAGTTCGCCGATAGCATCGAGGGCGCTGCCCTGCAGACCATTGCCGAGGGCAAGGCCATCACCGCCGATCTGGGTGGCAAGGCCTCCAACACGCAGTTCACCGACGCCATCATCGCCAAGCTCTAAGCCAGTTTCTTTCTCTACATTTCTGTTCGTATTTCCAGCAAAAAAATCTATCAACGGTCCTTGTCGCCCTTGTTGGGATTGAGCAGAGCAGCGCCCTCAGCAGCCTGCTGCGTGTTTGTGCGCGGCCTGGATCCCTGCACATTCGCAGCAGATACGTCGTCATCGTCCTCATTTCCCCAGTTGTCGTTGCCCCAGTCATCGCTGCCCGCATCGTCCATCTGCGCATCCGCCTCATACAGGACCTCTGGCTCGACCCTGGTCTCCATCTCCATCTCCTCATCCGCCTCCCGCCGCTCGCTCGGATGGTCCGGCATAAAGTTCCTAATCGCAATCGGCAGCAGTTCTCTCCGCAGGCACGCCGCCCGCCCCACAAACGCCATTATGCACCCGGACAGGCCCACCGCTGCCCACCACAATAGCGTCTTGGGCAGCTCGCCCTGGTACCACCACGCGAGCGCCAGGTGGATCGTGTAGAAGGTCAAAGAAAAGTCTATGCAGAGGCGCGATCGCTCCACCATGTACACTAAAGGGCAGGATGTTAGCGAGGCCGATGCCAACTAGTGCCAGGCCGATCACCCAGCCCTGCACGGTGTCGCCGCGCACCAGCGTGCTGTCGAACAGCAGCGCTGGCGAGAGCGCGATATCCGTCAGGAAACTGGATATTACCATGCAGAACGAGTACGTGCTGTAGCCGAAGCATTGCAGCGTGGCTATTTGCGAGAGAATCAGAATTGGATCCCACGCTGTTCTGCGAAACGAGGAGAATTCAGTCATTAGTTTTGCACGGAAGGGAGAGGTAAAAAGCTGCTGTGTCTATTTTTTTTTTGCGGTTCGCAGTCGCTGCTGCAAGGAAATGTGGTTTAGACTGGTTAAATAATGGGGAAATACACGTGGCTTAGCCCTGATGGTTTCTGTGATCAAAATCAGGGTTTCTACGCTTGTCTGTCCTTGCAACTAGCCGCTGTTTTGCCTTAGAGTGTGATAGTCAGAATCCGCACCGACTGGTCGTCGGACCCACTTGCCAGCAGCCACGCCCGTCCGTCTGCCTCAGTGGGATTCGGCCGCCACGACAGCCGCTGGACTGTCGCTGTGTGCGCCTGGTTGCGCGGCACCTCCTTGGGGGTCCATGCTGCCGGCACCGCATCCTCCGTGGCCTCGGATGTGAGCACGAACACGCGACCGCCCTCCAGGCCCACAGCCATCGCATACTGCCCACCGATCCTGGCCGGCAGCACGTCAATGGCGGTGACAGCGTCAGGGAAAACAATAGTCACTGGCTTGCCGTCGGCCTTGTCCTTTGGCACGGCCCACACCTTGACGGTCTTGTCGCGGGAGGCAGTGACGAAGAAGCGAGCGTCTGGTGCCCACGCGCAGTCCCAGATGATACGTGCGTGGGCCTTTGGGTGGCGGCACAGCAGGCGGTACGGCTCGTCGTCTTTGCCAGTACTCTCGTACACTGCCCACGAGCGATCCCTGCTGACGCTGAGCAGGAATTTGTCAGCAATGGGGCTGAACCGCAGCCTGGTAATCGTCAGCGCATGGGCGTGCAGTGGAAGTCCCGCGCCCGGCTGCCTCCACGTACCTGTCGAAAATAACCTGATTCCTGCGTGCTTTTCAGCTGCGGCCTTGCAGGACGTCGCAATCCACTTGCCGGAGCGAGCGGCAGCGACAGCGAAGATCTCGTACGGGTGACCGTACAACTTGTCCTGCTCGGGCCACAGCGTGTGCTGCAGGAGCTGCTCCTCGGTTGGCACCCCTGTGTACTGCTGCAGGCTGGCGGCGGCCTGCGCTGTGACATGCGTCTGGCGGGTCTCGAACTCGCCCCGCTCCTCGGCCTCGCCCTGCGCCACCTGCTGTGCTGCCTTGACCTGGTCTTCCTCCACAGCCTTATTCGACAGCCCCAGCAGCGGCAGGGACGCGCCCACCGGCAGGCTGCGCTCCTGCTCGCTGGCCTCGATGCTCGGGTGGCTGACCGACCGCCACCCTGTGACAAACTGCTGTGTCGCCTGGAACACCCGCACCACCTTTTCGTCGGCACCCGACACGTACTGGAACGGGCTGGTAAATGCAGCACACCGCATGTCGTAGCCGTGCACCTGTGGCCGCGCGATCTCGTGCCACCCGCGGTGTTCTGCCCGGTCACTGATCCACGGCGCAACCAGGCGTGATGTCTGGTCCAGCGATACTGTTAGCAAGTAGCTGCCGGTGGGATCCCACAGGACATCCTGCACTGAGCCGTAGTGGCCCGACAGCGACGGCGTGGGCTGCCAGAGAGCCTCGCTGGCCACGCGGTCCGGCTGCTGCCACATATGGAACGACCCGTGGTATCCGTGCGCCAGCAGCGCGCTGCCATCATCCTTCATGGCGGCACCTAGGAACCCCTGCGCAGAGCCGCCTACCTCGCCGAGCCGCGCTACCGACCCCCACACGCCAGCGTCGGGATCCGGATGCCATACCAGCACCGAGCTATCGAGCGAAGCCGACACAAGCAGCGGGCCGGTCTGTCCGCCGCCGTTCCACGCAACGCTGTTGACCCACCCATCATGCCCCATCAGCACCGAGTCCAGCGACACTGAGAACGCAAAGGCCTGGGATCCCGACTCCACGGTGATTGCGTGCTTGCGCGTGCTCAGCTGTGTCGACGCCAGCACATTCGCCGTGATGTCGCCGTCGCTCAGCCCCGAGCCCAGCGACCTGGAGAATGCGTCCAGCATTGCCTGCGCTGCCTGCTTGTCCGACGTCGATTTGTCCGACTCCATCGCCTGAGCCGCCGTGATCCGCCAGAGCCGAATGTACTTGTCTTCTGAGCCGCTGGCGAGAATCACGTCGCCGCTCTGCCAGTGCGCAATCGTCGAATTGCTTGCGGCGCTGCGGGGCCTGTAGGACAGGAACGACAGCGACGTCACCCAGTCCTCATGGCCCGACAGAGTCAGCGACTTTTTGAACCCCGATCCGCGCGCTGCCAGCCGCGTGTATATGTGCACGCAGCTGTCTGTGTTGCCCGTGGCTAGCACCAGCGCGTGCGATTCCCCGGTCTCCAGTGCTGCCAGTGTAACATCCAGCGCATTCCGCGAGCCTATCTCAATGATCTCGACCAAGTCTGCCGAGAAATCCTTATACTCGTACACACGCACTGTGCCGTCTGTCGCCGCCGTAGCTACCACCATGAAATCCCCCGCGCAAATGCCCGTCGTACTGATCACTGGGTTGGTGTGTCCTGCGAGCTCCGTCCCGATCCACTCACCGTCCCGCTGCTCCCAGACGCGCGCCGTGCTGTCGGCCGACCCAGAAATTATCACCCCCGTGGACTGCCCAGCTAGTGTGCGCGCGAATTTGACGCAGTTCACTCGCCCACTGTGTCCGTGCAGTGTTGTGTGCACGCCGAGCAGGCTGGACGGATCGTAGAGCGCAACGTAGTGGTAGCTGCCAAAGGCCACGAGGCTGCCGTGCCAGTCTAGCGCATGCGGTGTGCGGTTGCACCCGCACCCAATGAACTCTGTGTGTGCGTCTGCCATCTAGGGAGGGTGTTAGTGAGGAATCAGCGAAACCCTAGTGGTTTGTGATTAGAATGTAGCTGTTGAAGCAAAAAAAAACAAGTGAATTGGCGGTGGTGTCTGAAAAACTGAATACTGCAATTTTTTTCTCCATTTTGGTGTGCCTGCGGTTCGAGAAGCTCCAATCGCTGGCCACCGCGGCTCACTGAGTGATCGGCTCACTATAGACAGTTAAGACACTTGGGAATATGGTCATTCTTGGGCTCGGAGGTACCCGGATGAAGACCATGGCCCGAGGCTGAAGACTTGTATGGAAACGGCCTCTTTCGACATCAGCGATAAACCATATGGTACCATCCATCGCTGGGATAACTCACTCAGCAACCATACTGTGCAGCGCTTCACTTCGCTTCAGAATACTTGCAATCATTGAGCCACAGGAGGACGACATGGGTCCGCTTAGAGCCATCACTCCAACAATATCATTTTTCCAAAGCACACTCAAGGAGACCACTATTTGCAAATTACTTGCTGCTGTGGTCGACAGTGAGTCGTAATGGAGATATGGAGCGATTCGGTGCCCACCGTTGTATTTCTCTTTCGAAGCCCGTTATCTACATTAACCATATACCTCATCATCGTACCCACTGTCTTCTACCCTTTTATTGTGATGTACCTGAGAGCAATAACTTCAGACTGGTTCCAACACAGCAATCATTCACTGCACACCCCATTTCTAGTGGCTGGTATGGTTGCTTATTCGCACACGTCAGTCACTAAGCAGCCGCTATCAGCCAACCACGGACCAAGCACAGACATGGTACGAGGAACCGAGCACCGAGAATCGTAGCACCGACCCGGCTCCATTTGCTCATATAGCGCACAGTCTGTATTACAAGCTGAGGTGAATGTTTTCATTATCCTGCAATAGATGCAGCTGATAAGAGATGCAATTGATAACACATCAGTGCACACCTTGTATACATACCGTCACCATTTGACGAAGCAGCAATAAAGCTATGTAGGGTTCCGGCAAATATTAGGATAGAAGCGACCCTGTAGGCAGCTTCTTGAGTAACCGGAAAATTGCTTTGTATCTCTGTGGACTTGTGTTTGGCCGTTTCGTATGCTCTAAGAAAAAGACTAGGGGGCGGTGCATTTCTCGTTTTTTTTTTTTATCTCAAATGCCACAGAACACGTAATGTTCATACTGTGACCATAGCGATCCTGGCTTGGGGAGTGGCCTGAGCTGTCATAAGTTGTCTTTGAATAATGTAAATTTGTACGTGGGATAGCACACTGCACTCAGCTCTACCCAACGGCGTACCCCTCCTGCAAGGAACTCCGCCTATTATCAAACATAGGGGTTTTCCACCCGAGTTGCGCAAAATGGAGGGCGTGCAAAGTCTGGGTCACATTTACGTTATTTTTGGTCTGCGCGTTCCCCAACCGACGTTGAAGATACTGTGCCCGGACAAATAGAGACCCTCCTTTACATCCACATGCAATACATGCCCGAGGTATCGATATGCGGGGCTATTGTTAAAAGAGGACTTGGCTGGTTGTCGGATGATACAAAAGTGCGCCAATGACTGGCTGCCTTCGGAGATAGTCACTGGTTGATAGTTGGGTTCTACCTTGTCGTTACAATTATCCCACTGCTCTCTATTAGAGGCTGATGTTAGATAGGACGAACATGGCCGGCAATTGAGAATCTGCCAGTATGCTGGTACTACCTCGAATGACCGCAGGCAATCGCTGGCAGTTCGGTTGAATGGCAATTCAATTGGTCCCAGGTTGTCCATATGGCCGGGTAGGGGGATAAAGGCGTAAGTATTCTTCTAGAAAGGGTAGTTGCTGAATGGTTCGTGCACACACACCAGGACGCAGGTCAAACTGCAGCCTCTCACATTTGCGTGCTTTTCAATGCGTGTTTGACTGGAGGGTGATATGGGAGGATATGCATTTTAGCAAGAGCAAGGCATCCTTTTCCCAAACATGCATAAACATGGCCTTGACACCTGGTTGCTGTTGGGGACAAGGTGCACAGCTGGCTGCAGAAGCCAGGGGCACACAGGAGGCACCCAGGAGATAGCATCGGCATGAATACAGTGTCGATCAGCATATGCGCGATAGCATGCTGCACAAAATTTCAGCTCGTTAATTTGCTGCAGCATAAGCGTCAGCGAAAAGCTTTTGCAGTGTTTCTGCAACAACGGAAATCATCGTAAAGAGGCAAAGCAGGCAGACCCGGAGTTCGTGTGTTTTTGGCCAAACCATTTTGCCTTGGGCGCCATATGCCTGGATACGACACGGACTCAGATATGCTGCAGTGAGGCGATTGGGCAGGGCAGGGCAAGGGGTGGTGTCCAGAACAGGATAAATATCATTCCAGGACCCACTGCCAGTCATTGCCTCAGGTTCTTATGACCCTGGTGACAAATACATCCTCATCGGACTTATCACCAGAATTAGAAAGGTGTCCCGTACTGGGGTCGGATGGGGCCCGATCAAAGTTATTCGAACCCGGCAGGGCTGAGGAACTAGCATGGCAAGAGGAATCGATTGGACGCCTACTCGCTCCAGCTGAGTGTGCTCTGCGGGCATGCAGAAAGGCGTGTTTGTATGTGCGACTGGGGTGTACCCGCTGATTGCGTATTTGTATTTCTGCTCAGAGAAGGCATGATTTGCTTGCCAAAGTGCCTCCTGGCTAAGCCTGCAAGCGACCCTCCCTGTCCTGGCCACCGGTTTTCCAAAGCGACTCTGGAACAGCCTGCACTAAATGCTGTGCTGTCTGGCGAAAAAGACATGCCTGCCCTCTGTCGATATGCTGTCGCAAAGTAAATCAATTGGAGCGAGGAGGCTTCCTGTGCCAAACATATTCAATGTGCTTCTGCTGGCGGGGCGTGCGGGCATAATTTGTCTAGCGGCCGGAGCGGTGGGTCCTCCAGCGGCATATTAAGGTTGCCCAGTGCGCGCCTACCGGCCTTATCCCAGACGCTTTTCTCTACAAACCTTCTCGTTCTGATACTTAGAACTCCCTTCTTCAATCGCTGCCGGTGATTTTCAAGACTCGCTTTATTCTCGGGCATAGGTCCAATCGGGTCACCCCCGTCACCTCCCTGGTGTCACTTCGTCGCTGCCTCTTGTGAATCATCGCTGGGCATTTCTAATCCTTGCTGCCCCCACCGGCTTTCTCAGTGAATTGCAAAATACGGGCTTCGGACTTGCAGCCTGATCGCACCGAGAAAACTCCATTCGGGCTCGTCATCCGGCCTTCCAACCCCCCCTATACAAATCAGTTTTCACCTCCGTTCTTGCCGTCCATCCTCACTTCTCCCCAAGAGACGCGCGCAGCTCATGTTGATTTCGCGGCTAACTGGGCATACCCTATATATTGGTTAATTTTCCTTCCCGGTTTTGCATAGCCTGCTTGTTTTTTTTTTTTTCACTCAAGCAGACGCAGACATTCTTTTCTTCACCACCTCGCACTCTATTGCCCAACAGAAACATTATCTGGTGCTTACTAATTCTTGGCTCCGTTTTGTAATCGCCAAACGGGAAACTCGAGTCCATCACCATCATATATATTCTCGACCTATTTCTTCTCTCGCACACTTGGTCTTTTTTTGCTTGTTGATTTATTTTTATATCCACAAACCCTGCACCTCAACCCACCCCCTACCACCCCTCCCTCTTGCCTGTGGTGTATTCTCTATAAAAAGTCACACCTGCTCCCACGAACCTTTCAGCTTTTCCTTTATACTCTGAGTTTTTTCTTTCTCCCCGCGACACTCTTTCTCCCCCTCCCTCCATCCCACTTCTATTCACATAAAACACATGGCAGACTCAAGTTCTGATCGCATCTCGGACTCAGCAATGACAGTCCCGCTGGTCGCAGCGCGGGCAATTTCGGCCGACGGTATTCCATCATATCCCAGTGACATCCCTCTGCTGCGGTCGTGCGAGAACTGTCGTCGCAAGAAGCGCAAGTGCAGCGGCAACAAGCCGACATGCACAAGGTGCAAAGCGCAGGGCGAGACGTGTGTGTACAGACCGACAGCACGGTTCTTCAAGCCGCGGCACTCGGAGACCACCGCGCGCAAGCGTGCATCAGTCTCAGATCCCTGCCACACAATAGCCAAAGGGCGGCAGCGCACCAAGGCAGTGCAAAAGAAGACGCTCAGCATCCACGAGCAGACGCTGGCTCCGGCCGACCTGATGCTGCGCACACCCGAGATCGATATGTCCCAGTCGCTGCTGCTTCAGGGCGGCCCACTGCCTCTGAGCCCGGCGGCATACACGGGTGCGCCGGACCTGGTGAGCTTGGTAACCGATGGGCTGTCGTACATGTCGACGGCGTCGGTCGACGAAATCTCGCACATGTCGGCGTCGCCTGAAATGCCGCTGAACCCAGATTTTTCGTTTGCCAGCCCGTCGACGGTACTGACGCCTGGGCCGGCCTTGGCAGGCTCTCCAAACCTGGTGCCCACAGCCCTGCAGGTTCAGCAGCAACAGCAGCAGCAGCAACAGCAGATTTTCCAAAACTCTATGGCCGCAGCAACCGTCGCCCTGGCAGGCACGCCCAGCACCACGCCGACGAGCTCAGTGTTCCCTGCCGACTACTCGCAGCTCCTGGCCAGTGCGCTGACCCAGCCAGCCAACCTGGCGGCGGCGTCGTTGGCGGCGTCGTGTGCTATGACTGCATCGCCTGACAACCTCATTACCCCGATGCTGTACTCGCCGCCACGCTCAGCACAGGCCAGCATCAGGTCCAACGTGGGCGAGTGCTCGCCGTACATGCTGTACACGGCGCAGAACCCAACTGTCCCGTCGCTGCCGTCTGGACAGAACCTCCTGGGCGCCCAGGCTGCTATGGCTACCTCGGCTGTGGCCATGGTTCCCGGCAACGCGGCGCTGGTCATCAATGCAACCATGCCGCAGTCGTCAAACCTCTTCCCCGAGTGGTTCGCATGACTACCTCATAGAACACATTTGCTCTCTCCTGTACAGTACTTTCTATTTTCTTGGCAAACAGAACATAAACATTCCATTCCCAATGTTCCAGCATAATGTGCCCAGTCTCATCAGGCGTGTGTGTGACGATCATGGCATCGGCACCGTTTTTTGCATATGGGAGAAGGGACACGGCGCCGAGAGTCCATGGTCAATTACTAATTTAAAAAACCAGTTTGGGCTATTTCAGGTGTTCCTGCCAAACACACCTCTGTACACTCTGCATAATAGCTGAAAGAGAAAAAGGGCGCTCAAGCAAATTTGCTGCCATTTTCAAGCCACGAATAGGCGCAACAATAGCGGCCAATAGCCATCTGCCAATGACGACGGGTGGGTGCCTCGCCCGCCGATCTCTGGAAGCATTCTCCTTTTTTCAAATGCTTGGCGCTCTCATTGAGAAGAGCCCAGAAAGGCTCCTGTCAGACCGGGAAGTGCGACCAATTTGCGTGCCAGTCACGAACTCGCCGTCGCAAAAGCGATTTTCTCGTATCGTCTGCAGCGTAAAGAGTTCGGGATTTGAGATTTGCTTGTTCTGTCCGGCACTACAATGGGCTGGAATAAACTCGGCTTCCTGCACAAACCCAATACAGAAATTCCATGAGGGATATGGAGCAGCAGCGCTAGCGCAGCTAGGCAACAAGGCTCGTCGCGCCTGGTGCACCTGACAAATTTGCGTGAGGCAGAGAGGCAGATCCCCTCTGGCTTGCTTATGCCAAGCAGCACCTCTCCGTGTCTGTCACAGCAGCCTGCTGCGTCCATGAATCACAGGAGGCACTCTGCGACAATGCGAAAAAGGGTGACTCTGTTATTTACAAAAATATCGCGACATCACTGGCGCAAATCAAGGCTATAATTACACATGGCGCTGGCCTGGTCTTCAGAACTGAAGCCACTCGAGAACAAGCTGGCCCCTTTCCATTGTTCATAGTGGGCAGTGCGCCTTGGCGTGGAAGGCTGATGGCCATAAAAGCCTAGGCGAAAACGGGCATTTGCCATGTCCTGAAGTGCCGACGTCGCCTCCGACAGTGCAGTCGCCAAATGCCGATCGCGCCCAGTCCTGGGCACTGTCGATGCGTTCGACGACCACGCTGCTCAGAACCTTGTCATCTACATCACGCGTTGCTGCGGCAGCAGGAGCAGCCAGGATGCGAGGGGGCGTGGGATCAGGATAAGCAGCAACATCGGTGCCCCCAACCACGTTGACCTCCGTTGCAGCTGATTCTCCCTTCTTCATTACTATCACCGAGAGTTTGTGGGGGAGTGCAGGGAGACCTGCTACTGCTATTCGCAGCCTCCCATGATACCGATTAACATACATTGCTTGATCCGTCATCACATTTCGGTCAGTGGTATTGGCCCGTGGCCGCAGCTCGGGCCCGCGCTACTCTACCCCCTGTTACAGGCAGGGCTGTCTGCCTAGCACAGATTTCTGCGAAACCCCCTTCGAGCACACAAGCGAGCTGAGCTCCGCGCCGTTTTATATTTCGTGCGGTTTTCACAGCAAAGCCATGGCTTGAGCACAGACATCTCCGCTGGGGTGCGCGCGCCACAGCGTACTCGCCACAGCTCCCCGCGCAGGTCCCACTCTCGGCGCCAGATGGCTGCTGGGCGGAATCTTGTCGCTCTCCCACGCAAAATCCGTGCCTGTGTGGAAATCCCCGGCCGTTTGGGTACCTCTTGGTCCACCAATACGGTCGCAGTCCCTGACAAATCACCCTACTGACAAATCCAGCAGGCACATCTGAGGTCTCACTAATCTGTTTTGCCGCCATGACCGCAGTATCTGCTTAGCAGTCCTGGGCCTGTCTGTCCGTTTCATCGCTTGGTGCTTGGCTCGTGAACCCGGTGTTTGTGCCAGGATTGTCGATTAGTTTGCCGGATGTTTCTTCTCGGGAATTATCACAGCGCCGGTGTAACGTATCGATTATGTCGTTCTATGCATCCGAGCAGCTTTGGGCTGGGCTTCATGCATTTGTCAGCGCCCTCTTGTCGTACACTGCCAGTATGTTCCCCCAGCGCATGATCCTGAGGTATTGTTATCACATCTGCATGTACTGCGAGGGGTTGATCCCTGTCACTCTGACCTGGTGTAACTGGCGCACAAATGTTTTGCCATAGGCTATTTGTATCCACGATGCGCTATGTCGCTTGCCGGTTTGGCATTCCGGAGTCTGGTTTTAGAAATTCGTCCGGGAATCAGCAGCCTCCTTTTCCTCCTCCCCGTCAGCTGCCAGCGTTGACGTCAGGTGCTCTGCATGTACGGCTTTTGCTGTGTGACTTGACAGCTGGCACAATGGTGGTGTGTTTGCTGTGTCAAGTCCGTCGTATATGATCTGCCAGGCTATCAAACAAGGATAAGCGGGGATGTACCCCCATTCAGCTTCAACTGGTGTCTGGAATGTGGAGGCGCATTGACACTCGTATGCCAGCGCTTGCATAGTCTGCTAATCAACCAAGAAGTGTGCCGTTGTTATTGAATAGACAAAGATAAGCCTAGAGCTCCATGTTTGATCTGCCCGCCTGCTCATCGTCGGCTCCATACGTGCTGATGAACCCCTTGGTGACGTGCACATCGGCATGTCCATTTGCTCTCCCATTTGCCTGCCTTCCATGCTCATCCTCGCTGCTATCGGCATCCCCAGCACTCGCAATCGACACGTCCGAGTCGGGCAGGTCCTCGGCATTTTGGTGCACGTACTTGCCCTCTAGATGATAGTGCCTTTTGCGCAGCTGCTGGAACCGCTCGTGCCTCGCCTTCGCCTCCTCATCTTCCGCCTCATCCTCACTCTCCGACACCCAGTCTGGCGGCGGCGCAACTACAGCATGCTTCGGCGACGATGCCACTGATGATGACCGCGAGGAGGCATCAGAGCAGAGCTTCAGGTCCTCCATCTCTTGCAGGTCGGCGTCTAGTTCGGGGTTGTAGTGGATGTAGGGCGTCTTCGGCTCGAGAACCTTCATTTTGGCGTCCTTTTGCGCCTCTGTTATCCTCAGGTTGTCCTCGTCCCAGCGCAGACTAAGCACCGTGGTGAGTGGTTCATTAAACACAAATGTCGGAGACGCCTTTTGCCATTCTCTCCTATTCATTGACCAGAATGCGCTTGAACTTACTGGGCCTCCTTGTCGGGTGCCTCGTGCGGCTTCTTCAGAATTCCCTTCGGCTTGAAGTCAACAGGGTCCATTTGGATTTTGCAAGTTTGAAATGACAGGATGTGGAAAATAAATGAGCATAAATGAGGACAAGAGAAGGGGTGACACGAGCAGCTGGGGGATGACGATAGCATGCGCATTTTTGCCCTCCAGCTAGGGTCTTTTTTCAAGCACGATTACTGAAAATGACATTTCCATCTGTCACTGGAGCGGCACGCAGTTACTTGACACTTCAACCATGAACCGGTGGCGTAGCCGGACTGCCCATCGGTTCACACTCAGGTGTATGGTACCGGGCCAAAAAAAACAACTATAAACGGGCATGCGGTGGATGTTTCTCTGCAGCGGAGCAAGAAATTTCCGGGTAATTTTCTAGAAATAATCACGCTGTCATTCCGCTGTGAAGCCCGCAGCGACATTGGTGTTGCCGCTCAGCTCGTGCTGGCTCGTATGTCTCAGTGACACGAACATCGCCCAAGTTGATATGCAAGTCAGGCTTTTTGTGATGTCACATTGAGTGGACTATGTCATTGTGACTGTTGTATAACTGATCCTGATCCTTAGATCCACGCCACAGTGCATACGCAAGAGTAGTGGCCCCACTATATAGTTCAGTACATGCCAGCGCGTCAGTAGCCCTCCTTAGTTTCTTTACTGTCACTAGTTATATACCACGTTAAGTTTCCAGTATCACAACAGTGACTATGCTAATCTGGCGAGAAACCTCTGATGTCAGAGCCCGGGGCGTAGTTTGCTGTGGTCGTCCGCAAATACCTGCAGTGATATCTGCACTAGTGAGCTGCATGGTTGCTGCTGGTATTCCTTTGGCGCGTAGCACAGGAGAGAAAGTACGGCTGACTGCCGAGATTGTGCAATAGCGTCGGTGTGACATAGACACAGCCGGCTCATTCTTAGATACTAGTTCACATTGCACTGATGGCTGGCCTCTGAGGACAACATTGTGTTCTCTCTGAGACACCATCGCAGCATACTATGGTATGGTATTGTAGATGACATATCGTAATGATGGGAGCCGGCATGGCTGTTAATGACGACTATGGCAGCTACCAACAACCAGCGATAATAGCATACATTGAATATGCACAAACAGATACACCTAATTAGCTGCTAGCCTCACAAGGGAGCATAATGTTTATTCCCATAGCATATCCAATGGGGACTACTCAAGCAGCCAGAGACTGGATCTTGTTCTCCAACCCGCCCTTGTTGGCACCAGCGAGCTCATCAACCTTCTCACCATCCCTGATGAAGACAAACGTAGGCATGGCGCGGATACGATACTTCTCGGCAACCTCCTTGTTCTTGTCGACATCGACAGAGGCAAAGGCAACACCTTCGGTAGTCTCGGCCAGCTTGTGGAAAATAGGACCAATCATCCTGCATGGGCCGCACCAGGTGGCAGTGAAGTCGACCGGCGACCTTGGGGTTCTCCTTGAGGAGCTGGTTGAACTGCTCAAGGGAGGTTATCTCGGTGACATGCTCACTGGTCACGGCGGGCGTGTTCATCATCTTTTGGAACGCGACATATTGCCGGTAGAGGTAAAACGCAACCAGGCCAATGATGATGAGGTAAAACATGATGGTATGTAGTGCGATTAGCAAAGAAAGAAACTAGGAAGGGTAAAGTATCTGACTGCCTCCAACAAAAACACCAGTTCTCAGCACTAACTATGAGGTACTGCAAAGTTGATCCTTTAAAATGGGACAGTGGAGGCTCAGGTCAGGAGGGCATGGCCACACCGCTCCAGGCATGTGGTCCATACTCGTACAGACGTGTCGTGTGCACACAGCAGGCTTCTTCTCATTGTGCTGCCGACGTCATCGTACACAGACATCAGGATGCATTTCCCCAAGCCTGCTAGGATTCCCACACTGAATCCAATTGCGTAAACATGTAAACCCGAAGAATGCAGACAAGCCGTTCAGGTTCTAAGCTTAGGAACAGCTTGGAATGGGATAGAAGCTACCCCACACGTTTGAATATGTTATTTTCCATACGCTAGCGCACGTGCGTGAACTCTACAAAACCAGTGGAGATGGGTTGCTTAGGCAGCAAGAGCCTTGACCTTGGCCTCCAGGCCGACCTTGTTGGCGCCGGTGAGGTCGTCGGACTTCACGCCATCCTTGAAGAAGATGAAGGTGGGCATGGCGCGGATACCGTTCTTCTGGGCGACCTCGCTGACATCGTCGACATCGACGGTAGCAAAGACAACACCCTCGATAGTCTCGGCCAGCTTGTGGAAGACGGGGCTGATCAGCCTGCACGGACCGCACCAGGTGGCGGTGAAGTCGACGGCGACCTTGGGGTTGTTAGCGATGAGCTCTTCGAACTGCTGGAGCGAGGTGATGGTGATGACGGCCATTGTTGTGAGTGCGGTTTGGATTCGGGTTGTCTTTTTTGAAAAGAGGTGAATTTACAAGTAGAGCGAAACAGAGAGGAGAAATGATAAGGCTGCTGAAGGAACTCGCCGGTCTACCACGCAGATCTTTTATACGCGCTATTTACCCCTTGTCCTAGCTGAATTGCCTCAACTTTTCATGCACTGATTGGCTGATTCCATTTGTAAGCATTGGCATTAATCGGACTTGGGGCATGTCGAAAATAGCCGAGCTCACAAAGCAATCTCGCTGCGCACCTGCAAGTACCATGAGCCATTTGTAATGCCAGTGCCACGGCTATGGGTCATGCAATCCCGCAGCCAGGTGTCGGCAGTGCAGCTAATTGAGCAGCCTATGCCATATGTGCAAGACTAGAAAAAGGAAGAGGTCCAGTTCGAATGTATTTCTAAGCCCCATATACTTGCTGATGGCACAGATCTGGGGTTGACGAATATGTTCGGCGTGCGCGCTACCCTCAGTTGCGAAAAATTTTTCAAACCAACCATTTGATAGCACGGGAAACATGGATGTTCAGGTATTCGTAGATCTGCAGAACCAGTTCGATAGTGAGTCGTCGCTGCGCGAGGAGATCTCCGCCGCAACCAAGGAGCTGCACAAGACGTGCCGTCTGGCATCGGCCAAGCTGTCCAAGGCGCACGCGGTGCCCAAGACCCAGTCCAAGCAGGTCACCGACAGCGTCAAGGAGCAGTTCGCCACGATTCACACCAACATCGAGGCAATTGCAAAGCAGGTCCGGCCCGTGACGTTCTACCGCTACCACGACATGTGGTCGATGGCTGTGCAGAATGCGTGCGCCATGGTCATCTTCGCGGTGTACTTGGAGGAGTCGCGCCTAGCCACTGCCGCCGACATCCAGAGCTACCTGGGCTACCGCGTCAACGTGACCAACGAGGATGTGACTGAGTTTGTGATCACGCTTGAGGAGTACCTGCATGGCATCATCTCGCTGTTCAGCGAGCTGTCGCGCCTGGCCGTCAACTCAGTCATCGTCAACGATGTGCAGCGGCCCCAGGAGATTTCGCAGTTTGCATCCGAGCTGTATGCCGGCTTCCAGCTGCTGAATCTGAAGAACGACAGCCTGCGCCGTCGTTTTGACTCGATCAAGTACGACATCAAGAAGATCGAGGAGGTGCAGTACGACCTGCGTGTGCGCGGTCTCATTGCTTAGGCAGATAGCCAAACATTCAACTTCTAGTTTATTCAAGGGCTTTCAATATTTGTTTACTCAGACTTGGGAGTGTTCAACAGCTTAAGCAGCAGGACCGGGTATGCCGGAGCCAAGAACTCGGCCAGGCTAATGTTCAGCTCCTTGATAATGATAGAGATGATGTGGTTCGATGGGTACGGGTTTGGGAACTCGGGGATCTTCTCTGCCACGCTACCATAGCTAACCGTCTCATCGCCCTAGGGCCGGCGATGTCGGTGACCTGGATAGAGGTCGCGGATATGACGAGCGTCTTGTCACCGGTACATCGGCAGTCTCATCAGCGGCCTTGGTAGCTGCCAGCGAGTCAGATCTCCGGCGCTTGGCCGGCGATGGCTGGTCGCTCTTGCGGCTCTCCTCGTACGTCGCGCTGATATCGGGGTATCCGAGGTCGTCGTAGAATTGCTCCTTGTTGCGCGGAATATTGATACAGCAGTCTTGGTCGCTCAGGGCTTGAACACCAGCGACAAACAGATTGAGCGCCGGCGACCAGTAGCGCAGCGTGCGCAGAATCTCAAAGATATTTCGCTAGCCGCTTGTGGCAGTTCCAGCGAGTGTAGTGGTTGGTGTGCTTGGCCATACCGGCATGAACAATCATCAGCTCCTCGATGGCGAAGATGGCCGTCGGGCCAAGGCAGTACAGGTTGAACTTGCAGACATAGGCGATCTGAAGCAGATTTGCAAGCACGTTGGTGGAATCGAGCGCCTGTGTGCGCGCTGAGAGGAAGCACTCGTTCATGCGCGCTAGTTCCAGCTGGTCGAGCGAGCTGGTATTGGGCAGGTCGTACATATCAGCGTATGCTGAAAGGCCTGCGTGCTGATGTCGGGTGCAGGGCGATCCAGCGGTTCGCCCAGCAGCTTCTTCATCACAGAGCGACAGATGTGGCTACCGCAGGACCTGATACAGCATATGCAGCACAATCAGCTCCTTTCAGATGCCGCGAGCGGATGGTGATGTGCTCAGAAGGTACTGTCGATCCGGGACTTGATCATCTGCAGGTACTCAATGACCTTTTCTTGAGTCAGCTGGACAGAGTGGGGAAGCGTGTACTTGGAGTGCTGCAGTGCTTCCTTCTGCGTTCGGACAGAACCGTACATACTGCTTGAGGCTAATCTTGCCGCTTGCTAACAGCGAATAGTGGTGCAGATGGTCGTGGTAGTGTGTTGTCAGCGACTGCAGGTACGGAAGTATGCAGACCTCCAAGTGTGCTGTTGGCGAGTTGGGCGGGCGAGAGGCCATGAAGTCTTTGTCAGTGTCGGCGCGGAAAACGAGCGAGGCAGGCGCCATTGGGTTAGTTGAGCGGAAGTCCTCGGGCAGCAGATCCGCCATATCGATGCCCACCTCCATGTTCGAACCCTCAAGGAAGCAGTCGTTCAACGAGTAAACCGGAAGGCTGCCGTAGTCGATACGGTTTTTCGACGTCAGCAGCATGCTAAAGAGATTCCGAAGCGAGTACGTGTGCCAGAACGTTGTGACGCAGAAATTGTATACCGGCGACTGCGCGACACCATCAGGTACGTTGCGCCATGGGTAGCCGTATCCCTTGATCTTGCAGCGGAACATGACAGCGTGTGCCAGCTCAATGTGTTCGATCATCTCTGGATAGCGTCCCGATTGGAAGTCATATATCGCGAGGAAGATGGTCGCGATCGCAAAAATCGGCGATGAGCTGCCCCTGAGTTGGTCGATTTCCTTGATTGCACGCGCATAGCAAACCTCCTCAAGTTCTGGCGGCAAATTCAAGACATGCTCCTCAGATATCACTGCGCAGCGCAGGTTCCCACTGATGAGCGTGTGAATGCACAGCGGTGGAAGCGCATTGTGGGTGAGAAGATACCACATCACCTCCATGTACTCCACGAGGTACACGCTACGCGGTGCTACAAAGATGTCGGCCAGGAGCTTGTACAGATCTCTAGCGGAAATGATCGATCCAAGGTCCTTCGCACACTCGTCAAGCATCGCCGGGTAGTTGTCGTAATCGAACGAGTCCTTGGATGCTGCACTCTGCATCGGCAGGATATCGACAAACGGCGAGCAGGGTTGACGCGAACTAGCCTTCTCGATGATCTTCGGAATGAACTGGGCATCGTCGATTCCAATGTTATCGCAGGGCGGCCCCATAGCCCGCTGCGGCCTTTTTCTCGTGCTGTCCGCGCCGCTATGTCTTGGCTTGTCAAGAACGGGTGACAGAAGTGAAGCAATAGATGCAGCGTTTGCAGTATCTGAGTGGTTGGACTCACCGGTCGGCCAGGCAAACAGTAGATGCTGGTGGTGCGCTGCCCGTCATTGGCGGCTGGTTAATACACTGTGGTGATCCAACCGTATTAAACAGACTGGCGTCGGCTGATGGCGTGAAAAAGGTCGCTGGCACCACCAGAAGACGCTATGGAGGAGCTGTCAGACAACAGGCTGTCGAGGAATTGAAGGTCGTCCAAAGTCAGTTGGTTGTCACCTCCCGTGCGCGCAGGCTGCTTTGACTGCAAGATATCAATGTCTGGCATAATCTTCGACGGCGCAACATGTGGCTTCTGTATAGCAAGGCCACCGAGATTGTCCAAGATCCTGTTTTCCGGACGGTCCTCTGTCAGAATGTTGGGCTTGGGCGGCACCGACACGTCACTGAACGGCGACATGAACGTGTTTACGTACTGCAGGATATTTGGCGGCACTGGGTTGTTCAATGGCATTATGTCGCCTGCCAGCAGCTGTGTCCAATGCGTCGGCGGACAGCATCTGGGTAGCATTGCTGGCTGCAGTGTGCGGGCTGAGACCCAAAGGCACTGATGTGGAGAGAGGAGAGCTCAGGTCACTGGTAGCCATAGGGCAAAGGAGGACTGAGCATCAGTCAGCGGGATAGGCGAGAGGTGCTGGACGCTAGGCCGAATTGTATCTATGGCAATGTTACTCCTCTGCACTGGCAGTGGCGTCGATGTTTGCAGTGGAGCTTGCGAGTGACAGATGGCTGGAATCTCGACCGGTGCGCTGGTTTGCAGCTGGCTCAAGGGCTGATGGCACCCAGTGCTGATCGATGGTGCTGCTGGGCTCCATCGATACTGTGTGCGAATACCCGACCAGCTTGCCATCTCGACATGGGATCAGACTGCCGCCACCGGGGGGCAAGCGCGTCGAGCTGCTTCCTGATTCTAATCGATTGCCGATACTCGCAGATTGCATTGTGCTTTCGACACCAGGTGCACGCTGGCTTGTCGCCTGAACACTTGCGTTTCTTTTGGCGGCACCGTTCGCACGAGTGGAGCAGGGGTGCGGAGTTTAGTTGGAGGCTCATCGGAGGCTGGGACTAGAGTACAGGCAGAGAATCTGCAAAGCGAAAAGTAGTTAAATATTGGGTGGTAGGAAGAATAGAGCGAATCTGGGCCCCAATAACACGGGCCAATTCCCTCAAATATATATCCGAGCCATTGTGGCCGGGTTCCCAGCATGTCGCACCCGATCCCACTCAAATGGGCTTGTGTAACCCAGCTTAGCAAAGGACTGCTTCAGTGAGCTAATACCAGCCATCATGCATTTACTAATCATCTGAAACATTTGTAATCGGTGGTTTTCTCCGTGGAGTTTCTACCTGCTTGGAGCTTGAGGTACCGCTCGATAAGCACATGATCAAGGGAGCTGCAGTGGTAGGTGGCTCGGCTCATTGCTGCAGCCAGTCTGGTGCTCATGGTACATGCTGCTGAGAATCCTGGCTGCTTCTGCCTGGTGGTCAAACGCTTGCAGAGACGCGAACAGGTCGCTGGCATATCCCCTGCCGCCGCCACGTAGCTGGCTGCGTTGGTCGATTGGAGTGTCCAAATCAAGGTGCTGTGGTGGCGGTGCATGCCGATTGCAGTAGATTAAATGGTTAAACATCATCCAGGCCTCGCCAATCCGCTGCTGCGCAGCCTCGACATTGGGAAAGTACGCTGACGTCAGGCGAATCGCGTTATAGGGAGTCAGAAACTCAGTGTACTCGCCGCCCCAGCTCATCAGGGTGTTGAGCGCCAGGCCCGGCGAGTGGTCGAATGAACTGCGCACAAGCATGCCAAACTGCTTGCGCATGCCGAGACGGGCACCGAATACGATGCGGGTCTTTTTGAAGGCTGCCTGGAGCTCAAGCATCGACAGGATTGGCTGAGAGCCACGCCGAGTCCCAGCCTGTTGATGGTGCATGCGTGATCTCGCGCATCATTTGGTCAATGTAGCGTGGCCATTGGGCTTGGCAAAACGCTGTTAGCTGCACCGGAGTGAGATCAGTACCCTGGCGTTCCTCTGGTCCCATGATCCGGTCTGGCAGCTGCGTTGAAGCGTCTTCTTTAGCGCGCACGCAGCCGGTGCTGAACAGGTACTTGGCAAACAGCGGCCGCTGGGCCACCAGGTTATCCACATGCACCCAGTTGAGGTGGCCGATGGCGATAAGCAGCTTGTTGTTATCGAATTCCCAATCCAGCCGCGGATCATGCAGGAGCTCAAGCAAGATTGTCCATGGGTTGAACAGGATCTTTTGTCTGTCTATCGGCATGGCCAGTGCGTCGTGCAGTTTCGTCGTGGCTGGCACAAACCGGGGCATTGTCTTGGGACTCCGCTCAACCTGGCTATACATGGGGTAGGCGTCGCCGTAGAATGCCCCCCGGTGCCTGCGCCTGGCTGTCGTATGAGCATGGTTGAGTGCTGCAGTCGCGCATCTGACGGTCTCTTGTTGGGGCTGCATCTGCTGCTGCGTGGTATTGCGGTACTCGGCTGGCTGCCGTTGGCGCCCGCTCTGCCACGCAATCTCTGGGATATTGGCAACCACTTTGTGTCCAAGCCGCCGAGTCTGCTGGAGCCGGGAGCTGGCGCTGGGGCCGCAAAGGCCACAGAACCTGCTACTAATGGCCAGTGTTTTCATGTGCAGTCTTTATCTGAAAATTCCTTGTCTTATCCCTGAAAGCCTCGCCGATATTGATTAAAAAAAGAAAAAACCTGCGAAAAAATGGGGGAAAACCGATGGTGATCAAGCAAGAAGTCTGAAAGCGAGCTCATTAGCGTGTGGGGGAAAATTGAGGGACAAATTCTTGAGTGGAAAATTATGAACGAACGACTCCACCGACGAGATTTTCGGCTGTCCTCTCGGTAGTGCTCGGCGCTATTCTTTCCTCCACTTTTGCTAGGTTTCCCTATTTTCGCTATTTATCTTTTTATTACGCCGACAGGCCGCACGAGCTTCTCCTATTTACTGCCCACATAATGTCACTCGATCCAGCATCAGTCCCGTTTCTGCACTCTTGCGAGAGGTGTCGCCAGAAGAAGCGCAAGTGCTCTGGGGATAAGCCTGCCTGCGCATGGTGCCGCGGGCATGGGATTCCATGCCGCTACCGGCGCTCGATGAGGTTCAAGAAGCAGCTTGAGGGATATCCACTGAATGGCGACGCAGCATCGTCCTCGGGGCTGGCAGGTACGGGTTCAGGAGTGCAGCAGAGTGAGTCGCTGGCCAATATGTACACGCCTGTGCCGCTCCCGGGTCCCAACTCAGCGCAGGCCGCCTCAGCACCGCAGCAGCCGCGCCCATTCTCACAGACAAGCCCAGCTACAGCGCCAATGTCGCTGGCGCAAACTCAACCACAGGGATCATCGCCCGGGTTCCGGTCACGGAATATGTCATTGGCAAGCAACTTATCCCTCATGGCTGGCACCATCAACTCACCAAATATGGTATCGCAACCGCTGGTATCAGTAGCAGGCGAGTTCGTCGGTGGGTGGACCAGCTATTTCAGGCTGCCGTGGTCAGCACTGGCATGTTGTCGTCAATGGATGCGCTGTCGCGTCTGCTGTCGGTCGATATGCCGCCACTGTCGGAGCAGCCGCCAGAAAACTTGCTGCAGTATGTTAATGCTTACATGACGCCAATTCCGGGGGCGGTCAGTATCTGCACCTGAGTGGCTCTCGTCAAACAACGCAGAGGCGAACATATTGGCAAATCTAGGCGACCTTGCAGGCATCGGGATCAGTAAACGGCGGTGCAGGGCCGGTTCCGCTCAACTTTACGGATAACCTACTTGGGTTCTCGCAAATGGGCAGCGCGTCGGATGATTTCCTCAGCTCTGACTCCTTATTTCCTACAGGAGGTGGGGTTTACCCAGGTGCAGGGCAGGGACCATCGCTCCCGACAGCGGCTACCACAGCACAGCAGCTGTTTAGCAGCATCAAAAACACCGCCAGCACACAGCGGAGCAGTCTGGCCAGCCAATCTCCGCCGCTCAATGAAACCGGCAGTCCGGTATCCGTAAACACTGATGCGAGCTATCACCAGCAGCAGCTCCAGTTCCAGCAGCAGTCGGCAGCCAGCTTCAATTCGCTCCAGGCAATGATACAGGGGCCAGTTGGAGCAGGTCTCGGGACTGACTGCGGCGGCAGGCTCACGTGCAGGACTCAGTGCCAGCTGAGACAGCCAATGGGCGTCCCCTATATCAAATGGCGTCACCGCAGCCAGCAAACGCACCGGTTTCGAGTCTGCCCGTGTCCCACCAAGCCAACACAGCAGACACCGAAAGAAGCGCGCAAGGTCTCGTCAGCCTGAGCCAAAGATGGCGATCGGATACCGCCCATTCAAGGGCATCGGTGACCTGTCACACCCGGTCGATGAGCTGCAGGTGCCAGCGATTCTGAAGGAATACGTGAAGCCGTTGCCAGACAACGCATCTGCTTTGACGATTTACAAGATCATGCGCGAGACGTTCAAGGCGCCACGGATGGGTCTGGTGTCGATGAACCTGGAGGTGCTGTGGTATATGCTGCACAAGAACGTGCTGCCGCGCATTGTCTTTTACGGTCACATATCGAGCAATATCCGGTGCAGCTCAGCCAACCTGGACATTCGGGCGATGCTCCCGCCCAATATCGATGAGCTGTGCTACGACCTAGCGCTGAAGGAGGTGCCCAAGATCAAGGGCTGCTCGGAAATCTGGGGCGCCATTGGCCTGTGCATGGTGACACGCTACGAGTTCCAGTCGTCGCGGTACAACGAGATGGACGAGCATGTCAACATTGCAATGGAAATAATGTACCGAGTCAAGTACAAGGGCCATGCGTATCCGTGGACCGACGTGCCGGAGGACGAGAAGGAGAAGCTTCGGATACCAGTACCTGTTGGCCATCTTTTGGAAGTGCGTGCTATGGAAGGTGGTGGCAACGCATCTGACCGACCACCCAATCCACTTCAAATACGGCGTGGACAGGCTACCTGACTACGCATCCAAGACATACGACCTGTATACAACCAAGGTGGCGTATGACGTCGACCTGATAGGAGATGATTCCGGCCAACTCGTGGTACGGGGCCGACCCCGACAACCCTCCCACGCTTCGGTTCCGTGGTCCCAGCGATCCCGAGTTTATGCAGATGCGGCCCGAAGGCTCGCCGTGCTTGGACCGCACTGTGACGACAGGCCACTACCTACAGCAGTTGCTGGTGATGTTTGCAAAGTTCCTCGATATTCAATGCAGGGCGCGCGAGGGCAAGCTCGACATTATCGGGCTGCTCAAGGGCCTGTGGGTGAACCAGGAGGATATGCGCAAGTGGCGGTATGCACTGCCCAGCGAGATTCTGCTGGACTCGAGCAAGGTCAGCGAGTACATTGAGATGCTCAAGCCCAACTCGTCGGCGTCGCTGCGTGAAATTGACATCCGGGCATCACAGCTCAAGGACATGACGGTGCTGCTGCTGCTCTACCACACGTCCATGATCAGGGCAAACCGGTTTGTGATGAAGGCAATGCTGGGCGAGCCGCTCAGCGCACCGGCGCCCAACGTGGAAACGCAGGTGTTTGGGATTCGGGATCTTTACGACTCGACAACGCCACCCAAAGCAGGTTAAGGACAGCATTGGCCACATGAACTTTTATTTCCACGGGTGCCGCATCCAGGCGGTCAAATCGGCCAACTCGCTCTGCCACCTCGTGCAGGCGGCATATGCGTGCAAGTTCAATTTCTACACGCTGGGATCTCCAATCATCTTTTCGATCTTCGAGCTGATGGTGGTACACATCAGCTTCCTGCGTAGTCGCGACTCGGACATCGGCTGGCGCGCGAAATCGCGACTGGCCAACATCTTCAATATCCTGAGGATGCTCCGGCACTGGGCGCCAGCACTGCACACGTTTGTTGCCGGAATCAGGTGCCTGAGCGACCCAGCGCTGTGTCTCGATAACCCGCCAAGCATGTCCAAGCTGCGCAATGGCATGATAGAGGCATCGATGCTGGCCATGACCGACATGCCGGCCAACTCAGGCGAAACGTCTGATGAGGACGCTGGCAGGCAACGAGCCAGAGTCGAAGCGGCGACGCAGGGCGATGAGCCGCGGCACGGCGCTGGACTCGCTCGAAGATGCGCGCAAGAACATTGAGACATCGACTGTGCCGCTGGGCTCGCAGCAGCCAGTCGATGTGAAGCGCGACGAGACGCTCAGCTACGACGCGGCAGACCCGATTCCCGAGTTCCCGAACCCGTATCCGCCGAACCATGTCATCACGCTGATTATCAAGGATCTGGGGCTGAGCCTGGCCGAGTTTCTGGCGCCGTCGTACCCGATCCTGCTGCTCAAGCTCATTCCCATCCGTGCCTTTGTTCCAGAGGCAGAGCACAGCAGGCCTGTTTGGCGGTGTCCCCAAGCCATCCAGCTGATGGTGTCTTCGATCTTTGCCAAGGAGAGGGGGATCTGTGGTGTCCCCAATATGCGCCCGTGCATGTGTGTTGGCGAAATGTTTCTCCGTTGCTATCTCGCTGTTGCGGCCATCACCGGACCTTGCCACAAGTCCAAAAGGCCCCGCCCCCTTTTTTCGATACTGTTTTAGTAAGCACGAAATAAACACTCCGTCTGCAGTCGACGGTGGAGCTGTGTAACGCGAGTGGATGGCTCCATGCCGTGGTCCATCGTGAACTCTGACGAGATAAGCGGTATATTTTCTGGAGTAGATCCCCGCTGCTCACAAGCCATGATGGAGTCTGACTCGGCGCCCAATAAATGCTCCGTCTGGTGCGCCTGGATGAACGCATTTTCCAGATCACCACACTCTTCTCTCCCACAAACCTTTCTTTACTCCAGTCTGGTTCTGTGTCTATCCCTCCTCTTTTCTTTTTCCACTGGTCCCCTTTCTGTCTCCTTTTCATTATTACTCATGTTCACGGTTCCCTATCTAACATCCTGCAACCATTGCCGGGAGAAGAAGCGCAAGTGCAACGGCGAGAAGCCCACATGCAGCCTGTGTCGGGCGCATGGCGTGCCTTGCGAATATCGGCGATCAAGGCGTTTCCGGAAGCGTGTCCAAGCGCCGCAGGCGATGCCCTTACACACAATAATGCCAGCGCCGGGGCAGCAGGCGCGCAGTGACACTCCTAACCGCCCGAGGCAGGACTCGTCAGCACCCCCAGCTAGCTACTTTATCCCAGTACAGCCGCAACAGCCCAGTAGCACAATCGCACCAGCCAACTCGTATCCAGTGGCATCTGTATTCCCTCAGCAGCCGCAGCGATTCTCGGCACCACTGTCGACACCCGCGCAACAGCAGCAGCAGACACCTAGTACGAGTGCACAGCTGCCGAACAATGTAGCGGCTCTGTCGAGATTGCTAGCTGGAGACATGTATCCACAGACACAGCAGCTGCCGCAGCCGGTATTGCAAGGGATTAATACGTACATGTCGCCGTTTGCGAATCCGTGGAGCCAGTCGTCGCTGCCAGAGTGGATTGGGCAGCAGAAGCCCGAGGCTGAAATTATTTCAAACCTGGAGAACATCGCCAATGCACATTCAACCTCGCCGCTGCTGCAGACGCAGTATGCAACCAGTCCCGGATGCATGCCGTTTAGCAACCTGAATACCCAGCTGATGTCCAGCCTGGATCCGTTCCAAATCAACCAACTGCAGCAGCAGCAGCAGATGGATATTGCACTCAACGGCAGCCAGGAGTCATCGCTGATAGAGTCGCTCAGTTTGCCAACGATGCTGTCGTCGGTGCCTGCCAGTGTGGCTGGGATTCCAATTAACCAGGCAACTGGCGGCATGAACTCTGGTGTTTGTCCAGTCGCCAACAGCATATAGCAGTGAACTGGGGAACAGCTCGATGCACAGTCAATCGCCATCGACAATGGACATGGGAAACAGCCCAGGCGCCGGACGGCTGCTTGACGGCGAGCTCCAGCGACTGGCAGGCACTGCCGATAACCTGGCCAGCGGCGGAGCACCCAAGCGCAACTCCACCACCGACACGTCCGAGATGGCAACGTCGTTTTCGCAGCTGCTGTCATCGGCAGAGGCGACGCCAAAGTCAGCCCAGGCAGGCAGCTTCTCGACCTTTCCTGCGCAGCGTCTCAAGACACAGCGCAGGCGTAGCCGTAGCGAGCTGCCAGCAGTTACCAGTGCGCAGCGACTCTCAGACTTGTACGTGCCGCCGGTCATCGAGATCTATGCGCGCGAGTTCCCAGCCGAGCTTTCGCCAGGAGGTGCTACTCCGAGTCATTCGCATGGTCTTCACACGTACGCGCACGTCGCTTGTCAACGTCGACATTGAGCTGGCGTGGTTCATGATGCTCAGGGGTGTGATCCCGCGGATCTGGCTGTTTGCATTTATAGCCAGCATGGCGCGAGGCCACGTGATCGACCAAGCCCTGGCGCAGCAGCTGCCGGCGAATTTCGACGAGTCGTGCTATGAGTACGCAGTGCGCGATGTGCCGCTGGTTGCGGCGTCGCCGTCGTTGTGGAGCGCGCTCAGCCTGCACCTGATTGCTCGATACGAGTTCCAGTCGGCTCGGTACGATCTGATGCAGCAGCACTTTGAGATGGCGGCGGATATTCTGGCCAAGACAAAGTTCCACGGGTACGCGTTCCCGTGGACCGATGTGCCCGAGGCCGAGAAGCAGTCGTTCGAGTTTGACTACTACGTGTACACGTACTGGGTCGGGTTCCAGTGGCACCTGGTGTGCTGCTTCAACCTGGACCGACCGTTTAATATGGATCTGGAGCCCACGGCAATGCCAATACCGACGTGCGGGCGCGGGTATTTTGCGCCGAACCTGCCGTGCAGCTTTGATCTGCTAACGATTCTGCCGGCGAACAGCTGGCCGCAGTCGAGCCAAAACAAAGGTCTGACCAAGGTTCCGTTCCGTGGGTTCAGCGACACAGAGTTCGAGGCGTGGCGGCCGGCCGAGTGGAAGACCATTGCGCCCAACTACAAAATCACCGTGGCGCTGCAGCAGATGCTGCCGCTGGGGGCGATGCTGTACCGGCTGCAGTGCGAGTTCTGCGAGGGCAAGCTCACACTGGTGGACTATCTGCAGAGGCTGCGGATCAAGCAGGAGCGGCTGAACCGGTGGCAGTACTCGCTGCCCGACGAGTTCGAGATCACGCCCGAGCTAGTTGTGCGTCTGTATGCGGCAGGCAAGACCTGCGCAACGCCAGGGGTTGAGAGCAACATCATGATGAACTTTAAGGAGCTGGTGATGACGCTCGGACTGTACAACTCGCTGGTGATCCGCGCCAACCGCGTGGCGCTGCTGGGGATGCTGCGTGAGGATCTGGCGAGCCCAGCCACATCGATGCATATGCGGGTATTTGGGATCCGGGATTACATTGAGGCGCAGATTCCGCAAGACGATGAGCGCGGCAACAACGGGCTGTGGCAGCGCAACATGGAGTTCCACCGGTGCCGGTCGCTGTGCTACGAGTCGATCGATATCCTCTGCGATGTGGTGCAGATCAGCTTTATGCTCCGGCTCAACGTGTTTACATATGGCACAACATATGTGGCCATTGCCGGGGAGATGATCAATGTGCTGATCAGCCAGCTGGGCATCAACGACAGGCACGTCAAGTGGCGGACGAAGACGCGACTGGCGCATGTGCTGTGTCTTGGTCCGGTCGCTGCAGCACTGGGCGCCGGCGCTGTATCTGTTCGTGTATGCGATCCGGGCGCTGTCAGACCCGGGGTTGGTTTTGGAAGGGAATGTGAAGATCCCGACGCTAGGTGGATCTGGTTTCGCGCAAGAGCGCAGAGGATAAACAGACAGACAGCGACGGCAGCAAATCGGCGGGTGTGGGTGGAGGGCAGGCGTTGGCACAGGTTCCAGAAGCGGCAAGCGAGGCGGGGGTGCCGGATATTCCGAACCCGTTCCCCAGCAACCACATCATCAACCTAATTGTAGCAGAGCTGGACCTCAGTCTGGCCACATTCCTGGCACCGGCGTACCCGATGCTGCTGCTAAAGATCTTTGCAGGCAATTCGCAGCAGTAATAATGAGTAAAATAAATGCTTTTAAACAGTCTGGACAAAGTTGGCCATGCTTCCAAAGGCGCGCTTTGCGGCGTCGGTAAAATCGAACAGCACAAAGACATGGGGCATGTCCTTGTAGACCTCGAGGGTTACGGCATTTGGGCGGCCGCGGTTCTGCTTTTTGATCTTGGCCACCAGGGTGCAGATATCGTCGTGGAGCAGCTCATTCTGGCCCATCTGCACCAGCAGCGGGGGCAGGCCGGACAGGTCGCCGTAGACAGGCGAAACCAGCGGACACTTGAGCTCCTCCAGCATCTGCTGCGATAACGGCCGGCCGGCATCGTAGAACATGCGGGTTGGGTGGAAGGGGTCGTCGAGCGAAAAGGCCGGCAAGTAGTCGAGGTTTCTGTTGGTGAGCCAGCTGTTGCCCGGGCACGTGACATCAACCCACGGCGAAACCAGCATGGCTGCCCTGGGCATCTCCATCTTCAGGTCCTTGAGCAAAAGCAGCAGGCCCAAGGCCAGCGTGCCGCCGGCACTGTCGCCGCCCAAGAAAATGTTCCTGGGGGCAAACCCGTTGTTCAAAAGGTAGCGGTATGCGATGTAGCAGTCGTGGAGCTGCTGCGGGAAGCAGTGGCGCGGGGCCAGGGCGTAGTTTGGCGAGAACACACGCATATTGGTCGCCGACGAGGTGTTTGCGTATATGAAGAGATGGTTCAGGGAGCGCTCCCCGAGGCAATAGGCGCCGCCGTGGAAATGCAAGATAATCTGCTCGTCCTTGCGAATCGGATAGGGAGCCAGTATTTTGCTCCCCATTGCCTGCGACTTGCACGTATGGCAGTGCATCGCATGCTTGCCCAAAACGCACTGGAACGATAGCGTGCGTGGAGCCTGGGCGTCGCACGCGCGGCGGTCCTCCTGGGCCAGTTTCTGCAGGCGGCGGCCGGAGTCTTTGTATGTGAGGCTCGGGTAGTCTACACATAGGCTGTGGTTGATTTCTATGGAGAACTCGCGGTTCACGCCGTCTCTTAATGTCAGTGGACGTACTGGCAGGTTGTTCAGCGAGATGTAGTCGGCAATTTCCCGGTAGTTTATGCGCTGCGAGTCGGTGTTTTTCAGGTCGTGCGGCAGCGAGTCGGCCAGGAAGGTATGCATGACGTCCTTGATTATGTGGAACCGCAGGTCCCAGGATTTGGTCTCGGGGCCGTAGCGGTAGAACCGGTAGATGGTTAACAACACACAGTGGGCAATCATCAGGATATTGCGCAGACGGTCGTATACGGAGGTGGTGGTTTTCAAGGGCAAGTTGATGGATATGTATTCGTTCGTCCATGGTTTAGTGAAAAAAGTATAACGTTGCGGGATAGAGTTGCGAAAAAGGGAGGGAAAGGACTCGAGGCACAGTAGGGCTATGAAGAAGCAAATATTAGACATGATCGTTTGGTTCAAGGGGGATTCCGCCATTTCTATTCATTCACCAGGGAGGGCGGGGAATCTCGCTTATTGTTCACTCCTGTGCCTGATATGCAAAGCATCCTCCCCCGCATCAGTGAGGCTCTGTCATTAAACAGGAGGTATTGGCGGAAGGGGGGTTTGTGGAGGGTTACTTTTCGCCAAATATTGTGTGGCTAAAGCCAGTATTTACGGCGGGCGGAGGGGACACAGCAGTAAGCAAAGCGACAGGCATGTGCGATCGGTGGCTATCACCTGGACTGCCCTACGAGCGCACGGCGGTGATTGCATGATCGAATCAAGATCCCTTGGTTGAAAAACAGGCGATGCTTACCCAAGAGCAGCAGGTTTTTTTCTTCTTCCTCTCCGATCTTCAATATTTTCCAAAGCGTGATCATTATGTACGGCGGGCTGAGAAACACGGGTGGGCGGGTTCTGGCACGGCACAGGTGGACATGGCAATACAATGGCGTAGCAACAAACACCAGACGGAGTCTCTCCGAGCTATACACAAAAAGCAAGCCGGCAGAACCCCCAAGGCAGCACAGACAGCGTCGGCAGTGCCTCTGCCCAGGCAGCACGATCGGGGGCACTGAGTCCAAAAGCGCAGGCCGAGCATGACGCCGAGAAGCAGACACGAGGACTGCAGGGCACAGCAGAGGAGTTCTCACGCACAGTGCACACGGACCAGTGGGAGGCCGACGAGATCTGGCTGCGGTACATTGCTTTGCCGTTCGGAATCATACCAGTATCTACGGACAATAGACGTGAACCGAGCGCTGGCGATGATCCGGCTCGCAGTGCGCACACCAACAACAACGACACTGAACCGCATGCTGGCAGTATACGGGCGCGCCAAGCGAGCCGGCGTCGCGGCCGATGCGATCACGTTCCAGGAGCTGATTGCCGTCAATGTCGGGATGGTGAACTTCCGGCACGCGCGCCGATGGCTGGCGGAAATGCAGCGGCAGGGCATCCAGCCGACAATCCGGCCGTTCCGCACGCTGCTTAGGGGCCTGGGGAAGGCCGGCGAAATCGACGGAGCGCGGGCGCTGTGGCTGGAGATCAAGCGCATGCTGGCAGCCGGCGAAATCTCCGACGGGCTGGACCGCGCGACATACACTTGCATGGTTGGCGCCGAGGCCCGTGTGGGCAATTTCGCGGCGGCGTTGCGGCTGCTCAACGAGATGACAGCAGCCGGGATTCCGCAGGACATCACCGTGCGCAATGTGCTGCTCCAGGCCATTCTGACCCACCGCGGGCTGGCCGCCGGGCTGCAGGAGGCGCCAGATGATCGCTAGTGACGGGCTGGTGCTCGACGGGTTCTCGTTCAATGTGCTGCTGGAGGCTGCGGCGCGGGAGGGCGATCGGGAGGCTGCGCGTGATCTGCTCTCGCAGGCAGGCGGCGGCTGGCGTGGTGCCCACAGCCAGCGTGGTGCAGAGGCTGCCGTTTGCGGGGCTCGAGACGCTGGAGGTGCTGGCGCAGGGTGGCATTGCCAGCGTGCAGGGCCTACAACTCGCTGATTGTGGCGGCCGCGCGCCGCAACCAGTTTGCCCAGGCCCAGCAGCTGCTGGCGCATATGCGGACACATGATGTGGTGCCCAATGCAGTGACATATACAGTGCTGCTGGATGCGCTGGGCAAGGCTGGGCGGTGCGACGAGGCGCATGCAGTGTACGCGCAGATTGTGCGCGAGGGTGTGGTGAAGCCGGATACACACATGATCGCCACCATGGTCGATGTCAGCGGGCGCCAGGGCCGCGTGGGCCAAATGCATGCCTACCGCCAGGCGCTGCAGCAGTTTGGCCTGCCGCCGACCATTGTGATCTACAACTCCATCCTGGCAGCCCTGGCGCGCCAGCCCAAGGTCGATCTGGACGCCGTGGTCCGCACGCTGCATGCGCTGGTCCACGAGCGCCCACTGGTGCGCCCCACCACCCGCACCATCAACTCTGTCTTCTCAGCCTTTGCCCAGCGCGCGCGCAGCAGGCCGTTGAGCGAGTCCAGACGCCGCTTTCTGCGCGCCTGGTGGGAGCACACCAAAGAGAAGCACTTTGTCGAGAAGGACGCATACACCTACGCCCTGGCCATCGATGCATTCGCGCATTCCGAGAGCCTCGACGACTCGCTGGCCGTCTACAGGGAGATGCTGGAGCATGCCTGAGCTGGACCGCAGCGTGCTGCGCCAGTTCGCCGAGTCGCCGAACCGCATGCTGGCGCTGATGCGTCTGGCTGCCACCGCCCAGGAGTTCGACCTTGTATTGCGGCTCTGGCGCAACTGGCATGCGTTGCGGCTGCCGCCGTCCGAGAAGGCCGTGGCATTCATGCTTCTGGCCTGTGACCAGCTCGGCCATGTCGACCAGGCCCGCGACATTGTGCATACTATGCTGACTCCGCCAGCGCCCGCCATGCCCCAGAGCGTCAAGGAGCCGGTCCAAGACGAGCCGCAGGCGCTGGTCCAGCAGAGTCTTGATCTGGACGCACCCGTGTCGTTCCGCCCCGAGATGCTGGGCGAGTCCGCCCTGGCCATGTTCATCGGCATGGCTGTCAAGCACCAGGCCCTGGACGATATCATGCCGGCTATCCGTCTGTGGGCCGCCGACCATGAGCAGGAGCTGCTCCGCCCACTGCCCCGCCGCGAGCTGTCGGAGCGCTCCGTGGCCAAGATCCTGGCTCTTCTGCGCCACTCTCCCGACCACCACGCAGAGCGTATCGCCGACCAGTTCCTGGCCTTTGTTGAAGACAACTTCCCCGAGTCCATGCCAATGTAATAAATGCCGCTTGTAAAGAACGGGCTTCAGCATCTGTGCTTGTTACGCTCTTGTCATATTAAAAAACCAACATACATTATACAAAATCCATTTACGCCGCGTAGCTGGCCAGCTGCCGCACAAAGCTCATGCTCTGGTCCGGCAGGTGGTTGAGCGTCGTGTACGCAATCAGCGCAATGCTGCCGCACACCACCCCATTCACCAGGTACTTTTCCCAGCTCTCGAGCATGTACAGGCCCATCGTGACCTCGTACTTGTAGTTGAGCTTCTGAAGCGACTGCAGCATGTTTTTATGTCTCCCTTGGAACCCGGAATGGCGCTTTTGAAATTAAAATATACCTATGGAAATTATTGCTTTACTAAAAAGAGTCGGTGGAGGGGAGAATGTTGGTGCGGAGCTTTTGCGCTTTCAAGACTCCCCCAACATCCGTGTGGTTCACTCTCCCTCCTTAACACAAACAAAAAACAATCCCCTCCTCATTGAACCGAGCCACCGCCAGACCTGGACCGCCGCAGATCACATTTCCCTTGAAACCAAACTGCGGTTTCTCGCAATGTGTCTTTCTGCATTCCAGCACGCATGGCCAAAAACTGAACCGGGACGCTGTCACATTTTTGTCCCAGATGGGTCTTCAGTGAATCCCCTGGGTGACAGGAACACAGAAATCCGATTCTGCCCATACCGACAATTTTCTTTTCAAAAAGCACGGACTTCAGACTAGATCCCTCGCCACTTCGGAACTACATCCTCAAATGGGCATTCTGGCTCAAACTCCGGAAACATGGTTTTAAAATCAAACGACCACCCCCATCCTGCATTCCGTGGACCTTAACGGACATCCATTGCTTGGTATTGGGGGAGCGTCCAGAAGGAATTCCGTGTCATGGTACATTTCCAGACACCATATCGTTCTTTACCAGTGATATGCTTGTTGATACAATAGACTAAAAATAAGCGACTTAGAGCCATCACGCTATGCGCGCCAGCATGCTGACGACAAAAAACACGCACACCATGACGAATGTGTTGACAACATACTTTTCCCACGGCTCGAGCACGTACAGACCTAGATTCAGCTCGTACTTTTGGTTCATCCTCTTGACTTTTGACAATACGACCGACGCCATCCTTTTTCAGCTTGGAAATATACAAATACAGTGAAGAAAATATGAGATTTGGCCCTTTCTGATAATTGGAGATGGGAAAACATTCACGTTACAGAGCCTTCTGCACCCCTCAGAAGGCTTCGACCCTGCTTATATATATCCCGCAGGCAACACCCTTTTGCCTGGCTGCCATTGCCGTTTTCTTTTTGCTACTGGAATCTAGACCCTTCTGGCTGATAGTCCTCTGCTTTTCCCCTCTCCCGCTATACCGAGTGGAGGTCCAGTGTGTGCAACATCCATCATATACAAACACATCCACCCTCCAGAGGGTAAATCGAGGCGTGCGCGGGAGAGATGCCCATTGCACAAATGGCGGAAAGACCCCGACCCTGGAAATGTTTTTTTCTCTAAGTGTAGTGGACTTGTTCTAGGCACTCCGGTGGAAAATAAGGCGGGGCTTCATCTCTGGCAGTCACGTTTGTTGACCCCGCCTTGCCCGCAATATATTTCGTATACCGCGCTAAGTAGAGAACAGAAAATCGATAATTGCATCGCTGCCCTTTTCCGCTAATAGCCGCCGCACCAGCCCCGTCGCCTCTCCACCGCCTGCATTGCGCATTGATCGCAGCTGCATCCGCACCTGCTTCGCGCCATTCGCGTCTACTGTAGAGCACCCTGCATCCATACCATCATCAGTGCTCGCACGCCGACGCTTTATGCCCACCAGCCCAGCGTCTTCTGCAGCGGGCTGCAGACTTTTGCTGCCCAGGGTGGCTACTCCTACGTCATCTTGGCCACTGCCGCCATCATTGCCATTTAAGATCTCATCCAGTGCCTGCTGCAAGTCCTGTCGCGACAGGCCGTGCTGTACAAGGAACCCACGTAGCCTGGTATTACCTGATTTAGCCGAGATGCCGCCACGCTTGCGTTCGGAGTTGTCGCCTGGTCGGACTTTGGGGCAGCCCGGTTACTTTGTGCTGCAGGCAGAGCGGCCGGTGGATTTAGCACGCTGGCCGCGATATCAGTAAGCATCTGCATCTTATCGACGCGGCCTGTGCCCGGACTGCTCGCGTCCTGCGTAATATTATGCGTCGCCATGACAAATTGCGCAACATCCTGCTGGAACGAGACAATCGACTGCAGCCACTCTGCAAGCGCCACTGGGCCCGATTCCAGCCCGTTGCTTTGCCTGGCACCAGGCGACGGCTCTGTGGTGCCATTGGCTTTGCCATCTATCACCGGACTGCTATCATCGGTCAATGGGCTGCCCGTCCCGGGACTGATCTGGCCCGATCGCTGCTGCCGGTCGCGCTGCACGCGCAGCTCGAACTGCCGGCGAATCAGCGTGGCGGGCACACGAAACTTGACCTTCGGGTCGGCCAGCTCCACCGGCGGCTCATCGTCGATAACGTCGATCACGCCACTATTGCGTGCATCGTCCGGTGCGTTCGTCAGATCGACAATCCGCTCCTTGCGGAACCGGTTATGCCGCCGCCGCAGCGCGTGCTCGGCGTGGTTCGGGCACATCCACCGTTTCAGCGGTGCCGGCGGGCCCGGACAGCGGCGGGTCCAGGCAGTCCCAGTGCCAGCTTAGCGGGCAGTAGTCGCAGCGCACCACCGGGCCATGCAGTGCCGACAGTCCGCAACGGTAGCAGAGGATTGTGTCACCGTGGTCGGTCGTCAGCCGCGTGAAATCCCGGTTCGCGTCGCCGCCATTCACCCGCTGCGCCCGCTCCTCCCGCGTATTCACAAACGTCCCGTCAGCGTCTGCCTCGATCCCGTCGAACTGCCGCCGGATCTCCTCTGGCACTGCAAACGCCCGCGGGTTGATGTACTCCATGCTGGAGATCAATGGGTAGAATATGTTCTTTGCGTGCGCCCGCGACTTGCGCTTCCGCGATTCCCGGAACGAGCACTCGCGGCAGAACCATTTGTCCATTGTCGCCAGGCTCTCAAATGCCACCGGCGGCTCGGCGCACAGAAAGTGGAACACGCGCGGACACCGGTCGCAGAGAATGAACTGCCCGGGCTGCCCACACGCGTCGCACGAGTCGTGGCTCTTGCCGTCCTGTGCCGATGTCTTTGTCCGCGACCGCAGTGTCGCCGCTCCTTGCTTCGTCTGACTACACAGAGCGGCAGACTTTGTCAGTGAAACGAACGGGGGGAGAGTCGTCTTGTGGGAACAAACCCACTGAAAGGCAGGATGCGAATCCTTCCCATGGAGACTCTTACCTTGCTGCGAATACGGCCGACGGCGACCCGACCACCACGCCAAGGCCATTTACTCTGGGAGGCGAGTGCACGATTGTCGCTTTTCGTGTTGGCGATAAGCTGATAGCTGACGAGGCCACTGACACCCTGTGCCCAGCCCCATTTGCCGATCCGCCTGCTGTGCCGTTTGTTGTGCCTCCATTGGCCGTGCAATTCACTTCTGTCGGTTTGCCACCGTCTACGTCCTCGCCCTCGCACAGCCGCCGGATATACTCGACGGCTTCAGCGTATCCCTCTGTGACCTGCCGTGTTTCAATTGCCATTTGTCACTGTGTAGGCTGGGGAGTTCTGTTGGAAATAGCTTTTTTCCCTCGGTCTGCCGCAGCGGGGAGTCACACGAATAAAGTCTTTTGGACAGCGCCGACAGCGGGGGTTTCTACCATGCCAAATGCAGCCCTCCGACTGTTGTGCGTCAGTACAAGGATGCTAGCAGCTCTGAAAAGAAGAGCCTCAACCAGTATCATGCCCTGCTGGTCGATACCAGCCCAAAGGTATCAATGAGCCAGCCCCCAGTCCCTCCGCCGTCCTCCCCTCGTCGATCCAGTCAACAACAGAGTATAGGCTAGCATCATGGAGGGCACGGTGGCGAGACACCGAGGCCCTGTGTATCAGTTACCTTGTATTAAGCTCTGCAGTCCGTCAGAGACAATCGGGTTCCAATGATACGCGATCCTGTCCAAGTTTGCTGGCTGCGCTGGTTTTCCTTTCTTCCCTTTTCTGCCAATGTATCTAGCGTGCGTTCCGTCGAAGGAATGGAGGTTTATTGGTACAACGTAAAGTTGGAAGAGACGCAGGGTGAAAAAGAGAAGACAGGGGAATTAATGATATTGAGAAGCGCGTGAGCTAAGGAGAGATTGGCAGCAGCCCGGCATGCCCATCGCCACTGGGCAAGGTCAAAACGCGTGCTTGCCCAGGCTGCCTCCGCCGTGGCGAAAGTTCCCTTGATCCCATGATCAAGTTGTCAGATCAAGTTGATGCCTGGTCTGATGCCAGGCAGCGCTTAGGGAACCTGCCAGCCTCATACTCCATACTTTTTGCGCTCACTCGTACACTGCATGCGGCCAGTTGGAAGAGGTTTACGGTATTGATGCGCCAGTGCCGCTTGAGCAAAAAAGTCGTATGTGTATCCAATATGGTTCATATTTCGTGAATGTCTAGTTTTCCATATACAAACCACTAGACTAGTGAATATCGTATTCAAAAAAAGCAATATATTAGATAATGAAGAGTTGCTAATTTAATGCCGCTTCAATGGATTTCCTGGTTCAGCAGGCTAAGATGACTCCGAGCGGCGCTTGGTGTGAGGGTTCTGGTGGAAGGCAGTGGAGAGTTCAGGTGGGCCGAGGGTTCGACTTTTGTGGCCTTGCACACAATGGCTCTCCACCTGTTAATCTTGTCCACAACGCGGTACATTGGCTCAAACAAGTTCTTAAACACAACGTATCTCTGCGTATAACCCATGAACTCAGGAACGATTACGCCGCAGTCAGCCAGACCAGGAATCTTCAAGCAGTCCTCTGTAGGCGGTTCATCGACAGGGCGACCACCAGGCTTCTCAGGCGCAGGCTGCCAGTCAATGACAACCAATGCTTTTCCCAGTGTTAGACGACGACGAATTATAGATAACTGTCAATGGGCCAAACATGCCAGATGCCTCCCGGTAAAGTGATGACTCTACACTCAAATCATTACCCTGACTTAGGCAATTGCTAACACGCTGTAAGCGAACACCACCATCCCAGGCAGCTTTGGACTTTGTTTGGTCATCAGTAGACGGTGCATGGACAAAACGAATAGATGACTGCCCATAGTCCAGGGTGCAAAAGTGTCCAAACCGATTCACAGGCAGAAGGACAAGAAAAGAGAGGGCGCCGAGAAGCTTGACAAGCCCACGCTTTGTTTTAGGGACCATTTGCCCTAGGCGGGTGCGCAGCAGTTGATTGCGAGTGAACACGAGGATATCAAGGTGACTGCCATTGAAATAGAGTGTGGGTATAAAGATTCGGTTTGATTGCATGACCCACATTGCATTCACGCAAGAGCACAGCTTGGCAAGGGTCCCGCTGCTTATACTTGACCTAGACTGTTTCGCGTCGAACACAACTGGGATATGGATGCCCTGCACATCAGTTGAAGGCTCATCTCTGCCGCTGTAGCAAGCACCACCCTGATCCATTATGGCGAGTCCAGGAGATATGTCAGTGTTGAGGATAGGGTAGCTGTCCACGTCGACAATCTCATAGCAGGGCTTGATACCATCATATGCAGCGCATATTTTCTGGTAGTAAGTTTCTGAAAAAACGTAAATGGGAATCGCGGTAATAGCCTCCACCAGTACCAAAATCAGTGCGCTGAAGCGAGCCGTTCGCGCGTATAGCGTCAGCGGTAGCTTTGATTCTTTTGGTCTCAGCTTGAACGAAACAGTTTGAATTCAGCATCAAGCTCCAGAATCTCGAAGCAGCTTTTCAAAACCTATCTCCAATTCATGAGTCTGATAATCTTTTATCCACCTGTCAATTGACTGCTGAGAAATATTTTGAATAACGCCGTCAAGGCAGGGGTTTCGATTAGCGTATCCGAGGGGCTCATTAAACACCCATTCTCGCACTGGTTCCACAGTGAAATTGCGTTTCGAATTAGAGAACATAGGTGAAGGTTGGTGTCGTGCGATATGGAAAAGCTATTGGAGTATGATGAAAATTATTCTAGAAAAGAGAAACGCATATGTGCTGCGCAAAAACTCGGCATGCATTCAAGGTGGCTGAGATGATGGAGATTTAATTCTCATGATTTCACATACACATCAATAACCAGCAGCAGTGAAATATACAGTAGCTGCAAAAAGCCAGTATATATCTCAACAAATGTGTTCGATGCTAAACTGATAGTCAAGTATGTTGCAGTGATTTGGCTAGAAACAAACAAAATGAAAAACTTGGAAAGTGACACACCTGGAATAGTCAACTGAATTAGCGGCGTCTCTGGGACTTGCTCTGCTTTGCTAGCTCAGCTGGCTACGGAGCAGGGCGCTTCCTGAGAAGCATCTTGTGCGTTGATGGCTCGGCTGGCTGTGGGGCAGGGCGCTTTCTGCGAGTCATTCTCTCAATTGGCTCCGCCACCTCCTTTCCGCGGGATTTCGTAGTGCCTCTACTAGCTGTGAATGGCTCCACGAGGGTATCCGACCGCATACGATCGGAGTGGGGTGGAGGTGATGATGGTTCCTCTCCTAGAAAGCAGTACCCGATGGTGGCGAAGTGGAGACGATGACGGTCCAGCAACTGAATACGATGGGTGATGAGGATGGATCGGAGATGACAACTGACTCTTGCCCAAAGACAATGGTTGTCCTGCACCTGGGGAAGTTTTCCGCGTGTGGGCGAACCTGTTTCAGAGCCAAGAGGCGTTCCCACTGCGGTGAATGAGCTCGATGGTTCGAGCGCAGGAAGTTCAGCGAGGGCGGGCAGAATATTGGGTGCAGGTGTGGCAGGCTCTTCCGCCGACTCAGCCTGTGCAGCACCACTCACAATGGCCCTCCACCTGTTAATCTTGTCCACAACGCGGTACATTGGCTCCAGCATGTTCTTAAACACAGCATACCTCTGCGTATATCCCATGAACTCAGGAACGATTACGCCGCAGTCAACCAGGCCAGGAATGTTCAAGCAGTCCTCCGTAGGCGGTTCATCGACAGGGTGGCCACCTAGACTGCTCAGATGCAGGCTGCCAGTCAATGACTAGAAACGCTCGTTTGCTGGAATAAGGGTCTGAGTTATAGACGACTGTCAAGGGCCCAAACATGCCAGATTCCTCCCGATGAAGCGATGACATTACGCTCAGCTCATGACCCCTTGGGTAATGGTTATTGGCAATTGACCGAGTGAAGACACCACCATCTTGTGCAGCCTTGGGGATCGTCTGGTCATCAGAAGGTTGCGTGTGGGTGAAAAGGAGGGACTCGTGTGCGTAGTCCTACGGTGCAGTAGTGTCCAAACTGGTCCATATGCAGCAGAAACAAGAAACGCAAACATGTCAAGAAAGCTGGTACGAGCACGGATTTGACTTTGGGACCATCATCCGTCCCAGGCGGGTGCGCAGCAGTTGGTTGCGAGTGAACACGAGTATGTCAAGATGACCACCGTTGGCGTAGAACACAGGGATGAAGATGCGTGTGGGTTGCACGATCCACATCGCATGCACACAAGGACAAATGTCGCGAAGTGCATCGCTGGTGAGTCCTGACGCAGAAATAGTCGCATCAGAGACAATTGGGATATAGGCGCCATGTATATCGGTCGTAGGTTCGTCGTCTCTGCCGCTCTCACAAGCGCCGAACTTATTCACCATGACAAGTCCAGTGGATATGTCAGTGTTGAGAATGGGGTAATGGCTAACATCGACAATATCGTAGCTGTATCTATCGTCCTCGTATGGTTGCCATACATGCTGATAGAAACCTCTGAACAGCTCCTCGTAAGTGTATTTCGAATAACGCCTACCAGTGCCAAGGACGATGCGCTGGAGCTCTTCATCAGCACGGATACCGTCAGCAGCAGTTTTGACGTGTCCGCCATGGTCATGAACGAACTGTCTGAACTCAGCGTCAAGCCCGAGAATTCCGAGCAGTTCGTCAAAATCTACCACTGTCTCATGAGTCTGGCACTCTTTTATCCACGCATCAATAGATGCCTGAGTGATGTTGCGAGTGACGCCTGTTGAGGTAAGGGTTGCGACTTATATCCTCAAGAGGCTCTGCGAATAGGAGTGCACTCACATCCTCTGCGTCGAAGTTGGACTTGCGGTTTATAAAACATGAGTGAAATGTTTAGCTATGCGCAGTATAATAAAGAAAACCAAAGAAAAGATGTCAGCAGAGAAGAGAAACGCATGCGTGCTGCGCAAACGTACCAAACACCTGATGAGTTTATTTTTCTGCCTGGTCAATCAACTGAGATAATTTGATATCAAATTCTGCAAGAAAACAATAACTGATTTTGGCTATATAAGGACTGAACGTAAATCAAACTTCAATTAGTTTGCGTGTAGTTACGATGTAGCCAGGTCCACAAAGATGATCAACTGGTACAGCCCCACAAGAACCTACGGAGCCAGCTGGGCCAAACCAGACTGATCAGAACCAGGCCTCCATAGTCCCTGTTGTCCTTGCCAGCCACCATAGCGAAGATATGAGAGTAGTGATTGCAATATAACCAATCCTTACACCAACGATAATAGCCTCATTACCTTTTGATAGAATCATAGCTGAGCAGCTTGGTCTATTTTGCACAATGCTTTCAGTGGGTTTAAGATGATGACTCTGTTCAATATTCCAAATCGGTGTTGCATAATAAAGCCTATTGCAGAGTAAACATACTATAGTGCACCGTTATATCTACTCATATCTAATTAATGTACATTGAAGTAATGCGGTGTTGGTGAAAGTTAGGAGCCTTAAGGTTCCAACAGGGTAGATCCTTCTTTCTGCTGCTATGTATTCATTAGCATTAGGAGAGAATATTCTTATGATGGCAAGACCTTTAGTTCTTAAAAGTAAAGTAAAGAAATATTAGAATCCAGCAATTGACATCGCTGAGTGACTCTTGTCTCTTGAGCTGTACATGGCACAATGGAATGGCGTCTTTCGGCAGGATATTCGTCATAGCATACTGTTTTATCTCCACGAGTCTGTCTTATTTGTATATTAATGGATTATATCGGTAATATTTGATGTCAATGGCTATTATCAATGGCAATGTCCATTAGTATGCAGAGGCCGCATCCTGGATACTTTTCTTACCCTAAGTACTATCTATTACCAAACTTGCTAAACCTTCAAATGAACGACCCGCACCAATACACCCAGCAGTGGGTCTTAGATGAGCCCCCACCGGAAACCAATCGACTTCAAAGGCACGATATTGAACGTCAGAAGCTTGCAGAAGAGGCTCTCAAATCCAGTGGGTACTTTTGCACTCTCGACAGCTGGCTAGACTATTCGGGGCAAACCGATGCATTTGCTGAGTTTCGTGGACGACATGCTCGGCCTATTGGTGACTTTATGGATCGAACCTTCGCCACGCTGGAGAGATCGCAGAATGTCTGGGCACGCGCAGGAAATCGTATAGGGAGCGAGCACCACCTCGTAGCGTACGTGGAGGAATTCTTTGACGATTTCATGCAGGGTTTCGCAGCGTATTGCTGAGATTGGTCTCGTCAGAAAAGATCACCAAAACATTCCGATCAAAGGTGGGTCAGGGCTGAAGCCTGATTGGGGGGTACATTTCACCATACCTCCTGGTTACCAGCGCGGCGATCGAGAGCTTGACTCAGGTACATGGGAGGATATTATGAGCGTCGTTGAATTCAAGGGTAAAAGGGTTTCCAACACTGGTAATCTAAAATTCTGGGGGCAGCTCGCCGACTACGGACACGCTGACAGAATATCACAAATCTCACGTGTCATGATGCCCATTACGGTATTCCATGAACTCTTCGTAGACGCGATATTCTTTTTTGGCTGTGGGATATGCAGAGTGCATGTCGGAAAGGTGGACATGGGTGACAGGGACTCATTCCTTAGAACTATGGAATTCCTCCTATTTGTACATGCACGGGACCCCTACGGCTATACCCACCTAAATTCGCCGATCCCACTCGGTCGGCAGTTCCAGATGGGCATGGATAGGACGACCAGAAACATGTCGGTAGTTCGTCGTATGACAGCTCATACTACAGATAACCAGGGAAACCGCATAGAACATCGGGTTCCAGCCGATAAAAGATGGTTCTTCTCCGGTATCACTAAAGTCTACCGTGGCACCAGTAATGCGCGTGATGCGTTTTTTAAAATCACCTCGAGTAGCCAGGACGAATTACCTGAAGGTGCTGCGTATGCGTGCCTTGGATTACGTGGAGTCCCCAATCTACCCAGAGTGCTCCATTCTTCCTCCATACACTTCGACCAAGTGGGTGGGAGAACGGAGCTGCTAATATTTGAGGATGCCGGCGAATCCGCAGATAGCTACTTCGCAAGGCTACAGACTCCAGATATGGCGTCCCAAGGAGTTGTCGACGTTATTCGTGGTGTGGGAGCAACGGCTCTCCATGTTTGGAGGGCCGGTGCATGTGTAGCAAACATCGGGCCACGACAGGTCCTAGTGCGGGCAATAGGAAGAGAGGGACGGCTACGCGTGTCCTTCTGTGGCTTTAGCAGGATGCAAGTCTTTAACCGCGCGTTTTTTGCGGGCGTTGACCTTACTAGCTGGCAATCTACTCCAGAGGATATTCTCCGTATAGGTATATACCCATCAACAGCACGCCGGGACCTACTGTATGCCAGCTTTGGGGAGCTCAACGGATCCCGAATACGTACTGCCTCCGATGATTTGCAGTCACTACTGTTCACGGCAGTCCAGCTGCTTGGCCTCCCCATACCTGGAGTCCGGCAGATCTTGACCATTCGGTTCCTAGGCGACAGTAACCGACGTGCAATTGAAGCCAAGTCACTCGGTGTCAGTAACGATGCAGTCTTCATCAAGGTGTTTTCGCTCGAAGCTTACCAGGGTACAGCTGCCTTGGTGTGGCTCCTGCGTCTTCGCCGTGCGCTGTTCCCGGAAAACGCTGCCGGAGCGACTGAAGAAGACCAGGTAGCAAGAGAACAGCAAATAGTCAATGGGGAGGTGATTGCAATTAACCCGCATTGGCTTCGCCAGCTGGACAGAAATGATCCCAATCTCGACGGCTTGCTCGACGGCGTTCCCGAGGGTCAGCTTGGAGTTGCTACCGAAGCGATGTTTCCTGATGAGCTTCTACAGTAATTCAAATAAACTACTCATCCTCCAACTGGTGGTTAATTGGGAATTATATTGGCTATTTGCAGGGAATCTTCTTTGAAAAGCTGGAGGGAAACCCATTCCAATACCGATGAGGCGAGTGAGAAAACAATTACGGACTACATGCGATATTCCTTTGTGATACTTCACCGCACACATATACATTGGGTGGCAGCAAAGTCAGGATCCCAGGCTGCATTCAACATCATTTCAAACTCACTGAAAATGTGTCCATCACAAGCACCAACGAGACATCCCGACAAGCCCCTACAGAGTCTATTGAAATTACTTCGTCAGTGCTGACATCGTCGGGGCGCAACACTAGCAGCGCACAAGTGTACGCACCATCTACGAAATCTACTGAATCACCCTACAAATAGCTAATCTTGGTCATGGCGGTAATCCGCAAATCAGAAAAAAAAACTGGAAAACCTTTCGATTCCAACCTTGCTCGTCGATGCTGAAAAAGCCAGTGGCCGCCCCGCCGTCTTGCGCAATTTCTTTTCTCGTTTCGAAATTTATTTCAGTCTAAAACCAAATACCTTTATATACTCGAAGCCATGGGCCACGGACGCAAGAAGAAGCGCACTCATGTCGCGCCGACAGAGGAGGAGCTAGACAAGATCCCTCGGTCTCTGGTGGTAAAGTCAGGCTCAGTCGGACGTACGGTGTCAGCGCTCGTGGCAGACGTGCGGCAGGTGATGGAGCCAAACACGGCAACGCGCTTGAAGGAGCGCAAAACCAACAAGATCAAGGACTACATTGCCGTGGCCAGCCAGCTCGGGCTCACGCACCTGATGATGTTCTCACAGACCGAGGTAGGCACGAACCTGCGCATCGGCAGGATCCCGCGCGGCCCAACCCTCTCGTTCCGCATCAACAAGTACTCGCTGGCCAAAGACTGCCTCCGGCTGCAGAAGCTGCCGCGCACGTCGGGCACTGAGTACAAAACGTCGCCGTTGGTGATTCTGAACAACTTTGCTGGCGAGGCCAAGGGCAAGGAGTTCAAGCTGATGACCGCCATGCTGCAGAACCTGTTTCCGGCCATCAATCCGTCGGCGATGACGCTGGCAGAGGCCCGGCGTGTGGTGCTGTTCAACTACAACGAGGCTACGGGCATGGTGGATTTCCGCCACTACGCGATCGTGGTGAAGCCGGTCGGCGTCACCAAGGGCGTCAAGCGTGTGATTATGGCGAAGAATATGCCGTCGCTGGCCAATTTCGACGATATCAGCGAGTACGTGCTGCGCGAGGCATTTGCGTCCGAGAGCGACGTCGAGGATGGACCTGAGAACTCTGTCACGCTGGCGCAGGACTACGTGGGCCGTGGAAACAAGAAGAACGAGCAGCGGGCGATCCGTCTGATGGAGCTGGGCCCGCGCATGGAGCTCAAGCTGCTGAAGGTGCAGGCTGGTCTGTGCGAGGGCGACATTCTGTTCCACGGCTATATCCACAAGACCAAGGAGGAGATCGAGAAGGCCGAGCGCCTGCGCCAGATCAAGCTGACGCAGCAAGCGCGTCGTCGCCAGCAGCAGGAGGCTAATGTCGAGCGCAAGGCCAAGGACAAGAAGAAGAAGAAGAGCAGCAAGTTCGATATGGCCAAGAATGAGCCTACCGCGGATGACAGCGAGCCGGAGGAGGGCATGTCGGAGCTCGACAGCGCCAGCGACAGCGATGCCAGCATGGACTCGGATGATGATGCTGGTGTGCCGGCGGGATCTGCTGCTGCTGACGACTTTGGTGCTGACGAGTTCAACGGAGACGAGCTGTTCGACGAGGGCAGCTCGGGCGACAACGACAGCTTTGACGAGGAGGAAGACAACGACAGCGATGAGGAGGATCGCAAGCCGGCCAAGCGGGCAAAGAAAGACACCAAGCCTGCCAAGGGCAAGTTCAAGGGCAAGGGCGGAAGCAAGCGGAGGTAGAGGTCTTTATTGTCTCCAACATAAAATTTACATTGCCTACCAAGTCACTGCGCCAATGTTGGTTGCTGCTGCTGCTGCTGCTGCTTGTTGCTGCTGTTGTTGCTGTTGTTGTTGTTGCTGCTGCTGCTTGAGCATCATCTGCTGTTGCATCATCATCTGCTGCTGGATCATCTGCTGCTGCATGATGACCTGTGGGTTCGCCGACGAGGGTGCCGTGTATCCGTCAGGGTGCATCACCGGCAGATCGAACCGCGGGTGCATGTTCGGACAGTCAGGGCCCTTTGGACAGAATCCAAATAGGTACTGTGGACACGCAAACTTGCGCACATGTTTGTTCCGGCACTTTGCACCGTGCTTGCAGAATCCACGCGCATACCACGGGCACTCCTTGACGCGCGACTCAGGGTCGATATGCTGGTACACGCACTCGTCGCCGTTCGAGCACCGTCCGTGCTGCGAGTAAAACATGCACTCGGGCATCTTCTTCAGATTGTACTCGTGCAGGAACTCGCACCGCTCGCCCTTCTTGCACAGTCCACGCAGCCAATGCTTGCAGACCACGGCACGGTCGCCGAACCGCCCGCCAGGCATCCGGTGCTCCTGGTCGATTTGTGCCTGCGTCAGATGCCGGTACGTGCAGTTGTTGCCCTTCCAGCAGTGGCCCCTCAGAAAAAAGTTGCACGTACCAGTCTTGCCGTCGTTTATGGACTTTGACTTTGGCGCGGCGGGAACCTGCTCGATTTGCAGCTTCACCTCCGTCTTTACAAACTCCTCAAACTCAAATGTGATTGCGTCGGCAGCACGCCGGCTGTCGAGGGCACCAAACCGTTTGCGCCTGGCTTGTCTCCGGCGACTGCGACGGGCGCTGTGTTTGCTGGTTCTGCTGCTATGGCTGTCGACATTTTTAATAGAAACTGTAAATTGTAGTTGAAAAATTGGGAGTCTGAGAAATGCAGAGCTGCAAACTCGCCAGCCTGAACGCTTTTAGTATTCGCGGAGCGGCACTCGAGCCGAGCTGACTAATCGCTGGCTCGCGGCTTGGTGGGTTTATGCTGAGCATGTCCAGGAAATTTTTCATAATCTCCATCACCTCCGCTATCAGTAGTTTTTTTGGTCGCACATATATCCTGGGCAGAATGACAGCCAGCAGCAGTAGCAGCAGCAATTCGGACGCCAAAGGCGTGCCCTGTTGACCATACCGCGATGCAGAACACCGCTCCAGCCACGGAGTGTCCTGTCGACCATACAACCATGAAAAAGGCGCCTGCCGAAGAGCCCCTGGTCTGCCCTGTCGACCACTCGGGGTCAGCCAAGGCCTTCTCATCGGCTCATCCAGCGATTGATCCGTACAACCAGATGCCGGCTGAGCCAGAGCAGGCGCGCGCGCATGGGCAAAAGGAGACACTCTCCACTGAGCGCATGCGGTCGTCAATTCCGCGTGCCGAGCGGTACGAGTCGGCTGGGCCGTCCGAGTGCCCAGCTCTGCACGATGCGGAGCCTGCCGCCGATGCAGCAAAGGAAAAGAAAGACGACATGTGGGATCTACCCGTCCGAGCAAATGTTCTTCAATGCAATGAAGCGCAAAAACTGGGATCCGACAGAGCACGATATGAAGTCGGTCGTGCCTATCCACAATGCGGTCAATGAAATGTGCTGGCACCACATCTTGCAGTGGGAGAAGATGCACCAGACACAGTGCGGATCACCAAGGCTCCTTGCGGTTTGAGGGCAAGTCGAAGGAGCTGACTCCGCGCGCACGCTTTTACTCGCTGCTGGGGTACACCAAGCCCTTTGACAGGCACGACTGGACCGTGGATCGGTGTGGCAAGTCGGTGCGGTACGTGATCGACTTCTACGAGGGAAAGAAAGGACCCGAAGAATCCACATGCTCCGTCGTTCTACCTAGATGTGCGGCCAGCACTGACACTGGAGGGTGCGTGGGACCGCACCCGCAAGTATTTCGGGTTCTAATACATTTCACTTGCAGTGATAAGCGCACATTACATCTAAATGTCTATTCTTTTGGTGGCAGTGGTATGTCTAGCAGGGTCTCTATGGCCGAGTCATTCATATTCCAGCGCCGTATCTGATGCAGAACGTGTCGCTTTGCCTGCGCAGTCTTGCTCGTAGTTCTGCCCTGAACGCACATATGCCAGTGCATCCGAATCAACTCCAAGTGCCCAGCGCGTAGCCACACCGGCACCAGGTGAGCCAGCGTCATTTCGTCTAGCATGATTCCTTCGTCGTGCATTCGTAGATAGAGGCGATGCATGGCTGTGGCAAACAAATCGACTCTGCCAGACTCTAAACCAGCAATGATCTGACATACGCGCCGGGATAGCTGTGCTAACAGAACGTTATATGTGACAACATCGAATCTGACACCAAATCGATGTGCAATCCGGATCGCTTGCGAGTCAAAGCTGAGATCAACTGGCATATCATCGCCGGCTGCCATCGGCTCCACCGTGATCGCATCCAGCGAGCATCGCAGAACAGTATTTAGCAGTCCGGTGAGATGGGCGGCCAAGTTCGACTGTCGACCAGTTTGTCGGGTCTGACAGGCGCATGCACACTCAAACAGCTCTGTGGCTGCTACAGCATCGCCGATACGCGCGTATCCGAAAATGAGTTTGGCCAATGCCTCGCCGTTGGCTGCCTTGCCGGCAGTGCAGCCATACTCTGTCCAGAACTGATGTGCTTTTGCAACATCGCCGCGATCCACTGCCTCTGATACAACCCGCGTCACAAGGCGCGGTGATATTTTGTTGCCGCTCTGCTTGATCATTGCCATTGTCATATGGACCCTGTCCCAATCTCCTGTTTGGCACCACACGCGAGCAACACTCGCCCACGTGACTGCATTTGGTGCAGGTGCAGAGAGTACGACAGGTGTCCGATCCGGCAGCGTAAACGACACAGTGCTGAGCGCAGCTGGTCAAAAATCTGGTTTGCGAAATCGCCGTCTTTGTGCCGCACATACGCGTCTATGATAACTGTGAACGTCTCGATCGTCGGCACAATCCCGAATTTGCGAAAGCTGCTGAGCCAAATGTCCAGCGCCCGTGGAATCGATGCCGATACAGGCGCAGCGCCAATCTCGATCTCGAGAAGCTTCGTCAAATGTGCCGCTGTGAGGGAGTCCCGGCGGTACCGGCCAAGCGCACCGACAATATGCCGTGCCAAGAACCTGATCGGATCAGCCGACTCTGATATGTCTGCTGTAAAGAAGGACCGAAAGCAGGTATCTGGCGTGTTTGAGCCGTTTCTCCCGAGGCTTGTTGTACCGTCGATTACCACGCACGAGCGCGATCTGTTGTTTTCGCAGCGCTATTAGCACGGTCCTGGCAATATCTGCATTGATAGTGGGAGCAGGGATATGGCGAGCCCATGTTGCTACATGCTCATAATCAGCAGCCTTGCACAGGACCTGCAGCAGAGCCGCCAGTGCGTCTTCTGAAATGGCGCCAATAAATCTGGAGTGCTTCTCCAACATGCCGATTGCGCACTGTGCCAAAATATCCTTGTGAATCGGCGTTGAGAGCAGGCCGTCCAATAGTCTGGTAATAATGCCCAGTGTAAGTGCATTCTGTGTATGTGTATTGCCCAGCTGAGCGTCGAAGTCAGACAACCGTTGGAACACCCGAACCGCCATCGCCGACCTCGACAGCCTGCTCCACCCTTCCATGACGTTTATGCCTGTGTGCACCACCAGTGTCCTGATAACCCTCAGTGACAATTCAAACGACTGCCGATCATCATCTGTTGCTTCCAAGCTCCGAACGAACGCCGATCTCCTGGAAACATATGCAATGCACTGGCCAAGAAGGCTATCCACTGTTTGTTGCGCAAGGTGCATATGCAAAGATCTTGCCTGCTGCTCCACCATATCCGCAACTAGCACAATACAGCAGATAGGCGGCTCAACCATCCCAGAGTTCACCAGCCTATGTACTGCCGCAATGGATCGAACATCAATTCGGCCAGCCCAAGACCGCTCACTCTGCCTCCCGGTCTCAGCGCCCAACAAAGTATCGCTCGGAATCCTCGCCATCGCAATGCCATTCAGCACCAGCTCCAGCATATACGCATCGTTGCTTGGCGACTTCAGACGCTGGATTCCGTAACCGCGCATTCCGCGTGCCGATCGATCGGCGCTGGTAGGTCACTGACGTTAGATCGTCTATGGGCCGTCGCAGGTACTGATAATGGCCATCGGAGCAGGCATGGGTTTGTTTTGAGCTGCTGCAGGGCGTCGTGTGCGCATGTGGCAAGCAGTGTGCCCAGCTGCCGCATGGAAACACCACCCTTCCCGGCTGCTGAAAGAAAAAGCTGTGTGTATGTGGTTTCTCTCGAGCTCGCACTCCGTCCTTCCGCCTGAATGTCTCACAGAGCGACAGAAATTTCGACTATGCGGATAGTGGAACCAACACCGCTGCTCGCGCGTGTGCCTTTGTCGTGGAAAATATGCAAAAAGAGTAGAAGGGCTGAATTGGAGGGCAAAGTGCATGGACAGTCGGTTATCGCTAAGCGTTTTTACGAGATGAAATCGCATCAGCCTGATACCGTGATCTGATGCAGGCTGATTTCTGGGTTGCTGGTGGATGAACAGCCCACAGCTCCACATATCCTGGCCAACATAGGCATTACAGGGCTCCTAGCATGAATGGCGTACAACCCGGATGAGCCACTCTCAAGGATACACAGGCAGTTTCATATTAGTGATCTCAAGAACTGTTTAGCGACGGCTGCCCTTGGGTCCCTTGGCCCGACGGCCGCCCTTGGGCTTGGGCTGACCCGACGAGCTTCCAGTGATGAACTTGAGCAGGTCGTCAATGGGCAGATGGCCCTTGGATCCGGCCGGCGCATTGGCAGCATCACTGCCCTTGCTGCCCTCCCGGTCCATCTGCAAGGCGCTGGCGGCAGTCGCAGCCTCAAGCAGCTGGCGGCGGGCAGCCTTGGTCAGCTTTGCGGACTTGACGGCGTTGAAGGTGAACTCAGCCAGCCAGTGGGAGGTCTCGACAGTGCGCGGGTCCTCGTCGCCAAAGGTCTCACTGAAGAACTTGTGGGCGTCGCGCTCGACAGTGACGGCCTGCTTGAAGTCGCCGGTCACAGCATACGCCTTGGCCAGCGAGTGCAGGGCATTGGCCACCAGCACATGCTTGTCGCCCAGCAGGCGGCGGCGGATCTCCAGGCACGACTTGAAGAACGGCAGGGCGTCGTCGTAAAGCTGCAGCGACTGCAGCATCACCGCGATGTTGTTGTGGGCGGTGGCCAGGTCCGGGTGGTCGGGGCTGTTCACCAGCGCCCACAGGTCAATGGCGCGGCGCATGAACCGCAGCGCAATCTCAGTGTGGCCGCACGCATGCTCGTACAGCGCCAGGTTCAGGTAGTTGTGGATGGTGAAGGGGTCGTCCAGGCCCACAGTGCGCTCGGAGATCACCACCGAGCGTGTCATGAACTCGGCCGCCAGATCGTTGGCTCCAGCGTCGTAGTGCGCCAGCGACACCACAGCATAGCAGCGCGCCGACTCGGCGTGCAGGAAGCCGTATGTCTGCTCGTGCAGCGCCAGCGACTCAAGCAGCAGCTCCAAGCCCAACTCCTTCTGGCCCTGCTCCAGTGACATGCGGCCGGCTTCGAAGGCCTCGTCGGCGAAGGTCGAGTTATGCGTCGATGTCTTGGTCAGCGCAGAGAAGTTCAGCACGTCCTCGGGCAGCACCGTCAGCGGGCGCGCCAGCTCGGCGTCGATCAGCTCGCGGATCCTGCGCTTGACCTGCTTGTTGGGCTTGTCGGTGATTCCCAACTGGGCCACAGCCACAGCATGCAGGTCGGCCTCGGCCGGACGCTCAAAGCGGAACTGGCGCATGCCCAGCTGCGCGCCGACCTTCAGGCACACCTCGCGCAACACAATGTGCTCGTAGCCAGTGACATATTGGGCCACAAAGTCCTCGGGCAGCGTGAAGCGGAAGCGCAGCGTGACCTGGGCGCGGATCTGCGCAGCCAGCGACGCAGGCGTCAGGCGGGTCAGCTCGGGCACGGCCTGGGCCTGCGTGCTCAGCTCCTTGGCTGGCTCGCTGTTGTAGCGCGCGCCCACCAGGGTGTTGACCAGCAGTGCGAAGGCCTCCGAGTGCAGATGCGTGGGTGTGGCACGGAACAGATCACGGGCAATGTGCTTGACTGCGCGGGTGATCATCTCGCGTACCACCAGGCGACGCACGTTCTGGATCGCGTCAACGTCAGCCGGCAGCTGCTGCGCGACCATACCCAAGTACCGCATGTTGATACCGCGCTGGTGCATCGTCTGCGTCAGCGTGCTGCCGCTCAGCGGCGAGCTGTTGTACGACTGCAGGTCGTGCACCAGCGCCTTGATGCTAACGTCACGCAGGAACACTGACGCCGCGCGCACAGCGTCAGACAGCGCCTTGTCGGCGTCGCTGGGCTGTGCAGTCTGGGCAGAGATCGGTGTGAAAGCGTCAGGGCTGAAGTCCAGGCTGAAGTCGAAGCCCTCCATCAGGTCCTTCTTGGGTTCCTGCTCCTCACCCTCCTTCTTGGGCTCCTCGGCCTCGCCCTCCTTGGGCTCCTCGGTCTCGCCCTTGGCCTTCTTCTCCTCCTCAATCTCCTTGGTCTTCTCGACCGCGTACTCCTGCACGGCCTTGCGGATGCTGTTCTCCCAGAACACTTCGACGAGCTCAGGGCGCAGAAGCACCAGCTTGTGCGGATATGCGGGCAGCTCTCCACCCTCCTGGCACTCGCGCTCCAGGAACTCGACATCGACAGGCGTCATGCGGAACAGATCCAACACATAGCGGCGGCCGTCAGTGCCCACCAGGCCCTTGACGTCGGCCGATGTGTACAGACGGGACTCGTTGCCCTCCTTGTCAACCACCGCGTGCTCGGCGAAATGTAGGGCCTTGGCCACTGGCTCCATGGCCTTGTGGAACTCAGCGTCGCTGCCGACTGTGACGCCGTTGTCGACGCTTCCATAGACAATCTGCGTCGTCTCCTGGCGGCGGAAGATGCCGGGCACAACCGACTGCGCAACCACGCGCACGCCGCGGTAGTCAACCACAACGCTGCCCAGCGTGTTCAAGCCCTCGACGTCGAGCTGGTTCAGCAGCCGCACACCAGTGATGTCCTTGCCAGTGGCCGCATGCGCAGCCGCATCGCCACCGAGATCGGTGAAGGTCTCGCGGCCGTCGAAGCCCTTGCTGAAGAAGATGTTGTCGCGCAGGAACATGTGCTGGTCGCTGGCGTCAGTTGGGTTGAGCGGCGGCATGTCGCCCTCCACCACAGCCATGGCGCCCAGCACAGCAGCATCACAGAACTCCGAGTTCCACTTGTGCAACTGGCGGTCGCGCAGCACGCGCTCCGACAGGTTGCTGCGCGGCATCTCCCGGATGCTCTGCAGCTCCTCGTTCCAGTCGCGCAGGGAGTCGGCCACCTGGCTGCCGAGGCGCAGCGCCAGGTCCTGCGGGCGGCCCAGATCGTATGACTGCGGCGCCCGGTTCGCGCTGCGGGCCAACCACGGCGACGCGGCCTGCTTCGCCGACACAAACGGCAGCACCTCGACCGGATCGCGCTGCGCCATCTCGCGCTGCAGCGCATCGAAGCCCTGCGAGAACTTGGACGACAGGCGCTTCAGCAGCGTCACCAGCGAGTGGGCTTTGTAGTGATCGGCGTCGCGCACGCCCTGCTGCCCTGCGTGCGACTCGCCGTACGGCTCAGCGTGGAAGTGCGTCAGGCTCGACGAGTTGACGTAGAACCCTTCGCGCGACGCCGTGATGTGCAGGTTCTGGCTCTCCAGCGTTACCACCAGCAGATACAGCAGGTCGCCCTGCAGCTGCCGGTGCCGCGGCACAGGGTTCCAGCCGCTGAGCGTCAGCTGCCGCACGCACTGCGGCACACCCAGGCTCTTGGCCGCCTGGTCGCCGGACAGAATGTCGAACTGCGGGATTGCACCAAACTCGAACCCCGAGAAGGCGTGCTCGGTGACCTTGGGCTTCGGGTGATCGTCCGAGTCCTCCTCGGTCTCCTCGGCCTCCTCATCGCTGGCCTTCTTGCCCTTCTTGCCCTGCTTCTTGCCGCTCGGCTTCTTTGCCGAGTCAGACTCCGACTCGCCGCTCTGAGACGAGACCGGCTCAGCTGGAATTCCGTTCGGGTACTTGATGGATGAAAACAGGGACAGGCCAGCGTCCAGCCCGGCGGCTGGCGGGTTGGCAGCAACAGGGCCAGCCAGCAGATCGCGCAGGCGGGAAACATGCAGGCGTGCCTCGCGCTCCGTGTACGGCGCCTCGACCAGGACCAGCTTGCTGTCCTTTTGCAATGACTCGATCTCGCCCAGTTCGGCAAAGTCGTTGAGCCGTTGGCCGTCCAGCGTCAGGTGGAAGCACGAGTACTCGATTGTATCCGGGTTCTCGCTGATCACCTGCTTGACATCCTGCACCGTCTCTTGCGCTGTGGCCTACACGTCTCACACCAGGATTAGGGTAGGTAATTGCGAGGCGCCAGGAATAAATCGACGTACATGTCAATGCCCCATTTTGTGATAGCAGGCGCTTGACGTGCCGATGCATAAATGAAACCACCTGACCAGATGCCAGCATTCGGGGTTTGCGGTGTGGGTGGTGATGCACTTACGTAGATATGAACGGTCGCGCCGTTGGGCGCGTCAATGACAAGCTGATACGACTGATCCTCTACAAGAAAAAAAAAGCCAGTTGGTGTTAGCTGTCTGCTAGCAGATACCGGCGCTCACAGCGCTGCTCTGTATAAAAAACAAAGGCTTACCCGGCGCGATCTCGGCAGCAGCACCCTCCTCGGTGGGCTGCTGCTCGTGCTGCTCGGGCTGGGCGTCGGTAACGTTTGTGGCCTGTGCTTCTGAGACAGCGGCCGCAATGGCGGCAGTGTTGGCGGCAGAGTCCTGGATCGACATGGCGTGAAGACAAGTTTATCTATAAAAATGTAAAGGAAATGTATAGGAAAAAGAGAAACAAATAGTTGTAGAATAGACAGAGTGGCAACGAGAACAGAGGTTGGTGTGGAGAGCAGGAGCTGTGGGAAACCGACGAGATAACGAAAAATTTCAAGCGAGGGGAAGGCCCATCTGCTCCGCAAGGAAAAGATTACGGAAATCACGTCCCGCGACTCGCTGCTATTTTTTTTTTTTTCGATCTGGCCAAGCGAGCCACGACGGGCTTTCATCACTTTATTTCTGCATCAGCAACACGCTGCCTGTGAGCCTGGCGAACTGGCTGTCGTGCGGCGCGCCGACCACCAGCGACTCCCTGCCGCTCCGCTGTGCGACCTCAATCACCGAGCCGAGCCGCGCCTGGCCATTGGCATTGCGCATGGCAAAGCACTGCGGACGGTCAAAGTCGGGCCGCCAGCGATACACCCTGCCCTCCTCGATCCCGCTGAACGGCTCGCCGATCCACACCTCCGACGGCGTCGACGCCAGCGCACGCCCAAAATGGCCTGGGCTCTGTGATCCCCGCAGCGTGCTCAGCAGACCGGCCAGCCGCCCGTCCTCGGCCGACGCGCCCACCTGCATCCAGCGCTGCGGATCGATCACACGCACACCGCCGGCCTGCCACCCGCGCTCCGGCGGCTGGCTGGCTGGCGGCTCGCGCACACGCATTGCCATGGCTGGGTTACGCTCCGACGGCGACCCAAACAACACAATCGACACAGTCTCGTTGTCGGTGGCCGCATCCCACACGTGAATGCTGCTGCCCAGCTGCGCCCGATCGGTCCACAGCGTGAACTCCAGCCCGTCGTATTCAGCCGCCTTGCCGACCTTAAACCCATACACCTTTGCCAGCCAGATCGTGCGGCCCGTCGTCCGGCGACTCCGACCGGATGCCCGGCGCCCCCACCAGCAGCAGCGTCGTGTTCTGCACGTGCACGGCGCTGGCTGACTGCCCGAACCACTCGAACGGCAAGCGCTCCGGTGACACTACCACAAAGTCCGGTGGCCCCAGGTGTCCTTCGCTGCTCTGCCGCTGCCTTGCCAGGTACCCGAACACCCGGCCTGAGTGCAGCTCAAACGGGAACTCCGAGTGGTACGGCGCCCCGATCACCAGGTCATTGAATCCGTCGTTGTTGATGTCCGCGCTAAATAGATGCGTGCCAATCCGCTGCCGCGACCACGGGCTGTCGGTGTACAGTGCCAGCTGGTCTGCTGTCAGCGTCAGATCTGGTGTGCCAGGAAGACCGGCGCCGCGGCGGCCCAAGTAGACGTCGATTCTGCCTAGCCGGTCGCCGGTCGCCGTCTCCCCGTATCCGCTGCTCCCGACAACCAAGTCGTCGATGCCGTCGGCGTTGAGATCGACGACAGTCAGTGCCGAGCCGAACAGCGAATATCGCAAGGGTTGTCTGGTTCTCTGCTACTTCCGGTGCTAGTATCAGCGGGTTGGTGTCGAGAATGTCCTGGTGCGAGTGTGCGTAGAATAGATCCGGGTCCCGCACCACAAATACAGCGCCGATGCCATGCGTGGTATCTTTTGGCTTATAGTACGGAGCACTGATTGCCACGTCGGTATTGCCGTTGCCACTGAAGTCGCCCATGGCTACTGCCTGTCCAAACCCAGAGTACGCCTGCATTGTATACAGCTGCTTGACCTTCGGGTATAACGTGGTCAGCTCGGCACATTCATCGCCACTGCCCGCATGCGCCGACACTTTGCGCCCAAACACATGCTGGCGGGAATGGCCTCTGTGTGACGGCCTGGAAACACGACGTGGGTCCACGCCCAAGTACAGCGTGCCATCATGCTCTGTCACATTCGCCACTGCTCGCATTTGCTCTTGATGCTCTGCCAGCTGCGCTTCAACGAACCGCTGCATCGGCGTGCCGCCCAGCGACCCATGGTAGTCCGAAAGCCTTTTGCCAGGCCGCCGGTGCCGATGGTGCCGGTCATGCTGGTCGCTGATGAGGCACTTTTTGGAAAAGTCGCCCCTGTCGAACCACTCCACCAGCGAGTACCAGCAATCGCTGGTCGCCGTCGCCATCGAGAACAGCCCGCCCACAAAGTAGTCCTCGATCCTCTCAGTCAGAATCGGCGCTCGCGCCGCATACGACGGAAACAGCCCAAGCCCAAACCGCTTCACAGCCTCCATCGTATAAAACTGCCTGGTCACGCACATGTTCAGCCGCCACCTTGCAACATCAATGTCCATCATCCTGTAGATCGCCAATACGTCGTCCACGGGCACTGTCCACTTGTCCAGCATAAACGCCAAGTCATTCATGTGCGCCAATGCAAAGTCCCCGCCTACATCCAGCGTATCGTGCGCCCGCGAAAACTCCCCATTGAACGTCGAGTTTGCCAGCACCTGCATCAGCCCCTCCGTCAGCCCGCTCAGGCTATGCCACAGCTCATCTGCCACCTGGTGCGATGCAATCCCAAACAGAAACGCCGCCAGCTGCTCCGCCTTGTCGCTCAATGGCTGTCGGTATGTCTGCAGGAAATACTCCAGCCCTGTCTCCAGGAACGGCGTCCAGTGCGCGGCCTCGGCCGGGTCGTCGTTCGATAGGCACCCGTAGCCCCAATCCGGAAACACCACCCCCGCTTGCAGCGCTTCCGGGTGCCGGTCGAGGATCCCGCGGTAGTAAGCTATGCGCTCGCTGCTGCCCGAGCCCTGCGGCTCATGGAACCATTGGCGTGCGCGCTCAGCTACTTCGTTGTGGACTGCGGGTCCACACCCTTGCGCGCCGCAGCCAAGAAGAAGCGCACCTACTGCTAGCTGCTGTATTGTGCGCCAGTTTGCCATTTGTTTGTGCGAATGAAAGGGTAATTTATGTACAAAGCGTCGATATGAATACTGTGTGTTACTTAGTAAAGCAGACATGGCCAAAGACGCGCAGCTGATCGGACAGGGTACATAAACGTCAGCAAGCTGGCGGTGGTGATGACGAGCATGATCGTACAAGCAGGTCACGTGTGCCATTCTCACCACCGCACTTCTCTGAGAATGCAAGTGACGTGTATCGGCGCTAGGCCCTCCACTCAAGTGTGAACATGCGCTGCCCCCAATACGCCGAAGTAGATCGGGTAGACCCTATATGCACATGTTGAATGCGCTGCCATGGCCAAGGTTTTATACGAAGATGATACAAATGCATGAGGCATGGAGCATGAAGCATGTATTTGCCTTAATTCAAGGAATGCTAGCTCGCCGCTGACACAGTTTACATAACCGACTGCTGCTGCACCTTGTGCCAGGTGTGCCAGTACTCGGCGTACTCCTCAATCGACATGCGCGCTTCATCGTCGATGGTAATATGTGCGATGGGCTTGGGCTGGCCATCGACGAATATTTTAACGCTCGGAGCATGGTCCGGGTCCTCCACCACTATGCTCTCCAATGTAGAATCCGAAGGCTCGAGCGCCGCAGGGTCCAGCAGCCCCAGCTTCTGCCGCTTGCTTGCTGGGAGAGCATAGATGCCATCCAGGTACGGATCCACATCGTCACTGGTATCAACCAGTGTCTCTTGTGACAAGACATCATGGCCGTTTGCATCTGCTGGCACATCCTGCCCACTGCTCTTCTCAGCCGGCTTCTCGCCATCCTCGTTGGCCTCAGACTCGGCATTGTTGCCCTTGGCCGGCACAACTGCACCATCTGTCTGCTCACCATCGATAAACGCAAACAGCCTCTTCTTCATCTTCCACGCAGCCGAGCTGGCAGCATCGCGCTTATGCCGATCAAAGTGGCTGTTCCTGTTGCGGAACCGCCGGTACGGGTGCTGCGTGTTGCCCGCTGCAGCTGCGGCAGCTGCCGCTTCCTGCTTCTCCTTCTCCTGCTTCTCCTGCTCAAGCCGCCTCTTCTCCTTCTCCTGGCGCTCGTGCTCCTCGGCCTCAGCCAGCTGGTCCAGCAAGTGCTGGTAGCCTTCACGAGGGTCGTGTGGCAACTGGATGCCAACGCAGCGTGCAACATCACCGTAGTACTTTGAGTAGTACCCTTCACGTTTGGACTCGTCCTTCTCTTCGCGCTCTTCCTTCCCCTCACGCTGCCCAGCCTCCACCACCTGCTTTGCTTCGGCCAACTCACGATCAACCAGCCGCACACGCTGCCGTGCGCGCTTGTCCCACTTGCGCCTAAGCAACTCGTGCCGCTCTGTGTATTTTTCATGGATCATCTTCGCCTCAGGCGGAATCCGCTCATCGACGACCATCTGCACACCGGATACCGTCGACCAGATATGCCAAGCAGGCAGCGCATTCTGTCGGCGCTTGCGCTCCAGCTCGGCTTCACGGATACGCGCTGTCTCCTTGGGCGTCAGGTCTGGCGCAAACCCAATCAGGATATCGCCTGTGTTGATACCAGTGTTGCGGGCAACGTTAAGCTCACGGCCACCGCCATTTGGACCCTTGCCGTCAGCGCCGTTCTCGCCATTACCGCTCATATCCGGCACAGGCACCTGATCAAAGGGCGTCGGTGCAGGCAAGATAATCGAGTCGGTCTTCTTCAGCAGATTGATGATCGGCTGGCACTGCTCCATAAACCGCGACAACTCGCGCTGCGACTCCAGCGAAAACTCCGAGTCCTTGTTGTCCTCCAGCGGGGAGCTGCAGTTCTCGCACAAAAACATGCCAGTCGCCATATCCACCAACGACAGCGCCTCCATGGTCGAGTAATGCGCGTTGCATGACGGGCATTCATACCCAAGCTTTTGCTGCTCAGCCTCCATCTTCTCCTTGACCAGCGTCTGCAGCTTCCACATGCGCCATTTGACCACATCGACAAACAGCTTGTAGTCCAGGTGGTAGTATGTGCGAGGCACTGGCTGCTGGCCAGGCTCACGGGGCTCTGCCCGCTTGTCTGACCGCAGCAGCTTGTCTTCACGCAGTTTTCCACACACCTTGTGAACCTCGCGCGAATGGACGTGCATGTACTTGCCAAGCACATCGTCGCGCGCACGCTCGTGCCGGTTCAGAAAGTCAAGCGCCAGAACGTACCGGTCATCGTAGAACGTGCGTGCAACCACTGTCACCAAGTTGCGCACAATTTCGAGGCTCTCCTGATGCGACATTTCAATTTGCTCCTATCTAGCGCGACCAGGAAGGGGTGATAATAATTATACAGGTGTGGAGCTAGTGCGTCGCACGTCTACACCACCGATTGGGGGAATGGTTCTAGGAGCAATACAAATAAACAAGAAATCCTGACCGGAGCAGAGAAGGAATCCGAATTCGCGCTCTTGTTTATGCCAAGCGCTTTACTTTGTCTTGGATTCATCAGTAGTCACGTGGATTCCGCTAGGGGAGCTTGGTGATCAGCCAGACGCCCAACCAGTACTGGGCTACCAATGGAGAATATTTTTTATCAGCGGCATTTCCCCGCCCGCATTCTCTAGCTATCAACTCTGCCTCCTTCCTTAGCATTCGCTTCTTAATTCAAATGTTCTGCAGACGCTGGAGGCCGATAAGCACCGCAATATGCCATCAGGCGCGCGCCTTCACGATCGCAATCGACGGGCCGGCGGCGTCTGGCAAAAGCAGCACAGCCCGTGCCGTGGCCCTCGAGCTCGGCCTAGGCTACATTGACTCTGGATCGATCTACCGGTGTGCAACACTCCTTGCGCTGCGCAACAAGATCAGCGACATCGATGCTCGGCATGCAGACCTCATAGGCCTAATTAGCCACAGCAAATTCGACATCAGGATCCTCCGCAACGTGCGCGATCCGACAACGCTGGGCACCGGCTCGGTAGTGGTGCCGGAGCTGCAGGTCTGGCTCAACAACGAGGATGTGTCGAAGGAGATCCGATGCGCCGACGTCAACCGATTCGTCGCCGAGATTGCCCGCGATGCCGGCGTGCGCGCCGAAGTATTAAAGATCCAGCGCAGCGTTGCTGCCAATGCTGAGAAGAAATCGGCTGCTGCCGCAGATGGTACCACACCCAATGGCGTCGTCATGGATGGCCGCGATATCGGGTCAGCTGTCTTCCCTAATGCGGAGCTCAAGGTCTACCTAGATGCCTCAGCTATGGCACGTGCCATCCGCCGCTGGGACCAAATGAACAGCGCACGCAACGCACAGGGCAAACGGTCCGAGGAGGATGGAGCACAGACAGAAAAGCCAGCGTATCCAACAGTTGAGGAAATCGCCCGCGAAATCGAGGAGCGCGATTATGCTGATATCAACCGTGCTCACTCGCCATTGCGCATTGCTCCTGATGCTGTCGTCATAGACAATACAAACCTGACCTTTGAGCAGCAGGTCCACACCATATCGGACCTGGCTCGCGAGCGCATGGGCATTCCACGCAAACACGAAGACTCCATCTGAAGCTGAATAGCGCGCCTAAGATATCCTTGTGCTGTGCATTGTATTGTGATATCCAACATGTGTCATTGGGCTATTCCAAAACCGTGCTTTTCATCTGTGTACGCAATGGAATGTGTCTGCAAAGAGCCACACATACGAGCATTGATCCTCCGAACGGGACCATCGTATAGAATACCGTCCGAAGGGAGTCTGTGTAAGCGCTGGTCATGGCTTTCTGAAGCTCGCCCGGAAGCCTGCTATCGTAAATTATCGCCTGGTTATCAATCGCCGCCGCAATACTCGAGGCGAACTCGGGAAATGTGGCCATGAGCCTATCCATCTTGGGCGTAAGCGAAATCTGCAGAACTGTTTGGAATATCACCAATCCGATAGTACCGCCGAGTGTGCGCAGCGAGATGTATATTGCCGTGACTGTGGCCATGTCGCGGGGCTGTGCCGCCGCCTGAATGCCAATTAACGAGGTTTGCATGCACATGCCGACGCCGATTCCACTGATGGCTATGATGCATAGTCCTTTGCCTGTCGATGTGTGCTCATCCAGCAAGGCAAGCAGGCCAAGGCCTAGGGTGCTTATTGTCCCGCCAACCCACATCTGCTCGCGATATCGTCCGGTCCATGAGGTGATGTAGCTGCACAAGATGGCGAATATGTTTGTGCCCAGCATAAACGGCATCAAGTGCACACCGGCAATAATGGCGCTGGCATTATCGACGACGTTAAAGTATATAGGGATATAGAATGTCGGTCCAAGCAAGGCGCCACCAGTGAATAAACTCATTAGAAGAATGAGGCCAACGTTGCGGCTTTTGAACAGGCGCATGGGCATGATGGGTTCCTTGGAGACGTGCCGCTCAACAAGGACAAACCCACCAATGACCAGGGCGCCAAAGACGAGTAGACATACAACAGTAGTCGACGACCATGCGTATTCTCTGCCACCGAAGTTCAACCCCAGCAAGGCCAACATGATGCCTGTAACCAGAACAGCGGTGCCGATAAAATCAATGTGAGCAAGTTTCTGTGAAAGCGAACCGCGCGGTCTGGGTAGTCGAACAAACACCAGAATAGCTACTCCCGCCGCTACACCGACTGGAACAGAAAAGTAAAAGACCCATCGCCAGCCAGCGCTGGACTCTGTGAATGCGCCTCCCAGCAAAGGTCCAAGAACAGACGAGAGCGCCCACACAGAGCTGAACACGCTTGCGTACTTGCTGCGGTCCCGTTCAATAGTGATATCCGAAATGATGACCATCGTAATCGATACAAGCGAGCCGGCGCCGAGCCCTTGGACCGAACGACCAGCAATAAGCATCGTGATGCTGGTTGCTGCTCCTGATATAGCCGACCCCAGCAAGAACACCGACAGGCCCAACATGAGCGTCTCTATGCGTCCGAAGATGTCCGAGAGTCTTCCGTATAGCGGCTGTAGAGCAGTGGACGCCAAAAGGAAGCTGGCCGCGATCCAGTTGACCGATGAAAATGAGTCAAAGTGCTCGGCGATTGAAGGCATCGATGTAGCAACAATCGTCTGATCCAGTGATGCAATGAACACCGCAAGGGCCAGAGAAAGCAGCGTACAGATCCTCCTTACGAGCGAGGCATCTGAGAGCAAAGGAAATCTGCGACTGGTAGTCACCTCTAGAACGTCTTTGCCATCATCGCTATTTGTTGCCAACTCGTCATCATTGAAACTGGCGCTGCGCGTAGTGTCTGATTCCATGCTATTGGCCATTTGGCACTGGTATTTTGTTTGGTTCCCGAGATCTGGTCCAGAGAGACAGTTAGCCCCGGCAAAAATGGTGTAGGAAGGGTATGAAGCGATGTTGTAGAACAAAACAACCAAGGCGATTCAGGCACAGAGCATGCGAGAGTAATATATTAGTAGTCAATATTGCTCTTGAGCGAAAAAAAAACCCCCCATGCTTGCGTTCTTTTCTGGCCAGATAAGGCAGAGTACATCCCTGCCCTCCTCAAATGTTGTTATCATAGAAGCCATATCCAAACAAAACAACCCGCTATAGCCATTCTGTAGTATACCGGCATTCAGAGGATTTTGAAGGCGCTTGTGGCTGGCAATAGATGCAAAATGCCGTTTGGATATTTCACACAGCATCTTTTGTTCATTGCAAACAACAGGAGAAAAAGCAATTGTGGTAGGAAAGCACTGTCCAGCCCTATGCTAAACTAAATACTGCATCTGTTTTGTCCCTGAACCCCGAGCCCAGCAGTACGACACCCTGATGATACCGGCATGTTGGATGCTGCTGTTCAGGATGTAAACGCTGGTTGTATAGGCTAGGTAAAAAACCATATTCTATTTGAATCCCCAGTGCTTGTGCCCTTGAGCACCCGAGCTCGCCAGGTGCGCCAATTTGCACTAGTCCCTTTGATTCCGCTCAATCATATCCGCAATGCACCCTGTCCTTTTCATACCACACATCATTGAGGACATATTTGACTTCGCCACTCAACAGACGGATGGAAATGAGTCGGAGAGCAGTGCGCCATCGGCAGAGTTAGCAAAATACCGGCTAGCCTGGGTCTGCCGAGTGTGGCGAGCGGTCCTGGCGCCTCGCGTCTTCATCGACCTCTACTTCTATATGCAGCGGAGTCCGTATTTCAAGGTCGTAGAGGACGACATTGAGTACACCAAATCCAGCATGAGATCGATGGTCGAGGTTGTTGACGGGCGCTTCCTCTACCAGACAAACATGGACCTTATCCCAGCGCATGTCCAGCCACGCACGGTGACAGTTCATCTGGAGAGCGGGGACTTGTTGAGCAGCAGCGCAGTTGGCTATCTGACACACACGGTGTTTGTGCAGAACTCATGGCCGGCAGTTAAAGAGCTGTATATCGTTGTTGACGAGCCTGACCTCTCGCTGTTCAGAGACCAGGTTGATTACCGGCCGATGGAGCGCATTGTTCAGGCTGTGCTTTCGCAGGCACCCAATGTCAGCGCATATATGATGGAGTCGAATGAGCTGAGCGGGCCGCTGATGAATCTCCAGGCTGCATTTGGAGTGCATGCCATCAACGTCACAAGGCTTGATCTGCATACCAACGGATGCGATTACTCCAGGCTGGAGCTTCCTGCTTTGGCGGATTTGACGGTTCACTGTGAGACAGATGTAGAGATAGATATGCTGCCACCATTCAGCGCACACAAGATACAGCGACTGCAGGTGTTTAACATTACACCAAGGGTACTGTACCATATGTTTGCGAAGGCAAAGGTCGAGGGCACAGTGCGTTATCCTCAGCTTGAGGAACTAGCCATTGAACTGGATTCACTCATGGGCGACTTGGGCCCTCCAGATCTCCATCATCCGGTGATTCGGTACGAATTTCCAAAGCTGTGTAGCCTCCACCTGAAGACGAGTGGGCAGAGCACGCCAAATGTATACGACGTGTTTGCTAATGCACCGCTGAAATATTTGGCCCTAAGCGATGTACACTTCTTCGATCGGATCGACGTAGCAAACCTCCCTAGTCTGGTATCGGTGTCGCTGAAACGCCAGGCTGGTGAAGACTACCTCCTGCCCCAAGCCATTGTGAATAATCTTGTAGTGGAGCCAGTCTCGAGCCTACGGCATCTCACGGTTGGATATATGGACAATTCAGCGTTCAAGTCGTGCAGGTTCGGCTGCTTGTCGCTACGGTCGCTTTACATCGGTGGATCGGTTTCAGCTGGGGTGCTGGAGAGTATTCTTGGACAGCTACCTGCGCTTGTGGACGTAGGCATCGGGTACTGGCAGACTGCCCAGTGTAAAACCACAAAGCTGAAGACGATTCGGAGCAGAGTAGACGTGGGCAATCAGTCCATGGCACTCAATACCTCGCTGGCAAGGCTGGAAATCTGCGCCGAGCATCGGTCGGGGCGGGTGGGCCACCGACACAGAGGAGTCGGCTGGATTGTTCCGGTTCTTGCACGGGTCCCGTCGCTTGAGAAGCTGAGCATGTATGGCTGGAGCCCTGAGGATGAGGAAGTTGCTACTATTCTGCAAGCAGTGACAGACAAGAGAGTTTGCAGGCATGCCAAGCACTTTGTAGACTTGCTTGTTTGCGTCAAGCCCAGCATGGAGAACCATCTGTTTGAGTACGCTGAGTAAAAATTACACCGCTAAGACACCACCCCACAACCATCCTGCACCCCAACGGCGTCCTAGTACCGGTAATCCGGGTCGAAGAGTGTGCAATATCGCGCAAAACTCACATATCCTTCCTTGCCCAATGTCGAGCACTACCGATTACTACAGCATCCTGGGGGTGCCAGCCGCAGCCACCCACGAAGAGATCAAGCGAGCCTACTACCGGCTTAGCCGGCAAGTGCATCCGGACAAGCAGACGGGGCAGAGTACAGGCGACTCGGTAGGAGTTCCACCAGCTCAGCATGGCGTGGGAGACATTGGGCGATGCAGTGCGGCGAAAGCAGTACGACCAGATGCGCACGCAGTCGCAGAACCGCGCACGCGGCGTGGTGCAGGATGAGGTGGATCTGGACGACATGGACTTTGACGAGGACACGCTGGTGTACTCGTATCCGTGCCGGTGCAGCGGGCAGTACTCGATTGGCGAGGCAGACCTGGAGGCGGGTCGCGACATGGCGCCGTGCTCGGACTGCTCGCTCAAGGTGCGTGTGCTGTACGAAGTGGCGGAGGATGACGAGTAATGGCCAGTAGGATCAGCAGGCGGTTTATTCGTGGGAAACGGCACACCATCTATTGTTTTTCGCAGTGGGAATCCACACACGTCACCAGTACAGCACAACCCCCAGGGCGTCCTTCCTCTTGTTAGCCATCCACTTTACTTGCACTTCTCGCTATTACTCATAATGGACCCGCTCAACTCGACCCTGTCGCCTGCATGCACCAAGCTGCTGCACGAGAAAACGCGGCGGCGGCTGACGTTCTCGGAGATCTCCAGGCACCTGGGCCACGACGAGGTGTGGACGGCAGCGCTGTTTTACGGGCGCGCAACGCCGACGCTCAAGGACATCCACTTGCTGGCGGACCTTCTGAATCTGTCGCCAGAGACACTCGAGGAGGACTTCAAGACGGCCGGGCCGCCGCAGCGCGAGGTTGCGGTAGCAGCAGGCACGACAACCGACCCGGTGCTGTATCCGTTCCAGGAGGCAATCTCGCTGTACGGCCCGGCGGTGCGATCGGTGATTGTCGAGAAGCTCGGCGACGGCGCCGTCAGCGCACCGCACATGAAGGTGCGCGTGGAGCGCGTGGCGCGCGGCAAGACGGCCGATGTGCGGCTGGTGCTGGAGTCGAAGTACGTGGCGTACCAGAGCTGGTAGGGATTTAATTAAAGAATTTACGGAATAAAGTCATCGTGCAGCAGGCTGCCGCCCAGCGTGATCTTGTCGCCGGGCTTGAAGGCCGGCATGCCCATGTACGGGCACGACGTGCAGCGGAAGGCGTCGCCGAGGCTGCAGTTGCCGCATGCGGACTTGACGTTGACGACATCGACGGGCTTCTTGGGCTTGGGCTTGGGCTTGGAGGGCTTGCACTTTGTCGGATCGGGCTCCTCGCCATCGGCCAGCCCGCACGTGCAGTTCTTGCACGCCTTGCGCTTCGCCGGCAGCCCATCGGGCCGCGCCAGGCTCTTTGCGTCGGGCCGCGCCAGGTCCTCTGCCTCGAGCAGATCGTCCTGGTCCTCGATCTCGTCCTCGTCATCCGAGGCCACATTGATCATCCACACCTTCTTCGCCGCGCGCTTCTTGCCAAACGACAGCGCCGCTGCCGACCCCACATTGTACGCTGGCTTCTTCGCCGTAACGCTTGCCACGCTCACACGGCCCGCGGCCGTCTGCAGGAACTCCTGGGCGCCGGCCATCCGCCACACATTCTGCACCAGCTGCTCCAGCTCGGTATTGCCGACCGCAGCAGCCTCCAGGTGTGGTTCAACAAACCCAGCAAATTTGGTCTGTGCCACCAGCTCTTCCTGCGTCCGTGTAACCGGCGATTCCGGAAGATCTGTGGCCGAGTCCAGCGCCAGCTCGTTCACTGTCAGGACTGCGCCGGGCTTCAACGCGTTCAGAAGCGCTGCCAGGACCGCCCGGCTGTACTCGACGGTGTAGGGTGCCACAGGGCTGGCAATGATGTGGTCGTAGCGTGCGCTGCCGAGCACTGCCGAGCCGTCGGCAATGCGGTCGGCCTGCTCAAAATCAACTGTGCCTGTGGTGCCGACCTGCTGCGCAAGCGTGTCGCGCAGCTGCTGCAGCGAATCGAGGTTGTGGGCATCGGCGCTGGCACGTGCAACGAGCAGCACTGCGTGCCCCGGCTGGGCTGTGTAGGAAGACATGATTTCTTATAGTGATAGAGTGTATGAAAAGAAACGGGTTGGCGAGAGTTTGAGAAGGAGAAAAGGCAGGGTGGATGGGCCAGTTGATGAGGCATTAAAAAAATTTTGGGCTCGAGATTGATTACAAATTCAAGATGAACTAAAAAATTCACTCGACTCTCTCTGCCAGCATGATGCTGCTGACCAGAGGCACCGCAAAATAGGCCATTAGCAGGCGAAATCAGCGCTCTCTTGCGCAATGCACGGGCAATACAGTGGACGATGGGCTGGGCGCCGCTGCACCATGGGTATATTCATCTGATGATGCATGTCAGATAAGGAAAAAATATCAGGCTGGGAGGCAAGCGTGGACAGTCCTGGAGCCTGTCCCAGAAATGTGGCAACCGTCCCTCCCCTCTGCCCAAAAAAGAACTGCGATGATGCAGCACACCATGTGACCGTCTTGTATGCGCCAGGGCAGCATTTCAGTAGTGTTCATTGCAACGGCGAGAATCGGCTATCTCTCCCCCGCACACAGCACCGAGGGTGCTTGGATGCAACTGGGACAAAAACACATCTTTGGCAATTGCCACGTTCAAGTGAGCCGTGCCTTGTCGCCCAAGGACATTGTCAGCGAAGCAGCTGGCAGGCGGGATCGGCCGCAGGGAATGTATTCGGTAGATGCTCCCGTGTGCGCGCCAAACAGAGCAGGGCCGGCCCACACAGGAGCAGGCAAAGTCACACCCGTCTGCTGAATTGGGAAATTTCCTGCCCGCCCACATTGACGTGTGCTTTCTCACTTCTAGCGATTGCCGTAGCTTCAGTTTACTGGCTCGGGAGAATACATTGGCAGGGGCCATTTATACAGCTCCATATTCCCTCCCCCTTTCTAGCGCCTGCCTCCCTTAATCTTCTCCCCACCCCTTTGTTTCATCCTTTATGCACACGAGCAACCACCAAGCGATATAACTTCCAATGTCAGAAAACCAGCAGCCCACCAACCTTTCGATTGGTTCGGGCGATATTGCGCTGCGTCTGACGCGCAGCACCCTGCTGCCGTCGTCGCCCAACTGCCCCTCGCTTTCGTCGAGACCCCCTGGTGATCTCCCCAAGGTGGCGCTGGATGTCGAGGCCCTGCTTGCCTCTGCATCGCCCCCGCTGCTGCCTGACGCAGAGCAGCAGATTGAGGGGCTGCTGAGTGCGGTGTTGGCAACGCCATCCACGCCGCTGCTGCCACCGAGCGACCTCGAGTTTCTACTTCCCGCCACAGCCGCCCCCTCGGCGGCCCCCAAGAGCCCGAGCCCTGCATCCACAGTGGTCGAGGACAGCCTGGGCCCCTGCACGGTGTTTTCAATGCCCGAGAGCGAGGTGGCCGGCTGGCTGAACCGCGAGCAGGTGACCGGAAACTTCCGGTTCGTGCAGTGCGGCGGCAAGAAGAAGCGCGTCCACGGGTGGTACTGGAAGTACGTGTGCCACTGCTACGGCCGCCCCGAGGTCAAGGTCCGCGCGAAGAAGGGGAAGCGCGTGCGCGCCGGCCGCATTGCTAAGGCTGCGCGCGCGTCGAAGAAGGTCGGGTGCCCGTGCGCTGCCTACATCACGTGCGCCTACGACGGCACCGCGACCGTCCGATACTACCCTAATGCACCGCGGCCACGAGCGCACCTGAGCACAGCGCGCAGAAGCACCGCCGCCGCGAGTCGCAGCAGTTCTCTCCCGAGGCCTCGCCGACTCTGACCGTGACTGGCGATGAGCCGACGGCCAACATTCCGCTGCTGCTGGAGCTGCCAGGCAGCGATGTGCCATCCAAGGAGAGCGCTTTGCTGCCGGGCGTACAGGTGGCGACGCAGCCGTCGGCGGGCGTCGAGCAGTGGATGGCGCTGTGGAAGACGCTGGGCCATCTGCCGTTTGTCGAGTCCGCGCCATTCTCGTTTGGCTTTGTGCGTGCGCAGGCAGCATCGTGCCTTCCATCGCCAACAGACCACTGTCCCGTCGCTTGTCTTGTCGCTGGAACGCGCTATGGGCACCAACATCAACGGATACCCGCTGTATACGCTGTCCGTGGTCAGCACCGAGACCAGCAGCAGCGAGCCGCTGGCATACCTGGTGACTGCCGACATGAGCCATGGCGCATTGCAGCGCTGGCTCGAGCAGCCTGCGTCTGGCGCTGGGCTTGCGCCCGCAGACGTGTCTGCTGGATCCCGACGACATCGCCGGCCACACGGCCATCAACCTGGTGTTTGGCAGCGAGTGTCTGGTGCTGTGGGCCATGGACCGTCTGAAGGCCTGGTGGCTGGCTGACGCCCTGCCAGTGCACACCCATGCGCGTGCCCTCAACTACAGCAACGGCCGCCTTGTCGAGGAGGTCATTTGGGCATTGCTGACCCTGGCTATCGAAGGAGACCCCCACCGGCGCCCGCCAAAACCGCCTATGCGCTTTAACGCACTTTCGAATCTATGCACCAAGACTGTGCGCAGGGTCTGCGCGAGTGCTGCAGGCGTTAGGCTGAGCGCTCGAAGCTGGGTCTGGGCTCTATATTGAGGAGTGCGTGGACGTCGCTTTATATATGAAGTTGCGCAAAGGCACACTCACGCTCTGCACTCGTTTATCCTAGCGCATGATGGGCAACACCCCATTGCTGCTTGGGTCTGTATAGTCAACCCCCACCCTCTTATCTTATGTACCGTAGTCCCATACCAATCTGTCTACCTTTCCAATATACTCCTTTTCAAAGACCATGCCTAGCGTGTCCAGTGTCCCTGATGATGCATTTCTATGTGCCAAACCGGTCCCAACCCACTGCTGCCACTCGGTCCGGGCAAATTGCTTGCTTTCCAGATTGGCTTGCTCGCCCCCCGATCCGCTCAAACCAACTGCAGCCACGTCAACCTCAATGCGATTAACCGCACCGCGCTTTTCTCCTCCGCGGTTTCATAATTCTCTCGAGCCGATTCTTCACATTCTATTTTTTTTCTTCTCATCTATATTTTTTTCTTTTGCTGGTATGAAGTTTCGTTCCACAGCACTGTTCTACCTGGCAGCCGCTGCGTCGCTGTGCATGCATGCACTGGCCGTGAAGCACGAGGACTTCAAGACCTGCGAGCAAGCAGCGTTCTGCCGCCGGCACCGCACATTCGCTGAGCTGGCGCTCAAGCAACCCTCGTCGTCGTCGTCGTACTCTGTGCTGGAGAGCACTGTGAAGCTGGACGCCCACCGCCTGGTAGCACAGGTGCAGAGCCGCGAGGCCAAGGTGCCGCTGCAGCTGGAGGTGACCTTTTTGGAGAGCGGCACTGTGCGCGTGCGCGTGCAGGAGGCCGACCCGCTCCGCCCCCGCTTCGACGACACCCAAAAGTACGTGCTGCGGGCACAGGGCCGGGAATCTGCCGTATGCGAAGCCAGAGAGCCTGAAGATGACGTCGGCGACAGTGGACGGGCGCGTGCAGCACACGGTGAAGTACGCAGACGGCGGCTTCAGCGTGCGCCTGACCGAGCAGCCGTGGGCGCTGGAGTACCTGCAGGAGGGCCAGCCGGCGATCCAGCTGAACACAAAGGGATTCTTCAACTTTGAGCACCAGCGCGAGAAGACAGACGTGGACGACGTGGACGGCGGGTGGGAGGAGACATTCAACACTTGGACTGATTCGAAGCCGCGCGGGCCCGAGTCGTTTGGATTGGACATCAGCTTCCGCGGCTTCGAGCACGTCTACGGCATCCCCGAGCACGCGTCGCCGACCTCGCTGAAGACTACCCGCGGCGGCAGCGACGCATACACGCAGCCCTACCGCCTGTGGAACCTGGACGTATTTGAGTACGAGCACGACTCGCCGATGGCGCTGTACGGCGCCATCCCGTTCATGGTGGCCCATCGCGCCGAGGCGACTGTGGGTGTGTTCTGGCTCAACGCTGCCGAGACATGGATCGACGTCACACGCGAGAAGGCTGGCGCGCTGGGTGGCCTCTTTGGCGGCGCCAAGGACCCCGAGGTCGCCACGCACTGGGTCAGCGAGTCGGGCGTCATGGACGTGTTCCTGCTGCCCGGCCCATCGGTTGCCGACATGTACCGCCAGTACGCCGAGCTGGTCGAGCCAACGCCGCTGCCGCGCGAGTTTGCCCTTGGCTACCACCAGTGCCGGTGGAACTACCTGGACCAGAACGACGTGCTGACGGTCAACAAGAAGCTTGAGGAGAGCAAGATCCCCTACGACGTCCTCTGGCTGGACATTGAGCACACCGACGGCAAGCGCTATTTCACCTGGGACTCGGCCAAGTTCCCCGATCCTGTGGCCATGCAGCAGCAGCTGGCGGCGGGCGGGCACCGCCTGGTGAACGTGGTTGATCCGCACATCAAGCACGACCCCGAGTACCGCGTGTGGAAGGAAGCCAATGACAGCGGGTTCTTTGTCAAGAACAAGGCCGGCTCCGACAACTACCAGGGCTGGTGCTGGCCGGGCGACTCGAACTGGGTCGACTACCTCAACCCGAACGCGTCGCAGTGGATCAGCGAGCAGTTCCACCTGGACAAGTACGCCGGGTCCACCAAGGACTTGTTTGTGTGGAACGACATGAACGAGCCGTCGGTGTTCAACGGGCCCGAGATCTCGATGGAGAAGGACATCACACACTACGGCGGGTGGGAGCACCGCGATGTGCACAACATCTTTGGCATGCTGTACCACAAGGCCACGGCCGACGGGCTGCGCACGCGCGAGTCGCCTAACATGCGGCCGTTTGTGCTGTCACGCGCGTACTTTGCCGGCTCGCAGCGCTACGGCGCCATCTGGACCGGCGACAACGCCGCCAACTGGGAGCACCTGCGCGCGTCGGTACCGATGATCCTGAGCAACAACATTGCCGGCATGCACTTCTCCGGCGCCGACGTCGGCGGGTTCTTTGGCAACCCTGACGCCGAGCTGCTGACGCGCTGGTACCAGCTCGGCATCTGGTACCCGTTCTTCCGTGCCCACGCACACATCGACACGAAGCGTCGCGAGCCGTACCTGCTGGGCGAGCCGTACACATCGATCATCCGCGACGCCGTGCGCGAGCGCTACCGCCTGCTGCCGTACTGGTACTCCCTGTTCCGCGAGGCGAGCCAGACGGGCATGCCGCTGGTGCGTCCGATGTGGATGGAGTTCCCAGGCGAGGCCGCGCTGTTTGCCGACGATAGCGCGTTCATGGTCGGCCCAGCGCTGATGGTGGTGCCGGTCACGAGTCCGGACATGGCTACCGTTGATGTGCGCTTCCCGACACAGCAGACCTGGTATAGCTGGGAGACACATGCGATCTTCTCGGGCCCACTGAAGCGCCAGTTCCTGCCGACACTGGAGACCACGCTGGTGTTTGTCAAGGGCGGCTCGATTGTGCCGACACGCGACCGCCACCGCGCGTCATCGGCGCTGATGAAGCGCGACCCGTTCACCCTGTACGTGTTCCCGAACCGCCTGGGCATGGCCACTGGCCGCCTGTATGTTGATGACGGCGACTCGTTTGACTACGCCCACGGCGCCTTTGTTGAGCGCGAGCTGTCCTTCGCCAACGCAACGCTGACGTCGCGCAGCCTGCAGGAGCCCACGGACGAGACGCCGGAGCGGAGTGCCTTCCTGGAGCAAATCAAGAAGGTGCGCGTCGAGCGCGTCGTCATCATGGGCCTGCGCAACCCCATTGCCTGGGCCACTGTGCGCGAGGGCGACGATGTCCGCAAGATTGCCGTGGACTACCAGGGCGCGAAGAAGGACTCGGAGCTCGTTATCCGCGACCCGGCTGTGCTTATCACCAACGACTGGTCCATCGAACTGAGCCAATAGTTCACAACAAAAGATACATTCTGCGAGAAATACAAGATACAGCAATTTATTCCAAATCATGACAAGCATCCAGCTAGCTATACAATGTCCGCTTAGTCGTCATCGCCATCGTCGGCTCGCGGCCAAAAGTTCTTTGCCGCATTTGTTTCCTCGCTTCTGAGGACAAAATCATTGGAAGAAGGGTAAAGCATGGTAGTTCGCAGTGTGGAGAGGAATGGAGAGAGACAGGCGGAGATGTAGGGGCGTCTCTTTTTATATGCGCGTAAGCAGCGTGCAGATGTCGGACAGGTCATGCCTGGATTTGCTCGTATGTTGCTCCGCCCCATCACAAAAAGGAAGCAAAAAAATAGTCTTTTCACCTGTGCCTTTCCACTTTTGCATTCCACACAGCCCCCTTGTGGAGGAGTTTGAACCTACGTGCCTTCTGCAAAAGGCTCGAGTCTTTGTTCAGCAGGCTTCTCTAAGCGGCCTTTAAATAAAGCAGCAGCTCCGACCTGCTATGCCATGCGTTGAAGGCCACCCGCCAATCTCTGTGATTCTGTTTGGATCGCTGTCGCCGACCATGAGCTTGGTTTTGCTAATAGCCGGATACAGCACCGTGCAGAGTGCTAATAAACTAAAGAGCGGGATGAGGAAAATGAGGGCCCCAGGTGCTTTATAGCGGCTTCTGGCAGGGTGTATGTGAGATCTGCTGTTTTGCAAAAAAGAGATTCACCAGTGCCTAGCTGTCTCTGTAATTTTTCGGACGGAGGGTTGTTGTTTCTTTATTGCTGCAATAAACCAGGTGACAATGTATCTGCATATGAGCGGCATGGCCAAAAATACACATGAGAAGGCACAGCTTGGGGCGCGTGCATATACATGGCTCATCACCCATGGCGGTGATATCTTAGCAGATGAAGATATTGGGATGTAATCTAGGGTGCGAGGTGCAAATATGATGTCAGCATTTGCTAGTGATTGGCAAACAGAGCAAGACGAATGCCGCTCAGTACCACTTTCTGGTACTCTGAAAGCCATCGTCGATCATGGTGCCACATTCATTTTTCAGTTTGACAGCCTTTCAGCAAAATGGACATTTTGTATTTCGTGTGGGGTTTTCACTACAATATTCGCATGAGCCGCCACTCTGCTGTGTTCGTGGGTTCTTCCGACTAAAGGAGATGGTTGCCAAAAAAAAGAGTGCATTTTAAAATGTGGTCGTTCTCTTTGGCGGTGTTGGCTTTCAGCAGAAAACCGCGGGCTCGAAAATCATGGTCCTTCTTAAATTTCTCGTCGCCGTTATGTAAAGGCGGGCGACATGTCTTTTAATATCCTCTTTTCTACACATTCCTATTCCATTTCTCCTCTCCTGTGCACGGCAACTCGTCTACTGAGACCAACAGGCCTGTGAACAATGCCCTAGGTGCGGTCACACCGCCAGCCAACAAGGCAGCAAACGATGTTCTGCGCGTAGTTGCCCCGGCCGTCAATGGTACTGCAAATAAGATTCTGGGTATTGTCTCCCCGGTCGCCAACAGGGCTGCAAATGGTGTCCACTACTGATATTACGGATAAAGAACACATTTTTCAAAGATGCACGTTTCCTGACTTGGCTTCTTCCATCTTTGGAAGCTGTGTATAGTTAGTGTCGGTTTGCCTTAAGAGAAACAAGTGACTACAAACATACTAAAGTCGAATGACACAATAATATGATAACAAGAAATGGGAGCCCTGTGGGATCCATTGAGCCCAAAGATATAAGTGTTTAGCCATGTTCACGGTTGCATCGGAGTGCACTCACACATTAGGGACAGCAATTTTTATGATTATCTCATAGCATATGTTATCTTCCGTGTACAGCAAAACCCCTGGCAGGGCAATGAATTTAAGTCCATTTCCCCAGGGTTTCCTGCATGCGTGATTATCGAGTGCCTGTTCGTCGCCTTCGCGGTAGATATTGAGCTGAGAAAACTTGAAAAGTCCATATACCTGATATATGTTTTATTTGCGGCCTTCGCACTACTACCATGGAGAATTTTATGTCCCTGTATCTCCCTGATAGCTGATTGAAGTGAAAAATATTTCTTACACTGGTCGCTCTGTTCATTCGAGAAGAAGACTGCAATCTTGCTATGAAAGAAGAGTAGCATCTCTTACTCCCAGAGGCCAGCTACACTGTGAAAAGGCATATTAAAAAGTCTATTTCTTTTTGCTATATGCGACAGCAAAGTGAGGTGGGTATCCTGAAGGAGAGAAATAACGACAAAGTGAAGCCTGAGAGACTGTGCTTGATAAACAAGAATCACAAATAGTAGCAGCACGGTGATAGCATCAGGAAAGTACAGGTATATCAAATCGCTATGCCTATTATTGCACCACACGCTGCGATCCTGGAAACCAGCTATACAGAATACTCAACGACCGTTCTCACCAAAAGCATGCTAGAGTCTGAATAGCCAAATTTGCAGCATAGTGTATCTTGGGTCGATAGGTTGCGTTTTGGTATTAACAATAGACATCAATGAATGTCATTACCATATATTATTGTCTAATTGTAAAGGTAAACTAATCTGAGCTCTAAAGCTAACTAAATCTCGATAGCTTTTTCATGAAGAGCCGTGATCTCATGCTCCAAATTATCCTTGGCTGTCTCTTCGTAGTGGTTACATTCTTCTCCATCGCAGATTATCTTGAGCTTGGGTAGAGAGAAAATGCGGTTCTCGAAAAATATGTAATTGGTACTTTCAACCAACTGGCTAACGTAGAGGAATTTTATGTCCTTGTATATATGTGATAGCTGAATAAATAGCTTTCCATATTCCCTGCACTTGACGCTCTTGTTGTCGGTAAAGAAGATTGCGAGCTTGCCATTATCATCAAGCAGTTCCTCGTACTCATCGATGTCTTCGACTACGTGGATGGGCATTGTATTGGATGTGGCCCAAGTATACTAGTTGGGTGGAAAATAAGCAAAAACGTAAATGAAAGATGAAATGCTGTAAACGTTAGAGCTACAGCAATATTTATATTAACTTTAGACGACGTGGATGTCGGTGACAACATCAGGTGGATACGGAATCACAACATAGCGAGACACATCAGCGGTATGTGATATCCATCAGATGACTAAGCGGAGATAAATATGTAGACTAGGAATATTCATACTTGCAGACATGGCAGGCAATTGTCGCTGATACCTCGGAGAAAAGATATTGATGGCAATCATATCGTCTATTTTAGTAGTTGCCTAGACCATATAGACTAACGTGAGTTAACCTGGGAATGTGAATAGGGCAAAACGAGCTGAAAATGGTCTACGATACAAGGTTTCAAACGGTATACAACAAATCATAATCAAAGGTACATACGCATCCAGCGCACAAACTGCCCTGTGATGCGCTAGCAGATGGCACAGCCTTCCACTTTGCATTCTCAAATACAGACAATGGAGGCGATTGTTATTATACTGGACGCCACCTTCAATTGTGACCTTTAGCTCTCCCGGCTGCGACTTCCCCAATCTAGCTTTAGCCCAAGGTCATCAAAAACACGCTGACTCTTCTTCTCGCTCCGCATTTCCTAGTTTGAACTACACTATCCTTCCACTTATGAGTACACAGGGGTCCGACGATGAGAGTAAAGTTGAGCACGAGGCACCAGAGGCATCAAGCAAAGGCACTAGGGAGGACGAAGATTCGCCATACGAAATCGTGCGTATATCCGTACCAAACAAGGACGATCCGAGAACACCCTCATTGACATTTCGGATGTGGCTACTTGGCACTATATTCTGCTGTGCCATGTCATTTGTCAACCAGTTTTACTGGTTCCGCGATAACCAGCTGACGCTGACAGCACCCGTGGTTCAGATTTTATCGTTTCCATTGGGCTACATACTGGCAAGGATTCTGCCCACACGCCAGTTTCAGACATTTGGGTTTGAGTGGACATTGAACCCCGGCCCATTCAACATCAAGGAGCATACGCTGCTGACGATACTGGCTTCCGCCTGCGCAGAAACATCTTATTCAATGGATGTCGTTGTCATCAAGAAGGTGATGTTCAAGAGCGATCTTGGGTTTGGGAGAAGCTATCTGCTCCTAATCACCTCGCAGCTGCTCGGATATAGCTTTGCCGGGTTTGCACGCAAGCTGCTCGTCTACCCTGCTGCCATGCTGTGGCCACAGGTTCTAGTTACAGCGACATTATTTCGCACACTCCACGAGCATACAAAATGGGGCCGGTGGTCTCGCACGCGTATATTTTGGCTTGCCTTTTTTGCGAGCCTGAGTTGGTATTTCGTTCCAGGATACCTGTTCACAATTCTATCGGCGCTTCCGGTTCTGTGCATTGCAGGCAAAAGCAACGTAATTTTGCAGCAGCTCGGCGATACCAGCAATGGCCTGGGAATCTTGAACTTGACCCTGGACTGGAGTACTGTCGCGAGTTATATTGGATCGCCGATCGGTTTCCCTTGGGTCATGTCATGTAACGTGTTTGCCGGGTTCGTACTGTTCGCTTGGGTTCTAGCCCCAATCGGGTATTACACCAACACGTGGGGTTCAGGCGTGTTCCCTATATACTCTTCAGCCCTATTCCTCTCCAACGGCACAAAGTACAATATCAGCCAGATCATGACACCGCAGCTGATGCTCGACACGGGAAAGTATGCGCAATACGGGTCCCTCCGCATGGGCTTCATGTACGTCGCCCAGTATGGAATTGGGTTTGCCGCTATCACTGCGCTGTTTTCGTACATCCTGCTGAATTATGGCAAGGAAATCGTCCAGCGTGTGCGACTGTCGCGGTCAATGGACGACGATATACATATGAAGCTGATGCGCCGCTATCCCGAGGTGCCGCTGTGGTATTTTGCGACAATTTTCGTGTCGATGACAGCACTAGCAGTTGTTGTTTGCGAGGTATTCGGCCTGCTACCGTGGACATGGGTTCTTCTTGCTGTCTGTCTGCCGCTCACGTTCACGCTGCCATCAGGCATTGTGCAGGCAATATCAAACAGACATGTGAGAATCAACCTGATCTCGGAATTAATGATCGGCTATGGCCGCCCTGGCGACCCTATCGGCAATGCGACGTTCAAAATCTACAGCTATGTGGCGATGTCCCAGGCCCTGAGCCTGATCAGCGACCAGAAACTGGGCCACTACATGAAAGTGCCTCCCCGCCACATGTTCTGGGCGCAGATTGTCGGCACCATTATTGCAAGCACGGTGCAACTAGCGACTGCGTATTGGGTAATGCACACGGTCGAGGACTTGTGCACACAGGAGGGGTATCCGTGGACATGTCGCAACGCCAATGCGTTCTTTTCGGCTACTATAATTTGGGGCTTGGTCGGTCCAGGACGCATGTTTGGAAATGGCAGTTCATACAGCCCCATGCTGTATCTGTTTATTGTTGGGATCTTTCTTCCAGTGCCGATATGGTATCTACACAGGAAGTATCCAGGAAGTCTGTGGTCAAAAATCCATATTCCAGTCATACTGTCTATCATTGGCAGCATGCCACCATTGCCAACAGGCACAGTGGTCAATTGGTACATTGCCGCATTCTTCCTGGTGTTTCTATGGCGACGGCGACATATTGCCAGCTGGCAGAAATATGCGTTTGCAACATCGGCTGGTCTGGATGCAGGAGTGGCAATTTCGGGAATCCTTATATATGTGATTTCACAGAATGTTAGTGCGCCTCGGTGGTATGGCACGACCAAAAACCTGTGCCCTCTAGCCCGAACTGGCGGATATCTCACCCCTCGCACATAACACCATATAGCCTACACTAGTATCTTATTGACGCATTTTAACTAAATACCGTCATCAGAAGCGGATCCATAGTCACTATTTGCAAAGTACTCGATTGTATCCAAAAGTTCGACTATCTCGTCCTTGTATGCGAAGATTCGTGGTTTGCTGAATGTGTAGAGTGACAGAATTGGGGAATGAAAATACATGATAACCCTGTTGGCATCCATCGGGAGCCCACACCCAACCTTCTCCTTGGCCATTAGCGTCTTCAGACACTCTTCCGCTTGGTTGCTGGCTTGCTCCATTTCCTGGCCGCTTTCCATCGATTTCTTCGGTACACCAGGTTGCCAAGGTGGGCTTCCTGTCCCTGGTGACTACAGCAATGACAGGGGTGTTTCTCTTAGTTGGCGTGTGAGGCCGCAATTCATATTCGACTCTGATACTGTTGGTTAGCTGTGCGCACCTGGCGAGCCTCTCGACGAATAGAACTATTAAAGCTCCGCCACGCTGTTCAGCTGTATTGGCGATATCCCTTTTGAGCCGGTCGATATGTTTGGAGACCAGGTATGGCATGTTTATTCAGATACGAAGAAGGAAGGGACGCAACAAGCTAATGATTACTGCGTATGTTGCACTATAAAAGCACGTTGTCTGAGGGCACTGGTGTGTGCCCTTCAGTTAAACAATGCTTAGAGCAAGTTCATTTACGGGACTCGACAAGCCTGACTAGGGAGGGCTTTAACAAGCCTTCAACCTCGCATTCGGTGTGAAAAATAATAAAAGAATAGTCTGTAGGTATTTGGTGTGCCATTTTCCGATGAGTCAAGACTTTGTAACCCAGCATACATAGCTACAAGTGTCCACAATACCTAGGTACAGCCTGAAAATAAATGCTGTTTATGTGACGATTATTATTCTGTTGGTTGAGAGACATGGGAAGGTGCTGCTGTTTTAACAGGCTCTTTAGGTGACTATACATGGCAGTTTTGTTAATGTTCATAAAAAGGCAAGTGTTGATATCACAGGCACCTATTCTGCATCCGGTCGCACATTGTTGTGTCTAGTGAATCCGTAGAGCAATTCCACAACCTCAAGGGCTTGGGTATGATATTGATATGTCTTTAGCTCCACTGCTTCAGCGTACGGCTGAAGGTAAAACAGCGAGTAAAACACGGCCTTGTCGGCATCCATCAAAAACCCGCAATCAATATTGTATTTGATGAGCAGCTGCTTCAAGTGGGCTTCAGCCTTAGCCCTATCCTCACCATCCACCAGACACCAGACTGCCATTACCAAGTCATCGTTGCGCGTCACTAGAATGATGACCGGGCTATTATGGCGAGCAGTGGACAATGACTGCACGCTGTACTTGAATTCTTTGCTTTTCATGAGTTGGGAGTGCTTGGCAAATGATTTAGCAAGTTTTATAATTGAGCTGCGGGTACGCTTCCTAGCTACAAAGGCTATCCTAAAGGCCAGATCATTTTTCTGCATTGGACTTAGATGCAGCATCATAAGGTACCAGATATGGCGATGGATATTGAAGGAAGGAGGCAATGGGGGGGGGTGAGTATGTGGCTTTACTTTACTTAGTTCTGGAGAGTATATGGTGGCAGATAAAAGTGAATGGTGGTGAATGGAGAGAAGAGGGCTATTTACTAGAAATATCTGCTCGCGATGCGAGCTCGGCTGCTAGTCAGCATGGGTTGACACGTCGATAAGGGCATCACGGCGGACCGGTCATTTGAACGTGTCGGATGGTTGTTGGTGCAATGTCGATCATGGACATTTCCCCACCTTGGTGGTCTACTCAGCGTAGGCGCTTCAGCGCTGGCTCGCTGCTGCTAGCAGCAGAATCGCCTGCTGCTGCACGCCTCTTGCGCGGGTTCTTTGTTGCAGGGGTGGTGCCAGAAGTATCGGCAGCAATGGCCGTAAAGCGACGGAACCGTTCAGGAATACTGCCTGAATCACAGAGTGACTGGAAAACGAGTCTGAAGTTTAGAACTGCTGCGAGATCGCGGTTCAAGAGCCGAGACGAATAGGCTCGCCTGTATTGTGCCATGGCCTGCTTACATGACTCGCTTGTACAGCGGAGAAGGCCATGGCACTTCACAGTTGGGTTCTTCGATCTCTGGTAGGGCCGCGGATTGGGAACATGCCGGAATGTCTGCAGTGACTTATCGCAGCAGAACGGGCACACCGACGATGTCTGGAATTCGTCGATCAGATAGACTTCAAAGCCATGGTGCTTGAACTTGTCGCGCCATCCCTTGCCACGAATCGGCGCATGGTGCCGGGCCATCGGCGCACTCCAATGGCCCATGATCAGCACTGGATCTGGACCGAACTTGCTCCGGAGTTTCGCGGCAAGCCTGTGGTCTGCACGGGCCTGGTTCATGAATGAATCAAGACATAGCTTGCGGTGAAGCGGGTACACCTTGGGACTGGTCCCGACACCTGGATGGGCCTTCCAGCGCCTCTGATGCTGCTTGTTTGACTTAGTGGGCTGCTGCTCTGGTAACCTTCGCGCTGTCATCGTGTTGGCATAAAACGGTGCTAGGATACACCGCACAGATGCACGGGCAGCAACGTAGGCACGGAATTTTGCTGGGCTAAGGGTCCGGCAGCAGTGCTTGGAAAGCTCAGCCTCTGCTCTGCGGACAGCATCTTCTGGGACTTGATCCTTTGTAGCCCGACGAATCCTGTCATAGTGGCGCAGCTTGAGCTCCTTATTGCGCTGCTGCCGTGTGTAGCGGTAGAGCATTCTCTCACCCTCTTTCCCATTGCTGCTATTTTCGTGCATCATGTATAGCAAATCGCCCCGACCTGGATCGATGAATACACAGCGGCCTTTCAGATTCTGTAGCTCTGGCTGTGGGATCTGGTGGATATAGCGACAGTCAGCTATAGTACTGCCTCCCACAGCACCACCTCCTGCAACATCGCCTGTAGCATCGCCTCCTGCACCATCAGCATCTACTGCAGCACCAGCCTTAGGTACCTTGTCTTGTAACAAAATGCATATCGTTACACCATCTGTTGTCGCCATCCCGTGGAATTTTCTATCACCATGCGCCTTAAATGGCTTTGATGTTAGATCTGCGACCCGGCCCCATACATCCCACACAGATTGTATGATCCCTTGGACCGGGTCGTGTGCACAGACTGGGGGTGCTGGTGCATATGCATTGTTAAGTGCTGCAACAGTGTCTGCTGCTGCCGCCGATGCAGCAGCAAGCGAATCAGCCGCTACTGCTGCAGTTGCTGCAGTGGCCTCTGCTTCATCTGATGGCATCTTCGCTGCTTCGCGTGCAGCCTTCTTGGCCAATTTTTCGCCCTTTTCTGCTGCTTTCCTTGCCTCTGTTGCTGCCCTCTTTGCTGCGTTGATCTCTGTAACCTGCTCGCGTGTTTTTCGAAACAAACATCTGCTTGATTATTTGCTTGTCTAAGCGCACATGGCCTGGGATCCATGATGTCCGCAGAGGCAAGCATTGAGGGGGAGACTTGCCAAGCTGCTCACTCTCGATAAGCTGGCATAGGCGAATGTATGCACGCAGATGCTTAAGTGGATTTACCTTGGCATCATAGTATCGGCTGTCTTTGGCGAATCTGTACTTGGCACCATAGGCATTAAGGACTGGTGCCAGCTTGTTGTAGATTGCAAGCATCGGTGGGGTGAGCACACTGAGGTCAGGGTGCCTAGAGGCAACTGCCTGGCGGAGCTTCTGTGCAGGTGTATAAATACACACTTGGCATGCATTATTGAACTCAGCCTTGGACACATTGCCCATTGTACTGTGCAGTGGTGTTTTTGCGGCTGCGAATATCAATCAATTTGGCCAGAATCCGCTGTAGGCAAGTGCCATAGTGCAACACAATGTTGTTCTTGTATGCTGTTAGCAGCTCGGTATCCACGTATGTTGCTACCTGATTCATTTCGCGTACGCCATGTAGCTCGATATCGCCATTATGCAATAGATAATCATAAATATGATATCTAACTACATCACCGAAATCTGCGCTCGACAGTTCTGGCCGGTCCTTCCGGTTGACGAAATCCTCGGCAGATATGACAGTCTTCGCCTTCAGGTTGCGATAAATAAATAAATAAATGGAACGAAAAAACCCCTTTTTCACAAATATTGCAGGGTCAAAGGCATCATCGTCAGCTAGTTGATGGAGTAATATCCATCGTGCAAGCATGTATGTATGCTCTTTGATGATATTGACACTATGTACAAATTGCTCTAGGCGGGGCAACATAGAATCACGGAAGCCAATACCACCAAGTGATGTCTTTATGACAGTAGTGCTGCGGGTAATATCCATTTGAGAAGTTCAATAGGCAAGTAAGAAGAGAAATGATGCTGTTCAGTTTTGCTGTTCAGTTTTGCTGTATTGCGTGTGCATAGCATTAAGAACTTTTTATTAAAGATTTTCTGGCTTGCATGGTTCTTGGGGCCCTTAGCACTGATATAGTCTCTTGAATCAGTCTATACATACTGGGTCCGTTGTGACCCAAATACTACCGCTTACGCATGTTCATAAGACAAATTAATTTATAAAATAAACCCACAAATATTGCATAACCACCAGAAGAGCTATATGGCCTTATTCAATAGGTGCTCATGAATGAATATCCTAAGGGTGTTGCGCAGCCGGTGATGACCACCATGATGACGCCATAGAAGTTATCAGGTCGACCGATACTGAGAGCTGCTCTTGCGCTGAACCAATGGAGATATCCAGTAGAGACCTGTGACCACTACAATAATAACTTGTCACCCTGGTTTCACCGATGAGGTCAGATGCCGCACAAGATCAAAAGGAGTTTACAGAGCAAGTCACTCAAACCCGTGTTGAAGCTTAAGAGTTTTTTTAACCAATTAAATAATTTCTAGCGGACGGTCGGACACTTTTTGGACTATAAAATCTTATATATAGGTAAAGATAAAGATAAAAAGATAAAGATGATAAGCATGGTGTCGCTTTGAAGCTCATTAATTTGAACCAAGAGATTGCTGCGGATAATCAGCTTCGAACGTGTGCAGACTCTGGATGGCTTCGCCCACTTCGATATAGTCACCGCACATGTCGAGTGCCATGCCTTTGCTGATATATGTGGCATGACCAATCTGCTCCTGCTGGTACAAAGCTGCTTCGCTAGGGTCCATGATTATGCCGCATGGGCAATCTCGGCTGACCATCATCTCACTCAAAGACACTTGCGTGGCGACGAACCCACCGCAGCCGTCGAGGCACCAGACTACCAGGTTCTAAATGCCACTATAGATACGAACAACAGCATACTCGTGGGCCGCGGGGGTTGGGAGGTCGAATGGCGTCAATAAGCTGTATCCTCTCATGGGGGTGAACCTGGCCTGATCAAGCAAGTGGCGAATAACCTTCCAGAGAGGGAAGCTGTCCCTTTCTCTAATCACCTCTCTGGCTTGCTGTTCAAACTTCCGCAGTGCGGCGATGCCAGGAAAGACCATGGTAGAGATGCCGAAAGTAGACTTCGATTGTGCGGAAAAGCGGAGAGACAGAGTTGGAGTGGCCAAAATAAAACATGCAAGCTAGGATGTTTGGGTGTGTCTAATATCATCTAGCTCCAGCGAGGCTGGACAGCCATCATACTTGGTCCATATACACCACCGAACCCATGGGCTAACAGTCTGCGACTCGCAAATAACCAAATTCGATTTAAACATGAAAAATTCACACAAAATTGCCAGTGTTGGACCGCAGGTATGCGCCCGCAGCAGTGCTGACTGCAGCCTGGCCTGCACCACTCTGGGCGAACCCCTGATACGCCTGTGACTTTGCCTCCGAAAACGTATGGCCACGCGCATGGTAGTGGTGGCGTACCTTGAAGTACATAAACAGCGATACAAAGGCATGCATCACCCAGAGAGAGAAAGTGATACCGCAGAAGGCGGCAGCGGCCTTCTTGCTGCTGGACAGGCACTGGATCATTGTAATAATGCCTGCAGAGCCAGTGCCCGGGATGCCGACGGCCATGTAGGCATCGAACAGAATATGGAAGCCGTTGAAGACAAAGAAGAAGTAGAAGAACATGCTCGAGTCCTTCATGTACGCGTTGTACACGGGGCGGTACCACAAGAAGAAGCTGGCGGCCGAGATGGTGAATAGATACACAAAGCTGGAGCCAAAGCTGGCGCCGGCGTTGCTCACGTCCTCGCCGTGCGACACAAGCACGATCAGACACGAGATGCAGTTAAACAGAAGCATGGCCTCGAGCGCCAGCCAGCAGTAGAAGATTGTACGCACCGTCCGCCGGTCGCCGATAGGCACTTCGGCGTCGATGTCGTGGTACATAATCGGATACAGCGGTGGGAAATTGAGTGCCGGTCGCGTGCCCGGCGGCATTGTGCGCAGCGTCTCCTCACGTTCATTCAGTGCGCGCTCCCGTGCCGCCAGCTCCTCCTCCCGCCGCCGCAGCTCGGCCTCGCGGCTGTCGCTGCCGTAGTCCATCTTGTACGAGCCGCCATCGGGCTTGTATGGGCTGCTGCTGGGTTTGTACGACTCGCCGGCCTTGGTGTTGTAGCTGCTGTCAGCGTACCCGCTATGCGTCTCGACGTCCTCGCCCAGCGGCTTGTACGAATTGCCACGCGAGCCGCTCAGCCCGACGCTGCTGAGGAACCCGCCGCGATCCTCGCTCTTGCGCACAGAGTGGAGGGGAACAGCGTCGGTGTTGTCGTCATCCATTATGTGCTGCCCGGAGGTGCTGGCGTGCAGCCCGGCGGAAATGCTCGAGTCTGCAAACGGGTCGTCTGCAAACGGGTCGTCGTCGTGGTCGTCAAAGGGGTTCTTCGCCATCGCCAATTAAGAAAGATAAATTCAAGGGCTATTAGTGCGGAAAAGGGAGAGCTTGGCAGCACAAGCTGCAGCAGACTGGAGCGAAAATCTGATTTATTTGGCTGTTCAAGAAAAAAGGTGATGTCAGAACGCGAGCAGAAAGGCCGCTACGCCTGTGTGGCCGCGGACTGCTGGGCCTTGCGCGCGGCAATTTCGTCGTCGGTGGGCAGCCGGTACATGACCGAGGGCTTCGCCTTGGTCCACTGCACTCTAGGGTCATTTTCCCACTTTGACTGCTTGCGCGACTCGCCTGCCTGCGCGTCCTTGTTGCTCTTGGCCTCCTCAGCGCTCTGCTTCTCGGCCCGCTTCTCGGCCCGCTCCTCGCGCTTCTGCTTCTTGCTTTTCCGTCCGGTGCTGCCGGGCTTGTCGAGCCACACGCCACAGTTGCCGTTCTCCTCGGGGACGTTGATCAGATCAAGGCTGCCCACGTTGTCCTGAGACCGCTCCTCCTGCCCCACCAGCTGCGTGAACCGGCTCTCGGTAAGGAACCCGCACTCGAGCTGCTTGCCGCGGCCCGACGGGAACTCGGTGCCATCGACAGAGTTGAACGCCGCCTGTGCTTCTGCGCCGCTTGTGAACAGCACGTAGCAGCGTGTCTTGATTGCGTTCAGCCGGAGATCCTTGACCGTGCCAAACTTGTCCAGCAGATCGTGCATCCGGAACGTTGTCAATGGCCGCTCCAGGTTTTTAATGTATAGAGCTGGACGCCCATCAGTATTGCTGCTGTTGTCTGCCGACATCTGTGCATCATCGATGGCAGCCTCCTCCTTGGCTTCCTCCATGTCCTGGTCGTCGTCATCTTCTAGCTTCCGCTTCAGATCGCCTTCAGGCTTCGTCTCGGTCTCTGCAACCTCAGCTGGCGTGTTCTTTTCGGTTTCCATCGCCTCCACAGCCTCTTCTGTTGGCAGCTCCTCAGCGGCAGCTGCATTGTCTACTTCGGCCAGCTCGTTGGCTGGCAGCAGATCAAAATCGTCGCTAGTTTCTCCGACGGTCTCGCCAGACTGCTTGAGTGCCTCTTCGAGTCTCTCGATAAGCTCCTTTTTGACACCCTTTGTTGATAGGCTTCGCGTCGACAGCTCTTTGCGCAGGTCCGAAACCTTCATATCGCTAGGCTGAACCGAAACCATTTTCGAGTTTTTTTTTTTTTTTTGAAATTTACGTCTGTTCGATTGTGGTGGCCGTGTAAAAAATAAAATGAAAGCAAAGAAAAAGCAGCGAGAACCACGCCGCACAATCACCGTGTACTTTTCGTCGTTTTTTTCTCCATCAAGGTGAGACGCGTCTGATTGGGTGGATGGCTCAGCGGCTACTGTGCGTTGCAAGCGATGCATCTATGGCCGATGGCAAGATCTCCAGCATACAAGGGTCCAGTTGCGCTCGTATATAAGGCCAGCAGAGCCGTCCTGTTTGGCCCAGAATCCCCAGGTCGCTCTACAGCCCTTTTCTCTCTGCGCTACTCAACCCCCTGCATCCATCTCTACTACCAACATGAAGTTCGCCACCGTTGCCGCTCTTGCCCTCGTCGCCGCCGCCGCTGTCTCCGCCGAAGCACTGCCCGGCCCTGCCCCTCAGCCCATTGCTTATCCGCAGACTCCAACTGTGAACCCTCAGCAGGACTTGCTGCAGAGCGGTGGTCGTGGAAATGGCTGGCTCCACCGCTACTGCCAACACCGCTGTCAGTGGATCCCGGACTTCTGGGGCTGCATGCAGCGCTGCATGCGCTACGGCTATTAGATCGCACTATGCTATTTTATCGCACCTGTTTACTGTGGATGCGCTACGGCTTCTATTCGTTCCTTATAGACTGCTTGTGCAATAGCCCATGGATCCATTACATGCTCATCATTTGAATAGACATATGGCGGGCCGGATATCTGAATATGCCTATACATTTCTTGTCACGTATATCCAGAGTGACGGTAATTAAAACTGTCATACGCATATCACCCTCACATGCCTCTCAACCAACGCGCATGCACTGTGGAGGTCTTTCTTGCTAACATGCAGCCCGCGCAGTTTTGGTTCATCAGAAATCAATGATTTCACAATTACACCAACGGCTATATGTAAACTCGATGGTATTTGCTGTATCTAACATGAAACATATTTACAAGACGCATAGGGCTGGACTATTGATAGGTATATGTGTTTGTCTTGTAGTATGTGCCAACATATGTGCCGCCATTGGTCAGGGCATCGAGGGCGTCAAAGGCGCTGCCGCCCTTGCCAGCGTCGAGGACGCCTGTCTTGTTGCCGTCTGTCAGGGTGTCGTTGGTGGCAGTGGTTTTGAGGGTGTTGGTCTTGTCCAACTTGAAGAAGAGCTTGGCTAGTTTGTTTTTTGTGGTGCCGGTCGTTTTCTCTGTCAATGTCATTTTTGGATCGAATGTGTTGTAGATGTAGAGGATTGGTTGTTTGGTGAGGAATCGGCTGAGCTGACTGCTTCTGCGCGAGCCATTTATACGGATCGGGCGGGTTGTATCTTGGCACACTTATCTACCATTCCGCAGCACAGGACATCGATACACGTTTCCCTGGCAAAGAAAAGCATGAAGCTGACAGCTAACCGGCATCCCGTTGCCCCAAACGCAGCGACGGGTATGATATTCAGATCTTTGAAGTCTTGCGGCCACGGGCAATCCTACTTTTTGCATTGCCCCAGAAATCAAGGGGTGCATATCGGAGTTTTCTTGGGGAGTCTTCCGGCTGGCTTAGCCCCGTGCACATGCTACCTCTGCTGACACGCAATGAGTCAGTTGTGCCAAGACCTATTCTTTCTTCCTTTTTTTGCCAGGGATGGGTGTCGGGTGGCTGCTGGCTGCGGCAGAGCTGACCAGAATCATGCTGATACACGTCGGAAAACAGACACAAGGTATTAATGTACCCGGTGCTTTCCTGACAAACAAAACCTTCTTATCTCGAACTGAGGTATTTTTGCGATGTAGTGCATGGGCACTTGGCGCGAGACCCATCGGCTGTGCTTTACTTTTACCCAGCTGGAACGCCTCTTGTAGCATTACAACACCATTCGGGTCTCGTTGATCTTTACATATGAATGTTGATTTTGAATAAATACATCTCTATAGCTATACAGAATTGCCTACTGCCTAGAGTAGTATGTCGGGCCGCTGCTGGATCCAGCACTGCCAAGGGACCCGGTCAGGTACTCAAGAGCATCGAAAGGGTTGTTGCCCTCGCCGGCGCTGCCGATCTTTGAGGTGAGGACAGGCTTGTTGACGGTGGTGTGCTTGTTGGAGGAGCTGTAGAGAGACATTGTTGATGATAGTGAAGGGGGTTGGCGAAAGAGCTTGGCGAAGGGGCTTGGTGAGGGAAGTTTTACTTGTTGTCGTGCTGTCTTGCTGTCTGGTGTGTATGATATGGATTTGAGAATGCCTCTGTTCGATACTCACCTTTTATACTCGATCCCGACGACATTTCATTTTTGCCAAGACAGCATTTTACTGTCGCCTTCAGCCCCACGATCGAGCCGCCCAGCATACCTTTATACCTGCAAAAAACATCACTAGTGTGTATGCGGTGCGGCGCAGCTGCAAAGGAAATCCTGTCTGAAACCGGCTGTCCGATAGAACCTTGGCATAAAAATGAGTCTTCCAGATCCTGCTGGAGTATCCATGTGGATTTTTAGGTAGGAAAAGCGCCAGTTTTGTCGCATTCAAGTGGTACGAAGGAATACTCTTGGCGTTTTTCCCTCCAGGTAAGTTTTTATTTTTGAAAGCAGCGGGGTCTAGCAAGTTCGTTGAACCGACGCCATGCAGTCTGAGCTGTCTAGCTTACACAGCAACTTTAAACGATATCCCCGGCTGCATTAGTCTGCCTATTGTGGCGAACCCAGTCTCAAGACCAGCAATTATACAACACAGCCGATCTAGGACGATGAATTCCAAAACACCAGCGTACTACTGAACTCTGCTAGCATACTGCTGCATATCTTTCGATTACTGAGTTCCATGAGAGCCTGTTCAGGCCGGTAGCGGCGTGTAGTCTGCTGATGTAGCTAGGGTGTTTTATTTGCTGCCAAATGAATTCCTGCAGAGTATTTTGGAGTCTTCCCTAGAAAAATAAATATTTAGATAGGCAAATTCAAGCCGTGAATATGCCGAACAAGTAGCACTGTAGTGATGCTGTATGTAGTTTGCAGTTCCTACCAATTAGCAATAAAAACAGCAATGTTCGGATACAGCTACCTAGTTATTAATTTGACGTAAAATCACAATGTTGTCAATAGAGGAACTAGCGTGCAGAATAGGCACGGTAAATTATGATATCTATGAATTATGCTAGGTAAACAACCCAGCTCGGCCTATTATTCGTATATATCACATCGCTTCTACGCCTTCATTAGGAACTGGCGTGAGATTACGACTCGCAGTACCGACTGGGTGGCAACTGATGCAGCTGCAAGCACGCCAGCAAAGATGATTAAGCTTGTAAAGTCAGTGCCATGGCCAAATTTGTCCAGCATCGCACCAGCTGGCGGCGACGAAATAAGACCCCCGATGGCGTAAGCGAGCATAATCAAACCCATGATGCTAGGAAGGCGCTTGATCCCAAACAGACTGGCCGCAGAAACAGGCACCAGGCTGACAATGGCGCCTGAAAAGAACCCAAAGAGAATCACAGAAGCCAGGTACGGCCCAACAGTCTTGAACGGCAGCCACAGAACCAGCACACTTAGGCAAGTGCCTGTGCAGGCTAGCCACAGCGCGTTGATCGGACCAATCTTATCGCCCAGCGACCCCATTGCTATGCGGCCAACAATCGATGATGCCGCTGACGATGGCAGACATGTTGGCTCCCCATGACTGGGTCTTGCCCAGCACGATGACGGAGTAGCTGGGAAAGTTATAAATGGGAATATAATATGCTCCGCCGCCAAGAAGGGTTGTGAAAAACAGGAGCGGGAATCTGACACCGCGCAGGACGCTAAAGTCGATAATCTTTTCACGCCGCGCTGGCCTCATGCGTGTACGCAAGAGTGGGCTAATGGCTGAACACACACCAATGAGTACCAGCCCTGAAATGCGCAACGCCCACCCTCGCCCGACATTTTCCATCATGGCGCGGGCTGCAAACGACTGCCACACGCCACCAATTCCTGTCCCCGCTACAGCAACGCTAGTGGCAAGACCGCGATACTTTTCGAACCACATTGGCGGCAATGCCACTGCCGGTACATAGAGGAATGCGCCGCCAAATCCAAACATAATTCCCTGTGTCGCCAGCAGTGCACCGGGTGAGTGGCAGAAAGAGGCGATAATGAGGGCCAGGCCGGCCACAATTGATCCGAAGAGGCAGAGCAGCCGTGTGTCGACACGTTCGCAAAGCACGCCGACACCGATTCCAACGAAGCACATGCACGAGAACTGCAGTGTGCCGATCCATGATAGCAGCGATGTCGATGTGTCTGGAAATTCATCCAGCTTGTATGCCTGAAGATAAACGCCGTACGCTGCAGTGGTACCAATTGTTAGTGTCAGTGCGATGAGAGCACCAAACACTACTATCCAGCCCTGAAGCGTATCGGGTGGTGGGATCGGCAGCTCTTCATCATGTGCTTCACTAGGGCCGCTGGAAACATCTGCCTCCTTGCAGTCTTCTATCTCGAGGGGTTTGCAGGCAATGTCTCTGCCAGATAGTTCTCCATTTGCTTTGGATTCCATATTGGGGCGGGTGATAAAACTATGAGATGCAGGCTACAAGTGAGATAGCGGATATTACGTATATAGCTGGCACGGACCGGGTGTAGAATTTTATATGGGTTTTTGATGACGAAGTCCGACGAGTATACAGGCAAAACATCTTCCCCTCGTCCTCAGATTCGTATCCGAAAATACTCCTCAACAACGTGAAATTGTGTTCTCTTTCAAGATTGCCTTGGCAACAAGAAGATCCCAAATACCGCAGCACCTGCGGCCATACTCTTTTCGCCAGCAAATTCAGAATATGGTGGCAAGGAATTTGTCAGCGGTATTCGCCGTTGTGTGGATAATTCGCCGAAGCGAGCCTCCTGCTATCCCTGGAATTCCGCCATTTTCTTTCGGGATTGCGAATATCGGAGAACACCAATGTCAACAACGGCGTGGCGTTCCTTTTGACGGCCGCAGCAAGTGCGATATTGCACGCTAGCAACACTGTGCTGTGTTGGTGCGCACCCGACAATGATGAAGCTGGTGATATCATACCTGACACCCCTGGTAATACCAATGCAGATGCTAACAAGGTGCATCAAGTCCCCGCCTTAGACAGAAGCGCCGGCACGAACAGCAGGCCACCGCGATGCCAAATATGCATTCAGGTGGTCGCCGTCATTGAACAACCAGCTTGCCTGCCATTTGTAGTTTTCCTCAGTTTCAGCTCCCAAAGTGACTGATGCGAAAAAATCCATCATTACCAAAACACATACATGTGGACTTGGCTGAGCAGATGATGTTAGTGAGTGAGCATTTTGAGAATGTAGTTTCAAGGATGTTCTGCCAGGTTCAGCCAGCAGCTTTGGGCACTTGGTTCTTCAGATATTGGCGTGGCTATTTCTCGCGGTGTGAAAAGCGCTACATGCTGATCAGCGCCAATGCTATATTGTGGATCAGCTATACTGTGCTGTTCATGTTCTTGTGGATACGGTGGTTCTATTGCATCTACTCCATATGAAAAGATAGCGGAGATGAGTTAGATATCGCCGCTGATGACGCGTGCAATATTGGCACCCAGACAGAACACAAGTACAAAGACGCCATAAATGGTTATAAATACAGAGAGCACCTTCATCAGTCGCCAACGTGAGTGCTGGTGCATCTTGTAGTAGAAGACGCCGGGGAGAATGAATGAAATGGTGGTAGAGCCCGTCGAGCCCACAAACGACAGCACCAGATCCAGGCTGGTTACCGATATGGCCACAACATACGACAGGATCATCAGTGCCATCGTGATCGAGACATGCTTGATTGGCGACATGAAATGAACGACCGGTGCCGACGTTGCTGTATCGTCAGCCATTATATCACTCTCCTCGTCGTCGGGAGCATCGTTGATTGCCTCGAACTCGGGCTCCTTCTTCCATGCGTTGTATATTGCCGTCGTGACCTTGTCTAGGCAGTTGCGTGCCGGGTGGCATTGCAGCGGATATGAGAACAGCACCAGGATCGCAATCGACAGTCGACACAGAGTAATGACCAGGTTGCTGTTGTACATGGTTAGTAGGTTCGGGGCAACCTTGCTGCCAAATGTCAGGTACCCGAGGATCGCGATCCACTGGTACACTCCGCACGCGCTGCCAACGCTGACTGCAATGGTTCCGTTGACCTGCTTGGACGAGTTGTCGCGCAGCTCGTTGTACACGCTAAAGATGTTTTGGTGGCAGGTAAAGGCGAATACAAACACAGGCAGGTGCGTGAAGAACGAGCTGGAGAACTTGAACCAGACAACATCGCCTTTGGGCAGAGGCTCGCGCGTCGGCGTAAAATAATACAGCGCGACAACAACAAACAGGTACACGACCGCCAGCAACGCCGTAAAACTAGTGTACTTTAGCGCATCCAGACGGCGTTGGAACGCCAGTGGCATCAGTGCCAGAATGGCGAATGTGATCCAAAAGTTGCGAGACAGCAGCCAGAATGATTCAAAGCCCAGTGCCTCAACGATCTCAGGCATCAGGTCGCCAAAGATGATCAGGTACGAAATCGACACGCCAAAGCACTTGATGGCAATAGCAGCGTCGAAGAACACGGCGGCGTTCGGGTACGTCAGTTTTGACACGGCAAAGAACGACGAGTCGCGGCCCTGTGTCCGCCGGGCGCACCGCGACAGTAGGTACAGGCCAAGCCCAGACATGAAGCCCGAGAATACGATGACTGCCGACCCAAAGACGAGCCCGAGTGCGGCCATCGCATTGGGCATGCTCAGCATGCCTGAGCCCAGGATTGTGTTGGCCAGGTTCACTGCCGACGAGGCGATGGTGCCGGTCGGCTCCACGGTGTCTTCGACAAAGAGGTGCTCGCTGACAAACGACTGCGCGCGTGACCGCGTGCGTGCCGGCTCAAACGTACTGCCCTGCCCGTGCTGCACCGCCGTCGAATGCGCCTGTGGTGCGTCTGAATCAGGGTTGTCCATTTTAAACTGTAATTGCAGTGTAGGAAATAAAGGCGGAATTGGAGAAATGCTAAGGAGAGAGCGCAAAGTGCAAGGGCAACGGAGTGTTGGCGACTTTCCTTCTCACGCAAATCTTCTTGGAAGAAGACTGTGCGCGCAAATCGGGGGCATTGGGCGCACCCGTGATTTGCTGACCGGGGCTAGCAGCTGCGACACCAGCCATTGACTGAGGAAGCCGCCGCTGGGCGTCGTGCCATGTGTGAGCAGCTGGTCTGTGCAAGCATGCCATCATAGCAGGGTTATTAACTGCGCACTGAGCAGTAGGGCGAAATTGCCATCCCCGCGGGAATTCCTGCAATATGGAGCCCCCACTCTCAGCATTTGGTACATGGTCTGGGGCACGCAGAGCTACTACTGGCAGGTGACGTGTGATCGTCTTGTCCGGGCCCTGCCAAGTCTCTCCGCCGATGAAACGCAGCCATTCGCCGGTAGTCGCCGTGCAGACGGGGACACGGTCACGTGGCCACAGCACCATCGAAATTAATTTAGGCAGACGAAGCATCCGCTGCAACGCAATGGCATCGATAAGACGCATGTTGCAATATCCCGCACAGCTTGGCCGGTGGCTGTGCTGACGTCGACAGATTGACACCGGCCACGCCATGGCAGCCAGGAATCGGCTCTCGTGTACTCCACGACCCGCACCCTGAGTTTTTCGGATCTGCTCCTGCCCCAATAGACAGGAGCAGAGTCAATATGCGTTTCGGCAAGTCCGTAGTAACAGGGGCCTGAACTACTGCTAGTTGTCCATCATTTTGGATGATTCCAAACGAAGGCAAACAAACAATCGCCTAGCCTCCTCCTTATCTGTTCGCCTCCGCTGCAGCTGGCGAGCTTGATAGCCCTGTCGCTGCTATCACATTTCGTCAAGCCTCGCAATCGCCGCTCGTCATCATCTGGAAATGCCGTCAGTCGGACCATCGGACAGTCTAGTATATTGACTAACAAGTGCTTGGCCGGAATGACCGTCCGAAAAGGAATAGCATGGAGGCAGTTTTGCCGTGGGTGTGCCAGGAAAATTCTTGGGTTGAGTTCCCTGGCTGGGGGAGACAGGTATAAAAGAGGGCGCTCCCCAGCCAGGAGAGAGCTCTGTACACCGTCAAGCATCCAGATCGTCACTACCAGCAGAAATTTTCTTTTCTCTTTAGCTTCTCTCGCCTCGCTCAACCCCTACTCTCCACAGCCAAACCGGTATATTTTCTACGCTACTCTTCAATTGCCATGGTTGCCCAGTCAAAGAACAAGCTCCTGCCCACCGCGCAGCTCTCGGCCCTGCTGGCCCAGACAATGGCCGATCCGTACCAGACACCAAAGACCAAATCCGGGTTCTTGGAACACGCCCGCTTCGGCACTGCCTCGCGCCTCCTCACATGCCTGACCAACGAGCAGCTGGTCGACGCCCTCTATGTTGCCGACAGCATCGATGCATCGCTGAGCTTTGCTCTGATCACGCCGTGCAATTCAAAGCCCGACGAGCTGCTGGTCCGCTCCGTTGTGTGCCAGCTGCGTCACAAGCCGGTCCTAGCAGGCAAGGCAGACATCGGGCTGACTAATGTGAGCCGCATCTCGTTCCTGGACCCTGAGGACCTGGCGCTTGGCATGTGGTTGATGGAGCAGGGCACTGGCGAGTTCAGGCGCCTGACTGACCCCACCGAGATAATGCGCATGGTCGGCGAATGGAATTCCTCTGAGCCCGAGGCCATTGCCAACATCTGCCGTGAGCTGGCGAGCTCCATTGAGAATCAGGCCTATGCCTTTGAGCATCGCAAGCCCAGTCCAGATATCCTGCAGTCGACGGCGATCGACTGGGAGCAGAGCATTGTCGAGGGTCATGCCACCCACCCCATGCATCGCGCTCGCTACGCTGTGGATCCACTTGAGCCCATTGCGCCAAGCACCGACCTTTTCCACCTGCGCCTGGCGTTCGTGGCTGTCCCGCGCTCGCAGATGAACGTGGAAGGCGACTTTGAGAAGCTGCTGGCACCCCTGTACAGTGCTGCCGACTCCGACGATGGCAAGAACCAGTACATTCTCGACTTCACCGACCGTGCCACGGAGCTGGTCATGCCTGTCCATCCGATGCACCTGCCTGCGATTCGGAAGATGTTTGACTTTGTCCGCGTCCTGCCGTTCTCTGCTCCCGCCGAGGCCCAGGCGTCGCTGCGCACAGTGTGCCCAACAGCCTTCACGCCGCTTGGCTACGACATCAAGCTGCCGCTGGGCATCAAGGTCTCGTCGGCCCTGCGCACCATCAGCCCTTGGTCGACTTTTGTTGGTCCGCGCATCACCGACGCGATCCCCAAGATCCTGGATAAGGCGCCGGTGCAGGATTCGCTGCTAATTGCTGGTGAGCCAGCCAGTGCTGTATCCAACAACCAGGACTTTGACATTGCAAAGTATCTGTCGTGTATTATCCGCGATGACCCCGAGTACATCTGCCGGCCGCGTGGCGAACGCGTCATCCTGGCTGCTGCCCTGACCAACTTTAACTCGCAGGGCGTCAGCATGGCGGTTGAGCAGTGGAGCCTGGATACAGTCGATAAGCGCCGTGCCTTCCTGCGCAGCTACGTCAGCAAGCTGTTTGACGCGTTCCTGCCCCCGATCATGAACCACGGGTTTGCCTTCGAGTCGCACCCGCAGAACAGCCTTCTCAGGATCGATGCAGCCACCGGCGACATTAAGGGTTTCATTGCCCGTGACTTTGGCGGAGTCAAGGTCCACCGCGAGACATTCAAGAAGTCAACTGGCATTGATATCGACATGCTGCCTGATGCTTGCACTGACGCACCCATCATGTACGAGGTCTACGATCTCGCCTACCACACCCTGGTTCAATGCCAGATCCACCGTCTGGTGCGTGCCTTGGATCTCCACTATCAGGGTAGCGGATGGGCGGTGGTCCGTGAGGAATTCGAGAAGCGTGTCCCTGAGCACCACCCGATGCGTGAGGCCTGGTACCAGGACTCGTTCGACCTCAAGTGCTTTATCACAATGAAGCTTGACGGGCTCTACCGCGACTATATTTACAAGAAGGTTCCCAATGTCTTGTTCTACAAGAATGAGGATGAGGGTGTAGTGTTTCCTCAGTAGTCACTCGTCGTAGTTCCTGGCGATATCCTTGGGTCTACATGGCGATTTCCCAATACATATTATCACGTCTAGCCGCGTGTCATTTGGAGGCACTTTGGCACTTTGGCACTTTACATATTCGCCATCAGTTCCCACAAAGCGTAGCATTCTGGCCATTTCCAGAAATACATTCAAAAAACGGAGTGGCAAAACAAGCACACAATAGATCCACAACACCCCTTTTCCTGTCTGCCTTTTTACCACACAATGTCCGCTACTAAGCGAATATCCCTGTCGCTCTGCTGCAGTCTGCTCTTCATATTCCTTGTATGCGCAGCAGCACCCGACTTGGACATCATGGCCCAGAGTGCCCAGCGGCAGGGTGAGCATAGGCAGAATTCACAAGCGCATGAGCTAGCGCCTGCCCTGCTCCAAACAAGAGTCGTCACAGTCACCCAGATTGTGTCTGTCAATCCACAACCAACTGCAACCGCCAGAGCCACCGATGATAGCGACAACAAGCAGCCAGAATCAGCAAACAACAGCAGTCGGTCCTGGGTAGCATTCGTAATCCTTCCCTTATCCATCTGCCGCGCGCTCGCCACCACCTCTTTCAGCTACTTCATGCGGCCTGTCTGGGGTGTAGCGTTTTGGTCAGTGCGTGTACTCGTATATCGTCCCGCTGTCTTCATATACCTGCTATGTCTGGAGAAGCCGCTGAAGGCACTGATCTCAATATTCCTGTGGATTTTACCGACAGTGGCGTTCATGATGGCCACGGCGATAGTGGGAACGCTGATTGGCGGCACCACAGGCTGGGTCAGCGGCATGCTTACCGGCGCACTGCAATCGGTGGTATCTGGAAACAAGCATGATAGAAAGACTGCCGACGACAAGCCACGGATCGATTACTCAAGGGGACCAAGAGCAGCTGTATCGGTGCGCAGCGCCTCGGAGCCATCACAGGTACAAATTGCTTCTGGTCTAAGGCCATTAAAACCTGTGCATTCGAGGTCCCGCAGGTACGCAGACACCAGGTCGAGCAAAGAAGAGTGGTCGCGTCGGCGCCAAAGCACGATGGCCAAATAAGCAGTGACTGCATCTATGATTTGTAACAAGATATATTGAATCGCCTAATGGCCATACATGCTAAAACATGCTACGTGTGGATCAAGCTGCATGATGCATTGGAGATCATCAGCGGTCCTACCAGCCCCACCCGGGGCGTCCATGCCACCCCCATCCCCATCCTGGCCAGCCACCGTGCCAGCCGCCGTGCCAACCACCGTGCCAACCACCATACCAGCGCCGGGAAAGCGACCCATGAAGGCCATCGAAAGAGCGTGTGCCAAGGTCATGTACGCCCAGACCAGCAAGATCATTCTCAAGGCCAACAATGTTGTCGCCAATGGTGTCGATAGCAGAACCATGAATAGCGGCAGCGGCAGAACCGATGAGTGCAAGAGTAAAGAGCTTCATTGCAGTGGAGTCAAGAGAAGATAAAGTTACTAAAGCAGGTGTTTGCTGAGGAGTCGAATGGATACAGGCCGCTTGAGGACATTTTATACGCAGATGGTGTAATCTGTGCTTTCCAGCAAAACGGGGTCGAGCTCCCACGACCCCCGGCTTTCATCATTTCACACAGAGTTGAACGCCATGCCACACCACATATTGCAATACGCAATGCATCAGCATGTCAATGGCAGTATGCACATCAATTGTCCGCGATGTGCCAAATGTCACAAGGGTAGATGTAGAGATGTCTGTATTTTGATTTTGGTAAAAGAGCTCTACGTAGTTCTTTCCTTAACGAGCAGCCAGGATGTCGTCGATCTTGAGCAGCATCCGCACAGTCTCCGACGACAGCTCGACGGCGCTGGTTGACACAAGCAGCGGCTGGATGACGTTCTCCTCAAGCATATCTGAGATTATGCCCTTGCGCACATTGATTCCGGCGGTCTTCTCGCCATTCGCATGGCGGTTGCGCAGCTCCGTCACGATTGCAATGGGGCTGAGACCCGAGTTCTCAGCCAGCGTGGTCGGAATGACCTCCATGGCCTCGGCGAACGCCTGGAAGCAGATCGCCTGGAAGCCAGTGCGCTGCTTGGCAATCGCCGACAGACGCTGCGAGATCTCGATCTCGGGGGCACCGCCGCCGACAACCAGGGCACGCTTCTTGACGAGGCAGCGGATCACGCACAGCGCGTCATGAACGGAGCGGTCGGCCTCGTCCAGCACGTACTGGTTGGCGCCGCGCATGACGATTGAGGCGGTGCGACCGGCGTTCTTGATACCGCTGATCTGCACGATGCGCGAGCCATTCGACTCGACCTCCTCGACAAGGTCGGCGTAGCCCAGCTTGTCCTCCGAGAACGAGTCGATATCGGCGATGGGCTTGCAGCCAGTGGCCTTGCAGATAAACTCAATCTCCTCGCGCTCGACCTCCTTGATCGCCATGATCTTGAGCTTGGCCAAAAAGTGCAGCGACAGGCTGTTGACGGCGTCGCGCAGAATCGACTTTTGGATCAGAAGCACATTGCACCCGGCCTTCTTGATCTTCTTCACCAGGTTCAGCAGGTAGTTCCGCTCCTCCTTCAGAATGCGGTCCATCTGGCGGTAGTCGTTGACCACGACCTGGTTGTCCATGTCGGGCTTGGGTGGCGACAGCTGGAACTGGATCAGGCCGATCTTGGCCTTCTCGACACGCGTCGGGCCACCGGCGGATGTGATCACGTTCTGGTGCAGGACAACTCCAGGCACAAGCTCGGTGTCGTCAATAGTGCCGCCGACCTTCTTGACAATGCGTACGTCGTTCAGGTCCACGTTGCTGTCAGCCGCCGGATCTACCACCCGCAGCACCGAGTCGACGACGATGGGCGCCAGAATGCTCGAGTACTGCGACACAACCTTGGAGCTCAGCGACGTGGTCGCGCTCTTGAGCAGGAACGCGCGGTCGTCGAGGCTGACGGGCACCGAAATGTCTTCCAGGATCTTGACAGCCTCGATGGCCGCGTACTGGAAGCCCTCTGCAATCTGCGTCGGGTGCACACCCTTCTGCAACAGCTTCTCAGCTGCTGACAGAAGGCTTCCGGCAAGCACAACCACCGAGGTTGTGCCGTCTCCAGCCTCGACGTCCTGCGCCGCCGACAGATCAACCAGCATGCGCGCTGCGGGGTGCAGAACCGACATGTGCTTGAGGATCGTCGCGCCGTCGTTCGAGATCACCACCTCCTTCTTACCGGTCTCGATCATTTTGTCCATGCCGCGCGGTCCAAGACTTGTGCGGATAGCGTCAGCGACGGCTACAAGCAAGCATCAGTTGGCTTAGAAACGCTTACACCATTATACCTTCCGCGCATACACTGTGCTGTGCGGTCTCTCCTTACCCTTGGCTGCTGTAATGTTGCTCAGACGCACCTGCGTCGGCTTGTCCTTCATGTTGAAGGTGTCGTTCTTCTTGCCAGGCTTGGGAGCCGCCTTTCCGCCCGACGGCGCGATAGTTGCAGTGTTGGCCATTCTCTGAAGTCACTTCTCTGGGGCAAATGCGAAAGAAAGTGGTGAATTAGATATGAAAGAGGGGAAAAAGAAAAGAAGCTGATTGCAATCCTGGAAGAATGAAAAACAAACAGCGCAAAAAAGGAGGACCGGAAGGTCATCGAACCCAGCAGGAATCAAAAAATAAACACGACTCGGCTCAGGACCAGACACCAGCGCAGCTCGGCTCTTCGCCAGTTTTATCGCGTTTGTATTGGGGCACCACTACTAGATGCTAGATGTCTACTCCGACGACGGGATCAGCGGATCCTGGCCGCCGACCTTGGCAATGGTCTCGCGCGGCACCTCCGGGCTCTGGCCGGGGATGTAGGTGGGGAACGGAACACTGGCGCCCTCGGGGAACACCTGGTGCTTGATGATCTTGATCGAGTCACGCACCTTGATGAACTGCTCAGTGGGACCCGGCACGGCGCCCTTGACCCAGATGCAGTTCAGCGCCGTGTCGACCTTCATCACTGGCAGCCGCATCATCGTAACGTTCTTGCCACCCATCCGTCCAGGCATCTTCTTTCCCGGGTACACGCGTGCCGGGTTGATGTTACCTGTCGATCCAGGCGTTCTGTGCGCCAGCGAGTTACCGTGCGACGCCCGGCCTCCGCCAAAGCCCCAGCGCTTCATGACTCCCTGGAAGCCCTTTCCCTTGCTCGGCGCCGTGCAGTCCACCAGCTGCCCCGGCACAAAGTGCGCTGCCGTGATCTCTGTGCCCACCGGCAACACTGCGTCGGGCGACACCGGGAACTCAAACAGCTTGCGCTTCGGCTCCACTCCCTGGCTGGCGAAATGTCCGCGAAGCGGCTTTGACACGGCCTTCTCGCGCTTCTCGCCGAACCCGATCTGCATGCGCGCGTGCGATGCGTTGCTGGTCTGCACCACGCTCACCACCTTCACCTTGTCGAGCTGCAGGACAGTCACAGGCACTCGCACGCCCCACTCGTCCCACATCGCCGTCATACCCTTCTTGCGGGCAATCACGCCTGTGCGCTGCGACTCAGCGGTGTACTCGCCCAGCTTCAGCTCTGTGACCTTGGGCGCGTAGCGGATCTTTTCGTGCGGCAGCTTCGCCTTGAAGGCAGCGAGGGTTGTGCTGAACGGCTGCTGCTGCAGGGGTTGCCGGGCGAGTCCCGCAGTGAGGCGGCCGGCGAACAGGGATCGCGAGAACATTTTCAATGATTCGAATCAACTCGTGTGTAAATGTAAAAGGCGTAGCAGGAGAACGTTGAATTGGGACAAAGGCAGGGCAAACGCTGCAAGTGCGATCTAAAAAAACTTATCATAAAGGCAGCACTGATTTCAAGCCGGCTCAGCCTAGAAAATTGCCAGCGAGCTGAATCGCGATCCACAAAAAAGCCAGCCAAAGCCAGCACCCGCATGCCTGGGCTCCGGTCCCGGTCTTCTTTTCTGCACCGTACTTTTCAGCCCCCCGCTCTAGATAATAGACAATGTCAGACACGCAGCTCAACGTTATCACCGTCCGCGTCATCAAAAACTTCGAGTACCGCACGTGCAAGAACCTCATTCTGAAGGTTGACTTGGCAAACACAACCATCGCAGAGCTCAAGGACCTCTGCCGGCAGAAGATCCAGACTGAGGCTGGCTTCAAGCCCTACCGCAACGTTGAGCTCGACACCCTGAAGATCTATACCCAGGCGTTCGGCCACAAAACCCAGAACCTGATCATCAACCTCGAAGACGAGGGGTTCTTGCGGGACGAGCTGGCCACTCTCGAGTTTGCCGGTATCCGCAACGAGACCGAGCTGTCGTTCTTCAACATGGATGCCTACATGGCATACGCCAGGGATCCGAAGATGGCATGGTAGACCAGATGCTTGTTAAACAGATATAGGATATGCATAGCTAAAGAATAAAACTTAAAATGCTGGAAACGAAGGGTGTTCAAATATGCTGTAGGTATTTTTAGAGCTGGCCGTTCTGGTGAAGGTGGCTCGGGTCCTCAGGGGTTGCGAATCCGCCGTGGCCCGACATTGTTGGCGACGCCTGGTTCACCAGCGATGACGCTGGATGCGCAGCAACAACGCCATTCTGCATCGACGGCGACTCTTGAACTGGCGACACGCCGGCGATTGGCACCTGCGGCAGCTGGGGCTGAGGCGACATCTGTGCCTGCTGTACTTGCTGCTGTTGAAGAGCCAGGTTGAACACAGCAGGCAGCGGCGACTGGGTGCCGATCGGCGTGTGGTAGTTCTGGCCGGTCATCTTCTCCAGCGTGTCCTCCAGCGCTTTCTGCATCTCGCACGCATCTTCGTACACCATCGACCCTTCCTCGTTGTACGTGCGCGCATTGTCAAACATCAGCTTCCAGTCCTTGTGGAAGTCCTCGACTGTCAGGTAGTGCGCCGACCTGACCTTCTTGCGGATGTTTTTCATGGCAATTGGGTGGCGGATGATCACATAGTAGTCCGGGTAGTCCCGCTTGCTGGGCACCTCCAGGAACAGGTCGCAGCGCCGACGCTGGTATTCGGGGTCGATGCACGCCTCCACAGCCTTGAACGAGGCTTCGAAGACGCCGTTGAGCTGGGCACGCTCCTCTGCCGCCAAAGGATCGACTGCACCTCCCTTGCGCCGGCCCTTGCGACTGCCCCCAGACGGCGTCGCTGCCCCGGCAGGTGTGCTGGACCCAGTGGCATCGTCATCCAGCTTCGCCCGCTTGCGCCCGCTGCGACTCCTGCCGCCGGAGCTGGGTGTCGCGTCTCCTGACTCGGCCATCACAACGTCGCCAGTCTCGTCGATTGCTGTGCCGCTGCCGCTGGGCGTCTGTGCCATGGTGCTGGTGCCGCTGCCGCTACGGCGAGGACGGCCGCGCTTGCGAGGGTTGCGTGCGGCACTGCCGGTATCGCTAGCTCCCTCGGACGGCACATCGTTGTCGTCGCCAACAGATGCGCTGTCGATGTCGCCGATCTTGCTGCGCAGGTGTTGCTGTAGCAGCTTCTCCTCCTTGCGCTTACGGGCGCGCTCCTCCTTCTCGCGCTTCTTGGCGATGTAGTCGTCCAGGTCGACATTGTCGTCTTCCAGCGCATCGAGCCACTGCTCCTCGGACAGGCCGTCGTCGTAGTACACGCGCCTGCTGTTGCGCGCCTTGTCCTTGACCGCCTCTTCTTCCTTGCGCTGCCGCTCCAGCTCTGGGTCGTAGTCGTGCCGGTACTCTTCGGGCAGTTCGGCCTCAGTGAACAGCCGCTCAGGCAGCCTACCAGTGTTTCCGGCATCCACCCACTCGACCTTCTCTTGCGCCCGCCGCTCCTCGTCCATGCGAGCAAAGATGACCCGTTCCTCGTCACTGCGGGCCAACAGCTCGTTGAGGTCCTCATCGGTGTTGGCTCCGTCCTCGCCTTCACTGTCCTCGCTGTTGTCGTCCGCCTTGAGCAGCGACCGCAAAAAGTTTTCGCGCTCCTCGGCCGTACTCTTCTGGTCAAACTTTCCGGCCTGGATAATCTTGCCGTCGAGGTCGCGTTTGTACTCGGCACGCGCCAGGATCTTCTCTTCCACAGAGTTGGTCGTGATCAGCCGCAGAATACGCACCTCGTTCTTCTGCCCAATGCGATGCGCACGGTCCATAGCCTGGCTATCCGCCGACGGGTTCCAGTCAGAGTCGAAGATGACGACCGTATCGGCGGTCTGCAGATTGAGACCCTGGCCACCAGCACGCGTACTGAGCAAGAACACCTTGAATGGCGAGTCAGGCGAGTTGAACGTGTGCATCTGCTCACGGCGCGCATCGTCAGACGTCGAACCGTCGAGACGCAGCGAGCGGATGCCGCGCCAGGTCAAAAAGTCCTCCATGATCGTCATGATCTGGGTCATCTGGAAGAAAATAAGCACCTTGTGGTTGGTAGCCAGCAGCTTGGCCAGCACGCGGTCCAGCAGCTCAAACTTGCCGGCAGTGCGGTACAGAAGGTTGTTGTTGGTGCGCGTCGGGTTGATGCGCGCCTCCACTTCGTCGTAGACGAACGGGTGGTTGCAGATCTTGCGCAGCTGCATGATCATGTTGTTGAGGCTGGCGTTGCTGCTGCGACCACCAGGCCTGTCAATGCTGACGCCAGGGAACAGCGTGCCAAACTTGCGCATCTGGTGGTACAGCCGCGACTGCACGGCCGACATGCTGCACTTGATGACGTGCTCGACCTTGTCGGGCAGATCGACCTCGACGTCCTTCTTCATGCGGCGCAGCAGGAATGGGCGCAGCACCTTGTGCAGACGCTTGATAATCAGAAGCTGCTCTTCCTCGTTCAGCTCGATCTTGTCCTGTCCTCCAGCGCCGGCAAACGGCGTGTTGAACCACTCGTCAAAGCTCTGCACCGATGAAAACACGCGCGGCAGGACAAAGTTGAGCAACGCCCACAGCTCAGGCAGGTTGTTCTGCAGCGGCGTTCCAGTCAGAATCAGGCGGTACCGCGTGTTATAATACGTGGTCAGAATAGTCGCCAGCTTCGACTGCGTGTTCTTCAGGCGATGGCCCTCGTCAATAATCATGTGGATCCACTTGATCTTGGCCAGCATGGGCCTGTCCTTGATGATGTAGTCGTAGGTCGTCAGCAGGACCTGGAAGGCTCCACGGCGGATCTGGTTCTGCAGCGTGCGGCGCTGGGTGGGGTTGCCCTTGTATCCAATGACTGACACCGACGGCGCCCATTTGGCAAACTCGAGGATCCAGTTGGTGATGGTCGACAGCGGCACAATGATCAGGAACGGGCCATCCTGCTGCTTCTTCTCAATCAGGTATGTCACCAGCGAGATGGTCTGGATGGTCTTTCCGAGACCCATCTCGTCAGCCAGGATACCGTTCAGTCTGTTGTTGTACAGCGACACCATCCACTCGAGACCCCGCAGCTGGTAGTCCTTCAGCTGGCCGCCGATCAGGATGGAGGGCTGTGCCACGATAGGCTCCTTGACGCGATGGGCGACTGCAAAGTAGTCGCGGGTCTGCGCATCGTCCGGATCGTCATCCACAGCTTCGGCGTTGTCCTGCAGCCACGACGGCACAGGCTCGTTGGCACTGACGGGGTTGCTGTCGGTAGCTACCGATGCCTTCTGCTGGCCCACGGCGTCGATGAGTGAGCTGAGGAACTGGTCGGTCTGCTCCAGCAGGTGCGAGATACGCGTGTCCTTCTCCTTGTCGACGAGCTTCAGGTACGCCTCTTCGTCGCCGGCCTTGAGTGCCTGGATACGCTCGCGGGCAATGCGCTCCTTGCGCTTCTGCTCCTCGCGCTCTGCGTGCGAGTGGAATGTCAGGATCGATCGGCCGAGCTTTGACATGCGCTGCTGGTGGCCCTTGTGCCACGCAACAAGGTTCGCGCCATGGTTGGTCATGGCCAAGAGCTGCTGCCGGTGCTGGTCGACCTCGCGGCGCTCGCGCTCCTGCCTCTGCTGCCGCTCCATCTTTTCGGTCAGCCGGGCTTCGCGCTGCGACTGCTTCTTCATGCGACGCAGTGCTGTGCGATCGCCGGCCACACCAAGCTGCGAGGCACGAGTGATTCCGCGGACAACCTCGGCCCGGAGCTCACGCTGCTTGTGCCGCAGGCCCAGCGCCTTGAGTTCAATGATTGATTTTAACCGAGCACTCGACTCGGCATTGGTGATCAGGCCCGGTCGCATAAACAGACCGCCCTCCTGGGCAATGTCGATGCGGTCGTCGCTGATGTTGGCAGGCATCTCCGACAGCTCCTTGATCCGGTACTCAATGCGCGCATCGCGTCTGCGCTCGCGTTCCTGGGCCATTGCTCGCACATCGATGCCAGTGGGCGTGATGCTGGGAACCAGAAGCCGCTGCATCCGCGCGGCCTGGTCTCCACCATGAAGCTTCTCCTTGAGGAGCTGGTGCGGCGAGACAAAGTTTATCGGCTGGGGCAGGGGCGGCAGTAGGAGCTCGACCTTGAAGCCTGAGACATTCGTTCCGTTAGCTTTGAGATTCGAGTGCACTGAGCTGACAACACCGCCGGCAACGCCATCGAGCCCCTCTGGAGGCGTGTCAAGGAGCCGCTTTTCGTCCTCGGGAATGCTGCTGGCCCACAGCTCCTGGCGCAGCTGCGGCGGCAGGGGCTGGTTCTTTGAAACAAGCCTGAACGCATGGATCTGCTTGCGCAGTGTGGCGATGTCGGCCTGTGAAAACTGCGGTGGCGGAACTGCAGGCTCCTTGGTCTGCTGTGACTGCTCTGCTGACACTACCGCTGTGACTGTCTCCGATGACTGTGATCCGTTGGTGGTGCTTCCATTCGTAACTGTAGGCAACGTTGGCTCTGTTTTGACAGGTGTTGCGGACCCAGGCGTTGGCTGCTGCTGCTGCTGTAGTTGCTGTTGGAACTGTTGCTGCTGAGCAGCCAGCTGGCGAATAAATGCCATGAGCTTGGCCATCTCTGGGCTGTTCTCTTCCGTCGCCCCGCGGGCTCGTAGCGCCTGGACAGCCTGGACAACCTGGCTGATCTTTTCTCTAGCATCCAAGCCCGGCTGTTGCTCGCCGCCTCCAGCAACGGTGCTGACCGGGGTTTGTTCTGCCGCTGTCGCCTGCATTTCGCAGAATGCTACAAAATAGAAAGCGGATGCTCTCAGCAAAAGGCGCGTTGATCGTGAAGGGGTGCGAAGGGAAGAAGCGACGAGTGCGGTGCTTACCTGTCAAGCGGGCAAATTGGAGAAGGGTGTGAGGGGCTGGTGAAAAAGCTAAATTGAGTCGAAAGGAATATACGCTGGCAAGCTCTCAAAAGTGCGAGGGCCGAGCGCAGGTGCTTTTTGGAGGTGATCTAGAAGTACCAGGGGTGGGAAGATGATAGCGCACGAGGCGGTGCTGTTATTTTCCAGGCAGAGGTTGTCCCTGACGACGCGAAAAAAAAAAAAAAGAAAAAGTGAGGAAAAAGCTGTTTGGAGCTGAGTGCCACGGATTGCGAGTGATGAGTGAGAAAAGAGCGACGAAAAAAGCATGCAGCTCATTTTCCACCAAATTCTTACGCGGAATAAAGGCCCGCTCGGATTGGCTGTGTGCGCCAGCACGTGGAAGCCAGACACATTATGCTGCCCAATCATGGCCTTGGGCTAATTGGATATATTGAAAACTTGATCGATCAAGGCGATCTATGCGATGGTCTCGCCGGTCTTCTGGGAATCGTCCTCCTTGTCTGTGAGCTGGTTGTAGGCTATGTCGGCGGCAATGGCACTGAAGATGATGGCACCGAACCAGGTGTTGGACTTGAAGATTTTCCAGCACTTTGCCGGATTGTTGATGTCGACAGTCTTGAGCTGCCAGATCAGATGGGCGCTGCCGGCACCCAGCGCAGTCAAGTAAAAAGGCAAGCCCTGGCCGTTCATGTATCCAGCCAGCGAGATTAGACTCATGGTGGTCGCCGAGAATCCCGTGAGGATGAGCCGAGTGCTATCGCCAAACAGCAACGAAGTTGACTTTACGCCAGCGACAACATCATCACGCTTGTCCTGGTGGCCGTATATTGTGTCATACACGAGCGTCCATGACACACCAGCAGCGTAAAGCGGCAGCGTGACGGCCCAGTTCATGCCACCAGTGATAGCAGTCCACCCGACCAGCGCACCCCAGTTGAAGGCGAGGCCAAGCACAAACTGCGGCCAGTACGTGATACGCTTCATAAACGGGTAGATGATGACCAGAGGCATTGATCCGAGCGTGAACGCGATCGTGTACGGGTTGAGCTGGACCAGAACACCCAGGGCGACGGACAGCTGGGCACCTAGGAACACAAATGCCTTGGGCCGGCTGATCAGTCCTGACGCAATGGGCCGGATGCGAGTGCGCTCGACCATCTTGTCAAACTTGACATCCCACATGTCATTAATGGTGCATCCAGCGCCTCGCATGACCACAGCACCAGTGCCAAACAGCGCCAGCATGTATGCCATCTCGGTAGGCGGCATGCCGGTGGTGTAGGCAGCCATGCCGATTCCCCAAGCTACGCAGTAATCCCATCCAGCCAAAGCATTATTAGCGTCTACTTTGTTAAATATTCGCAGTGACATAGGCGTCGATGCTCTGCAACTTACCACACGGCCAGTACAGCAGCCAGGTGCCAATGGGCTTATCGATCCGGGTCAGGAACAGGTATGGCCGGGTGCTCTTTGGGAACCGGTCAATAAACGGTCCGTAGCTGGGCACTGCAGGAACTGCTGGCTCTGATGAGGACAGCGATGCTTCTGCGTTCTTTGCTGGCTGTGTCGACGACGAATACTGGGCGCTGAGTGCAGGGATGACAGAGAGTCGCGGCTTAGCGTAGTGGCAGAGGCTGGTGCCCGAGCTGGCCTGCAGCCGCTGGGTGTGGAGCGACTGCGCACGGGGGCTGAAAGAGCTGCTTGTAGCGCCAGCAGCATGGGCAAGTCGCTGGCTAAACAACGGTCCGCGCAGGTACTGGATAGCCGACAGGCTGCTGCGGGCGTTCACCGAGCGGCCTAGTGTCCGGGAAAGCATCGTCGGGAGAAAAATAGACGTAAAAGCATAAAAGCGAAGCTGAGAAGCGACTTTGCTGATAACAGCCGGGAACTAGCCTCTTGGTTTGCGACTATTTTCCTCCTTCCTGGAGTGGTTTTTTGTGCAAGTCCGCCGCCTCTGCTTTTCTGCTCCACATTAATTTTTTCCGCATCCGAAATTGCCAACCTCACAATGAACCAACGAAGCAGCGTGAAATTCCCCCGCAAGCAGGAGGAGCTGACCAGAGACACGCCCAAGGTGCGCGAGAACTACGACCCACAGCAGCTGATGGAGGAGCTGAAGAACGAGGTCCTGACGGAAGAGGAGCAGCTGCGTATCCTGCAAAAGCTGATCTACCAGACCGACGCCGACATCGAGACCGTTCTCGACGTTCCTAAAGTTGCCGGTTGTGGTCACCCTGATGCTAAACCTGATCTTTGTCTACCGGTACGTGATGGGAGGGCTCGCGGGCTATGGCCGGGGACTGCCGACTCTGCCGTTTGTCAACTACGAGATCCGGTCGCGCAACCCGATCATGGCGACGGAGCTCGGCGTGGTCATACTGCAGTTTGTGTTCTACATGCTCTCATCGCGCAGATGGGGGTGGATCATGAAGTCGATCTATTGGGTGCTTGCGGTCAGCGGAATCGGCCATGCGATGCTTTGCGAAAAGACGGGATTCATCGAGTTCCTGTGGTGGATGCTGCCTGTGCTCAATCTGCTAGTGGTCGGATATGCTCAGCTCAACATGCGGCGGAGTCTGCTTGACATTGAGGAGCTTGCCAAAAAGACGTATCACGTCAAGAGTGCCTAGGCGCTCTCTCTTCTCATCTCTGTATATTACATTTTTCAAGGGTGTCAACAGTTGAAGTCTTTATTAACAAGAATGATGATGCAGCTTCAGATACCGAGTGAAATCTAGTAGATACGGCCAGCGAATCCACCAAAGCCGCCAAACGGTGGAATGCCAGCCCCAACTCCGGCTCCAACCCCAGCGCCAACCCCAGCACCGACTCCTGCACCGACTCCCGCTCCAACTCCTGCCCCGACTCCCGCTCCCAAACCAGCGCCGTAACCGCCAAACATACCGTATCCGCCGCCAATGCCATAGCCTCCACCAAACAGCCCGTACCCAGCGCCAACACCAGCGCCAACACCAGCACCAACACCAGCACCGACTCCCGCTCCGACTCCTGCCCCGACTCCTGCTCCAATTCCAGCACCGACTCCCGGGACACCATAGAACTGAGCAGAAGCAATGGTGCTCGAAAGGGCAATAACTACGGCAAAGATCTTGACCATTATTGATATAAGGGTGTGCTGTTGATATGTGATTGAAAGTGAATTGCAAGGGAATATCGCTGTGATATGGAGTTGCTGGAAGATACAGCGCTGCACAAGGGATATTTATATTCGACTAGCCCAAGCGATACCTCCTGCATGACTCTCACATCATGAAATTACCACACATTTGCCAGTCAGTAGATAGGTTAGTAAATTGGACAAAACACAGATGGAACTACGGTACAGTATAGAGTAGAGTTTAGATGGTAAAAGAAGTCAAATGAAAGAAAGCTATATAAACAGTAGATGGCCAGAAGGATGCAGCTTGCGTCGCTCTCCTTCTGTTCTGCCACTTTTCGGAGACAAGGGGCACCGGGCATGAGTATGAACACATTGAGCGTGTGTGGGTTTTTCATATTGAGAGCGTAGCCCAAGCAGTTGGCAGCACTGATCCCAGGCATGACGTAGTGGAGCGTAGCAGCAGTGACGCCTGCGCTACTGCAAGCACTGCGGATCGTATCAACGCACTTCATGGCAACAGAGTAAGGACAGGATCGTGCCTGCTGCGTGCCCAGGCGGATCACCCTCGATAGCCAGCGCAAGCAGCGTCCAGATAATCTCCTCCACTGGCCGCACATTGCCATACTTGGGAGCGCGGATATCAGCAAACGACGGCAGCTCGACTGCCAGCCACCAGCACTTTGTGCAATCGAGCACCCAGAGCACCAGACACTCGCTGCCAAACGCCATGTTAACAGCAGCATGCCCTGCGATGTCGTCAGGGTCGAGGATACACGTCTGCGGACTCATATGGAGCGTATCCCGCAGATGCACGAGCCAGCGCTGGACAGCGCCGTGGCTCATAGTCGGCAGTCACCAGGTATGCCAGGTGCTCGGACGACGAGTCCTCGGGGTCAAGCACAGACAGCGTATACAGCGGGTATCCGTTGATGTTGGTGCCCATAGCGCGTTCCAGCGACAAGACAAGCGACGGACAGTGGTCTGTTGGCGATGGAAGGCACGATGCTGCCTGCGCACGCACAAAGCCAAACGAGAATGGCTCTGTTTCGACAAACGGCAGATGGCCAAGAGTCTTCCACAGCGCCATCCACTGAGTCAGGCCGGTGGTTGCGTAGGGCGCCGGGGCAGGCGCAATCTGTATGTCCTGCGCATACAGTTTGGACAGCTCGCCAGCACTTGCCAGCGCTCCGGCCCCGGCAATGTGCGTGCTGGCCGACGAGGCCATGCTCGTATATGAGATGAGCGGTGTGTCGGGAATTGGCGTGTACTGGACGGGCTCAGGGGCTCGGTCGGCAGCGTGGTTGACGAGGATTCCGACGAGCTGTTTCTGGCCACACGTCTGCTGTGTTTCCTGGCGCTCTTCTTGGTCAGCTCGTGGCCATGGTGCATCGGGAAGTAGCGGATGGTGGCGGTCCCATCGATATCGCAGGTCACATAGGCGGCGCACGGACACCCGACCTTCTTTGACTTCCTCGTGTTCTTTGCAACCCGGCCCTCCAGCACTGCGAATTTTATCTTTGGCCTTGATTTCAGGGCGGCCGTAGCAATGGCACACGTACTTGCAGTACCATCCGCGCACGCGCTTCTTCTTGCCGCCGCACTGGACAAACCGGAAGTTCCCTACCTTCTGCTCCTTATCAAGCCAGGCCGGGATCTGCGACTCATGCATGGTGAAGTGCTTGCAGTGGCCCATCCTCATCATGCTCTTCGACAATGGTGGCCGAAGGGCTGGGGCTCTTGTCGGCGACCAGCTGGCCAGCAGAGGGAGTGAGGGGAGGGGCCATTAGGAACTGCAGCTCGGTGAGCGGCTGGTCAGGCACAGCAGCCGGTGGGGTCAGCACAGGGCCGAACAGGTCGCACGCTAGTGGCGCGCCCGTCGAAGGGGCAGCAATGGCTGAGTCAGGGCGGATGCCGAAGCCAGGAGCGCTTCGACATCCGGCCCGAGATTAGACGGGTCGTCACTACTACTACCAGGCGGGCGGCTGGTCAGCGAGGAGTAGATTGGGGATGTGGGCGGCAGCAGGAGGCTGCGAGTTAGGCGCAGGGACAGGCTGCCTGGACCGCCAGACCTCTTTCCCGAGCTGCTGGAGTTGTTCATTGAATACAAGGGGTGCATCTTGTGCGAGTTGCTGCAAAAAAAATCTGAAATGATGTCTGAGCTTGCGTATTTAAAGGGGGAGCTATTGGAAAAGCAGATGTAACAATGTGAGAAAAGCGCAGGGAGGCAAGGGGAGGCTAGCAGGGAGTGGGTATATAAAGTGCTCTGTGGGGGGGATGAGGTGGTGGGAATGGCCGAGCGCGACGCCCAGTGACAATGGGCGAGTTTGCTGGAAGGGAAATCCGAGCGACATACACTTTTTGGCGCCTAATGCGGGCACGATTTTGCTTGTTTTGACCACCTCAGGCATCGTGACCCAAGGCTGCCATTCATTAGCAGCAGCATATTTAACGCGCTGCTGGCGAGTTCGTGTGCACTCCTCTCAGGTAAGCTGGTGATCGTAGAGCGATACTGCACGCAGCTCAAGAGCATGGTTCCCAGAAAAAACCAACATTCAGCCGTCCTTCAGCAGAGCCCTTAGAACGCCGAGCGTTTCCCTTCGTCGATCGCGGAATTCAGGCCTGATAGACAAGCATTTTGACATGGGCAGCACCCAATTGCAAGCAGCGAGTTGGAATCGAGTGTTCCCGCGCTGTCACGCACATTCACCGTATGACATGCGCCGTGATATCACCACAATCGCTATATATTTTTGGTGCCAGCCTACAAGAACCCAACTAGGCACTGGTCAAGAATCATGTCGACGTTGACCCACGAATGTGTCTCGGCAAACAGCTTGGATCCATCCTTGCCTGCTGCCCTCATCAACTGGCCGCGGCCGCCAGGGTGAAAGTTCATATACCTAGTGACATTGTAGACCTTGCCGTAGATGACCATCCAGCAGTCGTCACGTTTATTGTGCTTTGCAACCTCCTCCATTGTCAGACGCCGCAGCTGCTGCACCCCGCGGAGGTCCTCGCCTGAGGACTTTAGGCGCGCCCAGTCCATTGGCGAGTGACCCGGGGCCAGCGCAACCTTGTGCCGCACGCGGCCTGCAGTCGTAGATGCAGCAAGCTGCGGGCTGTTCCGTGCCGGGAAATTGAATGATGTGGGTTTGGGAAGAGGTGCCAGTCCGGTACTCCGCGCTGCTGATGTGCCCTGTTGCTCCTACAATCGTGGACAGAAGTGCCGGTTTTCAGCCTAAACCGCCTAATCGATTGACACGAGGTGCTCTGTCCGATATATGTACCTCGCGTGGCGGCGGTAGCGACATTATCCGGAGTGTATGTGAAAGTGACTGTGTTTATGCAGATGCTGGAGAGAGAAAGGCACATCGGAAGTGCCTGTGCGCCCGCCAATTTGTCATCTCGGCCACAGACATCCTGGGAAATAGCCAGCCCATGGTCGGAATCTGATCGATCAGCTGCTCTCTGGATCAGGCAGCAGAAAAAAAAGGTTGTGCCTGCTGCCCTCCTCACTAACGCTCCAGTCCTTGCAGCCTCCTATATCTTATTGCAAATACACAACAGAAACACGCAGAATGGCGGGTGGAATCAGCAACAAGCGGCCGCGCAACAGCAGCGGGTTCTCGTCAGACCTGGATCGGCGGGTTGGGCGGCTGCTGCGCGACTACATGGTTGAGGAACAGGCAACAACGACTGGGCCGTTTTCGTTTCCCAGTACCTCCAAGCTCGTCGACTACGTGCGCGAAGTAGACATGAGCCTGCGGCGACAGAAGCTGCTGCAGCTGGAGAAGAGCGTGCAGCGAGTGGTGGGCGTACTGAGACGCCAGCAGGACAACCAGCAGACGCAGTCGGCGGCGCCATCAGCCGCACACACCAGCGACGAGGAGCCAGATATCGACGGATCAATGGACTTTGACGACCTGGAGGCAGTGCCGACGATGGAGGTCAAGGACAACGGTGCAATGAACGGGTCGCTAATGAAGCTGTGGGGAGCAAAGGCGGAGAGCGCAGCAGCGGCAATGAACACAGCCACCACTGCGGCCAGCACACCGCAGAGAGAGGCGACGCCGGATGTGACGGCAGCTGGCCATGCGGGGACGCAGGAGAAGCGGCGCACGGATGACCACGAGACCACAGGCAAGGACCGGAAGAAGAAGCGGGCAGCCAAGGGCCCTGACCGCACAAAGTACACGCCGCCCGAGACACGGCTGTCGGACCTGGGCGGAGTCGACGCATGCATCGAGGAGGTGCTGGAGCTCATAGTGATGCCGCTGAAGCACCCCGAGATCTACCTGCACACGGGCGTCAACCCGCCGCGCGGAGTGCTGCTGCACGGGCCCCCTGGCTGTGGCAAAACCATGCTGGCCAACGCCATCGCCGGAGAGGTCGGTGTCCCATTCCTGCAGATCTCGGCGCCCTCGATTGTGTCGGGCATGTCGGGCGAGTCCGAGAAGAAGCTGCGTGAGGTGTTTGAGGAGGCCCGGGATCTGGCTCCCTGCATTGTGTTTATCGACGAGATCGACGCAATCACGCCGAAGCGCGAGACGGCGCAGCGCGAGATGGAGCGCAGGATTGTTGCACAGATGCTCACCTGCATCGACGATCTGTCGTGGGAGAAGACGGACAACAAGCCGGTCATGTTGATCGGCGCCACAAACCGGCCTGATTCGCTTGATCCGGCGCTGCGCCGTGCGGGCCGCTTCGATCGCGAAATCGCCATGGCTGTGCCCGACGAGGACGCGCGCGAGCAGATCCTACACGTGCTGTGCCAGAAGCTGCTGCTGTCGGGCGACTTTGACATCAAGGAGCTGGCAAAATGCACGCCTGGATACGTTGGCGCTGACTTGACGGCCCTGACCACTGCAGCTGGTATGATTGCCGTCAAGCGCATCTTCCACTCGATGCAGGCGCTGGCGCCAAGCACGCTGGCTGACAAGCTGGCGCTGGCAGCGGTTGATGGCGATGTCCCGGGCGCAGCCGAGAGTATGAGTGTTGATCCAGTCAGCGGCCAGGAGACACCGATGCCAATCAGCACTCCAGCGCGGTGGGACGCACAGCCAGCAGACCGCAAGCTCCGCACCATCGCCGATTTCCTGGCCTCCCACCCGGACCCGCTGACAACCGAGGAGCTGGCGCCGCTGGCCATCTCCAACGCCGACTTTATTGAGGCCCTGAAGAAGGTTCAGCCCAGCGCCAAGCGCGAGGGCTTCGCAACCGTGCCGGGTGTGACCTGGGACGACATTGGCGCGCTGGGCAAGGTGCGCGACGAGCTGCGCATGGCCGTGGTCGAGCCGATCCGCCAGCCGGAGCTGTTCGCCAAGGTCGGCATTACTGCTCCCGCGGGAGTCCTGCTGTGGGGCCCGCCTGGCAACGGAAAGACGCTGCTGGCCAAGGCTATCGCCAATGAGTCGCACACCAACTTTATCAGCGTCAAGGGCGGCGAGCTCATGTCCAAGTATGTCGGCGACAGCGAGCGTGCGGTGCGCCAGGTGTTCTCCAGGGCGCGGGCATCGAGCCCCTGCGTCGTGTTCTTTGATGAAATCGACGCCCTGTGCAGCCGCCGTAGCGGTGAGCAGAGCGAGGCGTCGGCGCGTGTGGTCAACACGCTGCTGACTGAGATTGACGGCATGGTGTCGCGCAAGGCCGTGTATATCATCGCTGCCACCAACCGGCCTGACATCATCGACCCAGCCATGCTGCGGCCGGGTCGACTCGACAAGCTGTTGTACGTCGAGCTGCCGACGCCTGCCGAGCGGGCTGACATCCTGCGCACGCTGACTAAAAAGACCCCCCTGGCCGACGATGTCAGCCTGGACGAGGTTGCTGCTGACTCGCGCTGCGACGGCTACAGTGGCGCCGACCTGGCTGGCCTGATTCGCGAGGCTGCGGTTGCTGCGCTGCGGTCTGTGTTCCTGGCTCAGGACTCTGGTGCTGCGCAGCCTGGCGGCTCCATCCTCGTATCGAAGGAGAACTTTGACACCGCGCTGTCTTGCATTGCGCCGTCGGTGTCGGCCTCCGACATGAAGAAGTACGATGCCCTGCGTAAACTGTACGGCAAGTGATATGCTATATTTGAAGAAACTATGCCAGAATACATCTACCTACATGAAGCAGCGCGCCCATTACTACTCGCTCGGCTTATTCTTCGATCACTCCAAACAGCTTCATCTTGAGCTTGTTCGACTCGTGGCCCTGAGCGAGCTCCTCGGCAATGGCATCGCCCTCGCGCAGAATGCCTGCATACGACGCGTCCTTTGTGCGTCTCCTTGGAGAACAGCGAGATCTTCTCGGCCAGGTCCTTGACTTTCTGCGATGTGTAGTCGTTGTTGGTGATCAGTGGTGACTGCGACAGCGTGTTGATCCAGTGCTTCCGCCACAGCCGCTCCATCAGCTGCTGGTCCATTGACGACTTGAAGTAGCTGACCTCCAGCGAGTAGTACTTGTCCGAGTGCACGCCAAAGTCCTCAATCTTGCTCAGCGGCACATTCCCCTGGTTGCCGCCCGCCCCAGTCGTGCCTGCCGCCTGGTGGTTGTCGGGGAACGTCCGGAACGCCCCGAGGTCGACCTTGCCTGCCGACATTGTGCGCTTTGGGTCAACCACCACCGCCAAAAACGGCTCTGTGAACTGCTGGTTCAGCTTCTGCGTCGCAACGTCAATTCCCGACAGCCAGCACCCGTACCCCGGGTGCGAGTGGTACCATCCGATGACCGGCTCGTTCCGCCCTGCCAGCCGTCCGTTCTCGATATACTCCACCATGTACTCGTTGCCCTCCGCCTGCGCATTTACTCGCGTCTCTGTGCTCTCCACAGGCAGCCCAAAAGCGTCCAGCACTATCATGGTCTTGCCCACCACCTTGCCCAGCATGATGCCCATCACTTCGATGTCGCCGCCCGAGCGCGCGTGCATGACCATTTTCACCAGCGGCAATCGACGAAATTTCCACCTTCTCGTAGTAGTAAATGTCGTTCCTCCACGGCCTCTCCTCGGTCTGGCTCTTCTGCTGCTCGCTGTCAAAGCAGTACACCTTCTCGTCCGCGCTGCTCAGGGGAACAATGTTGTTCTCGAGCTCGAATATCTTTAGCGCGTCCTGGGAATCCATGGTGTCCAAAGCAGAAAGGTGTGAAATTATTATGACTGCGTGGACAGAACTGAGAGCGCCCAGGGGCTGTTAGTAGTGGGGTCTGGGTTTCGGGCGCAGCCAGGCAGCGACCACGTAAACAGCCACCTGACGATCTGATCGCCATTAATCCGACGATCAGTGATTTTTTTCTCGGTCTCGTTTTTTTTTTTTTTGGTCGGTTGCTTGAACGGATCGTGATTATGCCAAACTGCCAGCAACTGCTTCTTTGCCTTCCCTCTTCAGCAATTTCCAGGTTCTCTGTCCATTTTGTTTATACGCGGCACCAGTTACGAGAACATGGCGAACGACAAAGTCAACGAACTGATCAAACTGCATGCGCTCCTGACCGAGCTTGGTCTGGAGAAGACCGTCACCACGCTGATGGCCGAGGCGGCCCAGCTTGGTACCGATAATAAGCAGGTCCAAAAGTTCCTGGAATCTATCCTAATCAAGGAGGGCCAGATGGAGGTTGACAAGCCAGAGGACCAGAAGGCGAAGAAATCGAAGAAGGAGAGCTCGTCGTCTAGTTCTTCTAGCTCATCCAGCTCGTCTCGAGCTCGTCCTCTAGCTCGTCCTCGAGCTCGTCAAGCTCTGAGAGCGAAGATGAGAAGAAGAAGTCAGGTTCTAGCAGCTCTTCGTCGTCGTCGTCGTCAGTCAGTCAGCAGCAGCAGCAGCAGCAGCGAATCTGGAAGCGATTCGAGCTCTAGTCTCCAGCTCCTAGCTCTGATTCTGGTAGCTCTAGCAGCGATTCGAGCTCAGGATAGCTCCAGCTCTGATTCTGACAGCTCTAGCTCAGACTCGGATTCCGATAGCTCAAGCAGCGACAGCGATTCGTCGTCGTCGTCGTCGTCGTCGTCGTCAGACAGCGATTCGTCTTCATCCTCGGACTCGGAGGACGAGAAGAAAAAGGATGAGCCCCCAGCAAAGAAGCGGAAGGTTGAGTCGGCACCTGCCCCAAAGCCCAAGCAGGAGGCTGTCATTGCCCAGAAGGCTGCTCCGGCAAACACAAGCAGCGGATTCCAGAAGCGCGGTACTGTCGCCCAACGCGCCCAAGGTACCGTTCTGCCGCATTCGCCCCGAGGACGTTCGTCTACGCTGACAACCGCCTGAAGGACAACCGGTACATGAGCAAGGGCGGTGTTGATGGCGATTTCGGCTACAAAGCCCACCGCGACCTGATCGTGACCCGCGGAAAGGGATTCACCAAGGAGAAGAACAAGAAGAAGCGCGGGTCGTACAGCGGCGGCAAGATCACCATGGAGTCGCACTCGATCAAGTTCGACTAGTGCCGGATGTGACTTTTTCACTCTGTCGCTTGCCTCCTCACCCTCCCTATACAACTACTTTGCACTAAAAAATACTCCAATACCAACCTTCTACACCTAGGCCGATTTATTGTTCATTTGGATTGCAATTTGGCTATGTGCCTTTCTGGAGTCAGGGATTCGCCATATGCGCATTCGGCAAACCTTGGTTTTGTAGAAATGGATAATATCGCAATGAATAAAGGTCGCCTTTGCTTCAAAGAATGCCATGTCGGATATCCATTGTAGCCTCATTGACTTTTCGATTGTACAATGCAGAGGGATATCCAATGTAGTATTGATCGCCATCCCCTCAAGTATGCCTTGCTGGGCATATAAATGCACGTATGCTGCAAGGTCCATCCTCATTCAATTCATCAACAGCATTAACAGCATTAACAGCATTAACAGCACTTGCATTTGCATAAATATCATCAACCCCAGCAGCATCACCCCTTCACTTGGACTACATTCAACATGGTTTCTCTCAAAGGCTCAATCTCTTTGCTTTCTTTCCTGTTATGGCAGTATCCATTCTGTAGCAGCAGCTGGTGCCGCTGGCACTCCGGCCGTCCTGCGTCGTGGCACTGCCGACTCTATTGCAGCTGTTGGCGAACCTTGCTTGCCTGACTGACAACACCTGGCTGTACCCGCGATGGAAAGACGCTTATTCAGTGCAATTCAGGAAAGTGGAGCTCTCTTAAGGACTGCGGAGCCGGCATGGTATGCAAAAGCAACAATTGTGCATTCGACTTCTCAGCATCTACTTCGTCAGCTCCAGCTATCATTGGCCACACTGCTAATGTTATCACTGTCCAGCAGATCACCCCATCGATGTCCTTCGGGTCCCCTCAGTCGTCCGCAACATCCATGGCCTCCTCCACCAGCGTGGGCTCTACGCCCTCCTCGTTCCCCCGCTTCTTCCGGCGATTCCACAAGCAACCAACCAAACTCGAAGCTGTTTGACAAATACGGATTCGACTGTACCAGCTTCCCTGATGTTCTAAGCAAGGCTGGGAAATAACAGCGAGGAGTCATTCAAGGCAAACATCGCTAAGGCCTGCAATGCATTCTCATCTCATGCCAGCAGCACCATGTTTAAGACACCAACCGAATTCTATATGTTTCTGGCCAATGTCATTCACGAGTCTGCTTGGCTACAGACTGTTGTGGAGTACAAGAGCATCACCAACCTGACTGGCTGCGCCTCTACTTACCACAACGCAACGAACCCGAGGTGACCAAGTGGAATGCCATGGCATTCCCTAACGGATCCTACGACCCTAACAAGACCGTCTACTTTGGGCGTGGGTATCTGCAGCTTACCTGGGCCTACAACTACGGCCCTGCCTCATTGGACCTCCTCGGTAACCTGGATCTGCTTATTCACCCCGAGCGGGTTGCCAATGAGCCAGACCTGAGCTGGGGAACCGCTTTCTGGTACTGGAAGGCAAAGCTCCACTCTGCTGCTGGCGTGACCAAGGGGCAATTTGGCGCATCAATCAATGCTATCAATGGTGATCTTGAGTGCTCAAAGGTCAATAACGAGAGTGCCAAATCCCGTTTGGAAATTTACAAGAAGCTTTTGGGCAAGTACGCTCCGACGATTAAGGTTGACACTGCTGGGTGCAAAGGCCTGGAGCGACTCTAGCCTGCTGCAGAGCAACTCCTCATATTACTCCTCACGTCAAATAGCATATTCATAGGTACTTCAAAGTGCAGAATTGTAAACACTACACACCAATTGCATGTATCTGCGTATTGGTGGTGGTCGCATTTGGCCATGTGTCCAGCACCATGGACAAGACGCTTGACATTGATATGGACATGAGTTGTGCACAAATGCAGAGAAACCATGGCGCTGACAGGCACGTGCGGGGTAATCAATTGGCTGCACGCTTGTTTTAGGATGCCATTGATTTTGCCTGCTGCATTTCTGTGTTGTGGTCAGTCGAAAGTCGCCTCTATTTCCTCTCTTCGCTCTTTGTTTCTACTTCCCTCCTTTACAACTTAACACACAGCAAATGAGTTTCTTTGGGCTTGGGTAAGTCGACGAGATTGGCACGTTGCTGGCGAGATGCTCATTGGGGAAAGGCATTTGTTAATTCGGCATGTCTTTCTTTCTGCTGGGTAGTAAGCTGACTGGTATCGGCAAACAGAAGCGGCCGAGCACGCCGTCCTCAGGGGGCTCAAAACAGGAGGTGCCTCTGTTCCTGCGGCACAAATATGCGCTATCGTACCTGGTAAAAGGCAGCTTCAAGGGCGTCGTGCAGCAGCCAAAGTACACAGACCTGAACGAATGGCTGTCGCTGAACACATTCGAGTTCTTCAACCTGGTGAACATGTTCTACGGCGTGATCACGGACTTTTGCACCTATCAGCGAATGCCCATCAATGAGCGCTGGGCCCACACACGGAGTATACATGGACAGACACGCAGCGGAAGACAATCAAACTGTCGGCGCCGCAATATATCGACTATGTGTTGTCTCAAATCCAGACAACGCTCAACGAGGAGCGCGTATTCCCGACGAAGGTCGGGTCAGAGTTTCCCAAGGAAATCCGCCACACGCTAAACATTATCTACAAGCACCTGTTCCGTATTCTAGCGCACATCTACTGGTCACACTACCCGGAGCTATTGAACCTGCGCATGGAGCGGCATATCAACTCGCTGTTCGCGCACTTTATCTCGTTTGTTAAGGAGTTTGACCTGCTCGATAGAAAGGACTTGGCGCCAATGGCTGACCTCATTGCCCTCTACGAGCAGCATGGCATCATTAGCTAGAGCCGATGCAGGCGATATCGGGGGGGGTTTGACAGTGTACTTCTCCCAGCCCTTTTCTTTTACATCTTCTCCGCGCTGCATTGAGCGAGCTCAATAAAGTCATTGAAAATATTCTAGACAAGGTAGGTGACATGCCGGCCATATCTGGCACCTGCCCTATGCAATACTTGGAACAAAGGGTCACTAGATGGATCTTTGGATCGCCTATGTCCCACTGAGATCAAGCGCGTGTAGAGCTACATACTCACAAGTGATATTTCTTCTAGCGCAGACTGGCCCGGGTGCATGCACCAGCACAGCGCCAGTGCTGGTCGTATAAAAACTGTGCTGTGCTGGTGCCAGATGCTGTTTCTTTAGAGCCTCGCTCATATTCTCAATTAGGCATTTCTACATCCTTTTACTAGCAATGCATTGCCACCTCCCGCTTATAGCTCTTGTCACCCTGGCCTTGGTCAACGCGATCCCTGTCGAGGCTGACAACACGAAAGAAATGCTGCTTGAGAGGCGTGGGCTGCAGTTTGCTGCCAATAACCTCTTCCCCAGCTCCCGCTTTGTTGGACCAGGCTTTTCACACACCACTGTGTTCCCTGGCCTGGCATTCTCGGCTGGTAGTGGTCAGATTTTCAGCGGTGGCGGTTCGTTCGGCTTGGGTAGTTTTGGCGGGATTGTATCGTGCAGTGGTACTGCTCCTGGTATGCCTTGTCCTGCCCCAGCCCCGGCTCCAGTTCCTGAGCCTCAGCCTCAGCCTCAGCCAGCCCCTGAGCCCCAACCTGCTCCGGCACCCGCTCCTCAGCCATGTGACCAGGGCCAGGCTCAGGGTCAGGGATGCCCAGTTCCTGCACCACAGCCTGCTCCTGAGCCTCAGCCCGCCCCCCAGCCTGCACCGCAGCCTGCACCGCAGCCTTGCGACCAGTCTCAGGGCCAGGGATGCTCTTATGCAAGCACGGCGCCAGCTACGTTCAACTTCAGCAACAGCCAGAACAGCAACCTCCAGAATATCCGGTACCGCGAGAACACTCTGTTAGCGAACAACGAGGAAGCTAGTGCTAGGAACATCCAAGCAGGTGCAAACACGAATCTGAACTACATGGGTCCGGGCTGAGGCCGCTGTTGGCCCAGTTATACGCTTTTGCGATGTGAATGCCTCATGCTATGCGGTTGGAAATTAACGACAGCCCGAATGTTAGGCAGATAAATAGCCACTTTGGTTTTACGCAATATGATCATTATATGCATCTACAAACAATGCGTACACAACTACACATAGTGTATTTGAACCTTGTTGACATTCGAGGTCCGGAGTTTCCCAGCCCCACCATGGGCATGGCCGAAAGGCATACATACAAAGACCCAGACAGACAACCAGCTTTCCTCCTTCCCCTCAGTCATATATTAGAGGTTATTTTTCCATATACTTTTTAACCACTCATCCCCTATATTAACAAAACTTACTCTATTTGGCACACATTGCAGGATGGCCGACAAGAATAACTGGAGCTTTCTGTGACATTGGAAAAGAGATATGCCCCTACGCGTAAATATTTAACAGACTACAACGCTTTAAAAAGAGTATTTATTGCCGAGTGTAACTCATAAATAACAAACTTTTTGGCACAAATTGCGAAGAGCATCCATGATATCACTACGTTTACACAAGAACCTAGGGCAAACCTTTGCAGGCTACTTGGTGATGCCGAGTTATCCATAAATGATAGCAACTGCTTGTTGTTGATTTAGAGATACCCATCTTGCTTCGAACGCAACTCAACTCAATTGGCTGGTCCCAGTTCAGACAGGGGTGCAGCCCTCATTATACGTCACCAAATTCCCTGGTTGGTCCTTGCCCTGTTCTAGCTCTGGAAGCAAACTTACCTGAGCTGTGGTAGAACATGATTTTGAACATTTTGAGTGTTTAGGGATAAAAGAGGCAACAAGGAGTCGAGATAGAGTGGGTGGTGCTCTTCTCTGGATCTATATCCCCTTTTGAAATAGTCCATATGCACAGTTTGCTTTTGACAGCCCTTTTGTACTGGTGCAGTTCCCCCTTGTGAAAGTGCTGCACGCTTACAGAAAAGCGTTTCCGATTACGCAGTCAGCTAATGCAGCCCAATATGAATTAAAGCCAGGGCTGCCCGACAAGACAATGGCATTCTGGCAGGCTGTTAGACTGTGTGCAAGAGGGCGGGGCTCCGGGATGCAAATGCGCAGGTGCTGCAGAGCCAGGAGAAAATATATTGCTTGACAGAAATCTTTGCTGTCGCAAGTACATGTGCTGGCCAAGATCTGCACATGGGTACCTGCCTCTCTGTTTTCAATGGCAGCCAATTCAATGATGCTCACATATGCTGTAGATACTATGCGTAATGCCGAGAAAAAAGTGGCCGATTTTCTTGTCAGCTCAAGAGCCAAGACCTCAGATCACCACATGAAGGCATCTTTTACCGATGTACTGTACCCTGTGCGGCTTTTCCATCTCTTCTTTCCTGCTTGCCGAGCTTGACGCTATCGACAGCTCAAAACATGTACCGAAATTATTTTCAGCATGTATCTGAAGCATGTATCTGAAGCATGTATCTGAAGCATGTAGCATTCAACAAATGTGCTCAACAGCTGCGCACTGCACGATTTCAACAAATGACCATAATGACTCTGATTGCAGCAAAAGGCATGTCCATTATCAGAGTGGACCGTGATAAGGGCCAACGCAAGCGCCCACAGTCCCCTTACTTTTACCACCTTCTGTACTATCCCCCTCTACCCACAAAAATTTCCCAAATGACTATGGCTGTGTCAGATAAGCGGCTTGCCGACGAATACACAACCCGCGACAAAATCCTAGTTCTCAGCCTAGTGTCCTCCATGGGCACTGAAAGCTGGACCAGGATCTCCGAGACACTTGCGCGCTGCCCTGGGGCGCTCTCCAAACCCTCGCATATCCCCACCGACGTCGAGTGCCAGCGGATATACACAGACTTGGTGCCGGCCGGCAGCACAGTCAATTCCAAAGAAGCAATCCGCAGAGTCCTGCACGCACTGAAGGAGCAGCGGATCGATGAGCTTGCTGGTGAGCTCAAAGTAGTTGATTCAGAGCTTAAAATTGCCGAGCAGCAGCAGCAGGCGAGACGCGCGGTGGAGCAACTCGAGATGGCACGGAAGAAGGAGGAGGACGATAGGCGGATTGCTGAGAAGGCGAAAGAAGAGGAAGAAACCAAGGCAAAGCTGGCTGCGGAAAAGGCGAGGCGTATGGCGGAGGAGGAGAAGGCGAAGCGCGAGGCAGAGGAGCTTGCACAGAGGGCAGCCGAGGAGAAGGCCAAGGCGGAAGCCGAGGAGCTGGCCAAGAAGGCTGCTGAGGAGAAAGCAAAGGCAGAAGCAGAAGCCGAGGCAGCAGCAGCAGCAGCAGAGGCAAAGGAGAAGGCTGACGCAGAAACCAAAGCCAGGGCGGAGGCAGAAGCCAAAGCCAAGGCTGGAGCAGAAGCCAAGGTCAGGGCGGAAGCTGAAGAGAAGGCAAAACTCGAAGCCGAGGCGAAAGCTTTGGCTAAACCAAAGGTTAAGGAGACGGAAGAAGAGGAGAAACAGCATCAAGAGGAGACAATGTCTGAGCCCAACGAAGAGGAGGGCGAAGAGGAAGCGAGTGAGAGGAAGGATGAGACTGAGGCCAACGGTGAGCAGGAGCCTGCTTCAGAGACATACTCGACACCTATGGAGCACCCTGGCGAGGAGGAAGTGGGCTCCAAACCCGAATCCAAGGATAGCACACAGCGCGAAACTAGAGGTGGCAGCATGACTGAGGAGACTGAGGAACTGCAATCCGAGAACAATGAACAATCAGCCGAGCTAGTCGAGGAGACGAGTCGCGTCGATGCACAAAATGACGTTGAGACAATGGATGTCGATACCGCCAAGCAGGGCGAGGCAGAGGCAGAGCCGTCCGAGTCCGAAGACATCAAACCCAAGCCGCCGGCCACGGCAAGCCGGCCAACCTCGACTGTGGATGAGCAGCAACTGCGGAACTGGAAGAAGAACGTGAATATGGTGTGGCGGGACATCTCAGGACACCGCCTGGGCAGCATGTTCAACACGGCGATCAAGAAGGCGGACGCGCCAAACTACTACGAGGCGATCAAGGAGCCGCTAGACCTGAAGGCGATCAAGAACCGGGTGCGCGACGAGGAGATCACGACCACGGTAGAGTTTTACCGCGACGTCATGCATATGCTGCAGAACGCGCTCATGTACAACGGCGAGGAGACAGAGGTGTACCAGATGACGATGGAGATTATTCCCGACGCGCGTGCCTGGATTGAGCAGCTGCTGCAGACCGAGGCGGCGGTGATTCCACGCGATGACGAGCCCGCGGGCCATGCATTGCGAGTCAAGATTGATGAATTGGAGGACCAGGAGAGCGACTCGTCGGTCAATGAGCCCATGCGGTCGCCGGCCAAGCGCAAGCGGCGGGTGGCTTCGGACCGCGCAGCCAAGCAGATCCGGCAGCAATAGGCCTCTTTGGATAAAATAATACGTGAATCCAGTGATGCTCACTATACACATTAGGTGCCAGACTTTATAAGAAAGCGACATGAAAGACGGAGAGACGAGGGAAAGTGAGGGGAAACAACAAAAACAACAGAGCAAATATGAATTGCTACATAAAATAGAAACAAGGGGTCAAAAGGAGAGGAATTGGAAAGACGGTTCTTCTCCAGCGTGGGCTACGTCGTTTTAGAGCGGCTGGCCAAAGGTGTTCTCGCCCGAGTATGTGATGTACAGGAAGCCGTCCTCGTCCTTGTGCTCCTCGTAGACGGCAGACATCAGGGCGGCGGTGGGCGGCAGAACCTCGTTGACAAAAATGAAGATGGCCTTTTCCGGGCTCAGCTTGATCCGCTTGCGGATAACGTAGACGAACTGCCCGACAGTCAGGTCGGCCGGAACCAGGTACTTCTTCTTGTCGATGTTTGCGATGTCGCTCTTCTCGACCTTTTCGCAGATAACCTACACGCATGATGACGTTGAGTAAGCGAGTGCCGAATGGGTTGGGCGGGCATGGCACGTGTGCCGCGGGCTACGGCAAGCTGTCTTGGCGGCCATTTCCCCCTTCTTTTCCTCGGTGGATATGTATGGATGGGATTGCGCAGACCAGAAAAAGGAGGGGCATGTACGCGTGTCGCGGCCCTTGCTTCCACTCTGCGCCTGCAAACAAAAGAAGGAAGAGTGCCAGATGTATAGGCCAAAAGGGAGAGGTTTGGAATACTTACCGGAATGCGGTCGGGGTACTTTTGCCTAATTCTCTCGGCCTCGGCCTTGCGCTTCTCTACAGGAGTGTGGGCTTAGTGGGCGCTGTGGTGGTCGGCTTGCGGCTACCCCCATGCGGAGGGCCTCCGCAGGCAATTCGCTCATTTTCTAGCGGTGCGAGGACTGGGGGTGGGAAGGGGAGAGCAGGTAGACTTACCGAAGGGGTGCTCGTCCTTAAACTTTGACCTCATAGTGGCAGATTGTTTTCCGGAGCTGTAGGTGTTTCTCTGTTCAAGAATAAAGTAGGTCGTGTGGGGGTGGGAATGACTAGAGGTTCGTCAGAAAGAAAGAAATAAAAAAGAAATTTAAATTAATACACAAGAGAGCTAAAGAAGAAAGAATAGAAAATTGGCGTGCAACAGAGGCGGCGGGCTCAAGAGGAGGGGGCTTTATACGTGTCTGGTGGGACCTGGATGATACAAGGTCACGGGGTATGATGGCGTCGCGGGCTATTGATTTTCGCCAAAGGGGCTGCCATATTCCACCAGGCTTTTAGAGCGAAAGAGACTTTTAAACCTCATCCTCAAGAGTAGACCCCGCCCACGCGGTTGAGCGAGGGCGAGAGGTATAGTGCGCACAGTGGTGCATAGACAGGAATTTTCCTGGACTGTGAGAAACGAATACCAATCGATACACAGATTCGGTTTTTTTGGGCTGTGCGCACAGGGCGAACACCGGCGCAACCGATAATGGGGGAGTGCTCAGGAAAGCGTCCGGGCCGTGGGCAGCAGATGCGTTGAGGGAAAGCGCTGTGCTTTCCGGGCATACCGGCGGGGTGCATCCAGATGTGCCACGCACACACACTGAAGTGCATCGGCGGGTACGTGGAACACTGCCACCATCATCTGACCCGACGCCAGTACATTGTGTATTGGTTAACGAGGACACCATGTATTAAATGACATTAGAGTGCTAACGAGTGGTGCGTTCCCACACAATCAATGGCACATGTGGCCGCTCTTGGGACTGTCAATGACGAATGGTATGAATGGGCGCCAAAGGCCAGACGCCATTCAGAGCAGCATGCCCTCGGTGTCAACGTAGACCATGTCGCTGAGGCGGAATCCGTTGAAGCGCGACGCGGCACAGTTGGTATAGGCACCCATGCCATCAAACACCAGCCAGTCGCCGATCTGCAGCTCCGGCAGCATGCCCGACGGCATGATGCAGTCGATAGAGTCGCAGGTGGGACCCCACACGCTGCTCTCAAACATCATGCCAAGCTGGGCGTCAGCCGGGGCATTGATGAACTGCGAGTTTGCGGTCAGCACGCGCGGCACCGGGTGCTGGTGGTCAAACATGATGCAGTTGAAGCTGCCGTAGACGCCGTCGTTGACGTAGTACATGAACGCAGGGTTCTCGTCGCCGGTGGGCGCAGTGTTGTTCAGCACGCCCTCCTCACCCTCGTAGTACTCGGGCTTGGAGTCGCGCACGACCTGGCGGCGAGCCACGATGTTGACAGCCAGCGTGAAAGCAGACGCAACAAAGTAGCGGCCGGGCTCGGCGATGATGCGCAGGGAGGGCATGTCGGCAAAGTACTTGTCGATGGCAGCGGTGAGCACACGAGCCACGTCCTCGAAAGCCAGACCACTGGCGTCGCCGCGGCCGGGGAATCCGCCGCCAATGTCGAGCAGCTCCAGGTTGAAGCCCAGGGCAGCAGCCTGGTCGAACACCTGGCGCGCGCGCATCACAGCGTCGCTAAAAGCATGCTCGCTCTGGCATCCGCTGCCGACATGGAAGCTGACGCCAACAACGTTGATGCCCAGCTGCTTGGCGGTGGCCAGCAGGCGCTGGGTGGTGTCCAGGGCAGCGCCGAACTTGAGCCCCAGCTGACACAGCGAGTGCGAGTCGTCGGTCAGGATGCGCAGGATGGCCTTGGCGCCCGGGTACTGCTGCTGCAGCTTGTACAGCTCGTCGGCATTGTCAAAGGTCATCATGGCCACGTCATTGGCCTTGGCAAACCGCAGGTGCGACGCCGGCTTGCACGGGTGGGCATACACGATGTTGCTGGGCTGGGCGCCCTCGCCCAGCACCTGCTGGATCTCGGCCTTGCTGGCGCAGTCGAAGCCGGCGCCCAGGCGGTGCAGGAGCTTGATCACCAGCGGATCCGGGTTGCACTTGACGGCAAAGAACGGCTGCACGCGCGGCAGATGGCGCACCCACCGGTAGAACTGGCGCGCAACCTCGCCCAGGTCGGCAACAAAGAACGCGTCCTCGGCGTCGGGCTGCGAGAGCTTGGCCTGCAGCGCATCGGCGATGTTGCCGTGCGAGATGCGCGGCATCGCAGTGTCCGTGGACTGCATGCTCTTGAGCTTGGTGGGCATCTCGTGGAGCTGGTCCGCCCGCCGGACTGCGGGATCAGTGGTGATATGCATGATTAAGCAGATGTGCGTATAGGGTTAGATGCTACGGGGGAGGTAACGGCTCAGTTTGTTTCCCAAAGATTTCTGTCCTTGGATCTCCTTCAGAGGAAATGCAAAAGATGAAGCGCAGGGAACACGACGGGGACGGGGCCAGCGACGAAGCTCCGAAACAAAAGAGATTCCCCCTCTGGATAACTCGGGGGTGTATAATGGATCCTCAGAAGGGTAGAGCGAATGCGGGTGCTGCCCAGGGTGGTGCGCCGGCAAACGACCGCAAGGAGACAAGGGTGGGGAGTGGGATTCTAGGGTCCGTGGTTACAGTGGTACGACTCCAGGCTCGGGAGAGGCACCAAAAGCTACAAAATGTGAGGCTGTCTGTCCCTCGACGTGACGACAAAAAAGGGGTTTAGGAGGGTGGGAGGGGTGCTGTGACGCGAATGGGCGAGCAAGAACTGGCGGATCGGCTGCTGTGTCTGGCTTCTGAGAGTGCTGCAAGCAGATAGAAGGTAAAAGAAAAACTGCGAGTGTGAGGAGATAAGGGGGAAAGAAATGTGGTGGTCCTGCGGCCAGTGCTGGCTTTTAACCAGTCCCTCGCCTCAGACACTGGGACCACGGCGACAGCAGCACCCGGTTGCGAAATGCTAAAATTTTCTTGCTGTTCCCAACAACCGCTGCCTCCCAGCTGCTCCCATTGGTCTTCTGGAGACAGTCCTGATTGCCACTCTTTATTTACCAGCACATTCTGGCTGGTGTGCAAAGCCCGACATGGCGGACTTGTAAAAAAGTGGCCGATGTGCAAGCCGGCCAGGCAGATGGACCCTCCTCCCTCTCGCCACTGCCCATGGCAGCAGCAGCAGCATTCTCAGGGCCATTGGCATGCGGATGCCGTTGTCGAAGACTTTATTTAAAGGCTGTCCAGCGCAATCGCTGCAAAATCTAGGGGGCGTGCGAGGGGTTGCTGAATTATTAATCCCAATGTGACCGTGTTTGATCTCTACATGTGGTAGCCCGCGGGTGGCGACCGCATATACCGCTGACTTTCAGGAGCAAACAAACGCTGGCACAATACCTGCGGCAAGTCCGGCTGTGCCTAGGGGGCTGAAACATCAGTGCTCTGACCATGTCACAGGCTGCAGCAATATACGATGAACTAGCACTGATGACCCGGCCGCAATGACCGTACCATCCAGATCCATCTTCTGCAAAGAAAACGGGCAGAAAGTACCGATGGCTAGGGCTAATACAAAATTCGGTGGCGGCAAGTCCGACTGGTATGCAGACTAACTGCAGTGGCATGCCCACACGCATATACGCTCAGGCGTCCACTGCATCTGTCAATGGCCAGCATACACGGTGTCTGCCATATATGGCATTGTGTATGTTTTTATTCAGAAAACGAAAAATAGCTCAGTACGGCGAGTAATAGGCGCCCCGCCCACGTCCCCGATACCCCCCGTAGCCGCGTCCCCTGGGCATGTACCCGCCCCGCCCCCTGCCTCTGCCCCGGCCCCGATGCATGCCCGGCACATTTGTGCGCTTCGGGTTAACCTTCAGCGGCCGGCCATGGAACATGGACCCATCGAGAATCTGCGCCTTGGTAACGGCGTCGGTCGTGGCGAACTCCACGTACGCGTATCCCTTCGGGTGGCCCGTGAACTTGTCGCACAGAATCGTCACGCGGTTGATCGTGCCGCTGCCCTTGAAGTGCTCTTGCAGGCCCTCGGGAGTCGACGCGTAGTCGACATTGCCGACGTATATGGAGCGTGCGTCGACGTCGTCCGCCGCAGCCTCTTCGCTCTTTTCAGCCTCCGCCTCGGCTGTCATTTTCTCCTGGAGCTCGCGCAGGCGCTGGGCCTCCTTTTCCATCTCCTCCATCTGCTTCTTTAGCGCGGCCAGCTCGGGATCGTCATCGAGGCCATCGGCATCGTCGGCATCGTCGGCATCGTCGCCGTGGCCTTCCTCGTAGTGCTCGGGGTCCTCGTAGGCGTCGGGGTCGACGTGATCTGCGTACTCGTCAATGTGCTTATCGGCTAAATCAGACATGGGGCTTAATCGTATGTGGGAGCGACAGTGGATTTTGGAAACTATTGTGAAAAACATTCCAAACCGGAATTTTGTTTCACCCGGTTCGGATTTATACCATACGTCGGGTTAACCGAACTATGGTTGGGAGTGGTGTTTATTGGATTTTTTATAGTGAGTTTTGTTTTAGGTAAGCACTGGGCGCCGGAAGATCCGGGCTGGAGGAGAAGAGCAGATTCAGTAGCCTGGTGGCGGCGGCGCCTGGCCCTGCTGGTCCGGGTGCGGCGGCGTGTGCATCATGACCATGCCGGGTGGCGACGCACCGTATGTCTGCGGCGGGTACTGCGGGTATCCCATGGGCATCGGCATGTTCGGGTACCCCTGCGGCGGCGGGGGGCCCATATACCCAGGCTGCATGCCATTGAACGGCATCGGCGGCACCATGCCCATAGGCACAGGCGGGACGTTGCCATACATGACGCTGGGGCTATCGGCGCCCGTCCTGGCCATGTGCTGCTGGCTGCTGAGCATGGGCGGCGTGGGCGGCACCGCTGGTCCCATCTCAGGTGTGGTAGCCATGTGTGCGCTGCTGGCACCCGATCCGCTGCCCTGCACGTGCGGCAGCGGGTGGGCTGTGGGCGGCGTCGGGCCGTTGACGGCGGAGATCACCGGCGAGCGCCCAGCGGCCATCATCGGCGACGGGTAGCTGGGCGCCGATGTATACGGGTTCGGTGCATACGCCGGCATTCCGTAGGGCGGAGTGGAGTAGGGCGCCGATGTCGGCATGCGTGGTGGGCCGCCAGCCATCATCGGCGGCTGCTGGTACGGGTACTGCATGTAGCCATAGTAGCCCTGCGGCATGCCGTACTGCTGGGCATACATCATCATGGGGTCGGGCTCGTCAAAGCCGTACTGGCTGCGGTACGGACGCGACCCGAACGGCCATGTCGGCGAGGAGTCGTCTGGAGAGCTACCGGGTGTCATCTTGAACGACCCACCCCACAGCGCCTTGGGCGTGCGGTCGAGCATGCGTCGGCCAAAGAACAGGTTGTACTCGGGTTGGACAGGCTTCGACGCAGCCTTGGGCACAAAGGGCGTGGCCGAGGCGCTGGGCTTGAAGGACGCTGCCTTGGCGTTGAATTTGAAGCCTTTCTTGTCGTCGGCCTTCTTTGCCTCGCTGGTCTTCGTTGGCTCGTCGGTCTTCTTTGGCTCCTCAGCCTTTACTGGCTCCTCGGCCTGCTTGAGCTCTTCCTTCTTGGTCTCCGCCGGCTTCTTCCCCTCCTCTACCGGCTTCTTGGTCTCCGCCGGCTTCTTCCCCTCCTCTACCGGCTTCTTGGTCTCCTCTGCTTTCTTGGGCGGTTCCTCAGCAGCCTTTGGCGACGGCTGGCGCTTCTTGGCTCCAACAATTTCTGCCACATCGTCTGGCATCGGACTGCTCAGCTTGAACGAGTGGTGGAACTTGACGAGCTCCGACATGCGTGTCTTCAGCACCGCCTGCTTGCGCTGCTGGATGCGTTCGCGCTCCGAGTTCAGCTTCTCCGTAATATCTGCCATTGGCTTGTTCAGCGCCGCAATCTCGGGACGGTCCTTGATTCCGCGCAGGTTGGCCAGCTTGCTTGACTGTCCGCTGATGCGTGGGCTCAGCGCAGCAATCGCCGGGTCTGGGAGTGTGCTGGCTCCAGGATCGGGCGATGCCGACGCCGACGCGCTGCTTGACATGGCGTCGGTCTTGGGCGACGGCGTGTGTCCAGTCATCCGGATGTTGAGCTTGGCCAAGGCCGCTGCTGCCACAGCATTATTGGGTGCCGGCTTGGGCGCATCACTGAGCTTGCTTTGCGCTGACGCAGACCCATGGACCGCCACACCGGCCACCTCGGGCTGTGGCTGGGGTGTGGCGGAGCTCCGGCGGGCTGGCTCAGCGGACTGATCGGCAGATGCCTCCTTGGCACGCAGATATGGCGGCACGTACTTGGTGCCAGGTCGCAGAACCGCACCGTACCGGTCTTCCTCATCCATGCCGTCATCGCCCTTGGTGATTTCCTGGCGCTCCTCGGCCACGTGCGCGTTCATGAACGGCGCGTTCTGGATCTCCTGTGCAATCCGCACAGCCTCGCGCTCGCGCTCCTTGTACTTGGCGCTCGACCGGTCAAGCTTGGTTGTATAAATCTCCTCGTCAAAGTCCGTCGTCAGCCCAAACAGTCGCTCGTTGGTGGCAAACTGGTCCCACGAGCCGCCCGACGCGTCCAGCGACTCGAGCGCCAGATCGTCGCCCTCGTCGGGCACCCACCGGTGTAGTTCGCGCTCGCCGGTCTCGCCAACCCGGCTAATGTCCGTGTCGGTCTTGAAGCCTGTGCGGGTCGTCTCCTTGACCTCGTGGTCGAACCCGGCTGTTCCGCTGATCGACAGGCAATCGGAACCGTTGATCACCAGCGTGTCTGTTGGCGGGATGGTGCGGCTGGCGCCCACCGTGTACGCGTACCGGAGCACCACGCTCTGCGCGTCTGTCGGATTGACTGAGTCCAGGATTCCCTGGTACGTCACTGTGCGCGTCACCACTGCGACCTCGGTGCCGACAAGGAACGACAGAAGGAATATGAGCCGCTGGTTCATTGCATTGACTTGCTCCATGGGCTCGCCCTCGATAAACCCGGGCCCGTTGGCGACTGTGTCCGTGGCCTTTGCTGTGCGCGCTGCAGGCTTGGCTGTCTGCTCGCTGGCCTTTCCTTGGCGGTTGCTGAATTGCGGCGGCCCGGCTGTCCACCGATTGCTGCCAGGCTTGCTGCTAGCCCGTGTACCTCCTCCCATCTTTGTGAAATGAGCGTTCAGGAAATGAAGAAATAAAGGCAAAGATAAAATAGAAAAAGAGTGGTCACGCAAACAGTGGAGGAGAAATGCAGAGGTTGTCGAAAAGTACCCAGCTATTTTTTCCTCGCGAAACGAATGATGGGCGACGGCTACGGTGCTAATTTGGGTTCGCGCTTTTGAAGGCCAGCTTGGTTTAAAGATAGACTGCGTTCGTGATGTTTATTGCGGACACTTTTTTGTTTCGTGTGTCGACCGCGTATTTCCCCAATAGAACAGGCCGTGTTCACGAAGGTCTGACGCGCACCGCACACCACACAAAGAGCAGAACTGCGCAGCTACGTGCAGATAGCGTATGTCCAGAATAGAGTGTGAGCTCAGGTTCTCATTCTCGGCTATTAATCGCTGGCTGAACCACATGACCACCGCCTCTGTCTGGATCCATAGCTCTCGGCAGCGATCTCCAGCGTATGTTGGAATCAGGAAACCGCTTGGCCTGCACGTTCCACAGCGGCTTTGCAGATTTGAAACATGTATTCTTTGGAGTTGTTGTTTTTCACTAGCCATTCAAGAGCTCAGTTGTCCGCCTTCTCGGCCTTGACGACCCTGATCGTGAACGATGCCTGTCCAGCGTAAATGAGCTTGACCACGCACGTGTACTCGCCCAGCGTCTTGATCTTGTCGTCCATGGCCAGCGCCTCCTTCTCAATCTTGATGCCATGCTCGCCCAGTGCCTTGAGCACATCGGCCTTGCTAACCGATCCGTAAATCGCCTCGTTCTCCTCAGATCCCTCCACAGCGCTTCTCTCAAACTCAATCACCGGCAGCTCCACGACCCGCTGGATCATTGTCTGGTTGCCGAGCGCCGTTGCGTGCACCTTCTGCTGCTGGTCCAAGGCTGCCCGTGAGGGCCCCTCTGCCGCCTTCTCCTCAGCCAGAACCTTGCTGCGGTCGAGCGGCCCGCGCCGCGCAATCACGTAATCGGCCAGGCGCTTCGGGAATAGCTCGTGGCGCATATAAGCCGGGTCCACTTCGATGACTGTGCCCACCGCACCGATCCGCGGAACGTCCTTGATTAGCTTTACAGGGATAGTGGTCTTCTTCTTCAGCCCGCGCTACAAAGAATTAGATCATGTGTCTTTAGGCGCTGCTCGATCCTCTCACAGGTCAGGGTTTGCTTATGTAAACGGCCATTCTTACCTGGAGAATCTGAATGGGCGACCGTGCCAAACCGCTGCTGCTGACCTGCCGACCGAGAAAGTTCATTGTGAATGTACAGAATAGTATAGGGGAGTAGCCAGGGAAAGTGGAAATGGATAGTCGACGGGAGAAGGAGAGCCTGTCGGAATTCGAAGCGCACAGCCAGCAGATAAAAAATCGCTTCAAGCCGGTTCCTGCTTGATAGCCCTTTGATCTGGTGATCACTTTGCCTTGTCTCCCCTGGCCACAGCGGCAGCCACGACGCGCCTTTTCTGCGAAAAAAAACACATGGCCCAAGCCCCTTCCAAACACCATGGTGCTATGTGAACTGGTTTAAATATGAAAGAATTACGTGGAAGTATATGCGGTATCGAGCCACCCACTGGTCAGGGCCTCACGAACATCCCGCCGTCGACTAGCATTGTCGTCCCAGTAACATAAGCCCCGGCCGTCGATGAAAGGTAGATAATTGCAGAGGCAACATCTGCCTTGTTTCCAAGCCGCTTGAGAAGAATGGCACTCTTCACCGTCTTCTTGTACCGCTCATCTTGCTGCTCGTGAAGTTTGCTAACGAAGACACCTGGGGCAAAGGCGTTGACGTTGACGTTGTAGGGCGCAAGCTTTTGCGCCAGATCGCGCGTCATATGAGCCAAACCTGCCTTGCACGATGGGTACAGGGTATTGGTGATAGGTAGGTTTGTCACAGCACTAATACTAGTCACGTTAATAACCCGTGCAGGATCGTCGTCAGTGGCTGTCTTTAGTAGCAGGGGCAGGAACTTTTGGACAAGGGTAAGCGGGCGCTGCAGGGTGATGGTAATGTCGCGCACCATGTCTGACTCGGTCAGCTCAATAAATGGCTTTGGCGTCACCAAGACAGCGTTGTTGATGAGGACATGGATGCCGTTTGGTTCCAGGCGTGCTATTTCTCTAGCGAGCGCCTCGACCTGGTCGTACTCAAGCAAGTCACACACGACATACTGACACTTGCCAGGTCCACTAGCTGTCAGACGCTCAGACTCGCGCTTGAGGTTCTCTTCGTTCCGACTGGTAATGTAGACATTGGCGCCGTTTACGACAAGCCCCTCGGCGGCCATGAGTCCAATACCCGTAGCACCACCAGTAATGACGAAGGTCTTGTTGCTAACAGAGAAGAGCGATGCAATGTCCATGGTAAAGAATATGTATAAGATTGTAGTGCTGCTGAGATAAAGTGCACTCGCTGTACTGGACCCCTATGCATTTTAAGCAGCAGGCTGCGGTCAAGCACGTCTGCTGTGGAAGCTCAGGTCCTTGTTGTGCAAAGAGAGGGGCACAGCTCATGGCGTGCGAAGCAATATCTCGTCATTGTTGGCTCCTAAAGTGGAGACCACCTCATGTTCTTTACAAGCCTGCTATTGTGACCTAGGGGTGCCTTTGGAAGTATGCATAGCTTTCCCACTGTGGGAATGGATTGTTCAACACCTCTAGACCCACATGGGTGATAAAAGAGCATGTAAAGTTTGTAGCCAATGGGCACACTTTTTCATGGTTTGGAAACCCGCGGATGGCATCATGAGGAATGAGGTTCCAGCGACATTAATGCCTCAACCAAGCCAGGACTGGCTTTTTAAATATGAACATAGTGCCAATGTCTATTTGTCTTATTGAGCCTAGATCCTGGTTTTCCATGTGTTAGGAAAGAGAGAAATATGGATACAGCGCCGACAAATACGCCGATTTTGCACCCATGGGCTGTGTATTGGAGCCTACCACGTTGTTTGGGAAGAAGCATGATACTATATCTTCCTTGTGGCCATTGTGTATATCTTATTCTCACCAAACATGTTAAATAGTGTACTGCGACAGGCACTGACTCTTTCACAGCCACGTTTTCTCACAAACGCTATATTATTTGGCTTATTTGTGGCTTTCTGCCACCCGTACCACATTCCTTGTCAATAGGGCCCAGTTATCACAGGTCCAAACTAAGTGGTGGGAACCCCATCCACTAAGAGACTTTCCCTTACGTAGACTATAAATATTCTGCATCCCTAAGGACGCTGGTTGACGAAAACATCATCTCAGTATCTGTTTAGCATACATGGTTTATTTCGACATCTTTAGTATTTTCGATAAAGACAAGCTGTTGTCTTCTCAAATAGTCTGGGCGACAGCAGCTGCATTCTTCATCGGCTATGTCACTTATGCCTTCTTCTTGTCTTTCGGGAGTCAATTCAGGGGTCCGCTTATTGCTCGCTTTGGGATTGTTCGCGACCTGGTTGTATTTGCATCCGGGACATTTGCCGACGTCTGTGAGGATGATTACTACCGATATGGTGACATCTACCATATTGGCGCAAACCGCATTGCATTATCCAACGTCTCTGACTGTCGCCGTGTGCTTGCGTCCCATGACTTTCGAAAGCCAAGATTCCGGTACCAGGCGTTTGATACAATCGGCCCTAACATGCTCTCAAACACAGTGCCTGAGATAAGCAACATACGCCGCCGGCAGATTGGCCCTATGTTTAGGCACGGATACCTTGCCGAGATGGAGCCAGCCATAAAAGAGTGTAGCATCAAAGCGCTCAAGGCGAAGTGGGACAGACTAATCGACGACTCCGGTGGAACAGCCGTGGTGAACTACTACTCGGATTTCTTGCTGATTGTATTTGATATTATCAGTACACTCGGGTTTGACTATCAATTCCGGACGCTGGAAAATAACGGGTCGCAGATAGTGAAGTGGGTTGACGATGTACACCAACTCAATATGTACAGGATTCTCTTTGCATACCCAGCTCGGTTCCCAGCAACGCTTTTTACAGGTAAATCAATCAAGGGCGTCCAGGACTTTCTCGACTTTGGCAACAGAATTACGGAGGAAAGGCGTAAGCAGGTGGAAGCGGGTATGGAGCCGCCAAAGGACATACTACAAGCACTGATTGATGCTGTGGATCCAGTAACAAAGGAGAAGCTGACAACGGCGGAAATAACAGCTGAGAACATCATTTTGCTAATGGCTGGCACCAACTCCGCCTCCTATACCATGGCATGGTTTTTGCACTACATGATGCTGTATCCAGACATCTACAAACGTGCTGTTGACGAAGTCAGGTCGGCATTCCCTCAAGATCACTGCATCGGCTATACAGAGGGACGCACCAAGCTCCCCTTCCTCGACGCTTGCATCTATGAAGTAATGCGTATCCGAGGTGTGACATCTGTTATCTTCCCGCGTGAGGTGCCTGCTGGTGGTGCATCGTTCCAGGGCTACCATTTCCCGGCTGGAACATCTGTTTTCCTGAATTTCGCTGGTTTGAACCACAACAAGGACGTCTGGGGGGATCCACGAAACTTCCGGCCGGATCGTTTCATTGAGAACGAGAACTTGAAGCAGAATGTGTTCACATTCAGCTCAGGTGTTCGTGTCTGCCCTGGACGCAGCCTGGCACACTTTGAGCTCTACACCGTTCTAGCCAACCTCCTCAAGGATTACGATTTCAAACTTCCAGAGGGCTCACCTTGGGGCCCTGATAACGTCGACAAGTTTGGCAACCCGATTCCTATGCCGCGCACATTTGTAACTACAGTCAGACCCAAGTATCCAGAGAGAGACTGCAATGTTCTTATCACCAAGGCTGCATGACCCGTCTTCAGCTAATCAATATACAACTGTCTGAAGCAGCTCAAATTTCCATTCACTGCTAGTTACTAGTTATATCAAATACTGGAGTCACTACGCGTCGAGCCTGAGGAGTATACATTAGCCATTCATTTGATTAATTAATATCCCTTTCAACCGTCCAGGTTATGGCGGATGGTGATGACTGAGCTGCCCAAGGCATGGCGGCTATCTTCCATGTGCATCAGTGGTGTTAGCAATCATTAGGCTTTCGTGAGACATGGGGATCACCACATTGATCCACGATCAGCGGTTTTTTCAGCCTCTTTTTTTTTTTCTCGTCAGCCATCAACTGCAGCGCGCATTTCAGCTCTCTTCGCATTCTTCATTTCGACCGTTTTCTATATACAGCATACACGATGCCCGGAGAGAAGGAAAAGGTGGTGGCCAAGAGCTGCTTTGACTGCGTCAAGTCAATCGAGTCCGTGTACACAGGCGGTCGTGTGGTGATCAACCAGGCTGAAACGCAGCTGTTCACGACATGTAACGAAGACATCGAGGTGCTCGATCTGGCCACTGGTAGCAAGCAGGCGGAGCTCAAGGGGGACACGGAGATTGTGACCTCATTTGCCGTGACGCCCGACAGCACGTACTTGGTATCTGCCAGCCGCAGCCTTCAGATCACGATCTGGGATTTGGCGACGTTCAAGCCTGCGCGCAACTTCAAGGCGCACGAGGCACCTGTGATATCGATGGACATCGATGCAACATCGACACTGGTGGCTACTGGTTCCGCAGACAGCACTGTGAAGGTGTGGGATATTGCGCGCGGGTACTGCACACATAACTTCAAGGGCCATGGCGGTCTGGTGACTGCCGTCAAGTTCCACCCGAACAAGGAGCGCTTGTGCCTGGTCACGGCCAGCGACGACGGCATGGTGCGCGTATGGAACCTGAAGACACGCAAGTGCGAGTCTGTGCTCGAGTCGCATGTCAGTGTTGTCAAATCTATCGATTTCACGCCTGACGGCTCTGTCATGGTGACTGGTGGCCGCGATAGCGTCGTGAATGTGTGGAACTGGGAACGCCGCTCGCTGATCCGCACAATCCCGGTCTACGAGACTGTTGAGGCTGCCGGCCTCTTGCTGCCCGATACTGACCCCAAGGTCGCTGACACACATCCGCAGCACATCATCTACAGCGCTGGCGAGAAGGGCGCTTTGCGACTGTGGGATATGGACACTGGCAAGGAAATCTTTGTCCAGCAAAAGGAGCTGAATGCCAAGCACGCCTTTGTTGATGCCCTGTACCTGCCGCGTGCGCAGCACATTGTCGGCGTCACCAACGACCAGAATCTGCTGTTCTACGATGCCTGCGATAAGCTCGTGCGCGCGCGCCAGATTGTTGGATACAATGAGGAGATCATCGACTTGGCTTACGTTGGCAGCGCACAGACACACTTGGCAGTGGCCACCAACACCGAGCAGCTGCGCGTCTACAACACCGATAACCTCAACTGCGAGCTGGCGTACGGCCACAAGGACATCATCCTGTGTCTCGATGCGCACCGCAATGGCCGGATCGTGGCCACAGGCTCCAAGGACAACACGGCTCTGATTTGGGCCGTCAACATGGATATGCCAGCAAACCAGCGCATCACCTGCATCGCCATTGCTGTCGGCCACACAGAGGCCGTTGGCGCCGTGTGCCTTGCCCTGGCGGACGACTGTCCGTTCATGATCTCCGGCAGCCAGGACCGCACGGTCAAGATGTGGGACCTGTCACCGCTGCGTGCCATCATTAGCAGCCCTGAGTCAGCACTGGAGGCGGTGCGCGAGTCAGGTCCGATCAAGCTGCGCTCGCAGTACACGTTCCAGGCGCATGAGAAGGACATCAACTCTATCTGCCTTGCGCCTGGCGACAAAATGTTCGCCACTGGCTCGCAGGACAAGACCGCCAAGGTCTGGGACACTGCGACCGGCAAGCCCCTGGGCACCCTGCAGGGGCACAAGCGCGGTGTCTGGAATGTTGCGTTTTCGCCTGTTGACCGCGTGATTGCGACGACTTCGGGCGACCGCACAGTCAAGCTCTGGGCGCTTTCTGATTACAGCTGCCTGAAGACACTTGAGGGCCACACGAATTCGGTCCTCAGTGTTGAGTTCATGACCAGCGGCACCCAGCTGATGACGTCGGGCTCTGATGGTCTGCTGAAGCTCTGGAACATCAAGGACTCTGAGTGTGTTCTGACGCTCGACAAGCACGAAGACAAGATCTGGACTCTGGCCAAGCAAAGCGACGAAAAGTTTGTGGCCTCGGGTGGTGCTGACTCGACTATTTATATCTGGCAAGACACGACGCAGAGCGAGATCAACCGGCTGCACAAGGAGGAGGCAGAGATGATTGAGAAGCAGCAGGCGCTTGACAACTTCCTGGTCGCCAAGGACTACCGCAATGCAATCACTCTGGCACTGTCGCTGGATCAGCCGCATCGCCTGCTGCGTATCTTCAGCGACCTGATGATGTCTGTCGAGCATCGTGACACCACTGACGACGCCGAGGGCGCCGATGACTCTGAGAGCTCGGCCATCCTGGGCTCCCTGGCCGTCGATGAGGTTGTGGCCACGCTGGCACCCGACCAGCTCAACCGCCTGCTGGGATATGTAAAGAACTGGAACACGAACGGGAAGTTTTCTAATGTTGCCCAGGCTGTGCTGTACTGCATCCTGTCAAACTACACGACGCAGACTGTGCTGGAGCTGCCGGCCGCCAAGGATCTGATTTCAGCCCTGCTGCCGTACTCGGAGCGGCACTATGCCCGTCTCGATAACCTGCTCACTGACTCTTTCATTGTCGACTACACGCTGCACGCCATGGACTCGCTCAGCCTGATTGCCGGGGATATCGACGACAGCGAGGAGGAGGAGTAAAGCAAATATATTTTCCATATCAAAAACACACTATTTTTCAACCGTCGAAGCGTTCTCGACGAGCGGGTCGCCCTTGTGCAGGTTGTCCAGCTTTGGGATCCACTCGAGCGACCTTACGAACCGGTCCCTGGGCAGAATAATCTCCAGATCCCGCTCAATGCTCTCCAACACACGGTCATACTCTCCAAATGTCTCATCGTACACCTGCTTCTGGTGCTTTTGCCATTTCTTCTTGTGGATCGGCGGCTTCTCATCTGCCGCCTTCCGGTCCTTGTACACTTGCACGATCGATGTCACAAGCTTTCGCTCCACCGATCCCAACTCGCGTGCCAGTTTCAGGAACGCCAGGGTGTTGTAGCCTCGTGTATACAGGAGAGCCAGATCGCTGTGCGTGTTGTCGGTGGATGTGTTTTCAGTAAAGCCTTGTCGGATCTTGGTGGCCAGGATCCGGCTCGTGGGGCGATGGTTCGACACCGTGCGCGGGGCAGCACGCAGGAGCTCGCGGTACAGCTGGCGCCATTGTGCGGTGGTAATTGGGGTCGACATGGCAGCGTAGTTTGGAAGGAAGTGAGGGCGGTGTGCTGTGTGCCCGAATTTCAAAGGCTCAAAAAGCTTGTGTCAGCAAATAATGGAAGGTGATCGGTTTGTGGGTGCCAACAAATGGCAAATGATGGCTACATTTCTCCTTACGTTTAGGCGTTTTCTGTAGACTTGAGTAACCGGACGGTGCTGCAGCCTGGAAGAGGCGTACATGCCCCCCATTCCACGGCTTAGCCACCATCAATACCAAATCAGTCGTATTGGAACAATATCCAAGAGGAGCGTTTCTGGTATTTAGAGATATATAGAGGGTCGTAGAAAAAGCTAGATATACAGTCACCCAGCCAAAGCCGCGGCCTGCCTGGCAAGACTATCAGCTACCTTGTTTCCGGCTTCGTCTTTACCAGCGAGCATGATGTGGGTGTTGCTGCTAGTGGCCTGTACAATCTGCTTGACCAGCTCGGAGTTGCTAGGCGGCTGCGCTCCCTTGCGCACGTCGTTGATGGCATTGATGGCGTACTCAGAGTCGGTGCGGACCTGCACATGCTCGCCAGGCTGGGTCTGTGCGAGCTCAAGTGCCTTGGCAACCGCGGCCAGCTCGGCGCGCTGGATCGTCTGCGGGCCGTTGGCAAGCTTGCCCGCAAAGTTGCGCGGATCATCCCTGCCGAAAAAGATGCCGACGCCAGTATAGTCATTGCCGCCCCTGTGGTCGATAGCGCCGTCTGCATATGCAATAGTAGTGGCCATTTTCTGTCAGGAATGTAAGAAGGAATAAAGTTCAAGGCTGTTGACTTTGCCACTTGGTGGCAAGGAGATACCGAGCATTTAAATAGTGGGCGCGCTACCTGTATCGCAGAGCCTTGGAGGCGCAGCATAGCTATTACCAAACGGTGATGCTGGCCTCTAGTCATGGTGATATCATGGAAACGTCATGGCTAAATCATCGGTCCTAGCCCTGCGGAGACTTGCCCAAAAGTATGCTTTATCCGCCGAGGTTTCGACTCCCAGAAAGCGCCAGTGGCCTCAGGATGATGCGATTAGCCAAGCATTCCTTTCTTTCTCTCACCTGCTTATCATATTTGCTGTCTCTCTCGCAATGTCTACATCATCTGCTAAGCAATCGCTTTGCGACTACGAGCCCCTGCAACAATGCCTGAAGGCCAACAATGGCGACCGGGCAAAGTGCACCAAGGAGTGGGATGCGTTCCAGCAGGCGTGCCAGAAGCGCAAGTAAGTCGTTCGTTTTACACACCAGCAACTCTAATACGATCTGATCCGCAGTGCTATATGACTCAGCGCTGACAACAACCACTCAAGCGCTTTCTAGGCAAGCCGAGCAGGCGGCAAGGGGTCAGAGCATCCCTGCCAAGAGCGAGTGCGAGGCGTGCAAAGCTCCACCGGCAAACTGAGTCTGGCGACCAGTGTGCCGTTTGTCCGACGAACGCTGGCAGCTTTTTTGGGGGAGAGCGGGACTACTGGGACTACAGCCCACTTTTCTGACAAGTGCGCTGCTGGTGGTCATGCACAAAAAGCAGCCCAGCCTTGGGGCGTGAATCAGTTCAGCAGCAATCGCATGGTTTTTTTTTGCAGCCAAGGCGTGATCACGCCAACAGCAGCGCTTAAATATCCTTTTCTCCAACGCGAGTTTTCGGCCTGCTCTTTCTTCTCTTCTACTCTCCTCTCTCCTCTGCTTTAATGAATCTTCCGTGAGACTCGCTCAGCACTAGAACCATACCTGCATAGTCAACTTTATTGAAATGGGAGAGCCAATTACCGACGGAATTTCGCGCAGAAACAGCACTGAGCTCGATGGCAGTAACGGGGGCACGCCACCGCCTGGATATCACTTCCCGACGGCCAAGCTGGCCAAGGCATTGCAGGGTATGCATTGGTGGCTCTGCGCAGCAGCATGATCCAAATCATTTCGGAAAACTCAGCATCGCCAAAACTGAACCTGTACTCTGTCTCCATGTAGACTCGGCAAAGACCCCGCTGGTCCTGGTGGCCTGCGGCTCGTACTCGCCCGTCACATACCTCCATCTGCGCATGTTTGGTAAGAATCCCTCTCTCTCCCCGGCCTAATAGCCTTCAGCTATTGCTGTGAGCGGGGGAAGGGCAGTACATGAAACAGCGGACTGCACCTCCCTCCCCCCGGCGCGCAGCGGGCGGGTTTTCCAAAGGAAAAGTGAGTAATTATTAATCCGGGCACTCCAAACTTTTATATGCTCTTTTAGAAATGGCGGCGGATTACTTTAACCAGCATTCGCGGTACGAGCTGATCGGCGGGTATTTCTCTCCGGTGTCCGACTACTACCAAAAGGAGGGTCTGGCACCAGCACACCACCGCGTCAAGATGTGCGAGCTGGCGACTGAAACCAGCTCGACGTGGCTCATGGTTGATTCATGGGAGTCGCTGCAGCCGTCATACCAGCGGACAGCGGTTGTGCTCGACCACTTTGACGAGGAGCTCAATGGCAACATGGGTGGCATGAAGATGCCTGACGGTAAGTGCCGGGGACGCTGCACAGTGGTATCGTTCACATGGGAAGTGTCTAACTGACGCAGTTCCTCGCACCCACGGGGTTATGCATTTATGCATGTAGGATCTGTCAAGAGGATTCAGATCCTCCTGCTGGCTGGCGGTGACCTGATCGAGTCGATGGGCAAGAAAGACGTCTGGGCCTCAGAGGACGTAAGTACCGCGAAAGGGCCTATGCCAGTAGCTCCTGTGTCACTTGAAATGCATGGTCCGCTCCGGGTCCTGTTTGCCGCAGGAGCGGGTCAGGATAATCCCCGCAGATTGGCTGGCCCGCATCTGCATCCTCGCCATGATCATTCATTAGAACCATGCCCCCGGCTAATGATGTCACTGGCTTCTCCATGTAGCTGCACCATATCCTGGGCCACTTTGGCTGCATGGTAATCGAGCGGACCGGAACCGACGTCTGGGAGTTTTTGCTATCGCACGACATTCTGTACGAGCACAAAGATAACATCCATGTTGTGAAGCAAGTCATCTACAACGACATTAGCTCGACAAAGGTGCGCCTGTTTGTCAAGCGGAAAATGTCCATCAAATACCTGGTGCCCGACGCCGTCATGCGCTATATATTCGACAACTCGCTGTACTGCACCAAACTAACGAGGAAGCGCGACTATGTGTCGTTCGCTTTTGACTAATACTGCGATCACCTTGCGTCTCCTTTCATCGCTCTTATATATTTTTGTCTCGTTTTCCTTCTCCTTACAAGTGCTTTTCTTTTATATTTGCTCGTGTTTCGATATTTTCAGAACCACATATATGGTATTTAAACCCTGCCGCCTGCATCTATATGACGTCCCAATGGCGCCTTTACTGAGTCTTCTTTTGGGCAGGTCCAGTGCTCGAAACTGGGTACAGTGGTGCGATCCGTTGGTTGGCGATGATCTGCTGCAGAACCCAGGTGTTGGCAGCAAAGATCACCATGCCCGCAACCCACAGCATGGTGAACGTGTCTTTGCCCAGAAACTCGAGGTTGTATGCCTGCTGCAGGTACAGGCCCTGCGACCCGAACCACACGGCGACCAGGATCAGGCTCTTGGGCAGCAGGTTCTGTGAGTTGTACGGCCACACGACGGGCAAGAAGCAAATGTACCACATGAAGTACTGCGCTGTGCACACCTTGTTGTACGCGACAAAGGCGAACGTCTGGGTGAATGCTGCAAAGTACAGGTCCTGGCCAAAGGCAAACCCAAGCATGGTGACAACAATGGCCTGCGGTAGGAACGACAGCAGACCCATGACTACGCTTGCCTGCGACTGGAATGTCAGGTATATTGGCAGGAACCACATCGAGTAGTTGTGCCGGTGGTCCTTGCGCGTGACGTGGTACAGGTATGTCTCGTCGACGAATTCGCGCCCATACACGGCGTACATGATAATGTTGAGGGCAAAGAACACGCATGCGCTACTGACAAAGAACTGCACGCGCTGAGCGTTAACTAGCCGCGCAACCCACGATTTGGCGCGCTGGGCGCCTGGCGCAAACACCGAGCTGTCCAGGAACACCAGGATCGGGAGCGCATAAATGATCGGGTAGATTTTCAGATGCACAGCCAAGCCAAACAGCACCGATCCCATCGCCACGTCCTTGCACTGGAATGCATACAGTGCTGCCATGACCGACGCGCAGATCAGCGACTCGGCGCTGCCACGCGTCGAGATATTGGCGACCTGCGGATTCAGCAGCCACAGCGCCGAGTACTTGGCTGCCGCCTGCTCGCCGAGTCCACGACGGCGGATAATTCGGATGATCAGGTCGCCAACGATGCAGTCGCAGAGCACAAAGAGCCACTTGCCAAACGTGTGGTGCAGCCAGATGTTTGGGGTTAGGAGCCAGGCAAGCATCGGCGTGTAGCGGTATGTCGAGCGGCTGTAAGGGCTGCGGCCCTCCAGGACAAACCGTGCAGCGTCGGTGAACACGTTGTAGTCGATGTCAGTGTATTTGACTGTCATGTGCGCGTCCTGCCAGAGCCCGTAGAGGAGCATGCCTATGCGCAGCACCAGGCCGCCAATGAAGACGTTGCGTGTCGTCAGTACCTGATCCAGCGACATGCTTGTGGAATGAAAATATAGACGTGTGGTGAAGAGAGTGCTCGGGAAAAACTGCCTTGGCCGCTCCGACGCTGCTGCATCGTATAAGTGCCAGATCTGATCCACACATTATGGACACCATGGATGCGTGCCAGTCTTCCAGCAAACGTGGATGCTGGAGGTATACAGGTGCAACAAGCGGCATGGCTATATGATCGGCATGGGTGGTATCTGCTCACATGGACGTGCGGAGGGACGTACTGCGCACACCTCAGAAAGACCACACGGCGCATCGACATGGCGGGCGTAGCAGCAGCACATGTCATCGCCAGGCGTGACCTGCAAAGCGGGCCAATCAAAGCTATCCAGCGTTCAGGGCTGTGGAGCATGGAAAAAAGCAAGCCAAAAGGAGGTGCTTCAATCAACAGCCGTTTTCTTCTTCTTTTGCTTCTACTCAATCGCCCTCCCAAACTTTCCCTTTCTTACATTACCACGATGGTCAAGTCGACGATTATCGCACGCGTAGTGGACGGTCTGCCACTGGCCGCCTCGATGGACGACGAGCAGGCGGAGTCGGAGCTGGCTGGCTACAAGTCGCAGGCCAAGGCAATCTTCAAGAAGCTCAATCTGCAGTCTGAGCCAATGTGCTCGATTGAGTCGGGTCCCTACTTCCTGCACTACGTGGTGGACCAGGGCGTGTGCTACCTGTGCATCTGCGAGCGGTCGTTCCCGCGCAAGGTGGCATTCAGCTACCTGGATGAGCTGGCCAAGGAGTTCCACATGAGCTACGGCAGCGAGGTCGAGAAGACGAACCTGCGGCCGTACGCATTCATCAAATTCGACACGTTTATTCAGAAGACAAAGCGCATTTACGAAGACTCGCGGACGCAGCAGAACCTGTCGCGGCTGAACGAGGATCTGAGGGATGTCACACAGATCATGACAAAGAATATGGAGGATCTGCTCTGGCGCGGAGACAGTCTGGACCGCATGAGCTCGCTGTCGGACCGGCTGCGCGACCAGTCGGAGAAGTACCGGAAGGACGCCAGGAGGCTGAATCTGGAAGCGCTGTACCGCAAGTACGGAATTCCGGCCGCCATCATCCTCGGGTTCCTGCTGATTCTGTACCTGCGGTACAAGCTGTTCTAAGTTTTTCCATTAGAGAATCAAGGATGAATCGGCTGTTTTGTGAAACTTCTAATATCCCGAGGATGTGGAGACCAGAGGATGTCTAAATTAACGAGCACCGCGTGCAGAGGGCCAGAACCGTGGTTGCCTTGCAAACAAAAGACTGTCGGGCCGGGGCTGCATCTCGTTTTGCACTGCAAGAATGGCCAGCAGAGACCACATGCCCAGGTTTTTCTTTTCAAGCTCAACCGTTTTCACCGCTTTTCCATGCGAACGCGGCACCTCCTCTGCTTCCGATATAGTTGCCGGGCTATTCCTGCTTCCTGCTTCCTGCCTCTCTTCTCCTTCCCCTTCTTCCCCCACATTGTCATTATTATTATCTTTATTCGCTTACATTCACCTACCCACATTTCACTGTTTTTCGTTATGACGACAGATACACCAGTGCCACTTGGCTTGGATATCGAGAGCACGCACAGCGGCGACCCCAAGCAGACGAAACAGATAGTCGAGCCAGCGTCGATACGCCGACAGGTTGGCCGCAGTGTGTTAACGCTGGGTGATGAAGGATACTTGCTGCGCAGCATCGACACTCCGGACAGAACACTGCTGGTCAGGTTCAACGGTTCGGTGCTAGCAAAGGGTATGTGTAATGTAGCAAGGGCGGTCCAGCACTAGCATATGGCGAAACTGCATCTTGTGCCTGGTCTAAATGCTGTTGTTTGCACACGAGCCACGTAGATGATGGCACCCACACTCCTTCAGAGGCATTGACGAGGGATAGCAGCGAAGGTGCAAGCGAGGACACAAAGAGGTCGATTGAGGTCCACGGCGTGGCAGGCATTTTCGGCCTAGAACTCTTCAGATACTTGCTGGTGATTACCAGCAGTCGAGACCGTGGCAGTATTGACGGAAGCACCATATATGAAGCAACCAAGGTCGTTGCGCTGCCGCTTGACTACGACAGCGGCGCAAAGCACATTGACAGAATTCTTCGGGCGGCCAGCAAGGAACAACTGAAGCAGCACGAACGCACAGCAAGTGATACTGGTACGCCTGCATCTGGGATTATGTCGCCAGAGGAGACGCCAGACCCCGATAGCTCGAGTAGCGCGAATCCGGGTCGCAAGCAGTCGACCAGCTGGCTATCCCCGCAGCTTTCAAAGCTGCTAGGCATGAGCAAGAAGAAAGTAGAAGAGATAGATTTGTCAGAAGACACTGCCGGCTCGCCTACACATGAGCAGCAGCAGCCACCGCAGCAGCAGTCACCGCAGCCGCAGCACTCTGGGAGTCATACACCAGCAGAAGAAGCGGCTGGAGATGGCAAGGCTGGATCGTCGGCTCATCGTATGGAGTCACGGATTGTAGAAGAGATCCGGCGTGTGTTTGGAGCCAGCGGCATGTTCTACTCGTATGGCTATGATCTGACACGGTCTCTAGAGGCCAAAAATGGCCAAGCAGCAGTGGCTGAAGACACTGTGCTTGCCGATATAGTTGATGGCGATTACTGGTTTAACAACCATCTCCAGAAGCTGCTGCTGAAGAATTCGGCTGCTGCCTGGGCATTGCCGCTGGTGCAAGGGTGTGTGCAGATTGCAATGTGCTCGGTGGCAGACGGCGACTCGTTCCAGGTCAGTGTGGTGTCCCGGCGCAGCTGTCGGCGTGTTGGCGTGCGGTATGAGCGGCGTGGGGCGAACGCAGACGGATATGTGGCGAACTTTGTCGAGACCGAGCAGATCTTGTCGTTTGAATCGGGAGACGGGAAGCAGTTTGCGAGCTTTGTGCAGACTCGCGGATCAATGCCCTTCTTTTGGAAGCAGCCGGCAGCTGGACTGCACCCAGTCCCTGTTGTATTGCGCGACGATGCTTCCAACGCCAATGTGTGTGCCCTGCACTTGGAAAGAGAGGTTGGGCGGCTGGGACGGCAGGTTATTGTCAATCTGGTGGAGCAGAAGGGCCGTGAGGACATCGTCGGGTCAAAGTACGCAGCGCTGGTCGGTGAGTGCGTGGCAAACGAGATGGTTGACGCCCAGGCGATCCGGTACATCCCGTGGGACTTCCACCACGAGACGCGCGGGATGCGGTTCGAGAACCTGAACCAGCTGTTGGAGCAGCTGCAGGGCGAAATTGCGCGCATGGGCTATTTCTGGCAGGCAGACGAGCAGTTGCTGATCAAGCAGTCTGGGGCGTTCCGCGTCAACTGCATGGACTGTTTGGACCGCACGAATGTGGTGCAGAGTGCAATTGCGCGGTATGTGCTTAACGAGCAGCTGGTGCGCCTGGGAATCCATGCAGCGCCCGAACTCGGCCTGAGTGCCTACAGCGGACTTGAAGCGACGATGAACAACCTGTGGGCAAACAACGGCGACTACATCAGTAGACAGTACGCCGGCACATCGGCAATGAAAGGCGACTTCACACGCACCGGGAAGCGCAACTTTGCTGGGGTCATGAGCGATGCGTCGTACTCGCTAGCACGGCTGTGGATAAACACGTTCAGGGACTACTTTTCGCAGTCGGCATTGGACTTCATCATGGGCAGCCAGACATCCGTCGACGTGTTCCGCACACTGGTTGACCTGAAGTCGCGCGAGCCTGACCACGCACTGCAGCTGGGGCGGGCGCGGGAGGCGGCAATCGAGGCCAGCATAGCTATTGTTGTGCATGACGGCGAGTATGTGCAGCTGGCGCTGGTTGTGCGGTCGCCAATGCAGCTGGGCGTGAGTGTGATCCGACATGAGTCAGACGCGGTCATGATACTAACGGATGTGGCGATGTATGTGTGTGGATACCACTACCAGATGGAGAGGGTGGAGGAGTTTGTCAGGGTGGAGCTCAAGGACATTACAGCTGTGCAGCATGGGGCGTATATAACCGATACGGCGATGCCGCAGGCCTTGGATGTGGCCAGGAATAATGGCATTGTGCTGTATTTCGCCAAGGGCGTAGCCCAATTCAACTCGGGCACTGTGCAGGATGCTTCTGAGATCAGGAATGGGTCTGGAGAGCGAGAGTCGGACCTGAAATCCGTCGATATGTCATCGTCGGCCTCGTCAATCGCCTCCACAGCGGATGGGCAGCCTAAAGCAGCGGAGCCCTCCACAGACAGGCCAGCTACGGGAGATGAGCCGGGCGAGAGCTTCCTTGCCTGCAAGCTGGCGGACGAAGCGCAGGTAGTAATGCAGCTAGTCCCCGGCCAGCCATCAACAGCAGTCGGTGCATCTGCGTCGAGCAACCAGCTGTCGGCACTGTCGCTGGCGCGGCTCAAGTCGCTGGAGGACCAGTCGCCGGAGATGCTGGCCGAGTGCCTGTGCTCGATGATCCAGTCGGCCAAGACCAACGCCGACGCGCAGTCGTACTCGGGCGGGCAGTTTGTGCTAGATGCGCCGATTATCAGCGCGGCGGAGGCGAAGCGCAAGGTCAGCGTCATGAGCAAGGTGACGAAGAAGATCCACCACGCATTCTGGATCTAGCAAGTCACGTGCTCTAATGATAAGCACAGTTCGTCGCACTGGAAACCGTAGGCAGCTGTGCTTTTTTTCTCTTTAGCTCGCTTCACTGAAAAAAGAAAAAAAAACTCTAGCATTCTTTTCACATGCAAAATGGGCGACACAGGACCCGAGAAGAAAGTGGATCCGATCATGGAGGACTATGCGCGCAAGATCCTGGGCAGGGACACTGAGCTGCCGGAGGACTACGCGTCGATGATTATAGAGTCGCGGCGGCGTGGGCGCGCCGGCGAGGAGCAGCCGTTCCTGAAGCCGCACCGGTGCGACAAGCACCTGCAGGATTTTCTGGACGGGCTGTTTCTGTATGAGGCATGGGAGCCGTGCAAAATCTACTTCAAGTGCCTGGGATCCAAGATGGGCGAGGAGCCGGAGCGGTACAAGCTGAAGGGCGACCCGGAGTCGCTCAAGCGATAAGCGGGATTGCTTAGGGAAAGAGGTGGGGAGGTTTTTAAAATGAAAAAAACTTAAAAAGGAGACTAAAAGAGTGAGACGGTGTAAGTTTATGCCTACAGGGGCAGCAGCAGGGAGAAGCGTTTAGACGACGATGTCCTTGTTGTCGGGGGCCACCGGCAGCTGGTTCTTCCGGAAGGCCTTGTAGCCAGCAGGCTCGAGCGGGTCCTCCTCGTGCTGCGACGGGCGGTAGTGGCGGATGTACTGCAGGGCGTTGAGCTCAAACTTGTGCGGCTCGATGCCCAGATCGGCGAAGGTCTTGACGGCGGCATCCTTGCTGGGGATATCGTCGATAGACATCAGGTCGACCTCGTGATGGCTTGTGTAGTGGTAGGGCAAGATGTCGGCGATCTTGGCGGCCAGGCGCAGCATCTTGGGCGGCAGGTCGACCTGCCACAGCTTCTCGTGCAGGAGCAGGTTGACAACATCGATGAGCTCCTGGCGCGTGTACTCCTTTGGGTTGTAGAGGTCGTAGGTCTCGCCGACAGTCGCCTCGTCGTCGCGGATGATGTCGATGGCGTGGGCCACGTCAGAGACGCACACGGGGCGCACCTTCTGCTGCCCCTTGTTGACCGTCATGTAGAAGTACTTGAACCGGCCCATGTTGTTCAGCAGCTCGTCCTCGTAGCCGTACATGGTCGCGGGCCGCACAATGTTGGCGCCGGGGAAGGCCTCGCGCACGCGCTGCTCGCCAAAGGCCTTGGTGACCAGGGCGTCGGAGTGGGCGTTGGTGCGGGCATTCAGGTTCGACACGTGGATCAGGCGGGACACGCCCGCGTCGCGCGAAATCTCGGCGATCCGCTGGGCGCCCTCGACGTGAACCTGGTCGAAGGAGAAGTTTTTGGTCTCCCAGTTGCGGCCGATCAGGTTGATGACCACGTCCGAATGGCGGACGCACTCCTCGATCTGGTACGGGTTGCGCAGGTCGAATTCCATCGGGATGATCATGCCCAAGGTCGCCCGTGGGCTTCAGGTGCCGCGCCAGCTCGTACATGCCGCGGTACGGCACAATCACCTTGGTTCCCTCGCGTGCCAGCCGCGCAACCACATAGCGCCCCAGGAAACCGGTGCATCCGAACACAGTCGCAACCTGGCCGTTCCACGACTGGCGGCCGTAGTTTCCGCGTCCGACATAGACCTTGCCCGTGGTCTTGCGGATAGCAATATCAGCCTTGCCGCGCTTGGCCACAAGCTGCGCAGCCGTGTCTATAGAGAGTGGTGTGTTATCAGTACATGTTGCAGCGTGCCGGGGTGAGTGAATCTCCCTGCCTGGACTGAATGGCCACGACGCTTACTCTTGAGTCCGCGATTCAGAGGATTGGCAAACATTTCGGCGGTTTAATTGAATGAATCGAGAGAGTGGAAAATATAAGAGCAAAAACCGTGAATTGAAGAAGCAGCAAAAAGGCGTCAAGGCCACTGAGACAGCTCAGTATACCGGCAGGTAGCATGGACTGCTATTTTTCTTTATCGCTGCTTCAAAAGCCCGCGCCCACGGCCAGGACATCTAATCTCAGCCGTCACGTGCAGATCACATCTGGTGATTGCATGGGAGAGATCAGATCAGTGGATCCACGGCGCATCCGAGCAGTGTCCAGGATGCCGCCACTGCCCCCTGACCCGGCGACCGATGGGGCGGCGATTGGCAGCACAGCAGGGGCAGGTGCCGCTTATCAGGCGCAGCATCGGTGCCAGCAAGCCAGGGCCACAGCGCCAACGCAGTAATGCGCCGCCGGTGGCGCTCCTCTCTCCCGTCCAGATCCCCAAGTGGTGACTCCTTACGGACAGGGGCTGCAGCCCTGGGCCAGAGTCCTGGGCAGCTCGCACTTTGGTCGCCGTGCGCAAGGGATAAACCGAACAGCCGCATCGTGTACCGCGCTATGTGGTGCTAGAGGCGATCAGGTGACAGAGATGCCTGCTCCAATATATGCGGCATGGCGTCACACGGCTAGGTCAGATTGCAGTCATTGCGCATGACCTGCAGCACATAAACACTTAGAGTGGGCATAGGCACGCAGGAGGGTACAGATGGTAAAAAGGTTATGCTCAGATGTCGACGGGTCGGACGGGAAGGAAGCCTGTAGAATGGGCAGTCCTGCAGCAGGTCTTTCGGCCGCTCATCGATGATGGCCCGGGTTGCCTATTGCGGACAGCGGTGTGCAACACTGCAGCGTCAGGAATAGCAGGGCTGCTTAGCGTGTGAGAAAGGGGAAAAATCGTGTGAACAGGTGCGAAAAAATAATGCAGCACAATGTACAGCGGCAGACAAAAGATTGGCGTCAGGAACGGCCAATCACAATAGTGACTGGCCACGTGGCAGCGTGCGGATCCTGGGTAAGCGGGCGGGACAGAAAAAGTATAAAAGGGGGCCCTCCCGGCGCAGACCTGGCAGGCAGCATCGACATACTTCCTCAACCCCAAGCAACCAAGCAACCCAAGCAACAGCCTCATCCAAATCCAAGAAGCAAATCCAGCCATGACATCGTCTGCCAAGTACACTGCTGCAACCAGCCAGCAGGCCATGGAGCTCGAGAACGAGTACGGAGCACACAACTACCATCCGCTGCCGGTGGTCATCGCGCGTGGCGAGGGCGTGCACGTGTGGGACCCCGAGGGCAAGAAGTACTATGATTTCCTGTCGGCATACTCGGCAGTCAACCAGGGCCACTGCCACCCGCGCATCGTCAAGGCGCTGGTAGACCAGGCATCCACGCTGTGCCTGTCGTCGCGCGCATTCTACAACGACAAGCTGGGAGCCGCCGAGAAGTTCATCACCGAGTTCTTTGGCTACGAGATGATGCTGCCAATGAACACCGGCGCCGAGGCTGTTGAGACAGCGATGAAGCTGGCGCGCAAGTGGGCGTACCTCCACAAGGGCCTGGACAACGACGGGTACATCCTGGGCGTTGACGGCAACTTCCACGGACGCACGGTGGGCATCATCTCGCTGTCGACAGACCCCGAGTGCCGCACAGGCTTCGGGCCATTTGTGCCGAACATCACAGCGACGAACCCGGACACGGGCATGAAGCTGCGGTACAACCACGCCGAGGACCTGGAGGCGGTGCTGGAGGCGCACGGCGACAAGGTGGCAGCGTTCCTGGTGGAGCCGATCCAGGGCGAGGCCTGGAATCAAGGTTCCGGAGCCCGGGTACCTGAAGCGGTGCTACGAGCTGTGCAAGAAGCACAACGTGCTGTTTATCTGCGACGAGATCCAGACGGGCATCGGGCGCACGGGCACTCTGCTGGCGATCGAGCACGAGCAGATCCGGCCGGACATTGTGATTCTGGGCAAGGCGCTGTCGGGCGGAGCGTACCCGGTCAGCTGCGTGATGAGCTCCAAGGAGATCATGCTGTCGATTAAGCCCGGCGAGCACGGGTCGACATACGGCGGCAATCCGATTGCGTGCGCGGTTGCGGTGGCGGCGCTGGAGGTGGTGCGTGACGAGAAGCTGACGGAGCGCGCCTACGAGCTCGGGCAGCGGTTCCGTGAGGGTCTGCGCAAGATCCAGTCGCCGCTGATCAAGGATGTGCGGGGACGCGGGCTGCTGAACGCCATTGAGGTCAACCCGATCGAGGGCAAGACGGCGTGGGACCTGTGCCTGCTGCTGCGCGACCGCGGGCTGCTGGCCAAGCCCACGCACGACACCATCATCCGGCTGGCGCCGCCGCTGACCATCACGGCCGAGCAGCTCGACGAGTGCGTGGAGATCATCGTCAAGGCCATTGCCGACTATTCACAGTAGACCAACTGCTTTCTGTATTCTCAATTTAATCCATTACTGCAAACAGCACATTCCCGATCAAAGGAGTCGCCACGCACAAACGCAGGGACTCAGCCGCCAGCCATCGGTAGGCCGCTGTCTCCTCGGTATTCTCCACTAATAGTTCCACGCTTCTTGACAATGCATTTCATTAGATGGTCGGCGCTGGCCATGGCGCTCCTCGGCAGCGGGCGTGCAGGCAGCACCGAGTCGTTCACAGAAGACCTGGTGGTGCAGGTGCTGCCCGACAACAAGGTGCTGCTGCATTTCGAATTCAACCTGCAGCGGCCACAGCCCACCAGCAATGACACCCAGCACCACTACCACATGTTCCCGCGGCAGCTGGGCGAGATCGCGCACCGGCACAACGTCGAGTCGCTGCATCTGCAGTTCACACAGGGCAACTGGCGCGCCGAGCAGTGGGGCGCGCCAACAGTGAATGCGCAGGGCGTCGGGGCCGAGGTGTTTGCAAGGATCACCAACGACAGCGACGCGGACTGGCGCGGGCTGACGAATGCCCTGTCGGGGGTGTTCTGCGCGTCACTGAATTTCATCGACACGACCAACACGAACAGGCCGCGGAGGTCGTTTGCGGGGGCGCGGCACGCGCATCTGCCGCGCGAAAACGTGTGCACCGAGAACCTGACGCCGTGGATCAAGCAGCTGCCGTGCCAGGGCGTGGCCGGGCTGGGCGCATTGCTGAACCCCTACCGCCTGTACAATATGCATTTCCACGCAATGGCGGTGGATCTGGCGCCGCGCTCCATCGGCGGCCAGCCGGTGCTGGCGTACAAGCAGACGCTGGCGGTGGTGGTGGACCCAAAGACGTTCGGGCTTGATGGCCAGTGGACGCTGGCGCAGCTGGTCGACAGGGAGATGCGCCCAGCATGTGCCGTCGCCAAGCGCAGCACTGTCCGCGTGCTGCAGAGTGACCGGGTGGAGCTCGTGCCAGCGCCCGACCGCGTCGACGCAGTGAACGGGCATACGGTCAGCGTGTACGATGCGGCAGCGCGTGGCGGCGAGCTGACGGACGTGAGATTCACAATGAGCAGTGGCCGGGCGGGGCGCCAGCGGGCCACGCCGCCGGCCATCGTGGCCCATAGGTTTGTGACAGGCCATGGCGGCAGCAGCGGCGGCGTGGAATGCGCCATTGTCAACCACAGCGACCAGCCCATGCGCGTGTCATACATGGACTCGCTGCCGTGGTACCTGCGTCTGTACATGCACACGCTGACGGCGCAGGCCGAGTCGCTGCTGAATGGCGAAACCCACAGCCTGACGCCTGCCTACATGCTCTATACGCCGGCAGTCGACCGCGGGCGCCCGGCGCTGGTGGAGCTGGAGCTCGATCTGCCGCCGCAATCGCGCGTCACTTTGCGCTACGACTTTGATAAGGGATTCCTGAAGTACTCGGAGCACCCGCCGGATGCCAACCGCGGCTTCAACATCGGCCCAGCCATTGTGACGTATACGCCCAAGGAGGCCGACCTGGCATGCACTGTGGGAGCAATGCTCGGGGATGCTGTCCAGCCAGAGGAATGCGTGGCTCGCGTGTACACCGAGCTGTTCCTGGCCAGTCTGCCGACGCCCGATTTCTCGATGCCGTACAATGTCATTACCTTTACGTGCACCATCCTGGCGCTGTTCTTTGGCCGCATGTTCAATCTGCTCACACGCGACTTTGTTGTGCTCCGCGGAGGTCAGAAGGACAAGAAGAAAGACTAGGCAATAAAATCTACCAAACCGACCCGCGTGTATTGTCTGGAAAAAGCCAAAAAAAAAAAAAACGTATGAGTACTTGGGGGAGAGGCCAAAGACGGCCTGCGCTTTTGTTTACGTTTTTTTGTCCCGGCTTGCGGCAGTGATCCGTGAATGCTGCTCCTCGCCTGATGCCTTCTAGGGAAAAAGCACCTTTCGCAAAAGCAGCATGAGCTAGGACACCCCCCTTTTCATTTTTCTCTCCCCTTCTCAAAGGCTTTCCCCCCCTTTGCTTCCTTGACAATCCCGCATTCGCTATTCAACACTGAATTCGTACCGCAACCCTCTGTTCTTGTTAGCTACAGCACACGTATTTCGGGAGGAACTTTTATGGCGCCAGTTCAAAGCCTCGACGAGCGGGGCCAGCTGGTGGGCTCAGCGCTATTTGCGACAAACGGCATGGCGCACCAAGGCGCAATAGACGGCAATGCAGTCCTGGATGCACTGGTGGCGCTGAATGACGAGCTGGACGATCGCAGGTTCCTGCAGCTGCCAAACATTAATGAGTTTGTAGAAAGATGTAGGTTTGCACCTCAGTCCTAGCGGTTTATGAACCGCCCTGCTTATGTGGCGTGCAGAAAAGGCCCCTCCATGCTAATGCACCTATGGCAATTGCGTAGATAAACGGTCGGCACAGGATATCCGGAATTGGCGGATCGGGAAGGAGGATTTCGAGTTTATCAGGACATTGGCGCGTGGGCAGTTTGGCATAGTAAGTGCATGGGCGTTTGGAAAGCCGTAGAAGAAGCCTGGGAGACGCAGCTGCAACCTCCCACCCTTTGCGAAGCATTTCTATATTCGGTCTGCGATCATGCATGGTGGGCTCGATTGCACAGTCCTGATACGCATCGCGGCTTTTCGCTGTAGGTGGATATTGTGCGCAACAAGCACAACAAGGGCGTATATGCAATGAAGACATTAAGTAAGCATGCATTGCTCACACAGCGCGAGGTAAGTCACCCCCTCCACATGGAAAGGAACAAAGGGACGTGTGTGCGTGAGCTGACCCCATGTGCTGACAGAAGGCTCCCCCAGCTGTAGCAAGCGGCGTTTTTGGAAGAGCGCGATGTGCTGGTGCTGGGCAAGCACTCGCCGTGGATTCCGGATCTATATGCAGCGTTCCAGGACAAGGAGAGTCTGTATCTGGTCATGGAGTTTGTGGCCGGTGGCGATCTGTTCAGCATGCTCGACCGGTGCGACAACGCAGTGGTGGATGAGGACGCGGCCCGGTTCTACGCAGCCGAACTTGTGCTGGCCATCGAGGACCTGCACAAGCTCGGGTACGTGCACCGCGACTGCAAGCCGCAGAATACACTGCTGGATGAGCGCGGCCATGTGAAGCTGGCCGACTTTGGCTCGTGCGCCCGCATCGACGCGACCGGCGCCCACGAGGCGAAGATGTCGGTCCCCGTGGGCACATGCGACTACATTGCCCCCGAGTCGCTGCAGGCGCGCGAGCACGGCGGCGGAGCGGTGGCCAGCGGCGCCTGCGACTGGTGGGCGCTGGGCACGGTCCTGTATGAGATGCTGTATGGCGACCCGCCGTTCTACAGCGACTCAGTGCCCGAGACATACGCCAAGATCATGGCCTGCGAGACGAATCTGGCCTTCGACGAGTCTGCGCAAGTGTCCGATGCTGCCAGGGACCTGATGCGCCGGCTGCTGTGCCGCCCCGAGACGCGGCTGGGCAATGCCGGAGCCCAGGAGATCAAATCGCACGCGTTCTTTGCCTCAATCGACTGGGACAACATCCGCCAGCAGGATGCGCCATTTGTGCCGCATATCAGCGCTCCCGACGACACGTCCAACTTTAGCGTCGGCGACGAGGACGACCAGGATCTGCCCAATCTGCCGGGCGCCGGACGTATCGGCCAGGGCAAGGATTTCGCGGGCGAGCAGCTGCCGTTCGTTGGCTTCACATACCAGCCGCAGATCCTGAAGCCCCTGTCGCCGGGGCTGCGCGGGCCTCGCGACGACCCGATGGCTGTGCGAGTGCTGCAGGCCAAGGTCGAGCAGCTCGAGAGCAAAGCCAAGGAGGACGACCAGCGGTGGCGCGCGCGCCAGCGCGAGTGGGAGCAGGAGCGCGCGGCGCTGGAGGCCGAGAAGGCCACGCTGCACGATCTGGTGCGTCTGCATGAGGCCAAGGCCATGGAGCCGCCACGGCCCCCCACTCCCCTGCCGTCGCCAAAGCGCGACTCGGCCATGCAGACCGATCCCGAGGAAAAGGAAAAAGAGCAAAAGGAGGAGCCGGAGGAAGAGAAGCCCGCAGTCGACGCGCAGTTTGCCGCCCAGCTCGGCGGCGTCATGGCCGAGGCGTACCAGGAGCTGGCTGCGCGCCTGGTCACCAGCCTCGAGCAGCAGTTCGACAGCCAGACCACGCACCTGGGCAGCCTGACCCAGGCCGTCAACACGCTGGCCACAAACACCACCGCCAAGCTGGACGAGTCCCTGCAGACGCAGCTGCGCGAGCAAAAGAAGGGCATGGAGTCGCTAGCTGCACTGCTGCAGGCGCCCGGCGGCACCCAGCGCGTCCCCAGCATAGCCTCGCCGGCCTACAGCGGCACTGTGCGCACGCGTCTGAGCATCGGCTCGACGCACGCACGCCGCCCCGCCAGCATGGTCGACGACGGCTCGGCCAGCGACTCGCAGCCCAAATCGGTGGTGGCCACACTAGTCAACGAGATCTCCAAGAACGCCAGCAATGAATCGCCGAAGCTGCCGGGCCGCGGCTCGCTCGGCTGGAATGGGTCGCCGCAGCAGCCGCGCGTGTCGCGGGCCGAGCGCCGCGTATCGGCCGGCATGGCCAGCGATACGCTCTCGGGCATCAGCAGCAAGTGCGACAAGCTCTCGGGTCTCTTCGAGCAGTACGCCGCAGACATCGACCAGATCAAGAAGGCCCAGGGCTCATTGCTCGCAGTCTGCAATGCCCTGGCGCTCGAGTCGCGCGCCGAGTCGCTGCATGAGCCATCCACGCCCATTACCGACCACACCATGGCCTCCGATGCCTCGCTGCGCCGCAGCCGCCGCAAGACCGAGCACCTGCGTCGCCGCGCCGCCGCCGAAGCCCTCAGCCCACTTGGCCGCTCGCCCGAGCCCGAGCCCGAGCCGCCCGCCGTCGACCTCTACAAGGCCGCCACCGACGAGCTGATCGGATCGCTGCGTGCGCAGCTGGCCGAAGCCACCAGCGCCAAGGCCACAGCCGAGAAGCGCGCAGCCGAGCTGCTGGAGTGGATCGGCCGCGAGTCCAAGGGCCGTGCAACTCTGGAAGACATGATCCGCACCGCCCAGGAGGCCTGCAAGACCGCCGAGGACAAACTGACCAGGCTGCACAGCGACACCGAGATGCTGCGCTCGGCCGTGGCCATCAAGGACGACGAGATCAAGCGCCTGCAGGCCCTGGTGCAGACCCGCGACAACGAGCTGCGCCACCTGCGTCGCGCCTCGCGCAAGGCCCTCGACCAGCTGGCCGACCTGAAGCAGGCACCCGACAAGCCCGACAAGCCCGACAATGACAAGCCCGCTGCCGACGCCGAGCTGCAGGAGGCCGCTGCCCTGCACGTCAAGATGCAGTTTGAGATCTCGCGGCTCGAGGGCCAGGTCTCGCGGCTTGAGGACGAGAACGCACAGCTCGCCAAGGAGCTCGCGCAGAAGGACTCGCTGATGTCTGGTCTGCGCTCCAAGCTGGCCGACAGCGAGCGCCGCCACAATGAGCGTGCAAATGAGGCCAGCGACGGCATCCGCGTGCGCCCGGTCGACGCCGACGAGCGCTTCGCCAGTATCGGGTCGAAGTCGCACAAGCGCTTCAAGGTGCAGCTGCAGAACATGCAGAAGCACATCGAGTACCTCGAGACCAAGCTCGCCTTGGCCGTCAGCGAGAACGACGCATTGAAGAGCCGCCCTGGCGACCTGAACGCCAGCATCCCGAGCATCTTCAACCGCAGCATTGCCGAGTCTGCCAACGGCATGGCTATGCCATCCACCCCCGATAACCGGTCCTCGTCCAGTCTGTTCAAATCCGGCTGGAAGCGCAAAGCCCGGCCCCAGATCAGCCGGCGCGCGGCCTGCCAGCTCCATCTTCCCGAACCTGCCCAGCAATATGGACTACATGCAGAGCTCCCGGCCCATGTCTATGGCCGGCCCAACTGCTGCCGAGCAGCCCAGCTCCAGACCGCGCCAAGAGTCGTTCTCGTCGTCATTTGAGCGCCTGCGCTCGCCCTTCAAGGGCTTCCGCAAGCACTTTGGCTGAGCGCCCCGAGCCCCGGCTCGAGCCGACCCTTTTGAAAAAAAACCGTGTTATCATAAACCGTCAAAAAGTCGAATTCCGCTGACGCTTTCCTTTTTTTTTCCATTGCGCCTTTCTCTGCTGCTGCCCTTTCGTTACATTGTAATTTCCACATTCAAAGCCTCTACATACAGAAATGAGCCGCGCAATCTACCTGTTCCGCAACATTCGCACAAAGCAGGTCCTGGCAAGCATGGACAAAACCCTGCTTTCGCACGAGCGCCTGATCGCCGGGCAGGTGCCGCAACAGCCTTTGCGCCCGCAGAAGATCCGCCCCGACCACTGGACGCCCTTGGCCGTGCTTTCGGGCTTCCAGACCGACTCGGCCCTAAACACCGCCTTCAGCCTGGCCAGCATGCCCGGCTTCCCTCTGCGCCCGCCGACTGCACAGGAGCAGCACGAGTACCGGCTGCTGAAGAACAAGCACAAGCGCCTGCGTGACCTTGATACCACCGAGCGCCAGGTCGCACAGCTGGCGCGGTCGCTGATTTACATGGATCACACCAGCTCCCATGTGGTGCCCAAGGAGGGCAAGCTGAAGCTGTTCTGGCAGGACCGCCAATGGATCGGAAAGGTCGAGGACGCCTGGGCTCAAGTTCCCCGAGTGGATCGAGCATGACGATCTGGATCTGAAGCGCGGCAACATGATCACGAACAAGGAGCTGCGCGGCAAGGCCCCCAAGAGCTGAGCCTGGAAATCATGCTTCCTAGAAAATATATTTGTGAACGTAAAAAAGAAAGAAACGAGCAAAGACCGAAAGTAGAGGGGAGGAAAAGCACAAACCACAGCAACCTGTAGTAGCAGCAGCGGCGGTGGTAATAGTGGTAGTGTAAGGGCGAAAAAGGGCCAGCATGAACCCCCCTTCGTGGAGAGATATCAATCCGTCATCTGCTCGCCTCGCCGAGAATCACGCGAGGATATCCCTCCCGAGATGTGGGCATGGGGAGTGTTGCGGAACAAGAGGCAAAGTACAAGAGTAAGCAATAAAAGGGAAATGGAGGTTTGCTGCCAAGAGACACCGGGCCCAGAAGTACGAGCTCTGTTGCTGGTGCCGTCGCCCTGCGAGTGACCTGAGGTTTTTTTTACTCCTGGGCGAAACCGACAGTGTTCTCAATAGCCAGGATGATCTTCGACTTCAGCGTCTCGTACTCGGTGTACGGCGGCAGGTCAATGCGGTTAAAGCACGTGTGGCTCTTTGGCAGCGCAACAATGTCTCCAGCCTTCTCGATCGTGAACCGGCGCGGCCCGTCGCTTCCCTGCAGATCCTTGAATCCGTTGACTGGGATGCGCGACGTACCCGTCGTGAACTGCAGCATACGCGCCTGGTGCTCAGAGTCCATCTCCTGGACTGCCTTCCAGAACCACTGGACCACCTGGTCCGACTCTGTGTAGCCGCGGTAGTCTGTGTGCTTCTTCCAGTCGTCAATGTCAATCTCCGCAATGCCGCCGATCAGCAGCTCGAGCTCGCGCTCATCAAACACCTGGATCAGATCCTCAGGGATCAGCTCGTGGAATCCTGCCTGGAACGCCTCAAACTGCTCCTTGATGCGGTCGCACACACGGTACTGCACGTTGAGCTGCACGTACTCCTTCTTGTTCTCCTCCGTGACCTCAATGTCCTTGCCGCCGGGCTTGAGCTCCACCTCCACACGCTCTCCAAACTTGTCGTCGTCCAGCGAGAACGTGAAGCCCATGTCCGACACGTCGTTCTCCAGCACCCACTTTAGCGAATTGTAGATCTCCACATCCACGCTCTGCATGTCCTCCAGGTCCACTGGCTTCTTCAGCAGCATCTTGTAGAACGACGACGTGAAGAACGCATCCAGGAACCGCCGGTGGAAGATTGCCAGGCCCATGGTGCGCCCAATGAACCGGAAGTAGTTCAGGTGCTCCGGGTTGATGTTCGAGTGCGGGTTGATCTGCAGCGTGTACGAGTCGTGCGCCGAATACTCAAACAGGCAGTACTGCGGGTTGAACATCTCATGCGACAGCAGGAAGAAGTACTCGCGCGACACACCACCGTAGTCCAGGCCGTCTTCGCCATCAAACTTGATCATCAGGCGCTTCTTGAGCTCCGACACCGGCACCCGCATAATCTCGTTGTACGAGTTCTCAAACACGCTGTCGCGCGACACCTTGATGTGGCACTGCCCAGGCACTGGCCGCATGGCCGCCTGCGACCGGAAGTAAATGTACTTGCGCCGGAAGTCGCGCTTGTACTGCGGGACGTTCTGGTCGAGGTTGCTTGGCAGGCGAGGGTCTACACCAAAAAAAAAAAAAAAAACAAAAGAGATGTGGTTGAGATCATTCAGTAGACCTAGCCCAACAAAAATAGCACATCCCAGGCAGCAAAAAAGGGGGGAGTCTGGACGGCGATGCCAAGACATCGCACAGCGACAGAGGAACCACTTTTACCCGGAGAGAAAGGCCAACCAGGCTCTGCACCCACAGGAAATCATGAGGTCAGCGCCGAGAATATCCGCACATATAACACATGTATCAAAAGCAGACCTCTGTGTCTGCTCCTTGTCCTGCCCCCAAAAAAAAACAGCAACACCGATACTTACCATCCCATGTTGTGGTCTTGGTGTTGTGGTCAACAAAGTACACGCGGCCCTGGCCAGTCAGCCGCATCTCCCAGCCCGACGGCAGCGGGCCTAGGCGAGACGCCGTCTGCCCGGCAACGTTGGCCACGGCTGCGGCGCGGTTGCCGTTCGGCGCATTGGAGCCGCGCACGCGCGGGTCGTCCCACGTCGTGGTGCGAGCAATATGGTTCACAAAGTACGGCCTGCCCTCGGCAGTGAATCGCTGCTCCCAGCCCGACGGCAGCGGGCCCAGCGCAGAGCTCCCGCCGCTGCTAGCTGCCTGTCCTCCCGCCGTGCCTGGTGTGGCCACCGACGACTGTTGCGATGGAGTGCCAGGCTGGCTGGTTGTGTTGGCCGTGTCAGGCAGAGCGCGGTTCATGTGACGCTGGCGCTCGCCCTCAGTTGGGCCCTGTGCCGACATGCTGCCGGGCTCGGTCGGCCGGCGCCACGTCGTCGTGCGCGAGTTATGGTCGACATAGTACACCCGGCCTAGGTGGTCGATGCGCTGCTCCCAGCCGTCCGGGAGCGCATCCCCAGCCGCCGCTGCCGCTGGCGCGTTGCCTGCTGCTTGACCAGCGCCGCCCGACGGGGCTGCTGCTGGGGCGGCGGCGGCAGCAGCGGTAGTAGCAGAGGCGGCCGGTGCCAAGGTGGCCGGTGTGGTAGCATGGCTACTGGCCGGCGCATGGCGGTGCGGTTGCGAGGACGGCCGTTGGTTGTGTGCGTCACGGTGGCGATGCCGGTTCAAAAAGGTAAACATTGTGTTAGTAGCAGGCGATAAAGATAAAAGGCAAACAGCGCTCTCTTTGCAAAGGTGCCTTTGGCGGGGGTTAAAGAAAAAGTGGAAATCAAAAGATATACAAGAGAAGCAGTTTTGACAATTACGCGAGCGGAGGAGGGGAAGAGAAAAGTGGGAAAATGCACTGGAACGAGGCGGGCAATGCCGGCTGTTATAAAGGCTGCGAACAAGGGCAGTCGAGGGCGGGTGGGCCGAGACTCGCAGCCCGCCTCGCTCTACCGGTGGTGCACACAAGCCGCATTTCTATTGGATTGCCTCGCATTCAGGCAGTTTTTCCACTGCCAGGATGCGCCCCACTCTCACTGCTGCTCTTGGGCACTTACCCTGTTGCCTGCGCGCTACCGCTACCGCCGCTGCCGTTGCCCGCTGCGACCAGCTGGAGCACAAGCCGGCCCTGCACGGGATCGTTGTTATTTGATGCCTTGAGGTCTTGGGTCACCATGGCTAAACACGCTTCGGAGCTATTAGTAATCTGCGCACCGAGACTGATGTGCTGTGCAAACAAGCAGCCGCCCTTTTGTTTGTCACTCACCCTCGCCACCATTGTCGACGTCAATATGCTGGTTGACCTGCACGTTAATGACACCCAGGAAGCCCTGTCCGCGCTTCTTGAACTTCTTCTGGTCAAACACCTGCGCAGCAATCACACTGCCCGGCTTCACCTGCACGCTGAAGCTCTCGTTCCAGTATGGCGACAGCGTCCGCTTCAGCGCTGTTGTCGTGTGCATCTGCGCCCCGTCAACCGTCACCACCACAAACGGGTCAGGCAGTCCTAAAAATATACCACGAATCAGCACCGCGAACATTCGGCAGTTGGGCCTGGTGATGCATCGCTCGATTCTACTTACGGAAAATGTCCCGCTTGTACAGCCCGTCCGCCGCGACAACTACAGCAAAAGAGAGGCACGTTTAGGCAACTGCTCCGATGTCTACGCCTGGTAGTGGAGGGCTAGGCTAGAGCGGGGGTAGAGCGGGACGGGGAAGAATGCCCGCTGCCACCCGCCGCTGGAATATTTCCAGAAACGATCGGCTTTATATCGGCTACCGGCGGTATCTGTACCTGTTACTTTGAGCTGCCTATGTGGAAGTACAATGGTGGGATTTAGTATCTGGGCGCTAGTCTTGGCGACATGCCCTCTGGCCCTCGCACCAGCCGTCCCGCCCAAGCACTCCTGTGTCATAAGGCTTACTTTGTGCTTGCACTCGACGCCATGCTTTCTGTTCCGCTAGCAAACCTCTGGCCGTGTTGCTCTATATTATTAAGCGGGGCGTCCCGTTTTGCGTGTGGTTTGGGTGTTGTGTTTTCGGAATGTAAAACCTTGCAGGGCCCGAATTAGATGCTGCCAAGAACACTGCAAATGCAACTGCGAGGCTCTCCAAACAACCAAAACAAAAAAGGACTCTTCGAATAAGGGTGATTGCGCTCCGAAATCCTAAACTCTGAAGGAAATAAGGTTCGAATTCGAATGGGTATGGCCCAAGCTAGTAGACGTAAAAAGGTGCTGAGGGAAAGAGAGGGCTTTGTGGAAGGAGCCTTTTAGCGCTTCTGTCAAGCCACAGCCAGGAAATACTGCTGCCCCCACAAACCGCGGCCAACCCAGGGGACTACGTCCTAGGCGAAAAAAAGCATGACCGTGCGTGGCTCCATTCAGGATTTGCAGGTGCAGTGGGACAGGTGCGAAAACTGCCCCTAGCAAGCGCCTCACTCGATCGTCCGGTGCTCGCGCAACAGCTCCTCCCGGTCGCGCCTGCCCTGCTTGAATCCTGCGGCAAACCCATCCCGGAATCCTTCATCAAACCCGATCGCCTGTTCTTCTTCAGTCTGGCCCGGTGTGGGGTGACGTGTCGAATCAGTCGCTGAATCGCCGCTCGTGGAGCCTGTGGAGCGGGGCGGCTGCCTGGGAGTGTCCTTATGGCTCAGTGCCGCCCGCGCTACGTGGATGCCTCTGGCTGCCCCATGTCGCAAGATGAGCGGAGAGATGTTGCGTGACAATGCCAATGGCAGCAGCATGAGTGCAAGAGCAAAGGTCGTCAAGGAGAATGCGATACTATTCAAAAGAAACACAGAGCTTGTCTCTGATCCGCGTGAAAGCGGCTGGCGGCCAGCAGCCCCCAGCGCTGCAGCTCCGGTTATGGCGAATGGCACCTCGCTGGGCATAGGGGTTATCTGAGTGTATTTAAATGGCTGCCGTTTGGATAATACTGCACTGGTGCTTAGCGACGCATATTCCTGCCGTCAGTGATGCCCTGGCGGTACCCGAGCGCATATCCGCGGTTGAAGTCGTTGGGCTTGTCCTTGCTCGTGCCGGGCTCTGCCCGCGCCCGCTGCAGGTCGCGCAGGTCCGGGTTGGTAATCCGGTCAATGGCCTTGCGCACCAACAGCTTGTTGCCGTCCAGCTCGCTGCCCATCAGCGACCCCACCACCTTGTACACAGCTGCCTCCACCTCCTGCGTCTCCGCGTGTGTCGGCTCCATGTCGCGCATGCTTCATCTCCACGCCGTCCACAACCGGCGGCTCGCCAGCGCCAAAATACACGTGCGCGTACCGGTACCCCTCGCGGCCCTCACCGAACCGCATGCCCGTCACCTTGCCGAACGGCGCAAGCACCTCGCGCAGCTGATCCTCGGTCGTCCTTGGGCTAAGGTTCGCAATGTACACCGCGCGCGAGCTGAACGAGCGCGTGGCAAGGCGGCGGAGTGCTGTCTGTCTAGCAAGCGAGAACATTTCCGGTGTCTGATTTCGTAGACAATGCTGTTGGAAGAGGAATTGAGATTGAGGTTAGAGAGAAGAAAAAGATAGAGGAGGCTCAGGCTTGGAGACCCGATCCAGGATTAGGCTTGCAGGGAGACGCAGACACAAGGCAATATTGATTTGCTAACAAATCAAGACCGGCCCTAGTAGTGCTGGTTCGGCGGCGGCATCTGCTGGTGCTGTTGCTGCTGGTACGGGTTGACCACCTGCTGCATCTGCGGCTGGACCTGCTGCGGGTGGTGGCCGTGGTGGAGCTGCTGCATCTGCTGGACCTGCTGCATTTGTTGGACCTGCTGCATCTGCTGGTGCTGCTGCATCTGCTGCTGGTGCTGGCGCAGATGCAGCTGCTGGAGTTGCTGCTGTGCCTGCAGTTGGGAAGGCGTCTGCAGTGCATGCTGCGTCGGGATCTGGAACAGGTCCTGGAAGTACGGGTGCGACAGGCACCGTGCTGCCTCCCATCTGCTATTGGGGTCGTACACGAGCAGCTTCTTGAGCAGGTCCATGCCGTACTGGTCAATTTGCGGCAGGCACTGCTCGAGCCGCTGCATCGGATACTGCGGGAAGTTGCTCTTCCAGTTGGGGAACCGCGATACACCCGGCCACGTCGCCTCGCTGGGCGTACCCATGATCCGGAAGATCTTCAGCAGCTGGTCGTCATTGTTGCTGCCAGCAAATAGCGGTCTGCCCGTGTACATCTCGGCCATGATGCACCCGGCCGACCAGATATCGATCGTATTGCTGTAGTTGCGCGACCCCAGCAGGACGTCTGGTGCCCGGTACCACAGCGTCACCACTTCGTTCGAGAACGTGTTGACTGGGATGCCCACGGCGCGCGCCAGCCCAAAGTCCGCCAGCTTCAGCTGGTTGCGCGAGTTGATCAGCAAGTTCTGCGGCTTCAGGTCGCGGTGCAGCACCCGCATCTCGTGGCAGTACTTGATGCCACTCAGCATCTGGTACATGAACCACTTGATTGTTGCTGCCGGCAGCGCGCTGTGCGTGCCGTTTGCGTCCATGTACCGCTTCAAGTCCTTGTCCATCATCTCAAACACCAGCATCAGCTTTGTCTCCGTGTGCACCACATCCAGCAGCTTCAGCACGTTCTCGTGGTCGAGCTCCTTCATCAGCGAGATCTCGCGGATAGCCGTCGACGGCGCGCCCTCCTCGGGGTCAAGGTGGATCTCCTTCAGTGCCACGATCTCCCCTTTGGGCGACCGCCCCTTGTACACGGTTGCGTATGTGCCTTCGCCCAGGTGCTCGAGCCGTTGGTAATTGCCCTCCATCGCCATGATGTGTTTACAAGTAGAGGAAAAGGCGCTTGTGGTTGGAAATGGCAGAAATGAATTTAAACAAGAACAAGCAGTGTCCGCCTCCCCTCCCTCACAGCTTGTTTTTAAAACATCCCGCCACACACATGGGGAGGGCAGAAAAGTGTGGGTTGACGCGTCAAAATTGCGCGGGCCATCTTTTGCAATCCCACCCTCCCCTTTCTTGCTGCTTGGGTATAGCCCCCGACAATGGCATTGATGGTTCGCAACCACAGTAGCGACCCCAACTTGCAACACTCGCCATTACGACAACTAACTGCCCAAACTCGATGCTTGCTGCTTGGCACAAAGCACGCGAAAAGAGTGGCGAGAACAGTGCTTTCCAAGGTGTCCCGTGACACCCCTGCAACTGCCTGGTACAACATCAAAACACCACATGTCGGTGACGAAACATGCTTTTAGCTCGCTCCACACGCGCACTGCAGACAGCATTTAGTGAGGGCTTCTCTCAGTGGTACATGGCATATCTCACGTACCGATGATGGCTAGCGTAGCAAGATCAATCTGATACTAAGGCTGTACATTTTAGAAAAAAATAGCTAGAACGAGTGGAATGTTGGAAGCTGTGGGGGATACACCCGGACATTAACTAGCACGCCTCCCTCGGAAGTATTGCCACAATTGCAGCTTGCACCGTAGCAACGAACCTCTCGTTGACTTTGGCAAACTTCACCGTTGGAAGGCGGACAAGCAGCTCGCAGAACCCGTGGCAGTCGAACATGTCGTTTTCTGCCCAGACAAACAGCTCCTCCAATGTCTTGCTGATCGCCGCAGCGCTCGAGTCAACCAGGACTTGGCCACGCTTTTTAAACGTGTCCTTCTGGTCGGGGAACGGCGTAAGGGATGCGTCCTCCTGGAACATCGAATAGCAGTTGACGTCCAGCGATCTCAGAGCCGGCAGCTGCTTAATCAGATGTGCCAGACCTTGCTTGTCCGCGATACTGGCCGAAAAGACGAGCCTGCGCAGGAATACCCAGCTGACTTTCAGAGGCAGTGGGTACCGGAACCAGCCAACCATGGCATCCTGGACATTGGACGGCAATACGAACAGGATGCTCGACATCCTCCACCTTATACTGGCCAGGATTTGGCGGTACTCGCAGGGTTAACCACTCTCAGCTCCTGGACGGTCTGAAGGGCGTACCTGTTGTAGGTCTTGAATGCCCTTGGGCTCGTCGATGATATGCATCGATGTCACCTGTTTGCACGCAAAGAAGTGGAAAATGTCCTCGTAGACATTGGGCGTGCCAGACATGAACATGCCTCTTGAGCTTGGGGAAAGAGATGGAGATCCTGCAGCCTGGGAACACCGGGTTCCTGCTGGTTTTTGTGATAAATTGCAGGCTGAGCTCCTCGAGGCTGTCAAAGGAAATCCTGTCGTCGATGACCTGGAACAGGCGCCACGGGATAACATCGTCTATATGAAGAAGATCCAGGAATGCGCAGCTTGGCTATTGGGAGAGCAGGCAGCCTGCTGCGCCTGCGGATAAACTCGACGTTGATGGACACAGACGTGAGGTTGTCGCAGAACATGGATATTCTCGCCGGAATCGGGTTGTGCAGCTGGGTGTGCTCAAGCTGGTCTGCATATGCCATATAGGTTTCCTCGTAAAGCGGACAGTGCCTGTTTGGGGGCTTGATGAAGCCGACTGATTTACCCCACGCCGGGCTCAGATGGTACTTGAGACTAGTGACATTTGGAAACAGGCACTTCATCATCTTTGCTGCAGCAACCGCATCCCGACGCCGGACCTTGGCCGCTTGGGTCTGGCCTCCCGTGAACGCTCCAGCACCAAGGAACTTTATGGTGCAGACGTTCAACAGTGGCTCGGTCAGCGTCGCCATGATATTGCTGACAATAACTTCTCGCAGGTCCAACGGAAGATGGCTCTTGTCGTACATGACCACTCGGAAACTCGTTGACTAGATGGAGCTTGTTCATGTTGACAAGGGCGAGTATGTTGGATGACCATAGGCGCTGGTGAAGAGCATTGCAGCCTGTGCCGACGCATTTGGGCAAAACAGTGCACTCCAGAATGATCGCGCGGAAGGTGTCGTTTGGGAACGAGTCGCCAAGGGACGGGTAGCTGGAGATGAAACTTGGTGACATTTACAAAGTCGTCCATTGCGGACGTTTGTTCGGCAACGCGAGAGCTGAGCGCAGCGATGGTCTTTTGAAGGTCCGGCTTCATCTGTAACAGCTGCCCATTGTATACTCTCATGGGATCCATGTTGAAGAAGAAAGGCAAAGAAGGCTACGCCTGAGGGGGTATATTTCAAAAATAGTAGGTATGGGACACGCTGCTTATTCCGGTGGGAGCGCAGGGGAGGGGCAGAGGGGAAGGACGATGAGCATGACGAATCCAGCATCCGCTCGCCCCCCACATCCCAGACTTAAGTAGTCCTGCAAGTTTTGTACACAAAGCATCAAGTCTTTTTTGACAACCCCTCCCCCATTCCGCGCACACTGCCTCCTTCCACTCCTATGCCGAGCAGCCAGCTTTCACTATGCATCGCAAGTGTATATCCTTTCTGACGTGCATAGGCCTGAGCATCCGTATATAGACATATTAAATTTTTTTTCGAAAGCGGAGCGAGCTATGTTTCCTTCCGATTGTGCGCGAGAATAGATATGCAGTTGGTTGCATTGCTGTTAGAAAAACAAAGGCGGACGAGAGGGGGCTCGGGGGCTCAGGGGACTTGGTGGCACAGCAGAACGTCGCGAACATCCGCTCTAATCTTGTTGGTGCAGGCAAACCCGCCTTTTTTCTAGCCTGCCCACCCTCACATCACATGAGTATGTACACGCACATAAAGTGGCCTACGTAAGCGCCGGCTTTTTGTGTGGTCCTCAACACGCCGAGCCCTACCCTCTCCTTCCCTCTGACAAACTGTGAATGTTCCTCATTCTCTTTGTGGAGAGGCGTTTTGTTGCCACCCAAAAACGACGCTCGCAATATGCAAGCTGCACATTCGAATGTACGTCTGGCATTCTGCTTTATTCTCGCAAGGTGCTGGAAAATAAAACACCCCGGCATCTGCTTTCTTGTCCTGCCAGGTGCGTGGCCAGGAAAAAGCCAGGTGTGGGATTTTTGAAAGGCAAGAGACCTGCCCGCCTTCTCGGGTCTTTCGATGGGAGTGTTCTGGAGGGGTTTGTTTTTTACAGACACTATTTGCTTGATGCCTGATATCTCTGAGGCCATATAGCTGAGAATCTGTCTCCGAATACGGCCTGGCCACCACCAGAGGCATACAGTCCCTGGATCTGCTCTAACACTATGGCCGTTAGAGCCATGATTTGCAGTGGGGGCCTAACCTCTTGGAAGGGGGATTGGCAACCCAGGTACCCGTCCCCACAGTGCGGTGGGAGGGGATGTGATGCACCCCTGCAACTCACCCGCGTGCACCACCACCTTGCTCTGCTTTATTTCTTGACGGCCAGTGCTGCGGCTATCTACAGTATGCACTCTTGTTGGTGAGTGGCAGCATCTTCCGCAGACTTGCTGATCGCCGTCATTGTCTGTTACGCGGGACGATGATATATTTTTACACAAAGAGGCAGAGTGACTGTGAGCAACAGCAATCCATTTCTCTCCCGGACGGCAAATATCTTGCCATACAGCAGACTGATTTCCCTTGGACTGCCGCTCATAATCGCGGATTCTGTCCCCTGCCAATATTCAGCATCCACTGATTTCTGACGTCGGGTCTCCCGTCAAAACTTGTGGCATGTGTCTGCCCTTTGTTTTCTCCTTCGCCTGGTAGTTGTATTCGGTGCTGCCTATCCTCGAGCAGCGTACGGGATTTTCTACCTTGCGTGCAGTCTGGTGTGCATCCCTTGGCAGTGCTGTCGCCGAGTCGCCCTCTGCCAATCCGCCCCAAATGAGGGAGCATCCGCGTTCGAGTGCATTTCATTTCCGAATATCAACGTTCCTGTTGCCTCTTGCCAGAGGATGGCGGGACTTCCAAAAAGAGCAGGATGCCAAGTGCTGGCAAGGGTATGCTTTTTATTATGCACGACCAATGCGAATGGATCTCGAGCGGCATTATAAAATTGAATGCTGCATCCGGAGAGGAGAAATGCATCTCTGGCACATATCATTTGCATCCAGCGAATAGAACGCGACGGAAACATGGGAACAATGATGTGCAGACAGCTGGATTGCAGCTGAGGAGGGTGCAAATGCAAAGAGCCGAAAGAGGGATCTCGGCTCTCACCCATATCTGTCTGCACGTCCCATTTGCTGGCAAGAAAAGGCATGGCGAATGCAAAGACGCTGGGTGCATTGCAGCAGCCATTTTTCGACAAGGGGTTTAGGCATTCATGTCCATCAGCCGCTCGGTGGCCGCCAGTGCGCATGGAAAAACTATTGTCTTGTGCAATCACCCCTTTGTCCATCGGTTTTTGTTTCAGACGTCCACCTCAGGGCAAGACCCAGCTTATTGAAATCCCGACACAATTGTGCGCAATATTAAGGGCAAGGATGTCTATGTGTGATAAATAATGGCTTTGTTGCTAGTGACAAATGTTGGATAGACTAGAGGAAAGTCTAGCTGGGAAAATCAGTCAGGGGAGCTGTTTCGCTGTCAACATGTAGCACATGTGACGGGTATTTTACCCTGTCCATCCTAAAACAGCAATGGCCTGTTTGATGATCAAGCAGCTGCAGTACGACACATTGGGACTGCGCAAATGCCTTGCTGGTATAGGCTGGAGGCAGAATGCACAGCAGTTCACACAACGTGGCTATAAAAAGAACGCTAGGCTTGATGGGCTGCCAACCCTCGTTCGCAATTCAGCTTCTTCTCTACCCCCGACACACCTTTTGCTAAAGTATAGTCTTTGGAGTAACTGACCCTTTTCTTGCTGTCACCATGAACTATGACCATTCTTCACCCTATACCTCCACTGGACTCAGCAGGAAGAAATACACGCATCACTCTCCGGCCATGCCCATCCGCTGGTATGGCTGCGACGAATGCAACTTGGTGTTCGATGGCTATCACAAGCTAAAGCGGCACCGCATTACGCACCAGAGCCACACTACATACCAAGTTTGACGGGAACATTATCCTGGAGTTTCCCATCACTCAAGAGAAGAGAGTCCTATGTCTATGTGGCAAGACACTGACCATCAGCACCTATGCTGAACTCTCATAAATTCAGGTGCGGGCCATGCATGGCTGAGGCTCATAGCAAGAGGTTCAGACATGTGGCAGGACCCAGCTCGCCGCTGACTTCACAAAAAAAGAGCGACATTGGCTACATCATCCATCCAGCTGCTGCCATGTCCGCACACTCGCCAGAAATGAGCTCTACTAGCTCCGCGGTAAGTTACCTGCCAGCTGCACTGCTTTAGCCTTGCAGTCAAGCATTCGCGAGCCATTTGCACTGACAAGTCACCACCGCTTGTAGGGATCGGTCTTCAGCGATGATCTCTTTCGTGTTGGTCTTTCTTTTCACCAGCCAAGTGGCCTACTCATCTGCCACCTGTGCAAAAGGGTGGTTGTCAATCCTAGACTACGCGAGCACTTTGTTTTTTGCACTGGCAACCCAGACTCTGACCGCATCAGCTTGCCAAGGAACGACGACATTCATTGCTGCCAGACTCTATCTGCGTTCATTCCCAAGGAAAGTGTACAACATAAAAACGGCCAAAGAGTGGATCGAGTCGCTCAATGGGCAGGCCATCGAAAAGATTCCTGGCTTTCCAGTCACTTCAGTGTCAAAATGTGCAATATGTGGATACCTTTGCAAGTCAGGAACGCTCAAAGACCATTTTACCAAGGCCCACCGAGGAACTCCATCAGCACCCCACACCCAAATCACCATTGCCCAGCAGCTTTTTAGCACCATCATGCTGCCGAAGTATGTGGAGGTGCGCCACGATCCTGATATGGCGCCTCCTTGAACATGTGCATGTGCAATGTAATGGTAGCAGCATCGTCTTTGCCGTAATCGAACTTTATCTCACGTAAACTAATATATTTACTAATAGCTAGCCTTGTCCATGTGCTCCCTGGATACCTTACCAGTACGTGTTTGAAGACTCCAACCGCATCTGGCGAAGGCTGCTTTGGTACCGCAGCTACATTTCGTGAATGTCGCTACGTGAGCTATCCTCTTAGCACATATCATGGCGCATCTTGTTGCTGTTTGTCTCCATGCTGGACGCAGGAGTCTACCACATTCTATATTACACAAGAATGTGCATCATTTGGCCAGGTCCCTAATGGACAGAAAAGGGATGTCTACGCAGTAAGAACGGCTATCAGCACACGCAATTTTCAATAGCACCTTAGATCAGGAGCTTCTCGATCTGGAGGCGGATGGCCTGGATCTGGGGGCGGAGGTCCGAAGCCTCGTTGGTGGTGACCGAGGCGGCAACGACGGGGCGCGAGACACCGCAGGCACGGCCCAGAGCAGCCTTCGAGGGAACGAAAACGTAGGGGACGTTCTTGTCCTCGCACAGCAGGGGCAGGTGCAGCAGGATCTCGATCGGCTCGCAGTCGGCAGCCATGACAATGAACTCGGAGATACCGCGGTTCAGGGTCTTGGTGGCCTCGTTGGCGCCCTTCTTCAGCTGCTTGTAGTGCGAGGCCTGCTGCACCAGATCCTGGATCTGGTTGGTCAGCGCGGCATCGGCGAGAGGGAAGGCCTTGGGGTTGACTTCGGGCTATAATCAGACAGTAAGGCGCAGGCTGCATAGTTAGTACAGAGGGCTGTGTGCTCGGATAGGCTGTACGCAGGTACAGGCTGTGTGCCGTATGTGTTCAGTGTATCTTAAATCACATTGTATTCTCATGAGTTTTGTTATTTCGAAGAGATTCCCATGTAGTGTAGATCATCATTACCAGCACGAGCATGGCCTAGATCCTAGACAGAAGTGCGACGCCTACCATTATTCTAAAGCAGCTACACGCGAAGGATGGAAAAAGAGAGGGCTATGTAAAAGAGAGAGAGATTGTCTGAAGAGGAGAGAAAAGCAATCTGCCTGGTGACTGCTAAGCTCGTTTATTAATGGAAAATTTTGGCAGCCAGCTAGCAAAAAAATGCTTGATAGGTTCAGTGATTGATCACCAGCAGCCAGGATCAGCTCAAGGCTCGTTGGCTGGCTTGGGCCAGGCATGATTCCATGCACAGTCCGCACTTTCATTACTGACCTCCACTTGGGAATTCCCCTTTTTCAATAATTACAATGCTTCGTACACTAGGAGCCCGGCGCATGCGGCAACCGCTGCTCCGGGGGGCAACCGCTGCACACACAAACATATACATCGGTGTACGGGCGCAGCTTCGCAGGCTGCAGACCGTTGCGTCCTCTGACGCACATGAGGCTCTTAAGGACGAGGATATCTCTCTGCGCGACATATTTGATCTGCCAACAAAGACGACGATGGGCTCGCGGTGGTTCCACACAGCCGGACAGCCGACCGGCCTTTTGATGGAGTCGCGATTTGTGTCGCCAAAGACATTCCGCAGCGCCGGCGAGCAGGCCGTGGCGGAGGCAGAGGCGCTATTGCAAAAGGTGCTGACCGCACAGTCATTCAGCGAAAAGCGCAACGTCGTAAAGTGTCTTGACCAGCTCAGTGATGCCTTGTGCAGGGTCATGGATGTGGCCGAGTTGGTACGGCAGGCACATCCAGACTCGCACTGGCAGGAGGCAGCAGACGAGGTGTATGCGTTCATGTTTGAGTATATGAACGGACTCAATACGCATGTGGGCCTGTACCGAAAGCTGGTGGAGATCATGGATGACGCGCAGATCAGCGCAACGTTTAGCGCGGTCGAGCACGAGGTCGCTCTGTCATTTAGGAGAGACTTTGAACGCTCGGGAATCCACTTGACAAAGAGCGACCACGAGCAGTTTGTTGCACTGTCGTCGGATATCCAGGAGCTGTCGCGCGAGTTTTTCCGGCGCCAGAGTGTGCCCAGAGCGAGCTCCACCGTCAAGATGCCGTTTGACCAGCTGCGGACGCTGCCGTCGCAGGTAGCTATGGGCATATTGCAGTCCAGCCGCACATCCAAGGGCAAAGATGGCACAACTGTGATCGAGATGCCTGTTGATGACTACACTGCGCATTATGTGCTTCGCGACTGCTCCGAGGAGAAGGTTCGTGAGGCGGTGTACCGCCGGTGGCAGCATGGTGACGAGCAGGCGGTGGGGGCACTGGAGGCTCTGCTGGAGCGGCGCCTGGCACTGTCGCACACAGTCGGCTTCGAGTCATTCGCGCACATGACACTGGATGACAAGATGGCCAGATCGCCGAGCCACGTCGTTGAGTTTCTGAAGGCGCTGGCCAAGCAAGGCCAGCCCAGATGGAGTGCCATTGCTGATTCGCTGCATGCTGCCAAGGCGGCACACACCAAGGCTGACCCTGCCACGCTGGTATACCCGTGGGACCGCGAGTACTATGTCGGCAAGCAAATGATGGATCGCGGAGCCCTGCCGTCCTTGTCGCAGTACTTTAGTCTTGGCCGCGTCGTCATGGGCTTATCGCGCGTATTCAAGAGTTTGTATGGCGTCGAACTGCGGGCTGCAATGCCGCGGCCCGGCGAGATCTGGCACCCAGAGGTACGCAAGCTAGAGGTCGTAGACGAAAACAGCCAGCTCCTCGGCATAATCTACTGTGATGTGTTTTCGCGCTCCAGCAAGGCGCATGTTGGCGCCGCCCACTTCACAGCGCGGTGCGCACGGCGTATCGACGATGACGTTGCCGTGGATGGCCTAGCGCCTGAGTACTCGAGCCAGAGCGTGGTTGAGCGCAACGGCCAAAAGTTCCAGCTCCCCGTGGTAGTCCTGATCTGCGACTTCCCTGTCCCCAGCGAAGGGTCTCCGCCGTTGCTTTCCTGGAGCAACGTCGAGACGATATTCCACGAGATGGGCCACGCGATGCACTCAATGCTGGGCCAGAACGGCTTCCACAATGTCGCCGGCACAAGATGTCCAGTGGACTTTGTCGAGCTTCCATCGATTCTCATGGAGCACTTTGCGCGCTCTCCCGCAGGCGCTCTCGCTGTTTGCCTCGCACTACAAGACCGGTGCCCCGCTGCCACCAGAGCTGGTGAGGCAGCACGCCGAGCAGCGTCGCAGGTACACAGCTCTGGACCTCCATGCACAGCTGTTCATGTCGGCGCTGGACCAGAAATACCACGCCAGCACCCTTGATTCCACAGGCAATAGTTTGGAACCAGGATGGTCGACGTTTGTGCTGGCACAACTGCACGATGACCCGATGCTGAGCAGCGGCAAGAACTCGTCGCTGTTTGGATATGTGCGCGATACACGCTGGCAGTCACGGTTCACGCACCTGATCGGCTACGGCGCGTCATACTATGCGTATCTGTTTGACCGTGTGTTGGCTGGCCAAATCTGGGACCGAGTGTTCTGCGGGGATTATCCGTATGCAACTGCACAGGCATCTGAAGAGAGTAACCCGCTGAGCAGAGAGGCAGGCGAGCGATTCAAGAACGAGGTGCTGAGCTGGGGCGGTGGCCGGAACCCATGGAAGTCGCTGGCATCGGTGCTTGACAACGGCAAGATGTCGGCCAAGGACATTGAGGTTGTTGCTAGAGGCGACAAGCACGCCATGGGTATAGTTGGTAGCTGGCGTCTGCCAGACCTTTAGAACTCTACACTACATTTCATGGATTTGAGAAAACAGCTTTTCTGGACAGCATGAACCGGTGCTGCTCGTTAGCTGCCCTCTAAAACAGCAACAGCAGGATATGGCCAACCGCTGATCCACTGACCACTAGTGCTGTGATATGCTAGTTGACATTGGTGTGGTGATAAACATGTATCAGATTGTTCACAGCGCAACAGCAACCCTTAGACCGAAGAAACAATGGCGTCGGCCCTCTTCAGTGCCTCAATCATCTTCTTGCACTCATTGCGGCGAGCTACCGTCGACTCGCTCTCCTTAAGCAGGTCAGCCAGGGCCTCCGGATTGTACAGCTCCTTGAGCAGCTCGCGCTGCAGGCCCTCCTTGGCGTAGGAGACGAGCTTGAGCATGATCGCCTTGGGAATCATGTCGATTGCAGTGCGCTTGACGATGTTGAAGTACGACTGGATCAGCAGCTTGATGACCTCAGTCTCCTGCTGCTCGCGCTCTGACAGCGTGCCCGAGGCCTTGAGCACCGATGGCGGCGCGTCCATCACGGTCGGGCGCTTCTTGCTGTTCTTGCCCCAGAACGAGCCAAAGAAGCCGCTGTCCTTGGGGAGGTTCATCTCCTCGTCCAGCGACCGCTCAGGGGGGATTGACAGCGAGGGGCGGCCGGGAGCCCCGCCAGGCCCGTTTTGCTGCGCTGGCTTCGGCGGGTGCATGCGGTCATTGACGATAGTAATGGCGCGCTGGCCGCTGATAAAGTCGGGGTGGGCGGTGTTGACATAGCACTGCTCCATGGCCACCAGGTCCTGCACCAGCTTGTTGGTTGGCAGCGTTGCGTTTTTGAGGAAGGTGAGGACTACGGTGTTGAACTGCTCGCGCAGCTGCGGGAAGCGCTTGAACGACGGCTTGGCCAGCAGCTGGTTGACGATGCGCACCAATTCGTCGTATGTCATCGACACACACTTGAGGCTGGGCTCCTCAAGCCGCTTGATCTGCTGCTTGACGATGACCTCGAACGCGCTGGTGGCCACAAACAGGGCAGGCTGATGACCCCGAGGAGTTGTACAGGATGGTGCGAATGTCAGAGTCCTTGACATGCTCAAGCGGGTCGATGGCCTTGACGCCGTTGCTGTACAGTTCGTGGAACACAAAGCTAATGCGCGCACCACCGCTGAGCTCATACGTTGACAGGTCGGTTGACTGGCCCTCGAGCGCACCACGGAAGTCATTGCAGAACTCGGTGATGATGCTCAGCGTTGTGTTGGCGGCCTGCCCAGCAGCATCACTGAGCGGATCGCCGAGCTGCTCAAGCTCGTTTTGGTACTTTGCCAGCGCGGCAGCAATCTTGGCCTTGATCTCGGGCAGCGTGATCTTGATATGGTGCATCAGAAGCATATTGAGCTTGCGCGCCAAGAAGGGCGTGCCGCAGTACTGGGCCTTGCTCTGGTACGACGGGTGGCTCTCAAAGAAGTCGCGCTCGTTATCCAGGGCCGAAGGAGATGGTCTTCTTTGACATAATGTCCTTCTGGCCACGGTTGACCACGGGCACGTAGCCAAGGCGCAGCGGGATGACCCGGCCAGCCAGAATGTCGATGACATCGGTGCCCTTGTCCATCAGATCGACCTTGGTCAGCACACCAATGGTGCGAGTGCCATCGGGGTCCACCTCGCGCGCCAGCTTGAGGCCATCAGAGTTGGCCAGATCGGTGTTGGCGGCAGTCACAGCCAGAATAATCGCATTCGGTTTGGTGATGTACTTGGTGATCATCTCCCGGATCTGGCGCTCAATATCGCGCGGCTGGTCGCCGACGGGCACCTTTGTCAGTCCAGGGAGATCAACCAGCGTCAGGGTCAGCACCCGTGGCGAGAACACACGCAGGTTGATTGGTAGCGGCGAAATACCCAGGTTCTTGCCCGTCTTCACCTCGGTGTCGTGCACGATCTCTTCGCGGATCTCGTCAAAGTTGTAAAACTTCTTTCCGGGCAAGTGGAGGAACTCTCCCCACTCGTCAGGGTTCTCTACAAGCAACAATGCGGTTTAGAGGGGCTGAACCGCGAAACGCACCGCTGCTGCGGTATAGTGCCGATGCACGCTAATTGGCTTACCCTCGCTATCCCTCTTGCTGTCGTCTTTCTTGCCGTCATCCTTCTTGGCATTGTCCTTGGGCTTCTCGCTGGCGGGACGGTTGATAAGTTGGAGCACCTACCCAAGAGCCTGTTTCAGCATGCACCTTTCCTTTTCCCACACCAAGAGCATCCGTGTGCGCGTACTTACCAGTGGGCGACGGGTCACAATGCCAGTACCACGGGGCAGAAAGTCGCGGCCAACAATGTTCTCGAGCACAGAGCTCTTGCCACTGCTCTGACTACAGTATGTGGAAAGGGGGACTTTGCATTTAGCACCAGATTGCGGGCATTCGAGGTGACGTTGCATTATCGCAGCTGCCTCCAGTGAATTACCTTCCAATAACGACGATTTGCGGCAGGTCAACAGGGTTCTGCACGCCGACAGTCGCAAACGCGTCCTGCAGTTTGTTCACGGTCTTGATGAGCTGCTCATCCATGGTTTCGCAAATGAAGAAAAGGTGAAATGTATAAATTTAACAAAGCAAAAAGAAGAGGAGCGAAGGCGCGGAAGAGAAAGCCGCGAGCCGCTTAAAGGCACTGCCAAGAACGGCTGTGAGCATAATGCCCAGCCGTTCGCACACAGACTCTTGCTCTCTCCACATCACGGCGGCTGGAACCCATGCCCGCCCCTCGCATTTATTTTTAGACCTCTCGGAACTGGGCAACGCGGATGGTTCCGTCCATGCTCGCCGACAGCGAGCAGTCGGCAGCAAAGTCAATGCATGTCACCAAATCCTTGTGCCGGCGCATCGTGTCTGTCATGGCTGCCGAATCGACATTGAACACCAGGCATTGCTTCCCAGGCGCAACCAGCACATGCTCGCGGTTGGGCGTGAATGCCACGCGGTCGTATGTCAAGTGGAAGTCATCCGGCAAGACATCCTCCGACTCGTATGTGCCAATATCCAGATGCGACTCGGCCAGCATCTGGTTGGTCTCTCCCAGGGACCACTGTGTCAGCTTGCCAGTTTCTGACACTAGCACCATCGAGTTCTCGTTCACACTGAATTCCGCAGCACAGGTACGCCTCTGCTTTGTATCTATCGATGCAACCTTTCTCGAATGTCCGTGCGTCCAGCAGCTGGATTTGGCCAGTGCTGTAAGCAATGCCCAGCATGTTCCCGTTATGGTTGAAGCTCGCGCTCACAACCTGCGAGTCGGATGGCGTAGAGAGCCGCCTCGATGCAACAGTCTTGCTAGCATTGGCGTCCCAGAGTCGCAGGGACACGTCCGGAGGCGTTCCTGGCACTGGTTGAGCTCAGAGTCAGCAGCGACGAGCTGGTCGGGCTGCTCAGCATGCTTATTATATAAGGGTGCCGCTTCTCTTTTGCAAGTTGTCTGCTCATTAGGTTGGTGTTGGTGTTCAGTGTATGGATATACCCCTCGTCGTCGTAGAGGTACAGCAGGTGTGTGTACTTGTTGTCCCATGCCATTGCGTTAACCGGATAGCCAAGGCGGTTCTTGAGCTTGGGCGCGACTGATTCGGGATCAGGCGACCACACCTTCAGCATCATGTCTTCGTCGTAGCTGGCGATGACCTCGCCTGATGGAGAGAACTTGGCCAGGGTCACTGGGGAATTGTGCTCTAAAAAGATGTCTTCCTGGCTGATCTTGAGCAGGCTAGCTGGCTCGTTAGCCTGGATAACACCGATCCCCAAGTCAACTGACGGGCTGTAGCTGCCAGGGTCGCAGCTGGGTACACAGAGACTATTGCTGCTTGCCAATACCCCAACCTCCTCTGCACCGACATCTGCCACCTTCCCCTTGGCAGCGACGCCTTTGTTTGCTAATGTGGCAGCCGCAGACTTTGGGCTCTTAACCGACGTCGCCAGCGACTTTATGTGGTTTTCGACCAGCCCACCTGAGCGACTCCCCAGCACTCCTGTCGTCTTAATCTTCGTCTCTCCAGCGAAATGCTCCTCCAGTTGCTTGACTCTTGCTTCTAGCCGCTCCTTTTCCCTACGCTCCTTTTCATACAGCATGATTCGCGGCACCGCCATAGCAGGAAACACGGTCTGCATGAAATCCCTCAGCGCCGTCCTCAGACTGTCATACCAGTCATCGCTGAAGTATGCCTCAAACTCTGGCCGACTCGCCGGGTCCTGCACGTACTCGAGCCCGAGCCACGGCACCCAGTCCCCTTGCTGGCCAAGAATCACTCCGTACTCGTCAAAGTACTTTCGAATTTCCGGCCGCTGGTCTTTTCTCACCGCGCTCACCAGGAACAGGCGTATTAGCCGCTTCTCAAACATCCTTGTTGTGCGCTGGTATTTAGGACTGAGGTGTGAAAAGAACCGAAAGGTCAGGTACTGCCAGTACTCCAGCAGGGGACTGATTTTGAGCTCTGTCGCCATAGTCAATAGCTCGTCGACGACAGAGTCGGGCTTGAACCCTTTGTCCTGGTCGCGCTTTAGGTCATCCTCAAATGCCTGCAGTGTGCCATTGAATCCACGGAACATCATGTATTCACGCACCAAGGTCGTCGATGTAATCAACAGACTCGATGCCGACTTTGGCCGCCAGCACGTACTCGGCCTTCTTTGGTGACAGGGGATCCATGGGATATTTATGTACTAGCGTATAAGAAAAGAAACAGATAAACAAGCAGACAAGAGACAGCAGTGGCAGAACCTACGCGGACCATGGGAAGTCGCAAACTCCAAGCAAGGCACTGAATGCCAATACGTCACAGTTTTGGGCTTCCGGGAAACTCATAATTCAGAAATCGCAAAGCTTATTCGCTCAGCAGCTGCATCAGCACGTCATGGCTCAGCACTGGCGGCAGCTTGCGGCCCGAATCAGTCTCGACACTTGTCACCTGGCCCATGTTATTGAACCCGACCAGAATGCGCCGACTCGACAGGTCGCCAACGCCTTCACCGATAGTAAGAATCAGCGTGCTGTTTTCGACCTTGGCGCTAACTACTGGCGCAATACTGCGGATCCACCGCATTACCAGCTTCTGCTGCTCCTGACTGTCATCGGCTGTCATCATGCGCTTCTTCTCGTCGCTCTTCAGCTGCTGTGCGCGTTCACGCAGCCGCACCGCCTCCCTGTCCAGCTCTTCGCATGCAGCTGTCTCACGCATCACATCGTTGTGCGCAATCTGTAGCTCACGGGTCTGCTGTGCAACTGCGTCCTGCTCCCTTTGCTCCTTTTCTTCCAATTCCTTGCTGAGCTTTGCAATTTCTTCTTCGATCTCAGATACATTCCCCAACAGCTCCTGGTTCTGCTGCGATAGCGCCAGAGCCTCTTCATATGCGTCGCACTCGGCGTCGATTTTGTCGCTTGCTACGCCAATGTTCTCGAGCAGCCGCTGTTGCACCTGGTCCAGAAGCCGCTCCTCCTCAACAACCTGTGCCTCAAGCTTTTCTAGCTCGTTGGTGCGTGGGATGAACGCTGAACCACGAATCCTCTCGGCGAATATCTCGCGCGCCTGGTACGCGAGCAGGGTATCACGATTCTTCGCATAGGTTGTGCTGTAGTAGTCAATCAGGGTATGGATGTTTTCGGGAAACGAGTCGACATCAGTTGGGATGTCCTTGGCATGCTTTTGGAGCTGCTCGAGGTACTGCGACTTTAGTTTGTTGACCCACAGGCTGGTCGTCATCAATTCGTCGCGGCGACTACGAGGAAACAAAAGCAATTAGCGCAAATGTGACTCTGTCAACCTATGAGCTCAGCGGCTTGGCAACATACTTTTCGCATTCAGCAGCATTTCCAGCATTGGTGGTCTCCATTGTACAGTGGAAAATAAAACTTGAGAGAAAGGAAGCTGAGGAAAAGAAGCCTACTTGTCGGCCAGCCGTGAAATGAAAATATTTGCCTTTCGGTACCCCACCCAATCACGTCGCGGCAGTCTCAGCAGCAGCCTTTGGAGCAGCAGTGTCGAAGGTCGAAAGCACGTTAGTGTTGTAGGACTCGCATACAAGGCATTTGTGATACAGGAAATGGAACGCCGCTGTCGACCTCTTCTTGCAGTCATTGCAAAATATGTTTGACCTCGTGGTGGTGTACTCGCCAGGCATTGTGCTGCATGTCATGTAAGAGTCAATCTGCTTAAACATGTCCTTTGTGTCGCACATGGACTCGCAACATACCGGGCACCTGTACGAGTGCTCCACATATTGGCTCATACAGTCCTTGTGCATCAGGTGCGAGCAGTCGGCCTGCACGACCGCAGTTGTCGACTCAAACATGCTGTCACCGCAAATCGGACAGTTGGAATGCAATTGCCGCTCTTTGCATCTGTGCAGCGAGCGAGCCTTCACTGACACGCATGCATCGCACACATCGCAGTGGTAGAAGTCGCTCTGCTTGCCACACCGGCAGATGCCACACTTGGAGCAGTGGTAGATATCCTTGTTGGGCGCATCGTCTAGCAGCTTACACGTAGAGCAAAAGTAGCGGCCCATGGAGGCATTGCAGCCTTGGCATGCCTGTGCAATTGGCTGCTCGAGGGTGCAGACCATGCACTTCATGCGACTGACGGAAAATCTGTCCATTGTGTGCGCGGACTGGTCGTCGTGACAGAAGCGACAGGCGACCCATGCATTGCAGCATGGGGCCTGAACCTTGGCCTTGAGCTGATAGTGCTCACACCCAAGTACCTTCAGCCTGCTGTTGCTGTAAGATACAGTGAATTCGGTCGTAGCCGGCTTCTCACTCGACCCACGATACATTAGCGACTACATCATTAGCGACCACACCACACCATCCAATGTTTAGTCTAAGATACCAGTGGGCGCAGTAGACATACTAAAGTCACACCCTGCCTTACCTGCACCTGCCTGGCCTTGTCGGACTCTGACGCCGACGAGCTGAGGATGCCTCGAATCATTGCACGCAACGCGTCTTGGTTCTGTGAGCATTGGCCAGTCATGGTTTAATGGATAGTTGTGATATGAAGTGTCTGGATGTGTGTGAGTGCTGAAGAGAGATGAGATTGCTAAAGTCCCCGCGCTCACTTTGCTTCCCAAGGCGCTCGGTGCGCATGCACTGCGGGTGCCCAATGCAGCCTCAACAATTATCCACAGCTGACCTTGTGACTTGCCTTCACGCGCCCTTGAAAGATGACGCCCGGATTGCCCTGGGCATAAACAGCCGAACAGGGCGCGAAAAAAAAAAAAAAAGACATCGTCATCACCATTATGTTAGAAAATACCCGGGGAACCGGGGAAGACTGGCGATCGATGTGGGCTATCCTGTGCTCCTTTGCTCCACATAAAGCAACCCGCGGTGCAAAGCCTTGGCCAGGTCTCTACACACTCAGCTCCCCCGCCTGCCGCTTCCTGATTAGGAGAAATCCCCGCAGAAAATCGGCATTTGTAATCGGGAGTTGCGGCGATGGTGACGAAAACAGCCAGCCCGAGGTTTTACAGCAGCATTAGTCACCACACTCCTCGGCCTGCTAAACCTAATCCGCTCGTTCTCAGAAGATGCAGGGGGGCGAGGGGTTAAATAAGCGGCCGTGCCCAGGCCAGCCACCGCTCCAGCACCTGTGTATCGTCGCTACAACTTCTCTCCGCTCTCGACTTTCTTAGCTCTTAGAAACACACCCATCATGTCTTTTGCTTGCCATCTTGACAAAGCCGCACAGAACGACGAGCCCACGACTATTGTCGTTTTTGGCGCCTCGGGCGATCTGGCCAAGAAGAAAACCTTCCCGGCGCTCTTCCACCTGTACCAGAACGGGCTCCTGCCCAAGCGCACCAAGATCTTCGGATATGCGCGTACGCAAATGGACCATGCCGAGTTCCACAAGCGCGTCGTCTCGCACTTCAAGAGCGACGCTGACAAGGAGAAGGTGAGCGAGTTCCTGGCAATCTGCAAATATGTCAGTGGCAAGTACGACGTCGACGATGACTTCGAGCGCCTGCGCGCAGAGATTGACGCCGCTGAGGCCGACGAGAACGTCAACACATTGCCAGACCGTGTCCATGTGTACTACATGGCGCTGCCGCCGTCGGTATTTGTCAGCGTAGCCACACACATCAAGAAGAACGTGTACGATGAGTCGTGTGTGAACCGCATCATCATTGAGAAGCCATTTGGCCACGACTCCGAGTCGAGCAAGCAGCTGTCCCAGGACATCGGCGCCCTGTTTGAAGAGAAGGAGGTGTTCCGCATCGACCACTACCTGGGCAAGGAGATGGTCAAGAACATCATGACCCTGCGCTTTGCCAACGTCTTCTACGAGGCCGTGTGGAACCGCCACTATGTATCCAACATCCAGATCACCTTCAAGGAGCCGTTTGGCACTGAGGGCCGCGGCGGATACTTTGACGAGTTCGGCATCATCCGCGATGTCATGCAGAACCACCTGCTGCAGGTTCTGAGCATTGTCGCCATGAACCAGCCCAAGACGCTCGACGCCGAGGATATCCGCGACCGCAAGACTGAGGTGCTGCGCCGCATCCTGCCCATCCAGCTCGAGGACACGCTGCTGGGCCAGTACGTTGGCACGCATGACGGCAGCAAGCCTGGGTACAAGGACGACGACACTGTCCCTAAGGACTCCAACACACCCACCTTTGCGCAGTGTGTGATGCATGTCGACAACGACCGCTGGCGTGGTGTCCCCTGGGTCATCAAGGCGGGCAAGGCCCTGGACGAGGCCAAGATGCTGATCCGCATTCAATTCAAGGACATGCCAAGTGCGCTGTTCCCGAACCTGGCGCGCAACGAGCTGGTGATCCAGGTGTCGCCGAAGGAGGCTGTGTATCTCAAGACCATCGTTAAGAAGCCTGGACTGTCGACAAGGCTGGCCATGTCGGAGCTGGATCTGACATACAGCAAGCGCTATCATGATATCAAGATCCCCGACGCGTACGCGACGCTGATTCTGGACGTACTCAATGGCGACCACTCCAACTTTGTGCGCAGCGACGAGCTCGAGGAGGCATGGCGCATCTTCACGCCCCTGCTGCACAAGATCGAGGATGAGAGCGTTGTTCCATTCCCCTACGAGTACGGCTCGCGCGGTCCCAAGGGCGTTGATGAGTTCACATCGGAGCGCGCAAACTACAAGAGGACAAACCTCGAATACCGCTGGGAGACCGATATGTAAGCGCGCCAGAAAGTCGCTGGTCTTTTTCTACAGCTTTTCATTTAAATCGGAGATATTTCAAAACCACAACAGCACCAACAGATCTAGCCCATGTGCTTAGCTGTCGTTTGGAAACCGCTTAGCTTGCTCAATCACTCTTTTGGTATAAGCCAGCCTTGTCGCGCTTGAACATCTGGTACGCCTCTGTTTGCGCCGGGTCGTCGTTATTCGGGTCCACCAGCAAGTCTGCCACGCCCAGCAGAATCTGCTTGATCGTGAGTGCTGGCTTCCACCCTTTCTCGGCATTCAGAATCGACAGGCACACTGTGCCCGACGGGAACACGTTCGGGTGGAATAGCGGCGGTGTGAACTGGCACTTTGGCGGCAACGTCGGGTACTCTGGCGGGAAATGCAGCATGCACTTGTACATGCCGCCCTCCCAGGGCGTGCCCTCCTTGCCTGGAATGCCACAGCTCCAGTGCATGAGGTCCAACGTTCCGTCCTTGGCCTTCTCGGGCCGCGCATAGAATCCGTACGGGTGATCCTTCCGCCACTGCTTCCTCTCCTCCATGAGGCGCGTCTTGCAAATTCCCGACATTGCGACAAGCTCAAGTAAATGCGAACTGGAAAAATAGCGAATTGAAAAAGAGAACCGGAAAGACGACAGCCCCCATTATTTTTGAAAAGGAAGCGCGCATACTAGTGCCACAAACTCACGTGATTCGCTTTCCGTTCGTGTGGGATATCTGTATTGAGCCGGACCGGCGGCTATTAGAGCCGGTTCGCCTCGGCCGATCGCTTCGTGTCGTGTAAGCTTTTCAATTGCCCGCACGCTGCCAGAATGTCGTCGCCGCGCGGTGTCCGCACCGATGCGTGAATCCCACTCTGCCGGATTAGACTGCAGAAGTGAGCCACCCGTGCCGGTGGTGACGCCGTATAAATGCTGCTGGGCCAGGGGTTGAACGGAATTAGGTTGACATGGGCCGGGAGCCTCCTGATCAGGTCCACCAGGCGCTGCGCGTCAGTGTCTGAATCATTGACACCGCTGAGCATTACATACTCAAATGTGATCCGCCGGGTCTGCTGGCTCGACAGCTTAACGTAGTCGCGGCAGCTCTCCATCAGAACTGGCAGAGGGTATGTTTTGTTGATAGGCATGATCTCACTGCGCAAGTCATTGTCAGCTGAGTGCAGAGAGATGGCCAGCCCGACCTGCATGTCCTGGGCTATGCGCGGAATCAGCGGTGCGACGCCCGAGGTCGAAACAGTTATGCGCCAGGACGGCAGGCCGATACCAGCTTTGTCGGTCAGAAGCTGAATTGCGTTGCTGACATTGCGAAAATTGTACAGCGGCTCGCCTTGCCCCATGAACACGATGTTGGACACCTTGCGCTGCTGGTTCACAGATAGAGGGAAATCGCCCAAGAGACTCGCTGTGATCATGTACTGGCCCGCGATCTCGGCAGCAGTGAGATTCCTATACAGTTTTTGTGTCCCTGTGTGGCAGAAACGGCACGACAACGAGCACCCAATTTGCGACGAGACACAGAGCGTTCCGCGGTGGTCCTCTGGGATAAATACAGCCTCGTAGGACAGCCTTTGGGTCATTATTGACACCAATAAGCATCTTGCGTGTGCCATCCACCGAGTGCTGATTCTGCAACACACTTCCATAGTCGATCTTGTATTTGGGTTCCAGATCGCGCTTCAGGCTTTTCGGAATGTCAGTCATATCTTGCAAAAGTGTCACCCCTTTACTATACATCCATTCGTATATTTGCTTGCCTACGGTATTCCGGCTGCTTCAGCGTCTCCAGCTCCTTTTTGATTCCTTCCAGCGATTTGCCGAATAGGTTTGTCCTCGTAGCACTAGCCCCTACTGAATTTGTTCCGAATCGCCGGACCTGACCTCGCCCTGGAACCAACACACTGCTTAGCCGAGTCATGATGTTGTTGAAAGGTAGCAGAGGGGGTTAAAAATGACCGTTTATCTGCCAATCAGGCACCCATTCCCTATCGGTGGAGTACCTCTTTAGTTTTGGGGGTTGAAGTAATGGGCCTGCTCTGGCATTTCACATGTATCACTAGCTGTATTCACACAGCAACTCAACGCTATAGAGTAAAACTGCCATACCAGGCGACTTGTGTGAGCTAGATGAGCGATAGAAGTAAACATCATTCAGGTCAAAGCTCTGGCAAACCGAGCACTGCAGCCCCGAATAGAATTGCTTTGCCATTCTACACCCCGAGGGGTATTTACGGATACAGGCTTTCTGTGGGCTCTCTTTGTAGAGCGTAGGCTATCGCTTGGCAAATGCCGGTACTCGGGTTTAACATGGATGCAACTGGTGAGATTGGGGATACCTCGAGGAGATCAACACACATTGCCAAGAATTCTGGATGATTCTAAAAATACCACTTTCTTTTGACGGCTAGCGTGCTGCCTCCTGGTTTCTAAATCGGTTTCCCTGAATGATAGTATGCGTTCTAGAGATATCCTGGGTTCTAGAAGACAATGGGTATATAATCCCCTGGCACTGCCAACCTCTCAATGCCTACCATCATCAATAGCTGTATCTTTCAGTTTCCCTCCTGCTTTCACTTTTTCAACCACCTGCATCTGCATCGACACCAGCATCTAAACTATGCGTCTTCCATTCGCCACTGCAACTGCTTTCCTCGCAGCCACTGCTGTTGCAAACCAGGCTGCGGAGCCTGAGGACAACGCTATCTTTGAGCCCTCGTACAACCAGGCAGCCAGGTCATTCGACTTGGACTATGACTTTAACGGCTACGACGGCGCCAACAACCAGCGTGGTCGCGGGTATTGGCGCGCTTATTGACATCCTCGATTTTCTGACTGAGGGCACCACTGTCCCAGCCAAGCATATCCAAAACAACCAGCGTGGTGGCGGGTATGGCGCGCTTTTTGACATCCTAGGATATCTAGCTGAGGGTACCACCATCCCGGCCAGGCGTGTTCAGACCAACCAGCGCGGTGGCTACGAAGATTATTACGACTATGAGGATATGTACAACCAGCGTGGCGGCCGGCGCCGCAAAGGTCTGAAGAAGTGGGGCGACAAGTTTGGCCAATGACCTCGGCAATCGGCTGGCTGACACTGTTGCTCAGGCCGATGTCAATGCCGTTGTAAACAGCGGCAATCAGCAACCAGTCAACAATGAGGGTGAACAGTATGTGGAGGATGGACAGGTATACGATGAAGAGTATGAAGATCAGCAGCCTGAGGGCGCCAACCAGCGCAGCAAACCGCGTCGCAAGAGCACCAAGAGCACCAAGAGCACCAAGAGCACCAAGAGCGGCAAGAATCGCAATGGTGGCAGGAAGTCAGGCCCTGATTTTGGCGACCGAGTTGTGGACGGTCTCACTCAGGCCGGCATCGATGCCGCCACTCTCGCTCAGGCCTGGAGTCAACATCGCCATTAACAAAGCAAACCAGCAGCCTCAAAACAATAACGGTGAGCAGCAGGTCGAAGACGAAGCTAGCCAGGAGTTTGAGGAGGACACTAACCAGGGGCTTGAGGAAGAGGAGGACACAATGCAGGTTGAGGAGAATGTGAAGCCGCGCGGTGGTGTCAATAAGAGGAGCCCTGCTGCCTTTGTGGCTCCGTCGGAGGATTGGCTCCGCCGCAACCCTTCTCTTGCCCGGAAGTACCGTAACCACGAGATTATGTTCTAAACCTAACAGCAGATTCTGTCGGCTAGCATCAACACATTTTGTATTTCCACCACACCCAGCATTACATCACCAATACACCATGACACTACTTTTTATCCACTATGCTCTATATGACAAGATGCATTTTATGCGACATTATACTGTTGTTTTAAACCACCAGCTCATTGTATTTCTCGACTTGGGTGATTAGATATAAGGATGCTGAGATCCTAAAGCCATGGGTCTTTCCTCTGCATGCCTGATACGCTACTTGCCACTGGTGCCAGCCTGGTCAATTCCCAAACTGAACTAGCATTTTGACGAGATCCACTCCCAGTTCGGATCCATACTTCTTACCCCATTCCTTGAGTTCCTTGTGGTTCTTGCGATCCCTTCCACCGCTGTTGTTTTTGCCACCACTGCCGCCTTGCGCCTTTTGCCTTGCCCCTTTTTGCCTTTGCGTTTGCGTTGGTCGTGGGAATTATCGTTTCCAGGGTCTACATACGCTGAATCTGCGCTGGTTGGCATTGCTGAGAGCTTGCTGAAGGCCAAGGTGGAGCAAAGAGCTTGGCAAGGTCGACTCCCAACTCAGAGTTAGGCCCTTTGCCACGCTGGTCTGAGGCTGCCTCTATTTTGCCAGTGAAATCAGGAATATTGCGTCTGAGCCCTTCAGTATGGTAGCTGGAAGGAGATGCAATAGCATTGTCAGCACCGGGGCCAGATTGGCAGGTGCCAGCAGCTGTACCAGCGAAGAGAGCAAATACGGCAGTGCTAGCGATACGCATTGGTAAATGGTGACGAGGATGTTGAGGTAGGCTATGCAATCTCTTGAATCTAGCTGTAGTGGTAGAGAGCGTGTTGTTGAGGTTGGGTGTTTAGATGGCAAAGCAGTCGCTTCTCGCTAGCTTTATATATACCGAGTTAACCTTCGGACTGGTGTTAATGACGAAACCATTGCGCTTCTAGAAATCGCTTCAGGATAATACTAAATATACCAGCAGGTATAACGGCACCTTTGGCAGCAAAGGATAAGCCGACAGCCCGCTCAACACGTGCTGGTATCCTCAAACAACTCCACGTATGACGTACATCGAGTGATGGGTTGGCTATGCAGAAATGCAGGCTGCAAAGGGAACAGAGCGCACATTCCAAAAATAGATTCCTCTGCTCGCTGCGTGTCGCAGTGGATTTATTCCCTAGATGCACTGTATTCTACGCAAGTTGCGCCTTGAGGTGCTGGACAGCCATGCCACGATACGACTGAAGGTCGGGCGTCTTGTAATCAACGAGCTTCGCTGCACCGTCCCTTTTGTGTGGGACCCCACACATTCACAGCCCATAAATTGATTCTTAATCACTGATCTGCTGATGATCACTGTCTGCGAATTATGATTGCCATCATTTTTGGGCATACTTTCGCGATTTGAAGCAGGACGGTTGGCTGTGGCTGTTAATTTGACAAAACAAAGCGCTCCGCGCACCACCACCACCGATTCCTTCTTTTCAAAAAATAGTCTCCGCATCTATTTTTCTAAAATTACATCGTAGCGAAGATGCCCGGAAAGTTTGACCCGTCCGCTGTCTCTGTGAGTGCGTATCCATCGATGTAAAAACCGTTCGACCGAGCTTTGGAGTCAGCGCGGAATTTGGAAGCGGCGTGGAATTAGACCCCGAAATGGGGAGGGGAACCCATCTGCGCCGGTGAAATTGAGAAAATGCAACACGAGTGCTAATCGTAAGTTGAAATTATGTAGTTACCCTCCGCGCTACTGGTGGTGAGGTTGGTGCGTCGTCCGCCCTTGCTCCCAAGATCGGTCCTCTGGGTCTTTCGCCCAAGAAGGTCGGTGAGGACATTGCCAAGGCCACCAAGGACTGGAAGGGTCTGCGCGTCACCGTTCAGCTGACCGTCCAGAACCGTCAGGCTACCGTCTCGGTCGTTCCCTCGGCCTCGTCGCTGGTCATCCGCGCCCTTAAGGAGCCCGTCCGCGACAAGAAGAAGGAGAAGAACATCCTGCACAACGGTAACATGTCGATCGACGATGTCATCAGCGTCGCCAAGATCCATGCGTGAGGCTGACAAGTCGCTGGCCCGCGAGCTCAAGGGTACCGTCAAGGAGATCCTCGGCACCGCCTTCTCCGTTGGCTGCACTGTCGATGGCGAGAGCCCCGTTGACATCCAGCAGAAGATTGACGATGGTGAGATCGAGATCGCCGATAACTAAACGCTTAGTATTTGTCGTCTTCTACAGCGATAATGTATCGTTTTCCCTTCCCACAGATATAGAAATGATGCACTAGGACACTATCTAAAGCTACATATGCACATGTTTGGGGCGAGATCCCTGGTGGTATGACCTTTTTGGAACTCCAGTGTATGACGTTTATCCGAGTGGCCGTGAGTTTTTGATATAGCGGTGATCAGACGGTGTACGCGTAGCGACTCCGCAAAACTGGCCTAACTGAAGCAACAGGAGACCTGCTACGCAGAACGGACCATTCTCAGGCATTTGGTATGGCGGACACGGATATAGGCAATCCGAGACAATACTGCCGATATGTATCATTGCCAGCGAACCACTAGTGACAGAAGCCTGAGGTGCATATGTACCTCATGATAACCGCCACATACCAATATGATGTGTTGGCATTCGGGGTCCGGAGTCTCCCTACGTCACCATGGGCAAAACCGAAAGTGTGTACGTATACGGACTCAGACGGATCGTCAGCCTCTCTTCTTCCCCTCAGTCATATTTTTGAGAAGCTGTCTTTCCATATATATACCCGATAACCCATTCATTTCCTAGGCTAACATGGTGTATCCATATGCCAGACATGCTCACATGTATGTGCTTTTAGCTGTGGCAATTTTTAGGAGATTGGATTTTTGGAATTGAACAGAAAAAGGGAATTAGAAAGATGACACTTTTACAACTCATCGTGTTGCTCCTTCTCAGACACAGGCTCGGTCCTTGGCAGCAGGCTCCTCAGCCTCCTTGGCCTCCTCAGCCTCGGGCTCGTCCTTGGCCTCCTTCTTCTCCTTCTTCTCCTTCTTGGCCTCAGCAACAAACGGCTCCTCGTCCTCGTCCTCCTCCTCGTCCTCCTCCTTGAGATCGTCCTTGTTGTAGGTGATCTTGTTGGCAGCGTTCTCCTCCAGGAACTCGATGAAGGACTCGAGCGAACGGTTACCATTGTACTCAACGATGGTGTTGTCCTTGCCGCTGATCAGCTTGATGGTCGGGAAGCCCTGGACCTGCAGGCCCTCGTGGCTCGACGGCACATCGTTGGCGGTGGCATCCATCTTGGCAATGACCAGGTTCTTGTTGGCCTTCAGCACCTTGCCCAGCTTCTCGTAGATCGGCGCCAGGCGCTTGCAGTGGCCGCACCACGGGGCGTAGAACTCAACCAGGACATCCTTGGTCTCGTCAAAGGCGACCTCGTTAAACTGCTTCGAGACAAGGACAAAGACACTGTCGTCGTTGGTCTCGGGGATGGGCTCAGACTTGTAGCTGGGCTCAGCGGTGCCGTCAACAACCTTGTCGACAAAGACCTTGAGGTCGTCCTTGGACCAGCTCCTGGTCCTGCGGGAACGGGAACTTGGCCAGGCTGGTCTGGTTCTGGATGGCAAACGCGGGCCACTCCTGCTTCAGGTTGAGGAAATCGGCCTGTGACGCATACTTGGTAGCGTCGATGAGCACAAAGCTGATCTTGCCCTTGTAGTCCTTGGCAACGTCGTAGAACTTGTCCTGGAGCTCCTTCTTCATCTCCTCAGAGTCATGGAAGATGAAGCCCAGAGGCAGGCCGGCCTGAGCGTACATCTGATAGGTCTCGGCAGAGATGTCACCCAGAAGAGGGATGGAGCTGCCCTTGACGAACTCGCGCAGCGAGTCAGTCGGTAATCTTGCCGTCGAAGACGTCCTTGCCGTCATCGAACTTCTTGTAGACAACGACACCCGGAGCGGCAACGCCATGCTCCTTAGCCAGCTCGGCATCAACAACCACACCAAAGACGTACTCGTCGCGCAGCTCCTTGGCCAGGGTGTCGAGTTCAGAGAACTCGGCCGAGTCCTTGTCGTTGACGTAGCCGATAACCACAACGCGGTCAGACTTGGAGAACTCGTCGAAGGTGTCGGCAGTGACGTCGGACAGAGGAGGCAGCAGCTGCTTGCGCATATAGCTGACAATGCCGTCCTCCTGGCGGGTACCGTTGTAGGCGGCGTGGTCGCCGTCCTTGAAGACCTTGAGCGTGGGGAAGCCAGCGATCTCGAGCTCCTCGCACAGGCCCTGCTCCTCAGTGCAGTCGACCTTGGCCAGGCTGATGTCCTCCTTCTTCAGGGTCGTGGCAGCCTTCTCGTACTCGGGCGCCAGGGCCTTGCAGTGGCCGCACCACGGAGCATAGAACTCAACCAGGGCAAGCTTCTGCGCGGCAGTCCACTCCTTGAAGGTGTCGGTGGTCAGAACGTGGACGTCCGAGTCAGCGGCGTCGGCTTTGTCGGCAGCAGCGGCCATGCCGGTGAACGCAAAGGCAGCGACCGTCGAGAGCAAGAAGCGCATAGGGTTGACCTTCATCTTTGGTAATGTGTGGTGAAATGTGGAATATAGAAAAAGAAATAGAAAAGCGAAGGGAGTTATTACAAGAAAGCGAGTGCCATGTCGAGGCGGATGTCAGTGCCCTTTTGAAGGCGAATAATGCACCTTTCCTCCAGCAGGGATGGCTGGGAAAGCGCTCACTATTAGCCGATTTAGCTGGACATCCCCTCTCACATCCCACGCTGGCGGGGCTGGGACCAGTAGCGGTCTGCCAGAGCTTGCCTGTAGCCTAGCTGTGAAGAAACAGCTGCCCATGCGTCTTCCCCGCGGGCCAATGGGCGCCGCCAGCGTATTGGCCCAGCAGCCAATGGAGCTCAGGGGAAAGCTGATTAGTAATAAATGAGCTGATTATTATTAATTTAGTCGCCCTTGGCGAAGGTCTGAGCAACCAGCAGCGGGAACACCAGCGACGCGTCGACGTACACCTTGACGGACTCAGGCGTCGGCCTTGATCTTGCCCCACGACACAGCTTCGTCGGGACGGGCGCCAGCATCGCTGCCGTCAAACTCCTGTGCCGTGTTGATGTAGACAGCAAAGTCAGCGCCGTTGCGCATCAGGTTGGCATTGCAGATGTGGTGCTTGATCATGCCGCCACCCAGGATGATGATGCCGGTCTTCTTGGCGAAGACAGCCTCGCAGTTCATGGCGCGGATGTCGCCAACCAGATCAACAATCAGGCCGGGGCTGCGGTACGAGTGGAAATACAGCATGTCGCCGAGCGAGCCGTCAGTCAGGGCTGGGCAGTACACAGGGATGTTGTTCTTGTAGCACCAGTAGTAGATCGAGTCCTCGTGGTTGATCTCCTTGCCCAGACGATGGATCATCTTGGACGGAGTCCACACGGTGCCTTGCTCCTTCTGCTCCTTGAGCATCTGGTCAAAGATTGGCATGATCCAGTCCTCGAATTTGCAGTAGTTGTCGTTAGGCACAATCAGATTTCCGGTGCGGTTCAGGCCCTTGCTACGCAGTTCGCGGCCTTTGAGGGCAAAGTCGCCCAGATAGGTGGGCGCCATGCACTTGATAAAGTCCTCCTCGATGCCTCCGGCAGACGCAACGATCACGTCGACCAGCTTGTTCTTGGCCAGGTACTTGATCGTCTCGCGGATGCCGGACGAGACCAGGTTCGAGGTGTAGCCAAGGAAAGATCTTGCACTTGACGCTGCTGCGGTACTTGGGGTCACGGTCCTCCTCGCTGTCGTCTGGCTTGACTGGGTCGTCACTGAGGCGCCACGCCCGCATATGGTTGACGATCTCGACGGCACGGCCAAAATTCGATGCCTGAAAGCCGGTAGTCAGGTAGGAGCCGAGCAGCGCGTTGTAGTCGACGCCGTTCTCAAAGTCGTAGCCCTTGATCACTTTTGTGTCAGCGGGCATCTTTGCAGACTCAACCAGGACAGCGTTGGCAGCAACGTCCGGAATTTGTGAATTTGTCTCGTGGGCCGCCATTGTCTATTTTCCAAAAGAAAAGCTTTTAAAAGGTTGGAAACCAGGAGAGCAGAGTGGGGTAGAGGAGAGTAAAAGTCTGTAGGGTGTTTGAAGATCAGAAGCCGTATAAAAATTTTAAGTGGATCGGAACCGGTCCGTCCCGTAGTCCCCCGATATATGACCTGTCACGTTGCTGCATCAACGACTCCTTGATTGTAAACAGATCGAATGCATGGTTTGAATCTGTTTACGGTCGTGGAAGGTGCGAACGGTAGGGGACGGGGTTAGGCGACATAAAAGATGCATGGGTTCACCTGTTAACCGGCGACATTTGCAATCGTAGATGTGTTTTTGTAAAGATTCAAGTGTAATGCCAAGTGTATCATGTTGAATTCGTTTCAAACGGATGAGGTGTATATTCACATTGCCCAGGGACATAGCTACCACCTTGTATACCATGTCTGAGCACCAGATGGGCAACACTCGTGCTGATATAGCCCATATATTAACACCAGCCCGGGTCGAGTCGGACCATCTGCGATCGAGCCGAGTTGCTTGCTGAACCGGAAAACTCTTGGGCTTGGTCTTTTTTTAGTGGCTCGTAGTTTTCAAAGTCTGCAAGCCGCTACTCATCTGCACCAGCAACTCGATCGGAGAGAGACCCCTTCTTTTTAACTCGCTCCACAAATTTTAACGGGTAAGAATCGGAAAAAGCAGACCGCGGACGGATGCGACCAGAAAATCGAGGCCGCGAATGTGGCCGTACAATCAGGAGCGATGGATACGCCGCGTTAAGAGCCGGGGAGATGGACGCTAAATTCAATCGGCAATTTACACATTTGTAGACGAAAGCTAGAACAAAATGGGTGCGTACAAGTATCTGCAGGAGATCTCCAAGAAGAAGCAGTCGGACGTTATGCGTTTCCTGCTCCGCGTTCGCTGCTGGGAGTACAGGTAGGTTGCTTTTTGATAGTGAAGTGCAGGGTGCAAGGTCTCGGTGCCAGCAAGTAGGCGACTTGGGCTCGCCGCCAGTGCTCCTTCTCTTGAGCGAGCGCTGGCGGCAAAATTTGCGAGGCGGTGGGCAGAGGAGTCTGCCGGGAGTCTTTGCTCCCGTGCGTGGCTCGCTCTGCCCTCCAATGCTTACCGATCGAAGCCATTGCGGCTTCGGTTGAGGCGCTTATACTGGCCCTTGCTCCCGATGACCACATTTCCAGGCATGGCAGCGACGACTTTGCTAACCCCTTATGATGTTGGCATGTGCCATTTTGATGCAAACTGTAGACAGCTGAACACCATCCACCGCGCCTCGCGCCCGTCGCGCCCCGAGAAGGCTCGCCGTCTGGGTTACAAGGCCAAGCAGGGCTTTGTCATCTACCGTGTCCGTGTCCGCCGCGGTAACCGCAAGCGCCCCAACCCCAAGGGTCAGGTCTACGGTAAGCCCGTCCACCAGGGTATCAGCGAGCTCAAGCTGCAGAAGTCGAAGCGCGCTGTTGCCGAGCAGCGTGTTGGCAAGCACTGCGCTGGCCTCCGCGTCCTGAACTCGTACTGGGTTAACCAGGACTCGACCTTCAAGTACTTCGAGGTCATCCTTGTCGACCCGGCCCACAAGACCATCCGCAACGACCCGCGCATCAACTGGATCGCCAAGGCTGTCCAGAAGCGCCGCGACGCTCGTGGTCTCACCGCCGCTGGCCGCAAGAACCGCGGTATCGGCAAGGGCCACCGCTACAACAACACCAGCGGTGGTGGTCGCCACCACACCTGGCGCCGCAACAACACCCTCCGTCTCCGCCGCTACCGTTAAAATGGTGCAGCTGGCTTCGGAAGGTGTTGCTGCCGTTCTGCGTAGCATGCTTTACCCGATCTTGTTGCCATGCTCTGCCGTGTTTTATTAAATAAATCGCGTCGGCGCAGCCTAAAAAGCCCAAACCCCAACAGAGTGCAGATTAGTATCAAGTGCTGGAGATCAAGGCGGTGGGAGGATCAGAGCTAAATTTTAACGACAACAAACCACAGCTTTTCCATTGCGGCGCGAGCGCGCTGTAGCATAAACGCAAAGCCAGCGCCTTTTTATTGTTTTCTCCCAATTCCGGCTTATATCTCTACTAATCCAACAGAAGCAATGGCTGAACACGGCTGGGACGCAGGAAAAGTATTCACGCGCAGCGTCTATAGCGGCGAGGAGGTCAAGGAGGACCACCAGCAGGTGCAGCAATCGCTGTTTGACTTTATTCAGAATTTCCGCGACGACAATGTGTTTGTCTACCGCGACCAGCTGCGGCGCAACCTGGCACTAGGCGACCCGGTGCTGGATATCAGCCTTCAGGACCTGGCTGGGTTTGACGAGTCGCTGTCACAAAAGCTGGTGAACAGTCCGCTCGAGATCCTGCCTCTATTTGAGCTGGCAGCGCGTAACAGCGCGCGCAAGATCGTTGCGCCAAACACCGAGGGCCTGGAGGACGTGCCCGAGGTGCAAGTGACGGTTCGGTCGAACACGAACGTGGTGAACATCCGCGAGCTGGGGTCGAGCTACATCAGCAAGCTGGTGTGCGTGTCGGGGATTGTCATCGGAGCATCGTCGCTGACGTCGAAGGCGACGCAAGTTCTGCTGCAGTGTCGCAACTGCCGCAACACCAAGATGGTGGCAGTGGGCGGTGGATTTGCGGGAGTGCAGATTCCGCGCGTGTGCGACCGCGAGCAGATGCCGGGGCAGAGCGACAAGTGCCCGCTGGACCCGTTCGAGATTGTCACGGACAAGTGCCAGTTTGTTGACCAGCAGACCCTCAAGGTGCAGGAGGCGCCGGATCTGATCCCCGTGGGTGAGCTGCCGAGACACATTGTCATGAGCGCGGACCGCAGCCTGACCAACCGCGTGTTCCCGGGCTCGCGGGTAACCATCACCGGCATCTTCACTGTGTACCAGAGCAAGAACGTCAAAGGCACCAGCGCTGTGGCCATCCGGCAGCCGTATCCTGCGTGTGGTGGGCATTGAGATCAACAAGAGCGGAAACAGCTTCACGAAGCGGATATTCACGCCCGAGGAGGAGCGCGAGATGACGGCGCTGTCGCGCACGCCGGGCATCTACGAAAAGTTTGCCAGCAGCATAGCGCCGTCGATTTATGGCAACGAGGACATTAAAAAGTCGAATCGCATGTCTGCTGTTTGGCGGGTCCAAGAAGACGCTACCCGACGGGATGCGGCTGCGTGGCGATATCAACGTGCTGATGCTTGGTGACCCTGGAACAGCCAAGAGTCAGCTGCTCAAATTTGTCGAGAAGGTGTCGCCGATCTCAATCTACACATCGGGCAAGGGCAGCAGTGCGGCGGGTCTGACGGCGTCGGTGATCAAGGATCCATCAACTCGCGAGTTCTATCTGGAAGGCGGTGCCATGGTACTGGCAGACGGCGGCGTGGTGTGCATTGACGAGTTTGACAAGATGCGCGATGAGGACCGGGTGGCCATCCACGAGGCAATGGAGCAGCAGACGATCTCCATTGCCAAGGCTGGCATCACGACGATTCTCAATGCGCGGTCGTCGGTGCTGGCAGCCGCCAACCCGCTGTTTGGGCGGTACGACGACAGCAAGGCGCCCGGGGAGAATATCGACTTCCAGACGACGATTCTGTCGCGTTTCGACATGATCTTCATTGTCAAGGACGAGCACAACGAGCAGCGGGACCAGACGATTGCACGGCACGTGATGCAGGTGCATGCAAACCGCAAGGCAGTGGAGGTGGAGGGCGGCGAGCTGAGCCTGGACACTATGCGGCGATACATCGCCTATTGCAAGGACAAGTGTGCCCCGCGGCTGTCGGAGGAGGCAGCCGAGAAGCTCAGCAGCTTCTTTGTGGCCATGCGCGCGCAGCTGTGGAGTATGGAGCGCGACTCGACCGAGCGCTCGGTGATCCCGATTACTGTGCGCCAGCTGGAGGCTGTGGTGCGTATTACCGAGTCGCTGGCCAAGATGACACTGGCGCCGGTGGCCGGCGTTGAGCACGTCGACGAGGCCATCCGTCTGTTCCGCATGTCCACCATGGATGCCGTGCAGAGCGGCCAGGGCGACGGCACCACGCGGTCTGATCTGTCGGCCGAGATGCGTCGTGTCGAGCAGGAGATCCGCCGCCGCCTGCCCATCGGCTCGCAGGTGTCGGTGCGTGCGATCAAGGACGATTTTGCCAAGCAGGGCTTCTCGACTCATGCCGTCGATCCGTGCCCTGTTCCTGCTGGTGCGCCAAGAAACGCTACAGTTCAAGAACCAGCGCATGCTTATCCAGCGCGTGGGTGCCTGAGGGCTGGTCGGTAGTTTCCGTTGTTTTTTGCTTTCAATTCTAAAACGTCATCGATTTCTGTCTTGTTTGCTTGGATGCGAGGCGCTGGTGCTTGGCGAGCTAGCCCATCACCCTTTTTTATTTTATTTCTGGACTCAAAAATCCACCACTTCCCACCACCTGCACGCCCAGCTTCTCAGCTTTGCTTGTTTCTTTTCTCTTGCACATTTATACTTTCGTCAATTCAGACATTCCTTGGTTCTAGACGCACTATTTTCTTAGCCCGGCACTTCTCTCTTGCTCTCCCTCCCTCCCTCCCTCCCAAACGTATTCTATTCATATACCTATATATATGCGTCGCTGCGCTTCGTTAGGCACAGGTAAAGACGAAGAGGCTATCCACCATTCCTTCGGCCATAAAGAAAACCCGTTTTTTACTCCACCACCCCACACCCGTCCATTGAGTCAAGGCAGCTAAAACTCTCCGGCATAGCGTTTATAGCTGCGACTACCTCCCAGAGCGATTTGAAATTTCCGGGCGAATCGAGCAGAACTCCCGAGCACGCACACGGCAGAGACATCGACGTGGACGGGGACACCAGGCCAGCAAAACGCCAGCGGCTCAACACCAAAGCATCTGCAGATACTGCCAGCTCTCCGCACGCAGCCCACACCATGACATTTACACTTGGCTCCGCCAGCGCCGCCCCCGCACCGGAGCAGGCCGCCGGCAGCCTCTACCCCCCACCAGCAGACCGATCCAACGAACGGAACAACGAATGGCAAATCGCCCGAAGGTGCGTTGATGCGCTATCCAGGGCTTGCAGAGCAGACCCAGCGCATCTGCCTTCGCGAGTCAGAGTTCAGCGAGGAGCATGTTGTGCGGCTGATGTTGCAGGAGCTTCGTGACCGAGGCTTTGTGTAAGTCCAAAATTATTGTTGCTGTCACGCTCGGGCGGGAAATGTGCGAAGAGGGACGACCTGGTTCCAGCTTACTAAACTCGGGATTCGTTTTTGTAGGGATTCGTTCAATCAGCTCCAGCGCGAGTCCGGATACACGCTCGAGGACGACACTGTGACACAGTTCCGCGAAAGCGTTCTGTCCGGCGAGTGGGCAGAGGTCGAGCGCGGCCCTGGCGTCTATCGGCGTCGAGGCGCAGTCGATGCTCAATGTAAGTTGCCTACTGCTCTTGCTGCCAGTCCACCTCCACACGTGAATTCGATTGCAACAATATATCGCCGCAATTAATTGAATGAGTGCCGGCTGACCCATTCCGCCCTGCCGTCCAATTTATCGAGTCGCAGATGATCGCAAACTAACCATTGCCCTTGCCCCCCGTTTGCTTGTAGTCGGCGCGGTTCACCATCAAGCGGCAGCAATTCCTCGAGCTGCTTGAGGCACGCAGGCTGAAGCAGGCGCTGCTGGTGCTGCAAAACGAGCTCAGCGCCCTGACTGACGATATTCCGCAGCTGCACCGCCTCTCGAGTCTGCTCATGTGCCCATCACCCGCTGATCTCTACACTGCTTCCAGCTGGGATGGCTGCCAGGGCCGGTCGCGCTTCCAGGTGCTCGAGTCTCTACAGGCCTTCATTTCGCCGCGCCGCATGGTTCCGGCCCACCGCATGGAGACCCTGTTCAAGCAGTCGATACGCAGCCAGGAGGCCAACTGCGAGCACCACACGTCAAAAGGCCCAGCCCAGCCTGTACATCGACCACACGTGCTCTGCCGAGCTGTTCCCGCCCCACCTGCGCATCTCACTGCGCGGCCACAGCAACGAAGTGTGGTATGTAGCCTTCTCGCCTGACGACCGCTACCTGGCGTCAGCGTCGCGCGACCAGTCGTGCATCATATGGAGCACCACCGATTACTCGATTGTGCACCGGTCTCGAGGGACACACAGGCAAAATATCGTACCTCTCATGGTCGCCCGACAGCGAATATCTTGTGTCAGCCAGCGACGACAAGAAGCTGCTGCTGTGGGATGTTCACTCGGGCAAGCTCCGTCACACGTTTACTGGCCACACGGAAACCATTACCGCGTGTCGGTGGCTGTCGGACGGTGAGCGGTTCTTGTCGGCCGGGATGGACAAGAAGATCATCATGTGGAGCGCAAAGGGCCACAAGCTCAAGCACATCGACACGCCGCGTGTGCACGACATCGCCATCTCGTCTGACGATAAGACAATGGTGGTGGCCGATGACAGAGAGAACGTCTATATATACGACCTGGCTTCAGTGACGCTGAAACACAAGCTCAAGGAGACTGCCGGCATCATGTCACTGAGCCTCACAGCCGACTCACGCTACTGCCTAGTTGGCTTGTTCAAGGGCGAGCTGCACCTGTGGGATCTGCGCACCCAGGTGTGTGTACGTGAGTTCTCGGGTTACGCCCAGGGTCCCTATCGTGATCAGGTCGGGGTTTGCTGGCGTCGACGACCGGTTCGTGGTTGTCGGAAGCGAAGACAGCCTGGTATTTGTATGGAACCGCAATACGGGTAACCTGCTGGCTCGCCTCAAGGGCCACGCACGTACGGTCAACGGGTTCGCCTGGAGCACTGGTCTGGCCGCCCTGGCCACCATCTCTGACGACAAGACCATCTGTGTATGGCCGGCATATGAGGGCGCGCCTAGCTGCATGTCACCATCGGACCTTTGCCGGATCCGCCGTTGCATCAGTCGGTGGGTCTTTGCCGCCAAAGGGCAAGGATTCGGCGCCGTCCGTCGCCCGCTTTAAGCCAACACACTGATGAGCATGACCGTGAAGAAGAGGAAGATGACGATGAGGACGACGATGAGGGGGAGGAAGACGAAGAGGAGTATGGCTTGCGCAGCCGCCGCCATGACAGTAGTGATGAAGGACGACGAGTCCATGTCTTCAGGCTCTGGGAGGAAATACCAGCCTGGAAGGCCCGTCGACCGGCGCCAGTGGCCTTCTGTCCTTCTACTGACATTGTAATTTTCCTCGTATCATCCAAACATATACCACTTTTCTTTCCACATTCGGGTATCCACATGTGCACTGCAGATCCAGGCTGCTTGTTTGCAAACACGGCTTTGTTGGTGAGCGTTGTTAGCCAGTGATAACAGAGAAGAGGACTAAGAGCTATATAGAAAGAGGGCAGGTAAAGTGTGGAGGGAAGGTGTGTTCAGGGTAAGAGAAAAGTGAGGATATTGAAGATAGAGATAGGAGACACGAAGCGGCAAAAAGAGCAAGAGGATAGTGAATAAATGTAGGTGTTGGAACTTCCCGACCAGCAGCAGAAGGAACAAATAAAGACATTTGGTGTTTAGTAGCATTCAGGAGGGCGGCGGTGTAGACGTGTCCATCTCCGCGCTGCTGTCTGTCGATACCCGTCCCTGTGTCGCTGCCCTGGATCAGCGTGGCGGTGCCGCCGGTCGCTGGCGCCGATTCGACGCCCGACGTTTCCATCTGCACCGGCGGGTCCATTGGTACATCCTGGCTGGCAACTGCTACCGCGACCGGCGTCGGTCGTCGTCGTCGGCAGGCTCTGATGTATAACTATCTCGCCGTTGGCCGATAGCGAGTACTGGAGCTGCTGGTTCTGTCCGGCCACCGCCTGCACAGCCGCAATCTGCTCCGTGGTCATGTAGTGCTGCTGCGGGTGGAAGGTACTGGTAGTGGCTGCCAGTCCAACCTCAGCCGCCGTAGTCGCCGGCGACCCCAGAGTGATGGGCACGCTAGTGCCTGACGACCTGATGTCCACCTGCATGTCCAGCGACTCCATATCCATTCCGGTCTGGTGCCCCATCGGAGCAGCAGAGTAGCCGTCGATGCTGTTTGCCATGCCATGAAGCATCGCCGCATGCTGGTGCTGCTCCATTTGCTGCTGCTGCTGAAGCTGTTCCATATGTTGTTGGTGCAGCTGCTGCTGGTACGTGAACGGGTTCTGGCCATGGGCACCCAGCATATCGTCGGCAATCAGCGACCCGTCGCTCTCATCTAGCAGCATCATCCCGCCCATCATGACAGACTCAGGCTCGCCGGCTTTGATGCTGTCTACTAGCTTGTCCAGCTCCAGGATAAATTCATCTTCGTCCATCTCGCTGGCCAGCGTGTTCACATCATCAAGCTTGCTGATGAGCTGAGGCACCGGCGACGTCTGTGCAGCAGCGTCGGCTTCACTGGCAACAGTGTCCTTCGAGGCGGGGTCTTCAGCCGAGCCATTTGTAGCGTCAGACGCCTCGCTGGTAACATCGGCCGGCAGCCTGGGACTGGCTTCATCATTTGCTGTTGCTGTCTGCTCTGTAGCTGCTTCTTTGCAGGCTTCCTCAGCCATGACGATGTCATCCCTGGCCTCGTCTGCACCCACCTCTGGATTTACCGTGAGAACAGGGCTCGAGAACCGTCCACTATCTGTCCGACTGACTGCTGTCCTGTGGCTGCGGGCTTTCTGGTGTCCTGCAAGACGGTGGTTGGTGTCTCGCACTGCTGGGCCTTGGTCATGGCAACCCTGGCCAGCGACGACCACCGTGTGCTGTTTTGCTGACGCCGCTTCCTCTCCTGGTCGCGCGTCTTCCGGAACTCGCTCAGGCACTGGTCGAACACGTCCTCGTTAACGTTGACAAAGAAGCGCAGTGTCTGGTACACCTGGTTGTGGATGGTGCGGTTCCAATGCGACCGCGAGTGCTGGTAGATGCCTGCTAGGGTGACAGGCAGAATCAAGTGGTTGTTGTCGGTGATAAGGTTGACAATGTACTGATTGCGCCACATTCCCAGCGTGCGCTCGGCAATCTGGAAGTGTGGACTGACGATGCACCGCACCAGCTGCTGGAACATGGGCTGGCAGATCTTGGTGAACTGGGTCGGCTCAATGACGTCCAGTATCTCCTCGAGCTCATTCAGGAACATGACCTCCTTGGGACTGTTGACCTTGGGCCAGTACCGGAGCATGGCCTTGATGATGGTAGTCGCCAGCGCCGGGTCCTTTTCCAGGAACTGCACAGTGCAGTAGGTCAGCTGCGGGTGGTAGAGACCCATTGGCCGCGCCTTGTGCAAGGGCAACAGGACGCGATGCAAAAAGTTCTTGTGCTCCTCCTTTAGCGGAACCGTGAACCCGTTGATAATGCTGCCTAGGATCTCGAGCAGCTCGGCAATTCCGTTGTGACGCTGCGTCTCGTATATGAACTGCAGAAAGATGTTGTTGATGGAGCGCCGAATAAACGACCGCATGCCAAGCATCTTGCCGTATATCCGGTGCAACACTGTCTTCAGCAGCTCACGCTCGCGCACATCCTCGCAGTCAAACAGGTCCAGCAGCTGCGTCGTGAATGCCTGGTCGATAAACGAGCGTGCCAGCCCGTTGTTGAAATCCCCCGACTCGAGGAACCGCAGGAAAATGTGGTACACTAGTGACAGATGCGGCCATGCCGGCTCGTCGCGCGGCTCATCCTCCTCGGGGTCGAACGGGTCGCCAAACGCATTGACCTGGGGTGGGATGACGCGGAATATGTTTGCCTGCACCATCTGAAAAATAGCCGGGTACACATCGGCTGTGATTACGCCAGTGCGCGAGGTGATGTAGTCGTGAATCTCCTCCAGAGTACTGCGCTTGGCCTCCTTGCCCTCCAGCTCTGCCTCCGGGTCCTGGAAGTCAAAGATGGTCACGCACTGGTATATCTTTTGGATGAACAGCTGCTTGCGCTCTGCTTCTGTCAGGTCGTGGGCTACATATTTTGGCGCGTACCGGGCGGGTTTTTTAATACCATAGTGGTGGTTGGGCTTCGACACAAGCACTTGGCGCATTAAATGAAGGTGTGTGGTGCTAAAAGGGTTGACAAATGAAAGCAAGGCGCTCCGTTGACAGGCAGTGCAAAAGGGGTGTAAAAGAAGGCGAGAAGTGCAGGAGCGAGAAAGGAGAAAGAGGAAGTCGTCTGCATCCCAGGCCGCATGCCAGGTCATCAATGGGAGCAGGAAAACAGAATAACAAGGTGCGAAAGTAAGCGCACCAAGGGTTACTTGGCCACATCCCGCTTGCTCCTCTTTCCCTTCCCCCCTCGACGAAATTACTGCACGTTCGTTTACTGCGCTCACTAAACAACGGCAAAGAATTGCACAGGGAGGAGGCCAGCAGCAGAAAAGCCTGGTGTACCGGCCACGCCCGCGTAACGAGCAGTCCCTGGGAGCTGGTGGAGCTGGTGGAGCTGGTGGAGCTGTTGGCTTAGCGAGGGCCAAGCGACATGCTGACACAGGTTTGGACAATCCACTAGCCCCTTCGGAATGGGGGCGAAGAAAGAAGCAGCAGACAAACTCAGTGCAGAAAAATGAAACAGGACACCCCGAATAGCACATGCACCTTTGCCCATGACAAGGCTCATGGGGTTCAGAGAAGCCTTAAACCCACACAAGCTGGTGGTTGCAATAGTGGTAGCGGTCCTAGCATGCAAGTAAAACCTACCTAGTATTTGAGGCAGCATCCGGAACTCGTGCTTGCCGCCAGTGCTGTGGCGCGACGATTGGGGTCTTCTTGCGACTCGCAGAGACGGAACCTCGTCAACCTGGGCGACGCTGAACCGCCCTCCAAGACCAGCCAGCGGCGGTGCATTGCGTGCACGATTGACCTCTGGCCCGGCAACTCCCATTTTGCGGCCCTACCAGTATTACCAAGGTTAGCAGCAGGACTCCCAGCATTGTTACATGCCAATACACACTGGTTTATGCTTGTTCCGTACCTTGCCTTGCTGTTCGAGCATAATTTGCGTAGTGGGGTTTAGGTGCAACAATGAGAAGTGAGAAGAAAGGAAGTGAGAAGTGAAGAAGGCGGCAGCTGTCTGTCCGTTTTCCGACCAGCCTGTATGCGTCAAGCGAAATAAGCTTTTGTGAGACCAGAGCAGCAATTTGCACAGATGCGTTCCAATCGAGCCAAATAGAAGTGAAAAAACAGTAGTATTAGAGGGGAGCAAAAGAAGAGAAAAACACCGGAAAGAGAAGAGAAACCCGCTATTCGCCAGCCCGTTCTTCTCGCCTGTCACAAAACGCTCTCTTTTGCACTCGTCGACGCGCGAAACTTTGGCCTCGCTTCTGATTTTTTTTGGGACACTCGACCGGTCCCTGAGACGTCTGGCCTTGCGAGCTCCAGCCCAAGCCAATGGAACTCCAGCTTGCACTCGGGGCACCTTTTCCAGTCTGGCGCGCATACTGCAGGACACCTGTTGCTTGATGTCGGAAGTGTCACGTAGCAGCGACATAGCGCGTAGCCATGCAGATGCGTTCTCAATGGCGGTAGCGATGATAGTGTTTTGCTGCAAGACAATAGGCAGCGCAAGGGCTGAACACGAACCTACACCAGTTCACAGCGCTCGCAAATGCACCTGGTAGACCTGTCACAGACGTTCAGTAGAATGTCTAAGCCTGAGGGGATCGACTAAAAAATCAGTGAATGTAGCGTTGGACCACAATGCGAGCTGCTAGGAATCCTGGTCCTTTTTCTAGCTTATCCGGTCCCGTTTTTGCGGCGATCAATGGTCTATTGAAAGCAATGGCGGCTCCAGTGCTCCCCATGTTTCATGCATCGCCGGTCTATAAATAGGTCCACCGTCTGGGCACGAGTCCAGCGCTGCCATATTAATTTGATCCTCACAACGATTGTAGGCACGATCAGTCCCTTGTGCCCCTATGCCTTGCAATAGCAGTGGCTACAGCAGTGCACTGAGGCATGAAGCTGGCCCTTATGCACCTATCTATGTGCACCTAAGGCTTCTGTGAGTAAAACACAGAGTGAGTGAAATTGGATGGCAAATGTGTGTCAAATTTCCTAGACACTCGGTACACAAAAGTCAGCTCTGTAGAGGACCTCAGGCATATAAGCACGACAGTCATCTACTTTTCAATGACCACTGCTGGCATAGATTTTTTTGTTGACCTCATGTTCGTAGTTTCATCTTCAGGGAGGCGCATGGCAGTTTCCCCGATAGAAGTGAGCCATGTCACATGTAGACTGTTGGCTGGCGGTATATTTGCATGCAAAGTTGGTCATCATAATATGTCGGTGCCAACCCTAGTGCGGACCATATGAAAATTCAATCTCAGTATCTGGACAGAATAACCTCCAACTTTATAGCGATGACTAAGGCTAGTCACCAAATGACAATAATTCTCGAAATTATTCTGTCAGAATTATTTATAGAATCCTAAAGCAGCAGAAGTTTGTTAATTGTTAGAGCGTAGTCGCTACTGCCTGGTGTGGATGCAGCTCCAGCCAATATGCCTGCAGCCCCACGCACATTAACCAGGCATATTCAACAACATATACAGTATCTGTGACTCAAGTTAATGGGAAAGATGTCTAGCCTATTGATGACACAGCAATCGATAACGGAACTGTCTTTACTTTTCCATAAGGTTTTGCTAGACTTGTGGCGGTCGCAATGCGGGCTTGGCATGTTTGTATAATGAGTAAAAGAATCAACCTGAAGAATCTATCTGTGTGGCCAACACATTTGCCTTTTATAGATGAGAATGAGGGGCACGGCCAGATCTCGGGTGATTCTGTCCGTGTGGTGGCCCGAACACCACAAGCTCGCATCGCGAGTGCCATAAGTCTAGTAGATGTATTTTGGAGTGTTTAAAGAAAAGAACTGGATATTTTTCTAGCCATGCTTAGAGCACACATAAGGGTTGCGACAAGTGCGTCCTTTTCTCTCACTCGCTCCTCGGATGGGTCAAACCACATGTCATCAATACATACACATACAGGGCCTTTGGAACGATTGTCGCTGAAGATCGGGTTCCAAACAGATTGGTGTAGATATCTCTTGCTAATGCTTGAACATCCTCGACATTAGGCTGGTCACTGTTGAAATGTCAGCTAATGCATCATTCAAAGTCAGGAAGTGATGTCATAACCCCTAGCTTTAAATATCTGATGGTTTGAGCATCTCTTGTGTGCCATTTTTTTTAATCAGTAGACCATCCATATCTGCCTGAGATCGTTTGCAATCCTCTCTGACACCGACTGTTGCGAAATAGCACAGTAGGTAGAGTAGCGACTCCAAATCATCCAACTCTGTCCGCTCCACATCAGATCCAAACAGATTGCTGATGCTCCTGTAGGGGAATGTCCCTATATTCTCTGGGTTCGGCGCCTGGTTCTCACTTACATCCACTGCGCAGTCGAAATCTATCAGTAGTCCGCGAGGTTGTTTGCCTTCCTCACGCACGACAAGGACATTGTTGTTTGAGTTGTCGCGGTGGAGGATGTTGCACCGCCGCAGAACCTCGGTGTGGCAGCGCATCGCATCGCCTAGCACAACAATGAGCTCGTGGACAGACTCGACGGTTTCCAGTGGTTCACCAATCGGGGACATAACCAGGCGCTTATGGACGCGGAACGGTATTGCTGTGCTGTCTGGCTTGCGCAGCAAGTAGAGTGGACCCAGTGCATTTTTCGTGTTGTCCTCAAATTGGCCCCTGTCAGTATCGATCAAGACACGACCACCGGCTTCGAGCTTCGGATAGACCAGGTCTTCGACATCTGAGTTCGCAAGTTCCTCTGTGATTCGGCGCATAAACATCACCTCGTCCCGCGTGTCGTCATGGTCCTGTAGAACCTCCGGCCATGCATCCTTCACAACAAACTTGGGCTTGATTCTGTCACCAGCAGGGTCCTCATCTGTTGCCAAAAAGCACCTCGTGTGCCGACCGAAAAGGCTATCAGCTTTGGCAACTTCATCTCTGAAGTAGTGCGTTTTTGTTGCCTGGCTGCCTGATGACTTGCCTGGAGTGTCAGGGCACTCGATGGTCCAGTACTCATGCTCTCTATCCCTGGTCATCGTCGGATCATACCTCAGCTGGTCTTTGTCACACAGTGAGAGGTTCACCAGCAACCCAATGTACTCCCGACGACCTGCGCTTGTTGATACGTCCATGGGGTTGCTTGCAAATATGCAGTCGTTTGAGAACAAGCAGGCCCGCATCTCGGCTCCACAGGAGGTCTGTCCAAGAATAAAGCGGCGATCAGGCTGGGCAGCATACATATGGTGCGAGTAGTCCACAAGCTGCTTGTATGCGCCATTCTTGTCCTTGCGGGTGTTTGAGTACTTTGCCTCGACAATGGCGAATATATCTGCATAGGGCATATCAGGCAGCTGCTCTTCCAAATCGCCAGGTCGACAGGTGGTCAACCCGATGTCAATCTTGCGGTCGTCGTCGCCACATAGGGGCTTTCTGTTCGTCTTCGGATAGCAGATGATACAGCGCTGATGAACAACAGAAGGGAAAAGCGTACCGAGACCAAGTTTGTCAAAGAGGAACTTGACAAATGGGGCGACAAAGTGAACGAAGGACTGGAAGGGGGTGTACAACTTTGTTTCTTTCTTGCCGCCGGCCTTGCCCTTGTTGTGATGGCGGACCCACACCTGCAGCTCCTCCAGAACCCCTTGCAGACTTTCGAGGAACTCCCTCCTTTTAGCCTTATACCCTCTGGTTCGAAGTCGACACGAGTGCAGGCTTTCGTCTTTGGTGCTCTTGCGCAACAGGTCCATTATATAGGTGAATATGCTGTTTGCATCGGAACCATCTGCATTGGAGTCCAGCAAATGTTCCAGCTCGAGGTAGATAATGTCGGCTATGGATGAAGAAACACTGCCCGCCTCTCCCCTCGGAGCTATGATAGTGTGGATTTGGTCGGCACCTTCGATGAGTTGGCCAGAGACAGCACCCTTGGCGAGCTCTTCGCGCTCTGCCTGGATCTCTTATTTGGTTAAGAAGCGATTCGGCAGTTGGTCTTTATCCAGGGGCCTTTGCAGGAGCTCGGTCTGCCGGTGACGACGATACTGTTTCTTCCCTTGACCTCGATTGCCGCCTATTTGTCAAGTGCTGTGTTAGTAGACATGCTCTTTTGGTTAAAAACGTACGAAGATGGTTCCAGTACTTACTGTTGCTGTTGCTGGTGCTGCTTTGCAACGTGTTGTCGTTTGGCGCTAACGGCACCAGCGAGTGACTGAGTGCTTTACTCGCGTCGCCCCCTCTCAGGCGCTTGCCTGAACCGTTCTTGAGTGAGATATTGCTTGTGCGTTTGGCAGACATAATTTAAATGTTAGGTGCAAGTAAAAATAATGTCCAAATGGCAAAAGTACAGAACACATAGGATGCTTGCGCAGCCAGAATTTGTAGGACGGCAACAGCAGCGGCACTGTCTACCATACCTGCTCGAACTCATTCTGTCGGCGGTCCCTTTTTGCACATGCAGGCAGATGTGGCTTGTGTATGTGCCGTGTTTCAGTGCACGACTAAGCTGCTGATGGTTTTTTGTCACTTCAATGGGCCATTGTGCCTGCTTTAGTTCGGGTTATCGATGCACTTCCCCATCTCCCCTGGCCTCTATCCATCGTTTCTGCATACCAATTTCTTTTATGTGAATACTAGCTCATTTCAGTTTGACAAATGTATTCATTTATATATAATTCACTATGTGTACATATCCAAATGCTCATGAGCGCAGGTTGGCACCAACATTCCGTAGAGGCCACCAAAATGTCACTGAAAATCTGCAAACCTCTGGGCGCCAGTGCCATCAAGTTCCTTTTCTGGAATAGAAATACTGATCAGCTATGGAGAACGTCAAGCCTGGCTGCACAGGCGAGTAAGGGGGCGCCTACCTACATCGCCTCCGCATACCCTTCCCCAAGAGAGTGACATCTGGCCACAAATGTGGTCGGGGATACTTGCTACCCACACACAAGGAGTGCGGCAACACGTGTGATCAGCAAATGAGCTGCTGTCTATATTTGGATCCAGGGGTGGTTTAAGGCGCCCCAGATGCCACCCTCGCTGTGCTATAGAGCTGGGGCTAGGTTCTTGAGCCCCAAAAGGTGTGTGCAGCTCCTCCTGTGTACTATACCATTTGCTCGGTTTTTGCTGAATGGCGCTCATGGCGGCAGGCTGCATGAGCGATCGGTAAAGCCGTTTTGCCAAATCATGGCCATTTTGCGCCGTGTCCCTCTTTTCCAGACAAGTCACTCATTACTCAGTTGGCTTGTAGTTGTCGATGGTGACGTTTCTTATTTGCAACTCTGCTCTGCATGTAGGTCTTGGGTGCTGCCACAGCGAATAAGGAATGCATCCTGCCGTGCTCAAAAGGCTTGCAGTGACATTTGCATTGTCTATTTCCATGCGGCTAACACAGTGTCTTGGCTGGAAATGCACGCCTGCTTTTATGCTGCTCACAGTCCATACTGTCAAAATCCCCTCCATCTCCTGCATACTCGAAGCAAGCAGAGCAGCGGGTTGTCACTATCAAGTGTTTTGTGCATGGGCTTGCGCTGCGTGCTGCTGCGGATCATTGTGCAGCTGCCATTTTCGGTTAATTAAGCTCCTGTTGCGCAACCAAAAATACTTGTTCTGCTCATGGCAATAACCCCTGATTTTGGAGCAGACTGACACCACATGCACGGCCATTGTTCATACTGGTTCTCGCTGCTCGATCTCCGCATGCTTCAGTGTTAAAAATTGTTTTTGGCCTGCCGGTGTGGAATTCGAGCGATGCCAAACTTTTATTGCTCGGGACTTCCAGTCAAAGCTCCGGATCCACATAGACTGCAATGCATGCATTGCCGTTGCTGCCCTTCAGAAGTAGTACAATGAGTCTTTTAGTGCAAGTCGGCGTACTCTATGAAATAATCGTTTGTCTAAGGTCCTAGTTGAGCAGTGGGCGCTACTTTAAGTAGAGACATCACTTCCATGTGTGGACACTAGGTAGCAGGACCACCCACACCGATGTATGACAGAGAGAGAAAGAATTAAAAATAACAGCACAGCACAGTACAACATGGCATTTAGCCTTATATTCCTGTGAGCAGCCTGCAGTTATGAATGCTCGCCGTAACTAAGGAACACCCTATGGTGGATCCTCAGACAAATTCGTGCATCTAATCAGCCAAATTATAAACCAAGTTCTCAAATGGCATGCATCAAGTGGCATGTTAAACAGGTTCCTCCTGGGAGGGTGACTCGTCTGGATTCAGCCCTTGAGCAACAAGCTGGGAATATGCTGACGACTCTGGCCATAATTTCTCTGAGCTATTTGAACCGCCACATACCAGACTTCACATAGATATTACTGCATTGATCGATAGTCTTGGTCCGACCAAAGTCACCAGGATATAGCTGTGGATGTAGTGATGTGGGACTAGTATTGGAAGAAAAGGTCTGCAAATGAGCTAATCGCCGCTGTCAATCTAGTCAGCGAGAGCGCGGAACTGCTCCTCCATATCCTTCTGCAGCTGCGTGTACCGCTCGGCCAGAATATCCTCGCCATCGGCCGGGTCCTCGAACTTCATCGAGCTCAGGCGGTAGATGATGTCGCCCATGTTGTCGCGAATCTTGGCCCAGGTGACCTGGTTTGACGTGGCCTCGACAGTGTGCGTAGCCAGCTTGTAAAAACCGATCATGTTGCGCAGCATCCATGTGGTCTTGAAGAACGGGCAGTACCGGTCATAGTTGGAGTAGCCATTCTGCTGCAGGAAATCGTCCTTGATGATGCGCGCGACCTCGAGTGTGATCTTGTCGGTTTCGGCCAGCGCCGACTTACCGACCAGCTGCACAATCTCCGCCAGGTCCTCCTCAGCCTGCAGGATCTCCTTGCACTTGGTGCGCAGGCTGATGAACTCGGGGTCAGAGCGCTCGTAGTACGGCTCCAGGGCGTTCAAGTACTTGGAGTAGCTGAGCGACCAATTGACTGACGGGAAGTGCTTGCGCTGGGCGAGCTTCTTGTCCAGACCCCAGAATACCTGCACGATACCCAGCGTGGCCGAAGTAACAGGGTCGGAGAAGTCACCACCCGGAGGCGACACAGCACCGACCACCGACACACTACCAAAGCGCTCGGGTCCACCCAGGCACTTGACCTTACCTGCACGCTCGTAGAACGAGGCCAGGCGGGCACCCAGGTAGGCAGGGTATCCCGAATCGGCAGGCATCTCGGCTAGGCGACCTGAAAGCTCACGCAGCGCCTCAGCCCAGCGCGATGTCGAGTCAGCAATCATGGCCACATGCTTGCCCTGGTCACGGAAGTACTCGGACACAGTGATACCAGTGTAGATGGATGCCTCACGTGCCGCGACTGGCATGTTGGAGGTGTTGGCGATCAGCGTCGTGCGCTGCATGATCGGCTCATGGCGACCGTCGATTTCGGTAGTAAGCTGTGGGAAGTCCATCAGGACCTCAGCCATTTCGTTGCCTCTTTCACCACAGTTGTGCACCAATGCCATGTTGGACAGAAGGAACTGGTGGTCCGATCCATCGGCCAGGGTGACACCAAAGTAGTCGTCAGCGTCGGTCTTCGTGATCTTGAAGTAAGTAGGCTGAACTTTGCGCTCGACTGCAAAGGTTGGGGCGGGCGTTCTTTTGCGAGAAAGAGAGCACTTGCTCAGAACTGAGGCCAAGGCACCTTCGTTACCGCCTGAGATGTACACAGCGTACGATGTCTTGTGATGGACACCCTTCGTAACGTGCTCAGGCTCACAGGAGACTGACGCGTGGATACCCAACGAGCGAACAAGCTTAACGAGACCGTCACGAACAGATGGATAAATCGTCTTCACAGTGGCGTGAGGACGAGTATCCTTCACAACATAACCGTCAGAGTCAATGAGACCAGCCAAAAAGTGCTCGCGCACGAGGATGGATTCACGGGCTAGGAACGAAGGAACAACCTTAGAACCATCATCACCGCGAACACCAATGTCCTTGATAATGGACCAGACAATGTTTCCAGTGTTTAAGTTCCTGCGAACCCCATTGCCACGGACAGACCTGTTACGAAGAGAGACCGTCGAGTCGCCGCGCTGATAGACATGCTTATTGCTGTTTGCATGTTCCGGCACTATATGGTGGTGATACTCTACAGACGTAACATCCATGTCGAGGACATTTCCATAGTCACGAATACGACCGATGAGCTCTTCATCCTTGGGGTCGATGGAGAAAGAGATGCGATCATGGTAACCGTCACCAACCCACAGACCGAGCAGATAAGCAACAGTGGGCGTTGCCTCGATTTCGGCACCAGCGTTGAAGAGGTGTCTCTCCAGAACCGGGTCCTCGAACAGCACAGGGCTAATCATCTGCTGAGTAGCCTTGCGAGCATGGACGTGAAGAAGCTCAACATCACGTGCTTCAATTGTCCAGTTGATGTCAGACGTGCTGATAGTCGAGGCAAAATCAGCTGCCAACTGGTTAGCACGCTCGGCACCGCCATGCACGTCGTGCTGGAACGACTTCGTCGACTGCTCGACTAGCTCCACATTACGCATGGAACCAGTGGTCTCGTCAAAGACATGGACAGTCTTCAGCTGGAAATAGGTGACTGACGTCTGCTGCTTGTTGCGGAGCACGTGGTTGGTAATACCAACATGCTGAGGAGTCTTCACAACAAGAAGATGAGTCGCGTTACAGGTGAAAGAAGTACCTGCAAGCTCAACCTTGTACATGGTCTCATACCCACGGGGGAGGGCGACAACCTTGCGGGGAAGGCCATCCTTGCCCATGACATCGTCATCAATAACGATATCCTCGATGTTCTTGTCCGTACCGTCGGCCATCATGACCTCGGTTCCCTTGGCGAAGCACCCCACGTAGACAATGAAGTCTGAGTTGGAATATTTGGACAGGGACTGCGAAATGACAGTCTTACCGCACCCGAATGCACCTGGAATAGCAGTGGTACCTCCCTGGATGCACGGGAACAGCGCATCGAGCACGCGCTGGCCAGTGAGTAGCGGGTGGTCGGCAGCCATCTTCTCTGTGACAGGGCGGGGCATACGTACAGGCCACACCTGCATCATGGTGTGCTTGGTGGTAACACCCTCGAACTCGGTCTCGAGCACAACGTCGGCCACAGTGTACTTGCCCGCCGGGGCAATGTAGGTGATGGTACCACGCGCGTTGGGCGGCAGCATGATGCTGTGCTTGCGCAGCAGCGAGTTCTCATACACGGAGCCGAACATGTCGCCGCCGGCAATGTGGTCGCCGGGCTTGAGGCTGCCGGGCTTGAACTCCCACTCGAGCTTCTTGTCCAGTGCCGGCGTGTCAATGCCACGCGGGATGTAGATACTCTGCGACACCTCCTGGATCGCCTTCAGCGGGCGCTGGATTCCATCGAAAATGTTGGAGCTGAGACCTGGTCCGAGCTCGACCGACAGTGGCTTGCCCGACTTTAGCACCGGATCGCCGACCGTCAGGCCGGCAGTCTCCTCGTAGACCTGAATGGTGGCCTTGTCGCCCTCGATACGAATGACCTCACCGACCAAGGCCTCGTGGCCGACACGCACCAGTTCGTACATAGCTGATCCAGTCATGTGCTCAGCGATGACAACTACAAAGCAAAAAAGATGGAGTTAGCTGTACTGCAGTATGTGGATGCACGGCCGTGGCTGGGTCGCGGTCTGTGCGCACTTACCGGGTCCAGAGACCGAAAAGACGTAGCCGAAATCCGACTCATTGGCGTCCTCATCGAGGTGTCTAAGGTCCCTCGCGGCGTTCTCAAGTGCTCCGGCCTACAGCGTTCGTGAGAAAAAAGTTTAGGTGCGTGCTACCCTGTTGCACTGCCTCATCTGCCGCTGGCCTGCTGTTCTTACCATTTGTTTATCTGCTCAGACGAGTAAATTTAATAGAATAGATGGGCTAAATTATAGGGGAAAAAGGTGGGGAGGAATAGTGTTGCTCTCGATGTGCAGGTGTGCAAAAAGGGCCAGCAAGATATAGGTGCGGCTTTCGACTCTCCTCGACTCCCCTGGCCCAGCTGTGGTGCTCAGCAGCATCGCTGTTTTTATCGCAGCTGCTGCCCATGGCCGAATCTGCACCACTGGCCATATCGAGCCGAGCCGAGCCGATTTACGCGTCATCAGCAGCTGCCCATTTGCCTCAGGCGGAGAGCCGCTGGCTGCAGCATCTCGCTGGCTCGACACCGAGTGGTGCGTAATACACTGGGGGTTATTTTATTTTGCAGCTTTCACCTCTAGACAATTCATAAACTGCCATTTTACTTTATTTAAACCCCTCTCAGCACAGGATTTGGACGATTGCGACAATGCCGAACGAGAACTGGGAAAAGTGTATGTGTCGCAGCACCATGCCGTTTAGAGGCAGAGGACTAAGGGTGGGGCCAGAGAAGCGATTCCCGGACATTGGGCGCATTACTAACCAAAGGCATGCCATTGCTTTCCATGTAGACAAGAAGCCAATTGACGACCTGGAGGAGGAGAAGGTCAATGGTAAGTAGCATGCGCGGTAAGCCGCGTTGCAGGTCTCGGCAAAGCGAGCGAGACACAGCCTGCTAACATGCACAGCGCTGCTATACTGTAGTCCTCGATGAGAAGGATATTGAGCTGCTCAAAGCCTACGGCGAGGGACCCTACGCTAAGGAAATCAAGCTGCTGGAGAAGTCCATCAAGGACATGCAAAAGTCGATCACGGAGAAGATTGGAGTGCGCGAGCTCGACACTGGTCTTGCGCCGCCCAACATGTGGGATTTGCCAGCAGACAAGCAACGCCAGCGCGAGGAGCAGCCGCTGCAGGTAGCGCGGTGCACAAAGATCATTGGCGAGGGCGACAGCGCTAAATACGTCATCAGCGTCAAGCACATTGCAAAGTTTGTGGTTGCACTGGCGCAGCGTGTATCGCCGACAGATATCGAGGAGGGCATGCGCATCGGCGTTGACCGCACCAAGTACCAGATCCAGCTGCCGCTTCCGCCCAAGATTGACCCGTCAGTGACCATGATGCAGGTTGAGGAGAAACCCGATGTCACATACAGCGATGTGGGTGGCAGCAAAGAGCAGATCGAGAAGCTGCGTGAGGTGGTGGAGCTGCCGCTGCTCGAGCCTGAGCGCTTCATCAATCTGGGTATCGATCCGCCCAAGGGCGTGCTGCTGTACGGACCGCCGGGAACCGGAAAGACCCTGTGCGCTCGTGCGGTAGCCAACCGGACCGACGCCACCTTTATTTGCGTCATTGGGTCTGAGCTTGTACAAAAGTACGTGGGAGAGGGAGCGCGTATGGTGCGCGACCTGTTCGAGATGGCGCGGACCAAGAAGGCATGCATCATTTTCTTTGATGAGGTTGACGCCATCGGCGGAGCCCGCTTTGATGATGGCGCGGGCGGTGACAACGAAGTGCAGCGTACCATGCTGGAGCTGATCAACCAGCTTGACGGCTTCGACCCGCGTGGCAACATCAAGGTCATCATGGCCACTAACCGTCCCGACACGCTTGACCCCGCGCTGCTGCGCCCCGGTCGTCTTGACCGCAAGGTCGAGTTTGCGCTGCCCGACCAGGAGGGCCGCGCGCACATCCTGCGCATCCACGCGCGCAGCATGAGCGTCGAGCGGGATATCCGCTACGATCTGATTGCCCGGCTGTGCCCGAACAGCACCGGAGCTGAGCTGCGCAGTGTGTGCACAGAGGCGGGCATGTTTGCCATCCGTGCCAGGAGAAAGGTGGCCACCGAAAAGGACTTTTTGGACTCGGTCAACAAGGTCATCAAGTCGTATGCCAAGTTCAGCTCGACACCAAAGTACATGACCTACAACTGAAGGGCCCTTTTTCGCCTCTGCTCTTCCTCAGTGCTCTTCCTCTTTTTCTCTCACATCTCATGTATGTCACTGTGCCCTGTGTGCTGACAAAACATCCAGCTGCGCGGGCAGTGTGGCAGCATTTGGCTCAATACAACTCTCAGAAATGCTTGTTCAGATTAACCTCGTGATTGGCTCATCACCAAATTATTTTTTCCTCCAGAATTTTTTTGTTGAGCAAGAGAAAAAAAAACCCAACTATGCACGCCGTTTTTCTTCCTTAGCTCTCCCCTCTCCGACTATTAGATCCTGTTCGTCGTGCGCGTGTACATAGACACACACACGCATATACCGCGCCACCTATAGCCCTCAATTCAATCTACATACTACATATTATGTCACCCGGGATCACAAAGATGGCATCGGCCAAGGGCGGGCGCGTTGACGCGCTGCTGGCAAAGCAGGGTAAAGCCGACAAGGTATTGCTCCGGCGGCGCATAGAATTCCGACAGGCAAGGCAGTCAGACGGCAAGATGGACCTTCTGCGCAAAAAGTACCGGCCGATTAATGCAGCAGCAGAGGCCAGCAAGCACAGCACGGGCAAGGCCGGATTGAAGGGCAGCAATAAGGGCACCAGCGAGGCGATTCCGGGCACCGGCGGGCTGGTGGACAGCAGCGGGTTCCGTCGCGCCGAAAACTCTTTGTTTGCAGGCGAGCGGCTGTCTGAGGGCTGGCGGTCGGTGCGGGCAATTGGACCGGGGCTGAACAATCTGGGCAACACATGTTTCCTGAACTCGGTCCTGCAGTGCCTGACATACACGGCGCCGCTAGCCGAGTACCTAATGGCGCACGAGCACTCGGGCAGCTGCCGGATGGGTGACAGCTGCATACTGTGTCGGTTTGAGGCGCAGGTGACACACGCGCTGGCGAAGCGCAGCGGGTCGGCGGTTTCGCCCAAGCCTATAGTGGGGCGGCTGAAGCTGGTGGCCAAGCACATGCGGATTGGGCGGCAGGAGGACGCGCACGAGTTCCTGCGCCTGCTGGTGGACTCGTTCCAGCGCAGCCTGCTGCATGGCATTGATCCCAAGATCGACCGGCGGGTGCAGGAGACTACGCTGGTGCATCAGATCTTTGGTGGGTACCTGCAGAGCCAGGTGACGTGCAGCAAGTGCGACTACGACTCGAACACATTCGATCCATTGCTGGACATCAGCCTGGATATCCAGTCGGGCAGCTCGCTGACCAAGGCGCTGCGGGCGTTTACGCGGCCTGAGCACCTGGTGAAGGCAAACCGGTACAAGTGCGAGAAATGCAGCAAGCTGGTGGACGCGACCAAGCAGATGTCGGTGTACAAGCTGCCGCGCATCCTGACGCTGCAGCTCAAGCGGTTCTCGATCTTTGGCGGCGGCAAGATCAACCGCTTTGTCGAGTTCCCGCTGCACCTGAGCATGAAGAACTATGTCAGCAGGAATTCGCCCGAGCACGGGCCCTATGATTACAGCCTGTATGCGGTGCTGGTGCATGCTGGAGGCACATCGCGGTCGGGTCACTACTACTGCTTTGTCAAGTCGCCAGCAGGTGTGTGGTACGAGATGAATGACAGCATGGTGAGGCAGGTCAGCGAGAACACGGTGCTCAAGCAGACTGCGTACCTGCTGTTCTATGAGCGCTCGGCGAAGGGCAAGGATGGGGTGCCCGATAAGCACAAGAAGTATGCGACCGAGCCCAAGCCAGCAGTCGTTGCTGATGAGTCCAAGCCCAAGCCTAAGCATACAGCCAATGGCTCAGCCAAGGCCAGCGGCAAGATCGCTGCTGCCTCCGACGATATGGAGCTGGAGCTCGGCAAGTCCCTGGCACGCGCCAGCAAGCTCGAGGCCAAGAAGCTGCGCAAGAAGGCCAAGAAGCTGGAGAAGCAGCGCGAGAGGCAAAAGAAGGCAGTGGCGCAGGATCCCAGTCTGAAAAGTGCCTCACAGGAACTGGGCCGGCTGGCTGCACCAGCTAGTAATGCCGCACCAGCTAGTAATGCCGCACAGTCTGTCGGGCAAACGCAGGAGGCCGTGACCAAAGCCATCTCCCAGGGCATTGCGTCCGATGAGGCATCGTCCGACTGGGTTGTGCGCAATAAGCGCGGGCCGTCCGATGCTCCGGCGTCGCCGGGCAAGCGGGCCAAGACCAGCGGGCCGGGGGTCGCCGTCGTCGAGTGGGATGAGGACACAGCAAGCAAGCGCGCCAAGGCCACGGCGCTGGCCGAGCTAAAGTCGTCCAAGTGGAGCGTCAAGGAGATGCGTCTGAACCGCAAGTCGCAGTATGGCGCGGCTGTCTCGTCGTGGGATGGCTCGGAGGCAGCGCCGACCGAGACCGACCGCAAGCACAAGAGCAAGAAGATGCACCGGCCTGACACTTGGAATGCCGAGTACGACCGCGGCCGTGTCAAGAAGGTCAAGAAGGGCAAGCGCAAGGTGTTCACTGACACCATCAACCCGTTCCAGGTGCTGGGCGAGCGCCAGTCGGCCAAAAAGTGAGCGCTCTTAGATGATCTGTAATACACTGGAGATTTGATTTGCGATAAGCAGGCAGAGAGATTTGTGTCGGGGAGGCCATAGCTGGACTGCCAATTGGCAGCACCCCCCTTTTCACCTCCAATTCACTCTGTGTCTGTTCTCCATTTACATATACTAGAAGGAAATGCTGTCACGTCTGGCCACCCAGCGCATTGCGCTTCGCAGTATTGCTCGCCCGTCGGCGATTCCCACTCTGCGTTTCAAATCTACCCACATTGAGGCTTCCGAGGTGCCTGAGTCGGCAGTTCAGCAGGCGCCGAACCGCGACACCACCTGGACCGAGAGCCAGAACCCGCGCTCGACATTCGTCGAGGACCCGCGCTTTATCGGCATTGATTTCGACGGCCAGCCGCGTCCGATGGCTGCCATTGACCTGGTTGCTGAAGAGCCGGTGCGTCAAATCGAGGGCCGCCTGGCGTGCTGCGACGGCGGAGGCGGTGCCATGGGCCACCCGCGTGTGTGGATCAACCTGGACGAGGGCCACCCGCAGAGCTGCGGTTACTGTAAGTTGCAAATGCCTGGTGTCTGGCACTGTCCGTGTGCATGTCTGTTTTGTGTGTGCTAATTTCATTGCTTTTCCCGTGTGTATTATGTAGGCGGCCTGCGCTTCCAGATGAAGCCCCACCACCACTAAGTCTTTCTATTTTTGTTTCTGCCAGTTTCTCTGAAATATACACCCAACACCGCCCGCCTCTGCCCAAACATATGTCAGTGATGCTGTGACCGCCGCTTGGAATTGCGATCATGCTGGGGTCACGTGTAGTGCGCTCAGCTGTTGTGTGTTTTTGTATAGTAAGGTCGCTCCAAAATACCCTGCTGCTGGCACCTTGCACGCTGCTGCATTTCTCTACACTCTTACTTTTAATCGACACCTGCTTCCTTTTTTTTTTTTTGCAAATGTCGGCATCATCATACGCATACTTGTTCAAGTATATTATCATTGGCGACACAGGCAAGTACTCTGGAGAGCCGTGAGCATGAGGCTACCGGGAGCGCAGCTCAGCTGGCAGGAAACGAGAGCGCCACGGTTGGACCTTGCAAGAGACACACGCAAACTAACCAGCACCAGCCGTGTATCCCACCTGTAGGAGTTGGAAAGGTAAAGGACGCTCGCTGACAGACTCCGTAGCAGCGCTGGCAGAAAGCGAAAACAAAAACCTCAACAGGGCTAATGGCATCTCCCGCGTATTGCGTCTTTCCTTACTTTTGTTGTAGTCATGCCTGCTGCTGCAGTTCACAGACCACCGGTTCCAGCCCGCGCACGACCTGACTATCGGCGTGGAGTTTGGGGCGCGCCTGGTGACGGTAGACAACAAGCAAATCAAGCTCCAGATCTGGGACACGGCCGGCCAGGAGTCGTTCCGCAGCATCACACGCAGCTACTACCGGGGCGCCGCCGGAGCGCTGCTAGTGTACGACATCACGCGCCGCGACACATTCGACCATCTGGCGACGTGGCTCGAGGACGCCCGCCGGCACTCAAACGCCAACACGACAATCATGCTGATCGGCAACAAGTGCGATTTGGAGGCGAAGCGCGCGGTTGCGCGCGAGGAGGGCGAGGCGTTTGCGCGCGAGAACGGGCTGTATTTCATCGAGACCTCCGCCAAGACCGCCATTAACGTCGAGGAGGCCTTTGCCCAGACCGCCGAGGACATCTACGAGAAGATCCAGCAGGGCGTGTTTGATGTGACCAGCGAGTCGAGCGGCATCAAGCTGGGCCCGTCCCAGCCCGGCATCTCGTCCATGCCCAACATGTCGCAGGCTAACGGCCGGGCATGCTGCTGAGGTCAAAAGCCGCTCAGCGCTCTCCGGTATATGAGCCTGTCTTGTCAGATTTTTTTTTGGGATCACTTAACCCCTAATGCCCCTCGAATATACCCGAATACCATTGTCTGACCCAGCGCCAGCTGAAATCGCCTCGATATTCCATATATACGTATCTTTCTCGCCACTTTGTCTTGAATAACCATGAGCGCTTCGACGTCAAAGAGTAAGGCGGACATGTCGGCACAGGAGCTGCGGGCTCTCGAGGAGGAGGAGTTCAACAGCGGTCCGCTGTCGGTGTTGCAGATGGCCGTGCGCAACAACACACAGGTGCTGGTCAGCCTGCGCAACAACCACAAGCTGCTGGCGCGCGTCAAGGCATTCGACCGCCACTGCAACATGGTGCTCGAGAACGTCAAGGAGATGTGGACTGAGACGCCCAAGGCTGGGAAGGGCGTCAAGCGCGCTGCCGCCATCAACAAGGACCGGTTCATCAGCAAGATGTTCCTGCGCGGCGACTCGGTCATTGTCGTTCTGCGGAGCACTGCGTAGCGGGCCCACGCTCAAGAGTAACCCTCGTCGTCGCAAAACCAATACATTCAATAAACAACTACACCGTAGAGTGGCATTTTATTTTGAAACCAACAAGGTTCCCGAACCGGGAAGGCGAAGTTTAGGCGACAGTACCCGAGTTGGAGGCAATACGCGGCCAGAGATCGGCGCACTCCTTACCGACGGGGCCGGTAATGGCAGAGCCCTTCATCTCACCCTTCGGGTTGACGATGACACCGGCGTTGTCCTCGAAGTACAGGAAGACACCATCCTTGCGGCGCCACGACTTGCGCTGGCGGACGACGACAGCGGGCATGACCTTCTTGCGGAGATCGGGCTTACCCTTGCGGACAGTGGCGATGACCATGTCTCCGACACCGGCGGCGGGCAGGCGGTTAAGGCGACCCTTAATGCCAGCAACAGCGATGATGTTCAGGTTCTTGGCACCCGAGTTGTCAGCGCAGTTGATAACGGCGCCAACGGGCAGACCAAGGGTCATACGGAATTTGTTTCCAGAGGCTCCTCCGCGTCCTACAGGTTGTGCAAAGTTGCAAGATGCAAATGGAGAGGGGAGAACGAATTTAGAGAAATCTGCCATGCCATCCCCTTCCCGAATTTGTCTTCATTGGCAAACGGCCACCGCGGTCCTCCTCCGTTTTCGCCACCCCAAGCGGTTCTGCGCTCCGTCTCGCTCTGCCGCGATTCACATCTGCCGCGATGGATACGCCGATATTCCGGGACTATGATACGTACCACGCTTCGACATGATTGAAATGTATTTATCTGAGGTGTTCAGAAAGAAAGGGCGAATCCAAGGCTTAGCGACAAGCGCACCCAAGTTTGCCTTTCCCAGCAGCTAGTCGAATGGCTGGAGCCGGAATTTCGAGGCTCGCCCACAGCACTGATTGTGATCCGCAGATCAGTAATTCGCGGCTACAGCGTGATCGATCAGGCCACTTTCGCATGTTCCCACACCCTCACCGGTCTCACGTGCTGGTCAAGGATAATTAGGAAATGCCCCGCCCCGCGCACGCATTCTGGCTCCAGCGTGCCTGTCTGGCGTGCCTGCCTGCCTGTTGCGGAGCGCTCAGCCCTTTCCCTGGACTGATATTGCCTGCCAATTTGCCCTCTGCCGACACTCCCACGCATCTCTCCTTCACTCCCGTTTTCTGCTCCAAACCATGCTTTTCTCTACGCGTCTTCTCAAGGGCATAGCGGCTGCTGCCACCATCATTGTCGCGCAGGCAGCCGGCGCCACAGCACAGCACAACAATGTCGACGAGTTTGGCGTGCCCATCAACGCCGACGGCACCATCATCCCTGAGCGGGGCATCAAGGAGATTGCCAAGGCTGAATTCGTCGAGTTCCTCGACAGCAAGTCGGAGAGCCTGCTGATTCAGTTCTACGACACCGACATTGACGAGTCCAAGGCCGCGATGGAGGAGTACGAGGTGTTTGCCGAGAAGGCAGCTGTCAGATACCCAGACCTGGTGGTGCGCAAGGTCAACTACAAAAAGGACAACTACCTGACTGCGCGGCTGCTCCTGATGCAGTAAGTACACCCTGGCACTGCCAGACCCCGCCACGAACCAGGTGTGCAAGAAAAGGCATAGCAGCTGAACTCCCGACTCTGCATGGGCTGCTTTATTCTGTAGGATTCCAGAGCTCCGTCTGCTCATCAAGGGTGAAGGTAAGCAGCACATTTGCACGGCGTGCACCGCTGGTACCGCCGGAAGGGGAAGACCCCGCTGCGAACGAACGAGCGCGCGCCAAATCATCGTCGCCTATTTTTGGACCGTTGGAAACCTGAATTCGCCCACTGCCCGTGCATGTTGCGACGCTGTTTTGTCTTTCTCACGAACATGATGGACATCCCTCGGCTCTGCCCATCGATGGCGATCGGACTTGCGTTTCCCCACCACCAAATCAGAGAGACCCGCGGCTAATCGGCTTCCGTCTTTCTGTTCTGTAGATGGCCAATGGTCTGCGTACGGCCCGGAGATGGAGGACTTTTCGGCGGAGGAGCTGTTCGAGTACCTGGACAACCAGCAATGGCTGCTTGATCCCCCGATTGGCGATGCGCGCCAGGCGTACTGCTCGCCCTTTAACTTCTGGTAAGCAGCAGCAGCAGCAGCAGCAGCCCGTGGAGAAACAACATATCATGCGACGCGGTCTGTTTGCTAACCAATCTGTATTTGAATTTGTGTAGTGGTCGCACGCTGGCCTGGATTGCGGATTCAGCCAGCTTCCTCGAGGACATCATCCCGCTGCCCAAGTGGCTCGCGATCGTCATCATCCCAGCCGTGATCACCTTTGCTGGCCGCTTCATCATCGAGGCCATGTACGGTGCTGAGGAGGTTGTGCGCGACTCGATCAGGTCTCTGTCTGGCAAGGACAAGAAGAAGAAGAAGAAGGTAAAGGTGGTCAAGGAGGAGGCCGCTGAGGAGGCTGGCGCAGCCAAAGACAAGGACGAGAGCAAGAAGACGCAATAGCGCATCCAAGGCATTTCCCAGTAATCATTTCCCCTATGTTTGACTACGCTAATAATCTTTTACATCTGCACCACCATGCGCGCTAGCCTGCACTTGCCAGGGCAATATCAGCACAGGATCCATTTTCATATTTTATTTTTGTACCATAATCTGGCTGTGGGTCCTGGCAGGTAGTCCTGAAATCGCTGGGCGAGGAGATTGGGGGAAAAATCGAACAAACAAATCCAAAAGCGCGCATTATCAGCTTAGAGTTCACCCATCCATTGGTGTCCTACTTCGTTCCAGCTCGCGAGATTGGCCAAGGTTAATCAACCACGGCGCGGGCATTTAAAACCATTGCAAGTGACCGCTAGGGAGGAATTGTGATGACCGAATTGCCCAAAACTCCATATCCACACCACAACAAAAGACTACAAGAGACCGCGAGAGAGGGGCAGCTGGGCCAGGCCCGTCTGTCCGAAGCAATGCCGCCGAGCGCGCGTGCCTCCTTCTCCGCCAGAGCGCTAGCAAGGCGCCATGATGGGGGAGAAATTGCCCTCTCTCGCGCCAGAGCGGTTTGGGGGAGCAAATCCAGGAACTGCCGCTTCTGGGATCTAGGCTCCAGCGGTTTTCCGTCAGAGAAGCGCCTCTCTTCTGCCTAGCGCATTATTTTTATATCTGGCACTTGCCTGCTTTCCGTACTAGATAATGAGACTGTTTGCATTACTGCCCGCCATAGCCATTGCGATCTGGAGCACCGCGGCCCTTGGCCAGGATGCCGCTGCAAGCGACGAGCTCGAGGGCGCAGAGTCCACGGTCGGCCAGACCATCAAGGCGGTCCCCAAGGCCGACGGCATCGTCGAGTTCAACAGGACAACGTACCTGGATGCACTGAAGACGCACGACACGGTCCTGCTCGAGTTCTACGCCGACTGGTGCGAGGCCTGCCACTACCTGTCGTCCGAATTCAACCGGTTTGCCGAGACAGCACAGAAGGAGCACCCGGAGGTGCTGATTGCCCGCGTCGATATCTCGGAAGTCGAGTACCTGGCGTCGAGCTACCTCATCGACACGCTGCCCGAAATTGCCTTCCTGAGGCGCCCGCAGCCCGGAGCCACCCATGAGGTGCGCTTTGTGTCGGCTGAGTTCAGCGAGCCTGCGCTGATAAAGTACATTGAAGGCGAGTGGGTAAAGGACAAGCCTGTTGGCGGATACAAGACGGTGTGGTGCACGCCTGTCAACCTCTGCGGCCATCTTGGCGGCAAGATCGGCGAGAGTGTCGTCTACTTGGACGCAAACTTCAACACCTTCAATATGCCGCCCTGGGCCTTCATGGGCATTGTTGTCACCTTGCTCTATGCCGTTGGCCAGATTCTCGTCATGTTCCTGGGCCGTCTGACCCGCCGCAAGCACCGCGAGCGCATCTACAAAAAGTACGACAAGGCACCAGGCATTGTTGGCTTCGACGAGTACAGATCGGATCTGCCCAAGAAGGACGCCGATGCAGCGCCCAAGAAGAGCGCCAAGGCGCACAAGGGTAGCAAGCCGAAGAAGGCCAAGAAGGACTAGGCGCCGTCACTGTCTCCAGTAGATACCGTTTTAATAGAAAAGACATGCATAGTAGAATTCAAAGGCCGTCTAGGCAGACTTGGTCGTGGCCGCAGCTGCCTTGGGCACGGATGGCTCGACATCGGCCTTCTCCTTGGCCTCGCTAGCCTTCTCGGCCTCCCGGTTCTCGATCTTGTTGTTGATCAGGTCATGCAGCGCAATGATGGCGCGCGCCATCGACGACACATAGATGAGTGCATACTCGTCGTTGGTCTGCACTGTGAACGCCGGCGCATCCTCAGGAATGGCCAGGTTGGGCAGGAGGTTAAAGATGTCCTGCAGGTTCTGGATGATCTCGCCGTTGACCGGTAGCTGGTCGTCCAGCACCTTTTGCAGATACACGCGCACCTCTGTGAGCCGCTCCGCCAGTCCGCGCAGTGACGTCAGCTGGTGGGTGACGCGCGTTGCAAGCGTGCCCGTTGCGTTGTCCTTGATGTCGCGCAGCAAGTGCTCCACACCAATCTCCTCGGCCTCTTCCGCTGTAATCTCGGATGGCACATGCTCGAACGTCTTTGTCGCCGCTGTGCCATCGTCGTGGATCTCGTCCACCGCAAAGTATGCGTTGGTCGGAATACCAATGTCCTTGGGCTGCACGTCAATCACCACCAGGACAGGGTTCGCTGTGTACCGCTTGAACAGCTCGTTGATCTGCAGGTCCGATGACCGCAGCTTCGGCCCGTTGTGGTACCACCCGATCAGCTTCTCCTTTGCGTTGACCTTCTTGAACATGTCGCGCATCGTCTCCACGTAGTTGTGGTCCAGGAACCACACTGATGGGTTCTTTTCGTCCTCCTCAAAGGGAACTACACAGGTAACGCAATGGTGTCAGCTATTTGGTGTGCCGCGCATTACGCAAAACCGCCACTCTGCCTCTCCGACTGCTTACCCGCAAAGCTGTTGGCCACATTGACCGTGTTGCCCTCGACCTGTCCGAGCAGCACTCCAACAACCCGCTTCTTTGTGTTCTTCGCAACGCGATTGTAATGATCTACTACTGACAGCAGCACCAGCGGGTGCACCTCGACCTTGGTCGGATTCGCAGCAGTCTCGAGTGCAGGCATTCTACTGTATATTGGGAAACAGGCGTGGTGTATGAAAAAATGAATTCGAAAGCGCAGAGACGAGAATGCTGGTCGAAATTGGAGCGTCCAGCTGGTAGCAGCTGGTTGCGTAGACGCATCTTCAAAGTGTACGTCACTGATTACTGGTGATCCCCGATCACATGTAGGATTAGCCATGCCGCCTAATTATGCCTGGCCGAGCGCACATTGTGGCAGAAGCACCAGGTTTCGGCACATGGTAGCAGTCCCGTGTGGTCTTCAATTGGGCTGTTCAGCGAAAGTACGTGCGCTCTTTGTACTGGCATCGATGCTCAGATGTTATCTGAACTGCCGTAATAGCATTGAAAGGCGCATCGGCATGTATCGGCTCCTGGATAACCGCCAATTATCAGCTGACAATAGCTCCAGGGACAGTGGCCCGGAGCAGACAGTTGCGACTATTGCCGAGTGCGTAGAGCGTTTTCAGCACCAGCTATAAACAAAGTGTCTGAATGCAGCCATCATCCCCCACAAACCTCGGCAGCCATGGCAAGGCAAGGTGGCAATCGGTTGGACTGGCCACCCATCCAATAGCACACCCTTTTTCTCAAATTTCCATGTTGGAATGCGTGCATGTGAGCGCAGATCCCTCTACCCGTAGCGGCTCTACAACAAGTGTTTCACAAGTGACCTTGCCTCTGGCAGCTGCAGTAGGGAAGGGTGTGGGGCTGGCTGTCGGCGCGCTATAAATGCACGCACAGAGCCGACCTCGTACTGCTTTCCCTAAATCCCAGCAACAATCCCATTCCATTACTCCTCAACATGCCTGTTTCGTCCACCTACCAGAGGCTTGATGTTCCCAACGTCGACTTGCCGTCGTACTTCTTTGGTACCGTGAAGAAGCAGACAGTGTACGGACAGAAGCCCCACCTGCCATTTCTGATCAGCGAGTCAAAGACGCTGTCATTTGCTGATCTCGAGAAGCTCACCCATGGAATTGCCTCTGGCCTGTTCAACAGCGCTGGTCTGAAGAAGGGCGATACGCTGCTGGTCGTCCTCCCAAACAACATCTACTACCCTGCAGTCACCCTGGCAACGCAGATGGTCGGTGCTGTGGTCAGCACCGCCAATCCGCTGTACACTGCGCGCGAGCTTGCCCACCAGATCGAGCTGACCGGCGCAAAGATGGTGGTCTCGATTGATGCCAAAGTCCCCGTCGTCAAGGAGGCCGTGCGTCTTGCCAACTCGCCTATTCCTGACAGCCTCATTTTCACTTTGGACGGTACCAATCGGATCTTCGACATTATATCTCCAAAGCCCTTCCCGCGCGTCTATCTACGCACCGAGGAGGAGACAGCGAGTGCGCTTTCATTTATCGTGTTTAGCTCTGGCACCAGCGGCAAGCCCAAGGGCGTCATGCTGAGTCACAGGAACATCGTATCCAACATCGTGCAGAACATGAGCTTCGAAGACGCCGACGAGTACCTGACTGCAAGGTTTTCGGGCATCGAAGAGACACCCCACATGATCGCCGTCCTCCCGTTCTTCCACATCTACGGCCTGACATGCATTCTTCACTTGCAGCTGTGCCAGGGGCGCCCACTTGTGATCATGCCCCAGTTCGACCTTGAAAAGTTCTGCCAGCTAGTGCAGCAGTACCGCTGCCGCGCTGCCCACCTGGTGCCGCCTATTATCCTCGGTCTGACCAAGAGCCCGATTGTCAAAAAGTACGACCTGTCGAGCTTCATTTTCGTCAACAGTGGAGCTGCTCCACTGACCAAGGAGCTGCAGCAGGAGGCACAGAAGGTCCTGGGATTCCCGATTTGCCAGGGATACGGCCTGTCCGAGTCGAGCCCGGCCATCACCCGTGTCCCCCCATCAAATGTTGTGTATGGATCGTCGGGCCGCCTGGTGCCGAACATGGAAGCCAAGGTTATTGACGACGATGGCAAGGAGGTTGGTCCTGGTGAGGTCGGCGAGCTGTGCTACCGCGGTCCTAACATCATGCTGGGGTATTTGAAGAACCCGGCTGCTACTGCCGAGACCCTGGACTCTGAGGGCTATCTCCATACCGGAGATGTTGGCTATATCGACAAGGACGGCTACAATTTCATCACCGACCGCAAGAAAGAGCTGATCAAGTACAAGGGCTTCCAGATCCCGCCTGCCGAACTCGAGGGTCTGCTTGTTGACCATCCAGCGATTTTGGACTCAGCAGTCATTGGCATCTACGACGATGTGCAGGCAACCGAGGTTCCCAAGGGATTCGTCGTTATCAAACCCGATGCCAGCAAATCGGGCGTTGTTGACGAAATTCACTCATGGCTGAACTCGCGCGTCACTCATTACAAGCGGCTGCGCGGTGGAATTGAGGTCATCGATGCCATTCCCAAGTCAGCAACCGGAAAGATCCTCCGGCGTATCCTGAAGGAGCGCGAGTCGCAGAAGCGCAAGGCCAAGCTTTGATGTCGCCGTAGATGCTATATCCATTCATGATGGTAGGCTATGTGCTGACATGTAGAAAACCATCCCGCCTGCCGCGTAGATATACGAGATAGCAGCTGTGAATAATTAAAACGGAAATTTAATAAACAAGGAGCAGAACCGGAGAAACGAGAGAGAAAGAGAGCAAAGTAGGAAGGTGGTCATAGGCGATATATATGTTCAGGAACTCACAGATGCACACTCAATTCTGGTTAGCGATTGCAAACGAGTTCTCGTTCACAACGGACAGACGTGTGCCTTCGGCACCGTTGACAGTGCTGGAGTCTGGCCGGGCCATTGGCAGATCCAATGCGACATCCTCCAGCTGGATAGCATTGCTGGGACCATCGCCTGCCAACTCGGCTTCAATCTGGGCATACTCCTGGTCGCTATCTACCTCGTTCTCCTCCTCTTCGATAATGCCACCGGCATTGCTCTGAACGCCAGTGCCACGACGCGCCCTGAACATGGGCCCTCTTTCTGAAATCGTCAGCCTACGGGAAAGATACGGTTCATTGCTATCGCTATCGTCGATTACACGCGTATGGCGCATGTTGTTGCTGGCCGCCGACAAGGTCTCTCGGTCAGTGCGTAGGCGTCTAAACGTGACGCTTGGACGGCTATTGCTTCCAGCCACAGTGGTCGTGGCACCGTCCGACGATGACGCAAGGTCACTCGGGTGCTTTGAACTGCCGTCAGCAGACCGCAGAATCTTGTCAATTGGGTTGGCTATCGATCCCAGAGGGTTGACAGATGAGCCAGGACGAGACGCGTCGGCACTGGGGCGGATGCCGCGCGCAATGATGGTGGCTTTTTCGTCTTCGACGTACTCGTCGTTTGGGTAGTAGTCGGAGCTCCTGCTGCCTTCGGCATAGCTCTTGACCATTGAGCGGATACGGTTGCGCGCAGCATTTGCCCGCGCATTCACTCGGGAGTTGGCTCTGGGCCGCTTGGATACCAGCTTCCAGCACTCGCGACTCAAATAGTACAGCGCTATGGCTCCAACAATCACAAGAAGGGCCATTTGGATACCCATGACGCCTTTGGTCTTGCCAGTGGCCTCTATGTACCAGTGGACATCTAGGTCCTCGCGTGAAATGCCGTCAGGTGAGTACGTGTCGACGAAGGTCTCTCGCTTGATGTCGTAGAAATAGATGCCCTCGTCTCCTTGGTTACCCAGGAATCCGTTTGTGATGATGAGGTAGTGACCTAGTGTTTTCATATCGTGCGCGTACCTTTCTGTCGGCGCACCAGGAGTCGGCATCCGTTTCCACGTCCATGTCGAAGTATTGAGCATGTACAGGTCATTGTACAACATCCCCCAGTTGGACACATTGACTCCACCAAATATGAACAGCGAGTCCTTGTAACGCGAGCCAGGCATCGCGCCGCGCCCAGGCGGGACTTGGCCACCGCACTTGTGCGTAGACCAAGTGCGTGTATCGACGTCATATGCGTGTATTTTGTCCATCGGGACATTGGTGGCAGTGTTGGTGTCCTGCTCCCAAACGCTGCCTCCAACAATAACCATATCCTTGTCGTTGAAAATAACCGCAGCATGCTGGTTAACTTGCGAAATACCAGCAGGCGGAGCCTCGCCATCATCCTCCTTGATGGTGCTGGCCTTGACTGGCGTGTCATCCTTACCGAGAATCCTCGCATAGTGCGAGTGCCGGTAACTGTCAAGGACCATCCGGATCGGGTTAGTCCAGCGTGCAAAGCCCTGTCCGTTGGTGGTTTCGTCGCTGGCGCCTCCGAAAATAATCATGTCGCCCGAGCGCTCCTGCAACACAGCCGTGTGTGTATACCGCCGCGGCGCGCTGTCAATAAATGTCGATGCGCCCCATGCCTGGTACATTGAGCAGAACACCGACATGCGGTTGACCGCCGAAAAGCCCACCACGGTCTGCCCGCCATACGGCACGATGACATGGTTCAGGCGGTCGTATACAGACGAGTGCTGCGCTAGCGGTGGCATCGTGAATTGCGATGACGAGCGCAGGTCCTTCCAGAATGGGTCTTTTCTGTCAATAGACTTGGTCACGTCGACGCACCGGTGGTCTATGAGGAAGTCGGTCAGGTTAGTGCCTGTGCTATGCGACTTTCCGCCGTATACGCATAGGTGCCCGTTGACAATCTCTGACTTGTGGTGGAACCGAGGTACTGGCTTCAGGTGGGCCTCAGCGGCCCCCACAAGCAGTAGCGCCATGTACGCTAGCGACGCTAGGCTGAAGCTTGCACCAGGCATAGTGATGCTGGCGGTCTGTGGGGGAATAAAAAGCAAAGAGCGTAAAATAGAGTGCGAGAGAACTAGAGAAAAGAAGGCAAAGAGAGCAGGTGGCCAGGGAGGAGACAAAGGGGGAGAGATGACATGCGTTGCGATGCACTCGCTTTGTTGCTGCCAAAAAGAGGAGGAACAGCGCATGGGCATTATTTCTTTTGCCCCTTTAATCCCTGGCGAAAACTGACAACCCTTTCTAAATTTAGCAAAGACAGTGTCAGAAAATCAGAAACTCGGCGAGGCCGATCCCAACAAGCCATGAGCCATTCGCTGGCACCCGAGCTGCTGAAGTATCACACGAGCAGACATACGCGGTATGTACCGACCGATATGCTCATGTAGGACCCCTCTATATATGTAAGCATGTTGGAAAATGTAATTTACTGAAGAAAAATACGGGTTTGATGGTGGTGGAGCTGTATGGCTTGTCCACACATTACCCGATTTAGTGCTTGCGACGGGTACGAGGCTGGGCAATGCGACGGCCCTGGCTGGTGTTGGACGCGTTTGAGCCATTGCCCGATCGGCCCATCGCAAACCCGCCAGCGCCAGCAACACTGCCAGAGCTGAAACCGCCGAGTCTCTGGGCTGGTGTAGCCGAGCTGCTGGCCTGCCCCATGCCGAATGCCGGGGCGTTTCCGCCCATAGCCTGCTGGTTCGGCTGGGCACCAAAGCCAAATCCACCCGACACCGGCGTGCTACCCGACTGGAAGTTGGCCATCGGCGCGCCAGTGTTTGACTGCGTGCCAAATCCAGCACCGCCGCTGGGCTGGCCAAACGACGGCGCCGTGTTGCTTCCCTGGCCAAATCCAGTGTTGGCTCCAAACGCCGGCGTAGCGTTGCCCGAACCGAAGCCAGCACTGGGCGGTGCCCCAAATGACGGCGTCGCGGTACCGGAGCCAAAGGCAGGCGCTGCGTTGTTAGCCTGCCCAAATGGCGATGCTGTAGTGCCTGCCTGACCGAATGACGGTGCTGCGGTGGTTTGGGCCGACGACTGGCCAAACGAAGTCACGGCAGCAGCAGCAGCAGCAGTGCCAAATCCGCCAAAAGTCTGCGCAGGTGCTGCCGAGGGCTGAGTAGAGGTTTGGCCAAATGCAAAGCCGGTGTTGCTGCCAGTGGCCGCGCCGCCGGTGCTGCTACCAAAAGTGAATCCACCCGAGGCAGGTTTCTGTGCCGTAGTGCCCGACGAGGTACCAAACGCAAAACCGACAGACGGCTTGCTCTCAGCAGCGGTTGCAGGAGCACCACCACCAGTGTTGCTGCCAAACGAAAATCTGGTCGAGGGTTTGGCTTCAGCAGCCGGCTTGGAGCCAAACGCGAAACCACTTGTAGGCTTGTTGTCGCTGGCAGGTGTGCTGCTGCCGAATGCAAAGCCAGGCGTGGCGGGCTTCGTCGTTGCCGGAGTTGCACTGGAGCCAAATGCGAAGCCGCCTGTCGTAGGTGTACCTGTCTCGCCGGGCTTGCTGCCACCAAATGTGAAGCTCGTCGATGTAGCTGCGGCTGGCTCAGAAGGTTTGCTGGTACCGAATGAAAATCCACTCGTGGTAGGCGTAGTGGTCACGGCAGGCTTGTTGGCACCAAATGCAAAGCCGGTCGGAGCAGTCGTTGCTGCCTCGGTAGGCTTGTTAGTACCAAACGAGAAGCCGCTTGTAGCAGCTGGCTTGCTATCAGCGGTAGCTGCACTGGCACCAAATGCAAAGCTGGTCGGAGCAGTCGTCGAAGCAGCCGTAGTTGTTTCAGCAGGCTTGCTAGCAGCGAACGAGAAGCCACTTGTAGCAGCAGGTTTGCTATCAGCGGTAGCTGTACTAGCACCGAATGCAAAGCTGGTTGGAGCAGTTGTCGGAGCAGTCGTCGCTATCTCAGCAGACTTGGTACCGAACGAGAACCCACTCGCGGTAGCTGGCTTGCTATCAGCGGCAGACGTGCCAGTGCTGCTGCCAAAGGCAAAGCTAGTCGGTGCGACCTTCTTTTGCGCAGAGCTCGTGCCAAACTTGAATCCACTCGCTGCTGGAGCATCCACATCGGCAGGCTTGCTTGTCTCAGTCGGCTTGCTAGCACCAAAGGCAAAGCTAGAGCCGGTGCTGGCAGCTGGCTCCGTCTTGGTAGCAGCCGATGACGATGGATCAGAGGCGAATTGGAACGGCGTCTTCTTCTCCTCCGCCTTGGTGGTGGCATCGAAGGCAGGGGTAGAGGGAGTGCTGGTCAAGGATCCAAATGCGAAAGCAGGCTTCTTGGCTGTGGGCTCATCGTCATTTTTGGTCGAGGCAATGCTGAACGCGCCAGTCGAGGCCAGAGCAGTCGCTGAAGCTGCTGCAGTCTCTGCGGCACTGGTTGTGACTAGCGGCTTGCCAGCACCAAATAAGCCGAGCGAAGGAGCAGCAGCTGTGGTCGTCAGGTCGATAGTCTTCACAGGAGCGGCCATACCGGTGCTGGCTGCAGTGCTTGATCCGAATGCAAAGCCTGACGACTCAGAGGCCGACGGAGCCTTGCCGAATGAGAACCCAGTCGATGGCGCTGGCTTATCCACAGCCTCCTTGACGGGCTCAGTGGTCAGCGTTGAACCAAACGGGCTCGTCTTGGACAAGGGCGCGGCAGCAGCGGTCTCTGTAGGAGCAGCAGTGGTGGCTGCACCAAAAGCAAACAGCGGCTTCGAAACAGCAGAATCCTTGGCAGGCTCCGCCTCGCTGTTATCGTCGTCAGCACTGCGCTTTGAGCCGAGGCGACTAAGTATGCTGCCACCAGCCGGTGTTGCAGACTCTGGCTTGTCGGCCTTGGTACCGAATGAGAATGATACCTTAGGGGGCTCAGTTGCAGCGGTAGAGGTCGCAGGAGCGGGACCAAACGAAACCGTAGGCTTTGGCACCTCGGCCGAGGCAGCAGGCTTTGCACCAAAGCTGAACGAGACGGGCGCAGCAGGCTTAGTCTGAGAAGGCACACCCGTGGCAGCAGCAGCAGCAGCAGCAGCAGCACCAAAGCTAAACGACGGCGCCTTAGCAGAGTCGTTCTTCTCTGCGGCAGGGGTTTGCTCAGTAGGCTTTGACGACACACTGCCAAGCAGACTACTGGTAGCAGGGGCAGCAGCGGGCGCGGCCTTTGCAGCAGCAGCAGCCTCAGCCGCAGCCATGTCAGCCTTGTACTTTTCCAGCTCCTCCCGTGCCCCGACCTTCAGCGGCTTGCGATCAATACCGAAGCAACTCAGATGCGCAGGGATGTACTCGGTTGGCCGCGGCGGCTTTGTCTCCACAGGCTGAGGCGGGCGCAGCGATAAGCCGATCAGCTCACCGCCCCGGATCTTCTCGCGCGGCACCTTGGCCGAAACCGCCTGGCGTTCCTTGTCGCTGATGTCGCTGTCGTCAGAGTCACTGTCGTCAGAGTCCAAGCGGGCCGAGAACCGCCACTTGACCTTTCCGTCGGTAGCCGACATGGCCCGTCCAACGTAGCCCAGCCGACGGCGCCGCGCGTACTTCAGGCGCCGCTGCCTCGAAATCTCTGCCTCAATAACGGCGGCTTCTTCGTTCTCTTGCTCTTTGCCGGTTACCTTGGCTGCCTTGTCACCAGTAACACGACGGCGCTTGACCCTCTTGCGGCCAGGCCCACTTGTGCGCAGACGACGCACGCCTGCCAGCTGGGGTGGCTCCTCCATGTCCTCGGACTCGAACATGTCCTGGTCAGAAAAGTCTTCGGCGGCGTCCTCAACGATCGGCTCCTGCTCGACCACAGGCTCATTGGCTTGGACTACATCGTCCTCACTGTATGCCATGGCGTTGTTCACCCGTTGGCTCAAGGCAACCCGCTCAGCAACTGCCTTGCGCGACTGCTGCATTTGGATGGCACGTGCCAGGCTCGGAACCGCGGTTTGCCGGCGAGACAGCTCGCGCAGACCCATAGTCCTCTGCATCGCCTCTGCCTTGCGACTGGCAGCACTCGCATGGGCTGGTCGTCTCGTGGGCCGAGCTGACATGCTATCCATGGTCATAGTTGACACTGGCAGACGGCGCAGGGGCATTGGCATAGCCCTATTCCCCGGCTGCATCTGGGCTGCGCTATCGCTTGCCAGGCCACCCGCGGCTGAGTAGCTGCGGGCATTCTGGACTGGTGTGCTCATCGCATTAATGTTTTCAAGCAGGCGCTGCACATTGCCCCGAGTCGCTCCAGCAGACATGTTCTGGTAGGAGGAAGCTGGTACCGCAATTAGGCGTGACGAATCCGTCCAGCCTGCTGTATGCCGCCGCAGCCGCAGCGGATGACGCTTCTGCCCCGGCTCCACAAACCGCAGCTTTGCGATTGTTGGCTTAACGACTGCTACGCGCCGGTCGTATGTAAGCGGCGGTACGTCGTAAGCTCCCCTGGCCAAGTTGGCGTGGTGGGCCACTGCAGCCGGCTGCTGCGCAGATGTGTCATTGGCCTCTGGTGCCGGCTCCGGTACAACGCTGGGCTCTGCCTGCGTGGTGCCATCCGTGGCGGATTCAACTACTTCCGCTCGCTCCACCCCAGTAGCGTTTGCGCTGTTCGGTACTGTCTCGCCCTTTGCTGTCTCGACCGCCGATGTGGAACCAGTTGTGGCCTCTGGTGTAATCGCTGCACCCCACAAGCGCGAAACAAGGCTTTTCATTCCCTTCAAAAACCCTGCTTTTGCTGGAGTCTTGTACGTCTCCTTGGCCGAGTCGGCCCTGCTGTAGGGCTTCCTCACACGCCCAGCCAGCGCTCGCCGTTGATTACGAGCCGCACCGTGCGGGTGATCTGACGTGTGCAGACCAGGCGTTGCTGCATTAGACATTATTCCCTGCGACGTCGAATTCAATGGGTAGTGGAAATATAGATTTAGAGGGGTAGTGTCAACACAAAAGTAGGTGGCTACGAGCTTGCACGAATACTAGCAACCGGCGTTCGTTGAAAAGTGAATAAGAGGATAAAAAGAGGCAAAATTCTTTGTGAAGAGAAGGAACCCAAGCGTCAGCTCCCAGCAACACCACCAAATGGCCACTGAAAATTTTCTGCTGGATTCAAAATGGCTGCATTGTCTCGTTCGGCAAAGCCCAGATCACTGATCCGCACTAATCGACCGATCCAGCGTGATCACTGTCTTGCCGACAACGTAAGCTGGAAACGTGTCAAGCGGGTCTTCGCATCGCTACGTTGGGCGCACTTGGAGCACTGTCAGGGCTTACCAGTATATACGAGCATACTGGCCAATGCTCGAGCGGTGCAGTTATGGATACGCCAATGGTATATCTCTTTGTTAGCAAGAAAAAAACTGCTTTGTTACGAGTCCAGCAAGGCGAGCCCCACGGTTCCATGTCTGGATTCAGGTATATCAAGGAAACCCAATGAATAAACCCAATGGTAATTTGGTGGCCATAGCGCACTGCTGCCTATTATAATATCTACAAGTAATACGTATGGAAGAATATTGATTCTCACTGAACCCACCAGTTGTGTGGATATATGCTCTCATGTTGTATTCGAAATAGGGAGTGGGATATTACATATATCTACATGCCGCCATAGTGCTCGAACAGACATATTCATGCTTTACAGTGGCTGGTATATATACGAAATTATCTTCCTATGGATCAACCTTCAAAGCATAAGAGGTGAGGAGTGTACCGGTTCCCCAGCAAACTTCTAGTCAAATGATACTCTATCCCTACTGGCCTTTCACCCATTTGCAAAAAATCATTTACACTTCACCGCTCCAGTGACGAAGAGAAGGTATTCTAGTGCGCCAAGCGAATCGTAGGCGAAGGTGGCCATTGGTAGCTGCAGTGTAGCAAGTCTCTATTCTCAAAGTCACCACCCTTGGATGATAGAAAGGGTGACTTCTAGCTACTAGCAACACCAGCATATGGCTCATGCTTTTACAGCATATTTATTTAACCAAGAAATGTTGGCAATAAGTTATTCCTGCTGAGGTGCCAAAGAGATATCAGATTGCCATGGGCAGTCTGGGTGTTTTGAGGCTTCGCAGGTAAACACAAGACCAGACTCGATATATATAGTGCATTGCTAATTTAGCCAAATGTTGCACTCAGATAAATGTATTGAGGTGATCAGAACAAGCCCCTTTTCTCTGTGACAGTGAGATGCACCTATAAGACCATAGATCCCACATATAGGGTCATTGGCTCAGTCGATCCTCAACCTCAGTCAATGGTGCGTCTCTCTTTTCTGACATTCTAGAGAGATGATACAGATCAGATCCCACAGCAAAGTATATGTAAAGGAGCAGGCTGTCTTTGTAGTCCGCCGATGCTCATTTACAGACAAACACAAAGATTTGCTATGACAATAAGCCCTGCTGCAGCCGGGATCATATCCTCATTTCCACCTCTGTATATGTGCACACTTTCTCTACCTAAGAGTGGCATCCTCCACTGCTACATCACGTTCACCGCCTCAATCAAGCTGCTCGAGAAGGAGAAGGGAATAGGCACTAGACAATTTCTCATTGTATCTCGGTTTGATGGTGACAACAGCAGACTCTAGGGCATCGTATGAAATTTCCTGTACAAGACAATTGTGGTTAGGTATGCAGATAGAGCCACTTAAAGTGACAATGCTAGCCGCTGGCTGTCTGGAGTTCAAGCCGCCTGGCTTTCCCTCTAAAGCTCTCCTGTGCAGACTCAGGTATTGTGCAGCAGTGTAACCAGGATGCCAGGTTGCGGCAGGGAGCACCGTGGTGGATATGGCATCTCTGTCTCTTAGCCAGGATCAATTTAATTTGATAATCGGTGATCCGCTCGAAAAATGCACGTAAACAGCTTTGACGCGTGGTTCAGCATTTGTTTTTGCCTTTCAACTGAGCCACCTTTGACTAGTTCCTTAGCTTCTGTTTTTTTTTTTTTAAATTCGTGTATGCAAGTGGGGTATCAGCGTTGAAACAATGGACAATAAAACACAGCGGCCTACAGCACGACGGAGCCCAGGCAGCGGGCAGCATACGTCCAAAACTACACCTAAGAAATCGCCAGTGCGTGGCAAATACAATGGCAAGGCAGCCGACGTGTGGGAGTTCGACGCGCCGCGGTTTTACGACTTTCAGAACACCCGGACACCCGGCAGGGCAGATAAGTGGTTTGGTAGGTAGCTTTGGCTATTTGAGAGTTGGAGAATGCCAAGGGAAATTGAGCTTGGTCACTAAAGAGCACGCTTATTTTGTAGATATTTCGCACCCGACGCCAGCAATCAAACCGACAAAAGCGTCGCGCAGCTACTCGAATGATATCTTCTCGCCAGATAGCGTAGACAGCTTCACACCGAACCGACCATCATTGACTCCATCCCGGGTGATCGAAACGGACGGAAAGCTTCTGTATGACGAGTCGAAGGATAGCCCGGGGCCTGTGGGCGGCGTGGTCATCGAGGACGTGCAGTTTTCAGATTCAGACGAGGAGCAGGAGTACGAAAAGTGGAAACAGAGGCAACCGCTGGCGCAGAATATGTCAGAGAGCGACAATGAAGGGACGGTGGAGCTCGCCAGCATGTATGACCAGGAGCCAGAGAAGCAGAGTAGCATTACAGTGGGGCCCTCTGCTAAACCGCGAGCGTTGAAGGCGAGGCGGCTGGTGCCGAAGCCCGCGCCAAAGAAGGGATACAAGCCGCTGACGGTTCCGGTTGAGCGAGGGTTTATGCGGCCAACCAAGGGCGCGCAGAGCCGGCTACTGCAGAAGCAGCACGAGAATCTGGCGCAGCAGGCGGCACTTGAGGCTATTGCACGGGCAAAACGGCGGAGTAGGGTGGAGCAGCCTGGAACACTGACGGTTCCTAAGCCATTCCAGTTCCACGAGAACGCACTTAAGGAGGGGGAAGGGGAAAAGCAGGCAGAGTCGAGTCGGGGGACGAAGCGCAAGCAAACCGAGGAGACAGAGCTGGAGGATCGGCCGCGTCCAAAGGCACTTCGGCCCACGGTGCCCAAGACACCGCAGTTTGCAACATCCCTGCGCGTGCGGCGAGCAGCGGCGGAGCCGATCAAGACAGCACTGAAGCCCAGCACGGCGAAATCGGCAGCTAGTGCGATTCTTGCACGGCTGTCGCCGCTGCGGCCGACGATCGCCAAGCCATTTACGTTCCGCAGCGATGCGGTCGTGGAGAAGCACCTGCAGCGGCTGCGGGCGGAGATGGCGAAGCTACGGGCAGAGGAGGAGGCGCGGCGACAGTTCCAGGCACAGCCGCTACCCGAGTTCCCGACACCGCAGAAGCCGGCGAGGCGAACAGTAGTGCCTTTGCAGGCGTCGCCGTTCAACCTACAGACGGAGGTGCGTGGGGCGGCGTACCAGCGGCAGCTGCGGGCGCGGCTGGAGGACCTAGAGGAGCGGCAGCGGAAGCGGCGGGAATTCAAAGCGCAGCCAATTCCTGAGTCGCTGGACCGGCCGTTTGTTCCAGCAACGGTGCCGGCCAAAGTGACGCAGCCCGAGGAGGTGGTTTTGCAGACGGAGGAGCGCAGTGAGGAGCGGCGGGTGTTTGACGAGGACCGAATGCGGCGCGAGCGAATTCGCGAGGAGGTGCTAGCACGCAAGCGGTTGGAGGACGAGAAGCGGGAGGAGGCGGAAATGCGGCAGCTGCGGAAGCTGCTGGTGCATAAGCCTGAACCGATCCGGCAGTACCGGCCCACGGTTATCCAGCCGTCGGACCGGCCACTGACGGTGCCCAAGACGCCCAAGTGGCACGTGCGCAGGCGGCGAACAAGCACGGCCGACAGCGCAACCGACGTAGAGAGCGATGTGGCGCCGGAGAGCCCGCCGCAGTAGACAGTTTTACAGGAAGATATATTAGAAGTCCCATTGCTTCAGTCAAGCTTGCTTGGTGCCGTCTTTGAGCCCGAGGCTGTAGCCGATCATAAAGCCGCGCTGGTAGTCGTCGCCCAGCTCAAGTGGCTCGTGGAACGGGTTGACCGGGAACAGCTCGCGACGCGTCTTCTTTTGGTTCTCCTGCTCCAGCTGCAGGTTCTCGTACCATTCGTGCAGCTGACCCGGACTGTCGTCGTATGACTCGCGGACGCGGATCTTTGACCCGTTGAGCGCCGATCCGTCGCCATTGCTGATAGCCTTCTGGACCATGAGCCCGACTGCCTCAGTCTCATCCTGTGTAGGCGGCGGGAGGATGGGCGGCGTGCCTGGTGTGTATTCGCCTACGTAGAACCGCACAATAGCCTGTTGCAGCAGGCGGCCGGAAACATGCGATTCGAGTGGGATCACGTCCCAGACGCTGCCGTACTGCTCAAAGTGCTGCTTCAGGTCGGCTGCAGTTGTCTTTAAGGTGCCGTAGCGGACGTGGACAGAGAGGCTGGCGAGACCGCGTGTACCGAGGCGGTGTACAATTTGTGTTGTCCGGCGAAGCATTGGTAATAAAAAAAGTAAGCAGGTGAATAGGAAATAATTGGGCCACAGACAGGAGAAGAAGGATTCCAGAGGCTGGCTGGTCTGGTGGGTTCCAGGATCAAGCTGATCTGTTTATCTTTGGCGCGACTTTTTTTTGAGCTCAGCATAAAGGAGGGCGAAAATTTTCTGCTCACTGCAATCGCCCTAGAAATGCAATCTCGATCCGCTTTGCTTTCTCCCTCTCCTCTACGCTTTTATATATATCTGAATTCCGCACAACCAGACACCAAAAATGTTCGGCTCCACCCTTCGCACTGTCGCCACCACCGCTATGCGCACGCAGCGCATCCAGACGCGCGGGCTCGCCTCGAGCATCCTGTACGTGACCAACCTGCCCCTGGGTACGACCGAGGAGAAGCTGGCGCCGTTGTTTGAGAAGTACGGTCCGGTCTACGAGTACCACTTCCCGCAGGCGCGCAACCAGCAGCCGTACGCGAATGCGTTCATCAAGCTGTACAGCGGCGATCTGCCGTCGACGATCGAGGAGCTGGCGGCGCTGCCGGCGCCATCGGCCATTGAGGTCAGCGATGTGGCGAAGCGCGGCTCCGACGCCATCGCCGAGCTCAACCAGCAGGACTTTGGCGGCCGTCCGCTGCGCGTGGGCTTTGCTCACAAGAACATGCCTGATGCGATCCAGTTCCATGCACGTATGACGCTGCGCAAGAGCGCCGACCCCGAGTTCGCTGCCAACATCAACAAGCGGCAGAACGAGAAGGGCGGCTACTCGGCTGGCTACAAGGACGGCTTCAGGGACGGCCTGGCACAGGCCCAGAAGGACGCCAGCCAGTAAAGACACTTGAGAGTTACGTAATAAAATCATTTATGTGGTCTATCTTTCTCTATTGCTGCTGGCACTCGGGCTGCGCGCCAGCGTAGGCGTCGTAGGCGTCGGCTGCTTCCCCACCGAATGCGTGCCGGTTGGCCCGCACACGTGCCTTGAACTCATCGGTCGAGATGGGCTTGGCTGTGACTGCATCCACTTCAGCGTCCTTGGCGGGCTCCGGCCAGCGAGTCTTCGGCAGCATGCTGACAAGCTCTGCGCTGGGCTTCCACGCGCGGCCGGGGAACTTGACGCTGAATTTGACAAACAAATCGCCCGAGTCGCGCGGGCCGCTTAGCCCGCGGCATGCCCTCGTTCTGGATGCAGACCACGTCCCCCGGCTGGATCACGCCCGCATGCGTGACGTGCAGCCCACGGCCATCGAGGCTGGTGAGCAGCACGCGCGACAGCCCACACAGCGCCTCGGCCAGATCGATCTCCACATTAGCCACCAGGTCGTCGCCGGACCGCTCAAACACACTATGCGGCTTCTGCTGCAGCACAAACATCAGGTCGGCTGGCTCCTTGCCCGGCTCCTGGTCGCCCTTGCCCTGGAGCAGAATCGTCTGCCCGTCAGCCATGCCCCGCTCGATTAAAATCTCCACTGTATCCTTCTCATCCATCACCCGCTCGCCCTTGCACTTGCGGCAGCGGTACTTTTCTGGGATGATCTTGCCAGAACCATGGCACGCCTGGCACGAAACCTGCTGCTGCGAGATCAGACCCGGCCCGACCTGCCGTGCTGCCACCCTGAAGCCCTTGCCATCGCACGTGATGCAGTCCCGCAGAACCGACTTCTTGCCGCCCAGGCCCTTGCAGTGCTTGCAGGGCACGGAGCGCACCAGCTTCATGCGCATGCGCTTGCCCTTGTATAGGTCCTCAAGGCTCACGCCGAGCGGGTGCCGTTCGGCCCGCGGCCCCCGCGGCGGCATATTGAACATTCCGCCCTGGTCGAAGAACTCGGAGTACATGTCGTTGAATCCGAAACCATCGGCGCCGCCACTGGGCATGCCCATCGGGGCCGTACTGGTCGTACGCTGCGCGCCTGTCTGGGTCACTAAGGGTTTCGTACGCATGGCTGATCTCCTTGAACTGGTCTGCGCCCTCGGGATTCTTGTCCGGGTGGTACTGCATGGCCAGCTTGCGGTACGCCTTCTTTATGTCGCTGTCCGTTGCTGTCGGCTCAACCCCCAGCACGTCGTAGTATGATTGAGAAGACATTGTATATTCTATAAAGTGAAGAGTGAAGGAGAGCTGACTGGGTCGCAGGAACGGCGCCCATCAATGCAAAAAGCAGCAAAAAGTGTGGAACCAGGATTTCATAATCAAGCATCTGCGATCATCGCCCGCTTCCAGCCAGCTCCAGCGCGCGCTGCTGCGAACATAGTAGTGTGTTCAAGGTGCCTTCGATTCTTTTAGCCGTCTGAGTTTCAAAAAAGATGTCTGTTCACTAAAACGAAGAAAGAAAATGATATCTAGGCCGGCAGCATTGCCATCCGCACAAGTAGCGACGCGACAGAGATTGCCGTTTAGTCGTGCTGGACGAAACCCTTGCCAGCGTAGCCCTCCGACGAGATACCGCTGATGGGGTTCATGTTGGCCTCGCGGGCAATCTCGTTCGAAGCCTCCTGCCACTCCTTGTTCAGCGTGCGCTGCTTGGGAACTACAGCAACAGAAAGGAACGGTCACATTTAGTGCGGGGTCATAGATACCTGCCGAAACACAGGTGCCGTTACACCCACGTGAAGCCAAAGTGGGAAAAATCCGGGCTCTTATCAAGTGATGATAGTCATGGCCGACAAAAAATCTCCCCGGCCTGGATCGATGATAATCGAAAGCCGCTGAGAATGAATTATGTACTTACCCGACGAGCGGACCAGAGACGAGATGGTGAAGCTGACCGCGATGGTGGCGATGACGCCGATGGCCACCTTCATGTTATCTCCCTTCTTGACGTGCGGGCGGCGGTAGTTGTGCGGGCCGTACGTAGCATAGTAGACTATTGCGAGAGATGTCGTTAGCCAAATGTGCCCCGCTGAATTTGCCCTGATTCACCACCATTGCAAAAGTCCTGTCTCTACTTACTGGCCTTCTTGTCCTCAGCGGAAACCTTGGTCCAGTCTCCCTTCATGACCTCGTTGAGCCGCTTGATAACCTGCACCTGCTCGGTCTTGGGCAGAGTCGCAAAGGTCTGCTCGGCCTGGGCCAGGACGGGCGCCGAGGCAGTCGACTGGAAGCGACGGCCAGAGAGCTGGGCAGCACGGACAGCAGCGTTGCGGAACATTTTTGAAAGGAAAGTCTTTTGCGTAAATGAAAAAACGTAGACAAGGAAAAAGAAGGAGCCGAATTGAGAATTCGAAAAAAAAAACAAAAAAGATTTGAGATTCGGCGTCTGGCTCGATTTTCTTGTTCAGCGATTATAGCGCAAAATCGCCTCTGGGCCCATGCAGCTGGCGATTTCAGCGCAACTGGGGCCAGACCGGCGCGCTTTGGGCCTCCCCACCCGCTCCCCAGCACATAAGGCCGGAGATAACGATCAGCAGCAGGACGAGATTAGATGGCGATCCGATCACGGGATTAGGGATTGGGTCACGCCGAATCTGTGCTGACGAATTCTCCCTCCATCAGCCAGACTTTTGACGCCGCCCAAGCGGTATGTTCGCGGGTTGTAGCGGGTGTGGAGCTGGCTTTGCTGCAGAGGCAAAAGAGCGCTAAAAAAGCCGACAGCCCAAGAATAAGCCCTTTGAACCCCTCGTTGGTCGCATGCACCTTTCTCTCCCTCCCCTACACTTTTCTCTTGCCAACTTTTTACAGCGCCCTTCTCTTGCCCAAGCTACCACCGTGTCTCCCCACACGTTTTCATTGTACAAGGGGTTTCTCGCTCTACTTTCCCACCACGCTTTTTTTTTTCGTTTATTTCTCTGGATTCCTGGAAACAGCATAGGCACGCTCCAAGCACACGGACACATACAAAATTACTAATTTGCAACAGTAAAACAGCACCACAATGCCGGCGAATTGGGCTTCCGTAACAAAGGTATGGTGTCGGATTCAGCCAACTGTGCCTTGGGGATTTCGCGGCCAGTGCAAATATGACTAATGTGTGCAAGCAATCTATTAGAGTGGAACTACGCAGACTGCCAGCAAGCCCACAGCGGCGCCAAAAGAGCGGAAGCACCAGCAGCAGAAGACTGCTCCTAGAAACAATTACGCACCCAGCATAGCGGTACCCCAGATCAATCCGGACATTGAGCAGTCGCTGCTCAAAATCGGCAGGCTCGCAATCAACGTTGCCAAACACCAGCGAGATGTTAAGGTAAGCGAGAAATTTTTACCTGCGCACCAAAATTTTCAACGTGCTGGATTTTTTGTTGAGCCCACCGCTCCCCCGCTCAGCAGCACGATGACTAACAGCCATACACCGTCATCCTTGCCGTATTATGTAGCTCCCACTCTACATTCCTGACGATCCAGGTAAGGATTCGGAGCAGATGAGCATTGCTAGCAGAAGCACCCTATGTAGCGCAAGTACAATAACGTCCTCACTTATCTTAATTACCCTGCTGCATGCATCCGCGTTTACACACAATAGTCTACTGGAAAAATCAGCTGAACCAGCGCCGACTGCGTAAAAAAGCCAGGCGTGACCGCAGCAACGGCATTGTCGCGCCACCAGCGGCAGGCACAAAACCGCAGCCCAAATCAGAACAGCAGCCAAAGGAAAGGCCAGTAGATACACCCAACCCGCCCGAGTCCGAGGCTAAGCCTGCACCAGCGCCCAAACCAAAGCCCAGCAGCTGGGCACAGTTGATAAAAGATGGTCTGCCGCCCCCAGCAGCAACCCCGCAGCCAATGCATCGAAGCCTGGTACCAACGGTGTAGCAAATACATCAGGCATTGCGGGACAGGGCAGCGGAATGAAGTCTGGAGGATTCAGGTCTCTGGAGGAGGCACTGGAGAACTGGGCTGTCGCATTTGACGCGCCGCCGGTCCAGCCGCGCGGGCTAGTTAACACAGGCAACATGTGCTTCATGAACGTGGTCCTGCAGGCCCTGTTGTACTGTGCGCCGTTCTACAACATGCTGTGGAGCATCAAGGAGAACGTTGCATTCAGCTTCAACACATCCACACCGTTGCTAGAGGCTCTGATCCAGTACGTGCACGAGTTCAAGCGAGATCGCACAGCGCTGGCTCAGCTGGCCAGTGAGCTGGACGAGCCATTTGTCCCCGAGAACGTGTATGAGGCACTGCGGAAAAAGAACGTGTTCCAGACCCTGCGTGGGCAGCAGGAGGACGCGCAAGAGTTCATGAGCTATCTTGTCGACGGAATCCACGATGAGCTGGCGTCGATCATGCAGGTGTACCAGGCAAAGCGGCAGGGTGTTGCGGTGGCTGCCAACGGCGCAAATGTGGCTGCAGACAGCGATGACTGGCTTGAGGTCGGCCACCAGAACAAGGCCAGCCTCGTACGTGATGGCGGCGCATCAACCAGGACGCCGATATCGCAGATCTTTGGCGGCTCGCTGCGCTCAACCCTGAGCATCCCCGGCGCAGCCCTGGCTGGAATCAGCAACGGCTCAATCTCCCGCGCGCCGCAGAGCTCGAATCGCGAGCCGTTCCAATGGCTGGCACTGGACATCTCGTCGGACAGCGTCGAGTCGATCGAGGACGCCTTTGACGAATTTGTTGCCCCCGAGGTCATTGAGGGCTACATGCCGCTGCCTGGTGGCAGTGCTGTGGATGCCACCAAGCAGGTGCTGCTCGAGAGCCTGCCACCGGTGCTGATGCTGCACCTGAAGCGCTTTGTGTTCTGTCCAAACGAGGGTGTGCAAAAGGTGCACAAGTTTATCGAGTACCCGGCCACCCTGACGCTGTCGCCCAAGTGGTTTGCCAAGGGTGCCAACGTGGCAAAGTACCGCAACGCAAAGTACCGCCTGACCGGCGTCGTGTACCACCACGGCTCGCATGCGTCGGGCGGCCATTACACATGCGACCTGCTCAGGGCCTCGAACGAGTGGCTGCGCTTTGATGACGTTGACATTGACTGTTTGAGCTCAGTCGACGATGCACTGGACGAGAAGAAGGACCGCACTGCGTACATTCTGTTCTACACGATTTGCCATTAGACTATTCTCAATTGATGCCCTAGCCTCTATGTCCCTTATGAACACGTGTATGTAATCATTTGAGCGCATGCTGGTGTCCTAGTCCAGTGCCAATGTCATCCACGGCTGCTGACTTTTTTTTAGGCAGCTGAGATTTGAAACAGTGAAGAAATACGGGGAAAGATGCTAGATATGCCCGACTATCTTCTGCGGGCGCGCTTTTGCGGGCGCTCATTGTCGCTGTCGCCAGGGACACCGCGCTTGTCGTCGTACGCCTTGGCCTTCTTCTCCAGCTCGTCCCAGTCCTCGCCCGACTCCTCGTCCTCATCAACGTCGCTGTCAGAGGCATCGCTTTCGGTGCCAAAGTCCGACTCTTCCTCCGACGACTCGGACTCGGACTCGTCAAACTCATCCTCAGACACGGTGAACTCGCTCTCCTCCTCCTCGGACGACTCGCCCTCGGCATCCGAGTCGTGGGCCAGGAACCCCCAGCCGCCGTCCTCGAAGAACCCAGCGGGGTCCTTGTTGACCGTCTTCATGATCTGGGCCCAGTTGAGGTTGACCGGACCCTCAGTGTAGGCCAGGTTGACAGAGTCCAGCCACTCCTTGACGTTGTCGAGCTGCTTCATCGGCACCGTGTTGACGTGCACAGGCGCACGCTTAAAGTCCTTGAACACAAACACCATGTCAAAGTTCTTGAGGCCAAACTGCACGCGCTCCAGGTGCACAATCTCGACGTCGGCCACGGTGATAATGAAGAAGGGAGTGTCGCTGAGGTGGACCAGGCACTCAACCGTGGGCTGCAGGAACACGTTGGCGCGCGCAGGCACACCGTTGAACCCGACCTCGCGGAACGGAGTGTCGACCTCGACCTCGTGGTTGCTGGCTTCGGCGATCTTGCTGGCGAATTCCTTGAACTCCTTGTTGAGCTGGCGGCGGCGGCGGCGCTCCTCCTGCTCGGCCTCAATCTCGTCCTCGTCGCCATAGCGGAAGCGCCGGCGGCGGTTGCCGGTCTCGTCGAACGACGCGTCCGACGCTTCACGGTAGAACTGGATGTCTTGCATCTTCTTCTTGCCCAGCATGATCGGGTTCTTCAGGTGCACATGGATCAGCACCAGCAGCTCGTTGTCGCACGGCTGGAAGAACAGATGCCGCACGTTGTTGAACAGAATGTCGATCGTCGCATTGTTGTGGCGCCCGGTTGACAGGTACCGGAGGCCGTTGTTGTGGATCTCCAGTGCCGATGGGAACCGCTTGCCATCAACCACCGGCCGCATAAACACATCAGGCAGTCGGATCGGCCGCCGGCCTGTGATCGGCACGAGACGGTCCTGCTGGATGATGTCGGCCATTTGCGCTTTTTCAGTCTCACGCTTAATCTGGTCGCGCTTCAGCGACTGGATGCTGTGGAATATCTCGGCCATCCGCACCGCGTCGGTCGATCGGAACGTAAGAGAGCGCACAAACGTCGCCGTCGGGTCGTCAGTGGGCAGGTTTTCCTTCTTGCCCACACCCTGACCCGGCGACACCATGTTCAGGCGCAGGTAGACGTACTCGCCTTCGTCATTCTTGCTGATGTTCTTCAGCGCCGAGATGTGGAACGGCACCGCCATACCATAGATGGGCAGGACAATTGTGTCGGCGCGCTCATCGACGATGATGCGGCAGCTCTGGGCCTCGCGCGGAAGAGCCGTCTCGCGCTTGTAGCTCTCAAACTTCTTGATAACCTGCTTTTCCTCGCCATCGTCGCCCTCATCGCCGGCAAAGCGGCGACGGCCGTCAACCAGCAGCTTGGCAATCAGCTCCTTCTGGTGCTCGCGGCGCTTGCGCATGCTGGACTCCTCCTCCTTCTCCTCGCTGCGGAACTTGGAGGGCAGAATGGCGGAGGTGCGGGTTACTGGCGCACGGCGGCTCGCAGAGCTGCTGGCACTGCTCTTCTCGCGCTTGGCCTCGCTCTTTGCTGCTGGCGTCGACTCCTCGTCGTTGAAGAAGAACAGCACGTCGTTGGGCTCTTTGCTGCAGACTGTCAGAAACTCGGCCCCCGACTCCTTGACCACCACCGTATCGACAAGCTGGTAGGAATAGGTGCGCGACTGGCTGTCCTTCGCCTTAGGGTTGGTCATGTTCTCCAACCCCACGCGTAGAGTGAGGACCATGTTGACCTGCACAACCTCGTCGCATGTCGCTGAGATTATGTTGGTACCGTCACACATCTCGATTCCAGTCACAAATCCACAGTTTTTGACAAAGTTGTCTGCGAGATCGGGCCGGTGCTCACGCACATACGCTACAGCCTGGCTGTAAATAGCACCCATCTTGACACCAGGCTTGACCCAGTCGAGCATCTGCTTCTGCAAGGTGAGCAAAAGCCCGTAGTTCCTCTCTTGTTCAGGCGTCGGATCCACCAGGAACGTACGCGAGATAGATGCGCTGTACATAAAGTACCGCATGCTCAGGGTGCACACCACGGTGCCTGCATGCAGCTGCGCTGTATCTGAGGCACCAGACGGCGACAGGTCATAGCGCCCGCCGCTCTGAACCACCGGATCAGTACTCCATTCGACCATGTCGAGCATCTTCACCTTGGAAAATAGCCGCTTGGACAGCTTGTCGTTGGTCAGCACACCCGTGATCCGCTCTGACATCTTCATGTTGCTGACCTTCTTCTCTTGATCGAATGTGTTGGCCATGTCCTCGATAAAGAAATCCTGCATCACCGTCGAGCAAATCGATGCAGCTGTCTTTTCATATTGGAGCTCCCCATCCTCCTTAAGCGCCAGCACGCGCGACAGCCCGTGGCTTACGTCAACCATAGTCATTGAGCCCTTGCTCGGCTCAAATGCTGTGTTCCACTCATCGACCAGCTTGCCACTGCTGGTGTCCTTGGCCACCACACCGACATTCGGCCCGGCCTCCTGGATGGTCGCAATCGTTTGATCAAATACCGTCTGGTTCTTTGCCGCGTCTTTGCCGTGGATGAGAATCTCAATAGGCACGCCGTCTGGCACGCCCTGCAGCGGTTGCAGAATCTTGGCCTTCTTCGGGCTGGCAATGATATACAGCTTGCTCTTCGTGAACAGCATCAGTGTGTTAGGGAACTCGTAGCCCAAGAGCCACATCTGCGTTGCAATCGTCTTTGTGTACGAGTTGGTCTCGTCAGACCGCCCCTGAAGCAGCAACACTGTGTCGACATCCGAGCCCTTGCTACCAGCCAGGCCGTTATTCTAACACGCGCCAACAAGACAGTTAGTTCACGCGTGAAATCCTCTGTTGCTGGCCTGTAGCCTGCTTTTCCACTGATTTCCAACGAAACTCACCTTCCACGAATCTAGCAGGCGCTTTGCGCGGCGGTGAAACGCCTTTGTGTCTAGCTCAACCTCGGACATGTTTGTAGCTTACTGGTGGAATATAGAATAGGAAATGGCAATGAGGAAATAGAAGGGAGAAGAAAAGCGACTGAGCGCAGCGAATTGTCGGCACCTGGTCAAAACAAATGCTGAACGACGCGTCAAAGCCGTCTACGTGCATTTTTCGAGCGGATCACCGATTATCAAATTAGATTGACGCTGGCTACGAGAGAGACGCCATGTCCACCACAGTGCTCCCTGCCGCAACCTAGCATCCTAGTTACGCTGCTGCACAATGTCTGAATCTGCACAGGCGAGCTTTGGAGGGAAAGCCAAGCGGCGTCTGTACTTTGTTTTCCTATCTTCCATTCGCTTCCCTGCATCCTGTCTATATATACACCTCTCACAGCCAGTTATCCAGCAAAGTACTCCCAAGGATGCTGAGTGTATTCCGAAGACTCAGCGAATGTTTGCAGTACTATCAGCGCCACACACACCACTGATGATTCGAATGGATGACTGCCCATTATAGCTGTAGCTGCTGCCAGCAAACTACTAGGCATAGCCATTGTCTCATCTGCTGGTATATCAGGCGTGCCGTTGCGCTCGATGGACGGTATGAAATAAAGCTATTGTCGATACTGAGCAAGAAAATGCAAAGCGAAGAGGAAGAACGCACGGTGGCCGCAAAAACATGCCTATATAATCTGTTACCTGGCTGTTGCGACACCTTCAGCGACAAAAGTAACCGTATGTGGCAATGCCTACGATGTGGTCGATTTGTGTGCCCATACATCATTACTAGCTACATCCATCGAGCACGCTGCAGGGTGGGCCACGTTGACGCCAGTCACAGTGTCTTCTGAGCCACCATGGATGATGGCCCTGGGAATAACGGCTTCGGGCATGCGCCTGTTGATATTGGACCACCAGCATAACCTAACACTACTCTGGGCACACCGAGACTCAAAATTCAGGTGGACTGGCTGTTGTCATCCCAAGCAATCACTTGTGATTCCACGGTCACTGTAACCACTATTCCAATGGCCACAACAAAAATGGCCACCAATGTAGCTACAAGAGTCAATACCACTCAAGCTCCTTCCAAAGATGGCGATAGTTAGCCAGCCATGTTGACATTCGAAGTCCGGAGTCCCCCTGCGCCACCATAGACAAGGCCGAAACGCATATGTACAAAGGCCCAGACAGACGACCAGCCTTCCTTCTTCCCCTCAGTCACTTTGAGAAGTTATTTTTTTCCATATATTCTATAACCACTCATTCCCCAAGTTAACAGTCTGGATCTAACCATCTATTGTATGAAGCAAGGTCTGAATGCCCATCGCCATACACTTGTCCCGGGACATTGCCATCGGCCATGATGTTAGCATCGATGCCCGCGCCGACCGGGGCACAACAAACTGAACATCATGATTTATTTCTAGGCATGAAGCCTGAGGCGAAAGGAAAATAATTAGGCTGTTAGACGATTGGAGTTGCAAGGTTGTAAATCTTGGCACCATCGCTGTAGTCTGCACCGTCGATGCGCTCATACTCAGGAGGGAACCTGACACGCTTGTCCTGGTAGTACTCGTCACGCTTATATCCCTCGCTGGCTCGGTTGTATGTCATGTAGAGATTAGCACGGTTTGTATCAGACATGTTGTCCGCCGACCGATGTGCAATGTACGATCCAAAAATCAAGATATCGCCAGAATTGCACTCAATCGGGACCCATTCATGCTCATCGCACCATTTCCTGCTAATCGACCCGTCCGCCTCCTGCGGCAGCACGCCATCCTTGTGGCTCCCGGGCACTGCATACAGACACCCATTCTCAATGTACGATCCATCAACAGTGAATAGCACCGTGACATGGTTGACCTGTCCTAGGTGGACAAACGCTGGGCGCGTCCTGGTGCGCAGGGAATGCCCCGCCGCCGGGGAGCTTGGCGTTGATTTTCTCCTTGAACAAAACGTACGGCTCGCCGGAAAGCTGCTCAAGTATCGACATGATGCGCGGGCCGGTGACCGTTTCGCGTACAAAGTCGTGGTAAGGGGTGAAATTTTCCGTGCGGCACAGCTGCCGCTCGCCGGTCTTCTTATTGACCTCGTAGTAGTTCATCCATTTGCCTGGCGTGTCCGGCCATGACTGGATCTCGCGCACTGAAGAGACAAGCTGAGCGGCCTCGTCCGGTGTGATGAGGTCGGTGATCTTGAGGAACCCCTGCGAGTGGTATGACGCAAGCTGCTCGGGAGACAGAGTGTATATTGCTGGCATGATGGGTGGATGAGCTAGCGAAAAAAAAAAGCCTCTTGGTTAGACGAGTCTGCTGCATGTCAGTACAGCTGGGATGCAGCCGGTATTTTATATGGCGGTTCTGGTGGTTTCCTGCCAGCCACATGGCCGCACTGGCCCGGGGACCTGCATCCCACGCTGCCTGCCACAGCTGCACACTGGTCTGTGATGGATGGCAGTGTTTGTCGCTAACACGAAACCGAACCCTACCGAGTCAGGGGGTATGCCAGCGTTGAAGGAATTTTAAAAAAAACATACATTTGTCGATCAGTCTGGCGTGGAACAACCTGGGCCGCCCCGATACCCTCGTGGTCGCCGATCCTGGAATCTTACAGGCCTGGCATGGGAGAAATATCCTCCCTGCAACCTGGGACAGATTGGGCTCGGTACTTCAAAGCCGGTGAGGGGCTGCGGCTCACGGCTGTGTCTGCAGCCTTAGTGTAGTCATTTTAGTATTTCAGCGAGCTGCAGCTCGAAGGGGCTGGCCCGGGGCTGATTGGCGCTTAACGTCATTGAGCACCAGCCTGATATACAGTTGGCATATTCCTGTGCAGACTGTCATCCTCCAGGTGCACACACGTGTGAATGCTAGATGGTAAAACAGAGATCATGCACTGGCTCGGTGACAAGATGGACTGGCATGCAAGTGGGGGTGTGAGTCTGCGTCTAATGCGTCTCTTTGTTCCCCTTGTCCGCGACCCTTCGTGTCGGTGCTGGACTACTGTAAAATAGGATCAGGCCTGCATTCAGGCTCTATGGAATTACACCACTCGACATCTCTCTCCATCGCCGCACGTAAGTTTTTCTAATATCTCTCTATCCCTCAAGCATGACTACCCTCACGCCCGAAGCCACAGTTGACTCGGTCTTCCAGCTCCTGGAGGCTGGCAGCAAGCAAGGATATATCGGCGAAAACATCTCGCAGCTCGAGCATGCCCTGCAAGCCGCTCTTCTTGCAGCAACTGCTCGCGCAGACGAAGAAACAATCTTAGCCGCTCTCCTCCACGACATCGGCCAGTTCTGCTCCGCCAAGGAACTTCAGCGCATGCTAGTCGAGGACCTTGGGCAGGATGAAATCGATCTGCAAGGCCTCAAGCGGTCCAAAGACGGGTCGACTAATGTTGGCGTCATGGGGCACGAGAAGCTTGGCGCCGAGTACTTGCGCAAGCTTGGGTTCTCTGAGAAAGTGTGCGAGCTTGTTGAATCCCACGTCGTCGGGAAGCGCTATCTCACGGCTGTTGACGAAAAGTACTATGAGGCATTGAGTTCTGCGAGCAAACTGTCACTAAAGTTCCAGGGCGGGCCGTTCTCGAAAGAGGAGGCGCAGAGGTTTGAAACCGATCCACTTTTTGCCCAGAAGGTGCAGCTGCGCAAGTGGGACGATGCAGCCGAAGCTCGTTGATTACAAGACGCCCGACCTTCAGTCGTATCGTGGCATGGCTGTCCAGCACCTCAAGGCGCAACTTGCGTAGAATACAGTGCATCTAGGGAATAAATCCACTGCGACACGCAGCGAGCAGAGGAATCTATTTTTGGAATGTGCGCTCTGTTCCCTTTGCAGCCTGCATTTCTGCATAGCCAACCCACCACTCGATGTACGTCATACGTGGAGTTGTTTGAGGATACCAGCACGTGTTGAGCGGGCTATCGGCTTATCCTTTGCTGCCAAAGGTGCCGTTATACCTGCTGGTATATTTAGTATTATCCTGAAGCGATTTCTAGAAGCGCAATGGTTTCGTCATTAACACCAGCCCGAAGGTTAACTCGGTATATATAAAGCTAGCGGAGATGACTGCTTTGCCATCTAAACACCTAACCTCAACAACACGCTCTCTACCACTACAGCTAGATTCAAGAGATTGCATAGCCTACCTCAACATCCTCGTCACCATTTACCAATGCGTATCGCTAGTACTGCCGCATTTGCTCTCTTCGCTGGTACAGCTGCTGGCACCTGCCAACCTGGCCCCGGTGCTGACAATGCTATTGCATCTCCTTCCAGCTACCATACTGAAAGGCTCAGACGCAATATCCCTGATTTCACTGGCAAAATAGAGGCAGCCTCAGACCAGCGTGGCAAAGGGCCTAATTCTGACTTGGGAGTCGACCTTGCCAACTCTTTGCTCCACCTTGGCCTTCAGCAAGCTCTCAACAATGCCAACCAGCGCAGTTCAGCGTATGTAGACCCTGGAAACGATAATTCCCACGACCAACGCAAACGCAAACGCAAACGCAAAAAGGGCGGCAAGGGCGGCAAGGGTGGCAAGGGTGGCAAGGGTGGCAAGGGTGGCAAGGGTGGCAAGGGTGGCAAGGGTGGCAAGGGTGGCAAGGGTGGCAAGGGTGGCAAGGGTGGCAAGGGTGGCAAGGGTGGCAAGGGTGGCAAGGGTGGCAAGGGTGGCAAGGGTGGCAAGGGTGGCAAGGGTGGCAAGGGTGGCAAGGGTGGCAAGGGTGGCAAGGGTGGCAAGGGTGGCAAGGGTGGCAAGGGTGGCAAGGGTGGCAAGGGTGGCAAGGGTGGCAAGGGTGGCAGTGGTGGCAAAAAACAACAGCGGTGGAAGGGATCGCAAGAACCACAAGGAACTCAAGGAATGGGGTAAAAAGTATGGATCCGAACTGGGAGTGGATCTGGTCAAAATGCTAGTTCAGTTTGGAATTGACCAGGCTGGCACCAGTGGCAAGTAGCGTATCAGGCATGCAGAGGAACGACCCATGGCTTTAGGATCTCACGTCCTTATATCTAATCACCCAAGTCGAGAAATACAATGGGCTGGTGGTTTAAAACAACAGTATAATGTCGCATAAAATGCATCTTGTCATATAGAGCATAGTGGATAAAAGTAGTGTCATGGTGTATTGGTGATGTAATGCTGGGTGTGGTGGAAATACAAAATGTGTTGATGCTAGCCACAGAATCTGCTGTTAGGTTTAGAACATAATCTCGTGGTTACGGTACTTCCGGGCAAGAGAAGGGTTGCGGCGGAGCCAATCATCCGACGGAGCCACAAAGGCAGCAGGGCTCCTCTTATTGACACCACCGCGCTGGTTGTACGTATCCTCGTAGTCGTAGTCATCCTCGTAGCCACCGCGCTGATTGGTCTGAACACGCCTGGCCGGGATGGTGGTGCCCTCAGCTAGATACCCTAGGATGTCAAAAAGCGCGCCATACCCGCGACCACGCTGGTTGTTGGCGCCGTCGTAGCCGTTAAAGTCATAGTCCAAGTCGAATGACCTGGCTGCCTGGTTGTACGAGGGCTCAAAGATAGCGTTGTCCTCAGGCTCCCCAGCCTGGTTTGCAACAGCAGTGGCTGCGAGGAAAGCAGTTGCAGTGGCGAATGGAAGACGCATAGTTTAGATGCTGGTGTCGATGCAGATGCAAGTGGTTAAAAAAGTGAAAGCAGGAGGGAAACTGAAAGATACAGCTATTGATGATGGTAGGCATTGAGAGGTTGGCAGTGCCAGGGGATTATATACCCATTGTCTTCTAGAACCCAGGATATCTCTAGAGCGCATGCCATCATTCAGGGAAACCGATTTAGAAACCAGGAGGCAGCACGCTAGCCGTCAAAAGAAAGTGGCATTTTTAGAATCATCCAGAATTCTTGGCAATGTGTGTTGATCTCCTCGAGGTATCCCCAATCTCACCAGTTGCATCCATGTTAAACCCGAGTACCGGCATTTGCCAAGCGATAGCCTACGCTCTACAAAGAGAGCCCACAGAAAGCCTGTATCCGTAAATACCCCTCGGGGTGTGGAATGGCGAGGAAAGGGGCAGCTTGACCAACTGAAATTATGATAGCCCTCAGCATGGCTGGTGAAGTAATATTAGCGGCATGCTTATACCGATGGCAAATCAGAAAAAGCTAAAACCTTCTACAGTCCTCGCACATGCTCAAATCACGTAGGTGCGACACATCGTTATTTTGTGCGCCTTCGCTGCACAATATCTGGTCGAATAACTTGGAAACATAGTCCATATGCCTTGAGAAGACGCGCTCGTGTTGCCACCTAAGTAGAGACGGGAGACGGGCAATAAACCATGCCACGCGCTCGACATACATGGGCTCCAGATCTAGCCATGTTGGCGCTAAGTTTAAAAACTCGAGTGACTTGCTGACCGGTGCGAGGCTGTCCTTTATCGATGGGCCTAGCACTGGAGTAGGGCCCAATTCGCGTTTGCTTGCGATATAAACCACGAGCTTTTTGAGCTTCGGCAGGCCAGAGAGCATGCCGATGATGGACACGCTAAAGGAGGTTCTGGAAATATCAAGCTCTTCCAACATGCTGCATCCGTATGTATCCTGCGGGAGTCTGATGATGGATTCAGAGATAAGCACCAGTGTCCTCAGCGGCGATGGGGTTAAGAATATCGGAAGCGCCATGTCCGCGTTTCCAAGCAGTTCTGCATCTTCTGCCGACATATCCAGCACCAGCGACAGCAGCTTGGGCATCTTTGAGACATCGATACAGCTAGCGTTCAACCCTCTTTTAACTGCAAGGGAATTAAGCTGGTGGACAGGGAACATTGACAAAACCGTGAGTGCATCCAGCCTGTGGATGTGGATCTTGAGATCAGAGAGCCTTGGGAACTCTGGCCAGTTCACAGCGCTGGCTTCCAGAGACTCAAAGGGATCCTGGCCCTCGTAATTAAACAGAATGCTCAAATCCACAAGCTCCGTAAATTCGACTGGGCCGAGGATGCTGTCGTCGAAAAAGAGATCCTGCAGTGCCTGTTTTCCAATCCGATCGAGCGTTAGCGACTTGAGCGACCGAGCAAAGAATTTAGGGAACACCGTGGTTGTGCTGTGCGGCCCCACACCGTACCTGAGCGATGTTAGCGTTTTAGGCAGCAAGTCGATTCCTAGTCCATGGGGGGCATCGGTTTCAAAATCTAGCTCTGTAAGCGATCCAGCCCTCTCCTTGATGAAGTCCCCAATCAGCGGTTGACCATAAATGCTGTCAAGGTAGACAACATAGCGTATACCACAGACATTGGGCAGCGCATTGAGCAGTTTTCTGTTCAGGTCGGAAACTGCGCCATCTCGAAATGTCCCTGTCTGTTGCATATCATAGTGGTCGAATATGACTGTCAGATCACGGACTGCAGACCAGTGGGCATCAAAGAACCCGTACCTTGCCAGTCCGCCTATAATGCTGTCAGGGTCGGCCAGGTTGCCGAGGAATATAGTAAGCGACTTTGTCAAGCTGGTTTGGCCATGGGCGATAATAAATGGGATGTTGGAGCATGTCTCCAACGCGATCAACCTATCTGCTGCTGTCCCATCGTCATTCTCGTTGCGGTCAAACAAATCTGGGCGGTCCTCGTATACATCGAATATGGCATATCGGCAGTACATCTCTGATCCAAGTCGCCTCCAGAGGCGATTGACGCGCAGCAGAGGGAGTACAGACTTGTACGATGATATGTTGGTTAACGAGGGGTGGCGAATGGGCGCCAGAAATACCCCAAGTATACGGCGTATCACAACCGATGGGAGGTTTCCTGCGGACATCAGCAATAATATCAGGTGGTGTAAGGGGAGATGGGATTTTCACAACATCAGACACCGGTCGGAGCGTCCTTTTAGGCGGCGGAGCGTCCTTTTAGGCGGTGTCTGGCGTGAATCTGCAGCGACAGACTTTGTGGGATTTGCCTGAGCATTCGCCAGGCATATACGTGAGCACAATCGCCATCACCGCCGCAACACTGGAGGCACATACCGGCCACTACCACCACTACCACCACCAGCGCAGCAGTGCGCGGTTAAATCTGAGCAAACCCTGGCCCCGAATCATCGCAGATTATTTTTCAGGTCTGATCAAGGCCTGTGGAATTAGGCCTGGGTTCTGGCAGTTTTTTTGGGGCGGAAAGGTCGACTTACGACACTCGGCAAGTGCCATATAAAACTTCAGGCTCGAAAACCAGCACTGGCCGGCCAACTTTTCTCTTCTCTCTCCCTATTACTACTCTGGAAAAGCTGAGCAAACTTCCACAAACAATTTTATATTATTATTTCTCTCTAGCCACTCGAGAACCACCCCACCCACACGAGTGTGTCTGTTTTTCTTTCATTCTGTGCTCACCCTAATCACGTTTCCCTCTTTCAATTTATTGCCTGGCCTCAGTGACCAAAAAATATCAGCTGGTCCACCATCACACGCGCGTGCTCCGCTACAGACTGTTTTTAACCAGCCCTCCCTTCCAACACCCAAACTCACCAGCGAGGAGAGCGCTCTTGGCTTGAAGGCAAATGGAGGTAAGCCCCGCGTGGGAGGTCCAATATCTGCATCGTCCGACACTGCGTGTTTTTGTGACGACACATTGCTAACATCATTGATAATGTCCGCTTGTAGGCGATTCTTGACTTTAACCGCGACTTTGATGTCCCGCTGTTTGACCGCGTTGTTGACGCGCTGTTCACCGGCAGAGGCGATGAGGTATGTGTTCCACTTGGTTCTATTTGTGCCAGGGAGAAAATCGCTTTTAGTTGTTTTTGTTGTGACAACAGTTTACAGCTCAACCCCGGCCCGGCCCAACCCAACCCAACCCTATTCCACCTCCTGGCGATTGTTTTGATTAATAACCCACGGTTTGTGCGTGTAGCAAAAGATGGCCCAGCAGGTCCTGACCGAGTTCAAGGATCACGAGCTGGCATGGACCCGGGCAGATGGAATTCTGACAGTATCCAGCTCGGTGCAGTCAAAGTTCATTGCGCTGCAGGTGCTGGACAAGCTCATTCAGACACGGTGGAAGATTCTGCCTGCGGACCAGCGCAACGGCATCAAAAACTTTATTGTTGAAGTGATTCTGAAGACAGCATCAACTGAGCAGTCGCTGCGCCAGAACCGGGTGTTCCTGAACAAGATCAATCTCAGTCTTGTCCAGATTCTGAAGCAGGAGTGGCCGCACAACTGGCCGTCGTTTATCCCAGAGATTGTGCAGACCAGCAGGTCGAACCTGTCGCTGTGCGAAAACAACATGGCGATCCTGAAGCTGCTCAGTGAGGAGGTGTTTGACTTTTCGGCCGAGCAGATGACGCAGGCTAAGACGAGGAACCTCAAGCAGCAGATGTGCGGCGAGTTCAGCTCGATCTACACGCTCTGTAACGAGATCCTGCAGAAGGCAGTGCAGCCCAGCCTGATTAATGCTACGCTGGAGACACTGCTGCGATTCTTGAGCTGGGTCCCGCTCGGATACATCTTTGAGACAGACCTGATCGACAACTTGTGCACACGCTTCCTGGGCCCAGAGATTACACGCAGCGTTACAATCAAGTGTCTGACTGAGATCGGCGGCTTGAGCGACGGCAGCGATCAGTATAACGCGCGCTTTGTGCAGCTGTTTACGATGGCGATTGCGGGCCTGCGCGAGATCATGGGGCCGAACCCGGACATGGCCTCCAGCTGGGATAGCTATGGCGACGTTGAGCAGGGCTTTATCCAGAACATGGGCCTGTTCCTGACCAGCTACCTGACCACCCACTTGCGTTTGGTCGAGGCGCAGGTGCAGCGCGACGACGTGATTCAGGCTCACCAGTACCTGCTGCTCATCTCCCAGATCGACGAGCGCGAGGTTTTCAAGGTCTGCCTTGAGTACTGGAACATGCTGGTGCGTGGGCTGTACGAGGACGGCCGTACTTCGTCGTTCAGCGGCTCCAGCGGGCTGCTGAACCTGGGCACCAACAGCAGCAATGGCAACACGGGATCACTTTCGTTTGAGCTCCGGCGCCAGATGTACTCCAAGATCCTGACCGGCGTGCGCTACGTCATGATCGATCGCATGGCAAGGCCCGAGGAGGTGCTTATTGTTGAGAACGATGAGGGCGAGATTGTGCGCGAGTTCATCAAGGAGACAGATACGATCACGCTGTACAAGGCGCAGCGCGAGTGTCTGATCTACCTGACGCACCTGGACTCGCAGGACATGGAGAAGATCATGGTTGAGAAGCTGAGCAAGCAGATGGACGGCAGCGAGTGGTCGTGGAACAATCTGAACAAGCTGTGCTGGGCCATCGGCTCGATCTCGGGCTCGATGGGTGAGGACCAGGAGCGGCGGGTGCTGGTGATCATCATCAAGGACCTGCTGAGCCTGTGCGAGCTGAAGCGCGGCAAGGACAACAAGGCGGTCGTGGCGTCGAATATTATGTATGTGGTCGGCCAGTACCCGCGGTTCCTGAAGGCGCACTGGAAGTTCCTGAAGACGGTCGCCAACAAGCTGTTTGAGTTTATGCACGAGCTGCACGAGGGTGTGCGCGACATGGCGTGCGACACGTTTGTGACGATTGCGCAAAAGTGCCGTCGCCACTTTATCGTGAACCAGCCCGGCGAGGAGCGTCCATTTGTCGAGGACATCATCCTGAACCAGAACGCGATCACGTCGGATCTCGAGCCGCACCAGGTCAACCGGTTCAGCGAGGCCGTTGGCTACCTTATCAGCGCCCAGATCAACGCCGAGGCGCAGGCGGAGCTGATCACCGGGCTGATGGAGCCCTCCAATGCCATGTGGGACCAGCTGGTGACCCGCGCTAGCAGCAACATCAACGAGCTGCGCAACGTGGACCTTGTGAAGCAGCTGGGCAACATCCTGCGCACTAACGTGTCGGCGTGCGGCGCCATTGGCAAGGGGTTCATCAACCAGATTGGGCGCATCTACATGGACATGCTGGGCCTGTACAAGGCGGTGTCAGAGCTCATTTCGCAGTCGATTGCGCAGGGCGGCGAGATTGTGACGCGCCACGCCGACATTCGCGCCATGCGCACGATCAAGAAGGAGACGCTGCGTCTGGTCGACACGTATGTCAAGCACTGCGAGGGCGAGGTAATGGCGGTCAACACCAACATGGTTCCGCCGCTGCTCGAGGCCGTGCTGGCTGACTATGCGCAGAAACGTGCCGCCTGCCCGCGACGCCGAGGTGCTGAAGACGATGAACACGATTGTCAACGAGCTGGGCAGTCTGATGACAGACAAGATCCCGATCATCTTTGACTCTCTGTTTGAGAGCACAATGGGCATGATCAACCAGGACTTCACCGAGTACCCGGAGCATCGTCTCGCTATCTACCAGCTGCTGCGCACCATCAACCAGAAGTGCTTCAACGCGACGCTGAACCTGCCGCCGCCACAGTTCCGGTTCATGGTGATGTCGGTGATGTGGGGCTTCAAGCACACGCTGCGCGACATTGCCGACATTGGGCTGACGATTGCCCTGGAGATGGTCAACAACTTCAACATCAGCGACCGCAACATCTCGAACGTGTTTTTCCAGACGTACTTTATTGAGCTGCTGAACGAGGTCATTGTTGTGCTGACCGACAACGACCACAAGAGCAGCTTCCGGCTCCAGTGCATGGTGCTGGCGCGCATGCTCCACCTGATCGAGTCGAACCAGGTTGCGGCGCCGCTGTTTGACCCGTCGAACCCCGAGTTTGCCAACATGACCAACAGCCTGTTTGTGCGCCAGTCGCTGGCAGGCCTGCTGACGACGGCGTTCTCCAACCTGACGCAGCGCCAGATCGAGGTGTTCGTTGAGGGCCTGTTCAAGTTCAACGACGAGTTTGAAAAGTTCCGCACGCATGTGCGCGACTTCCTGATCCAGACAAAGGAGTTCGCCGGCGACGTGGCCGACCTGTACCTGGAGGAGACCGAGCGCGAGCTCGAGGCCAAGAGGCAGGAGGAGAAGGAGAAGGCCAAGGCAATTCCGGGCATGATCAAGCCCAGCGAGATGGAGGAGTAGATGCGGCAGAGCCCAGGCTTCCCGGTCGTTGATCTTGATTCGATTTCCATTTTCTGTGATGAGTAAAATTTTCAAACTTTTTTTCGCTGGGGAAAGTTGCTGGTGTTGGGATCGCTGAGGGCGCGCGCTTCTTTTATTCCTGCTCAGCAAAATACCCTTCTATTTCAATTCATACAGCAGCAATGGCAACACTCTACAAGACGGCAAAGACAGAATACAAGGACGTCGAGGACCTCATTGAGGAGAAGGACAAGCGCTCAAACATCAAGCAGCGCGTGCTGATGGTGGCGAGCCGCGGCGTGACGTTCCGGCACCGGCACCTGATGAACGACCTGGAGGCTCTGCTGCCGCACTCGAAGAAGGAGTCCAAGGTCGAGGCGAAGCAGGACATGGACGTGCTAAACGAGCTGGCCGAGATCCACAACTGCAACAACGTGTTTTACTTTGAGGCGCGGAAGCACACTGACCTGTATTTGTGGATGTCGCGCGCTCCGTCGGGCCCGAGCTTCAAGTTCCACGTGCAGAACATCCACACGATGGACGAGCTGAAGATGACGGGCAACTGCCTGAAGGGCTCGCGGCCGATCCTGTCGTTTGACTCGAACTTTGATTCGCAGCCGCACCTGCAGCTGCTGAAGGAGGTGTTTACACAGACATTTGCTGTGCCGAAGGGCGCGCGCAAGAGCAAGCCGTTCTTTGACCACGTATACACGTTCAGCATTGTGGACAACCGCGTGTGGTTCCGCAACTTCCAGGTTGTCGAGAAGGACCCGGAGACCGGCGGCGACATGGGGAAGGACGCGAAGCCGACGCTGGTCGAGATTGGGCCGCGGTTTGTGCTGAATCTGATCCGCATCTTTGAGGGCAGCTTTGGCGGACCGACGCTGTACGAAAACCCAAGGTACATTTCGCCGACGGCTGTGCGCTCGGCTGTGCGCAACCAGAAGGCGACCAAGTATGATGCCCACCTGGCAGCCAAGCAGGAGCGCGAGGCGCGGCTCAAGGAGAACCCGCTGCCGGTGGATCCGCTCAAGGATGTGTTCAACTAGGCGCTTCTACAATATATCGGTTCACCGAGCCTAGAGGGTATGTGGGAGGCAATGTTGGTTAAAAGATAGTGAATGTTGAGGGAAAAAGTACACTTAGAATTGGAAGTTTGAGAAAAGTAGAAAATAGGACATTGGGAAAAGGCGGTCCTCCGCTCTAGATGGTGGGCTTTGAGAAGCGGCGAAGACGGCGGGCCGGCGGGATCGGGCTGGCTGTGGCGCTACTGCCATTGGCGACAGCGTTGATGTTATGCGCCAGCGCAGCACCATTGTGTGCCAGCGCAGCACCATTGTGTGCCAGCACGCTGGGGTTGAACACCGACGGGATAGGTGGCATCGCGTTGCTGTGCGCACTGGCTGCGGCAAACATCTTTCCACGGTTATAGTGCGACGCCCCGCTGACGGTGTTGCGGCGGGCCAGGCCGCTGCCTCCGCTGATCGTGCGGCGACGGCTCAGGGTGCCAGCAGGCGAGCCGGTGATGTCAGCCATCTTGCTGTCGGGGTTGAAGTACCTCATGTCCGATGCCTCAAAATGGTACTGCTTGGCATGCACGAGCTCGTTGGTGCGCAGGTCCTCGAGTGCCTGCTTGGCGAGTCCGGGGCTGGTGAACCAGGCAATGGCACGGTTGCGGTTGAACCACTTGATGCGCACAATGTTGTCGTCGCGCTTGTATGCAACAAAAAGCCTCTGCAGATCCGTGGTCTCGAGCGGGCACGGGAAGTCGTGCAGCTCGATGGTGACCTCGGGGCGGTACTTGTAGCGGATGTGCTCCTCGTCGAAGGCTGGGTACGGCGAACCGGTCTCAGACTGGTTGACCGAGGCCGTGGCAGACGTGGCGTTGGACCGCGGATGGTCGTACTTTTTGTTGAAGTCAGCGAGATCGCTGGGCTGGAACACATAGTGCTTGGCTTTGGCCAGCTGGCTGGTGCTCAGATCGTCCAGCACACGGCGGGCTATATGGGGCGGGATTTAAAAATAGGCATGGTATAAAAATAGGAACGGAAAAAACTGCGCATGCAGCAAGAAAGTCGCTTGGTTGTCTCTCGGGCGCACGTCATAGCAGCCAAGACTAGTTAGTCCTGGAACAAGCACGACAATCGGCAAGAATCACCAGAAGCTAAAAATAACCTCTGGCAATTTCCTGTTGCAGAAGATACCTGGAAAAACATGAGGGCGGCTGTTGTCGGCGGGCCATTGAGGGCAGAGGCGAGGCACTATTGTCGTCTTCGGTCCCAAGCACCGACAATGGGACGGTTTCTGCTCCCCACACTCAACCAGCAAACGCCGTCCTGTCTCATCGCCTAAAGCAGACGGCTGACAGCCACAACAACAAAGCGCCAGAGACCAAGGCCAACAATACGAATAAAAAAGCACTCATCTCATGCACCTGGGAAATCAGCAATAGTGAATGAAGAGTAGGACACATACCTGTCTCTGCGCGGCGGAAAACAGCGAGGGCGCGGGTGTCGTTGAGCCACTTGATGCGGTATCCGCCGCGCTCGCAGCGGTGGTGCTGGTAGGGCTCGAGCATCTGGTTCAGGTCGGCAGTCTCAAAGTCCGACGAGAAGCTGTGCAGCTCAATGGTCTTGTCTATCGGATACTTGCGCTTCACTGTGTCTTCGGTCCACGCCGAGTGCTCCTTGGTGCTCATGCTCAGGCTGCGGAACCGCCGCAGCGTCGAGTTTTTCTGCTCCTCCAAGTCTAAGCAAACAACGGGCATTAATGGCAGTGTCGGTGCAGTAAATGTGTCGCTTTTGTAAGCAGTACGTTACCATCGCCCGCGCTCGGGAATCTCAGGAACGCCTCTTGCGCGACCAGCGGCTTGGTGGCCAGGGCTGCACTCAGGGCGTCGCGAATCTGCGCATGCTGCTCGGGAGTCGTCGTATCAGCGGTCTTTGCGTTGGGATCCATGGGGGGGGCAGCTGGTGTCGGGTAGGCGTGTTTGCAATTGGGCCGAAAGGGCAGTGGTACACTGTGCAAATGGCAAGAAGGGGAAGTGAGGAGGAAATATACAGGAGGACAAAAAACCTGGACGGTTAAGGAGAAAAAGGGTTAAACAGAGCTCAGCAGGGGTCCAGCCGCTTTATACGCTTGCGGATCATTCGGGCTGTTTTTGCACTGAGACACATACACGCCTGCCGCCCCCTCTTCCGCAAATGCACCGCCTGGTACGCCAGTCACCCGACATGGGGTTTTTTGCTGGGATCCTCGGCTTCGACAATTAGCAGGCAGTTCCTGATTGCCGTTTGATATATCACCGGCAGCGATTAATTCCACGCAGTATTCAATCGCCCACATATCGGCCCTCCCACGGCTTGGAGCTGCTTGGCAGCAGCGCTGTTGCAGGTGCGATCCTGAAGCTCTATCGAAGGCGTGAATGCCTGCTGAGTAGACAGGTCATACCGGCCGTGGCGAGAATCAGCCGAAGATTTCCGGGGCGCTCTGCGTGGAGTTGGGTCACCCTTTTCACTTGGGCATGGTGCGAAGAGAAAAACGTCAAGGAGCGACCGTACACGTGCTTCATCGAGTGCTGTAGACGGGCTCCCAGAGTTAACACCTCCCTCGCAAAACGGGCAATAGTTTTTGCCCTCCTCTTTAGCCAGAGGGAAGCAGACACCTAGCAGGTGTTTCCTTTTTTCTTCTTCCCTACGCTCCTCACTTTTTGTCGCCTTATCTTTCTAGACCACTCTGTTTCTGGTATTTTTCGTTTCTTTGGTCTCCCTTTCCACGCTGCGGTACCCGTTATTTGCTGCATTCCTGAAGGGCCATTCTTTCCGTTTGCCGGCAGCTCAGCGCGACTACCTTAGCTCCCGCAAGCACAGATATCACGCAGCGAAGCCCTAGTCACAGGGTTGCTCACAATATACCAGCGCAAGAGCAAGCCAAGAGGCAGGCCTGTTTTACCCACATCCGCATCCTCCTACAAATAACATTATTTACACTTTACGAGCGCAATGAAGGTAAGTAGCGCGTCGCATTCCGGGGAAGGGGGCGCATTCCGCCGCAGAGAAGACGCAGCACCAGCTAAAATGCCATTCCCGCTCATAGTTCGGCAAGCATATTCAGGCGCAGACCATCCCTGAGTGGGCAGCGCACTATATGAGCTACAAGTCCCTGAAAAAGATCATCAACGAGCTCACAGCACCACTGACGCCCGGGGTGAGCCAGTCCGAGGCAGCCAAGCAGCGGCTGAACACGGTCAAGGCGGCATTCTTCTTCCAGCTGGACCGTGAGCTCGAAAAAGTCAACCTGTTCTACCTGCAAAAGGAGGCGGACTACAAGGTGCGGCTCAAGTCGCTCATTGACAAGCAGCGATCACTGAGATCACGCGGCCCACGCAATCGCACGGCAACTATCCGGGCACTGCGCGAGGCATTCCTGCAGTCGCGACACGATCTAGACAAGCTGCAGAACTTTGTCGAGATCAATGGCACGGGGTTCAGAAAGATCCTGAAAAAGTGGGACAAGCGGTCAAAGTCGTCGACAAAGGAGCTGTATCTGGCGCGCCAGGTCGAGGTCCAGCCGTGCTTCAACCAGGATGTGATTGCCGAACTCTCGGACACAGTGACGCAGTGTCTGAGTGAGCTCGAGAATGCACTGGAGGAAACCGAGCTGATGGCGCCCACGGCGCTGCCGACGCAGCTCGATCTGATCTCGTCGCCGTCGCTCCGGGCATCACTGAACCTCACATTCTCACATGCCACCTCCATAATTGGTTCTACAGCACCCGCGCCACCGTCGATTGGCGAAACATATGGCGAGGATATGGTGCCGGATAATGCGCCTGCATCTGTTACAGCTGGCGCTGGTGACAGCGGGCTGCAAGGATTCGGGCTGCCTCGCAGCGTGCAAGTCGATCGGATGGAGGCTGAGCTTTTCCACGCCATTTCACAGGAATCCAACATAGCTGCTGTCGAGATCCTGGAGCTGTACAAGCTGCAGCGGCGCGACGAGCAGCGCGCCTGTGTCACCAGGGTGCTGTGGCGTGCGTGTGCGGAGCTCAAGAACCAGGCTACACACCAGCAGCTCATCGACACGGGTCTTGCAGATTTGCGCTCGGCCGACGACATCAATGAGCGCACGCTGGCACACGAAGCTGCAATCCACGGATCACTGGCAATTCTGAAGGCGGCGATCGAAGCAGGCTGCAGTGTGGACGACCCAGATTACTACGACCGGCGACCAGTGCACTACGCGGCGATCAACGGGCACGCCGATTGCGTCGCGCATCTGATCTCGCAAAAGTGCGATGCCGGGTCAATTGATGACGATGGCAACTACCCGTTCAACTATGCAATTATCAACGGCGACGAGCAGTGCGCCCGGCTGTTGCTCGACTATGACAGGGAGACCGCCTACGGCACCCCCGACCACCCAATGCTTATTCTGGCGTGCCAGATGGGCCGCGAGACAATCGTGGTAATGCTACTGGAGGCAGGGGTTGAGATTGCATCCAACGCACAGGGTGTTCATCCAGCTCACGTCACAGCACGTGCTGGGTTTGCCAGCATCCTCAAACTCCTGCTGTCGCACGGTGCATCGGTAGACGTGGTCGACAAGGACCTGGGGTGGACGCCGGTGTTCTACGCAGCGAGCGAGGGCAACACCGCATGCATTCGCCTGCTGCTTGAAGCCGGCTGTGACCTGGACATCGAGGACGAAGCAGCACGGTTGCCGCTGTACTATGCTGCTAATGAGGGCCACATGGAGTGTGTCGATCTGCTGCTCGAAGCGGCCAAAGCAAAGCAGGAAGCAAGCGCCGAGGCGGCTGGTGACGTCGACGTGCAGTCCCAGCTGACTGGAAAGATGGGTGGCGTGCTGCTCAGCGGATCGCCCGCGCAGAGCCAGCAGCCCCAGGCGGATGCAGGCATGGCGGCTCAGCCGAAGGAATCGGCAATCGCCGATGCACCCATGCCTATGGATCTCGATCTGGATCTCGACGGAATCCCGTCGCTGGCGCTGCCGCCGCCGCTGATTCCGTTCCGTATATACGGACACAACTTTCTGGGCAAGCGCACGCGAATCCAGATACGCATGCATACGCATCGTGCAGCCGGCGGCCCGCCCATTGCTTTCAGCGACGACCGCGATATGATCTCGCTCAAGCTCGTGGTTATAGCCAAGCCCGACGCCGGCATGGTGCCGCACACTGTCATGCTGCCACTCGAGACTCCGTCGACGACGTTTGGATTCCAGACTGACGACCCGAGCCAGTTCCGCTTAGAGTTCCAGCTGTACCCGAGCTTTGGCCTTCAGCCTATGGGCAAGGCCATTGCGCTGCCCAGCCTGTTTGCCAGCTCGTCGGCTGGAATAGCACGGCTGCCGCTGCTGGACCGGTATTTGAAGCTGGTGGCCGAGGTGTCGTTTGAATTCTTGGCAATCCGGCCGTTTGAAGGCGCGCAGCTGCAAATTGGCGGCAAGGTCGAGACGTACTGGAAGTCGACTAACCCCGCGCCAAGACCGAATCCTAGCCTGACTCCGACAGTGGGGCTGTCGCCACGCCTAAACACTATTACCACACCAGGTGCAACTGTAGCCAGCGCGTTGATTGGGTCGCCGCACTCTGTCGCCGAGTCAGTAGGACCCAGCGGACAGAGTGATGCTGGCATGTCGCTGGTAGTCTCGTCATCGCTGGCGCCCGAGCACGTGTGTGTCCAGGTGCAGGTGTGCATGGACGGAGTTCCGGTTGTCTGCCCGCGCGAGACCATCCAGACCGGCGGCGACTCGAGTATTTCCGTGCGGGTGTGCGATCTCCGGCACACCGAGTTTGTGCGGATGATCAAGCAAGCCGGCACCAAGCCCACCGGCGACTCGTCGGCGTCGGCATGGCACAGCTACATCCGGGACGCTGGGTTCACGCTACGCGAGGTGCTTGAGATGCTGCCGATCCGGCTCGGCCTTAGCATCCAGGTCATGTACAGCACGAACCAAAAGCCAGGCAATGCAATCTCCAGCGGCTTGCGGTTCGGCGGCTGCGACGTCAACGACTACATTGACTCGATCCTGAAGACCGTCTACGACGACTCGCACAAGCGGGCGCGCACGCAGCCGCCTGCACCCAATGCGAGCGCCAGCATTCTCGAGCGGGTCGCCAACGACCTGTACCGCAAGGATACGGGCCAGCGCAACATCATCCTCTGCTCGTACAGCTCGCAGGTGTGCATGGCCCTGAATTGGAAGCAGCCCAACTACGCCGTGTTCATTCTGACGTCTGGGCGGCACCCACTGGACCCAGCCACGGTGGATGCGCCGAGCCTCAACGCGCGGCCCCAGCACCTGTCGCTGAAGGAGTCGGTCAGATTCGCCTGCGACAACAACCTGCTCGGCATCATGTGCGATGCCGCGCTACTGACGCGGGTCCCGTCGCTGATTGCCAGTGTCAAGAACAATGGACTGTTCTTGATATCGTTTGGCGCCAACAACGGTGACGAGCAGATGTGCGCTCAGCAGAAGACGCATGGCGTCGACGCCATCATGTACCACGGCGTGATCAAGTACGAGGCCGAGCATGCCGAGTATGCCATTTGAGCCAGCTTAGAACCCAGTATACCTTTACTTTCACACAAGATTTTATAATAGTCCAAAAGTGTCCGGCCGTCCGCCAGAGCGTTGTTGATTGAGGGGATTCATCCTCTTTTGAGCCTCACAGCGAGTATGCGTGGCACGCTCTGTAAACTCAACAAACAGTACTCTCTTTTGGTCGACGAGCTCAGATCCCAAGGTGACAAATACATGTCTTAAAAGCATTCGAAATATCGGTCCCAGAACCTTAGTTCTATCAAAGCACCATTCATGTCAGTTCGCATTTTGTAGATGCAGTAATGTAATAAACAAACCACCCAGCTTCCACATCCTCGGCGCTTGGACTTGGAACCATGAGCTTAAGTCTATGGGGTGATAACGGGCTGTCTGCACGGCCCGCAATCGGTCTCATTAGTTTATGAGAGTGCTCAAAAAAAGGAACCATTGGCTTGCTGGCCAATACATATCCTACATATAGAAGTTGCCCTTCCTGTGTCATCCATCTTTTCTAATACCTCACCCCTTCTACACATTCCGACTTCCGTACAACCCCCTCCCTTACATTCCGTTATTTAATCTTCGTGGCTGCCAGCCATGGGATACCTCGGTGCGGGGCTCGACTCGGTGATGTGCATCAGCAGCCACTCGATGGATATATCTGACTATGCAAGAATCGCCTGCTCTGGGCACTGGGATGAAACACTGCTTTTGCTCTGCAACCTTCTGCGATAAACATCGTTATTCCATACCTACAGGCTGGTTCCATCGGGCTCTCTTTGTGGGCACATACCTCCTGCTGTGCCAGACAGGCAAGGCTCTTGCATGGTTTTACCACTGATCCTGCCCCCGATGGCTCTGCTGCCACCCAGACTGCAAGCAGTCCCCTAAACAAGATGCTAACAAATGTATTTTTTTTAAGTCTTCTGGGCGGCTACTGTGTTAGCCATAGGCTGCGAAGCCCTGTGACAGACTCCCTGCAGCACTATCGGCTGTCTAAACCATACTGACTAGCCGAGTTTGCATCGCAAACGGCATAAGTCTGGCACATGGGTTATTGAAAACCGCTGCGGTGTTGACAGCGCCAATGCTGTTTAGGTTCGATGTGCGTGCTCCTGAGCCGGCTCGGCTTGCACGAGTCACCTGCCATTGTGTACCGCTGTGCTTTTTTATTTTATTTATTTTTTTCAATTTGTGCCGAAATCGCGCGTCTGCAAACTTTGCTTCTGCTCACATTCAATAATTCAAAATCACATCACAGCTCTGAAAATACAGCATGGCGCACGGAACTGTGCTCAACACAGGTATTGCGTCCGTCAATTTCGCATCGCTTGGTGATTCAGTTCTCCGGCAGCGCACAGTACGCGCAATGGTATACGAGCTGGCACTGGCGTATGGAATCGCAGTGCTAGCAAATATCAACCTTAGACACGGCATATGGTGCCTTCTATACGCAATGTTTTCATCAGGCACGTTCCTGTATACCATCCTTGCATACGTTGTTGGGCTCGGTGTGTTGACGCTGCATTCGATGCTGTGCTATGTGGAGCGCGTGCCCGGGAATGGTGGGTTTGCGCGGCTTCAGCGGCTGCTACGGAGCCCGGAGCGGACATTGCTGGTGATGCTCTGGTACATGTTTTCTGCGAATATCATGTTGTTTGCGCACCGGGTGGTGATGGGCGGCAGTGTGTCGAGGATGTGGCTGTATCCCGAGGGCTTCTACGGGGCGCCGCAGCTGAATCCGGCATGGCTAGCGTCGGGGGCTCTGGCGACAGCGAGTGGACTGGCATATGCGGTGCATATGATGGCTGACGAGCGTCTGCAGCTGTCGTTCCCGATGATTGAGCAAGGGCGCGTGTACGCATTCAAGGATCGCATCCCCGAGAGCTTTCTGAAGGTGGTCCGGTTTGCGCGGCGCTCGATTGCTTGGTTCTGGCCCGTGTACTTTGTGACTGGCTGGATGGTTTACCGCGGGGCGTGCGCGGTGATTGGACGTATTATGCGCACATCGTCGTATGCGGTCGGCAACCCGCTGCTCAGCCCCAGCGCTATCGGGTTCTGGCTGTACAGCGGCACGCTGACGGTGCTCGTATGGGAGCTGACCCACCAGCTGTATGAGGTTATCACCACGCAGCCGACGCGCATTAACGAGATGAGCCGTGATTCTAACATGTGCCTGGTCAATGGGCTGAAGCACACTGGTAACCCGCTGGTCCAGCATCTGGCATTCCAGGAGCTGTATCGCCTGGCGATGTTCCGTCCAGCACAGCGGGCAGAGCTGCTGACGGACATTGATCGTAGCTCAGGCTCAATGTGGTCGCAGGTCTCCAAGGAGTGTCTGGCAGTTGTTGAAACGGCGCGAGCGCAGCTGGCAGCACAGAATGCCGATGTGGCCAAGCCCAAGGTGGATGCTGTCAAGCCCAAGGCAACGACCACGGCACTGAGCAGCGGCAATGCGCCGATGGGCGACATTCTGCGGCGTGGCGGACGCCCAAAACCAGAGGAGCCGCAGCTGCAGCCGCCTCTCCCGTCTGGACTGATTGGCGGGTACAACGTGCCGCCCAAGGCCACGTCGTTGGACCTGTTTGGCCCCGAGGCCCAGGGATTCGAAAAGTACGTGCTGACGAAGCTGCGCGACATGCTGGTGCAGTCGCCGCTTGGAACCAAGCTGCTGGCGCGCACGCCGCAGGCCAGCTCATTGGCGGTGTTTGGCAACTTCCAGCAGCAGGTGTGGGCTGTGCGCTCCGTGATGCGGTTGGTTGAGGCGTCGCTGACCGAGGACTCGTACGGCGTGGTGCAGGGCGACCTGCCTGGCATTCTGGCGACGATACTAGGGTACCTGTCGGAGCTTGAGCGCTGCGTGAGCCAGAGGCAGGGACCGGCAGTGGTCCGGGGTGAGTTTGTCGTGCAGGCGACCGAGCGCCAGGCGCATGCCATGATCCAGGTACTGCGCAACGTCCTGTACGCCTTTGTCGTTTCGTTCTACGACTACCTGGCGTCGCTGAAGCTGACCCCCGAGGTCGCACAGCAGCTCCAAGCCTTTGTAAACTTCCAAGCCTGAATGGCAATAAATCCCAATTGCCCTTGTGACCAATCGAGTGCAACAAGCCAGCTGAAGCGGGAGAGTTGACCAAAGGGGCTATTTAGAGCGGTCAAAATGCCACCGTGCATTCTTGCTTTTCTCCTCCCTGAGCCTTCTTTTCTTCTTTTCTCCACTCATTCCACGCTTCCTATTGCAACACTAGTCACACGTTTGGCAGCAAAGCATATCCTGCCCCAGCACTACTCCTCTATTGCTTGGCACAAACCTCCCAGAGCGGGCTCCTCCCCCAGCACCAGCCAGGGGTTCTCATTCACTCAGTTCCTTTTCACACAACACACGGCTTCTTCTCGGAGAAAAAGGCGGAATTTGCTAATGTCCCGAATGCTGCTTATCGACACATCATACGCGGCCCTATCGGTAGCTGCGCTCGTCGGGCTGTTCTTCAGCACGGCGCCGCGGCGGTCCCTGGACGAGTTTTCGCGAAAATGTACTGTTATCCCAGACCACTCGCCAAACAGGCGCAACAGACTTTATTTGGCAGTATACTGACGGAACACCGCCCTCTTTTGTTGACATAGGCCACATGGATATCTCGCAGGCACGCAATGGTGATATAGCGTACCGCGACCAGTTCACAGTCAAGTACTATTCGCCGGATCTCTGGTGCAATGTCAGCTGGCTGCTGGTAGCATTGCTCTCGAACAAATGGCGGATGCTGGTAGGTTAAGCCATGTGGAGGTCGCCAGCCTTTAGTTTCCCCGAGTTGCAAACCCCCGCTGCTCTCACACTAGCAGCCCTGTGCAGCTACACTGGGTCAGGGGATAGGGAGGGACTTGTCCTGCATGCGAAGGCAGGCATGGGCCTGGCATTGGTCATGTGCTTGCATGTATTCACAGATGCGTTCTTAGCGCTAACAGTTTCACACGGCTGGTACGTGCATGGTGTATGTATCGCTGTAGGGCCTGGTAAACGCTTTGGTGGCAACGGCGTCGCTAGCACGCAAGCTTCTGGTGCAGTTTATATTCGGGAGGCTGACACTCAATGACGCCCATGTAAGTTGGTTGCACGGCTACCACTGGCTAAATGCGAGGGTATCCTGTGTGGTGTATACACGCTGCATGCAAGGAACGCGTTCAATATTACTAATGTACTGATGCGCATTGATATGTGCACATTGTGTCATACATTCCAGACCGGTATTCAGCATGCTAACTGCCAATGAATTACACTGTAGCATTCGTACGATCGTATACTAAACTTTGTGCTATTCAAGGTGGTGTCGGTGCGCGCGACATTGGACGCAGACTGGGAGGATCTGGCCATATGGACCATCGCCTACTGCTGTTTTGGCGCACTGTACCTGATCGGCGGGCTTGCGCGGGACCACCTTGAGCACCTGCGCCTGTCGCCTGCACAGCCTGGGATCCGGTGGGGATTTGTTGGTCTGATGGCGATGCTGATGGTCCTGGCAACGGTCTTGGCGGGCGTGTGCTGGACAGTGCTGCGGCCGCTGTTTGGGATCCTGTTTATCGAGGCTCTGACAATCCTGTTTGATGTTGGTCAGACCCTGGTAAAATATCTGGCGTATGCATGGGACAGCGACAGCACCGAGTCGTGGGAGGCACGGTCGGACGCAGTGCTTGTGTGCGAGTTCAGCACTGACATCTGCATCCTGCTGCTGACGCTCCTGCACTACACGCACATTCTGGTGATCAACGGCATCACGCTGAACATTGTCAGCGTCCTGGTGTTCCTGAATATCCGCAGCATCGCCAGCAAGCTGCTGCGCAAGGTGCGCAAGCTGGTTGCATTCTGGCGTGCCGTGGAGAGTATGCGGTGCAGGTTCCCGGACGCCAGCAAGGAGGATATCATTAGGTTCAACGACAGATGCTCGATCTGCAGAGAAGTGCTGCTGACGGCCAAGAAGCTGCCGTGCGACCACCTGTTCCATAGGTCGTGCCTGAGGTCGTGGCTCGTCAGGCATCTGTCGTGTCCGACATGCAGAGTCGCGCTGTCCGAGGGCGACATTGGGCAGTGGGCTGCAGTCAGCACCCAGGCATCGCCGGATGCGTCCGAGCACGGGTCAGACATGATATTTGCGGCTGCCACTACGTCACAGTAAGAGCACGCCGCTGTTTGGCTGCATATCACTCCATGTGCGCTATCACACATCGCACTAGCCCTTTCCCACCCTACGCCTAGCCCATATCGCTGGCACATCTTATCACTCTATCCACCTCAATGTACAAGTAATTCACACGTATCATAGGCCACAGACGTTGGTGATGGTTGCTTCTAGAAATGACAAGAGGAATATAGGCACTTTTGTTTTCTACGCGTTGCCAAGCTTAGCCTCGGCCTCCTTGACCGCGTCGCGCTTGCGGTCCATCTGGTCCATCCACGACTGCAGTAGGCGCACAGCCTGCCGCCGCCGCTGCCTCGCCTTGTCCGCCTCGGGCGGGCACTCGACGCAATCCACCTTTAACAAACTCTGCATCAGCGTCTCGTTAATGAACAGGTACGAGTCATGCAGCTTTTTCTTCTCCGCCGCGCGGATCTCGGCCATCGCCTCGCCGTGCTCCGAATTCTCGTGCACAGTCGACAGGAACTGATCGATGAACAGTTGTGCGTCGGCCAGATACGCCTGCATGCGTGACAGCAGCAGGTCCGATGCCTCGTTGGTGATGTGGTCGATCTTGTGGATCAGCGCGTTTTCTTCGCGCTCCTCTGCTGTCACCGGCGCGCTCTTCTCGCTGCCGTGCTTGCGACCCAGCATCTTCATCGTGGCCCCTGTGTATACGCCATAGCGCCCCAGCGTCACATTATCCTCCTTCAGGGTAGCTACAAGGATCAGGAACAAGATAGCGTTTTAAGCGGAATCCCATGCACATGCAACTGGCGCGTGGGACTGGATGTTGTTTGCAGACTTACCTCCGCTGAAGATAATCTTCATGCTGTTGACCGGCACGCCGGTGACTTCGCGGCACACCTCCTTGAACTGACCCAGCGTGGTATCTTGCAGATCGTTCTCTTCGTATTTGAGCAGGTAGCGCTCACGGCCCCATTGCAGGACCAGGGGCGGCGCAGTCATTTTGTCTTCTGGGGCTGTCAATGTGCGAAAAGATGGGCAGCGGGACAGAATTCGTCCAAGCAGGACGAGTGGCAGTGCGTAATCGACCGAAATGGTTAACACGAACGTAGCAGAAAAGAAAGGTTGCCTCTTCCTTTTCCCTCTCAAAAAATCGCAGGTGAGTCTCCTTCGGCTCAAAGAATTGGAAGAAAACGGTTGTGCGAAAAAGGCGAAGAGAAAAAGGGTCGGTGGACGCCGATGAGTGTTAATAACTGAGGGCTTCAGAAGCTTGTAAAAATGTGGAAAAGAGCTGGAAAAACTCTGTTGCCCGCAAACATTCGATCCTAGTTGCCATTGGCCCGCAAACTGGAACCGCAGCGCAGAGGCTCCCCAGGGCATCCGAAAAATGCGGGTTGGTCCGGCTCGCAAGAAGCTGAGCAATTAGCCCTGGCAGCAGTCGGGTTTGATCACGGCGGTCCTCTGCTTCGTCTCTGCTTTTTCATCTTTATCGCCACCTGATTCATTATGCTGCGACCCCTGGTCCGACGCTTCCCAGCAGTAGCCCGTTCCCACACACCGCGCGTGCTTTGCGCGCCTTTTGCCTCTGTTTTCCGCACTATTCCAGTACTCGCAAGAAGCACCAGAATGTACACCGTTCCTACCTCACCCATCCATCGACAACAAGCAACCCATATCGCCGCCAGCGCCGGGCGCCAAGCCGCGCAATAGCACTGCCGCCGTGGAGTTTGTCAGGCATGTGCGCGAGACGTTCGAGGACGCCTACAGGCATGCATCAGTGACGTCAGCAACTCTGCTACACAGCAGCAGTCATCCCAGCGTGGTGACACTCGAGTACTCGACGTCGCAGCGCGACTTTGCACGCAGCACCAAGCGGCGGGCTGAACACGTTTCAGTGCTCAGCGTATCAGGCGCCGGCGTCACCTGTGCTGGCAAAGAGCTCGCCGACGGACTCGGCAACGGCAGTAGCAAGATCTCGGTCGCCGCACGATCCCTCCCTGCACGTAGTGTTGCGCAAGGATGACAAGGCGCGGTATGTTGAGGTCTGGCGAGACGAGGCGCTTGTGAAGACCATTAGCGTGGGCGACACGCATGGCAACTTTTACAGCGACTCGACATTTGGCGGGATTGCGTGGTCGCCAGACAGGAACACGGTGGTGTATGCAGCCGAGCAGCCTGAGTTTGCTGCTGCCAAGGAAGACGATGGCGTCATTGATGACGATATTGCTGGTGGGATCAGCGATGACCTCACCGGCGCCGTTGCTGGCGTTGCTGATCCGCGCCGCTATGCCCTCGACAGTGACTGGGGAGAGACATTTAATGGCAAGCGCCCGCCCGTGCTGGTCACCATTGACATCGCCAAGGCATCGATCAGGGCTATCCCTAGCATAGAGAATGTGTCGCCAGGCCAGGTGCAGTTCTTGCCAGAGCAGCACGATGGCGCTCGGCGCATTGTGTTCACCGGATACAAGCACGACGTGCGCAAGCACGGAATCGTGTACTGCCAGAACCGCCCGACGGCCCTGTTTATCAGCGACTTGGATGGAGCTAACGTCGACAAGATCGCAGAGGGCTCAGTCAGGTCACCGCGTGTCACGCCCTCTGGAAAGGGCATTGTGTATATCTGTACGCCGCTGGGTGGGCCACATGCTGCGACGTCAGAGCTCTGCATGTATGACTTTGCTTCAAAGCTGACAACCCCGCTGGTGCCGATTATCAACCGACCACTAGACAAAGCGCAGACCATCAATGGAACGCAGCTTCCTGAAGGGTTTGTTGGGCTCTACATTGACCAGCTGCCGCTCGACCCATGGGCAAATCCAGAACATACCGATGGCCGTGACGTGATGGTCTTTGCGTCGACATGGCGCAGCACACAGGCAGTACTCTCGCTCGATGTGCAAAATCGGAAGCTTACTCGCCACTCACCTGTGGATGGAACCGCCAGCTACTCCGTCATAAGTGTCAGTGGGGATCTAGTTGTCGGCACGAAATCAACACCCGCACAACCCGCCGCGCTGGTGCTTGGTCGGGTATCCCAGCCAACGGACGCTGCTCAAACTGCGATCCAATGGCACGACATCGGCAAGCCGCATGACACTGGGCTGGAGTGGAGCATCATCCCTGGAGATCGCGATTCGTGTGAGAGCATCTTTGTGCACCCAGCCAAGCATTCATCGGCCACTCGGTACTTCTGGACCGACGATAAGCCTGGGTCCCGCCCGCTGGTTGTGCAACCGCACGGTGGACCGCATTCAACGTACACGCTTGACTTCTCCCCCACTGCCGCAGCACTCGCCCAGCTCGGATTCGGCGTGCTGCTAGTCAACTTTACCGGATCGCTTGGGTTCGGCCAGGACGCCGTGCTGGCGCAGATCGGACAGTGCGACACCCTCTCGCTGAATGAGATTCAGCATGCTGCGCGAGCTGTGCAATGCTCCGGCGGCGGCGATCCAGCATCTACCGTGTACGTTGGTGGGTCGTATTCTGGCTACACAGGCGCACTTTTGGCAGGTACAGCTCCGGGGTTCTATCGCGGTATCGCCTTGCGCAACCCGGTGATCAGCATCGGTGAGAACGCCGCCATGACCGATATCCCTGACTGGTGCTGGGCTGAGCTCGGACTTGAGTATGATTTTGCCAACCCGCCCGAGATCACCCCGCAAGCGTTTGCCAAGATGTGGGATGCTTCGCCGTCGCGGTTTGTCGACAAGGTTGTTGACCCCATGCTGTTGCTGCTGGGTGCGTCTGATCGCCGTGTGCCACACCAGCAGTCGCTCAACTACTATTATCGTCTGAAGGCAGCAGCCAAGGCCGACGTGCAGTGCAAGATTTACCCGGATGTTGGGCATCCGCTGGACACGATCGAGGCTGAGCGCGACTCGTTTGTGAGCATCGCGCGATTCTTTGCAAAGTCACTTGGCAAGTAGCATTTTTATATTTGAAGCCAATATATCATCTCACCCGTGATAGACATAGGGTATATCATGGATTGTTGAGATATTACTAGAAATACTCTGCTCGCGATGCGAGCTCGGCTGCTAGTCAGCATGGGTTGACACGTCGATAAGAGCATCACGGCGAACCGGTCATTTGAACGTGTCGGATGGTTGCTGGTGCAATATCGATCATGGACATCTTCCATCTTGGTGGCTTGCTCAGCGCAGGCGCTTCAGCGCTGGCTCGCTGCTGCTGGCAACAGAATCGCCTGCTGCTGCTGCACGCCTCTTGCGCGGCCTCTTTGTTGCCGGAGTGGTGCCAGAAGTATCAGCAGCAATGGTCGTAGAACGATAGAATTGTTCAGGAATACTGCCTGAATCACAGAGTGGCTGGAAAATGAGTCTGAAGTTTAGAACTGCTGCGAGATCGCGGTTCAAGAGCCGAGACGAATAGGCCCGCCTGTATTGTGCCATGGCCCGCCTACATGACTCGCTTGTACAGCGGAGAAGGCCATGGCACTTCACAGTTGGGTTCTTCGATCTCTGGTAGGGCCGCGGACTGGGAACATGCCGGAATGTCTGCAGCGACTTTTCGCAGCAGAATGGGCACATCGACGATGTCCGGAATTCGTCAACCAGATATACTTCAAAGCCATGGTGCTTGAACTTGTCGCGCCATCCCTTGCCACGAATTGGCGCATGGTATCGGGCCATCGGCGCACTCCAATTGCCCATGATCAGCACTGGATCTGGACCGAACCTGCTCCGGAGTTTTGCGGCAATCCTGTGGTCTGCACGGTCCTGGTTCATGAATGAATCAAGACATAGCTTGCGGTGAAGCGGGTACACCTTGGGACTGGTCCCGACACCCGGATGGGCCTTCCAGCGCCTCTGGTGCTGCTTGTTTGACTTAGTGAGCTGCTGCTCTGGTAACCTTCGCGCTGTCATCATGTTGGCATAAAACGGTGCTAGGACACACCGCACAGATGCACGGGCAGCAACGTAGGCACGGAATTTTGCTGGGCTAAGGGTCCGGCAGCAGTGCTTGGAAAGCTCTGCCTCTGCTCTGCGGACAGCATCTTCTGGGACTTGATCCTTTATACCCCGACAAATCCTGCCATAGTGGCGCAGCTTGAGCTCCTTATTGCGCTGCTGCCGTGTGTAGCGGTAGAGCATCTTTTCACCCTCTTTCCCATTGCTGCTATTTTCGTGCATCATATACAGTAAATCGCCCCGACCTGGATCGATGAATACACAGCGGCCTTTCAGATTCTGCAGCTCTGGCTGTGGAATCTGGTGGATATAGCGACAGTCAGCTATAGTATTGCCTCCCACAGCACCACCTCCTGCAGCATCGCCTGTAGCATCGCCTCCTGCAGCACCAGCCTTAGGTACCTTGTCTTGCAACAAAATGCATATCGTTATACCATCTGTTGTTGCCATTCCGTGGAATTTTCTATCACCATGCGCCTTAAATGGCTTTGATGTTAAATCTGCAACCCGGCCCCACACATCCCACACAGATTGTGTGATCCCTTGGGCCAGGTCGTGTGCACAGACTGGGGGTGCTGGTGCATATGCATTGTCAAGTGCTGCAACAGTGTCTGCTGCTGCCGCCGATGCACCAGCAAGCGAATCAGCCGCTACTGCTGCAGTTGCTGTGCTGGCCTCTGTTTCATCTGATGGCATCTTTGCTGCTTCGTGTGCAGCCTTCTTGGCCAATTTTACGCCCTTTTCTGCTGCTTTCCTTGCCTCTGTTGCTGCCCTCTTTGCTGCATTGATCTCTGTAACCTGCTCGTATGCTTTCGAAATAAACACCTGCTTGATTATTTGCTTGTCTAAGTGCACATGGCCTGGGATCCATGATGTCCGCAGAGGCAAGCATTGGGGAGGAGACTTGCCGAGCTGCTCATTCTCGATAAGCTGGCATAGGCGAATGTATGCACACAGATGCTTAAGTGGATTTACCTTGGCATCATAGTATCGGCTGTCTTTGGCGAATCTGTACTTGGCATCATAGGCATTAAGGACTGGTGCCAGCTTGTTGTAGATTGCAAGCATCGGTGGGGTGAGCACACTGAGATCAGGGTGCCTAGAGGCAACTGCCTGGCGGAGCTTCTGTGCAGGTGCAAAAATACACACTTGACATGCATTATTGAACTCGGCCTTAGACACATTGCCCATTGTACTGTGCAGTGTGTTTTTGCGGCTGCGAATATCAACCAATTTGGCCAGAATCCGCTGTAGGCAACTGCCATAGTGCAACACAATGTTGTTCTTGTATGCTGTCATCAGCTCGGTATCCACGTATGTCGCTACCTGATTCATTTTGCGTATGCCATGTAGCTCGATATCGCTAGTATGTAATAGATAATCATAAATATGGTATCTAACTACATCACCGAAATCTGCACTCGACAGTTCTGACTTCTCCTTCCGGTTAACGAAATCCTCGGCAGACATGGCTGTCTTTGCCTTCAGATTGTGATAAATAAATAAATGAATTGAACGAAAGAATCCCTTTTTCACAAGTATTGAAGGGTCAAAAGCATCATCATCAGCTAGTTGATGGAGTAATATACATCGTGCAAGCATGTATGTATGCTCTTTGATGATATTGACGCTGTGTACAAATTGCTCTAGGCGGGGTAACATAGAATCACGGAAGCCAATACCACCGAGTGACATCATTCGCTACACCTCTTCGATTTCTGAAGATCTGGTGTTCATTAAGATACATGGAACACATCCGCAACATAAGGGAGAACAGACCAGGACGTCTACCTAACGGGCAGTTCAAGCTCAAGGACTGTTTTGGAGACGATGTGCGCGATGGCGAGCAATTTCGACTGATCTTTTATTTTTATGACGACCATTCATGCTACAGAGGCGAAGATCGAAATGATAACAATGAGCCAGAGTATGCCGAGCTCGAAATGCCCAGCAGAGAAACCGTTCTATTCGTTAATGGCGGCTCCATCTTCACCAGCGAGACCATCGGCGACATTGTATATCTCAAGTACAATGAACACTACCTCTACTGCTCGGAAGATGGCGGATGGCAGATAAAACTGATGCCTGAGCTTCCTGAAGAGAATGAGCGACTGCATTTGCAATATGACAGAAAAATGCTCACCTTTTCGCGGTGGAACAAAATTGGATGTCTCCATGTGAGCTGGTACCGCCATACCGGTGACGTGTATTTTCTGAAAGACAATGTGATAGACCCTTATGATGAGTGCTTAACACTTGAATTGGTAAAAATCTAAGGCAGTTAGTCGTAGTCAGTATAATAAACAGCATTTTTATACATTTCGAATGATGCTTTGAAAGTGAGCAAGCCGTAGAAATGTAGTGGGAATTGGAGAAAGCCGCTTGATATAGGACGGTGCTGGGTGATTAGTGAATACCGAGTCTGATATCGACTACGTACAAGCTCTATGTTTGAGATGGTTTGCCATTCCAGCGGTGTTGACAATGAACTGCAACTAAAAGTCACCTAGCGAGCACATGTATCTTAAAAGCTATTCAGCAAGCCGAGATGTTGACCAAGCAATCCCTCTTGGGATTAGCTGGACCGGTAACAATAAATGAGACTGCAGGAATCGCGACCGGTACCCCTTCAGAGTTGGACCTGCGCAGGTCATATGCGGCATCTGCCGGCAGTGCAGTCATACTTTTGCAGGATATCAGCTAGAACCGAGTAGATCTGCATCCACGCCAGGTTTCTTCCGATACACACACGGACGCCAGAGCTAAAGGCAAGAATATCCCTCATGCGCACCTCAGCGTTCTCGCCCAGGAATCTCTCTAGATCAAAGGCATCTGGGTTTGGCCATGTACGCGGATTGCGATGGCAAGCGTCAATCGACACGCAGATCTGGGTGCGGCTGGGAATAAATTTCCCCTGGGTGGTGCCTCCATCCCACGGAGCACTGCGCGGCAGCATGTCCAATACAGCAGGATTTAGACGCATGGACTCGTAGACACCGGCGGTCAGATAGGGCAATTTTACTTATGCTCTGCATACGGAATCAGGCGGGAAATCCCTGGAAACGCAGTTCGGATCTCGCTAGTGACGCGTTAGTGAACGCACGGGTGGTGCAGGAGGTTAATGAGCGTCCAGGTCAGCATGTTTCTGGTGGTGTCAGTGCCAGCTGTAAAGCAGGTGCCCTGGGTCCCATCTACATGAACATGGCCATTCCGTCTAACGCATATAATGCCGATGGTGACTACTAGCCGTTTATTGAGCGCAATATTCCAGTGGTGGTCTGATCTTGGTGTCGTTCCCCAAAGTCAGGCACACTCTGGACAACAGTACTGATGCTCTGGACAAGGAAATCATTGAGGGCTTGGGTATGGTCATGCATTCTTTCGTGGCAAGTTACTTGCAGTTGCAGATTTGACTCTGAGGACAAAATAAAGGTACCTGTTAACCTTCAGAGAATACGGTAGTTATGAGCTTTATGGAATGAATAAATGGAAATTTCGCTGAGGAGAAAAAAGGGAGGATGGGGCCGTTCCGGCCCACAAAGTTTATACAGGTGGGGATTTGGATCTGCACATGGTGGCGAAGGGCATGGGGTTGCCCGAATGTCAACAGTACCAAGATCATCAGCAACTGCAGAGGAGCAGGAGCTGGTCTACCAGACCACTGGTGTTGTGCCTACCTTGTCTGACATATCCATCTTTGTGTCGTTTCTGTTTGCGGTACTTCTTTATGCCAGGGTGCATGCGCTGCTGGCTGTGTATTCCAGGTGCTAGGAGAGCTGGCCTTCTTTTAGGCCACAATATAGTGTTTGCATTTGTCAGTTGCGTCATTTCCGCTACATTGCTGTTGCCCAGAACAAGCACTGAGGCAATATTGCCCAGGGTGGAGACAATGGATTTGCAGTATATGAGGGGGCGGAGCTGGTCACAGGGAGACGCACATTCAAGGGAGGTGCCACTTCCCTGTGTCCCAGCGGACTGAGCAGGGAAAAATCGCTCACCTGCATCATGTGGATCGTTTGGCGAGAGGCACACGCATTCTGCGCTGAGCAAACCGGCGGCGAAAACCGCTCAACTTCAGGATCTGCAGGCGCTCGGTGCGGATTCCATGCTTTCTGTTGGTGGGCAATAATGGCTCAATTCCTTCTGGCAGCACAGACTCCAGAAACCAGGGACCTGTGCATGCCTGGCTTTGCAACATCACAATGGTGCCATTTAGCAAGCCATTCACACAGCATACTTGCAAACCCGCTATATATACGGACGGGTAGTCCCAGCATCCAACATCATCTCCACTACACATACTTTGTATTTCCTCATTCACCAGCCCGTCCTTACACGGTGGCTTCTACTTGTATATTCACAGCAGCACTACCCAAAAAATCATCGCGGTCGCCGTATATTCCCTACGCACCTGCCCTATTGACCATTCGGCAACACCCACTATTCGTCCGCCTTGCTTCCTGTCTAATCGAAACGGCGCAGCAATTGTACGCACGCCACTCTTCTGTGCTTATCTCTAAAAAAAAACTCTACCCCAGACTGCGCTCCTCGACGAGAGTATTCGACGCAGCTGTCTATAAATCACCCAAGGCTTCCTTCCATCCAGACTAGCCGAGGTGCAAGGGCTTTGCCTATTTCTGCAGATCTACTGCTTTCAACAGCAACTACACCGACTATTGTACCTTACATACACCCCCGCTACAACCCACTCCACCATGTCACTCAATTCAGACAAGCAGACTATCGACTTCCGCTACAGCATCAGCAGCAGCACTGCGGCTCCAGACTCGGTGGACCATCATGCCGAGACACAGCCCGAGACAGAAACAGTGCTGAGCGTCACTGGCATGACATGCGCGTCGTGCGTCAACAGCATTGAAGGGCACATTGGCAGCTTTGACGGCGCCGTCAGCATCAGCGTCGATCTGATGACAGCACAGGCGACAGTGCGACACTACACACACGCCTTGCCCGTCGCCGACCTCTGCACAGCCATCGAGGACATGGGTTATGATGCAGCCGTGCTGAGCACCAAGACACTGGCTCCTGTCAGCGATGCCACGAAGGCTGACGCCAAGGCGATCCTCGGCGAGAGCGCAGTCGAGTCGTGGTTCAATGTCGAGGGCATGACGTGCGGGTCGTGCGTGGCGACCATCACATCTCTGCTCAATGACCTGCCGGGCGTGGAGGCTGCCGATGTGCAGCTTCTCACAGCACAGGCGATGGTCAAGCACATTCCGCGCGAGATTGGCGTGCGCGAGATTGCCGATGCCCTGACGGATGCCGGGTATCCAGCGACGCCGCTGGACGGGGCAGACTCGAGCAGCGCAGCTGATCCGTCGACAATGGCCCTGCGGAACCTCGAGAAGCACCGGAGGCAGGCCATGCTGCGCTTCCTGTGGTCGCTGGTGTTTGCCATCCCCATGCTCATCATCTCCATGATCATTGACATGGCGCTGCCGTCGTCGAACCCTGTGGCAAAGGCATTCCACCGCAAGGTGTTCCAGAAGTACTCGGTCTCGGTCATCTGCACCTTCTTCATCGCCACAGCCACGCAGTTCACGCTCGGCCTGTTCTTCTACAAGCACGCATACAAGTCGCTGGTGCGTGCCAAGACTGCCAACATGGATGTGCTGATTGCGCTGGGCACCACCGCCGCCTACGCTGGCTCGATAATCAGCGTGGCCTTGCAGCAGGGCGCTGGCGAGCAGTTCTTTGAAACCGCTGTGTTCCTGATGACGTTTGTGTTCCTCGGCCGCTGGCTCGAGGCAATCGCCAAGGGCCGCACTGTCGGCGCTGTCGAGGCCCTGGTGAAGATGCAGCCCGACGACGCCCTGCTGGTCAAGCCCGGAGCCAAGGACGGTGCCGACGACTTTGCCACGATCAGCTCGCGCCAGATCCAGCTCGGCGACCTGCTGCAAGTCAACAACGGCATGCGCGTGCCGTGCGATGGTGTGATCGTCCGCGGCAACACCGAGATCGACGAGTCGCTGCTGACTGGCGAGTCGCTGCCGGTGGCCAAGGGCGAGGGGTCGGCAGTGACCGGCGGCACGCTGAACCTGTCGCAGTCGGTGCGGATGCGCGCAACAGCCATCAACGAGTCGTCGACACTGGCGCGGATCGTCAAGCTGGTGCGGGACGCGCAGTCGAGCAAGCCGCAGATCCAGGAGGTTGCCGACCGGGTGGCCAACCGGTTTGTGCCGCTGGTCGTCCTGGCGTCGGTGCTGGTGTTCTTTGTCTGGCTCATCATCGGTGCCACGGGGAATATCAAGGCCGACTGGCTGGCGTCGAAGCTCATGGGCGGACTGGGCGGCAAGCTCTCGCACACCGACAGCATGGGACATATGGACGATGCACCGCCGATGAAGTACCCGATCTTTGCGCTCCTCAATGCCATCAGCGTGCTGGTCATTGCGTGTCCGTGCGCGCTGGGACTGGCCGCGCCGACAGCGATCATGGTTGGCACGGGGCTGGCCGCTCGCATGGGCATTCTGGTCAAGGGCGGCGGCGCTACAATGGAGGCTGCGAGCAAGATCGACATCGTCGCATTCGACAAGACCGGCACCCTGACCATTGGCAAGCCCGCAGTCTCGGACCACTTTATCGAGCAGTCGCGCGCTGAGGCCATTTCGGGCTGGCTCTATGCACACATTGTCGAGATCGAGTCGCTGAGCAGCCATCCGCTGGCCGCTGCCATTTGTGCGTATATCCGCGAGCACACGCAGTCGGGCTCGGTGCGTGCGCAGCTGCTTGAGCACCAGGAGCTGCCTGGCCGCGGCATGCAGGCGACTGTCGAGCTCCCAGCAGAGATTGCCCACGCGCTTGGCTGGACTGGAGTTACCACTGCCCATCTGCTTGTTGGCAAGGAGGCGTGGGCCAAGGAGGAGGGCTGCCTGATGGACGTCCCCATGGACATACGCGCGCAGTGGACCTCCAGTGGCTACACATCGGTTGCTGTTGCATTGGTGCCAATTGGCCGCAGCATGCGCGGCAAGGTCGTCGCAGCCTTTGCGCTGTCCGACCAGGTGCGTCCGGAGTCGCGCGAGGTTGTGCGCCAGCTGAAGCGTCGCGGAATCGAGGTCTGGATGATCTCTGGCGACCAGCAGGCGGCGGCCAATGCCATTGCAGCACAGCTCGGTATCGACCATGTCATGGCCGGCGTTCTGCCCGATCAGAAGTCCGAGACCATCCGCACGCTGCAGCGCCGTGGCAAGTCGGCCGATGATGCGAGCGAGACCGACTTCAAGGAGGGGCAGTCTGTGAAGCCTACGTCGTCAGTTGCTGCTCGCCTGTTTGGTCGCCTGAGGGGACCACAGAAGCGCCCGTTTGCCAAGGTCGCCATGGTCGGCGATGGAATCAACGACGCGCCGGCGCTGGCGCAGGCTGATATCGGAATTGCTGTGGGGTCAGGCACGGCTGCTGCTATGGAGACGGCGCCGGCGCTGCTGATGCGGCCGACGCTGCTCTCGCTGCTGACACTGCTCGACCTGTCCCGCATTGTGTTCCGCCGCGTCAAGCTCAACTTTGTGTGGGCGTCCATGTACAATGTCGTGTGCATTCCGATCGCAGCAGGCATCCTGTACCCAGCTATCAACCGCGGACTGCCACCAGTTATCGCTGGACTCCTGATGATTGCCAGCAGCCTGACGGTCATGATGAGCAGCCTGTCGCTGAAGCTCTTCCGCGAACCAAAATACAACTGAAAATATCTTTATTATTTATCATGCTAGTTAATGTATTCCATTGCTTTTTGCTTTTTGCTTTTTGCTTTTTGCTTTGGGCTGGCCTGTGGTTAGAAATGGCCTTTCCAGTGCCCTGGGACTTCTTGTTGCCCCTGCACCCCATGCACTTCTTGTCGTCCACACCCGTGTCGCCCTGCCAGAAGGCATTGCCGCCACCGGCTCTCTTCACGACCTGACCGCCGCGCCCAGCACACGCCAGCCAAATCGATATTCACAGCGTTTGGCAGCGTTTGGAGTGGAGAAAGTCCGAGTGCTTTAGAGGATAGGATTTGCATCCCCAACCATTCACCTGAAATGCCTCACACTGAGCCTCCTGTTTTTGCGCAGCCACTGGCCTGGATTTTGGCTATAAAGGTCCGCAGCATCTGGAGTCTCTCTCATTTACCTCACCCCCATCTCCTTTCTCTGTTTTGGAAACATGCCACCTCACTGGAGTATCCGCGCCTACGTCCCGAAGCATGTCAACCGGGACAGCATTGTCAAGTGCTTCGCCGACAAGAACACCGAGTTCATCGATGTGGCGACCGAGCAGGAGGCTGTTGACCTCGAGGCGGCTAACAAGGACCCGTTCTTAGTCTTTGAAGAGGACCACTTTATCGTCCACAACTCACCCGAAGGAACGGTCAAGTGCAGCTACTGGTCCAGGAACTGTATTACTCAGCTGGTCCACCCAAACTACGCAGGCATCTGGAATAGATGCACTCGCGAGCAGGATGGATTGAAGACAGCTACAAACCCGGCAGTTATCTATTTCGTCCCGACCGGCTCTTCCATTGATCCCCCTAGTGAGCCAGTTGAAATCAGCAGCGTTCTGGTTTACTACGACAATATCGATCTCGGGGATTTCGTGCAGACTGTTAAAAGAATGGTCTGCTGTTTCCAAGGGTTGTTTGTCGTGGCATATGACAACAAGTTCAAGTGTGTTGAGGCGGAGGATACCGACAACAGCATGGATGTCAGTGTGGATCGTATAGGCAATTTCCTCTTAAAAGCTTGGAATAAGCCAGAGTATATTAGAAAGTGCGCTAAGCAAGCACATTTTCTGAAGGAGCATGGTCTCAAGCGTCTACCTGACGGACAGTTTAAACTCAAAGACTATCTCGGTAACGAAGTTGTTAATGGCGAGCGGTTTCGGCTGACCAGAGATATCAATAGATATCATTCGTACTACGCGGACGAGAATCGGCATGATGAGGAACCAAACTATTCAGGAATGGACATGTCAGATGGCTTTCTGATGATGTACCCAGGTGATGACTCGATCTTTACCAGCGAGACAATCGACGACATTGTCTATATCAAATTCGATAACCAGTATCTCTACTGCCAGGAAGGTAGTGATTTTGAGATAGAGCTTACACCAGAGCTCCCAGAGAAGGAAGAGCGGCTGCATTTGCAGCACGACGGCAGCACACTGATCCTGGCCCGCTGGGATATGTCTGGATATGCTATTGAGGATTGGCTTGATCACAGAGGATACATAAACTTCGAATATTCGGATTCACGGTGGAAATGGGTCGATCCATTAGATCTCCATCTTGTCAAGTTATAAAGTAGTTAGTTGCTTTTGTTAACCTTCAGAGAGTCCAGTAGTTATGAGCTTTATGGAATGAATAAAATGGAAAATTTGCTGAGGAGAAAAAGGGAGGATGGGGCTGTTCTGGCCCACAAAGTTAATACAGGTGGGATTTGGATCTGCACATGGTGACGGAGGGCATAGAGTTGCCCGAATGTCAACAGCTTTATGTGAGCAATTTCCTTGTCGGTGTGGTTATGAATACATGCGTGGGCTTTGATATTGGAAGTGTATTAATAATCAATTTAGCGCTTGTAGAAATAAAAAAATTTATGCAAAGGCACCATATCCCGACACCGGCACCGCAAACGTCTCGCTCTGTACAGCCGGCCGGCCGGCCTCCGAGCTCCGACGATGAGAGATCGTGTGGCCATACGGTCTTCTGCGGCTGAACCCAAAGGCCACGCCGACCTCAACCACTGGGTAGTTAAAATCGCCTTCGACCGTCCGTGCATCATTGTACAATGCGTCGTCGCTCAACATCTCGCGCTCACCCAGATCCATCGATAGCACCGCCAGGTCGGCGCCCGCCGGTGGCGGCCCAGACACCAAGCGCGTGCGCTCGTCCGGCTGTCTCATAGCTGCACGCTGCACGCGGCGGCTCTCATGCGTCGCCCTGGAGTGAGTATGCATTGAGCTGCCAATGTACTCGATCGATGCGCGCATTGCCCCGGCAGTCGACGCGCCATGGAGTAGTCGCGCGCGCGTCTTGCCAGCGCCACCTGCCGCAAAGGCCACCGCCCGGTGGTCGACGGGTTCCACCGGCAGCCAGTACGTCTTTTTGCCGCCCTGCGTATACCGCATGCCAGCCCGTAGCCGCCGCTCCTTGATCGCGCCCCCCGACGACGACGAATTGCCGCCATGGATGGCAGCAGTTGACTGCTCCGCCAGCTGCTGGTCCACAGCCTGCAGGACCGCGCTGGGCTCCATTGCCGAATCGCCTAGAGGGGCGCCAGAGTTGCCCAAGCTCAGTGACGAGCTCGACGAGTGCAGTGAGGACTCGGGAAGCGTCAGCGGCGTGCTGGCGACCGTACCAATGCGATCAGCCTCGTGCGAATTCCCTGGTGTCGACAGCGATGTGGACGACGAGTGTCTGCCCAGAATGCTGCTGAGCGTGCGCTTACGCTGCGGCGCCGGCAGCGGTGTCTGGGTGTCGAGCTGGTCGACAGGCACAATCGGGTCAAAGTACCGGTATGTGTACTGGTGTCCCGACCAGGCGCTCTTGGCATCCACAAACACGTCCTTCAGGCCCAGCGCATCGCGCACAGCGTGGAATAGGCGCACGCGCCCGGCCAGGTGGAACACCGGCACATAGTCGTGGTACGAGAACGACAGCCAGTGACCCAGCGCGCCGCCCACCATCTCCAGGCAGATCAGCCAGCTCTGCAGAAACGTTGCGATGTGGTCAGCCGACAGCTCGGGTGTGTCGTGAATCAGCCCTAGTGCCACCAGGATCGATATGCCAAGCCCCTGCCAGTACGAGAAAAACACGATTGCCTTGATGCACAGAAACTTGGGCAGCGGCGTCCACTGCGCCAGGTGGTCCTTGGTCGCCATGTAGAACACCACCAGGCAGTACAGCGATAGCGACACACTCGCATTGTACACCAGCTGCGTCCACATGTACCCGCTCGCCAGCCCCCAGCTGCCCTCGCGGTACACGCCCGTCGACCGCATCAACATTGTCGCCGCTGCCAGGATCGGCTTCACCACCACATACTGTAGAATGCCCCGCTTCAGAAACAAGTAGTCGTACGGGTCGCTCAGGTCTAGGTCCCGCCGCACCAGCGACGCTGGCCAGAACAGCGGCGTCGGGTCGCTGTCATGCATCACCAGCAGGAACGCCCGCTCGCCGCCAAAGTACGATATCAACAGGCTCACAAAACAGTATATCACAAAGGCCTCATACACGTCGCGCAGCGCGTCCAGGTAGTATGCCGACTCGACGGATATCAGGCTCCCCCATGCCGTCAGTGCATACACGGGCACCATGACGATTATCCGCACAACCCACCGCTGCAGGTTCGGCTGGCTGTAGTGTTTGCAGTGGGACCAGACCGCCCACAGAGACATTAGCGTTGCTGTCCAGCTGCACAGTCCTGCTAGCCATACCATTCCTTTGGACTAGCCAACCGTCAACCATTTTCGAGAAAAAGAGTGTAAAATTGACAGGCGGCTTCGTCGAATGCAGAAAAATAAGGTGGGTTGTGAATAACAAGACCTAAAAAAAAAAGCGCAACTACCAGTTGGTCATGGGAAGAAAAAACCACAGTAGACGATGAGAGTCTAAACCGTGGCAGTTAAGCCCACGATTGTGCTTTCTGGAGTCGATTGACTTGGCGACAGAGAAAGCCAGTGCCTTCTGCGGGAGGGTAAGAATAGCCATGTTCGAAGTGACATCAAAAATACCAAAGCTCCATGAAATAGTGCCCTCCGCACAGCGCAGCTCTCGCCAGGACCAGCTCAAAAATCAGTCGTCGGCATTGGCAATCTCCTCGTTGTGCCGCTTGCGCTGGATCTTTGGTTGTCGGCGAGTTGGCCTGTGAGGCCAGCAGCTCGAGCTCATCGAACGCGCGCTTGACGCCCTTGGCACCAGCCGCCTCCCCAGCCATGCACCCGTAGTGGTCAAGGAACTTTTCCGCGCACTGCTCAAAGTCGCCACTCGCCAGGCTCTGGCGCACCGCCTCGAAGAACCGGTTGTAGCAGTGCATGTTGTGGATCTGCAGCAGCACCGTGGCCAGCATCTCCTTGGTCATCAGCAGATGGTGCACGTATGCGCGGTGGTGGCTCCGGCAGGCAAAGCACGTGCAGCCAGTCCACCAGCGGGCCGAAATCGTCAAACATCGACTGCTGCCACAGGTCGACGTGCGAGCCGCCCTGCGCTGTCCGCGCCAAACACATACGTCGAGGCAAACCCCTGCTCGGTGACCGCGTACGGGTAACTCGAGTCAAACACGTCGATGCCCAGCCGGATCGCCTGCAATACCTGGTCGGGCGAGCTGACGCCCACCATATACCGCGGTTTCGCCGGCTCCAGTGTCGCAAGCGAGTGCCGCACGAGCGCCAGCTTCTCGCCAAACGGCTACCGCCAGGCACGTCTCGTTGAACGCATAGCCCGAGATCCCATCGACAGTCGCTAGCTTGGCCGCGAACCGGTCGCGCAGCTCAGGTGCTCAATGAGCCCATGACTGGGGCGAACAGGGCCGAGCCCGTGATCTCCCTCACGCAGTCGTCCAGCCACCGGCCCGATCCGCTCCACCGACTTTGCGATCCGCTTGCCCTTGGTTGCGCTGGGCTCCGGCTCCTCCACGTAATCCGCCAGCGCCACATACACATCCGGCTTGAGCTGGTTCACCAGCTTGACAAACATCTCCGGCGTCACCCGCTTTGTGCCGCCCTCCGAGTCCACGCCTAGGAACTTGTTCGTCGCCTTCGCTGTGCGTCTTGTGACTGTCGGATCAAGCGCATCCAGCAGCAGCAGTTCACTGCGGTCCATATGCACGAACCTGTGCAGGCCCTCCGAGTACTTGCCGACGGCCGGGAAGTCGCGCTCCAAAAAATCCTCCAGTTGCACGCGCGATGCTGCCGACAGTGCAGTGACCTCGCGCTCGACCTCGCGCACCATGTGCGGCTGCAGACCACGTCGCGTGTACTTGAGGAACCCAGGCGTTGCAATGGAAATTGTGTCGGTGGGGCTGCGCTCCAGGTGTAGTGTGCCGGTGCGTGGGCCGTGGCGGCTGGCAGCCTCAGCAGCCATTGACAGTTCAAAACGCAGGCTCATTCTGTGTGCGGTTTTTGCTGCTGAATGCAGGTGCATTAAGAAGAAAAAAGACAAAAGGGCAGAAATGAAAAAGTGTGGAAACGAGAAGCAAACCGCTCAAAAATTTTTAAGGGTTCAAGAAGCCACACATGGAGGATTAAAAAACACGTCGGAAGAAGCGTGACCGATCCAAACTTTTTTTTTTTTCATCGCTACACCCAAAAAATAAAAGCTATAGCCTCGCCCTGCTCTGATCCACAGGAGGTCTGGAGCCCTGGTTGAACCTCAGACCTACGGGAGAACAGCTCTGGTAGAAAAAGGGATCTGGATCTGCCTGGGCGCTTCGGTCACTGTACGAAATAACGAAAAAAAAGAACATCCTACAAACTGCTACGGTCGACATGGACTGCTACAGCTGCCCGCACGATCTAGAATAGCCGAGCACCTCTTATTTGGTGGAGAAGGGCAGACGGCCCTCGTCCTTCAGGGTGTCCCAGTGCTCAATCTACAAGAGTCAAACAAAAAAGTCAGAATTAGAGTGGATTTGCTCCGTAGCTAGCCTCACACCATGTGCTGGGAAATAGAGACCACTTACCCACTCGTTCGGGCACAGCGCGTTGTATGCCTTGAGGAACTGCTTGCACGGGGCAAAGTCCTCACCCTTGGCCTCGACGCAGCGGGTGTAATCGAAGTAATTCTGCCAGCAGCGCTTGGTCTGGTTGACGTTCGGGAAGCGCGCGTCGAACTTGGGGGTGTCAAGCTTAATTTCCTCAGACATGATTTCAAAAAAGGCTTTTAAAAATGGAAGAGAGAAGGGGGATTGGTACGAAATTCAAAGAGATCTATAGAGACAAAGGTTTCAAGGGCCGCACCGAGGCCATATCTTAATTATCGACCATCTGGGCTTGGGGAGGAAAAGGTCTTATCGGTCGCCCAAGCAGTCCTCGGATCAGACGGTTAATCACGCACGTGATTTTCAATCGGGCGGTGCGCTGTGCGGCTCAGAAGACCCACGTCAGCAGCGCCAAGCGCACTCTAGCTCTTGGTACATTATATTTTTAATCGGCACACGCATACTACATTTTCCTCTCATCAACCATGAACCATGCGTTTCTGGGCACCAAGGACGAGCAGTCCAAGCTGCTCGACGATGCAATGCAGGCGGTCAAGGTGCAGGCGTTCCAAATGAAGCGCTGCGTGGACAATGACCGGCTGCTGGATGGGCTCAAGCACTGCTCGACAATGCTGAATGAGCTGCGGACGTCGTCGCTGACACCCAAGAACTACTACGAGCTGTATCTGGCAACGTTTGATGCGCTGCAGTATCTGACAGGGGCGCTGCGCGAGGCGCACCAGTCAGGCAAGAACCACCTGGCGGACCTGTATGAGCTGGTGCAGTACGCAGGCAACATCGTGCCGCGGCTGTACCTGATGATCACTATTGGGTCAGCGTACATGAGCCTAGGGCAGGCAGACGGAGAGGAGAGCGTGCCGGTGCGCGAAATCATGCTGGACATGCTGGAGATGGCACGCGGCGTGCAGCACCCGACGCGCGGCCTATTCCTGCGGTACTACCTTGAGCCAGATGACTAAGGACTATCTGCCGCTGAATGCACATGACGAAGCAGACGAGGGAGCAGGCAGCTTGGAGGACTCGACGCATTTTATCCTGACGAACTTTGTGGAAATGAACAAGTTGTGGGTGCGGCTGCAGCACCAGGGGCTGAGCCGCGATCGCGAGAAGCGCGAGGCGGAGAGGCGTGATTTGCGCACGCTGGTGGGGTCGAACCTGCTGCGGCTGGCGGGGCTTGAGGGCATTGAGCGGCGGCAGTACGAGCAGGATATTTTGCCGCGGCTGCTGAACCAGGTGGTGTCGTGCAGAGACACGCTGGCGCAGGAGTACTTGATGGAGGCGCTGGTCCAGGCGTTCAGCGACGAGTGGCACCTGGCGACTATTGGGCAGCTCATGGAGGCGATTAGTGCGCTGGGACCGAAGGTCAGCATCAAGACTATAGTTATTCCGCTGGTGGACCGGATTTCGGTGTATGCGGCACGCAGCCGGGAGGAGCGCGATAAGATTGAGGCAGAAAAGGCGAAGGAAGAGGAAGCCGCTGCCAAGGCCGATGGGGAGACAAAGACTGAAGGCGTTGCTATCCAAGACAGAGCAGGAGGAGGAAGTAGAGCCTGTCAAGGACGAGCAGGATGAGGAGGCCAAGTCAGAAGAGTCGGGCAAATCGGACAAGTCGGACGAAGAGCAAGAGGACGCGCCAAAGAGCGACACCAACTCCGAGGTAGAGGAGCTAGCCGATGATCAGAAAGTCAACGGAGCCAAAGCCCGATGGAAAGCGACGACGACACAAAGGCGCTCACAGACAAGGTCAACGAGCTCTCGGTGGAGGTGGCTGAGGAGGCAGCGGCTGAGGAGGCAGAAGAGGAAGAGCCAAGTAGCCCGACGGGCTCACAGGTCCTGGCAGACTCAGCGTCATTTGAGACTCTATTCGACTCGTTCTGGGACCACGTCAGCGGACTGATCGAGGCGCGGCCGGACCTAGCGCTACATGATGGCGTGGCAATCTGCGCGTCGATGCTGCGCCTGTCGCTGGCATGCAAGCCGCTGTCGACGCAGCCGGTGGACAGCGTGCTGGCGTTTGTGCGTGAGCAGCTCAAGACCAGCGATGTGTCACCGGGCGCACTCACACCGGCCACAGCCAACCAGCTCCTGGCGCTGCTGCTGAGCCCGCTGCGTGCCTATGCCAGCCCACTGCGGGTGCTGGAGCTGGCCAACTACGGGCCTTTGTTGGAGTCGCAGGACTGAGCGTACGCGGCGCAGCGTGGCAGTGGCTCTCCTGACCGGCGATTCTGCAGCGCGGCACAGTGATGACTACGGCGGACGAGGTGGACGGGATCACGCGGCTGTGCAGCCAGCTCATTGCGCGGGCGGGGGCTGGCTCAGGCAGTGGCGATCCATCATATGCCGAATCGCCTGTGGACGAGGAGGACGTGGCGGAGGAGCAGGGCCTGCTGGCGCGGCTGGTGCACCTGGTCCGCGGGCCTGACGCGCTGTCGCAGCTGGCGCTGCTGACGATTGCGCGCGATGCACTGTCGCAGGGCGGGGATCTGATCCAGTACACGTATCCGGCAGTGATCGCAGGGGCGACGCGGCTGCTGGGGCCGTTTGCGGCGATGAAGAGCTCGGCAGGGGCGGACGGGCACGACGAATGGCTGCGGCGGGTGCGGCAGCTGTGCCGGTTCATCCAGGCCACGGGCAGTGCGCTGGTGGAGCGGGCGGCCACAGCGCAGGCCAGCGAGTCGGCCCTACGGCTGTTTGTGATGGCAGCGCAGGCGGCGGCCACGGCCAGTGCGTTCCGCGGCGAGGCGGCGCTGGAGGAGGCAGCCTACGAGTTCTTTGTGCAGGCATTCACCATCTACGAGCAGCACGTGACTGAGAGCCGCGCGCAGAGCCAGGCGCTGGTGCTGATTGTGGGAGCGCTGCATGCGACGCGCAACCTGACGGCCGAGAACTACGACACTCTGGCAGCCAAGTGTGCCCAGCACGGAGCGCGGCTGCTGCGGCGCCCGGACCAGGCGCATGTCGCGTGCGCGTGTGCGCATCTATGGTGGAAGGCGCTGCCTGACTCGGAGCTGATTGCTCCGCCGGCGCCGCCGGGCGTCGACGATGCTGCGTTTGAGCGCGAGCACGAGCATCACGTGGCCGCCGAGCGCGCGGCAGTGGAGCAGCACAACAACGGTGATAAGGCGCTGGCGCAGCTGCAGCGCGCGCTGAAGGTGGCCGGTGCCTGTCTGGACCCGGTGGTGTCGGTGCTGCTGTTTGTCGAGCTGCTGAACCAGTGCGTGATGCTGTACGAGCGCCGGTGCCCGGCCGTGACGCCGCGCTATGTCAACGATCTAGTTGATCTGATCCGCGCGTCGATTGCCAACATCGAGGCCTTCGATGCTGCCGCCCCCGAGCCCACGCGCGCTGTGGCCGGCAGCGAGCAGGCGGCTGCCGATGCTGACGCGCTGTATGTGCCCGACGGGCCAATGAGTGCCTTTGTGCTGGACTACTTCCGCCGCACCCTAGCATACATCCAGGGCCGCAAGCTGCTGGCTGCGTCGGCTGCATACCTGCCAGACTTTTCGGCAATCCACTGCGAGTTCGAGCCAGAGGAGCCCGAGCAGACTGACAGCCTGGCGTTCTACTGAGTACAGGCTGCCTCCTCGCTGCAGTTTTTTCTTTCTCGCTTAAACACAGCTTTAATATGATCCTACTTTTTACCATAGAACTGGCGCTTGAACAGCGAGTGGTGCTCGGTCGGCTCGGCGTTGCGACGCGCGCCCGGCCCACGCCGCCCAGACTCCATATACGCCATGGAGTCGGCTCCCGAGAGACTACGCAGCGACCCAGCCGTGCGCTTGGCTATAGCGCGCTTGCGTGCAGCGGCGCCGGTGATGTCGAGGTCGGGTGGCAGCTCCTCGTCGATGCTGGCCTCGGTCTCGGCTGCCATCTTGACGGAATGCAGCAGCTTCTTCTGCTCCTCGACATCGCCATACACAAGGCCCTTGCAGTCCTCCATGCCCTCGAGCTCGGTGATGACCTTGAACGAATACCCCTGGTCGATCAAAAACTGCTGGCGCTTGGTCGAGTAGTACATCTCCTGCGTGTCCTTGCTGACCAGCGAGTAGAAGAACGCATTGAATCCCTCGTCATTCCGTCGCTTAGCGCGCAGAATGCGGCCCAGGCGCTGTGCCTCCTGCCGACGCGAGCCGTAGTGCGATGAGACCTGGATCAGACACGTGGCCTCAGGCAGGTCGATCGACGTGTCGCCAACCTTGGACAGGAAGATGGTGCTGAGATTCGGGTTGTGCTGGAACTGGTTGAGAATCGCAATGCGCTCCTGCTGCGGCGTGCCGCCGTAGATGAACGGCAGCTTGAGCGTCTCTGCGTACATGCGCAGAGCAAACACGTTGTCGACAAACACGATGATCTTGTCGCCGCGGCCCTCGTGGAATTTAATCAGGTACTGGCACGCGCGGAACTTGTTCGGGTTCATGACATACAGGAGCAGGCGCTTGCGCGAGGTCTCCTCAAGGTACGCCTTGTAGAACTCGGACGTCATCTCGCACCACACCTCGGCGCACTGCACCGTGGCAATGTGGCCCTTGTTGGCCAGGTCCATCCAGTTGGCCTCGTACAGCTTGGGGCCGATCAGGAAATTAAGATCGTCGATTTTGTCGTCTTCGCGGACCAGCGTGGCCGTCAGCCCAAGCTTCGAGTGTGCGGCAATCTGCGTCACCACACGCCGGAACATGGCCGCCGGCACCACGTGCACCTCGTCTAGCAGCAGCAGCCCCCACTCGCGGCTGTTGAGGAAGTCCATCATTTTCTGCGCCTCATACGACCGCTTGCGCATGTTGGCCACCATCGAGAACGTCGAGATCACAATACCCGCGTCGCCCTGGAACCGCTCCTTCTGGTCCGACGTGAACACTGCGATCTGGTCCTCGCGGATCGTCGACCACTGCAGGAACTGCTGCTTCCACTGCACCACCGACACCGACGACGTGCATAGGCACAGGATGCTTTTCTTGACTGTGCATGCTGCCGTGATGCCCACCAGCGTCTTGCCTGCCCCGCACGGCAGCACAATGATGCCCGAGCGCGCCCGCCCATTGCCAAACATTTTGCTCAGGACTCTTTTCCTGGTACGGCCGGATGCTGGTCACCGGCTTCAGGTCAATGTTGAGGTTCGGGTTGAGCGTGTCGTTGCGGAAATCGTACTCTTCCAGCATCGGGTAGTCCATTTCATTGCACCGCTTCTTGACACTCTCCACCTGCGAGTTGGCGATTTCGAATGCATGCACAAAATTCTCCTGCGTCCTCGTCCTCGTCGTCCTTGTCCAGGTCCAGCACCGCTGCTGCAAAGTCCTCCTCAGCTGCTTTCTCGGCCTCGGCCTCTGCGTCTGCATCCTCTTCGCCCTCTGCTGCTGCCGCTGCCTTGGCCTGCTCTGCCTTGGCCTTCTGCTAGCCCACCCATGTCCACTCCACTAAACTCAGTCGTGCGCTGTGTGATGATACCGTCCTTGGATACCGTGCCCTCGGTGCTGCCCGAGTCCGGGTAGATTCGCGCCGCTGCAATCACCGGGTCGCGCAGCAGATGCTGCAGGATCTCAGGATGGCTCGATTCGACATAATACCGGTTGTGGTTCAGCACCAGCTTAACCTTGCCGTACGACACCGTGAACTGCTTGATCGCGCCAATGACGTCCGGCGGCACCGGCACCTTCGACAGCCGATTCAAAACCTCAATAATATCCGCCGTATCCAGTCCCACCGACACCGCTGCATACAGCGAATATGCCGTCAGCTTGTACTCGTGCAGATGCGTCGGCCGCGAAATCGGCTCACTAATAGCAATCAGAAAATCAATCGCCTGCTCGGCAATCGGCGAGAACGCCTCCAGGATAATGTGCCCGGTGTTTGGACAGATGAAACAGCGGCCGCGACTCATGGTCGGGCTTCAGCTTCAGGTAATTGTAGTCACCCTTGCCGAACAGCCCTGTGGCCGCATCGCGACGCGGAATCGCCAAAACGTCGTACTCGTCGTCCCCGGTGTCGCTGCCGAACCGGATTGTCGCTGCTTTTGGCAGGACCCCAGAAGACACGTCGCGTATGGCTTGCTTCTGCTGGATCGATGTCGTCAGAGCTGTCGTACTCGTCGTCAGTGTCCTCCTCCGCATATGGTGCCGTGTTCTGGTACGCCCGGCACCTGCCGCCTCTTCTGCAACCGCCTCTGCAACCTCTTCGTGCGCTGCTACTCCGCCTGCTGCCCCCTCGTACTCGTCGAACGTGCGTTTGCTCATTTGTGGAAATATGTAATTGTACAGGGGTGTGTTGATTTAATGTTTTATTTAATTTGGCAAAGTAGGAGAGAAAAGGTGCGAATGAGTCCTGCTTTGGCGAATACTAGCGCACCTTATTCGCAGCCCCAGCTGGCGCGGGCCAGTGCCGCAGCAAAGAAAATGAGGCAATTGCTGAATTTCGCGATTTTGGATTTGGGTAAGGTTTGTGCGCTCCACCGGCCCACCGAGCGCCAGAGATCCGAAGACCCCGCTGCGCTCAGTATGGGCACTAAGACGAGCTTCGCCATTAAAAGACTTTCCTTTGTCTATCAGGTAACATTGACTCTGCTATGGCCATCAAAGAAAAATGTACAAGGGCCACGAGAAACACGGTTAGGACCTGAAGCCGCAATATTTTTCAATCCGTCTCCAGCCTGCCAAATGCTTGGAGTATATCCAATCGCCCCAATCCGATGGGTTTTGGGGTCGGAAATACAAAATACATCGATTTCTTGAGAAGCAGCACATCATTCAGGCTACACTTTCACCAGCACCACTTTGAGAGTCGCCTCGTCAAGTTCCGGGTACCCCAGACCTGGGAGCATCACAGCATCAGGAATATCGAGTTCACCAAACAAGTAGGCATACCCATATCTGTTCCATCGAGAGAACTTGATCACCTGCCCGCATTGCTCCAGGTGCAGCCTTTCATCCTTGCTGGGAAGCTCTGGCCCCATCTTGATCAAACACTCGCCGTCATCAGGACAAAAGAGATATTGCCCACCGCAACTGAGATATACAATGCCATCAATGGTCTCGACGGTAAATATAGAGTCGTGCTCGTGGCTCACCACCATGCCGTAATCCATTTCGACTCCCTTAGGATCAGAATCATCGGGGTCGAAATCCGCAGCTGCTTCTTCCTCCAGGTACTCGGCATACCTGGACTCTGGGATAAGTCGGAACTGCTCGCTATCAGTCACATCGTTGCCACAGCTGGCCCTGAGCTTGAACTGCCCGTTGGGTAAGGCGCCTGGGCCTGTTTTCCCTGGCGACCCGCAGTTCCTCCATGAGTCTTCCGATATTCGCTGGATCATCCGATATCTGAGTAATATAGCTGGCAAAGTCTCCAAGGGAAAACTCCACTCTCTTGTTTATATCCTCCATATCAACATACTCGACGATACCGCTGTGTAGTGCGACAAAGAACTTTTGGTTGTACTCCGCCATCTCCTTAGCCGTCTGGGCGAACTTGCCGATATCGTAAATCGTGTAGTAAACCGCAACGCTATTGTTCGCATCAATGCCACCAACCATGTCCGATATAAATCCAATCGGAACAAATTGAATAACCGGCGGCTTTGGGAACACCTTCAACCCATCTAGCACGACAAGATAGGGCCAGCTGATAGACATAGATTGGAAATAGGCAATGTACATGATGTAGTTTCGCGACAAGTAATTGCACTTGACTGTGCCTTCGGGTGAATTGTAGATCGTAAAATAGTCCTTCTCAAGGACAAAGAACGGACTGGGGCTCTTCGCTTCAAGCTCAATGGCTTCCTGCTCCGTCGCAACATCAGCAAAATCCGTCCTGGAATCCATGAGGCACTTGTCAAAGTCATCTATATTGACATGGCTCGGGACATAAAAGCGAAGCCTAGAATGCATAGTCAAGATTGTTTTTCTCAAAGAAAGTAATAAACTTTTGGGAAGTAAAGGTGGAAGAGAACAACAGAACTCATTTCCATGAAGCCTTTTATTGCCTGAAACACAGGACTGCGGAGAAACAAGGCAACTGTTTAATTCTAGAAATTTTGGACTAGAAATCACGAATGAAAATCAAAGCTTTTCAAATCCCAAACCTCGCTGAGCACCAGATATATTCCTTCAATCGTCATGATATATACTCGGCACTCGTCTTGAAAACATCCTTTCAAAGTATATTGTCTAATATGTAGTATTCATACCATGCTGTAACCTAGACTTTCACGACGTGCAACTCTAGCAGGGAAGTCCAAGGATGAGGTTCGTCCACAGACTCGAATTGTGGATATCCTCTGTAATCAGGCCACCACTCGTCAGGCATATCCAGACATATCCCAGCGGGCCAGGATCAGCGCTCTGCCGTTGTGCTGCAAATGCAGCCGCTCTTTCTTCTCTGGGAGCTCTCGTGTAAGTTCTATCGCAAAATCACTACCTTCCTGGCAGTAGAGATACTGGTTATCGAACTTGAGATAGACAATGTCGTCGATTGTCTCGCTGGTAAAGATCGAGTCATCACCTGGGTACATCATTAGAAAGCCAGCTGTCATGTCCTATTCCTGCATAGTCTGGGTTCCGTCATCATGTCCGATTCTCGTCCGCGTAGTACGAATGATATCTATTGATATCTCTGGTCAGCCGAAACTGTTCGCCATCAACAACTTCGTTACCGAGATAGTCTTTGAGTCTAAACTGTCCGTCAGGTAGACGCATGAGACCATGCTCCTTCAGAAAACGCGCCTCCTCAATGCGCCTTCCAATACACGCTGGATTCTTTGAAATCTTTAAAGAGGAAATCAGCCGATATCATCCGCACTGACATCGATGCTGTTGTCGGTATCCTCCACCTCAACACACTTGAACTTGTTGTCATATGCCACGACAAACAACCCTTGGAAACAGCTGACCATCCTTTTAACGGTCTGCACGAAATCCCCAAGATCGATATTGTCGTAGTAAACCAGAACGCTGCTGATTTCAACTGGCTCACTAGGGGGATCAATGGAAGAACTGGTCGGGACGAAATAGACAACTGCCGGGTTTGTAGCTGTCTTCAATCCATCCTGTTCGCGAGTGTATCTATTCCAGAGGCCCTCATAGCTTGGGTGAACCAGCTGAGTAATACAGTTCCTGGACCAGTAGCTGCACTTGGCTGTTCCTTCGGGTGAGTTGTGGACGATAAAGTGGTCCTCTTCTAAGACTAAGAACGGGTCCTTGTTAGCCGCCTCGAGGTCAACAGCCTCCTGCTCGGTCGCCACATCGATGAACTCGGTGTTCTTGTCGGCGAAAGCACTTTGACAATGCTGTCTCCGGTTGACATGCTTCGGGACGTAGGCGCGGATACTCCAGTGAGGCAGCATGTTTCCAAAACAGAGAAAGGAGATGGGGGTGAGGGAAGTGAGAGAGACTCCAGATGCTGCGGACCTTTATAGCCAAAATCCAGGCCAGTGGCTGCGCAAAAACAGGAGGCTCAGTGTGAGGCATTTCAGGTGAATAGTTGGGGATGCAAATCCTATCCTCCTAAAGCACTCGGACTTCCTCCGCTCCAAACGCTGCCAAAAGCCTGTGAATATCGATTTGGCTGGCGTGTGCTGGGCGCGGCGGTCAGGTCGTGAAGAGAGCCGGTGGCGGCAATGCCTTCTGGCAGGGCGACACGGGTGTGGACGACAAGAAGTGCATGGGGTGCAGGGGCAACAAGAAGTCTCCAGGGCACTGGAAAGGCCATTTCTAACCACAGGACCGGCTCAAAGCAAAAAGCAAAAAGCAAAAAGCAATGGAATACATTGAACTAGCATGATAAATAATAAAGATATTTTCAGTTGTACTTTGGTTCGCGGAAGAGCTTCAGCGACAGGCTGCTCATCATGACCGTCAGGCTGCTGGCAATCATCAGGAGACCAGCGATAACTGGTGGCAGTCCGCGGTTGATAGGCTGGGTACAGGATGCCTGCTGCGATCGGAATGCACACGACATTGTACATGGACGCCCACACAAAGTTGAGCTTGACGCGGCGGAACACAATGCGGGACAGGTCGAGCAGTGTCAGCAGCGAGAGCAGCGTCGGCCGCATCAGCAGCGCCGGCGCCGTCTCCATAGCAGCAGCCGTGCCTGACCCCACAGCAATTCCGACATCAGCCTGCGCCAGCGCCGGCGCGTCGTTGATTCCATCGCCGACCATGGCGACCTTGGCAAACGGGCGCTTCTGTGGTCCCCTCAGGCGACCAAACAGGCGAGCAGCAACTGACGACGTAGGCTTCACAGACTGCCCCTCCTTGAAGTCGCTCTCGCTCGCATCATCGGCCGACTTGCCACGGCGCTGCAGCGTGCGGATGGTCTCGGACTTCTGATCGGGCAGAACGCCGGCCATGACATGGTCGATACCGAGCTGTGCTGCAATGGCATTGGCCGCCGCCTGCTGGTCGCCAGGAGATCATCCAGACCTCGATTCCGCGACGCTTCAGCTGGCGCACAACCTCGCGCGACTCCGGACGCACCTGGTCGGACAGCGCAAAGGCTGCGACGACCTTGCCGCGCATGCTGCGGCCAATTGGCACCAGTGCAACAGCAACCGATGTGTAGCCACTGGAGGTCCCACTGCGCGCGTATGTCCATGGGGACGTCCATCAGGCAGCCCTCCTCCTTGGCCCACGCCTCCTTGCCAACAAGCAGATGGGCAGTGGTAACTCCAGTCCAGCCAAGCGCGTGGGCAATCTCTGCTGGGAGTTCGACAGTCGCCTGCATGCCGCGGCCAGGCAGCTCCTGGTGCTCAAGCAGCTGCGCACGCACCGAGCCCGACTGCGTGTGCTCGCGGATATACGCACAAATGGCGGCGGCCAGCGGATGGCTGCTCAGCGACTCGATCTCGACAATGTGTGCATAGAGCCAGCCCGAAATGGCCTCAGCGCGCGACTGCTCGATAAAGTGGTCCGAGACTGCGGGCTTGCCAATGGTCAGGGTGCCGGTCTTGTCGAATGCGACGATGTCGATCTTGCTCGCAGCCTCCATTGTAGCGCCGCCGCCCTTGACCAGAATGCCCATGCGAGCGGCCAGCCCCGTGCCAACCATGATCGCTGTCGGCGCGGCCAGTCCCAGCGCGCACGGACACGCAATGACCAGCACGCTGATGGCATTGAGGAGCGCAAAGATCGGGTACTTCATCGGCGGTGCATCGTCCATATGTCCCATGCTGTCGGTGTGCGAGAGCTTGCCGCCCAGTCCGCCCATGAGCTTCGACGCCAGCCAGTCGGCCTTGATATTCCCCGTGGCACCGATGATGAGCCAGACAAAGAACACCAGCACCGACGCCAGGACGACCAGCGGCACAAACCGGTTGGCCACCCGGTCGGCAACCTCCTGGATCTGCGGCTTGCTCGACTGCGCGTCCCGCACCAGCTTGACGATCCGCGCCAGTGTCGACGACTCGTTGATGGCTGTTGCGCGCATCCGCACCGACTGCGACAGGTTCAGCGTGCCGCCGGTCACTGCCGACCCCTCGCCCTTGGCCACCGGCAGCGACTCGCCAGTCAGCAGCGACTCGTCGATCTCGGTGTTGCCGCGGACGATCACACCATCGCACGGCACGCGCATGCCGTTGTTGACTTGCAGCAGGTCGCCGAGCTGGATCTGGCGCGAGCTGATCGTGGCAAAGTCGTCGGCACCGTCCTTGGCTCCGGGCTTGACCAGCAGGGCGTCGTCGGGCTGCATCTTCACCAGGGCCTCGACAGCGCCGACAGTGCGGCCCTTGGCGATTGCCTCGAGCCAGCGGCCGAGGAACACAAACGTCATCAGGAACACAGCGGTTTCAAAGAACTGCTCGCCAGCGCCCTGCTGCAAGGACCACGCTGATGATCGAGCCAGCGTAGGCGGCGGTGGTGCCCAGCGCAATCAGCACATCCATGTTGGCAGTCTTGGCACGCACCAGCGACTTGTATGCGTGCTTGTAGAAGAACAGGCCGAGCGTGAACTGCGTGGCTGTGGCGATGAAGAAGGTGCAGATGACCGAGACCGAGTACTTCTGGAACACCTTGCGGTGGAATGCCTTTGCCACAGGGTTCGACGACGGCAGCGCCATGTCAATGATCATGGAGATGATGAGCATGGGGATGGCAAACACCAGCGACCACAGGAAGCGCAGCATGGCCTGCCTCCGGTGCTTCTCGAGGTTCCGCAGGGCCATTGTCGACGGATCAGCTGCGCTGCTCGAGTCTGCCCCGTCCAGCGGCGTTGCTGGATACCCGGCATCCGTCAGGGCATCGGCAATCTCGCGCACGCCAATCTCGCGCGGAATATGCTTGACCATCGCCTGTGCTGTGAGAAGCTGCACATCGGCAGCCTCCACGCCCGGCAGGTCATTGAGCAGAGATGTGATGGTCGCCACGCACGACCCGCACGTCATGCCCTCGACATTGAACCACGACTCGACTGCGCTCTCGCCGAGGATCGCCTTGGCGTCAGCCTTCGTGGCATCGCTGACAGGAGCCAGTGTCTTGGTGCTCAGCACGGCTGCATCATAACCCATGTCCTCGATGGCTGTGCAGAGGTCGGCGACGGGCAAGGCGTGTGTGTAGTGCCGCACTGTCGCCTGTGCTGTCATCAAGGTCGACGCTGATGCTGACGGCGCCGTCAAAGCTGCCAATGTGCCCTTCAATGCTGTTGACGCACGACGCGCATGTCATGCCAGTGACGCTCAGCACTGTTTCGGTCTCGGGCTGTGTCTCGGCATGATGGTCCACCGAGTCTGGAGCCGCAGTGCTGCTGCTGCTGCTGTAGCGGAAGTCGATAGTCTGCTTGTCTGAATTGAGTGACATGGTGGAGTGGGTTGTAGCGGGGGTGTATGTAAGGTACAATAGTCGGTGTAGTTGCTGTTGAAAGCAGTAGATCTGCAGAAATAGGCAAAGCCCTTGCACCTCGGCTAGTCTGGATGGAAGGAAGCCTTGGGTGATTTATAGACAGCTGCGTCGAATACTCTCGTCGAGGAGCGCAGTCTGGGGTAAGAGTTTTTTTTAGAGATAAGCACAGAAGAGTGGCGTGCGTACAATTGCTGCGCCGTTTCGATTAGACAGGAAGCAAGGCGGACGAATAGTGGGTGTTGCCGAATGGTCAATAGGGCAGGTGCGTAGGGAATATACGGCGACCGCGATGATTTTTTGGGTAGTGCTGCTGTGAATATACAAGTAGAAGCCACCGTGTAAGGACGGGCTGGTGAATGAGGAAATACAAAGTATGTGTAGTGGAGATGATGTTGGATGCTGGGACTACCCGTCCGTATATATAGCGGGTTTGCAAGTATGCTGTGTGAATGGCTTGCTAAATGGCACCATTGTGATGTTGCAAAGCCAGGCATGCACAGGTCCCTGGTTTCTGGAGTCTGTGCTGCCAGAAGGAATTGAGCCATTATTGCCCACCAACAGAAAGCATGGAATTCCGCACCGAGCGCCTGCAGATCCTGAAGTTGAGCGGTTTTCGCCGCCGGTTTGCTCAGCGCAGAATGCGTGTGCCTCTCGCCAAACGATCCACATGATGCAGGTGAGCGATTTTTCCCTGCTCAGTCCGCTGGGACACAGGGAAGTGGCACCTCCCTTGAATGTGCGTCTCCCTGTGACCAGCTCCGCCCCCTCATATACTGCCAAATCCATTGTCTCCACCCTGGGCAATATTGCCTCAGTGCTTGTTCTGGGCAACAGCAATGTAGCGGAAACTGACGCAACTGGACAAATGCAAACACTATATTGTGGCCTAAAAGAAGGTCAGCTCTCCTAGCACCTGGGATACACAGCCAGCAGCGCATGCACCCTGGCATAAAGAAGTATGGCAAACAGAAAGGACACAAAGAGGGATATGTCAGACAAGGTAGGCACAACACCAGTGGTCTGGTAGACCAGCTCCTGCTCCTCTGCAGTTGCTGATGTTCTTTGCACCTTTATTTTGTCCTCAGAGCCACGACAAACCACAAACAAGTCCTCCACAGCTATTGATTCTGTGAACCAGACTCAGTCTTGTGCCTTGATACATGACTTCTCCAGAACAGTGCACATCTTGTAAGCCTTTCCTCCAACTATACAACGGCTCTTCCTATATCTGGTAGCAATCTAACAGACCTGGAAGGCCATTAAACTTAGGTTTATCTCTATCTCTCCTGCCCACCGGTCTTATATATGAAGCTTTTCGCAGTTCAGCATCCCTAGGATATCAGATGAATCTGGCAAGTGCGCCACTGTAATTATAATATGCTCCTATATACCGCGCAACTTGTAACCTGCTCATGTGCTGTTTGCGGTCCTGCTATCAGTGCCCTTGCCTGTTCGGAGTTGGAAATGGCAGTAGGATCCTATCGGCAGCCCGCTGTTGCATGCGTTCTAGAATTGCCACACACCTCCCCAACAGTGCTGGCCAGCCCTGAGGATCGCCGATCGTTGTTGCTTGCCCTGCACAGGGTCACAGCGCACGTCATTTTCCCAAAGGGCCATCTTGCTCGTCCAGTGTAGGTTCCAGGATAGCGAGCTCCAAAGATCCAGTGCTGGGTGCACTCAACAATAGGCAGCCTGTCAATGCCGTGTATGGCCATACAGTGCATTGATTTTTCGTGTAATGGCGGTGGAACTGGAAAGAATGTCTTGGCATTGCTCGCCTGGCCTGCCAAAAAGGAATGTCAGGCTGTTGCGAATAGCGCGAAATGGGTGCACCGCATGCCGGCAGTCAGCTGATAGGCTGGCCGCATTGCCCGCGACACGGGGCCACGTAGCTTGTCCCCACGAGCTTGCAGCAGCCCAATTTCCTTAGGCGCTACAGCAGCCTTGTTTCTCTTCACCTTCTTTCGTCTGGAAGCTTTATTCTCCTTTCCTAAAAAAAAAATCGAATTCAGATAATCTTGGAGGGTAAACAGCTTTTTTAATTTCTCTCCAAAACACTTATTTTATTTCCCAGTCGCTCTGGTTTCAATTGAGAATGTATCCAGGCAACCAGAACTACAACAACAACCAGTACGGTGGCTACAACAACGGCGGCAGGCTACCAGCCGCCCCAGGGCCCGCCTCCGTCCGGAATTTCAGGAGCGCGGATTTGGCGACAGCAGCTATGGTGGTGGTTACCAACCCCCGCAAGGCCCGCCACCCATCTGGCGACGACTACTACAGCCGGGCCGGACCGCAGCTACAACAGGTGCTACAACGAGACCGCACACAGCGGTGGCTACAACGAAGACCGTAGTTACAACGGCGGCTACAACGAGGACCGTAGCTACAACGGTGGTGGCTACCAGTCCGGCTCGTATGGTGCGCCTCCACCACAGGGCTTCCCTGGTCAGGGCTATGCTCCCAATGACAGCCAGGGGTGGTTTCCCAGGCCAGGGGTACGCACCTAACGATGGGTATGGTGGACCCCCGCCCCAGCAGAACTTCCCTGGCGACGGGTATTCCACCCGCTGGACACGGTGGTGGCGGACCCCCGGCTTTCCCCTGGTAGCGGCGGCTATTCGGATGGCCCCGGGTCGTCCTACAGCCAGGCACCTTCGCACCGTGGGTCTGATGGCTACGGTGGCCCGCCCCAGAGCGGCAACAGCTATGGCGGACCTCCCCCTCCGGGCAACAACTATGGACCCCCAGGTCGCACCAACAGCTATGGCGCCTGGAGTCCGCCGCCATTCGGCAGCGGTAATGCGGTCCCAGCGGCCCGCCCGCCAGGTGGCTATGACTTTGGCGTCGCACCGCCAATGAACATGCCTGTCGGTCACTCATCGCCCTGAGGAGATTGACTACGGAGGCATGGACTTCCCTGAATGGCACCAGCCTGCATACACGTCCCCGCCCCCCCAGCAGCAGTACCAGCAGCAGCAGCAGCAGCAGCAGCAGCAGCAGCCCTCCCATGGAAGCATCCCGCAGTACAACATCCCACAGGAACTGCAGCAGCAGGCAGGCAAGGTGCAGCTGTCAAACTGTGCTGGCCGCAAGCGCGCACTGCTGATTGGTATCAACTATATCGGCACCAAGTACAAGCTGCGCGGATGCATTAATGATGTGCACAACATCAAAAAGTTCATCATGGAGCACTTTGGGTACAAGGAGTCCGACATGGTCATTCTGACTGACGACCAGACGAACAACCCGAGCCGCATGCCGACGCACCAGAACATCATCAAGGCGATGAAGTGGCTGGTGAGCGACGCCAAGATGAACGACTCGTTCTTCTTCCACTACTCTGGCCACGGCTCGACTGTGCCGTGCAAGAGCGGCGAGGAGCTCGACGGCAACGACGAGACGATCTGCCCGGTCGACTTTGTGAAGAATGGCCAGATTATTGACGACGACATGAATGCGATCATGGTGCGGCCACTGCCGCCTGGTGCGCGTCTCACTGCTATCTACGACTGCTGTCACTCCGCGTCGGCGCTGGATCTGCCGTTCATGTATAACCACATGGGCAAGCTCAAGAACGAGAAGGCGATTACCTACGCCGGCAAGGGCCTGAAGGCAGCGGGCGAGTCGTACCTGAAGGGCGATATTGCTGGAGCGCTGAAGGGACTGACCTCGTCTATTGATGTCATGATGACTGGTGACCAGAAGCTCGAGCGCGCACGCCGCAACAAGAGCTCGCTGGGAGATGTTATCATGTTCTCTGGGTGCAAGGACGACCAGACGTCAGCTGATGCGAAGGCTGAGGACCTGTCATTCACGGGAGCGCTGTCGCACGCGTTGATCAGTAGCATGAACGCGAAGCCGCGCCAGACGTATGTTGAGCTGCTGCAGGACATCCGTCGCCGCCTGGCTACCAAGTACACCCAGCTGCCCCAGCTCAGTACCGGCCGTCTCATGGACATGAACACCGTGTTTATCATGTAACATGTAGCCATGTGCAAGGTATGACGTTTGGAAGGAGGCACCGACTGCGATGATTCTAGCTGCCTCGTTAAATGTTTATTCCTGTTTCCTTCTCTATTTGCCTCTTTTTCCTTTTTGAAACATGCCGCATGTTATCACGCCAATGAAAAATTTTCATTCCATCGATTTTGTATTGCCATCAGGATTAAAAAAAAAAGCGGGTATAAGATGTGAGTGGTGTTGCGTGTGGATGACGCTAGGGTGCCATCTGCGGCTGCTTGCTGCCACCTACAATGTTCAGCTTGTCAGGGTTGCTGCTGCTGGGCGTAAAGTGCGTGCCGGTGTTGCTGCTGCTGCTGGCGCCATTTCCCATGGGCGCCGTGGTGGGCATCGTAGCGACGAACTCGTACGGGTTTCCTGGTGTGCGCCCTCGAGACGTATGGCGTTAGTCTGCGGGATGGCGCCCTCAAAGAACGGCGACTGCACAGCGTGCTCAACCATTCCTTGCTCGCCGTGGCGAAAGTGCGGGGCAATGGCAGGGTTGGGCAGCTGGAAGTAAAAGGTCTCCTTGGTCAGCATATCAACGGCGACATTATACCAGGCAATAATGGCGGTCAGCATGCCGACGTAGCCGCTGGCATGCAGCACGCTCTCGCTCTGCGTCCAGTTGCCGGCGCACGTCAGGATGTTTGTCGCCAGGAGGAACAGCAAAAGCATGAATGTGCCCCAGTTGCTGCGCGAGGAACCAAGCAGGAAAATGAACGTCTGCAGGACCCACACAAGATTGAAGATGCCCAGGGATTGGGCGCGCATGTCAGCTGTCATGCTGCTCAGTGTGTCGGCAATGCCGAACCCGGGGATGAGTGTTGCCGCATACGACATCCAGTAGCAGCCGTAGGATGTGAAGACAACTGCACCAAAGCCGTTGTTCGAGGCAAAGGCCCACGCGCCTGCCAGCACCTAATGAAGACAATAGCAAAGGAAATTCGGGATGTGTAAAATAGCATGTCAGTGGGGTGTGCTGTATAAACAATCGCAAACTATGGCCATGATGTTGGTGGCGGCGGGAGAAGAAGGGAGGGCGAGAATCAACCAAAGCAGGTTTGGTAGAGCGCGAATTTGCCCTATTACCCAACTGCCCATTGGTTGGGGAGGGGACAGCGGATATCTTTTGACCATGCTATCGCTTACCTGTGCCATGCCGCCGTAGAAGAGAGCGAGACCAGTGACGATGTTTGGAGGGGCGCCAGCGGCTATGCCGATGGCACCGGTGTGGAGAGCAGAGACGAAGGTAGACACGGCAAAGCCGGAGTTGCCCAGCGGTGCTGGGTTGCTGAAAGGGCGCCATTTAGGCTCTTGACGGACCATTGTGTACATTTAGCGTGAAGGGCTGGTTTGTGGAGGATGGAGGTGATGTGTCAGGAGCGCAGGGAGACCAGTTGAGTGGGATGCGTTCGAGAAGTGGAAAACGAAAATAGTAACTGCTGCTGTGTGCACTAAAAAATACTGGTAGATCTGCAGGCGGGTTTCAGAAAACGATGGAGGAAATTAGTCGCTCAGGGCAAAGTGGATATGAAGCGAAAATGGTATCCGTGCGTTCGGTGTTAAAACCAAGTAGTGAGGAAATTGCAGCGGAGAACGAAAAGGAGGGTGCTGTCGAGCTCCGGTTTCCAAAGGGTGGACACGGGCCACTTAAATGAGAAATAGGGGCTCTCCAGCTGAACCGCTGCGATGAAAGAAATGTCGATGAGAAGAAAAATTGCCGCTGCCCCTCAGTATTGGTGGGGGCGAGTGGCGATTGCGAGCAGAAATCCTGCGCCCAAACCTACCAGCCCGCGTATTTAACAACGCCAACGGGAAATATGCGCTAGTGGCGGTCCCGCCCAGGCACAGCGGAATCTCGCTGGGGACAATCTCACGGGATCCTCGCTGCCCTTGCCCGTCGCCTGCCCCCTTTTGTCGCCAGCGCACACCTGCCAGTCTCTCCTCAAATGTGCACGGCGCCGAAACCTCCTCCCCCTGCTGTTTGGGAGCAGCGCTAGATGGGTACGCTTTTGGAACACGAATTTTATGGACTCGGGGAAGAACGGGGAATTTTTCCTGATAGCCGCTGCTAATGGAAGGTGAAGAAAGAACAGATGGCACGTACATTTATGCGTGGGCCGAATAGTGTGGCCCAGCAGGAGGGATCGACTCGGAGGATATAGGCGCTTTAGGAACGCCTCTCCCATGCGGCAAGACTTGATGTGGAAGGGCACAGGCGGTCATATATGGCCGTGTGCATGACACATGTGCAGAGGACAAGCCCTTTATTCCAAGGCGGTGATACATGGATGCTCGCTCTCGAACCAGGCATTCCAGACATGCCCAAAGTGCCCAATCCCCGACACATCCGGTTATAAGCAGGACGTCGGAAGGGCCAAAGCTGCAATGCCAGAAATGGATGGACAGGGTCGGAAATGCGATATCAGCTAACAGCCCAAACTGCTGGCTGGCATGAGCCTTTTTGCGCTTGGGCACCTGAGATCACCCTGCCGATATTTTGATATTCCAAGCAAACTCCTGCTCTGGAGTCGCAAGCAATTGAAGCCTGGTACTGCTATGGAGCTCGGGACACGACCAGGATCACCGCTAGTCCCGATACTTTTGCAGAACAGCTATTTGCTTGCTCTGCAGGAGCTAGTTCTGGACTCACACATCATCTCACATGAATGGGCAGATTCGGAGAGGAAAATGTTTATAGTTATGGCTGGGCCAAGGTGTCTGACTAGGATAATATGGCCAGCACAGGCAACTACGGGAGTCGCTCGATATTTTCCGGTCGGCCAAAGCTAGGGCCATCTTAGTGGGCATGGATTAGGGTCAGTCCTGCACATGTGCTTCCTCATCAGCCGTGCACTGGCTGGGGATATCATATCAAACCGGAATCAATCTGGAGCCTCTACTCAGAATGCCCCTCTCAGGTGTCAGATACTACGGCATGGCCAGCGGACTGGTTTGGAAATCGATAAGATTGGGAAACAGAAAAATTGACCAAGGTCAGCTCAGATGAAATGCTGGGCGATGGCAGCGTTTGCGATCCCGGCTTCCTCGACGGTTGCACTGTCGTTGTCGAGCACCTTGGGCGGCATCATGGTCTTGAAGTTAAACGGCCGTGCGCTGGCTGCGGGCCGCTCATGCAGCACATACGCCCGCAGATCACCGATGGTGTGCGAGGGGTTGACCTTGGCGACAATGCGAGTGCCGTCAGCCATGCGGATCTGCACCTGCACTGTGCGCTGGCTCGGGTCAAGTGTGATCGGAGCAGCGGCCTTGGCTGACGACGACGACGTGCGGCGGTGGAACAGACCGCCCGACGCCGGGGCAGCAGTCACGGGTGGGGAGATGCCGCCCAGGCGGTGGCCCTGACCAGAGAACGGCTGCGGCGGAGCAGACGGCGGCGGGGTGTAGTCCTCTCCGGTGCGCTTGACCACGCGCATCTCGACCTGCTGGCCCGGCCGCACATTCAGGATATCTAGCGGCGCGCGGCCCTGCAGGATGGCCTCGAGGTTCTGGCGGTTGCGCGGGTCCTCGGTATTGTACAGCGGGCCGTCGCCGATGCTGAAGCCGTTGCGCCAGAACGTCAGCTGGCGGACCGCCACGTCATCTTCGGTTTCGCTCGGCTCCGACGGCTGGTACTCGTCGTCGTCAGCACCGCCCAGCGCACGGCCGCGCCCAGAGAATCCGGCCTCGGACGGTTGTGCTGCAGGCTCGGGCGGCGCCCCGCCCTCAGCTGCGCGACGCAGAATCCGGTCCACCAAGGACCCGCCCTCGTCGTTGCTGTCGCTGGACCGCGGAGGCGGGCGCACCGCCATGCCGCTGCGCTCGCCGCCCGCATACCAGTCCTGCGAGTCGTCGTCGTCGTTCTCTTCTTCGTCACCCAGCGACGACAGTGTCGCAATGCGCGAGCCTGAGCCGTAGCGGCGCCGCGGCACTGAAGATGCTGCCGAGTTCGATGGCGGCGTGCCGCTGGATGCCGCGTGGATGGGTCCGCCGCCCAGGGTTTGCGCGGATATAACAGGAGCTGCGGCCGAATGTGTCGGGTCCTGGGGCAGTGCCAGATCCTCGTGGTTCTGTGCTGGTAAGCCCTCGGAGAGCGGCGGCTCCTCGTAGAAATTGCTTAGCGCCGCATTCAGATCCCAGTTGTTGGCCTCCAAATAGAACCGCGCCTGGTCTTCGGTGCCCGGGTTGACCTGCAGCCACTGTGCGATAAGCTCGTCGTGTGAAGTGGAATCGCCCATCTCTAATGTGAAGGATTGGTTACGGCTTTGTAGTGTATTGAGCGACTTAAAAATAGCTGGCAGTTTGGGAGTCAGCACACGAGAAAAGAGAAGTGGTGTTTGAGTTTCTGAGAGCGATGACGACAAAGGGCTGGGCTTTTGAAAATCAGATCAGCCATGCGATTAGGACGTGAGGGAGCCAGCATCTGTGCTGCGGCACCAAATGCCGATGTCATCGGAATCGTTCTTTTTTTTTTTTTTTTGGCTGTGGAGATGCCAGTGCATGTAGTGAGGCAGATCATATCATTGTTGTGCTGCGCAGTGGATATGTTCGATCACACTATGCTACATAGGCTGGCCACAAATGGCAGCGGGTATACATCGACTAGTCTGCATAGTGGGACCGAACGGTCCTAGGCCTATTTCTTTTAATAAATCAAAAGACGTGCTTAGTGCCAGTGTCAGGTTGCAATTCTCCAAAGTAGCCAAGGCGGCAGTCAAAAGACACTTAACCGTGCCAAATGGCAGCAAGCAAAGTACAAGAAGCTAAAGATGGTGTGCGTGGCCATGAGAGGCAGGTGCGGTGTGGTTTAAAGGAGTGCTGAAGCTGATAGCTTGGCATGCTGGAGTGAGCAATATGGCTAGTGTTTCTAGTACCAGACATCTGGGTGTATTTCGTTGGCATATATAGTCCAGACGATATTGCCAACTCATGGGCGAGGCACAGGGGGCGGGGGTTCGCACGGGGAAGTGGTATCTGGCCCTGCCTAATAGAATGGCTATATCTTTATCGGCGCGCAAAGCCGTAGCAGCGAGGATGATGATCGAGGGGCCGGGGGAGCGATCCGAGCTGTTTTTCGGCCAATTATCGCGTTGTATTCGCCCCGGTCAGCGAAGGAGAGAGGGTGAAAAGCATGCCCGCACGCACCGTGTCACAGGCCGATTTCTTCTTTTTCAACCCTTCATTTGACTCGATTTCGAAATTTGCTCACGTTTTTTCCTTGCACTTTCTTCATTTTTGTACTTTCTCCTTTTCTCGTTTTCTCGTTCTTATATACCTCCTTCCTCTAATACAACGGTTGTCACTGCCCGGGCAGCAATTCTCGTGAAAGCAGTTTGCCTGTTGTTTGAAGTTCCCTTCCCACTTGGCACGACTAACAAAGCGCATTCCTTCCAATTCATTTTTTTCCCACTGGTCATTCAGTGCACGCTTTCTCTTAAAAAGAGCACCTGGCAAAGGCATTACTCGTGTATTCTACTATGGCGACAAACGGCAAGAGTGGCGCCCGTAACGCGAAAAGGAAGGGCAAGAGCCGCAAGAATAAGGCGCAGAACAGCATCACCAACCACAACAACGACGGGTCTCGCAGCCCCACTCGGTCCACAACACAAGCACCAGCAGCCGACACACCGCAGGAACCTGAGGCAGCAGAGCCAGTGGTCCAGCCAGCACCGGTCTCGGCAGCGCGGAGCGCGGGCGGATCAATGGCTAGCGGCGGGTCGTCAGGCAAGCAGAACCAGATGTTCACAATAGGCACGTTTGAAGAGGACTCTGAGGATAGCGATAATCTGCTGGCCCGGGTCCAGAAAAGCGTGCATCATGCGGCACACCCAGACGCGGGCAGCAGCGGAACCGGGCCCAATGGTGCAGCGCAGGAGACGGAAATGGAAACAGAAGACGCAGCCAATGCAGAGGCAGATCTGGACAGCCACCCTGAATCCAAAACGTCTTTGCATAACCGGCAGCTTTTGTCGGCTGCGCCTGCCGAGCCACCTGCAGGAAGGCAGCCTCTGTTTACCATGGGGTCGAACTCGGAGCTGAGCGACATTGACAGTGTCGGTAATGCTGGGCAGCAGATGGAGCCGGCCGTGCAGCAGGCAGCGGGCGGAGATGGCGATGATGATGTGTATGAGAGCAGTGACAATGGCGAGGAGGCCTTGCCATCAGATGATCAGCGTGGGCGTAGCGCAAGGTCTTATGACACCAGTGCGGCCAGCATTAGCACCAGCATCCCGGGCAGCGACTCGCTGCAGATTGAAATCACAGAAGACAGCGGCGAGCTGCAGGGGGACGACACGGTTGTGGCGACGCAGCAGGCGGTGGACAAGGAAGGGGGGGCACTGGCAGCGTCGGCAGAGGACCCAGGCTCGCAGGGCATTAAGCGCACCAAAGGGCTGCACCTGTGCAAGGCCACCACCAGCCTGTCGCAGCTGTGCCAGCTGTCAGGCAGCAACAGCTACGCGGACCTGGCATCGGACGGGTCGGGGCCGGCGCTGGTGATTCGCGACCGGAACACCAGCGCACCGGCAGCACGCCCGCTGCAGGACGTCGCGCAGACCGACGCAAAGTCGCCGGGCGCGGTGTCGCAGAAGGGCAAGGCGCATCGGCCACCGGTGCTGCACCGCGACGCCAAGCCGCGCAAGAAGGTGGGGGGCAAAAAGACACATCTGAAGAAAGCCACCAGTGCGGCGGCGATGCGGTCGCGGCAGCGTCACAGTGCGGGGCCTCGGCGGGAGACGTCGCATCCGCGCGGGCTGGGAATGTCGCGGCTGACGCTGGACGAGGGGCCAGCAGACAGCTCGTATGTCGACTACAGCGGCAGCAGCGACCTGGACACGGGGGAGGTGGAGGTTGTCGACGACGAGCGGCCGCAGATGCGCACAGTGTCGTCGGAGCCCACGGACGTAGTGCCGCGGGCGCATTTCGGGGCCCTGGAGCAGCCGCAGGGCAGCGTCAATTCGTCGACGGCTACACTGGGCGGGGCATGCCAGGACGCCGACGACACGGCCACGACTGCAAGTACCGGCAGCCAGCACGAGGACCGGGCGGTCCAGCTCCAGGAGGACAGCAGCACAGGCGATCGCAGCAGCGAGATTGCCCAGACACAGCCCGTACCAACAGGCGATCCGCATGCGATGCACGCCAGGTCACGCTACCGCGACCCCGAGGCGGGCGATCGGCGGTTCGACGAGCAGCGCAAGCCGGTCAATGTGTCGCCACCGACCCCGCCGCAGGCCGACGGGCCACTGCATCTAGCGGACCGCGGGCGGGCGACCCGGCGGCACTCCGAGACCCGGGGGCGCGAACGGGTCGACTCGTCCGAGTACAGCGCGAACCACACAATGAGCATGAGCCGCAACATGGAGTCGCAGCGGCAGCAGAGCATGGTGGAGCGCGAGGAGGAGGCGCAGGAGGAGGCCAGCGCGCTGATGACGGGCGTGCCGCGCCGCAGCAACCGGCCGCTTGGCTCAGCGCCACACGTGTTCCTGAGCCCCAGCTCGCCAGCCTATGGCCAGCAGATCCGCCGCACAGACCGCATCTACGCGTACATGCGCGAAACCAGCAGTCCGCTGCTGGCCAGCCTGGAGCGCTGCGTCGATCTGCGCGAGCACCGCGCCGCCATTTCGCTGGCCAAGTCGCAGACCCGCAGTCTGTCGCGGCCTGACCCGTCGGACGCCGACCAGCGCACTGCATGGTGGGACTCGCTGCTGCCGCCGCCGCCACCATCGCCGGCCCAACGTGCCTCGCGATCGGCGGCGATCGGCGAGGTACCGGCATGGATGCTGGCCGCCCGACGCGGCCAAGTGCGCCGTGTATGCGCAGACCGTTGACACCGGCATGGCCGGTCCCCGTGACCAGGCGGACCCCTGGGTGCGCTCACCTTGCGGGAGCTGCGTGCGCGCGCAAAGGAGCTGCGGTTCTCGCGCCAGCAGGAGCAGGCGGCCGTCAAGAACCACACCGCGGCGCCGCCGCCCAAGCTGATCACCACCACCACCGCGTCGCTGGAGACTTGGCGCGGGCGCCGTGTGCCCGGCCTGCTCAGCGTCGACACCTATGCCGGGTCCACAGTGCCGGTCGAAGGCACCAAGCCGGTGCTGCGGGCCGCCGACCCCATGGCTGCGTCGCCCGCCGACCACTCCAAGGCTGGCGCAGTGGCAGCCCCGTACCGCCGATTCGGCACCGTCTACGGATACACGCCCGACGCCCACATGTACAAGGCGCGGCGGCCACACGGCCCCGGCCACGCCAATGGCACTGGCCACACGACCAACTTTGGCGTGCCCAGCTTGGCCCACGTGCATACCAGCGCCATGTCGGTGCGTGGCGACAGCAGCCGGCCCAGCACCGCCGGTCTGTGGGACAGCAATGTGCGCCGGTCAAGCTACTTTGACCGCCTGTCGGTCGACGAGGCCCGCCCACAGATGCCTGCGTCGCTGCAGACGTCCACTGCTGGTCTGCTGCGCCGCGTCATCTCGGGGCTGACTGGCTCGTCAAGCTACGGCGCAACCTAGCCAGTCATAGTCTATTCTTCTGTCAGTTTCTGTAATAAACATTGAACTGCAACCAGCCGTGGCACTGTCTGCCGGATGGGCATCCGTCCTGGGTGCGTCTTTGTGCAAGCATATTTGTGGATTTGAAGAGTAGAAGCCTGGCCCGAGTAAATATATGTTTTGGCATTGAAGAGATGTTGTATCATTTTTGTTCGGTTAGTCGTCGGCAGCGGTGACATCTCCGTACTCCCACATGCCCTGGTGGGCAGCCTTGGCCTCGTTGGCGACCTCGGCAATTTTGCTTGCAGCAGCCGGGTTGTGCAGGGAGGCCAGGGCGCGCTTATCGGCGATTGCATACCCAGAGCGGGCGAGCTCGGCATTGACGCTCTTCTCGACCAGGGGGCGGCCCAGGGCCGGGTCGTACAGCGTCAGCTGGATCGGGCCATTGGCAGGGCGGGCCTCGACATTGGCGACAAGCTGGCGGGCCTCGACCAGCCGGCGGATCTCGGCAAAGGCCTCGGGCAGGTAATCACTAGCGAAGGAGTCGCTGGGGGTCTGCACAAAGGCCAGCTGGGCCTCGATGGCCTGGTGCGGCAGCGCAGTGAACTTGGCGGCAAGCGGACGCAGCCGGTCGAGCGGCAGGGTCTCAGGAGTTGCCAAAGTCCACGTAGACGACCTCGAACTCGCGCTTGCCGGGCAGGACCTTGCGGACCTTGGCGCGGTGCCACTCGTCGCCGACGGTGTAGCAGGCAGACACCAGGGCGCCGGCCTTCGGGCTGAAGTCCGCGGGCATTGCGGGCTGCGAGACAGCCAGGTCGGCCATCAGCGTCTCCAGCTGCTTGATGGCCGAGGGCTTGGCGACCTGCACAAAGAACGACGACGGCGAGATAAGCTCCGAGACCGCCACGTCCAGGAACTCAATGCGCGGCTTCAGCTCCCGCGCCTGCTGCGCTTCGGCCTGCGCCTGCGCGGCTGCCTGCTTCTCGGCGGCAGCATCAAAGTCAGCCCACAGCCCGCGGCGGTCCGCCTTGGCGCGGCGCTCGGCGGCGACCAAAGCGTTGGTGTGGGGGCTCTGCTCGGCGCTGAACGCATGGACCGAGGCCAGGCCGTCGCGCAGAAGCTCCACGGCCAGGCTCTCGGTCTTGGACAGCCACAGCGAGCCGATGAAGGCGCCGGTCTTGTCGACGCCCTCGAACTCGGCCTCGACATCGCGCTGCATCGCCCGCAGCGTGGTGAGCGCCAGCGCCTCGGCTCCCAGCGGCTCGCCGCCCTCGTCCGAGCCGTGGCGCGGGGCGCGCGGGCACCGGACACCAGCCAGCACAAAGGTCAGCTTGACGTTCTCGCGCGGGATGTGCAGGCGCAGGCGCGCGCCGCTGGCCACATAGTCGACAATGCAGGGCACGCGGCCGGAGCGCTGCCAGTGCGTCAGGAAGGACCGGGCACGTGCCGCGCTCTCCGACGCATCGGCGGGCGTGGCGGCGGGCTTGGGCTTGCCCGAGTGGATGCCAGCCTTTGCTTCCTGGGCACGCAGCTTCGGCGGCCAGCAGGCTGTCGTAGTTGGACGACCGGTTGGGGTCGTCGTTGCGGTGGCGCAGGACGCCGGCCAGCCCGCGGTCCACCAGCCGCTCGCCCAGATCCTGCCCGTCCAGCCGCACTGTCGCGCAGTCGCGCGCGCGGAACCCGTCTTGCGCGGGCTTGTGGAAGTCCACATGGCACTACCACGCGCTTGCCAATGGCCAGGCGCCGCAGCGTCTCCTTGGCCTGCTCAGCGTAGCCGGCCAGCGTCGGGTCGGAGACGCGCGGCTGCCGCACCGACGCCAGCTGGAACTCGCGCTCCTGGCCATCGGCCACGACCGCCAGCGAGTCACCGGAGACGATCCGCACGACCGTGGCGATCGAGCACCTCACCGGTGCCCTGCGCCAGCGGGCCGTCAAACCCATGCCACACGCGCACGCCCTTGGCCTTGGCAGTGCGCTCCAACGGCCCGCAGCCGCGCCGCACCGCCCTCCAGCATAGCAGCCGACCAGTCGACCACCTTGGCGTACGAGCTGGACACAAGGAACTCGGCGATGTTGCCCTTGTCGTGGACCACCGAGCCCACAAAAGTGCCGGCAGCAGCCATTACCCTGCGGCAGACCCTCCAGGCGCACCTTGACGTCCTGCTGCAGCAGCCGGATCTCGACGTTGAACTTGGCCTCGTCGCCGTACTGCTCGATAATGTCCAGGCATGCCTGGCACGTTCGTCCGCACCATCGGCGCCTTGACGCCAGCCAGCAGCAGCGTCACCATCTGGTGCGCCGACGGCAGATGCAGCATCACCTTTAGGGTCGTCGCGTCCCGCACCGCCTCGATGGTCGCGCGCAGCTCCTTGCCGCGGTGCTGCGCCAGGAACCGCCCGGCGTCCAGATCAAACGACGTCAGCCGCGGCCTGGCCTTGGGCGCCTTGTCGTTCCACATGCCGCGCCGCGAGCGCTTCGCAAACTCCTCCTCGTCCAGCAGCCGCTCGATCAGCTCGGCCGCCGCGTCGTCGCCTGAGCCGCGTCGCGAACGCGCCTGGTCAGACACCTTCGCCCAGCCCTCGTGGACAAGCACCACCGAGATCTCGTCGGTCGTCGATGGCGGGCCGAGGTACACGCTGCCGTACTCGCGCCCGCCCGCCGTCTTGTAGTGGACCACGAACCGGATTGCCTTGCCCACAGTCTTGCGGACGCAGGAACTCACGGGCCTCCAAAGCAAACGGCTCGTCGGGCACCCCCTTCTTTGCATTGCCCAGATGCGGCGCCTGAATGAACGCCAGCCCCAGCGACCGCTCTGGCGGCGGCTGGTTGCCGCGCTGCGTGGCCCGCAGGACCAGAGAGTCTCCCGAGAATGCCTGTTTGACGAAAGCGCTTTGCATTGTATAAAAAAAAGAGTTTGTTTGTTTCAGGTAGAAAGGTAATTGGAAGAAAAGACGAGCAAGCTGGTTTGATGGGAACCGGCCTGCCTGCACAGGAATGCATGCACGGTTTTTGGTTCTCCGAAAAAAAAGGACGCAAATTCTGTGATGCGTTGGCACGCGTGATTGGTGGCATCCGGGAATCACTCCGTCCACACATCCTCTGGCCGGCCTGCTGGCACAGTAGCCCTGGGTCTCCTCCTCCGTCTCCGGTCCTGTCTCCTCCGGTGCTTTCCCCTGACCACCACCGCCCGCACTCCAAGCTCCGCCCGCTCCGTCTTCACCAGCCGATCCAGCACCCGGCCCAGCCTGCATGTGCATATCCACCAGCCCTGCATCAATCGCATCCTCGATACGCATGCGCATCTGGATGATCCGCAGCTTCGGCCACGTCGCCACCACTCCTCATCAATGCTCTGCTCGGTCGACGCACGCGTCGGGTCCCGCAGCAGCCGCAAGTACTCGCCTACCGTCGCCTTCGGCCGCACCGTCACGCTGCCGTCAAACTTTTGCAGCCACACGTAGCTCCAGTCCTGCCCAAACAGTAGCGGCACCAGATCCAGGTCGCGCAGCAGCCGCAGCCATTTGCGGATATCCAGTTTCAGGAAATGCTCCAGCGCCGACAGAACAAACCCGCCACGCCACACACTGCTCAGCCGCCGCGCCGGTGGCTGCCCAATCGCCCCGTCGCGGTCGTAGAAAAACAGCGTCACGTGCGGGTTCACCTGGCTCACCACCGTGAACTGCACGTTCAGCGACGCCCGCAGCTCATGCGACGGGATGTCGTTGCGGAAACTGCCGTCACGCCATAGCACCCCGCTGCCCGTGTATGCCTGCACCACGCCGCCGGTCTTCTGCAGCAAAACCATCGGCGGCAGCACTCCTGGCAAGCATGCGCTGGCCAGCACTGCGCTCCAGATGATCACGTCGGGCGCCGTCACGTGGTTCAGCAGCTTGGGCGCAGCGTACTTGCGGCCCAGGGGCGTGCATGTGACATTAAGCACGCGGCCCGTGCGCTCAAAGGCCTCGCGGAACGTCATCGCCCCGCGTGTAAACACCTGGGCGCGCGCCGCCCACTCCACCGGATCAAAGTAGTGCCCCTGCTTCGCCCACCGCCGCAGCTTCGGCCCGCCTGGCCCATAGCACGGCGTAATGTACTTGGCCAGCTCCGGCCGCACAATCTGCCGTAGCTCGCTGTCCGTGTGCGTCCCCAGCAGAGCTGCCACCAGCGACCCCGCCGATGCCCCCGACACCACCCGCGGCAGCCGCCCCGCCAGCAGCAGACTGCGCACCACGCCAAGATGCTTCCACCCCATCGCTGCCCCGCCCGACAGACACAGAGCCGTGCGGCCCTGCTGCCGTGCCGCCTGCCGGAAAAACTGCAGCCGCGCCGCCGCCGGCAGCTGCGTGGCCTGCCGCACCAGGTTTATACACGCAACTGCTTTCCTCCACAAACTCCTCGACCACCCGCGGCGGCCCCGAGTACGCACGCGCCCACACCTCGCGGTTCTCCCACCCGCCCGCATTGGCCTTCAGCGCTCCCTGCCCCAGCGCCTCGCACACTGCCTCTTCGCCCGCCCGCCGAGCGCCTGCGTCTCTGGCTGCCGACAGCTGCACGCGTGCGCGCCGCAGCCCAGCCGTCAGCCGCTGCAGAAGCGCTGCGTCGTAGTATTGCGATAGCGCCCAGTCGTGGTCCAGCCGCAGCCCGCGCTGCGCGTCCATCTGCTGCGCGGCCAAAAGCCACTCGCTGTAACTCTCGGCCCGCCGCATCTTCTGGATACAGCTGCCCACGTCTGCCCTGCCAAATGTACAGCCGCTCGTACGCCCGCACTATCTGCCGCACCACTAAATACGCCAGCAGCTCCAGGAGGAATCGCTCCCCAGATCAGTCCCAGCAGCGGCATCCGCAGAATTGCAAAGGTTGCTCCCGGCGATACCCCCGCCAGCGCCCTGTCCTTTTTCTTGCTTTTCGATGCGCTCACTGCCGTGCGCGACGCCGTGCTTGACCGTCGCCTATGCATGCTGCCTATGCTGCTCCGCCGCCGGTGCTGTCTGTCCTGGATCTTCTTCTGCCGCTTGCTCCACTCCTTGTCAAGCATGATGTCGCGGAACACCTGGAACTGCATATAATACGTCCTGGCCTCCTCTTCACTGACTGTCGGCCGCTCGAACTCTGCCTCGTCGTATCCGTCCTGGATTGGCAGCCGGTCGAGCTGTCTGACATCGTACCCGTACTGCCTGATTGTCGGATGCGCTGCCGGCGCCTCCGGGTCGCCGTCCTTGTATGGCCACGCCGGCGGGCAAAACAGTACCTTTTCCCAGTCATCGGTCATTGTGTGAAAAAAAAAAACAGATATAAGAGCGAAGAAGTGCTAGTGATACCTGTGTCCCGTGTCTTTGGGCTTGAGTCTCTGGTATTTTAACCCATTCGGCTGCCTTGTGTGACGTATGATCCCTCGTGTCGTGGCTCGCCCATCGTACCACCTCACCTCTCCCCCCAATGGCTTGTGAAAGCAACTCTCCACTGCTCAGTCCTATCCTGGCCATGGTGTGAACGTGATCTCCATCTATGCTATTTCGTCCATCGCATCGCATCCTAATATGTATACGTGGAGGGTTTTAAGACGACTCCCTGCACCTCGCCAATGTTGGAAACCAAAGCGAATCGCCGGCTGTCCTAACACCGGTTCCTGGAATTCACGTGCCGGCCAATGTCTATATCCGCAGTTCTACACTTCAACTGCTACCTACGTTGTGCATCACCTCATCACAGCAATTTTTAGAAACAAGATATGAACAAATATAGCCTTTCTTCCTTGTTAACTGCCACATCAGCTGCCTCCAAAATCGTTCCAAGTGTTTGAGCATCGAATTAGCAAAGAGCTATCCTAACTCTGGCTGCTCCTCGAATGGACACGTAACCTCTATCCTAAGCCCCCTATGCTTTTGCACTAATGAGGCACTCGATGCGCTGTGCGACGAAATAAATAAACGCCTATACCGATGTGTGGATCTGCTTAGTATTGTCTGTATCGTCGCCGTTGATACTCTCTGGTGGTGTAGATGGCGCTCCAATAGACTGTTGCTGTATCGACCCGGATGCAATCCACTCCTGGAACTTTGGAACTGCTCTGGCTATGACTGCAGCATTCAACCTTCATCTTGCTATATGTTGCCAAATCAAGTATCGGTGACTGGCGATTGTCATCGTATGGTGCAATCTTTTTGATAGCTGATTGGAGTATGCTAGTATCAACTACTTCATACGTTGGCTACATTGAGCCGATGCTCCAGGTCGGCTGAGATGTGGCGAGCAATGACACCAGCAAGTTCTCTCACGCAATACCACCGTGACAGCACCATATCAAACGCTTGATCTCTATCGCGGATGAGCCGAGTCTCGACCCACATGTCTGCCTCGATCTTTACCTCATCGTCGCCATCGTCACTATGGCAGCTGTTAGCATATGTGTCATGCTGCTAGGGTGGTTCCATCTCACCCAAGGCGGCTTTCTCACTGAGAGTAGTGCAGTCTTATCTACCGCCATGCGCGGCTTAGATAAGGGCTCAGTATGCGCACTCGGTGCTTGCTTAAATACCCCTTGCTGGCTCCTAGCAGCGGGAATTCCTCCTGGTTTTTCCAATGTATTTTTGTGAACATTTACATTGGGTTTTGTCAGCACCTTTATTATAGTGTTGTGTCGGTCGACTATGTAGGGGATTTTAAAAGGTATATTTAATGCTGAAGAGAGAAAAGGGAATAGACGAGTTGTGCAAGGGTGTTTTCAATACAGCCGTCTGTGCAACTTATCAGAGGCTAGACTCTACCTCCATACCGTAGGCTGTAGCGGGGCTCTCGTTGGCGCCTAGATTTCTGTCACCTGATTCGGCTGATATGTCGACGTCAAGGACAGCCGCATCGGGCGCGCAACAATAGTTTACTACCAGGAGAACACGATACCTAGTATCTTCCTCCCAGACAACCTGACCACGGCCTCTTTAGGCACGTACCGCTTCCTTTTGTTTGTTTTTTGTGGGCTACGATGAGCGCCGATAGAAGAAAGGCATCTGGCTCCACATATGGATTGTCGTCTGTGGGTAGTGCTACACTCGAAGCAGGAGACACTATGGAGTTGGAATGCAAAATAATATCACAACTGTGGAAAAAAAAACTAGAGTAGAGACTCATTTCACTCTGTGCCTCCTCTTGCCCAGGTGCTTGTATTTATGAGCTGTGAGCTGGGTCATGCTCGTGGAGAGGCGGCCCGGTCCTGATTGAGAAAAGCTTACACTTTCCGGCACTGGCAAGTGCAGAAAACAATGTCCCAGTACTGCCATCGTTTGCGACTGAGCAGACCCACAGCTCAGTTGTGAATCATGAGCTATGGCTATGACCCGTCCTCACGGCAAACACAGCGCTTTCTGGCAATATGACTGCGATTGCAGGTATGGAAATGTAGGGCGGTTAGCCTTTAGCATTTGCCGAAGAGTGGCACTCCATCGACATGCTATGGCTTATTTGCTACGAAGGCAACTGCGAAAAGCGAAGCATCACAACCCTAATTGACGATTTGTAGGCGACTGAGTGCTGATAAGCCCATCCTTTTTGCTTGGTGGGTGACAACTGTATTGCGCCTGGCGCAGTCCCTGGTTGTCAGAAGGTTACAAGCGATATAAGTAAAATTGTAGAGCGGGCTGGAACACCCGAAGATATATATATATTGGGAAAGTGTGAGAGAGTGCAAAAAAGGCACTAAGCAAGTAGAAAAATATAGAAGAAAGACAAGAAAGAATCCGGTCCAGTATTGGACTGGGTAGCAAAATATAAAGAGAAAATAGAACAATGAAATGAGGAAAATCTAATTCTGATACTGGTCTGCTCAATATCAGGCTTGTTCCGGTTGGGCGTGGCACGGCTATCTTAATGGCTGATGAGAGTCAAATGTGCTCAGTTCCTTATACTTGCGAATAAAGATTCCCATGGACAGATATGCTGGCGAATGTTCATCATTATATAGCAAATCATGCGCACAGTATTTGAAATCATCGATTAAAGGTATGTTGTACATTTTAAAAAAAGTTAGCGGTTTTAGAAGCCGCGCTGATACAGAGTGGTGCCAACCCTGAGATAAAACTCGATGGCATCGAATCGCTTGGCTGCCGACGCCGCACCATCTATACTCGCCCGCCCCTCGGCATCTTTGCGTCGGAGCCATGTCGCCCACTGCGACCCCCAGTCAGCCATCGTGCCGACAAAGTCCTTGCCAATGTTACTGAATCGCCACCGGTTCGTCAAGTCAAAGTGATCCGCAGTCACGGTTCCCAGATAATGGCCCCACTGTGCGCTGGTGAGACTCACGAGCCCGTCATTCGGCCCCTCAGCCCGATAAATGATATCGTGTGGGATGGTCAGCGGGTTTACCTTGCCTGCAACATCGCCGGTATCCATCTGTGCGCCGTACGACAGGTACTCGATGCCAGCAACATCGGGTGTAGCAGGATTAAAGAATCGGTTGCAGTAGTCAGTCGTCAGACATGCATACGCCGGCGTGTCTAGCGTAGCCATGATGCGGCGGTACGCCATGCGCAGCAATGCCACGGAGCGCTGCAAGTAGTCTCCCTCGTCAACTGACGTGCGTGTCAGCTTCACCAGCTGTGACGACTCGCCTGCCGAGGCATTCTCGCTGAGCATGTCGGTCAGAAACTGCGCAAACCGTCTTAGCCGCTGATCCGCCGGATCAATGTCGCCAAACTCCTCCTGGTTCTGCTGGCCAACTGCCTGGCTAACAATCTGTTCTATGCGCCTGCGCACAACAGCCTCGTGGACAACCTCGCCTGCCGAATCCGAGCCCAGCCCGCTGGCCTGCGCAGGCTGCCACACGGTGGCAAAATCGCGCATCAGTTGGTCAGCGTCCACGCGATAGCCCAGACTCAGATAGTCGCGGCACCAGTCCATAAACGGCGAGCCGCGGTGCGGCGTGCAAACTGTTGTTAGAGAACTAACCTCATAGTCCGTGGGCCGCACGTGTGTGATCATGTAGCGCGCATCCAGCCCGCCCATCGAATGGCCGACGATGTTCACTTTCTGCTTGGCCAGCCGCCCCTTCAGCAAAGTGTCCAATTGCTGTGCGCGCTCATGCACGCCTCCCGTGCTGGCCACCTTGGCTACGACCACCTTGGCCCCGATCTGCTCCAGGGCCTCGCGAATCCCGCGCCAGTAATGGAACTGCAGTAGCGGCAGCTTCTCCGGCCCTACAACGTGGATGTTTTAGGCGACTGCTTATCAGCACCGGCAAGTGAGAAAAACCGTGGTCTTTTCCGAGACCGTCCCCCAACACCCGCACTGCCTGGCTGGGCTGATTGGACATTACTACAAGCTTACCTCGCACGTCAAAGCCGTACAACCCTAAGGCGCTGAAGCAGCGGATGGAACAAAAGAAAAAAGATAATGTCAGCACTTTTGTCCTCTCATACGTGCCGTTGCATAGCCTGTGCTGGTAGAACATACCATGGCACAGCACCATCGGGTGCCGCGGCGCAACATATATGGGCTTGACCGGGATGCGCTCGTTGACTGCGGCTTTGTCTAGAATTGCATCCCGCGCTGGCCAGCCGACGCAGTGCTATCCTCGGAGCTAGCGTATAGCCAAGGGCCCGCACCCAGCTTGGCCACCTTCTTGGCTTTGGAGACCAGCAGAGTGCCAGGTTGCCTTCAGCTCGCTGGCGCAGCTGGCGCACAAACTTGGCTGCTGAAATAGACGCTGACATGACTGAGAATACGCTAAACGCAAGAACTCGAAAAGAATGAGAAGAAAATGCAAAAAAAACTATTGGAGCGAAAAGAATGTTGGTAGTACGTATAGAGTGAATTTGTTGGAAGGGTGGAGAGCAAGAAACGAAAAAGTAGCTTGGAGTACGGTCACGGGCCAGCCAGGCTGGCATTTATACGCGCGAGCGAGCGAGCTGAGGCCGCCCGCCATTCAGGCTTTGTGCGAGGCCGCATGACCCACAGCCAAAAGTCCACGTACGACCAGGGAGACGATCCCGGCTCTTACATGAAGGGATGCCCAGCTCTTTTCGAGAGATGTTTACAAAAAGACCGAAGCTTCTAGTTTGCCTTGGCCCATACGACAAAGTCGTCAAAGAGCACAGGGCCACGCGCCGTCGTCTTCATAGTTGGACATGTCTGGCCTCAAGCCTCGCGACAGCTCTAGCAGCGACGACCACTGGTCCTTGTTGATAACCTTGGTCTTGCATGCTTCGTCACCCAGGAACCCGACAAACTTTGCCACCACTGGGATGTGGGCCGCAATGAGGTGCAGCCCGATTAGCGCATTCTACACAGGAAGCAAGGCTTAGTGTGCCATCCACCAACATGACCTCATCTTCCAGAACCCCTCCAACGCTTACCTCCTTCTGGACCGATTTTTGTCCGTCCGTCTTCAGGTACTCGAAAACCTTCCTGTAGAACGCCCGGTACGAGGCGGTGTCGGTGGCAAACCCTGCCTGTGCATGTTCTACGGCACTCTTGAGCTGCGCCAGCGTGTTTGCCTGCATGCCACGCAGACCAGCATCCCACTCGCTGAAGGTAATCTCACCCATCTTGGCTGCGTTAAACTTCCACAGCAGCACAATCGGCAGCACGCCCTCCATGTCGAACTCCAGGTCCTGGCAGAGCTGCTCGAACCCAGCCGGGTCAATAATGCTCTGGCCGTCCGTCCGGTCGAAATCTACACATAAGAAACGACTTAGAGTGCCAGTGTCCAACGGCAAGCGGCACTGCTGCGTGGCTAGTTGGCCATGCCGCCCTTACCTTGATACTGTGCGAACCATTCCTCGTAATTATGCGCTTGTGTTCATTTTGCCCTAATGCATACACACCAATTCCGCCGGGTTAGCAAAAGACTGCTGCGTAAGCATATGCGCGCGCTCTGCACCAGCAATGCGGTATGAAACACATAGCCGTTACCTGTGGTTCTGCTGCTGCTGCGACTGCCCTCGAATTCCTAAACAAATATAAAAAGGGTTGTCCAATGAGGGTAAACAGGCAATAAGAGAAAAGCGCAAAGAGCGGGAGTAGGCGAACAAAAGTGAGACAACCCGCAGGGACCAACAAAATAAGAATCCTGGCAAGCACTTAAGACTTGGCTCCCAGCCCTTCTGCTGCCCACGCACACACACGCACATGCACGCACAAATTCACATGGCTGCCAGAGTATGGCTGTATACCTGGGAGCTCTCGTCCGGCCCTTCCGCCGGTCGACCGGGGTGTTCCTTCGTTTTCTTCGCGGGGGGTGTACCGATGTCAGCTGCATCGTCGGCATGCCGCTTTGCTGCCTTCCCGCTCCTCGTCTGAGGCATTATGAGCTGCTGCACAAAATTCAAAAAGAGAAAAAGAAAAAACAACCGAATCGCAGCAGTCAGAAAAGGAGTCAGAAAAGCTTGACTGCGCGAGGGCGGTGGTGGTAGGGGCTAGGCTCTGCCAGATCTCGCTCATTGATGGAAGAGGGCAAACACAACCTCGGCGTAACCATCACATTTTTTCGTCGCATTGTGATCTCATGGGACAAGAGCTGGCAGCGGCTGGTGCTGCTGTCGCAGGTGCTGGAGAGACCTGACGATGCAGATATGCCAGTGTAGGTTAGGTACCACTTGATACGATTTAGGAGTAGACGACTCGTGCTTGCACTTGTCAGTTGACCCGGCATCTACACCTGGCTGCGCACTCTCCAAGACCCCTATCCCGAGCGATCCAACCAGGTGATTGAATGACCCTCCTTTTCGGAGGCAATGGGTCCACAGCATGAGCTTTAGCCGTAGAAAAAGTTGCAAAGGGAACCTACTAAGACGGCAGGATGTTCAACTAGCGGAGAAGCATGCCTACAAGAGGTAAACCCCCAAGTGGCAGCCCAGTAGAGAGAAGAGCAAGTATGGAAGAGCAAGTCTAAAAGGGCTAGTCTAAAAAGAACACGTCTTCAGTGCCAAAACATGGAGCAACGAGTATCTAGCAGTAGAACTAGACTTGGCCTTGAAGTACCAGAACACGTCAAGTAACCCAATAAGCTGTGCTTTACCCTCAGAAGGAGTTGAAGTAAAGGTTTCACAGCAGTACCATTGGGAACACTCCTGCACCCATGCATCCATGGACGGTATTATAAGGCTTTCAGGACCCTCGTCACATCTATGCTTAACGATCCCATCCCACTGAACCTTCGGTACAAGTACCCTGAGGGATCATCCTTTGGGAGATGGGGGAAGACAACATAGTACAGTACAAGACAAATTCGTCGAGATACATTTTTTAAATAAAGGATATTCAAAAGTCATAGCAATAATTCCAGAACCGTCAGATGTGGCATTTCCAAAGCAACATCTGCTGGGTCTCAGAAGATGAAGGACCTAGCTAGTCGGGACACTGGATGTTGCAACGCAGCTAATGAAGGCACGAGCAGTGAGGACAATGCAAAAACTAGAAAGGCAAGATGAATGTTTTCAAAATACAAAATAAAAAACTATTGGTATTAGTGCCAAATTATGCACTGATATCAAATGAGTCCCGTTACACTCTGTCACAGAGCCAAGCCAGTGGCAAGAACCTATGATATATACATGGGACAGCCAGCCAACGACCAGGCTCCAAACACGCAGCCTGCCGACCCCTTGATGTCAACCGAATAGCGCTGATGAGGGCCTGGATCCTTCTGATGCAGTCATGGCCATATATAGCGGCTGGCTTGCACACATGACCAGGGTGGTGATTAACCAGCCCCAGGGTCAGAGGCGGGTCCAGTTGGACACCATCACACCATATATTTTTACAAAAAGCAGATCTCTGCCAGATCGTACAGGATTAGGAAGATGGTGTGCTTCACAATCTTTGCCCATATATAAGATTTTATAGTCCAAAAGTGTCCGACAGTCCGCTAGAGCGTTGTTGATTGAGGGGATTCGTATTCTTTTGAGCTCAAACGAGTATGCGTGCACGCTCTGTAAACTCAACAAACAGTGCTCTCTTTGGTCGATGAGCTCAGACCCTAAGGTGACAAATACATGTCTTAAAAGCACTCGAAATATCGGTCCCAGAACCTTAGTTCTATCAAAGTACCATTCATGTCAGTTCGCATTTTGTAGATGCAGTAATGTAATAAACAAACCACCCAGCTTCCACATCCTCACCGCAAACTTGGAACCATGAGCTTAAGTCTAGGTGGGTGCATAAGCAGGTTGTCTGCACGGCCCGCAATCGGTCTCATTGGTTTATGAGAGTGCTCAAAAAAGGAACCATTGGCTTGCTGGCCAATACATATCCTACATATAGAAGTGGCCCTTCCTGTGTCATCCATCTTTTCTAATACCTCACCCCCTTCCACACATTCCGACTTCCGTACAACCCCCTCCCTTACATTCCGTTATTTAATCTTCGTGGCTGTCCAGCCATGGACATACCTCGGTGTGGGGCTCGACTCGGTGATGTGCATCAGCAGCCACTCGATGGATATATCTGACTATCGCAAGAATCGCCTGCTCTGGGCACTGGAGATGAAACACTGCTTTTGTTCTGCAACCTTCTGCTATAAACATCGTTATGCCATACCTACAGGCTGGTTGCCATCAGGCTCTCCTTTGTGGGCACATACCTCCTGCTGTGCCAGACAGGCAAGACTCTTACAAAATTTCACTACTGACCTCTTCTCCCGGTTGCTGCTGCACCAAATGCAGGCAAGCAAGCAAAATGCCAGCTGCGCAATGGCGAGCCAAAGCAGCATTGTCTGTGCCGATCAAGCCCCCCAAAACAAGCCCCCAAGAGTAAGCTCTTTTATTTAACATTCCGGGCAGGTTGCTATCAGCCTTAGGCCGTGAAGCCCCGTAGCAGATTTCCTGCCACATTATCGACTGTCTAGACCATACTGACTAGTCGAGCTCGCATGGCAAGTGCCATAAGTCTAGCTATACATGGTGCTTTAGTTGAACGGAGATGGAGATACTGAAAGCTACGAGGGAGAGGGTGTACTTTTTGGTGCCAAGTGTTTATTTGGTCCCGTCGACTTGGCAGTTGCTGCAATTGCACTCGCGATCATGGCAAAATGCCATTTGGGTGACACCAAACAGTCGAAACACTGGGACGGAAGCTGCTGTCCATTCGATGAAAGCAATTTGTGCCAAGATGTAGGGAGTGCGGTCGAAGAAGAACCAGAGGGTGGACGAGGGCCGAGCGATGCAGACGCCAAGGAGCGAGTCTATGAGTAGATAGAGAGGATAGAGCGACGATAGCTGCTGGCCTCGGTGGCAATCTTTTATACACAAGCCCTCCTGCATACACGAGCAGGAAACTCCCTCACCCTGCCTCGGTAAAAATCCCAAGGCTGGGAAAACATCTTCGGTCGTGGTCGGCCAGCAGCATGCCGTATAGTGCCAAGCAGAATTTGGGGAATACTGGCAAAAAAACGGTACACCTGGCGCTCGACCAAACTGCAGCACCCTAGTGCCCGTTTTGGAGGAGGGCGCAGGGCAGCTGATGGCCAACAATGCAGTTACAAAGTATCATTCAGTGCCCGAGCGGCAACTGTGCTCCAAGGGGCGATTCACAGCGCAGGCAATAAACGCCTACCGTTGTAAATAAGAAAAGTGCAGCCACCACAGAGGCCACACTGCTCCCTATTCGCATATGCCGTTCTCAGCATTTTCGTTGGCGCATTAATTGGTCCCTCCAATATCGCCTCCCAGGAATGGAGATAAAGGGATGATTTCCGGGATAAAGCTGTCCGTCGGAGTAGACTATTCAGAAGAGGCCTGGACATATTGCAATGGGTGACTGAGAATCCACAGTCGTGGCAAACAATGTAATCACTACACATTAATTGAGGACGCACCTCGGCTACAAGCAAGAATAGACCGACATCCGCAGGGACCTATTCACTCGGCACTCCCCAAAACACGACCCCTTAACCGTACCTTTCAAGGTACTCGCGATATGCCTTCTTTTTCAGATACGCGTCCTTGACTGCCATGCGAATGCGCTCCAGCTCTTGCTCAAAGTTTGCCGATGTCAGGTCCGCCAGCTTGTCGACCTGCTCCGGTTTCCACTGGGCGTTGAAAGTTGCGCAAAAGTCTGCGGTTGCAGGATCAAACTCGGGATCCGTAAAGCTGCTGTTTGGCAACAACGGCAGGTAGATGACGCTGATAGTGGGCTGGATTGTTGGCCGGAACGGGGATGGAGCCACCGGCTTGTCAAAAACCGCACACCGCGAATTGTCTTCCACCATGCTCTCCTCGGTGCGCTGAGCAGCGTCCCTGGCTGCGTAGGTCGCAAATGAGCTCTGAGAGCTGGCATCAGACAGCAGCGGCTCTGCCTTCCACGGGCGCGCGCCCCATGGCCAGCGCGTCACCCCATTTTGCTCTGCCCACCTCTCGGCCCTCGAAAACCACGACATTAATTCGATGTTGGCGCTCGAGTCGAGGCAGATAATGACATCGACGTTGCGCTCGGGTCGCAGCAAGGGCGCGAATGGCAGGTTATTGTCCATACCCGCATCCATTAGCGACAGGAAGCTGTGTTCCTGGAGTTCGGCACGCCGCGGATCAGAAGACCTGGAAGTGTCTCGGCGGAATGGATTGAACATGGTGTAGGGTGGGATTGGGTGAGACACCGATGTGTCATGGTCATAGCGGTTCACCAGCTGCCCGATCACGCTACTGAGCGAGGCCGGCGCGACCAGGTATATTTCCATGAGCATTGCCTTAATGCTGGCACAAAACGCTGACGAGACAGCACCCATGATGCTGCCAAAGTGCATTTCTCCCAGCTTGAACAATTCCTCACCATCAGCCATCGGCCGCCCCAGCCCCCATGCCGGTACCCACAGACCATGCTCGGCGCTGCCAAACTCGAACGGCGAAAACTCGAACCACTGGTACTCGTGTCGGGAGGTGCTGTCGGCAAAGACGCTCCTGTTGACATAATGCCGCACCGCTGTGTAGATTGGCATCGGCTGGTCGCCAGATTCGACACGCTTTGCCTGTGCGCTCATCTTCACCCAGTGGGGGTCCAGATGCGTTGTCTCCGTGTCAGCATGCTTTTCGTGGTGCACGATTAGCTGCTTAAAGAGAAGTGCACCATAGAGCTCGACAATCGAGAATGGCGGGGCTTGGCACAGTCTGCATGGCTCTGTATGCGGCGTCAACCAATTCTCCTACCGCGAGCATTGCAAGCACCTTGGCATCGTCTTTTATCTGTTGCGGGACAGCGTGCGTTGCGCCAATGTCTGCTGCCTGCGCAAATAGTACTCTGAGATCCTCGATGGACCAATTAACCCTGTCATCATCGCTTTCCGCCTCCAAGTCGCAACCATTCGCACTCTGCTGCTGCTGCTGCTGCTGCTGCTGCTGCCTACTGCTGGATGAGTCCTCCGCAGGAACGCTTCTTCCCTTGGCAGTATTCATCATGTAGCGCGCAGCCATATCGGAAAACACCTGTTTTGCGACGTCGTCATCCCGTGAAACGAACGAAATCAGGCTGGTCATGCTGAACATATTCTCGCGCATCGCCAGACGCAGGTTGTCGAGGACAAGGTGCGGGTTACCATCAGCGTATGTATGAAGTGCGGCTAAGGCCCACGATGACCCAGACACAGCTGCCTCATACATTGTGCATTGATAGAGCCCGGCTTTGTGCATGGCTCGCAGCGACCCGATCGTCGACACCATAGCACGGAACCCACCACCAGATCCAGCAACTCCAATCACTGGGATATCGCGCGGGTCGATTGAAGAAGCGGGAACCCCAATAAACTCGGCAAAGTCCTTGTGCATCTTCTGTGCGCGTACCTTTTGGTACCGCTCTTCGTTGGCGCATATACCCTTGCCCTGGCGAATGATCGGAGTATGCTCTATTTCGGGGTAGATCTCCTTGTTGATGAACAGACGAGCGGATGAATCGATCCACGGCCGCTGGAGCTGGGGCGGCAACATGCCCTGTAGAACACCGTCAATCTTGCCCTGCGCAGTGGCGATGGTTGATGCCAGTGACGTTTGCATCATACCAGCCTGTGCCTGCAGCTTATCTTTGGCCGAGCCCAAATCGCCGATCGAAGCCGTAGAAGCAATACCTGAGGCTGTTGACCGGAGCGAGTCCTGGACTTCCTTTCCCAGCAGGTCCAATGTGTCCTTCAGCCCGCCAGCAGCAGCCCACACGCTTTGGACGATGCCGGAATTTTGCGCTGTGCTGCTGTCTGTAGATAGGGCGTTATCGCTCTTTTGCCGGCCAATACTTGGAGTTTCTTCCTGGTCGTCTAAATACCATAGAGAATTGGATTAGAACTCTCAGCCTCTACTTGAGCAGTGCTTATCCGTATGTGGACTGGTAGCTGCGCGTGTAATCTGGAAGCAAGATATCCCACCTGAACTATCCGCACGGAAGGTTGTATTGCTCCGCGAAGCTAATAGCACTGCGGCAGCGACTGCCCCTGCCAATATAGGGACTACCCAGTTCGCCATACCTCCAGCACCCTGCCCTGCTGCATCGTTTGTCGAGACCCAGCGTCGGTCGACCGGGCTTGTTTGCCCTGCTATATTGGTTGACCAGCTGGCTACCATACTGGGCGATACGTTGTGTGGTTTAGTGCTCTGATAGTCATATTGCGAAAGATAGGGAATAAACCAAGAAACGATCGATCCAGCAAGATGGGCTAGCATTAAACCACCAGTCACCCAGATCTCATTTCTTGGCATCGGAAAAACTGATGACATTATTCTTTTTCGGGTCTGCCCTGCGCTTTGTGTGCGAGTGTGCAACCTACACGTGCAGTGTTTGTTGCACGGATAAGTGCATGATCCGAATCAGCACAGATGCAGGATCCAAACCAGCGCTGATATCAGTATGACCATTTGAAATTGAAGGCGTATTTATTCACAAAGAGGTCAGGCGGACCGTTGAAAGAGGGTATATACTAGTGAAATGTTGGTGCGGTGAAGCAGAAACGGGCTTTGTGCGGGGTGGATGTTGAAATATACCTGCACCTGGAAATTAGTGTGGCTAGCAAGTCCCGAATCCTCGAGTACAAAACTGGTGTGCCTGCAATTCCTACATGTGCATTCGCGGTCCACAGTTGTAGGGCGTATCTGTCTGGGTCTTGCAGACGAAAGGATATGAGAGACCCATGATTTGTTGTAGTATTTGCGCTGGTTTTACGTGTTCTTGAAGCAGTGGATAGGATAGCTAAATGTTGGGCGAGGTAGCGCTGGATGAAAGAAGAGTCTTGAAGCAGAATTTGCAGTGTGAGCATCAGCAGTGTAGATACTCCTCTGCCGTTCCTTCATCCCCCTTTTATTACAGTGCGCTCAGATAAGCCTTTTTCACGTACACGGTACAGCACCAACTGCCTGAACTTTGCCAGATGAACATCACTGGGCTCAGCTCATAAATTGACAGGCAAAAGGGGCGTCAGGGGCGACAACAAAATACTTGTCAGAAAAGCCACGGCTACTCGTGCAAGAAAGCGCCCGGGCCTCACAACTACCATATGCAGACAATGCAGCCAGGCTGCTGTAGTCCGCTTATGAACAGCCGAAGGGCCAAGGGCTTGACAGCAGATAATGAGTCGGCCCTAATTGAGTGGAATGTGTGGGCTAGCCAGCACGTAGTCCTGGGGTGGCGATTTTGTGAAATGCGTGACTGTCATCAGGGATGACGCATTCCTAGCCATGGGGTTCTATTTCTGCCATTCCTTTTCCAGCAAAATACTTGATACACGTATCTTTTCCTATAGTACCCGGACCTGCCTCTGTGCTCTAGTGGCATAGAGGCATGCCACCGCAGGTGGGTCAAATGATGCCATACACTTATTACATTGTCAAGGAAAGGCCATGCAAGTTCACCTGAAACATGGCGTCTCCCGTCCCCCAACCAGAACCAAGACCCGAAACAAGGCACCAGTATGCAAGGAGGGTGCAGTATTTAAGTACATGCTTTCAGTTTCCTTCGAGGTGGATACATTCGCCAAATGCAAACACCCTGTCACGGAGCCAAGTCCGGTGGCAATAAGCTATGACGTCTCCACGGAACAACTGGGCCAACGGCCAGGCTCCAGATACCATTGCCTGCCGTCCCTGTGACGTCAACCGAAAGGCGCTGATGAAGATCTGTAGCCTTCTGATGAGCCATGGCCATATATAGCGGCCTCTCAGGCCCTCCCTACCTTTGGTCTCTTTAGCTTTCAAATATATCTATTTCACATATATTTTCAAACGTACCAATAATTTGACAACTCGGTCAGGGTACATGCAGGCGACCAAATATTTTGAAAAGCGTGCCGCAGCGCACCTTGGTAAGGCGCGCATTCAAAGTCCCAGAACAGCAGACTGGGAACAGCGAGGTGCATTCGGACTGCCAGCAAATGCTTTATTGGCCGGGCGGGGAGCATGTTTATTGCACACGAGGCGTCACTGGGCAACAATGGCCCTAATTATGTCTCTTTTGGTGCGTTCGTAATTCACACTAAGGACAATTTACTGTGGATATAGCACGAATCATCCGGTTTCCACAAGATATGCTTTATGGCGGGAGAGGAAAGGCAAGAGGGGCAGCCGACTACTGAATGACCGCCTCGGTGTGTGACATGCCAACATTCTGCAGTACAAGGCGCCAGTATTGGTGTAGAAATGCAAACAAGACACGGGGAGGGTGGCTTTATCGACTTGTAAATCCACTGGGCATATAGGGCCACAGATTGCTTGGTTGGCCGTTCTCAAGGTGCCAGCCAATCCAGCAAGCATCCTCCTGCCGCTGCAGCTGGGGCGAATATGCAGCACCGGATACCAGGGAAGGTAGACAAATGGTGCTCGCACATCCGTGCATTCTCAGCGGAGTATTGCCTGTTTTGGCCAACAGACATGTTCCAAATCTGGAGGGCTGCAGCATGCTACGTGCTGGACAGCATCACCAGCTACATTTGGAGAGCACCGCTATTCGTTAGCTTCCCTCTCTCTTCTTCACCATGCAATTCGCCCTGCAGGCTACAATGTCGAGGATGCGCCCTTCTCCTTCACAGTGGAGGTGAGCCATGGCAGCAACCACCTCCCGGCCTGTTGTGTATTTTGTCGGCAATTTTGAGAACAATTCGCCAGCAAGCAGAGACGCGCTCTGCCTTCTCTGTGCCAGACCCGTGCAGGAAATAGGGTATTAGAAGAGCACTACAGAAACGCACACCTGCATCCTGTTCGGGCTCGGCTGACCAGATACCACTTGGGGCCAAGGGAGCAGCAGGAACAGAATAAACACAGAACTAGTCCGAGAAACAATTGCACTGAGCGTTTGTGAAGAGCATTTTCTTGTAGAAAAAGCAGAGGGAAAGGGAAAGCAAGCTAGAGAGCAGGAAAGAATTATAAACAGTGGGTTTTTGCTACGGGATTCGAAAACGTGGAGCTATAAGGGTATCTGGAAACCAGGATAGCCTGCATCCTGAGATATAGGCATTTTGAGGGTATATGGCGGATCGCGGCATGGCAGGCACAGCGTATGTCTTATTCGCCGCACAGCCGGCAGGTGCACTCCTCTCGGATGGTCGTGGTCGACTGCCGCGCTGACGACCAGCATACGGAAATACTCGTCTGCGTAAAACGAGCCCATTTTAGAAAGACGCTTGTGTGTGCTGTTGATCTGAAGACCTGAATTCAGGACGAACCTTGCGCTTTGGCGTAGATGTCGTTCGGATGTTGTGAAGAGCAGCGCGAATTCCTTAAGCGCCGGGAAATAGCAAGTGGTGGCTGAAAGAGTGGAATGTCAGAGGGATGCTTTTTGTGGAGAAGACACAGGAGGCAGTCGCAACGCAGCCGCCTCTTGCTCACTGGCCATTTTGCTCGTCCTTTATGTAGGCCCCATTCGCCGAATACAAGTGCTCGTGCCACTGCCTCCCCTACTCCCTCACTGCGCCTCCATATCTGCATGGAGGGGGGCAGGAGTGGTATACATGCACTGTTGCCGGACGGTTGTTGTCTTTGACTATGCATTGGCTTTTTTCTTTTCCCGACAGGAGTTTTATCAAGCGCAGCGTACGTAGTTGGCCTGAGAAGCTGCTCGATTCTCATCTGCCATGAATGAGCAAGGTGATATGCGGGAAATGCCAGCATGAATTAGGATTCTGCGTCCAGGAGAATAGGCCAGCTAACCCGGGTCGCATAGGCTATTCACGTTGTGAAGCGATTCTTTGGAAGTGCCGAATGAGCCTAGGTTTCCACTGCGGTTGGGCAGGCAGTGCTGCATACAGTACATGCAGTGCAAATCTTCCTTTGTCCACAACACCAATGGCATCTTAGTCAGTGCTATACACGATGCGAAAGAGGGTACCAATATCAAGTTACAAACAGTGAAATGCGGAGAAAGCCTACCACTTATCAGCACACAGGGACATTGACTGCAAGGCCGCCCTGCGATGTCTCCTTGTACTTGCTCATCATGTCCTGGCCGGTCTGGCGCATAGTCTCAATGACCTGGTCAAGGGTAACGCGATGATGGCCATCCCCCTGCAGGGCGAGCTGCGCGGCCGTGACGGCCTTGACGGCGCCAAGGGCATTGCGCTCAATGCACGGAATCTGCACCAGGCCGTCGACAGGATCGCAGGTCAGGCCCAGGTTGTGCTCCATGCCGATCTCGGCGGCATTCTCGACCTGGCGCGGTGTGCCGCCCATGACAGCAGCAAAGGCAGCAGCAGCTCATGCTGCAGGCAACACCGACCTCGCCCTGGCAGCCCATCTCGGCGGCGCTGATCGAGGCACCGCGCTTGTACAGCATGCCGATGGCAGCAGGAGGTGAACAGGAACTCGAGAATATCCCGCGACGGGATCCTCGCTCAGGAACTCGAGGTGGTACTTCAGGACAGCCGGAATGACGCCTGCAGCTCCGTTGGTCGGCGCAGTGACAACGCGGCCACCAGCAGCGTTCTCCTCATTCACGGCAATGGCGTAGACAGACAGGTAGTCGAGCTGAGGGAGCACAGGGCGGCGAGCACGCTGGCGACGCTTGAACACGCCTGTCAGCTCGTTGCGCTGTGCGCTGGTCAGGGCGGTCTCGAGCAGCGACGAGGCGGAAAACCGCGACTCGGGCTCGCTCTTGGTGGCCAGGCCTGAGGCACCCGGGAGGGCAGGGGAGCCGGCCGGCGACAGCAGGCCCTGCTCGGCAGAGCCGTAGATGCCGCGCATCAGGTTCTGGTACAGATGCGGGGCACGGCGCCGGACATTGAGGCGGCCCTGGCAGCTGGCGGTCGGTGGACAGACAGCCGCGGCGGATCGAGTCGTCCATGACGCCCCAGATCCGGTACGCCGAGTCGATGACCTCCTCGCGGCTCCTCCACTGCAGCTCGTTCAGGAACACAACCTCGGCAATCGACAGGTTCTCGCGCTCACACATCTCAATCAGGTCCTTGCCCGAGCGGAAGGGCAGAGCAGCGGTAACCAGATCCTGCTGGGTGCGCTCGTCAACCTCGTGCGAGGAGGTCTCGGCCTGCGACTCGGTGTTGCGGAAGAACACGTTCTCGCCGTGGGCGACTTGGGTCTTCTCGTTGACGACGAAGCCGCCGCCAATGCTAAAGTACTCGTTGGTGGCCAGCATGTCGCCGTTGGCATCAAAGACAGTGAAGCGCATGCCGTTCGGGTGCTGCGGCAGCGACTCGTAGTAGTGCAGAGTCAGATCCTTGTCAGGGTTGAACCGGATGCGATGCGTGCCGTTGAGGGTGATTGTGTGGGTCTCGTGCATTGCCTCGACACGCGGGATGATGGTCTCGGTCGGTACGGTCTCGGGCAGCTCTCCCTCAAGGCCCATCAACGTGGCGTTGGGCGTGCCGTGGCCAATGCCGGTCAGCGCCAGAGACCCGTACAGATCGGCCTTGATGCTGGCGACCTTGTCCAGGATCTTGTGGTCGACCAGGTCCTGCACAAAGATCTTGCCGGCTCTCATTGGGCCGACGGTGTGGCTACATATCAAGAACCGGTTGAATGTTGAGCGGGCTGGGTCATTGGACAGCAGAACGGCGGATCGACAGACACTAGAACCAGCGACGGTCATCCCAAATAAAAAAGGGTCGGAAAGGCAGGTCGTCCTCACTAGACAACGGAGCGAGCTAGCGATTTCCCACGACGCGCAAAGTGACAAAATTTTTCTGGCAGAGTGAAGCGTGCCCCGGTAGATCCCAGTAATCGTTTGCATTCTATGCTCCTCCTTTTTCGCCATGCGCAGCGCTTGTCGCGCGTCTCGCAACGAAAATTGCGCATTTGCGAACGGCATGCCGCGGCCCTATTGTCCTCCACAGTGGCAATGGGCCATGGAGACCAGCTGACCCGCTAGCGCCATTCCCCGGCTGTCCGGCGCCAATAGCCTGGCTTTCTCCGCACAGACCAGGCTTCTGACAAGCAATGGCCCGCATGGAAGATTCCTGCCCTTCCCGACACACCACGTTTCTCATGCGCCTAACAGAAGTTCCACCTGCAGTACTTTACCTTGACGAGGGTCCCACGCCAATGGAAAACAAATCAAATGTGCTGACCACCGCGTGGTGTGTCGAGTCCTCCTCTGCCGACTCGTCCTCCTTTGCGCCCTCCTTGCCAGTGCGCTGGGGCTCGGCCTGCGGTGTAGCCGATGTCGACGCCAGGTGCCGCCGGATGCCCTGTGTCAGCAGTGTCTGGGCACGCACGGTGCTGCGCGGCAGACCAGAAGCCTGCGGGCGTGCCAGGCTGTGGATGCGCCGTGCTGCGGAGAGGCGGGATGTCGCAGCGGCGAGCGAGCGCGAGAGCATACGGGCCGACGACATGCTGCTCATAGTGTATTTGCAGAGTGTTTGAGGTATATTACAGAGAAAGAAAGTGCGCGGAGAGGAGAGGGGCTTCCTGTTGAGTCAGAAGGAAGTGAGATGTTTGTTTTGCAAGGAACACAACAAAAAAATTTTAGTTCTCAACACGAGGCTAACCGGCGCACGACGGTGTATTTATACCACGACCACAGTGGGACACACCCAACCTAGTGCGAGGGAAAAAAAAAAAAGCATCTCGCGAATTTTTTACAAAAACATTCCGCCCACCCGAGATGGCGCGGTGGAGAGGCAGCTACATTTTCGGCGCGGCGACTTTTGGGTGATGGAGATAATCTCAGCAGACGGGGCTGGCCCCATGTACGTGGCAGTGACGACAAATGTGTATCCAGCATGAAAGACCTCCAACCGAGCCCCCTCATGTCTTGCCAGCTGGACACAGTACTGTTGGGTAGGAGGCAAGACGCAGAATGCGTGTGCAGCCGTATGGATTTGCCTCCCTCTGCTCTATTGCGTGGCGGACAAGCTCAACCCAGCACTCACAATACGCTTCACATTTCCCTCTTTTAGTCTCACGTGTTCACTCCCCCCACTGTCGTCGCTGATGGAATCGATTGCCAATGATGCACCAAAGCAGTCCCTTGTCGCCGCGCTGCAAGAACGCAAGTATCATCAGCTGAAAAAGGCTGCAGCCATACTGCGGACGACCACGCGACCCTCCTTTGGCGGGCTTGCTGTCCTCCTAGCCAAAAGTAGTATGCAGCGAGCAGAGACCAGCCCACTGATAGTGCCACTGGCCTTGTTCTGACATCCGAAATATAGGAATCCTCCACTCGATCCGATCGATAAGCACGCCAGGCGGCTGGAAGGTGGTCGTGGTCGACCGGCCCTCGCTCAAGATCATCTCGTCGGTGCTCAAGATGCACTCGGTGCTCGATGAAAAGGTAATGGCTGTCGAGCTGATCTCGCGCTCGCGCCAGCCGTACTACGACCTGGACGCCCTGTACTTTCTTGTTCCTTGCGCCCAGTCAATCTCGATGCTGACAAACGACTTCTCCGCCGGCCCGCAGAGCTCAAGCGACCGCCCGCTGTACGCCCACGCACACCTGTTCTTCACCGGCGCCCTGCCGACGCCACTATTTCGCCAGCTCAGCGCATCGAGGGTTGCTCGCTATATTCCGCACCATCAGCGAGCTCTACATCGAGTTCAATCCGATCGAGTCGCGGGCATTTCTAACGACTCCGTCGGCGACGCCTTTCTACACCATGTACTCGCCACACGCCACTGCTCTGCTGACGGAGGATCTGGATGCCGCAGCCGAGCGTCTGCTCAGTGTCATTGTGTCGCTCCAAGGCTTAAGCCATATATCCGCTACTATCGTCCTGGTCTGCGCCGCGATATTTCCGCTGTCGACATCTCACACGTCTCGCCAGGAATGTGCACTACTGGCATGCCCCGGGATTCGCAGAGGCAATGGCCAACCGCCTGCAGCTCAAGCTTGACAGCTATAACTCGTACAAGCACCGAAAGCGACCGCAGACGGTAAGTTCAGGTATTGGCGGGCACTGCACTGATCTGTTTGGATCTTTTAGGCCAGCCGCTGCAGAGACTACTCTATACTGACGCAGCCCTGTTTCTAGACCACCGATGATGACACGGCTGAGTCGGACGCAGGCATGAATCACCCGGCCACCGTCATTATTCTCGACCGATCAATCGATATGTTCTCGCCCTTCCTCCACGAGCTGACCTACCAGGCAATGGTGCACGATCTGTTGGAGCTTCAGGACGGTGACAAATACACGTTTGAGGTTGAGTTGACTTCGGGTGAGGCAAAGAAAAATCGAGGCTGTGCTCAGCGAAACCGAGGACCCGCTGTGGGCAGAGCTCCGCCATATGCACATCATGAATGTCACAGACGCGCTGTCCAAGCGGTTCAGCCAGCTTGCAGAAGAAAACGCCAGGGATCAGTGCGCTCCAGCAGCGGTAAGTTTGGAATATCACCGCTCCCCGCTTTGTTGCGGCTCTGCGCCTCTATGTTCCGTTCTCTAACCGTGGTGCATGGCACACTGGCTCCCTTGCTGTAGTAATCGCCCGCTGACGCTTCAAGAGATGCGCAAGGTCATTGCAAATCTACCAGGACTTCAAAAAGCTGCACGCCTCGGTAAGTCGCTGCAAAGGAGTGTATGCGGTATATAAATGTCCAGTTGGCAGAAAAATGGCCGCCATGCGGCATCTGCCACGGCTGATCCTGTGGCACTAACAACCTGCATCTATGGTGTAGTATTCGCTGCATATCCATCTGGCAGGAGAGTGTTTGGAAACATTCAACCGCCTAAATCTAGGACCCGTCCTGGAACTGGAGCAGGTAGGCAGGCAACATAAATGCGGCAGATTCAGCGAGGAAAGCATCGCGTGGGCTGTCTAAACAGCTCTATGTGTTCTGTCTTCTATGTGTAGTGTATTGCCACGCAGCTAACAGAAGGGGGCACTCCAGCATCGCGCGAGTACATTGAAGCAACAGCTGATCACTCTGCTGGACAACAAAAACATACGGTAGGCGCAACATCGCAAATAACATTGTCTCGATGCGAGCAGCAGCATCGCCTGTATGCATACGACTAAACCTGGTTGTCATGTAGCCCATCTGATCGAATTCGCCTGCTGTTTGTTTACCTAGGTGTATCGTAACGGTGGCTACGCTCCCGATAGACGCAGGCTTCAGGAGGTGCTTCAGTGCATGACTATGGACGACAAGCGGTCTGTAGTCAACCTGAGCAAGCTAGGCATCCCAACAACCAGAGTAAGCATATTACCGAATGCAGTACATAGTGACCCAGTCACGTCTAGGCTAATGCATCCTGTGTAGGAGGAAGTGGACAGAGGATTCGGTGCTGATACGCCTGAAAAATTTGCGATACTCTTGGAACACCTCACGACTACTTGATGCCGAGTCGCCCATGTCTCGCTTCAATCCAGCAGTCCAGGAGTATCCTGAAGGTTAGTGCAACCACGCCCGTGATTACTAAAGATATTTCGAAGAACCTTGTGCGCTCACAATCTCTGGCATTTGTCATCAATAGGATCACATTGCTGGAACGCTCAGCCAGGACATGATTCCTTGGGAAAAGAAGGCGCCTGTTGCCGAGCTGACGCAGGAGGCACTCCGCCCGCAGCCTGGGTCACTGAGAAGGTAGGCTATTCGAATCAGAGTCATCCACACGGCCGAGCGATTTCAGCAGTAACCTGTTTCAGAATGACGGCAGCGGGTTATTCTTTGCATGTAGGACCAAGAGCCATTGGAACAAGACGCGGCACAAGGTAAGCAAGTGCGAGATGCGTGCTAGCAATGCGTGTTTATTTGACAGTGTGAACAGCGAGCTAATGGCTGCTGCAAAATAGGTCCCCAATACCAAAGGCACCATCATCCTCTACGTCGCTGGCGGAATGACGTACTCGGAGATGCGCACAGCCTACGAGGTTGCTGAAGAGACAGAGCGCAATATTTTTATTGGGTCGACGCACATCATCACCCCAGTGGGCTTCCTCGAGGATCTGAAGACGCTGCACCATAGGATGCTGATTGAATAGCCAGTGCCTCACTTGGCTGTGTGTGTAAAGAGAATGTGCACAAATAGCGCCAGGGCTATGGCACAGAACATCGCGATAAACCCAGCCTCGTACCATTGCCGCTGTATCCAGGGCTTCCACAGGCGGTATGATGCGCCTGGCCGCGATCGCAGGAACCGGATCTGCCACGGTCTGTTGCCATTCGACGCCTGGGCTGACCGCTTCACCTGCTCTGCCCACCGCAGCCGCTGCCCTCTCCGGCGCTCGTCGATGGGCTCTAGCCGCACCGAGCACAGCTTTAGATTGCTCTTCCAGGTGTTTGTTGTGCATCTGCATTCAACAGCAACATCCTCAAATGGCTTCAGTACAACCAGCGGCTCAGGCAGCACAAAGTCAAAGTAGTCGGATCCAAAGTCAAGCAGATTCGCCGACTCTGGGAGCCGGGATTCGGTTATGTTTCCGTTTGCTTCTGCCCGGAAGTTTATGTCGAATATGTGCTGTGCGCGCGGTAGAACCGACAGCCGCCAGATTACATTATATGTGCCGCTATGCACGCCATGCAGCTCACCAAATACGTGTAGCCAGCTCACAGCATGTAGCAGCGACACTCTGCCAAAGATGCTGCGGTGGTCGTCAATGGTCTGCCAGTACGGGTTGTGGTTGTGTGCGATTGTGCAGTCGTCGGCGACACTGAGAATTGTACGCTCGCTCTCGTAGTATTCGGCCTTGTATGTGCTCAGGTTGCCCTCGGGAGCGTGCCCAAAGCGCCTAAGGAACAGCTGCTTCCACAGGTAGTCGTCATCGCAGACCTGGCGGAACTGGCGGCAGACTTGCGAAAATGCACTGATGTCGTCACCATTGCAGAAGCTGAAGACGTGGAACAGGACGTCGTCTGGCAATGTGTTGAGTTCGGCCGACATTGCTGTAGGGAAAGAAAAAAGCGGGTATGTTTCCGGAAAGCGCACAATGGAGTGAAAGTTGTGCCGGGCGCCAAGATGAGGAGAGGCCATGGGCTTTATAGCGGTGCTCGGTCTTGGCGAGACAGACCCGGGCTTCATTGATCACAAGCAGACCCCTCTCTTCGCCCCGCCCCTTCTAAACCCCCTGTCTCTGCTTTTTCTTTTTGAGGTCCTTTTTGCTATTTTGAATTGCATTTTGTGAGAATTCGGAAACAACAACATACCTTTTTATAGCACTTGTTCTGCAGCAACAAAGCTCGGACCAGCGAACATAGCGCATTCGGCACATCTCATTTGTATTTCCTGACAAGTGTCCCACCAGGTCTCAGCTCATTCCCACCCACCCACTGCGTCAACGACATGGCTAGCCCGTTGACTGAAGCAAAGCGCAAAGGTACGTAGATGCACTGTCATTTTCCACAAGCAGCGCAGAGGCAGCGGGGGAGCGCGGCAGCAGACACCCGGCCTCTGGCACCTAGCATTCGGCAGCAGGCAGCAGGACAATACCAACACATTGCCTAATTTGTTCGTCTCCGGGCTTCAACCTTATCCTTGCTTTGTAGAGTTCCTCAATGCACTGGTCGCTGTCCGACCGCCTAACCGCTTCAAGATTGTGGTTGTGGACAAGCGCAGTCTGCGCGTTCTGAACGACGTCCTGAAGCTGTCGGAGGTGCTTGAGCACGACGTACTGCGAATCGAGAGCATTGAGAACGGACGCAAGGAAGATGCGTCCACTGAGGCACTGTACTTTCTGACACCGTCGAAGCAGAGCGTCGAGCGGCTCAAGGCCGATTTCGCCACATCGCCCACGTCCTCCATGTCGACCAGCCGCGGGTTTTCATCCTCGGTGGTCACGAAGCGGGCGCCGACTTATCGTGCTGGCCACGTATACTTCACCTCCGAGCTACCCGACTCGCTGTTCGCACTGCTGCGTAGCCCCGAGGTGGCACAGCACCTGCGTGCCTTGAAGGAGATGTGTGTCGAATACGATGTCTATGATATGCGTGTGTTTTTGACCAAGCTCGCCGACCGCCCGCTGTACCGGCTCTATTCGCCCATTGTGAACAACAACTGCAACGAGGAGCTGGATCTGATCTCGAAGAAGCTGGTGAACGTGTGCGGTGCGCTGAAGGAAGACCCCGTGGTGCGGTTCTTTTCGCCGGATCACGAAATCTACGGCAACACCATGTCGCGGAAGCTGGCGTTTCTGTTCCACACCGAGATGGAGCGAGTGCGGCAGTCGCTGAATTCAGGCGACAGCGCCGACAAGAGCGCCAGAGGACAAACAGAGCTCATCATCGTCGATCGCAGCGCCGATCCGTTTACGCCGGTGCTGCACGAGTTTACCTATGAGGCCATGGTTTACGACCTGCTCGATATCGAGGACGGCAACAGGTTCAAGTACACGGTCCAGCTCGCCAATGGCGCCGAAGAAGAGAAGTCGGTTACACTCGACGACAATGATCAGATCTGGCAAGAGTACCGGTTCCAGCACATCTCCGAGGCACAGGAGCACATTATGAAGAAGTTCCAGGAGCTCCTGGGCTCCAACAGGGCGATCCTGGACATGCAGGCGGGCGAGAAGCTGAACCTGTCCAAGATGCGTGATGTTGTCAGCAACATGCCTAACTTCAAGGACCAGCTGTCGCTGATGTCAGCGCACATCACGATGATGCAGCAGTGCATGGAGCGGTTCAACGAGCGCTGCCTCAACGACCTGGGGATGCTCGAGCAGAACCTGGCCATGGGCATGGATCCTGAGGGCGAAAAGTACCGTACGGGTGATATCGATGTGGCCCAGGTCCTGAACAACCCAGCAATCAGTGCCGAGGACAAGCTGCGGCTGTTGATTGTATTCTATATCGCCAACCCAAGCCTAACCGAAACCGAGCGAATGAAGCTGGCTCGGCTGGCAAACCTGGACCGCAATGCGCGTGCGACAGTGCAAAACATGGGCTTCATTGTGCGCTGGGCACACGCCCTGGACTTGGTACGCCAGCTGAGCAAGAAGAAGCCGCAGCAGCCAAAGTCGGCTGGCGGCGCTGGTGGCAGCAAGTGGAGTCTGGTGTCGATGCGCACAGCCAATTCCAGCGGATCCTTGCTGGGTGACAAAAATGACGAGCCTAAGCCATTCGATCTGAGCCGATACGTGCCTGTGGCCAAGCATGTCCTTGAGCAATGTATCGAGGGCTGGCTCAGCGAGGACGTGTTTCCCTACGTGGTTCCGCCAGAGCGACCCCACCCACAGGCGGCGATGGGCAGCCCGCGGTCCGGATCGCTGCGCGGATCGGGCGGATTAGGAGCATCCCGCTCAGCAGCCGGGCAGGCAGACCGCTCCGGATCGCCAGCCGGAGGCATGTGGTCCAGCCTTGTGAGCAGCGTTGTTTCAAATAACTCGGCCGAGCCCCCTCTACCCAGCGGGCCGCCGCGGCAGGTGCGCTCGCTGCGTAGCACGAAGCCGACATGGCAGAAGCGGGACAGCACGCCAGGGTCCTCGGCCAACGTGTCGTCGATGACCAGCCCATCACCGCGGACATCCCAGCCCGACGTGCCCTCGCCTGGTACGGGGTACGGAAACCAGAGCCAGCGCACGTCGCAGCATGCCAAGCCGCGTGTGATTCTATTTGTGATAGGCGGAGTCACCTATTCTGAGGTGCGTGCGGCAGATGAGATTGCGCGCAAGTATGGACGCGAGGTCATTATTGGGTCCACGCACATGCTGACTCCGCAGGAGTACCTGCAGGATGCAAGCACGCTGAACTTTGAGCTTGTCGACGAGCGGGGTAGAGTGCTTGACTTCAAGCCCAGCTTCTACACTCTTGGGTACGGCGGACCGGCGGAGATTGACCCGCTCAACAGCTATGTTCCGCCGGCTAAGGGCGGTGGCGAAACTAAGAAGCAGCCCCCCAAAACTACGCGGTCAACTAGCGCTGGGCCGGCTGAATCTTACCCTCGCCAGCAGCAGCCGCAGTCACGCCAGCAGCAGCCGCCAGAAATGACCCAGCACCGCAGTGCTGGCCGGGTGTCGTCGCACCAGAGTAGCTCAAGCGGCGGTGGTGGTGGTGGCGGCGGTGGCGGCGGTGGCGGCGGCGGCGGCGGCGGCGGCTATGATCGGGCTGCGTCGGAACCCCGCGCCAGTCTGCGCAGCACCAGCACCAGCCGGGTTGCGACAATTTCTAGCGAGTATCCTTCGCAAGAGTACAGTCCACGGACTGGCGGCAGTGAGAGCTTCAGTGCTGCCGGGTACCACGAGTACAAGCAGCACAAAGCAGCAGTGAGAGCTGGTGCCAGTAGCAGCAGCAGCAACAACAGCCAAAACAATAGCGGTAGCAGCCGTCAGGATCAGCGGTATGGCCGCAATGCCCAGATGCCGGCATCGGCGCCGCCGTATCAGACCAGTAGCGGCACACCTCCACCTCGGCAGTACCAGCAGCAGTACCAGCAGCCTCCAGCAGCAGCAAGCTCCGCCAATGACTCCGGAGGAGATGTTCCGGGCCAAGCTGGAGCGGTCGCAGCGCGACTGGCAGGCGACGGTTGCAAATTCAGCCAACGTCAATCCGGCGATGGTGTCAGACATGCACCGTGTCAACATTGGACGAGGCAACCAGCACTCGTCGTCGGAAAAGAAGCACCACGGATTCCTTAAGCGCATCCTGTAAGCGGTGCTCTGAGGGCCAGCACGCCCATAGGTGCGGGGAGGCAGCGGCATACCAGGCGCGTTTCCCGATCCCATGCAGCTGGGCAATTCTTTACCATCTTCCTGTGCCTTGTACACAATGCAATATGCGCATGCTTGATATTTGTACATCCATGCCCTCTTTTCATTTGGGCCAGCTGTTAAACCTGGAGCACCACCACCAAAGGGGGAGTGCTGGCTGTGAGCTGACGCATGCGTCGCACCAAGACATTGCAATATCAGCTTGATTTTGGCGGGTATCGTGGGATATTCGGTGCTGGATTAGTGGCCAAACGGCGAACCGTGTGGTTCTGAAACACCTGCTAATATGAATGTGCGGGAGCGCCTGCGCAATTATATCCCAGGCTGCAATGGAAAAGAATACCCAAAGCGCGTTCTATTTCTGACCAGTTCATGACTGGGCCAGCTCCTCGTTCCTCAAAAGTCAGCGTAGCCCGCCAGCTGGATAAAAACAGAGGTTTCAGGAACAACCCAGACTTCTCCGCCAGGTCGTTTCTTTGGTAGCACCGCTTTTTATTACTTTATCCCGCGTGTTACTAGCTCTGCGTTTCCTGCGTCTTTTCTCATACTTGGACATAGCCAACGCCCGGTCTTTATATACGCTCTCAACCCCTGGGTAAGTTCTTGGAAGTCTCGGAAATCTGTGCAGCCATGTCAATATCGCACTGCATTTGGGCGCGAGCAAGAGGCGTACGAGGCTTGTACATGTTGGTTCGTCCAAGTGAGTCTGGATGTGGCACAGCAGGCAGTGTGTTTTGGACACAAGCCCCATTCCACCGTCGGGCTCGCCCGCACTATGAGTCGCTAGAGCAGAGCCGCAGTGAACAACAGCCGCCGGCCTTGGTCCGATCCCTCCCTTCCCTCCCCGCGTCAGTGGTCCCGCCGGCGATGTGGACAGCGCCGATGGTGTGCTGGACGGGTGTCCTCGGCCTCGGGGCTCCCCTCGCTGCTCAGTATTTGTGGTCTGCAAACCGGGCTTGCTTGTACCTTACCTCCCCCATGCCTTGCGCCGGCCTGTTTTGAGAACATGCAGTATTTCTTGACTCTAATTTTTGTCGCTGCGCTTGTTTTTCTTTCTGGCTCAGAGCTCGCATGTTGTGCTTGCGCCTCCCTCAACCATGATGGCACTTTATGCTTTGGGCGAATTGCTTTGCGCTTTTATGTTCGTTTTATACATTCTTGCCCAGAATCGAGCGCTGAAGAAAAACAAAACGAGGCACCCTCCATTCTCATTGTTATTTACACGCCCGGGTGCCTGCAAGTCTAGTAGGAGCACCATGCCGGGCACAGGCATTCAGCTGGGCCTTCTCACGACATAGTAGAGCTTGGTTTTCATCATGTCCTGCACTTGGAAGGGGGGCTTCGCATGGCCTTCTTTTTCTTCTCCCAACCCGTCCTTCTTCCTCCCTCCCCCTACTACCGTTCGTAACTCTTAATATACCCTCTTCCTTCGCCCGCACCTCTAGTTTCCTTGTTCTTTGTGGAATCCATACCGACCTGTTAAATAGCGTTACGCTTCTCATCCTTCCTCTTTTCCCGCACGTCTCTTTCTGTTACTCACATCGTTTATCTGTATGATTTCGGCTGCTAGCATTCACTCCTTTCGCCGAGCGGAAGACGAAGAACCTGCTAAACATCCGTTCTGCTTGGTTCAAGAAGGACGAGGCTGCCGATTCAGCCATGGATTCTACCACAGCGACGCCGAAGCTGGCGGCGCCGTTCAGCTCCTTGGGCAATTCCAAAGTCAAGGTTCTCAGTCGGTCCCGGGCTCGCGAGCTCCTGAGCAGCGCGATGATACGTAAGTAGCACCCCATCATTCACCCCTCCCCTGTTTAGTCACTGTGTACATAAATGCTGGGCAGTAACGCTCAATGAATGCGCCAAATCCTGCATTATTTCTGCTGGGCCAGATGCTACTTTCCCGGCCAACGCTTATCGAGCCGGCGTTATCTTGCTTGAGCGGTGTGACCTCTTCCCCTGGTTTCTGGCACCCTCTCTGGCTTTGCGTCGTTTGCCCAGCGCTTTTTTGCGTTGTCCTCTGGGACGTAGTAGCCGGCCCAACACCATTTTGTGCAAGACCTCTGTATGCTGTACTTTCCAGGCGGGTCTAGATCACGGCCGCAATGATACAACACACCGCTCGCCAAGTTATTCCACTCCGAGCAGCAATTTTGTCAGCTACTCCGTGTTCCTGGAATGGCACGCGTTGGCCATGCGAGTTACATATATCCTCCGCCGGTATCTATATGCATTTTCGGAAAACGTTGGTTGGATCTCCCCCGCGCTCAATTTCTATCTCAGTGCTACTGCATTATTGGCAAGCACCACCCCAATGGGCCAGGCATTTTTCTGACGCATGTCGAGAACACTGCCCATGAACCAGAGTTGGCGGCATTCCTGGATCTAAAAAATTGCTGCGTGCTAACCTCGTAGGGCTCATGGAAAGAATGATTGAGGAGCTGTTTCCCTGTGTCACCGAGGGCGACGTAGGGTCCTCGTTCGCCAACAGCGATATTGCCACGAACGGCCCGCTGCCGAATTTTGAAGAATTCCTGAAGCACATATGCTGCCGCACGCGCACACAGCTCACATGTATGAGCTTGGCGCTGCTGTACCTGACCCGCTTGCGCGCCAACCACCCACGCTCGCGGGGCTCCCCGGGCTCGTCCTATCGCCTGGCACTTTCATCGCTCTGTGTGGCAACAAAGTACCTCTACGATGACGCGTACCACACATGTTCGTGGGTCCAGGTGTCAATGGGGCTGTTCACGCAGCGTGAGGTCAACCAGATGGAGATGGAATTCATGTACTTTTTGCATTACCAGCTCGGCGTAACATCAACTGAGTGGAACCAGTGGATCGCGACACTTGAGGCTAAGCTTGTATCTCGGTGGCAGGAGAAGGGCAAGGCTGAGACCATCTACGGGTTCGGACTGTTCTTGTCGCGTGAGTGCTGTGAGCCCAATGCCCAAGATGCTGTGCGCGATATTGCGTGGGGCGAGGGTGGCAAAAACCTGCTTACTCTGCTCAATAACGCGATCCAGAATAGCAATAGTGCTGCATCCGACAAGTGTTCGCCGTCGGTCGATTCTGCAGTCTCGGATACCACTTGCCTGCCAACGCCAGATCCAAATGGTTGGTTTCGCATCCGCTCCCCAGTGCTCCATGCGGGGCAGCAGTCAGGTGTCCTCAGCTCGTCGATGACTATTGACTCTAACCCGATCACGCCCAACACCGCCCACTTCTCGGATACGCCGTGCCTTGATGACAAGATGAGTGCATACCCGCAGCAGACGCACCTCTACCCAGCACACACAAATGTGCAAGCACACATTCCAGCCTGCCTTCCTGAGGTCAATCGCCCATTGTCGATGCCAGCAAACAACGGGGGCTTTGTTCAGGCGGGCTCGATAGGCTCGACCCCATCAGTTGCCATGCACCGCCACGCCACAGACACCGGGGGTGGTCTTGACTGGGATGTCCCGGTGCATCGCCACCCGCACCCGCCGCCACAGCCGCCACAAGCCTTAGTTCCGGCCTCATCAATGAGTGCAACAACGAACGCTAGCTCGGGATCGATCTCAGTCGATTCGCAGCCACATATTCATACCGGAGGAGGGTATTATGGACGACAGCGCCTTGCATTACAGCACACAGTACCTGTGTTGTCCAGCGACAGCTACGAGCGGCAGTATGTGCCCCAGCCAATCTGCGCTCCAGAAATAATGTCAAGCATCTCGTCGCATGCCAGCCAGAGGTACAACAGCTTCTCATCTTCGTCCCCGATGTACAGCGCTGCCTTTGGCTCTGAGACCGCTGGATATGCACAACAACGTCAATCAGCCCTGTCCAACAGTAGCCGATGCGATTTTAGCTCCCCTGCAGATGGGCTATCGGCGGTCTCCTCAAAGATGGGCGCAGCATATTCTGGCGATATGGCGAAGGGAGGTGAAAGGCGTTCGTTCAGCCAGTCGGCGATGCAGCGGCCAGCTTCGTCGATTCCACTTTCTAGCGTTCATCCGATCGTGCAGCAGCAGCAGCAGGCAGCACATTCAGCTGGCCACTATTATACGCTTCCTCGTTCAGCAACCAATCCCACCATGTCTTCGACTAGCTTCCAGACCAGCAACAGTTCAACGGCAGCTGCACGCAAGAACAGCCAGCACAGGCTATCGACGCTTGCTAAGCTTGTAGGCGGCGTCGCCTCGGGAAACGGAGCTGTGAGTGTCTCAAGACCGAGTACAGCCCAAGCACTCGCACCACAATCATCCAGCATTACGAGCACGGCGACAATCGTCTCGCGCAACTCGCATAATACCGCAGGGGCAACAAAGATGGTTCAGGGAAGCGACTCCGGCGGCAACCAACTGCCAACCACTTGTACGGTGCCGCAAACTGTGCAGGTGCCAGTGCCATCGCCTCCATTGGAGCTGCATGTCACGGCTCCTCGCTGTCCTGGCCACAACGACGGTTCAACAGCGGCAGTGTCTGTCAGCACTCCAGGCAACCGATCCACAAAGTCATCTGTATCATCATCATCTATCAGCGGACGCCGCCTCAGCTGGCGCCAGCACGGGCGCTACTCAACCGCGAGTCTGGCGCAAAAGCTTCGTTCATTGGCAGCATTCAACTGGTCATCGGGCGGGCCTGGCACATCCTCAATACCCCAGTGCAAGCAGGGTCCCGCACCACCAGTCAGCAACATTGAGGAAGAAGAGGAAGGTACCGACAGCTGTGACCTGTACCGTCACCACGATACAGTGTCGGTGCAGGATATCACGATCTGCGCGCGCAATATCAACCCAAAAGCGCAGCAGCTACTGCCCCATGCAGACAGGTACCAACACATTTTCGTCCAGCAGCACCTCGCAAACAATGTTCAGCCGTAAGGCAGTAGTCAACACGCAGAATGGCCGCCAGGCTTCGCTGAAGAACGTCAAGGCAGCGTTTGACTGCATCGCACCTACCCAGTCGCCATCTACATTCGAATTTGAGTATGACATGGATGGCTATGTGTCCATGAAATCATAACCCCCCTCATCATTTGCACAACCCCCTTTTAGGCACAGTAGCCTCGGTAACTTCAATACTAACTTATATCATGCTATGTACATGTTTAGTTCCGACATGAGCTTGCTTATTAATGGCTATTAGATGTGCTGATTCCTGTGCCTTGTCAAAGTTTAGAAGCATCAGCGCCTCAGCGGACATGTGTTCCGTCGCATATGGCGAGTTTGGGGGCAACGCTGACTTCATCCAGCACAACCTCGCTGCTCGAAGTTGGGTGGGATATGACTGCTGGGCTGGAATGAGGGCATTGGCTGTGACGGCAACGGAGGCGGCATCATGCTCGATGGCAGATGTGATGGCGGGATGCCCATCTTTGCCAAATCTGCTGCCAGCGGCGATATATCAGTGGGCATATTGGCAGTAGGCAGTGGTGGAGGCACAGCGTTAGAGGGCAGCGGCGGAAGGCTAGGCAGGACACCTGCAGCCTGCAGACTGCTTCTGGTCGAGTTGCTGGTGGTGTACGGGCTCTTTGAGTGGTGCTGATGACCTGCGCCGGCGGATCTCATGTACCCCTGCCGAGTTCCCAGGAATCGAACATACGCATCGGGGGCTCATCTGAGGTTGGCCTCGAGTCCACCGCCATCGTTGTCCGGACTCGGAGAACAGGGAGTCTGACTGCGAGTACAGCGACTGGCCGTCGGGACGATCCTTGATCTGCTGCTCGTATGTATCGCTACGGTTGGTTGATCTGGATTTCTGTGAGCTGGACGGTGAGCCCTTGGGGTGGAGGAGTGCCAAGCCATGGGGCTTCAATCGCACGCTCTGACCCCTTTGAGGTCGTCGACTGCGTGGGGCTCGACGACGCGTAGGCCTTGGCCTTGGCCATAGTAGCGAGTGTGTGGGGCTTGGCTGGTGGCAAGTGGGAACTGCGCGATTCGCGCATGTCGCTGAGACGGAAAATGTATTCATGTGGCATCCAGGGCTCGCAAAACAGCAGGGTGGTGGCGAGATGCACTGCGAGCTGGCCTGGCAGTTGCCACGTGCAGGTCAACTAGGGGCGCACCGATCCTGCAGCTGTGGCAAGGGCTGCCGTAGGCCAGTGACCAGGAGATGCCTGAGCATGATCAACAATTGTGGCCGGGGTCCGCTGCTGAGTGGAGCCGGCACTGGTACGGGTTACTAGAGTTCTCTGCGGCGGATGACCGTCTCGAGCCGCGCTTAATGAATGCTGTGGCCTTGGATGAAGCGTTTGGGCTGACACTCGCAACCGCAGCAGCGGCATAGGCTACGGAAGTGGCACTGAAGGGGAGGTGCGAGATCTCGATGGCGAAGATTCCGGCGCATTGTGGTGGCATCAATGGTCAGACTGAGTGGATGCTGTGCTGTACGGTCGAGAACCCAGCGCCAGCGCGACTGGGAGTTGGCAGTGGTGTGCTGGAGGTCTGTGGCCATTGCATCAATTACCAGAGTGTTTACAGATGGGCACGATAGTGCTCGGCGTGGGTAGGCTGGCGCATCCTTTCAGGTACACTGGGCTGTAGACGTACTCGTCAATGGCAGCGTGCTGGCTGGGTCGCATCGACAGCCACTGCCTTATCAAAGTCCAGGGAGATTTGCTCTGTAAGGCCGCTCTGTCTGGATGCGCTCAAGCGGCGAAGCTGTGGACGACTCAGCGGGCTGGGAAATCTTGGCGATGCGCTCCTGGAGCTCGATGTTATAGCTGGAGTAGTTTTGGTGGGGTGCGAGCACAGACTCCATGATGTATTTGATAGCAGCTTTGCAGGACGCCGGGACGCTCTCCCATGTCTCGCTCATGCGGTTGACAACAGAGCCAGAGATGGCGCAGATCACGCCGTTCAGAGACTCGTAATCGCCAAGCTCGCGCAAAAGATAGGCCACAGTGACCCACCACTCGACACGGCGGGAGCGCATTTTTGCCTGGGCAGACAGGAGGACGGAGGACTCAACGAAGCGGGCGATGAAGCTGGTGTGATCCTTGAATGAGCCTTAGAGCCTGCATTGCAGGGGTCTCAGGCATGGCATTCGGGCTGCGTGCGCCGCCACCATGCATGAACTTTGCCCCTTCAAGGATGGAGTCGGGAGTGAGCTTCTGGAACAGATGGCTGGCGGAGGCAGAGATGGCGTATGCCATGATGCCAGGCGGGATTGTATCGAGCGACTTGCAGAGCTCTGTGGCAGTGCCTTCGCGGGCGCTGGATCTGAACAGGCTCTGCACAAGCTCAAGGACGCTGCCTAGCTGGCTGCTGCCAACCGACATATCGCGGCGTGGGATCAGCGGGACGCGCTCGTCCATGACTGCCCGCTGCTGTTTACTGAGACGCATGTACACTTCGTTGACCGGCACTGCATACGATACGGTGATAGGTGAGGATGCCCACGCTGTGGTGATATTACGTTCAGTTGCACCTGATGCCGATGACGCCTGTGGGGCACTTGTCCGGTGGTGGTGGGATTCGGGGCGCTGCTCGTCAGACGCTATGTTGGCGAGTGCCGATGTGTACTGGTGGATGAGCGATTCGGCGAGATCGAGCTGCTGGAGAATGTGCGAGTGGAGCTTGTCGAGCTTTAGCGCGTGGGCTTGATCAGGCTGCGGATCGTCGGGCGTAGCAATGGTGGAGCTGCGGGTCAGGTCCCGGATGGGGTCGCGGATGGCAGTGAGGCGGGATGAGATGCCCTGGAGGTGAACGAACTCGGTGCAGGTGAGGTGCGGCTTGGCGGGGCCAGGTTGGCTGGTGCTTTGAGCCGGACATGGGGCGCGCAGAGTCTACAGAGGGCATTTGTGGATAGCTTAGCATTCTGAACTGCTGTTTCATTTATTTGGCAGCTATTGTTGTGGGGGGTTGCTGTGTTTGCTGCGGGCTAGTAGGGCTGCTGCTGTACCTTTAAGCGACCATTACTGCTTGTGTGACCAGAGAACTGGCAATGGAGAGTATGTCGAGGATGTTGATATAGGGTGTTCAATGTGTTACGCGAACGTATATGGTAGCGAAGAGCTAAGGAGTATATCGGCAGAAAAGTAAATGGGGTATAGCTGAAGAGAGAAGAGTGGAATGGAAGCAGAGCTGGGCCGCTCTTTAAAGCAAGGCAAGAGCGCCTTTCGGAGATTCGCAGCCTTGCCCTGTTCCCAAAAAAACTGGCAGACTGCGAATGCGCCAAAGGGAAATAATCCATGGGTGAAAAATTTAGGTACAGACGCCTGTTTGCGACATGCACGGCCAGCTAGGCTGAGTACCGGCAGTGATCATGCTGCAAATCGCGATGCGCAGAGGAGAAAAGGAGCAGCCCAGCATCCTTTTTCTTAGGCTGGCAGGAGCAGCACGTTGGCGCCTGATAGACGGGATATTATTCCTCTGCAAAGACACAGATCGTTCGCTTTCTGCGGTACTGTTGAGAGCCAAGGGGATTTTCTCCCCGGGAAAAAGCAAGTGACAACAAGCATCGTCGGAGAGCTCGTGCTCTGCCGGTGAGGTCAGAGGGCAGCAAACGGCTGACCAGCGGAGCATGTGCTTCCGAATGGCCGGTTTAGACATGGCAAATGGGAACCGCGAACGGTAGCGAGACATTATGAGGAACAATGGTGCATTTATGCAGGAGGTGGGTTTGTGTAGGACACATTCTGAATTGCTCTACCGGGACGCGGTGGGGAAGGGGTCAATAGTGGCCAGCAGTGGCCAGGCTATTGCTCGCATAACAAGCGAGGACCGCGTGGGAGGGGCTATTTCAATGCCTTGGGTAGTTTTCTCGCTGCCGATTGTGCTTCAGAATAAGCAACGCCCTTCTGCAGAAAAGCCCCTGGGTCCGCAAGCACAAGGGCGAGTTGGGGAGGAGGAATCCGGCCCACGGTAGGGCCACGCGCGGCACCGCCCCGAAACTCCTCTCCCCTGGTGACACGGTCTCCAGGCGGGCAAGTTCCGGACTGGGCGTGATCAAGCTGCGTGCAATTTCGGACCGTTCCTAAAAGCAAATAGTAATCAGGTTTATGCGCGCGCTCCAGCGAAAATTGGGACGGGTGTGCTTGCTTTATTTGCCAGACTCCCCTTCCTCCTCTCCCCTCTCTCACCCACTCTTCATTCTTCTGGCCTTTGTCATTGTCATTATACGTTCTTTTGCTTATGCATGTGCAAGGCTCTGCTCTCTACCCCGGCAGCAAGTGAAAAGTAGCCTTATCACCAAAAAAAAGTACCCGACACCTCCAGCTTCTTACTTTTATTTCACGTCGTTGTTTTCATTTTTTGCTCCCCTCTTTTATTGCTGTTTTGTGGGGTGGGGACCACTCCTACACTTTCTCACTTCTTTTGCTCTCCTTGTTTTAAAAATATCCCGCTCTTACTCTTTGAATGCTAACCGACAAGTCTATTCCGGTTAACCCTCGCACCTCCGTCGACAGGGAGCGTGCAGACTCGCGCCTGGCGTCGCGCATCGGCAAGCCCACCAACATCCCATTGCCGACGGCACTATCGACCTCAAGGCCCAATTCCTATGTTCATGCACCGCAAGAGCGAGTCAATGAGCCGCACGTCTGTGGAGGACGGGCGCATCTCGCAGATGTCGCTGTCGCGAGCGCTTTCAGCCGCAGATGGGACAGTACTCCGCCCGCCCCTCGTTCGACGCTGTGGGCGAGTCGCCGACAGCTGGTGGGTTTTCGGATGCAGCAACAGATGCGAGCTCGGCGAATGGCGCGAATGTGCAGGGCAGCACCAATGGATCGGTTTCTGATGTAGACGATGGCGAGAAGGTTCTGCCGGTGCGTGTAGCGGTACGGATCCGGCCATTGATCGTTGACAATACGGAGAGCGGGCAGACGAGCTCCTATGCCCGCAACACGAGCTGTCTGGAGCCCAAGCCCAATGCATCGATTGTGGTGTACCCAGTGAACTCTGCCAACGGAAGCTTGGCAGGAGCGAGCTATGGCAGCGATGGAATGGCCGGGCTAGGCGGCTTTGTCCGGCACAGCGGTGCGCCGTCGCATGCAGTGTCGAACCAGCCGCGCACCTACAACTTTGATTTTGTGTATGGGCCCGAGACGTCGCAAATATCTGTTTTCGACTCGTCGATTGCACCGCTGCTGGCGCGGTTCGTTGAGGGCTACAATGTCACAATTCTTGCGTACGGACAGACATCTTCGGGCAAGACGTTCACGATGGGCACTGACGCTGATGCGACAGCGCCGGAGGATGTCGGCATTGTGCCCCGCGCGCTGACACAGATTTTCCAGTGGACCAACTCGCACCAGACCGTTGACGAGACCGGCAAGCCCAACATCGACGTGCGTGTGTCGTTCATGGAGGTGTACAACGAGGAGCTCATCGACCTGGTCGCACAGTCGCAGTTCCATGGCGTGCGGCCGCCGATTTTCATCCGCGAGGACACCAAGGGCAACGTTGTGTGGGTGGGCGTCAAGGAGCAGGCTGTGTCCGATGCGCAGCACGCGCTGTCGATTTTGATTGATGGATCCAAGGAGCGGCAGACGGGCGGCACGCGCATGAACGACAAGTCGTCGCGGTCGCACGCCATCTACACAGTGACGCTGACGCAGCAGCGCACGCGCGGCGATTCGCACGAGCCGGTCAAGATTGTATCCAAGCTGCACTTTGTCGATCTGGCCGGCTCCGAGCGGCTCAAGAAGACGCAGGCCGAGGGTGAGCGCCAGCGCGAGGGCATCTCAATCAACTCTGGGCTGCTGGCCCTGGGCAATGTCATTTCGGCGCTCGGAAGTCCCCAGCGTGGTGCGGATCTGCATGTGCCATATCGCAACAGCAAGCTGACGTACATGCTGCGAGACTCGCTGGGTGGCAGTGCACAGACGCTGCTGATTGCCTGCGTAGTCGGCGGCAGAAGCCAACATGGCCGAGACAGTCAACACACTCAAGTACGCGGCGCGTGCGCGCAACATCAAGAACCGCGGCGGTGTCAATATGGTGTCGCTGGGCAAGGCCTCGGCCAAGGAGCTCGAGGCCCTGCGCGCCCTGGTGAAGAAGCTCAAGGGCGAAGTGCATTCGCTGAACCAGCGTCTGCAGGATGCCGAGAGCACAGGACGCGACAGCTTCTCGCTGAACTCGTCGATGCAGAGCATGCCGGTGCCGGGCCTGGTCCAAATCACCGTCGTCGCCAGCGAATCGGGTTATCACCGGATTCAGCGACTCGCTGGCGGGCGAGAGCCCGAGCCGCATCCCGATCACCAGCGCAGCTCTGCAGAGGCGCATGAACGCGCACGAAGAGCTCAATGTGGTCAAGGCGCGGAACCAGACGCTGGAGACGGAGCTTATGGAGCTCACCGAGACATACGCGGATCTCCTGTGGAAGTTCAACGAGGCGTGCAGCGAGATCGAGGAGCGCCAGAGCGAGAGCTTTGAGCGCGACCAGAGGCTGCGCGACCGCGAGCAGGAGATCCGGCGGCTGACGAGCCACTCGCAGCAATGGGCGGCGGTCCTGTGCCCTCGGCGGTGCTGGATCTCGACGAGAGCCGCCCGCAGTCGGTTGCGGATACGCTGCGGCAGAAGCGCCGGTCAGCCCGCCTCAGCCTGTCGAACCGGTCGATTGCCGAGAATGAGCGGCTGGACCGGTTCACCGAGGGCATTTCACTGCTGGCCGACGAGACTGTGCCGCCGATGCCGGATCTCGACCAGCTGCACACGCTGCAGTCGGCTCAGAGCAGCCGGCAGCAGAGCGAGGTATTCCATGAGGCAGTGACTGGTGAGGGCAAGAGTAAGGGCGACGGCCCAGGCGAGGCTGAATTTGATGCGGTGCTGGAGGAGTACGACGAGTAACATTCGCAGAATCGAAGGCGAGCTGAAGGCCGCCAACGAGATGATCGAGAATCTGCGCCTGCAGCTGTCAATGCAGGAGACCAAGGCGACATATGCCGAGAAGCTCAACGTGTCGCAGCAGGCGCAGGTCGAGACTCTGAGGATACAGCTGGACCAAGGCGCGCGAGGCCGGCCAGGAGGAGGAGCAGCGCCGGCGTGCAGTCGAGGCCGAGCTCGAGGACGCCAACTTCAGCGCAGAGACGCAGCTCGAGTCGGTGGCCAATGAGTGGCGCCTGGAGATGCAGCATTGCGACGAGCAGTGGACCGAGCGCTGGGAGGCTATGCAGGCCGAGCACGACCAGGCCCTGGCCGAGAGCGAGCGCCAGGTCGCCAAGCTGCGCACCGAGCTGGAGGTCGAGAAGGCCGTACCGCGTCTCTCGGGCATGCCTGAGTCAGATGCCGAGCTGAAGCAGAAGAATGTGGAGCTGAAGGAGGAGAACGCCGAGCTGCGTCGCGAGCTCGAAGCCCTGAAGGTCAGTCAGCAAGAGACGCGGGAGCTGGCAGCCAGCCAGCAGGAATCACAGGAGCTGATAGCCAGCCAGCAGGAGCTGAAGAACGAGGTTGAAGAGCTGAGGCGCCAGGCTAGGGCGGCCGACGCACGTGCGCAGATCGCTGAGGAGGCATCGGCGGCGTTGGCAGCAAAGCTCGCAGCCCAGCGCGATGTGACGTCGCCGCGCATGAAGGACCGCAGCCTGTCGCGCCAGCTGTCCGACAAGATTGTTCTGCGCACGCGCGGCTCCCCGTCGCCGCGCAGCTCCAGCAGCGAGAGCGACGCGCAGCAGTTCCCAGGGGTACCCGAGGAGGACGACATGACGCCTCCCGAGCGCCGCCTGTGGAACATGCGCAACCGCCATAGCGCTACTACTCCGGCGCTGCCGCTGTCGCCTGCGCAGCCGTCTTCCTCTGACGACAAGTGCGCGTCATACCCCGAGCTGCGGCTGGCGTCAACTGCGCGCGACTCGGCTATCGCCAATGCTGGCATGCATCGCCAGGCTGTGTACGACGAAATCCAGATCCAGCAGATGCTAAAGGACGCGGCAGCCGAGAGCGACCGCCAGGCGGGTGCCGACAAGGAGCTGCGGGAGCTGCGAGCTAAGATTGAGGAGCTGCGGGAGGCGAAGAAGGAGCTGCAGCAGCACAACAGCCAGATGAAGAACATCATGCGCGACCTGGGCGACCGCCTGGTGAAGCTGGCAGAGGAGAACGACATGCTGGAGGCCAAGGCGAATGAGCGTGACTCGCTGATCGAGGAGATGCGGCACATGACCAGTCTTGTCAGCGAGTATGAAGCCAAGATCCACGACTTGAACGTGGAGGCAGAGGTCCTGCGCGCGGCCCGGGACAAGGCAGAGCAGGCCTGCGAGGCTGGGCGCAACGACAGCAAGCTCGGCCATCGCCTCTCGGTCGAGTCGTTCCGGTCAGCAGCCGAGGAGACGCCGACGGCAAGCGACACGCCCAGGACGCAACATAGCGCCGACAGCGACAACGACGAGGCGGCAGCGCTGCGGGTGCGCCTTGACTTGGCCGAGGCTGAGCTGAAGGTGGCTCTGCGCAGCACTGACGAATACCGTAACCGTGTTGACATTCTCCTTGGCGACATCGAGTCGTACAAGCAGCACATTGGCTCGCTTGAAACGGCGCTTGCGTCCACCGACGGGCAGCTTGACACGACACGGCGCGAGGCGTCTGAGCTGCGCAACCTGGCAGCGCGTGCGCAGGAGCTTGAGGCCGAGCTGGGCTCACAAAAGACCCTGGTGGTGTGTCTGAAGGAGAGCCTTGCGTCGAGCGAGGAGCAGACGGAGGAGATCAAGCTCAACGCCGACCGCTATGCGAACGAGCTGCTGCGCGCCCAGGCGGAGGCCAAGTCGCTGGGAGACCAGGTCGAGCTGGTGTCCCAGCAGCTGATGGATGCCCGCCAGCTGGTCACCAACGAGGCCAGGGACCGCGACATTTGGAAGAGTCCGGTGCCAAGATCTCCGCGAAGAGGTCGACGAGATGCGCTCAAGGCGTCGCAAGTCCAAGATGAGCTGCTTCTGAGTACTTTTTTCTTTTTGCGTCTACTTTTTTAGTTGTCTTTCTACTATTTTGTTTCTTTTTCCGTCTACTTTCTGTTTAAGATCTATCGTCTCCAAAAAAAAATCGACATTACTCCGCAGGCGTTCATATCGACTGCATATATCGCCATGTAATAAACACCAGCATGTGCTATGACATGGCTGAGATAATCAGGACATTACGGTGAGTTTGATGATGGAGATGGCTGACATTGGAAATACACAAGAGTGGGAGATTTACTGGATGTAATAGCAGGCACCGCATCCAGGGGCGGTAGGCAAACAGGGCATCGTCGAGCTGGGTCTTGGTCAGCTGCGGGAACTTCTTGGCGTAGTACTGCTCGGCCAGTGCGTCTTTCACATCCTCGACCTTGTTCTGGGGCACCATGTGCACCGAGCAGCCGCCCCAGCCAGCGCCAGTGAGGCGGGAGCCGAGCGAACCCGCGCTGCGCGCAATGGAGCAGAGCTCGTCGAGCTCGGGGCAGCTGCAGTTGAACAGATCGCGGCAGCTGTCCTGGCTCTGGTTCATCAGGGAGCCAAGGATCTTGGCAACGTCGCCAACGGAGCTCTCGCAAGCCTGGCGGAACTTGACCACGCGCAGTGTCTCGGAAAACGCGTGGCAGGCGCGCTGCAGGATCTGGAACCTGTCGGCGCGCACGGGGAACTGGTCTTCGTGGATCTTGGTGCTGAGCTCGGCCGGAGTCATGTCGAGGGCGGCAGCCATTTCCTCGCGCGTGTAGCCGTCAGGATGTGCGGCGAAAGGCCTTCTCGGACTCCTCGAGCATGCGCGACAGGCGCTCAATCCACACCTGCACCTCGTCCCTGCCGGCGGTGTCCTGGTCGGCGAAGAGCTCGTCCATGATGATCTTGAACACCAGCGGATCGACGTCCTTGCAGGCAGGACGGCTGGCCAGGCCAAGATGCTTGGCGAGGATGAGGGCGCCGACGCGGGTCTCGACGACGCGCAGGTTGTAGCACACGGGGGCCGAGACGTGCTTGTCGGCGACCACCAGGGTGTTGGCAATGACGAAGACCATGGAGGGGTCGGTCTCGGGGAACTTGACCGGCGTGCCCCTGAGCTTCGGGTGGAACTCAATGAAGGAGCGCCGAGCCCTGGCGGCCCATGATGCTGATGGCCTGGTCCATGCCGCCCGAGTTGACGCCGACATGGCGCTCGGCGCTGGCAGCAATGCTGACCAGCTCGCTCTGCGTCAGGCTGATGCCGCAGACACGCTGCACGGCCAATAGCGTCGCGCAGACAAAGGCCGCCGACGACGACAGACCGCTGCCGGCGGGCACAGTGCCGTCCATCAGCGCATCCATGCCCTTGCCGTTGCGGTGTCCCAGGCGGTCGAACAGCCCGCGGTAGCCGCACTTGAAGTAGTTGGACCACTCGTGGACTGTCGAGTCGATCTCGAAGATGTCGCTGGTTGCTGAGAACAAGCGCGCCGGGTACTTGTCGTTGAGCGTGTTGGCCACATGGACCCTGTCAGTGTTGTTGGCGCGCACAGCGATCAGCGTGTCGGGTGCAATGGCCATCGGGAAGACCGGGAACCCGCAGTAGTCGATGTGCTCGCCGATGATGTTGACACGACCGGGCGCACGCGCAATGAAGTCGGGCTTGGACTCCGTACATTGTCTCGAAGTCGGCCGCCAGCTTGGCGTAGCGCCCAGACTGGCGCTCGACATTCAGACTGTAGATGTCATTGAGGCTCTTGATGACAGGAGCGGGAGAAGACATGGGTGAATTAGTAAGAGAGCGTTGGCAGGGGTGGGTATTAGAAATAATGATGATGGTGGTGGTGCGGGTCCAGAAAACCGTTCGTCGCATGGCCGTTTTATACTGCTTCGGAGGCCATGCGTCCATACGGTTTTCTCCTCGGCCGGGCAGATGCGTGTACAGAAGCAGCTTCCGGAACCCACCCTGATTCGCTCCAATTGCACCGGCAGCAGCAACACCAGCACCAGCACCAGCAGAGAAAAAGAAGAGGAAATAGCTTACCGCACTTGCGATGCAGATGCCGAGCACAGTGCATCTAGTGGATGTGTCGGGAGCATACGACCTCGTCTGTGGTCTGCACCACAGTCAACCGCCGGCCCGATTAGGAAGGTGGTATGTGCGGACCAGACTCCGGCGGCGCATCGGTTCGATGAGATTTACCCCTGTCTCCGCGCTGCTGGCGGCTCCTCCGAATTGGTGCGAGCCAGGTACGGAAAATCGGCCCTAACCCCAGTGGGTCCGCGCTCTGGCATGCATGGCCTTTATTTTTGGGCTGGACATGCACTAGCCGCCCGATGCATGGCCAATGCTGACTGGATGGTATAGAATCACGATACACGTCGAGACTGGACGCTCCGCCGACGCACCTGGCCCGGGGGAGACAAAAGGAGCTGGCGTAAAAAGGCTCACACCGGGCAGCCACTCTTCGCCGGCGTGACACGGAGCCTGCGTGACACAAGCCTGCCTATTGCAGAGGGTGGATCGGCGCGCCCAGCATCGGCTCATGTGGTCTTGGGCATACGGCCTTGCTGAATGCAGCGCCGTAGGATGTGGGGGCAGCAGCGGCTGGCAGCAACAAAACCCCCTCGCCACCCCTGAAGCCGCATCTTCTCCTTATCTCTCCTGCGCCCTAAACTCCACTTCTGCTATATTTCTACTCAGCCCGCCAAATGTCTGCCCAGGTCCCCACCTACACCGCCCTGTCGGATATCTACTCGACGGACCTGCTCCGCCACAGCGTACGGTACAATGCTCTCATCGAGGAGTTCGTCCGCATGTACGGACTCAAAGCCCGACTTCATTGCGCGCTCGCCCGGTCGCGTCAACATCATCGGCGAGCACATCGACTACTGCGGGTTCCCGGTCTTCCCGATGGCCATTGTGCCGGACTGTCTGATTGCAGTCAAGGTGACCGACGGCAGCGCCGTGAAGCTGGCCAACATCAATGGCGCCAAGTATCTGTCTCGCGAGTTCACGTATGACCCGGCCGACATTGTGGCCATCGACAATTCGACCCACGACTGGGCGACGTACTTCAAGTGCGGGTACAAGGGCGCCCTGGAGGCAACCAAGATCACCAATCCCAAGGGCATGCTCTGCATGATCGATGGCACGGTGCCTGCTGGCAGCGGCCTGTCCAGCTCGTCTGCGTTCGTGTGCAGCTCGGCGCTGGCCACAATGCGCGCCAACAACAATGTCCTGCCGCAGAAGGATATTGTCGAGACCAGTGTTGCGGCCGAGCGCTACTGCAACGTCAACGGCGGCGGCATGGACCAGTGCTGCAGCATCATGAGCAAGCTGGGCTCGGCGCTGTTCATCGAGTTCCACCCAGAGCTCAATACCACGCCTGTGGAGTTCCCCAAAACCAACCCGCAGATCGCCTTCGTTGTTGCCAACACCATGGTCACCTCTGACAAGGCTGTCACTGCGCCTGTGTGCTACAACCTGCGCGTCGTCGAGACCCGCATTGCTGCGCTGATGCTGGCTAAGTACCTGGGCATTGCCGACCGCCCTGCCTGCAGGGACGTCGATCCGCTGACATTCAAGGTTGTCATGGATGAGTTCTTTGCTGACCAGGACACCGCCGGCAAGGATGTGGTGCGGGTGTGGATCGAGCGACTCACCGCCATGCTGGCGTCGGCAACCGAGTTCTTCGGTGCTCAGCCCGAAGGGTACACGCGCGAGGAGTGCGCGGCGTACCTTGGCCTTTCGGTCGATGCCCTCGAGAAGAAAATACACGCCGACCGTTTCCCGGTGCGCGCCGACCGCTTCAAGCTGCTGCAGCGCTCGCAGCACGCGTACTCGGAGACCCTGCGTGTGGTCAAGTTCCGGGAGATCTGCGAGTCGACCGACGCATCCACTGACTACTTCAAGGCCCTGGGCGATCTGATGAACCAGAGCCAGGACAGCTGCCGCGATCTGTTCAACTGCAGCTGCCCCGAGCTCGACGAGCTCTGCTCCATTGCGCGCAGCGCGGGTTCGCTCGGCTCCCGCCTCACCGGCGCTGGCTGGGGCGGCAGCTCCGTGCACCTTGTCCCGCAGGATAGGGTTGAGCAGTTCATTATGGAAGTCAAGGAGAAGTACTACGCCAAGAACCTGCCTCACGTCCAGGGCCAGGATCTCGACGATGCTATTTTCGCGACCACCCCTGGCAGCGGTGCCGCTATTTTCGAGCTTGAAGAGTAACTCCTTTATAATTTTACATCCCACTTCACTAATCCCTGTTACTGTTAGCTTGAAAGACGTACTGGCCACCGATCGGTCGCTCAGGAGTCAATGAGCCGCTCAGGAGTCGGAATGAGCCACTCCTCGAGGTGTTTGATGCCAGTGCCTGTGTCGGGGGCAAGTATCACGGCTGTCACATGCAATTTTGTGCTTGGACGCCTGATCATGAAGCAGCAGATGGTCTCCAGCCCCTCTCCACCACTTTTCCCTCAGTTTTGTTCAAATTCAAGCACATTTCGTCTTGTTGGACACGCCAGTTGGACATACATGGGTCGCGACTATTACAGCATTCTCGGCGTGAGCCCGTCGGCCACCCAGGAGCAGATCCGCTTGGCGTACATGAGGCGGGCATTGGAAGTGCACCCCGACCGCAACCCGTCGCCATCGGCCACACGCGAGTTCCAGGAGCTGGCCGACGCCTACTACACGCTTGGGACGCCCTCGCGGCGGCATGACTACGATGCGACATACACACGTGATGACCAGGGCGCAGGCAGCAGCGAAGCCTCTGGGCAAGCACGCGCTGATGACGTGTTTGGAGACGTGTTTGAGGACTTCCTGCGGCCCTCGGTTGAGTCCAGCGGGTCGGGGTTCTGGGCGACAGTGGGCATGGGCAGCGGCGCCGTGCTTGGGTTCATCGTGGCGAACCTGCCTGGTGCGGTGGCGGGCGGTTACGCGGGCCGCAAACTCGGCTCAATCCGAGACCAGACGGGCCGGGCGGTTTACGAGTCGTTCCAGGCGCTGCCGCATGCGCGCAAGCTCCAGATCCTGACCGCACTGGCGGCTCAGCTCGTGGCGGGGTCATCAGGGCTTGGGAAGTGATCTCATCTGATTCGTGCGTGGTAGGGATGATGATCCCTTCGTGACTAGCACGGGCGCACGCGGTGGTGTGCATTTGTCCAACAGAAAATGGCTGGTGGGAACCAGCAACATGGGGCAGAAAGTTCGGTGCGTCGGATCCGCATGCCCTTGCTATTGCACCAATTTTTCCTTGCTATCTCCGCACCAAGCCTAGGTAGTTCCACTTTAGTCGTCTTCCCTATCCACATTTGTCTAGTCGCATTCTGTGCTCCTTCACTTTTTCCTCAGTACATAATAAAACCCCTCAGTGACCGACACGCTGTTCCACATATCCGGACATTAGCATCAATATCCAATGTCTCGCTCAGCACCACGGATTGAGATATTGCCTGAGGCTGGCCAGGCTGACGTCATTGCAATGGAGGAGGTGCGACCGGGCTCGCATGTCGCAACGGCCTTCGACGACACCACAGCGCCCGCCTACGTGCACGATCCTCTGCGCCTCAAAGAGAAACTTACCAGCGACTTCTCCGGGCTCAACAAGGGAGTGCGCCAATACTACGAGCAGCAGAACGAGTTCATCGGCATGTGTCTCGACAGCATGAACCACAGCGAGGAGGCGCGGCAGCGCCGTGCTGCTAAAGCCAAGCGCGAGACGCTCTTGGTTAAGATCGCCAGCTACGGGTCGCTGGCAGCCAACATCGTGCTGTTCTGCCTGCAGCTCTACACGGCCTTGTCGTCAAAGTCCCTGTCGCTGTTTGCCACCATGGCGGACTCGTTCATGGACCTGCTAAGCAGCGGCACATTGGTCTACGCCGGCTGGGTGGCGCGCAGCAGGGCTGACAAGAGCTACAAGTACCCGGCTGGCAAGCGCCGCATTCTGGGCGTCGGCATCGTGATCTTTGCTACGCTGATGGTGGGGCTATCCATCGAGCTCCTTATCGAGAGCGTGCGGGGCCTGACTGGCGGTCCAGCGCGACAGCGATGTGACTGCTGGCAATATTGCGTGCATTGCAGTGGCCCTGGGCGTCAAGCTCGGCATGCTGGCCTACTGCTGGACTCTAAGGCACCACCCGGAAGCCCGCATTTTCGCCACCGACCACCTCAATGACCTCATCCTGAACTCATTCGGCCTGGCCATGGCCCTGCTGGGCACACACGTTGTCTGGTACATTGATCCACTGGGCGGCCTGCTGGTTGGCCTGTTCATCATGTACTCGTGGGCATCCGAGGCAATCGACCAGGCAAAGCTACTGATTGGAGCGACGGCCGAGCCGCAGTTCCTAAATCAGCTCACGTACATGGCAATGACGCACGATCCCCGGATCCAGTTTGTTGACACGGTGCGTGCGTACCACGTCGGCGAGGAAAAGTACGTCGAGATTGACATTGTCATGGACGAGACGACGCCGCTGTGGGAAAGCCATGATGTGGGAGAGGCCCTGCAGATTCTAGTCGAGAAGCTCGACGGCGTGCAGCGCGCCCACGTTCACATTGACTTTGATTTCCAGCACCCGCCCGAGCACCATCTGAAGACGCAGTGACACCACCCGGCCACAGGCCAATTGGCCCGGCAGCCCCTACACTGAGATGTGGAACAAGACACCAGGCAATAGCCACCGGAGCCCATGTCCTCATCTCTCCAATAAACCACGCATGAACAAATGTTTTCTTGCAGATTATGCAGAATACTCTCGGCCACAGTGACAAGGAATCCTTGCATAAAGCTATATTTACTCACATTGGAGTCACCCCTCCCCTTCCCGGGTGTTGCTAATGGCCAACAGAATCTTAATGTGTGTGCTACGAGACATTTGGGTGGAGGCTCTTACTGGCGGAGTCTGGGCCCTAGGTCTGGGGTGTTGATCGTCTGCTGGACTAAAATTTTGTCCTCCTTGAGCCAAAACCTTGCTGGAGGCCCTGCTATCATGTTACCTGAACGACCTAGGTTTGTTTCAGGTTCAAATCTGGCTGTTTTTCTCGCCGCCGCCGCCGCCGCCCTCTCCCCCTCTTCCTTCTCGCTCGGCGGAGGGGGTGGAATGTCGGACCCTGCGCGAAGCAGGACATGTTTTTGCGCCTATCAACACCGCCCCCACCTGCTCGCTCTCACACAAATGTGACTGAACGGCAATTGATACAGACTTGGTTTCGCCTATTTCAGTGGGCTCCTACTAATAGGCCGGCAGGCATCCACGACACGGCCATTTTGCTAGGCCGCAATATAAGACACACTGCGTCCCTGGGAGTGCAGGGGCACTTGTATTTCCTTCCAGCTATTCCTACAGTCCCGGGAATTCGACTCTGCCCCTTATTCCGACACCCCTTATCGGTCCCATTCACACACTATCAATATCAGCCCTCTACTTGCCGTGGTAGAGGCATACCATCCACGATACCAGTAGCAGATATAGGTTGGTATTGCTTCCCTTTCCCGTTTTGGTTTGCCCCGCTTCGTTACGTAGTACACCTGCGATTTTCCATCGGCTTATCGTGACGGCCAGATACTGGTTTAGCGGGTATTAAATTTCCTCCCGTTTCAGTGGTATCTGTACTACCGTGGCGAGCAATTCCCATGAGCAAATCCTCTCCCCCATTGCTTGACCCACAGAACACTCCACCTCCATTCCACTGGCACATGTATTGGAGCGCACAGAACGTAAATCACCTACAGCCCCTTTCATATCCTTTTATATCGCATACACCCCCTCACTGCAGTCATTCTGCGCCCCCTGTCTCTCTTTGGTCCTGGCCTGCCTTGCCAGGACAAACATGCCACGCACTGCGCTGTTGCACAGAGAACATGACACAGCACCATCTCGATTAATTTTCGGTCTCCTTCTCAGCCTCTTACTCAAAGTGGACACAGTGCTAGCAGCGTAGCCTCCGTGCCGCGAGCCCCCGGCGGCACCCTTGTCCCTTTATTCTTATTCGCAAATCCTGTGCCCCCTGGTTTTCTTTTGCTCCGGCTTGGCCCAGCCCCTGTGCACGCCATCCGCTGTGTTTTTGGGGGTGGCAGAGAATGGGACACAGTCGAAATGGCCCCTTCCCCACTACCCCATCTCCCTCCTGATGCATGTATCCCTTAGGGCCAAGTGGACAAAACAGCCATCAGCCATAGCCTGAACCTCTTGGTATCCTTGGTGGCTGCCCCTGCCCTTGCACGCTCCTCATCTCTGAATGGCGTATCTCACGGAGAGGCAATCTCGGTATCCTGTGAGTGCTGGTTCGCTTAAATGGGCGGAGGGAGAAGAAAAGGCAACATCAGTATCACTGGTCGGCAACTAGCATCTAGTAGCCGTGGCCATATCCCACTTGTAATCCAGCGCGGGTTCCATTGCATCCCGCTGGAAACATAGCAAAAGCTGTTTCCGACACGTGATGTGTTACTATTGCAGGCTTAGCTTAGGGAGTATGGAGGAGAGAACCCTGGCGCTGCCTTCCACTCCTTCTCAAATCACCTTTCTACACTGGCCTGTGGCTCTACCTCAACCTCATTTTATTGCTCCTCCCTAAAAAGGTATTCGGTGACACAGCTAAGGGAATCGCCGGCGATTAGCTGTCAAGCGGCAGAGGGTTTAGTCAGAAAACGGGTCTCATAGGATGCCAGGATGCCAGGATGCTTGGCAGCTTATAAACTCCCGCTTCTGGCTGATTCGATTCTGTTGCACCTTTTCCATTTCTACGCGACTACTTCTTCGCTACCCCTTGCCCCTTGACTTTATTTCTTTCAATATTGGATCAGCTGCCTATATAATTCTTTCGTTTCATTAAGACCTTTTACCTTGACACCGCTTCTTCCCTGACCCTTGCCGCTATAAACCACCGATACCTCAATTTTCAGCATTTCTATTTCAGTGGTTCCCACTCGCACATTAAGCATCCTGCCCAAGTCTGTTACGGTCGCCACATTGTGATAGCTATTGTATTATCATCACCTCCATATCTGTCTGACACACCTGCGTCGCATATTATATAACCGAGCACTTGTATTACTCTTTCCTTTCTATCCCTTCCTGCCTCAATCCCCTTCCTCCCGCTTCCTCTTTCTCTACATTGTCTCCCCTGAGTTCTTTTCTTATTTCACTCTTGGCTTTCTCACTTGCCTCATCTGCCACATTTGCCGTTCATACGTTGAGGACAAATTGTTCTGTGAAACAAACATTAAAATCACGATGAGCCCTGTCCCTAATGCATTTTCGGACCTCTTTAACTACTGCACGCTCGTAGTGCCCGACCAAGCAACAGCACAGGCGCCGTCGCTGAACCAGCAACATCCACATCCTAAATCTCCTCCATCGCAGAATGACAAACGCCGTCAGCTACGCTGCTGCTGCGACCACAGCAGGCGGCCCCGAGCCAAACGACATTCCTCTGTCTGGCGATCCAGCCCGGGCCAGCAGCACACAGGCAGCCATCACCAAGCAGTGATGTCCCGGTGCCGCCACCATCGTCTGTTAATGGCATCCCGGACGCCCCTCTTATCGACCAGTCAGCCATCAGCTCACCACACTTTGCACTGACAGTCAATGCCCCTCAGGGTACACGCGCCCCCGACACTTCCGTGGATGGTGTTACCCCAGGATCTCCCTCCGCCGAGGCAGCAGTGGCTACAACGACGCCAGCCGACCTACAGGCGTCGCTGCTCCTACAGCCATTTGCAGCCAATACGGTTGCGCCGGCATGCACGTCGCCGCTGGACATGCTGATAGCTGCACTGGAGCCAGCACCAACTGGCCACGCTTTCACCAGCGAGTGCAGCACCGCCAATGCCTACCAGAGCGCTCCAAATACTGCCACAGCCATATGGAGTCCCGATGGTGCTGGCCACGCAGAGTATGCACCATTTCCCTGGACTGCAGGGCAGTCAGCACAGCCCATTGGACGTACCGTTACCGGCGGTCATACGGCGTGCATCGGACGGCGCTCTATTGGGCGGGTATCAGCTGGGCCGGCCGCAAGATGGCCTGGCAAATTCGTCGTACTCTGGAATTCCCAGGGAATCGGCGCGCAAGACCTCACAGCCAGCTGGAATCAAGCGTCCTTATACCGAATTTGACAACCTGCTTTCTGCTGCCGACATGTACGCCAATGGGCAGATTGGCGACCCGATTCACTCGCCCAGCAAGCAGCCTCGCCTACAACCAGCGCCGCAACCGCCAGCGCTTGTGAGCGGCCCGTCATATGCGGGTGATCCGGCCACATCGCCATATACGAGTGTCGGAGTGCCACAGTCGACAGCGGCTGTGGACTCGGTCACTGCCGCCGCTGCTGCCGCCGCTGCCGCGGCCAGCATGGCATATTCCGCTGCATTCCCGTACTCTACCAAGCGCTCGACGGTAGCTGTTCCTGATCCAACAATGCATCTTCAGTACCCGAGCATGTGCTTTGGATCGCTCCCGGCACCATCAGTCTCAATGGCCCCATCCGCATGCCACTCAGCAGCAGCAGCCACCGCCGCCTCCACCGCTAGGGCACCCACACACGTACCCACATATAGCTCCGCCACAGGCACACCCGCCTATGCACATGTCGTTCCATATGGGCAGCAGCGATGCAAGCGTGCACCCACTTCCTGCAGGCTACCTGTTTGGGAATGCTGGTGGCCCTGCCATGGCCCACGCGCAGCACCCACTGCCCGAATTCCTTGCTACCACTCCGATCCCAGCAATTCCAGGGCGTCACGGCAAGTCCGAAAGAGACTCCGCGGCGTGTGTCAATCCCGGATCTGACCCCGACGGCAGAGGAAGAGCGCATCGGCGCCAAGGCCCGTCCACGGCGCCAGAAACTGCGCTTTCACGACGATCTGTACACGCCCATGTGGGTACGCAACAACGGACAGCAAAAGGAAGGGATTCTGCGATACGTGTGCTCCGGGCAAATGGCTGCAGCTCAAGAACAGCGCGTACTGGTACCACAAGCAGTTCTTCCATGGGATCTCATCGGTATCGGGGCGGCCATTCGTGCGGCCACTGCAAGCACGCCATTTCGACGCTGATATCATCGAGGGACTCTGCCACCAGTGCCGCCAGTGGGTGCCCATTGCCTAATGCGAAGCGCAGGAACAGTGTCTTGTGGTTTAGACACGCCCACAAATGCCACGTCTATCACAAACCGAAGCCTGAAAATGAGACAGACGGGTCGGACATCAGCCCTTCTGCAGCAGGGGTGCCAGCGACCAACGGGTTCCACAGAATCGGTGGCGTATCTGCCTTCCCCCAACATCTCAATGCCGATGAGGCCAAATGCTGGCACTGCTCTGGTCGGAGATGACGCTGGTGATGGCAGTCAACAACACTAGTGGCAGACACTTGCACAGTGGAAGCGGGGGTTGAATGGCGGCGGCACATGGTACACTTTCTTTGATTTATATTCCTTTCACAATGTACACCTTTTCTAACCAATCTACTCCCCTCACTGCCTGGCTACATGAATGACATCCTTAGATGCATGGCGAGATATGATTATATACGGAGGCGGAGTGGAAACGAGAAAGGGCGGAGTAAAATGTCTTCTAAAAGTTCTAATCAATGTCGGCCACATCCAGGTCCTTTGCAAAGTCCCAGATGATGATCTTTTGGTCCTGGCTTGTGCTGACAATTTTGCTGGTGCTGAACTGCACGTCAAATACCCAGCTGGTATGTACATCCTTGAGATCCAGAACACACTCGCCAGTGACAATGTCCCACACCTTGACCGTCTGGTCGTACGAGCCAGAAACCGCCCGCCGGCCACCGGTGTAGTGCAGTGTGCGCACCAGGTCCTTGTGGCCTGACAGCGTTTTTATGCACCGGCCGGTCTCTGCATCCCACACCTTTATCAGCTGGTCGCTGGACCCAGACACGATGGTCTTGCCATCGAATTGGACACACGCCAGGCCGCGTGTGTGGCCGGCAAAGCTACGGATCAGCTCGCCAGTATGGATGTCCCACATCTTGATTAGCGAGTCGCCGGACGCCGACACAATGCGGTCGCCCTTGAGCTGCACAGCATTGACCGGCCCGCGATGGCCGACCATGGTGCGGAGCAGCTTGCCAGTCTTGCGCTCCCACACTTTGATTGTGCAGTCCTTGGAGCACGACACAATGTGCATGTCGTCAAAGGCCACATCCAGCACACCAGCAGCATGCGACACCAGCCGCAGCAGCGGGGTGCCGGATTCCCAGTCCCAGATTATGATAGTTGAGTCGCTCGAGCCCGTCACCAGCGTTGTTTCGTCGTATTTGAGACACAGGACTGACGCGTCGTGGCCTGCCAATGTGCGCATACACAGCAGCGTGTGGCTGTCCCACACCTTGACTGTGCGGTCGCGGGATCCAGTGACGATCTTTTCGTGGTCAAACTGCACGCAGTATACACTGTCAGCATGGCCAGTGACAACGCGCACATCAGAAACACCCTTTTCCCAGTGGCGGATCAAGCATGCACCGCTGCTGGAATAGGTGCTGCCAGTCGGCACCCACTAGCCGACCACCAAACTCCTTCACCTGGCTAGGCGATGGCGACGGCGCGATCATGTGCTGCAGTGCAATTGCCGGGCGCAGTGACGACCCAGTGTATGATGACAAGATACTCCGAGCCGATACTTCTGGCAATGAAAGGCCCCCACGGTGGCTAAACACCGACATCACGTCAGTATCGCCGATCCGAGGCGTGTTGGCGCCGCTGACAGGCATGCTGGCAGGTGATGCCAGGGCGCTGCTCCCTGCGCTATGATGCTTCAAGGAACTGCGGCATCCGGCGGCTGCCAGTGCTCGCGGAGTACGCCATTCTGGCTGCTGCAAGAACATGCGCCGCCACACAGCGTTGTCGCGCGCGAACCGCCGCCACGATTTGCTGACCTCAGCGATATTCATGATCGCTGGGAAATCCGCGTAGATAACAATAACTACAGCAATCTCGTATGGCAGGCTGCTGAGGAAGTCTATCTGCGGGTTGTCGTCCATCTGTACCGATGCTGCACTGCTGTCGACCATCCGACCTGTGTTGCTGACAAACGAGTCCTTGCGTTTGACTCCGACGCTGGGCGGCGACGGTGATGCTGGCGCCGAGATACCTGCTGCGGCTGATTGGAATGTTGCTGTGTTCTGGCCGGGTATTGTGCTGGTGTTTTCAAGCGCGTTCGATTCGACTGATGTTGAGCGCGAGGGTGCGTGTGTTGGAGTTGCTGCTAGCGGGCTGGTAGGCAGCTGACCAACATTATTCCATGTGTATGATCGCGGGCCAAGCGTCCGGCTGCTTTCCGAGTGCCCTGTAATAGACGATGGCTCTTCGTCAGGCTGCACCGGGCTCTGCTGAGAACCACCTTTGATCCATGTCATTTTCCACATCTTCTTGAGCAGGTATTTTGGGCTAGGCGGCATACAGGTAATAGATCCAGGTGGTGGTGTGTTAGTAAACAATGCGAGGACTGTTTGTTTGGGCTCGATTCGGTTTGGTCTCCGAGCAATGTGCGCCGGTATGCCAGCTTGCTGACACTGTGTTTGGACTTTGGAAGAGTATTTAGCCGTTGCAAAAAACGGTTGGGAATTGTGAACAACGCAGAGGAGAAAGGGGGGCGGAGGGAATAGCTGGTGCAACATGCTGTGCGTATAAACGCTGACTTCATGACCGTCGTCCCACCCCTCCTCCATGTCGAGATACAAGCAGAAAACCCCTTGCCCAGCCCTGGTTCATTCATTTTTCCAGATGTACGAAGCCTGGGGGTTGAGCATTTGCAATATGGAGTGGCGAGAGCCAACCAAACATTCGTCAGGTTGGCGGGGAAATAAAGTGAAAGCGAGTAATTGACTGATGCCTTCGATCTCACCTGGCAAAACAGAATCCACAGTCAAGAGGCAAGCAGCCGCCCAAGCGTCAGAAAAGCGTGGGCAGGTCTAGAAGCCTAGACTTTGGGGCAGCAAACCAGCCTCAAAACAGCGCAGCCTTATCCATACCCCAGTCAAAATCAAACAAAACAGCCTCGCTTCTCCATGTGGTGAATCAGCCTGCTTGTGTGGGGAAGGAGAAGGCACATACAGACAATGTGTCAGCACGGCTGAGTGAAGTGCGGGGCGAGGGGCGGGATACGTATAGCATGCTGCTGGTGGTGATGGTCGATGGGGGAGGGTGTGCGGAGAGCCATGGACTCCGGTTCTCGACGGCACTTCTCCACAGCACTGCTGCCGGTGGCCTCGCTCACTCTCCTAACCATGCAGGGCAAATTTGAGGCAAGTGGCCTTGTTTTAAATAGAGACAAATCGAATGCCGAATTCCTCGTGCATATTGACCAAGCACATGGCATTCATTAAATGATAACAGTTGCATATAAGCCGGTCGCATGCGGCACTTTAGCAGGGTTCGCCCTGTCTAGATCGGGCGGTGGTCAACGGGGTTACAAACCTTACAGAATCGAAATAGCGGCAAAGACCGAAAGAGTTTTAAAGAGTTTCAAAAATAACTTGTCGCAATGCGTGACCAAAAGCGATAGGGAAGCAGATACAAGAGAGAAGGAAGCAAGTCTGAGGGCACAGAGGGCTCTTGCCGACGCCCTCTCACCGATACACACCAGATGGAAATAACTCTGTCTAGTCGAGAACCACCAGTCAGCAAGTGGGGGCTCTAGACGCTATTGCTGCCAGTGCTTCCCCTCCCCCACCACCAATCCTGGCTGCTGCTTGCGCAAATGGGTGCCCAATGGCGATAGTTTCCTTTGGCAATGAAGTGCGGGGACACAGGCATCATTAAACCCGCCTCGTCTTTGCGCAAGTGCATGGCAATTGTCGAACCAGCGGGGTGCATCTGGCGGGTGTATCGCCTGAACGGCTATGCATTGTGACCAGTTCGTGTAACTAGGTGCGCCTCTGCCGTGCCAGACAGCTGAGAGAAGAGCCACAGATCGCCCAAACTGCAAACAGCGCTCAGTGCGGTTTGGCGAACCGCGATGCCTCAGCGCAGCGGCGGTTCTTTGCTATCGGCTCCATTGCACTCAGCGCCCAACACTAGAGCGGCGACGTAATGCGCAAAAATTTGCTTTATTTACAAGGAGGCTATCAAACAGCTAACGGCAAGAATGCTCAAAACCGCTTGGATACTTGCGCGGCGGATCTACTCGGGACAAGAAAGCAATGGGGCGATTAGTGGGAGTCAACCATTCAGCATCAGCAGTTCCACTGCCACGGAGACGTGGACCGCGTTCATGCATATTCAGAAACAGAACAATCGTCACAGACATCATTGTCTAAGACGGCACTTCCTAAATTCGTTACAATTTTCATCATATTTACATGGCGTGTCGCAAAGAAAAACTAGCGCAAGAGCGTTGAAATGTACCTTGAAACATCCTCAGCCGCGGCCCACGACACATTGGCAGCTTGCTCGACATGACACAAATACCTAAATGAAGAAAACCGACAGTCAGCAAAATGGTGCAGATTTTCAAACGCAAACGTGTGGGTTTGGTGTGGAGGAATAAGACTTCTAAGGAAGGTCAAATGACCCTGCATCGATCCGTGAGGACCCTTCGGTGGAAACTGCGAATAGTAAAAAATCTTCATCATCTTCCTCAAGATAACGAGGGCAAGACCAGGATCGGATACAAACCTTACCGCAACCAAGATGGGACCTCGGGCCCAGAGGGCGAGTCGGAACTGCCTGATACCTAAAAAGCACGGGAATAGATACAGCAGTTAGCAGCACTGTCGAATCCAACACATCACCGCACCGGCAGTGCCAGCTAGAAGCGGGGTTGTTTGCTCAATAGAGGTGGTCAGCAAGGTATACTGGCAAGTATTAGCCCACAGCGAATGGGCCGTTAGGTTATCACCATGATCGATAAGACGGGGATAGAAGTGAAGACATCATCCACAGCATCGAGCAACCGAAAGATGCAGAAAAACCAGCAGCATGGATGCTTACCTAGAAAGTAGATGAGAAGCGTACAGCGAGAGGCAAGGCGGAAAGAGAAAGGTCTGAGGTTGAAAATTTTTCAGCCACCAGATGACGCGCATTTTATACCGCGAAAACCAAAAAAGTTTGCGGCTCGAGCCAATCGCTGATGGCTCGCATCAGCTCAGCCAAAAGCTCCGGAACCGCAGAGCGGTTCGAGAGCGGGCTCTCCCCCACCAAAGACTTCCCCTTTCCTCCGGCTCACCGGGGCTTCATCACGAGCGCTGCGCCCCCTCCGGTGGGGCTGGCTCCTGCCCTCAATAGCGACTGGGGCTTGCTCTCCAGAGAACAAGCCAGTTTCGGTCCCCCATTACCCAAGCTATTGATGGGCCGAATAGTTCAGCACTGGCGACCTCTACCGTGGGTTGCATGGCAGAGTGCGCGGTATGTGCGACGTAGGGTCAATCCCTAGTCATACTGGCAATGTGCCGGACCCACTGACAAAGGCGCAATAATGCCTGGTATTGTCACCTAATGCCACAGGTACGAATACATCATTCTGCGAGCGCCAGTGCAAAACAAGCGGGTCATGCTGCACTATCCATTCTCTCGTCTACAATATAAGAGCCGCAACAGCCGCCTGGGTCGACTGGGCCACACCTTGAGCAGGACCTACAGCAGCATTTCCTTCTTCACCCCTTACTCCTTAATCCAAACTATCCTCTCTAGACTTTTGATATGACCAGAAATATAGATGCCTCATCAATCCGTGAGCGGCTTCTAAACAGCAGCTCCGCGACACTCCGCCCCTCGTCCGGTAGCGAGGTGTTTGCCGGCTACATGCACAAGAAGAGCCGGCGCGGGCAGTGGCAGAAACGACTCGTGGTGCTCGACCACGACGCGCTCGCCCTCTACACAGACAAACCCATGTTCCTCTCCAACTGCTCATTCGAATCGACCCCCAAGACAGCCCAGGTTTCGTCCCTCCACAGCCGCTATGTAGCATCACCCAAATGGTACATTCCGGTCATAGACATATGCGATGTCAGCGTGCATGGCTCCAAGGGTGTGCTCGTGCAGACATCAAACAGAGTGATTCCGCTGCTGGCCAAGAACAAAAGCGCCAGGGATATGTGGGTGGAGGCAATCGAGTTCCAGCGCAGGTTTGTCAGGGCGCAGAGGTGGAGCGACAGGAGCGGGCGGGGAACACAGCAGAGCGTTGCAGTGGACTTGGATATGTTTGACGAGACCGACAAGACAATAATGTCGGCAGTGTCGTCGTATCTCCTCAAAAACGGACGCCAGTCGTATGATGGGATGCGGGCTCCGAGGCCGAGCAACGACTACAAGGGAATTCCTGCAGAGCTACTTGCATCTCGACACTTCATGCATCAGTCAGCTTTCCGCAACAGCACCTACATTTGATAATTTCTCGTATCTTTACCTACAGATATGATTTCATAGTCCAAGAAGTATCCGACCATCTGCTAGAACCTTTTTAATTGATTAAAAGATAAAACTTTTAAGCCTCAAAGCGAGTTTGGGTGACTTGCTCCGTAAACTCCTTTTGATCCTGTGCGGCATCTGACCTTATTGGTGAAACCAGGGCGACAAGTTGTTATTGTAGTGGTCACAGGTCTCCACTAGATATCTCCATTGGTTCGGCGCAAGAGCTGCTCTCATTGTCGGTCGGCCTGATAACCTCCATGGCATCATCATGGTGGTCATCACCAGCTGCGCAACACTCTTAGGATATTTGTGGATATATTTTATAAATTAATTTGTCTTATGAACATGCGTAAGCAGTAGTATTTGGGCCACAATAGACCCAGTCTGTATAGACTGATTCAAGAGACTGTATCAGTGCTAAGGGCCCCAAGAACCATGCAAGCCAGATCATTTTTAATAAAAAGTTCTTAATGCTATGCTTCTGCAATACAGCAAAACTGAACAGCATCATTTCTCTTCTTACTTGCCTATTGAATTTCTCAAATGAATATTACCCCCAGCACTACTGTCATAAAGACATCACTTGGTGGTATTGGCTTCCGTGATTCTATGTTGCCCCGCCTAGAGCAATTTGTACACAGCATCAATATCATCAAAAAGCATACATACATGCTTGCATGATGGATATTACTCTATCAACTAGCTGATAATGATGCCTTTGACACTGCAATATTTGTGAAAAAGGGATTCTTTCGCTCAATTTATTTATTCATTTATCACAACCTGAAGGCGAAGACGGCTATATCTGCCGAGGATTTCATTAACCGGAAGGACAAGTCAGAACTGTCGAGCGCAGATTTTGGTGATGTAGTTATATATCATATTTATATTTATCTACTACATAATGGTGATATCGAGCTACATGGCGTGTGTGAAATGAATCAAGTAGCAACATACGTAGATACCGAGCTGATGACAGCATACAAGAACAACATTGTGTTGCACTATGGCACTTGCCTACAGCGGATTCTGGCCAAACTGATTGATATTCGCAGCCGCAAAAACACACTGCACAGTACAATGGGCAATGTGTCTAAGACTGAGTTCAATAATGCATGTCAAGTGTGTATTTATACATCTGCACAGAAGCTCCGCCAGGCAGTTGCCTCTAGGCACCCTGATCTCAGTGTGCTCACTCCACCGATGCTTGCAATCTACAACAAGCTGGCACCAGTCCTTAATGCCTATGATGCCAAGTACAGATTCGCCAAAGACAGCCGATACTATGGTGCTAAGGCAAATCCACTTCAGCATCTGCATGCATACATTCGTCTATGCCAGCTTATCGAGAATGAGCAGCTTGGCAAGTCTCCCCCCCCCAATGCTTGCCTCTGCGGACATCATGGATCCCAGGCCATGTGCGCTTAGACAAGCAAGTAATCAAGCAGGTGTTTATTTCAAAAACACGCGAGCAGCTTACCGAGATCAACGCAGCAAAGAGGGCAGCAACAGAGGCAAGGAAAGCAGCAGAAAGGGCGAAAAATTGGCCAAGAAGGCTGCACGCGAAGCAGCGAAGATGCCATCAGATGAAACAGAGGCCACTGCAGCAACTGCAGCAGTAGCGGCCGATTCACTTGCTGCTGCATCAGCTGCTGTAGCAGACATTCCGGTATGTTCCCAACCCGCGGCCCTACCAGAGATCGAAGAACCCAACTGTGAAGTGCCATGGTCTTCTCCGTTGTACAAGCGAGTCATGTAAGCAGGCCATGGCATAATACAGGCGGGCCTATTCGTCTCGGCTCTTGAACCGCGATCTCACAGCAGTTCTAAACTTCAGACTCGTTTTCCAGTCACTCTGTGATTCAGGCAATATTCCTGAACGGTTCTGTTGCCCTACGGCCATTGCTGCCGATGCTTCTGGCACCACCCCTGCGACAAAGAGGTCGCGCAAGAGGCGTGCAGCAGCAGGCGATTCTGCTTCCAGCAGCAGCGAACCAGCACTGAAGCGCCTGCGCTGAGCAGGCCACCAAGATGGGAGATGTCCATGACCGCCATTGCACCAACAACCATCCAACACGTTCAAATGACCGGTTCGCCGTGATGCCCTTATCGACGTGTCAACCCATGCTGACTAGCAGCCGAGCTCGCATCGCGAGCAGAGTATTTATAGTAGGCTGGTATTATGAAAACAACGACATTTGGTCGAAAGCAGGGGAAAGTGCTATGTAGAGCGGCGAGACGAAGAGGAAAGCAAAGAAGGGTTGCAGGGATACATGGGCTAAATGCGTGGTGGGATGGGAGGTGTAGCATGCCAGAAAGTAGCAGGAGGTAGAAGAGATGCACAAGGGCAGGGCTTGTCTAGTACTCGATTTCATGCACCAGCGCAATAACCTGCTGTGCTAGCGCGTCAATGCGGTCGTACTCTTCCTCGTCACCCAAAAAGTCGATGCTGGACGCGTCTCCGTCCAGCGCCCTGCTGCCACGGTACCCCGGCCCAACATCATACTCGCCCCTCTCGTCGCCGTTCGCCAGCGTGCTCGCCTCCGCGATAGCCTCGATGTTCTTGATGATTGACGGGTGGCCAGTAATCAGCTGCGTGAGCTCTGGCGACCCTACTTCGAGCAGAATCAGCACAGTCCACACGGCAATAGACCGCAGGCTGACGTCCAGACTGCTGTCGTCGAGGGCCAAAAACGACGCCAGATACGACTGCAGCCCGCCGTCAGGCCGATCCCACGCGCGCACAAAATAGTCGCTGTCCTCGTAGCACTTGTGCGCCAGGCCGCTGATCGCCACGCATGCGCTGTACTGAATGTCGTACGAGTCGTGGTGTGTGAATGGCAGCAGCAGCTCCAGGTACTTGCCAGCAAACATGTACGGCCGCAGCGAGTCGTTCTGGGCAAACACGCTTAGTGCCGCTGTCATCTCGACCAGCACGACCTCGTCGGTGTTTTCATCCGAGATAATCGGCTTGATGTGGTCAAAGACGCCCAGCTCGGCAATCGACTCCATATCGGACTCGCTGTTGGCCACCAGATTGCGCAGCGCCGAGATGACATGGCACTGGGCCTCGCGGTTGTCTGACTGCGTGATCAGGTTGACCAAGCACGGCAGGTACCCAGCGCTGACAATAGGCTCCTCGTTGGCTGGGTGAATCGAGATATTGCGCAGGCACGCCGACGCCGACACCACCAGTGGCACATACGCCGACTGCAGGAGCGGCAGCAGCGACTCGAGCCCGCCCTTCTCGACAATCTGTATCTGGTATTCCTCGTCGGACGCCAGGTTGCGCAAAGTGAGCACCGCCTGGCACTGCACCTTGATTGTCGACGTGTCGATAAAGCGAATCAGCGCGTCCACCAGCGTTGGTTCCGAGTCCCACAGTCGCCGCCGGCCAGACGCATCTACGGCAATGTTGCTGAGCGCCGTGGTGGCGTAGTACTGCAGCTCCACATCATCCGAGTCCAGCAGACTGACCAGCACGGGAACCGCCCCTGCATTAATCAGCTGCTGCCGGTGCTCTGCGCTGTGCGTCATGTTTAGCAGCGCGCCTGTTGCGTTGCGCTGCACCCGGATATCCCGCGACTTGGCCAGGCGCGTCAGCGGAATCAGTGCCCCGCTCTTGGCAATCTTCATCTTGTTCTCCTCCGCCGTCGCCAGGTTTGTGATGCACCCGACAGAGTTTATCTGCGCGTCCACGTTGGGCGACAGCATTTGCCGGATAAGCGGCTCCAGCCCGCCCATCTTCACTATCAGAAGCTTGTTTTCCAGGCAAACCGCCAGGTTGCCCAGGGCCGCCGATGCCCCGTGCTGTACGTCGATATGCGGCGACTGCAGGAGGTAGAGGATGGGCTCCATTGTCTCGCGCGACACCGGCCGCGCGTCAATCTCCGAAATCTCGCTGAACGCCGTTGCCGCCGACAGCTGCAGGTGGTATATGTCAGAGTACGCTAGAGTCGACAGGGCCTGCAGCGGCTCGCCGTCGTAGAAGCTCACTGTGGAGCGGTGCTCGAACAGGTCCACCAGCATGTTGACGGCCTGCCGCTCCTTGTCGGCCAGCAGCGGCTCGTCCTCTCTGTTTGTGTTATCTTCTACAAGGAAAGATGCATGAGGGCGTTAGCTGTGCGCCATGACGACAGTTTAGTCGCCTCCTGCTTGGCTCATCGTTCCTACCATGTAAATTGCAGCAGGCGCTGAAGCGCATAATGCTCGAGCACGTAGCACCCATTTTGCAGACTATGTACGGGTCAAACAACTAAACAATAAACACGCCGCTGGAAGGGGATTGCAAACAGGAAGTGGGGGTTGTGAAAGGGGGAGAGGGGGAAGTGTCAGGTTGCAATTTGAGGAAGGAAAAGAGAAACGGCTGAGGATGTGCTGGAAAGTTGTTTTATTTTTGTTGAGGGGAAAAAGGAAAAAAAAAAAAAAAAAAGTAGACCTTGCGACAAGCAAGTCTGTGCCCACAACCACGCATATAAATTTATTAGCTTTTGCGCGCATGTCACTATCCATTGGCAAAACGCACATACGCACAATGGCACCATGCTATTCCCAAGCCGACATGTACGTGTTTTTAAATAGTCAATGTTTTCTGGGTGGGCATTTTTCAGCGAGGGTTAAGGGAAGAGGAGGAATAGTACAAATAATTCGTTAAGCTGCTTTTTTCAGACCTCGGATTGCACGGCCTTGATGCGCTTGGGCCCCGTGAACATGACGGTCTTGCGCAGATACACGCACCGCTGGTGGTCGCCAAACGAGTCAAAGGCATTCGACATGTCGGCATCCGACGACCGCCCGCGCTTCGCCACAAACTTGCGCTCAAACGCGATCGACATGCGCGGCGACGCCGCAGGCTTGATCGGCTGCGCCCGCGCATACGCTGGCTCAAAGTTCGCCGGCACAAAGTGCGTGTGGGATGCCATACTCGGGTAAAAGTTGTCGCTCATTATCTGTTTTCGTGTGATCCACGCACGTTATTTACGAGGCAATAATAAATGTGATCCGCAAAGGGTGAGATGTAAAAATACACGCTAAATAATAATTAATTCGAGTTGCGCGGTGTTGCGAAAAAAAAACTATCGGCAGATGCGATGGAGGAAGAAGGCGAAAGGGGGAGAGGAGAAAAGGAGGGCTAGCCAGAGATATCGAAGGGCGAGAGGAATTCGCGCGTGGAAATGCCTCCTTTTATACCCCTCCGGGCACCGGCAACCCACCCCCCACACAGCATTTGCCATGTTCCGCATTAGCGCTTGCAGAGCAAATGCTCGGCGAAAAAACTGAAGCAAATAAAGCCCAAGCCGAGGCACCGCGCGTTTCTCACTGCCTCCAATCGATCGCGCCTATTGGCCAAGCCCCGTGGCCATTGTTTCTTCTGCTGAAAGCTGCACGCAGTGGGCGCCCGCACTTTGCCTGGCTGTGTCTGAATCAACAAATTATGTAATTGGCTGGTTGCGGCTCGTCTGCGCCATGGCGACTCGCGGCTCGGCGGGCACAAGCCGCGTAGCAGCCATTGATTTTGGGGAGGGCGAGATCCGCCCAGCGGCGTTGTCCACGTCGGTCCCAAAGGAGCACCAGGCACATCAATTGCCAAATGGGGCGGCGTAAATGAAAAATTAATGGCGCAGCGCGTTGGTGGAGTTGTGACGAATTACGGCGACAACCAGATTTTTTTTGGGGAGGGACGATGAAAAAAATTGATACTCAGAGACCGGGCAGCGGGCTGGGGACCGGGTCTAGACCAGCTCTGCGTCCTCGAGGAACCGGTACTCGAACCGGAACTCGGACTTCTTGCGCTGGCACCACGAGCCCTCGTAGTCAAAGTAGATGTACGTGCCCTGCTCGTAGTCGTCTGTGATGTCGCTCGGCTCCTCGTACCGCTGGAACCACGTGTAGTACTTTTTGTGGAACCGCCACGACTGCCGCTTCAGCTCCTTGGCCGCCAGGTACTGCTGGTACGTGTTGGGCAGGTAGTAGAACGCAAAGAACAGCGTGTCCAGGTCCAGCCGCGACGCCATGCCCGGGTGCTCCATCACCGGCAGCGCCGTCTGCGGGTAGTACGCGGGCGTGCTGGCCTGCGGCTGGCTGTGCGCCTTGGGCCGCTCCTGGTCAAGAAGCCCGGGGATCCCGTGCAGGCTCTGGTCGACCATTTGCCGCTGCAGCGCGTAGTAGCCGGCCGCGTTCTGCCGGGCCGAGAACTGGTCCTTGGCCTTGAGGAATGTCGCCATCAGCTCAGCAAAGGCGTCTGGAACATGGCTGTCTTGGAACAGCGTGAAGCACTTGGGTCGAGGCATCGCCGGCGCGCTGCCGGTGGCCGCCCGACTGGGCTGCTCGCCGGATTGCGCAGCACCCTTGGTGCCCACTGGCGACGTCCCCGAGCGCGCTGCTGCCACTGGCGGCTGCTGCTGCCCGTTGGTTAGCTTTTCAGAGCCAACAGCGACAGTGGTGCTGCTGTCATCAGCGACCGGAGTGACTGGGCCGCTTGTATTTACAGCGGCGCTCACTGAAGGCGCACCAACTGCAGGCGCGCTAGCAGTGGACAGGAGAGCAGCTGCCTTCTTGCCTGTCTGCTTTGCTGTTGCACTGGCCGCTGGCGGCTTCGACTGGCTGGCAGCGGTGGCCTCATGTGCGGCTGTCGCCTTCTTGCCTACAGGATCCGTGGTCACCGCGCTGCTGCTGCCAGCGTTACTAGTCGCTGCTGGTGTCTTCTGATCGGCTGGCGACACAATGGAGGAGGCAGTAGGGGATGCTGCTGGCACGGAGGAATTACTGGCGGCAAGCACTGCCTGGACGCCGGCTGTTGTCGTCGCTGTTGTCACAATGTTCTGACTGGCGATAGCAGCCCACGGCTGCGCCAGCGACGATGCCGGCGGTGGCGGCGGCAGGGATGTGGTCGCTGCTGATGGCGGCTTTGTTGGGCTCAGCACGCTCTCCTTGACCTCTGTCCACGCGTTCTTGGACTCCACCGGTGCTGGCGGCAGGGTTGATGGTTGTGGCACCACAGCTGACATTAACCGTGTTGTGCTGTTGCTCTTGCTGCCCAACGCACTCCGCAGAGCTGTCGATGGTACTGGCTCAGGTTCTGATGGTACGGCTGCATGAGTTGACGACTGGTGGCTATGGCTGACGTTGTGCGACGATACTGAGTCCTTATGAGATAAGCTGTCTTCGTTGTCGTCGCCCTGGTCATGGCCAAACGTGTCGTCCTCGCCCGGTATTGTGAACAGGCCGTCGTCGTCGTCCAATGGCAGGTCGTCGTAGATGTACTCGTCCTCGACAAAGTCCACGTCTTCGTTCTCGGTGACATAGTAGTCGACATCCTCCTGGATGGCCTGGACCTGTTCTGTCGACAGGCTCTCGTTCTCCAGCAGCCGCTGTATCCTCTCCAGGCACTTGATATGGTGCTTGTGCCGCTCGACGCGCTCGTGGATGGAGCCCAGCTGCTCGAGCTTGCCCGCGTCGCGGCGCTTCTTGCCCATGTTGCCCTCGATTTGCTCGGCAGTCGCCTCGAGCACGTCAATCTGGGTTGTTAGCGAGTCTACCGAGTCGGCCAGCCAGTTGCACAGGTCCTGCTTCTCCTTCTCCTTCGGGTCCAGCCGCATGGATAGTTGGAGGCCTTCTTTAGAGTATGCCTTCGTTTTCATCTCCTTCTCAATGGCCTTGAACTTCTCCATCTGCTTCTCGATCAGTTTCCGGTGGTGCAGCAGGTCCTGCTTGTCTTTGATCTCGTTGCTCTGCAGCCATGTTTTGATCTGGTCTCGCAACCGCTGCAGCTTCTTGATCTCCTTCTTCAGGTCGGTCTCGTACTTCTCCTTTTGGCTTGCGCTCGACGCATTCACTACTTTGTCGTGGCAGTCCTCAAACTCCTCGATGCCCTCGGCAACTTTCTTGAACACCCGTTCAATCTCGGCTAAAGGCGCGGAGAGGATTAGACAGCACATCGTGTCACAGGGGCGTATGTGGGTGATGTCCTGGCCGACACATTACCTTGCAGTTTTCGCGACATGGCCCTCGGTTGGATTCGTTAGCTTCTGTTTGCTTAATATAAAAGCTGCTGTTTGGTCTTTGCCTATACAGTTTCGTTAGCCGGCAACGTAAGGGGTGTGAGTTACGCGCAATGAACACCAGGGAATGCTGCATAAAAGACAACTGGTATGGAGGCCAGGAAAGAAGTGGGGAAAAGGGTGCAGGCAGCCATAGTAGCTCGCTGCCCAAAACGAGAGAAGTAGCAGGCGCATGGTGGAGTGGTAAAACGGTCTGGGTAAGAGGGGCCGAATTTGCCTCAAGCCTGGCTGCAAACCGCCAGCAGAAAAGGGCCATCCTTTGCGGCTACCGAGCGTCCAGTAGAACCGCCAGCCGTGCTCTTCGCGCAATGGCAAGACACATTGGTGCCTCGCTCCTCCAATCGAAGTATCAAATCGGGGCTATGGGCTGTTGAGCATATAGAATCTGATGTGTACCTCTTGAAGCTTTTTTCAATTGTGGGCGCGAGAAATAAGTAAAGTAGCGCACAGAACTGAAACCCCTCGTTGCTCGTTTCTTTTTGCTGGTGATGAGAGCAAGCCTCAGCGGTTATTAGAAGCGAATGAAATCGGCTAGAGGAAAAAAAAGAAAGTGCTTCGCCAATTGAGTGAGAAAAAGTGCTGGGCCTTTGAAACCTGTCCCAAAGAAAAAACGCACCGCCAGACGCGGAAATCGCTGGATTAGCGCATATAGCACCAATGACGACATGGCTTCCCCCCCTTTGAAGGGCTCTTCCTCCTCATTAGCATTTTTCAACATTTTAACTTCATAATGTCGCGCGTTCAGCTCCGCACGCGCGCCGAAGACGGACTGCATGATATTGGCGGGCTCAGCACATCCTCGACGTTCCTCGAGCTCAAGCAGCGCATATCGGCGGCGACGTCCATCCCGGTCGGGAACCTGCAGATAAAGTGCGGGTACCCGCCGGTCCCCCTGACGCTCAGGGACGACACACTGCTGCGCGACACCCCCATTGCCACTGGCGACACTCTGACAGTGGCCAGGATTGAAGAACAAACACCAGCCACGCACAGTTCCCAGGCCGACAGCTCCGTGGCAGTCGGCGAAGGCTACCTAGTCCGGCGCACTGTCCCCGGCGACAACAACTGCCTGTTCCGTGCCCTAGCACACACGCTCGGCAAGCCTGACATAACCATGGAGCGCATGCGGCATATTGTGGTAGACCGGATCCTCGAGAACCCAGCAGTGTATTCGGACGCAGTGCTTGGGCAGCCGGCCGAGCAGTACTGCCAGTGGATTGCCAATGCCGAGAGCTGGGGCGGCGGCATCGAGCTGGCGATATTCAGCGACGAGTTTGAGGTCGAGGTGTGCTCGGTCGATATCCAGACAAGGAGGATCGACAGGTTTGGCGAAGACAGGCATGCGTCAAGGGTCATTCTGCTGTACAGCGGCGTGCACTACGACTACGTGGCCTTCACATACGACACAGACAGCCCCGCCGACTTTGACCTGACCATGTTCAATGTCAGCGACACTGTGGATGATGTCCTGGCGGCAGCCCGGGAGCTGGCCGACAAGCTCCGCATCAAGCACGAGTACACAGACAAGGCGCAGTTTATGCTGCGGTGTGCCGACTGCAACGCAATCCTGCACGGCGAGGGCGAAGCGCAGGCGCACTTTAGCTCCACCGGCCACGTCAACTTTGCCGAGGTCGCGTAGCTTTCAATACACAAAAATTCCTGGTTGGCAAATGTATTTGGTAACCAGCAGACCGCTTAGTTGGCATTGACCTCGTTGGTGTCGATGAGCTTGACAATCTTGCCGATGGCAATGGTCTTGCCCTCGTCGCGCAGGGTGAAGCGGCCGAGCTGCGGGAAGTCCTTGAACCGCTCGACGCAGACGGGCTGGGCGGTCTCGAGGCGCACAATGCAGGCCATGCCCTTCTTGACAAACTTGGGCGGGGTGCGGCTCTTCTGGCCCTTCTTGTTGAGCTGGTGCAGCAGCTGCGTCAGGGCGACCTCCTCGACCGCGGTGTGTACGTGCAGCACCGACTTGTAGCCGGCAGTGATGATGTTCTTGACATCAAGAATCACCAGCTGCGCATCAAACACGCGCGTGCTGCGGCACGGGTGCTTGGTGTCGGTCAGCACAAAGCCCGGCTGGATGTCCTCCTCCTCGATGCCGCGCAGGCGGATGCGGATGTTGTCGCCGCACACAGCCGACGGCTCCTCCTGGTCGTTCTCGCCGTAGATGGCGCTGACCTCGGTCAGGCGCTTGTCCGGCAGCACCATCAGCTTCTGGTTGAGCTTGATGTGGCCCGACTCGATCTTGCCCGACACAATGGTGCCCATCTCCTTGTACTTCTCGCTGATCGGGATGCGCACCGGTCCGTTGATCTTGCGGTCCACGGCCTGCATGTCGTCCAGCGTCTCCAGCAGCGACGACCCAGTGTACCACGAGCACGCAGCGCCCACACGATCCTTGACGCCAGCACCAGTATAGCCCGAAATCGGCAGGTAGATCAGATCAGTCTTGGGGTTGTAGCCGGCGCCCTTCAGGAACGGCGTCAGCTTGGTGATGATCTCGTCGTACCGCGCCTTGTCCCACTTGACGGTCGGATCGTCCATCTTGTTGATAGCCACAATCAGCCGCCGCACGCCCGCGGTCTTGGCCAGCACCGCGTGCTCGCGCGTCTGACCTCCGCGGTCAAAGCCCGTCTCAAACTCGCCCTTGCGCGCCGAAATCACCAGCACACCCACGTCGGCCTGCGCTGCTCCGCCCAGCATGCTCGGCACAAAGTTCTTGTGCCCTGGCGCATCCAGGATCGTGTAGCGGCGCTTCGTCGTCTCAAAGAACGCGCGCCCGCACTCCACCGTCTTACCCTTGGCGCGCTCCTCCTGGTTCGTATCCAGCGCCCACGACAGATACCACGACTCGCGTCCGGCCTCCTTGGCCTCGCGCTCGTACTTCTCCATTGTGCGCTTGTCCACCATGTCGGTTAGGAACAGGATGTTGCCGCCTAGTGTCGACTTGCCCGCATCAACGTGTCCAATGAAGATAACGTTGAAGTGCTCCTTGAAGTGCTCGTCAAGCAGCATCTCCTCCTCGGCCTCAACCTCCTCGCTAATGTTCTCCAAGGGGGCTGGCACCGGCTTGGGAGCATCGACAGGCTTGGGAGCCTCAGCAGGCCTAGGGGTCTCAGCAGGCTTAGGGGTCTCAGCAGGCTTGGGAGCCTCAGCAGGCTTAGGAGCTTCAACAGGCTTAGGAGTTTCAACAGGCTTAGGAGCCTCAGCAGGCTTGGGAGCCCCACCAAAGCTGATCGTCATGGCCTTTGGAGCCGGACCAGCGGCAGGAGCAGCAGCAGGAGCAGCGGCCGGCTTGGGTGCAAACGACCGGGGCACAAAGGCAGGCGCCTTTTTGTTGAATGTGGGCTTGAACTCCCTCGCCTTCACATTGAGCGAAGCGCCGGCCAGCTTCTTGGTCGCGTCCTCCACGGAATTGTTGGTGCCTTCGTTCGACATGCTTTTTTCTTTCGTTCTGCTTCCTTAAAAATAAATCTAGCACTAATGGCGTGTCGGCAAGATTCTGGCCCGTTAGCTTAATTAGAAAACCAAGGAAAAAATTGTACACAGCTGAAATTGAAGCAGAGGAGCGAAACTGCGAAATCTGGCGAGGGGTTGGGGGCGTGGCCAAAAAAAAAAAAAAAAAAAAAACTTTTTTCCTTCGTTTCTGGCAAGCGATCACTCCTCCCAGCGAATGACCCCAGCCATCCGACGTCATAGGCCGTCTATGCGCGGGCCGACCTGATGTAGCCGTCGTTGAAGTTGATGGTGACCACCAGGAACTGCAGGTCGCTGGACGTGTTGTGGGCCAGCGGGCCGATGAACTCCTTGACGTGGTCGCGGAAGCGCGTAATCAGCAAGTGCAGGCTGTTGGCCTTGTCGGTGCTGTCGACCAGCATGCGCTCGCTATAGATCTCGTTGGCCTTGTTGACAAACTGCACAGCAGTGTCGATGAGCGTGGTCAGCGGGCGCAGCAGCGGGCGCTGGGGATTGCATACAAAGTCACGGATGGTGTCAACGTACTTTGTGTGGGCCTTGCTCCACCGGTCAATGTCGGCCTCGCCGTGGCCGGGCTTGGTGGCCGCAACAAAGTCGCCCCACGCGCCCTCGATGACATTGAGCGAGATGTACCGCTGCACCTGGTGGAAAAACTGCACCATCTCCGAGCACGCAATCTCGCTCTCGCGGTACATCTGCCGCAGCTCCGCAGTCACCAGCGGCGACTCGCCAATCCCATTGCTCTTGCGCCGCCGCCGCAGCTCGCTGTCCCGCAATGCTGCCCGCGCCGCCCCCATCTGGCGCTGCCACAGCTGGCTCAGCGAGTGCTCCACGCGCTTCAGCTTCAGCAGAAAGCGGTTGATCTCGCTGTACCGCCGCATGGTCTTGCGCGGAATCACCGAATCAAGTGGCTCTGCTAGTACATACGTGATGCTCACATCGTCGCTTACCGATGCTGCCGGCTCAGCGCCATCCTCACTGGTCCGGAACAGCAGCCGCATGGCCGCAATGAACTCGGACGGCTCGTATTGCGCATTGGACGCTCGGATAGCGGACGTCAGCGCCGCCGACAGATCAGGGCCGCCCTTGTCCTTGGCGTACCCTGACAGGCCGTATGACCGCGCCATGCGCTTGCGCAGATTGTCCAGCGTCTCAACCAGCGCCAGCGAGAAATCGCCCTGCTCCAGCAGCAGGTACCGCCGTAGCGCCTGCATATGGCCCATCAGCTGGAACCGGTCCATCAGCACATGCATCAGCCGCTCGTTGACCATCGACGACGACCGATACACAAAACGCTCCAAAGCCCCTGGATCCGCCAGGTCCTCGGTGAGCTGCGTGCGCGGGCCCTGCTCGGCTACCCACTTGCCGTCGTCGCACGCGACCCGCAGAAAGTTCAGCGAACGGCCAATCTGGTAGATTTTCCACGGCATATCGCCGTTGATATGCACGGGGATCATATCCTGGGCCACGCTGTACTTGCCGTCCCACAGCTTGTCGCCCTGGTCGGCCTTGACCTTGATGAAGAACTCCTCGTATGGATCCACCAGCTCGCCGTCCGTGACCCACCGCACCAGCGTCTCGTTGAACGGCGCCGACGCTGTCAGCAAGAGCCGCCGCGAGAACGAGTGGATGAATGGGTCGCCGTCATCCGTCAGCGTGCTTAGCGTCGACAGAAGCTCGCCGCCGCCCTTGCCCTCCTGCACTTTGCGGATCGCCGTCACCATCAGCCGCAGCTTCTGCATCGGCTCGATCGTCCACGCATACATCCGCCGCAGCGTCAGCCCCAGCGCCGACTCGCCCGGCTCCAGGTGTGCTGGGGCCTTGGTCAGTTGGGCCTCCAGCACCGCCACCAGCTTGAAGTACTGCGTCATCTCGCGCTGCAGCTCTGCGCAGAAGCTTTGCTGGTACAGCTTGCCCTGCCGCTCCGTCTCGGCAATGAATTGCTGGATATCGCGGCACAGGCTGCCCAGCTCTGACAGCGTCATTACCATTGCCCGCGTGGGCCGCGACAGCCGCACCTCGGCACGGATTGTGAATGCCCCCATCTGCTCGTTCCAGCTGATGTACGCTCCGCTGATTCCCTGCATCACGTAGATCAGATCACGCAACATCACCGCTTCGTCGGCGTCGTCATGCGACGGCAGCGACCGGTACAGGAACGGTTCACCGCCCGCAGATATCTGCGATGGCGAGCTTTCGCGTGCTGGTGGCTCCACCGCCCGCCGCTCGCCGAACCTATCGGGTCCGTCTGCCTGCGTAGATGCGTTTCCCCCATCCCGCGCCAAATAATCCGGCCCACTGCGCCGACCAAACCCTGCTGTCGAGTACGCTCCTGGCGCCTCGCCGCTGCCCACCGGCGGTGCCACCTGGTCCATGTAAATATTCCCCATTCCCTGCTCGCCCATCGGCGGTGATATGCCGTCGCCAAACGAAGACTGCGAGCCACCCATGCTGCATGCGGCTAGCAGATACAGAATGGGCCACCAGTCGTGCTCTGGGTCCAACCGCTTCAGCTCGCTGTACTGTTGACCAACTTCCAGCGCCGACTGCCTGCTCTGTGTGCTTGTCATCAGCTTCTTTTTGATATCATCAATAAGTAGCTGCTCGTCGTGTACTACAGCTGGTGCTATGCTGCTGTCGGCGATGTGCCGGTAGTACTTGGCCAGATCCATGCGCCTTGACCTCCCTTGGTGGTCGTCACGTGGGACACGTCCCAGGAACGCATCCATGTAGCCCTGCAGTGCCTGGTTGAATTCGGCCATGTCTGTCTGATGTGTGTCGGTAATAAATAAAAAAGGAATGCGGAAATAGCGGGTCCAGAAACCACCAGCAGCAGTCGCGTCGACATGCCTTCAGCTCGCTTTGCCATGGGTTTCACGCGTCGTAAACAAATCAGATACTCGCACAACAGTAATCACTGATTACGCGCGCGATCAGTGCAAAAAATCAGCTTCGATGTCGAAAAAAATGTTTGGACCTCAGACATAGACCGGCTGCTTAGTTGCCCTGCGCCTAGATCTCCCCTTCGCTTCCTCTCTCTCTTTCTATACACTATATTACATCAGCTAGGCACCTGCCACCTGTGCCAATTCAAACAAAATGAACAACGACGGTCTCATTTGGGAGGTTCTGAACAACCAGTTCTGCTCGTACAAGGTCAAGACCAACGTGGGCAGCCTGTGCCGGCACCCCTATAACCTAACTGGCCTCTGCAACAAGCGGGACTGCCCACTGGCGAACTCAAAGTATGCGACAGTGCGCGAGCGCGACGGCCGCATATACCTGTGCATGAAGACGCCCGAGCGCGCCCACACACCAGCCAAGCTCTGGGAGATGATCGCCTTGCCCAAGAACTTTGCCGATGCAATCGAGATCATCGACAAGGAGCTCCTGTACTGGCCCGACTGGATGGTGAACATGTGCAAGCAGCGCTTGACGCGCATCACCCAATACCTGATTCGCACGCGGAAGCTGAAGCTCAAGAACAAGCACACCCTGGTGCCCATCAAGAAGAAGCTCGAGCGCCGCGAAAAGTCCCGCGAGGTCCGCGCCGAACAGGCTGCACGCCTCGACCAGTCCATTGAGAAGGAGCTGCTGGAGCGTCTTAAGAACAAGGCATACGGCGACCAGCCGCTTAATGTCAACGAGAACGTCTGGCGCGAGATCCTCGAGGCCGATGAGGTTGAGGCTGAGTCAGACGTCACCACCGAGGATGAGCTTGAGGATGAGGAGGAGATCGAGGAGGAGGAGGAGAATGTCCGCGAGTTCGTTTCCGATAACAGCGACTTTGAGGATGACATGGAAGATATGCTCGGCATGGACGCTGGTCGGTTCTCGTCAGCCTCAGAGGACGATAGCGAAGAGGAGGACTCGGATGTTGATTCTGTCGATTCTGTCGATTCCGAGGACGAAGAGGATGAAGACAATACCCCGAAGAAGTCTGCCAAGGCCAAGCGGCCAGCCCCGACAAAGCAGGCGAAGCCCGCCAAGAAGCCCAAGAAGCGCGGTCCACGTGTCGAGGTCGAGTACGAGACCGAGGCTCAGGACGACATGCTTACCAACTGGTGATACAGCACCTAAAATTTACTATGCAAATACTTAGTCAATCTACACCTTCAAAAGAGAATTACGTGAAGACCATAGGGTGTGCGCACGTAGGCTCATTTTGCGCACATGATGTGTGGTTATGACCATTTGTGTGTGATATTTGCTTAATGAGAATCCAAAGTCTGGTTTTCAATTCAACAGTTTCAACATTTTTATTTGCTAATGAGGATGTTTCATAGAGCGCTTACTAGAATTGCTCTGCTCGCGATGCGAGCTCGGCTGCTAGTCAGCATGGGTTGACACGTCGATAAGGGCATCACGGCGGACCGGTCATTTGAACGTGTTGGATGGTTGTTGGTGCAATGTCGATCATGGACATCTCCTGTCTTGATGGCCTGCTCTGCGTAGGCGCTTCAGCGCTGGCTCGCTGCTGCTAGCAGCAGAATCGCCTGCTGCTGCACGCCTCTTGCGCGACCTCTTTGTTGCCAGGGTGGTGCCAGAAGCATCAGCAGCAATGGCCGTAAAGCGATGGAACCGTTCAGGAATACTGCTTGAATCACAGAGTGACTGGAAAACGAGTCTGAAGTTTAGAACTGCTGCGAGGTCGCGGTTCAAGAGCCGAGATGAATAGGCCCGCCTGTATTGTGCCATGGCCCGCTTACATGACTCGCTTGTACAGCGGAGAAGGCCATGGCACTTCACAGTTGGGTTCTTTGATCTCTGGTAGGGCCGCGGGTTGGGAACATGCGGGAATGTCTGCTGCTACTGCTGCAGTTGCTGCAGCGGCCTCTGTTTCATCTGATGGCATCTTTGCTGCTTCGTGTGCAGCCTTCTCGGCCAATTTTTCGCCCTTTTCTGCTGTTTTCCTTGCCTCTGTTGCTGCTCTCTTTGCTGCGTTAATCTTGGTAACCTGCTCACGTGTTTTCGAAACAAACACCTGCTTGATTATTTGCTTGTCTAAGCGCACATGGCCTGGGATCCATGATGTCCGCAGAGGCAAGCATTGGGGGGGGGAGACTTGCCAAGCTGCTCATTCTCGATAAGCTGGCATAGACGAATGTATGCATGCAGATGCTGAAGTGGATTTGCCTTAGCACCATAGTATCGGCTGTCTTTGGCGAATCTGTACTTGGCATCATAGGCATTAAGGACTGGTGCCAGCTTGTTGTAGATTGCAAGCATCGGTGGGGTGAGCACACTGAGATCAGGGTGCCTAGAGGCAACTGCCTGGTGGAGCTTCTGTGCAGGCGTATAAATATACACTTGACATGCATTATTGAACTCAGCCTTGGACACATTGCCCATTGTACTGTGCAGTGTGTTTTTGCGGCTGCGAATATCAATCAATTTGGCCAGAATCCGCTGTAGGCAAGTGCCATAGTGCAACACAATGTTGTTCTTGTATGCTGTCATCAGGTCGGTATCCACGTATGTTGCTACTTGATTCATTTCATGCACACCATGTAGCTCGATGTCGCCATTATGCAATAGATAATCATAAATGTGATATCTATCTACATCACCGAAATCTGCGCTTAACAGTTCTGACTTGTCCTTCCGGTTGACGAAATCCTTGGCAGATATGACAATCTTCGCCTTCAGGTTGCGATAAATGAATAAATAAATTGAACAAAAGAATCCCTTTTTCCCAAATATTGAAGGGTCAAAAGCATCATCATCAGCTAGCTGATGGAGTAATATCCATCGTGCAAGCATGTATGTATGCTCTTTGATGATATTGACGCTGTGTACAAATTGCTCTAGGCGGGGCAACATAGAACCACGGAAGCCAATACCACCAAGTGATGTCTTTATGACAGTAATGCTGCAGGTAATATTCATTTGAGAAGTTCAATAGGCAAGTAAGAAGAGAAATGATGCTGTTCAGTTTTGCTGTATTGCAGAAGCATAGCATTAAGAACTTTTTATTAAAAATGATCTGGCTTGCATGGTTCTTGGGGCCCTTAGCACTGATACAGTCTCTTGAATCAGTCTATACAGACTGGGTCCATTGTGGCCCAAATACTACTGCTTACGCATGCTCATAAGACAAATTAATTTGTAAAATAAACCCACAAATATTGCATGACCGCTAGAAGAGCTATATGGCCTTATTCAATAGATGCTCATAGATAAACATCCTAAGAGTGTTGCGCGGCCGGTGATGACCACCATGATGATGCTATGGAAGTTACCAGGCCGACCGACAATGAGAGCAGCTCTTGCGCTGAACCAATGGAGATATCTAGTGGAGACCTGTGACCACTACAATAACAACTCGTCACCCTGGTTTCACCGATGAGGTCAGATGCCGCACAAGATCAAAAAGGAGTTTATAGAGTAAGTCACCCAAACTCGTGTTGAAGCTTAAAAGTTTTATTTTATTTTTTTAACCAATTATATAATTTCTAGCGGACGGTCGGACACTTTTTGGACTATAAAATCTTGTATATAGGTAAAGATATAAAATCTTATATAAAGGTAAAGATATAACAACTCTATAAGCTATTCACAGAAATAAGAAACATGCGAACATCACTTTCTAGATAGTAGCGTGAAAATTCAGACAAAAGGGAAACTAGCTTCTCACACTGAGAAAGCAGCCTGGAGTCCTATTTAAGAGCCATGTTGATAATACCAACACAGCATAGAGTGATGGATATAGAACTGAATACCATACCATGCTGTGCTATGCTGTGCTGCTATCTGTTCATTGCTTCTCTCTCTGTCATATATATATATATATATATATATATCAGAGTGGCGGTCTTACTACCTGGTGTCCACACATGGAGGTGATCTCTAAAAAATAGCGCCCACTGCCTGACTAGGCCCTTAGACAAACAATTCTTTCATAGAGTACGCCGACTTGCGCTAGAAGGCTCACTGTACTGCTTCTGAAGGGCAGTAGCGGCAATGCATGCATTGCAGTCTATGTGGATCCGGAGCTTTGACTGAAAGCCCCGAGCAATAAAAGTTTGGCATTGCTCGAATTCCACACTGGCAGGCCAAAAACAATGTTTAGCACTGAAGCATGCGGAGATGGAGCAGTGAGAATCAGTATGAACAATGGCCGTGCATGTGGTGTCAGTCTGCTCCAAAATCAGGGACTATTGGCATGAGCAGAACAAGCATTTTTGGTTGTGCAACAGGAGCTTAATTAACCGAAAATGGCAGCTACACAATGATCCGCAGCAGCACGCAGCGCAAGGCCACACACAAAACACTTGACAGTGACAACCCGCTGTTCTGCTTGCTTCGAGCATGCAGGGGATGGAGGGGATTTTGACAGTATGGACTGTGAGCAGCATAAAAGCAGGCGTGTATTTCCAGCCAAGACACTGCGTAAGCCGCATGGAAATAGACAATGCAAATGGCACTGCAAGCCTTTTGAGCAGGGCAGGATGCACTCCTTATTCGCTGTGGCAGCACCCAAGACCTATATGCGGAGCGGAGTTGCAAATAAGAAACGTCACCATCGACAACTACAAGCCAACTGAGTAACGAGTGATTTGTCTGGAAAAGAGGGACACAGCGCAAAAGGACCATGATTTGGCAAAGCGGCTTTACCAATCGCTCATGCAGCCCGCTGGCATGAGCGCCATTCAGCAAAAACAGAGCAGATGGTATAGTACACAGGAGGAGCTGCACGCAACTTTTTGGGCTCAAGAGCCTAGCCCCAGCTCTATAGCACAGCAAGGGTGGCATCTGGGGCGCCTTAAACCACCCCTGGATCCAAATATAGACAGCAGCTCATTTGCTGATCACACGTGTTGCTGCACTCCTTGTGTGTGGGTAACAAGTATCCCCGACCACATTTGTGGCCAGATGTCACTCTCTTGGGGAAAGGTATGCGGAGGCGATGTAGGTAGGCGCCCCCTTACTTGCCTGTGCAGCCAGGCTTGACGTTCTCCATAGCTGATCAGTATTTCTATTCCAGAAAAGGAACTTGATGGCACTGACACCCAGAGAGTTGCAGATTGCCAGTGACATTTTGGTGGCCTCTACGGAATGTTGGTGCCGACCTGCGCCCATGAGCATTTGAATATGTACACATAGTGAGTTATATATAAATGAATACATTTTTCAAACCGCAAATGAGCTAGTATTCACATAAAAGAAATGAGCATGCAGAAACGATGGATAGAGGCCAGGGGAAATGGGGAAATGCATCGATAACCTGAACTAAAGCAGGCATATTGGCCAATTGAAGTGACAAAAACCCATCGGCAGCTTAGTCGTGCACCGAAATACGGCACATACACAAGCCACATCTGCCTGCATGTGCAAAAAGGGACTGCCGACAGAGTGAGTTCAAGCAAGTACAGTAGACAGTGCCGCTGCAGTCGCCGTCCTACAAATCCTGGCTGCGCAAGCATCCTATGTGCCCTATACTTTTGCCATTTGGACATTATTTTTTACTTACACTTAACATTTAAACCATGTCTGCTAAACGCACAAGCAGTATCTCACTCAAGAACAGTCGAGGCAAGCGCCTGAGAGAGGGCGACGTGAGCAAAGCGCTCAGTCACTCACCGGTGCCGTCAGCGCCAAACGACAACACGTTGCAAAACAGTAGCAGCAACAGTAAGTACTGGAAACATCCTCGTACGTTTTTAACCAAAAGAGCATGTCTACTAACACAACACTTGACAAATAGGCAGCAATCAAGGTCAAGGGAAGAGACAGCATCGTCGTCACCGGCAGACCGAGCTCCTGCAAAGGCCTCTGGATATAGACCAGCTGCAGAATCGCTTCTTAACCAAAAAAGAGATCCAGGCAGAGCGCGAAGAGCTCGCCGAGAGTGTTGTCTCTGGCCAACTCATTGAGGGTACCGACAAAATCCACATTATCATAGCTCCGAGGGGAGAGGCGGGTAGTGTCTCTTCATCCATAGCCGACATTATCCACCTCGAGCTGGAACATTTGCTGGACCCCAACACGGATGGTTCCGATGCGAACAGAATACTCACTCACACCATGAACCTGTTGTACAAGGACGCCAAAGACGAAAGCCCGCGCTCACGTCGACTTCGAACCAGAGAGTATAAGGCTAAAAGGACAGAGTTCCTCGAAAGTCTGCGAGGAATCCTGGAGGAGCTGCAGGTGTGGGTCTGCCACCACAACAAGGGCAAGGCCGGCGGCAAGAAAGAAACGAAGTTGTACACCCCCTTCCAGTCCTTCGTTCACTTTGTTGCCCCATTTGTCAAGTTCCTCTTTGACAAACTTGGTCTCGGTACGCTTTTCCCTTCTGTTGTTCATCAGCGCTGCATCATCTGCTATCCGAAGACGAACAGAAAGCCCCTATGTGGCGACGACGACCGCAAGATTGACATCGGGTTGACCACCTGTCGACCTGGCGATTTGGAAGAGCAGCTGCCTGATATGTCCTATGCAGATATATTCACCATTGTCGAGGCAAAGTACTCAAACACCCGCAAGGACAAGAATGACGCATACAAGCAGCTTGTGGACTATTCGCGCCACATGTATGCTGCCCAGCCGAATCGCCGCTTTATTCTGGGACAGACCTCCTGTGGAACTGAAGTGCGGGTCTGCTTGTTCTCAAACGACTGCATATTTGCAAGCAACCCCATGGACGTGTCAACAAGCGCAGGTCGTCGGGAGTACATTGGGCTGCTGGTGAACCTCTCGCTGTGCGACAAAGACCAGCTGGGGTATGATCCGACGATGACCTGGGATAGTGAGCACGAGTACTGGACCATCAAGTGCCCTGACACCCCAGGCGAGTCATCGGGCAGCCAGGCAACAAAAACGTACTACTTCAGAGATGAAGTTGCCAAAGCCGATAGCCTTTTCGGTCGGCACACGAGGTGCTTTTTGGTAACAGATGAGGACCCTGCTGGTGACAGAATCAAGCCCAAGTTTGTTGTGAAGGATGCATGGCCGGAGGTTCTACAAGATCACGATGACACCCGGGACGAGGTGATGTTTATGCGCCGAATCACAGAGGAACTTGCGAACTCAGATGTCGAGGACCTGGTCTATCCAAAGCTCGAAGCCGGTGGTCGCGTCTCGATCGATACTGACGGGGGCCGATTTGAGGACAACACGAGAAATGCACTGGGTCCGCTCTACTTGCTGCGCAAGCCAGACAATGCAGCAATACCGTTCCGCGTCCATAAGCGCCTGGTTATGTCACCGGTTGGCGAACCGCTGGAAACCGTCGAGTCTGTCCACGAGCTTATTGTTGTGCTAGGTGATGCGATGCGCTGCCACACCGAGGTTCTGCAGCGGTGCACCATCCTCCACCGTGACGTCTCGGACAACAACATCCTTGTCGTGCGTGAGGAGGGCAAACCACCCCGTGGACTGCTGATAGATTTCGACAATTCTCTGGATATGGAAAGGGATAACGACACAACCCGTACAAGTCAGTCAGGATCTTACATCTACAGAAGCATCAGCAACCTTAAGGGCACAAATCTGAAACGAACAGAACTAGATGATTGGGAGTCGCTGCTCTACTTGCTGTGTCTCTGTGCAACGGTCGGTATTAGTGAGAGATATCAGCGATCGCTAGAAGAAATGAAGCTATCCATTAGGAAATGGCGCACTGGGGATACCGAAGATATTGGGAATTCAAAGACGGTACAGCTCTCTTGTATGAAGGAGTTTGAGGATGGAATCATTTGTACCTTCAACCAAACCCAGCCAGATATCGACGATTTGCAGAGTCTTGCAAGAGGCCTGTACACGGGTTTGTTCAATAACCAAACTCTAAACAGCCCTCGGTACAAGGGAACAGGCCGTGTGACAGTTGAAGGAGAGCCTGAGGGTGTTAATCCATTTGCAGAACGGATAAGTGTGAAGGACACGATTGTTTCGGACTTGCTTGAGATCATGGAAAAAGCCTGGAGGGACTCGATGATGGTGGTTAAAGCACTGGCAGATTCAGATGCTTGAGTTTTTCAATCATTTTCTATTAAATTGCATGTTTATTATCTTTCACACTACATTGAAACTCAGGTACTGAAAACTAGAGTATAGTTAAAGCATGTACTATTATCGCAGCTTACAGTAGTATATATCACATTGATGGTACACAATACCTCAATGCCGAGAGGTGGCTCGCTCACCTTGTTAGCTTAACCTTTGCTGATTTGAGTGTCAAGAGCAATGACTATTGTTGGAGAGAGTATGCGTAGCTCAAGTTTGTCGACTGCAGCCAATGTCTCGCTAGTAATAGTACAGCATTCCTCATCATCAGCCACATTTCGGATGACAGATGCCTGGCTGGATCAGATTCGATTTGCTCAAGCAGTATAAACAGCTTGATCTTAATGACAACAATGGCATAGCACCAAAGCAAAGACCACACTGGTAGACACATCTGCTCAAAGAGCTGAGTTGAACTGTAGACTGTTGACGGCCTCTTGATCTCGCTTATTTGACCTCCCAGCTTTACATTTTCTGCATTTTCTCTAATTACTTCATTTGTAATGAGCAGCAAGCAAATTCCCGCACAGCAACAGCAGGTGCTCGAGGGGCACACCTGTGGCTCCATAGTCTGCATCGGCACCAAGCGGCCGCTTTCGGATCCCGACCAGCCAGGCATCGACCTGCAAATATACCCGCCCAAGAGGGTGTGCACTTCTCGTGTGAGTGACACCAGCAAAACGCTCAACCCCAGCACCAAGAGAAAGTTCACAGATGATGACAGTTCGCTCGATGATGATGGACCGTCGCCTGCCAAAAAGACACGCACATATGGTGACGCGGAAGGTATGTAGGACATTCGCATTGTTGAAGCAGCAGACATACTGACCCCTCAGACACTAACCACACGATACATGACATTGTAGATGACTCGTTGGTGTTGCATACCCAGATTATTGCCCGCAAAACTGACAGCCATTTACGCGCAAAGAAGCGCCAGGTCACAAGAAACAAGACTGTGGGCAGACGAGTAAGCGCTCACACCAAGCGGAGTATTCAGGCACTACTGGTGCATCCTATCGACATTCTGTCACCGACAAGCACAGGGCAGGCTCAGACTTCAACTGGAGGTAAGTGTATGCTAGTCGTAGTTGTATCTATACCAAGAACACCATACTAAAGTAAGCTGCTATTTATTTGTCATTGTAGTCGTACTATCAGCAGCAAGAGTTCAGTCTGCTACTGAAGTGACTTCCAAGGCAGAATGCTCCATCACCAAGAGAAAGATTGCCAATGATGAGGATTCATCTGATGATGAAGGGCCATCGCCTCCTAAAAAGGCACACACTTCAAGCGATATGGATGGTAAGACATTGTTGTCACTAGCATGGCATGTGCACTTGCTTTTTGGATACTAATCACACAGTATAAAGCACAATAGGTGAATCGCTGGTGTTGCGTACTCGGATTGTTTCCAGGAAGGACGTCAGCCAAATACGCGCAAAGAAGCGCCAGGTCACAAGAAAAAGGGTTGCGGACAGACGAGCAAGCGCCCACACCAATCAGAGTATTCAGGCACTACTCTCACACCCTATCGACATGCCATCGCTGGCAAGCCCGGAGCAGATTCAGATTTCAACTGGAGGTAAGCGTATGTTTGTGGTAGATTTGATGGCATCGAGAACACTCCATTAAAGTGAACTGCCATTTGTTTTCCATCGTAGTCGTACCATTAGCAACAGGAGCTCAGCCCGCTGCTCAAACAACTGATCAGCCGGTAAGCTCTGGCGTCAAGATGCGTCAGACAGACAAGGATCTGGTGAAGAACAACAGGACATCGCCAGCAAAAACGGCGCAGGCAACGGCTTCAAGTGAAGGTAAGGATATGGTGTGCATCACTAGTAGGAAGGGAAATGGTAGTGGTGGATAGTAATCGATCTGTATATGGAAGTGTAGGCGAGTCTTCAATACCTAGCCCCCGATCATCTGCCAAAAAGGCTGGCAGCCAGTCGCGCAAAAAGAAGAATTTAGCAGCCAAAACTAAAGGCCCTGGCATGCAGCCCAGAATTCGCACCAGACAGAGTGCTCATGCACAAGTTTCAAGCTCAGGCGATAAATTGCTGTCGCCAATTAACTCACCCACCTCAAGCCAACCAAAAGGTAAGCACATGGCTATCGTCTTTGCAAGTACATAGCTGTTTACTATACGATGATCAGCTAACATTTACAGAACAATGTAGAGTGGTCTCCAGAGTCCAGCGAGATTGGGACCGCTGCCAGGTTGAACGAGTCTTCCAGTTCCACATTATCCTCAGCACCGAGTATGGCATCATATACAGCAGAATCCTCACTCGATAGCAGGTGGTGTAGTGATGACGATGACGAGACAGACACTGAGGCAGACATGTGGGTCAAGACGCGGCTCATTAGAGATGCAGATGCAGTGCTCGACATCGCAAAACCGCGGAGTGCTGCCGGGAGAGTGCTTGCCAGCAACATTTCCAAGCACATCTCAGCTGAGCTAGAGCATCGGCTCAACACAGCTAGCACATACGCAATAGCTGACACCAGCAAAACCCAGTTGGCTTCGGAAGCGCCCATGCAAAACAACAACTATCGACAGCTGCTGCTCTCCGACACAACAACATCTGCCATGAGCAAGGATGAGCGCAGTGCAGCCACGGCCAATGTATTTGCAGGGTTTCAGGAGTGGATTGCACCCGAGTCGATACAGCATCAGCCTATTGGAGCAACATTTACACCACCAGACAGTACCTGTGGTGATGATACGGACGATGCTAAACAGATACACATATCGGTGCAGTCATTCATTTATTTCGTCACGCAGCAGATCGACAGTTTCATTAGCGCACTAGATGCAGACGCGCTTGGGGAACATCGCACATATCGCCGTCTTCTACCATGCATGAATCAAGAGTGCCATCCCAGCAACACAGGCAACTCTCCAACCATCGAAGCAGGCATCACTACACAACACAGAGACAGCAGTATCGAGCCGCTCAACAGCTTCTGCTATGCTGATGCATTCGCTGTCATCGAGGCACGACCAGGCAAAACTCGGCGCACCATTGACAAGGCATATGCGCAGCTGATGCAGAACACACGCAGCATCTATAAGGCTCAGTTTGACCGGCGCTTTGTTTTTGGCTTGACCGTCTGTGACAACGAGGTGCGGGTGTGTCTATTTTCCAATGACGTGGTCTTCTCGTCCAGCGCTCTTGACATGTCCACTGCATTTGGTCGCCAACAGTTCATCGAGCTGCTAGTTTACTGGTCTCTCTGCGGTGAGGACCAGTTGGGATTCGACACAACAGTCTACTGGGACAAGGATAACAACTACGGGACCATCGAGTGTCCTGACACAGCAGACGAGTCATCGTGTTCTGCAGCCACAAAAATGTACTACTTTGACAAGGTGCTACCAGGAGCAGAAAGCCTTTTCGGTCGGCACACGAGGTGCTTTTTGGTGACAGACGAGAGGCCTTCTGGCGACAAAATCAAGCCCAAGTTTGCTTTGAAGGACACATGGCCGGAGGCCACAGAGGACCCTGCCAGAGATAGGCGAGACGAGGTGATGTTTATGCGCAGAATCACAGAGGAACTTGTGAACTCAGATGTCGAGGACCTGGTCTATCCGAAGCTCGAAGCCGGTGGTCGCGTCTCGATCGATACTGACGGGGGCCGATTTGAGGACAACACGAGAAATGCACTGGGTCCGCTCTACTTGCTGCGCAAGCCAGACAATGCAGCAATACCGTTCCGCGTCCATAAGCGCCTGGTTATGTCACCGGTTGGCGAACCACTGGAAACCGTCGAGTCTGTCCACGAGCTTATTGTTGTGCTAGGTGATGCGATGCGCTGCCACACCGAGGTTCTGCGGCGGTGCAACATCCTTCACCGTGACATCTCAAACAACAATATCCTTGTCGTGCGTGAGGAAGGCAAACAACCTCGCGGATTACTGATAGATTTCGACTGCGCAGTGGATGTAAATGAGCACCAGGCGCCGAACCCAGAGAATGTGGGGACATTCCCCTACAGGAGCATCAACAATCTATTTGGATCAAATGTGGAGCGGACAGAGTTGGACGATTGGGAGTCGCTACTCTACCTACTGTGTCTCTGTGCAACAATCGGTGTCAGGGAAGATTATAATCGGTCACTCAAGGATACAGAAGGGTTGAAAATTAAGAAATGGCACACAGGAGATGCTTACAATGCTGCGTGTTCAAAGACGGTGCAACTCTCTTGCGTTGAGGAGTTTAACGATGCAATCGTTCGCAGCTTCAACCAAGCCCAGCCCGATATCGAATATCTACAAGGTCTTGCAAGAGGACTGTACATGGAGTTGTTCAGTAATCGGGCTCTAAAAAATCCTCAGTATTGGGGGACGCTCACGCGAAGTATTGGAAGAATGTCCAAACCAAGTATCCCTTCCAAGGAGCGGGTGAAGATAAAGAATAGTGTTGCTGATACCCTGCTGACGACGATGAGTGCTGCCTATCTAAAATCAGCTAGTATCCTTTCCGCATCTATACAATAAATGTTTTTATTACCGTCACTTATCGACGCTGTCTGCTACAATGCGTGTCTGTTGCTCAAAGGGCTGTAGCCGTTAGGTGCAGCGGGCCACATGATGACGAGCACCTGGCGCATATGGAAGCAATGGAGTTTTATGACTAATTTTGCTTTGTATTCTGGGGAAATCTCCGCCATAACGGCACCACATTTGCCTGGGGTATACTCGCCGATCGCCCCAGCCTGGAAGCTGCAGAAGCCTTATCGATCTTTTGCCGTACTCTTGGCAAGCCCGTCACTCTCTGCCCATGTTGCTTGGAGGGATTAGGTGCGCGGCTTGCGGGAGAGTTAGCCCGGGAATCGACCAGTCGATAAGGACACGGGTTTTTGGTCAATGCGGCTAGAGCATACCCAACAATGCCACATGCCAAGGGAGTGTCGCGCTTCTACCAAAGCTGGACGTGACAACAGGTCGTGCGGCAACATCAATTTATTTAAAAACATCTGAGGACTGAGTTTGGTTAGGCGGAAGTGGTCGGCAAGCGGCGCATGGCCCTAGCCAGGCCGCCTTGGGTAATGTTGAAGATCCCTTCTTTCACCAGGGCTTCAACAATCACTTGTTGCTGGGCCACGGTGCAGATGCTCGAAAAGATGTTGACCTCGGAGCAAACGTTTCCATACTTCATTTTGCGAAGCTTGAAGATGCTGTTGCAGTCGACGAAGCCGGCGACCTCATTCCTTTCTTTGATGATCGTGCCAATTGCAGCAGCACGCCTGAATGCAGCACGAGCCTTTTTCGTAAAGCCGTCCCAGTTATCAACAAAATTGGCCTCATTGGACAAAAAGTACCTGAGCAGAGGAGGTGAATGTGAAAGCAAAAACGTGTGCTTGGCAGTGTTGTCCGCATGAGGGTCCTTCAAGCCTGAAGCAATAAACTCATTGATGTAGCCATCCGGGCTGTGGGCAAACTTGACTAGGTCGAAATCTACACTAGGCTGGATACTGTTCACGGTGTTCACAGCTGGCACGTTCGTGTGCGGTAAAGCACACAGGGCAGCTTGGACCTGTGACTCATCCTTCTCAACCGGATACTCACCGTTCAAAACCGACGTGTACAGGGCGATAGCCTCGTCGAGGTATGGAACAATTTTCTCAGTCAGTGCAGCTACTGAGGCAATAGCCAAATGATGCTGAGATATCTGCTCCTGCATGCGGTTGATGTTCTCCGGCGTTAGCGGCGTTACCACTTGCTCTGAAATGAGCTTACTGATTAGCTCCCCTTGTGCGAGACCCAGCTCGGTCTTGCAGGCACCGTCGAATGTGGCTCTTATTTCTTGCAGGAGCTCAAGGAAGCGGTTGGCGTGGCCAGAATTGACAGGCGCAACCAGGGCTGGCGGCTGAGGAGGGCTGACATGGACAATGTCGTCGATATCATTGGCAATGTCGAGAAGGTCATCGACATGAAGAGGGGAGGGGGAGGGGAATACATCTAGGGAAAACACCACCATTTTCAATGACGAGTACCTGCACAAAAAGAACGAGTAGACGGTGGGAGGAAAGTTTGCTGTTTGTGCTGAACGCTGAGAAATGAAGGGCTGGTCTTCGGGCGAGACGGCTTTCGCTATTTATAGTCTTCGCACGGCGTTTAGATGAAGCGGCCCAGGTGCAGGAGAGGCTGGCGAACATGCCTTACCGGCGATGCAAAAATAATTGCCGTGCCAGAAAAATGGTGCCTTACACAAGCTGCATCCTTCTGTGGAGGCTGAGCAAAAGCCCCACGCACCGAACACCAGCACTATTTGTGCCGGGCTGATTTGGGTTGATACGACCAGTTGTGATTGCATTCAGCTGCCGTCGGCAGTCGCAGTGTCATTGGGACTAACATGATGTGCATGTATAGGATCCCTGGAAACGATGCTGGTCAGGCATATATCCTAGGTGCAAGAATTAAGCCAGCACTTGCGGTGGTAATGGGGTGATTCTCTGGTGAAGAGCTAGCAACCGACTGCAAGCACTACACCTACAGTAATCGAGGCAGAGCATATGTGCAGCTATGGAGCCACTGGCAGACATGCTGACTTTTTCGAGCACTGCACTGGAGCAGGCTGTTCACCACTGCTGCACTGCACAACAACATGATGGCTATATATGTACGCCTGAGCCCATTTACCAAGGCCACACAGTCAATGGTACGGGGTATTATCCAGTTGCAGAGCAAGCACAGGCCACTGGAAAATGTGATCCGAATCGTTATTGATGTGCACAGCCTGTGGGAATACCGCATGAATCTTGGCATTTACAGCATGCCGCGTGCGTATCAGTAGTATCTGTTTAATTCGCTTTCGCACATGTGCTGCACAAATTCACAAGATATCCTCACGCACCCTTTGGTTGAGAGGACGTCGCTTCAGTTTGGCTACACAGAGGCAGGAGAGTTCCCTGATGGTCTCAGCAAAGCACCCGCTTGAACTCTCCCCTCCCCTCGCATTAAGAAATGGCAGGCATCATTGATTCTTTCTGGCTTGTCTTTTGCAGGTGCAAACTCGAAGAGCAGCTCGTTCAAGGAGGCAATCACCTGCCGGGAGCTGTGGTCCTTGGGCTGGGCCATGGGGCATCTATGCATGTCTGCCTATGGGCTTGACATCGATGGATGAAGGCTGTCCTCCATCTTGAATGCACGTTGGGTTCAGATGGTTGGTGTAACAGCCAGGTGGCTGATTGGCCGCGAGATCTCCGAGACGCGCTATGCAGGCTTAATGGGTGGGGCCATACAGATCACGCTTTGGGCTTGGCTTCTCAAAATAGACCACCGCCGCTGCCTGATGACTATCCCAGTCTATTTTCCCCCAAAGAGTTTCACTCCTCTCTCTTCCTCTGCTGTAGAACTCCAATATTTCCCCCCTTTAACCCCCTCCTCCACACCGCCGAAGGCCTTGTCCTTCTTCCCCTCACTCTTCTTTCGTATTGCACCTTTTATTACACACTTCCACACGCCTTTTTTACATACAGACGATACAACATGGACGAGTACGTGCCGTTTGCGTCAACCTCCCTGGTTGCAATGGCCACTGGAATGCCAGCACTTCCCACTGAGACATACGCGTCGGTCGAGGGCACAGGCATGGGCATGGCGTCAGACTCGCTGCTGGCGTCGATTCTGATGATTTTTGTGTCTGAAATTGGCGACAAGACATTCCTTATTGCGGCAATTCTGGCAATGAGCAATCCGCGGTTGACGGTGTTTTTGGCGGCCTGCTCGGCGCTCTGGCTGATGTCAGTGCTGTCGGCGTTCCTGGGCCACACGGTGGTGACGTTTGTGCCCATGTCGTGGGTGTCGCTGATGGCTGCCGTCATGTTCTTGGTGTTCGGCGTCAAGCTGCTGCGCGAGGCGGGCGAGATGGACGGCAGCGAGATCCACAAGGAGATGGAGGAGGTTGAGGCCGAGCTCAACGAGAAGGACACCAAGGCGTCGCAGATGGCCATGGAGGCCGGTGAGTCCGGCAGCGAGAAGAAGGCTGACGATTCGTTCAACGTCAATGTTTCGGGCGACGAGGACGACCAGGAAAAGACCTCTGGCGTGCTCGAGTCGCTCAAGAACCTGCTGAGCCTGCTGCTGTCGCCGCTGTTTGTCGAGACGTTTGTGCTGGTATTCTTGGCCGAGTGGGGAGACCGGTCGCAGCTGGCGACGATTGCGCTCGGCGCGGCCAAGAACGTGTATGCGGTGAGCATTGGCACGATTCTGGGCCACACGTGCTGCACGGGGCTGGCTGTGGTCGGTGGGCAGCTGCTGGCGTCGCGGATATCGGTCAAGAAGATCACGTATGCTGGAGGCGTCCTGTTCATCATCTTTGCTGGCCTCTATGGCTACGAGGCGTATCACCCCGACAGCGCCATTGCCATGTAGACGAGCCCTGCATCCAACAAAACGTTTTTATGTTCAAAAAATGTCCATTCAACACTACTTTGGGCAGTAGAATGCGGTGTGCTTTTCGACCTCGCGCTTCAGGTCGCCAAGACTCAGTGCTTGGCAGCCGATCTTGTCACGCAGCGCAAACTTGCAGCTCTTGTAGATGAGGCTCCACAGCGTGGCAAAGTCCTTATGCGCGCGGAAGATCTGGCGCTCCTTCAGTGCAGCAATGATGAGCTGCTTGGCCGTGCTCTTGTTCTGCTCTTCGACGTCCTTGTCGGGCTTCGCCTCGGTAGCTGTCGCTGGTGGCGGGCTTGTCTGCGGCTCGCTGACGCCCTGGGCAAACTGCTCGATATCGGCCAGCGTCATGCGTGGTTTGCGGCGAGTGGTGGTGCTGGGCTGGCGCTTCACGGCGCGGCTCTTTGCCTGCGCAAGTTTCTGCTGCTCGCGCATATGCTGCTGCTGCGCATGCCATATAAGGAACTTGCGCTCGCTGGCCAGACTCGGCAGCTCACTGTCAGAGATCGCTGTGTCGGCCGGAATTGCGGACGGCGCAGCGCTCAGCATGTGCAGGGTTAGCTGGCCGTTTTCCAGATACACAATTCCGTAGGGGCTGGCCGGCGGCTGCCTCTGGGCATCGAGCTGGTCGCTGCTGCGTGTGCCCTCGGTGCGCACATATACCGCAGCATCCGGCACCGGGCCGTGAGAGATAAGCATGGAGACCAGGCCGTTGATGTATCGCTGCGACGCCTGGTCGGATGCTGTGAGGAAGAGATGGAAGTGCACGCTGCTCAGGAGCATTGGCGGGATCGAGGATATGGCAACAGGCGACAGTAGCCGGAGCGAGTGTGCGGTGGGCCAGAGTGGCCTGGACAGGCGCTTTGAGGAGCAGTTGACCAGGGACGCAGTCACACTCGTCTCGCCGGGTCCGTGGTCGAGCGTGCCTTGCCATACAAGCTGCTGCTGCTGTCTGTGTACTGCCGAAAATGCCATGGAATGCTTGGAGTTACTTGGAACGCGGATATTAGAGATTTTTTGTTGGGAGCATCAGCGGCAAAAAGACTCTGGAGATAGTTTTCGAGCTTACCAAGGAACTTTTATGGCGCTGGAAGGGTAGAAAAGGCAGGGGTGGCATGTGCTTGAGAAGAATCCCCTAGCTCTCTTTCGCTTCCTTTTCGCTTTATCTGACTTTTCAAACTTTTTTTTCTTATCGAAACTGAATTTCCAAATGAACTCGCTCCCACATAGGCTCGCTGGGCTCCGTGCTCTCCAGGGACTCCGCTCCACAGCCGGCTCGTCCGAGGTCGCCGTCCTGTCCAGCCGCAGACACCAAAGCTCATTCTCATCGTCGTCGGCCGAGGTCGCACAGGACGAGACCGCCCAGCCTGCCACGCAACCAACGCCCGAGCGGCTCCAGCAGCAGCTCAAGACACGCACCAGGAACGGTGTCCCGGCCCGAATGCTTATCCTCGGAGCACCGGTAAGTTGTTTTCCGTTTGCTTTATCCATGTGACTGTCTTTTGCATTGCCCATGCATGCTCACGCCCCCTTTTCCACCGGATCCAAAAACAGGCTAATCTAGCGAATCATTTTTAGGGAGCCGGCAAGGGCACACAGTCGGGGCGGATTCGCGGGTTCTACGACATTGCGACGATATCGAGCGGCGATGTGTTGCGGCGCAATATCGCCGAGCAGACAGCAGCGGGCATGAAGGCCAAGGAGGCCGTGGCTCGCGGCGAACTTGTCTCTGACGCCATTATCGTCGAGCTGATCCGCAGCGAACTGACCACGGTCAGCGCCAACTGGATGCTGGACGGCTTCCCGCGCAACATCACCCAGGCACAGGCGCTTGACCACATGCTGACAGAGACTGATCAGCCGCTCAACTCGGTTATCAACCTGGCGGTGCCCGAGGATGTCATTCTTCAGCGCATCGTCGAGCGGTATGTGCACGTGCCGTCGGGCAGAGTGTACAATCTGACGTATAACCCGCCCAAGGTTCCGGGCCGCGACGATGTCACCGGCGAGCCGCTGGAGCACCGCCCCGACGATAACCCAGAGTCATTCAAGCGCAGGCTTGACCAGTACCACCAGCTGACTGAGCCGCTGCTGGAGTACTATGACAAGCGCGGAATTCTGTCGACATTTGCGGGTGCGACGTCTGATGTCATTTTCCCACAGATCAGGGCGTTCCTGGACGAGCGCTTCGAGTGAAGCGAGAACTCCCTCTGAATGCCATGCAGCAGACGTCTCCAACTTTGTTATCTGCGAGTTCATTTTGAAATTCCATACATCTTATCCAGAAACACACCTCTGAATGTCCGTCGGATGTGCTGTGAGCAGGGGCCGGGCTAAACGGCGATTGCTGCTGACCATACGGCAAAAGCATGGTAGTCTATATCGACAGCGATGCTGGCGTGAATCAACACATGTATGTATCGTTTAATGGAGGCGAAAGCAGTCAAAGGAGAGTGGTGGGAGGTGAAATAACGTAAAGAAATCGAGACATCTCACATAGAGATGTGCATGATCAGTCGTGTTCGACAGCCGTAGACTCGCCCTCGGTCCAGCGCGAGTCCGAGCTATTCTCTTTTGGGATAAACAGCCCGTAGTCCTCGTCGCCGTCGTGCAGGATGGTCATGGACGCGAATTTCTCAAACGGATCAGCGCCCTTCTTGGATGGGTCCGATAGCCACAGGTTCTCGCGCTCAATGTCCAGCGACGTGGACTCGCGCCCGCGCCCGCGCTTGTGCGAATCCTGCGACGGCTCGTATGTCAGTGCAAACTGCAACAGCTGCTGCTTCTGCGGGTCAGGCCAGCGGCAGAATCGGCGGCGTGCGGTTGCGCAACAGCGCCCAGCTCAGCGACTTGAACCACGGGTGCTGCTTGACGTCTGCCGCGCCTGCGCGCGATCCAAGCCGCTTCTTGTCGTTCTTTGTCAGCAGCCGCCGCACCAGCGCCTTGCACGGTGCTGAGACTGCCTGGTGCGTGGGCGGCTGCAGGAATATCACGTCCGACTTCAAAATGTTGCTGAATGTTGCGTTGCGGTTGGAGCCCTTGAACGGCGTGCTGCCATACAGCATTTCGAATATCAGAATGCCTAATGTCCACCAGTCGACCGCGCTCGAGTGTCCAACGCCCTTGATCACCTCGGGCGCAATGTACTCTTCTGTGCCGACAAACGAGTTCGTACGCAATCCGGCTGTGCACGATCGCGTGTCTATCGACGGCAGGCTGAAGAAGAACGACGAGTTTTTGAGCACGTTCGGGGTGCCTGGCGGGTCCGACTGCTTCGACAGGTCAAAGTCCGTCAGCATGATGTGGCCCGTCTCATGCAGTAGAATATCTAGATTGCGTCAACAAGTTAGAGAATGGATACGGCGAGCAAAACACACCGGGCAAACGCAGTACTGGCTACGTCAAGGCAAGGCTTCCAGACACTTACTCTCTGGCTTGAGGTCTCTGTAGATGAATCCGGAGAGATGCAGGTATTCGAGAGCTACAAAGCAGAGTGCGAAAAAAAATTAGCCACACTGCCAGCTCAATGAGGGAGGGAGCAGAGCACAACAAAATAGCAGCGGACTGACGACATGCGAGGTTCCGACAAAGGGGAAACAGCACGCCTGAACAATACCGACTTTCCCAATATTACCCTCATGGTTGGAGATACATTACCACATGTTACCTCGGCCGCGTAGAATTTGGCGTCCTCCTCGGGCAGACACTTTCCGGGCCGCGACTGCAGGACACGGAAGAACTCGCCGCCTATGCAGTAGTCCATGCAAAAGTACAGGCGCTCGTCGCTCTGGAACGAGTGGTACAGCGTCACAATGAAGGGGAAGTTGGCCGTGGCCAGTATCTCCTGCTCGGCCAGCACGCGCTTAATTTTGTTGCGCTTGACCATCTCGGCCTTGGACAGCACCTTCATTGCGTACAGCTTGCCCGTCTCCTTCTGCCGCACCAGGTACACCTTGCCGACGTCGCCCTTGCCCAGCAGCTTGATCTTGGTGAAGCTCTTGGGTCCCACCGAGATCTTTTGCACCTTCATCGAGTTGCTCGAGTATGTCCGCCGGATCGCTGCCTGCGCCCTGACCGCGTCAGTGGCCGGCTGCCGCTGGCCGATGACGGGCGCCGTGTGTGTCGTGAACTGGCTGCGAACGCTGCCCGGGCTCTCCATGCTGTCCCCGTACGCGGCCCGGTCTCCGTGCAGACTACGCATGCTGCTGTTGTTGCTGATGCTTATCGTGAAATTGTTTGCAGTCTTTGTTGTCAGCATGTTGCCAGCCACCGAGCTCGCCTTCTTCAGCTGATGGTGTTGTTGTTGCTGTTGTTGTTGTTGTGGGCCAGCGGACGACTTTGGTAGGCCGATTGGTGCCAGCGACGTTGCCGACGTGGATGCCGGTGTCGACTTGGATGTGCTGAGGTATGCCGGGACGTTGCTGGTGCTGCTGCCAAACCCGCTGGTGTGTGCCTTGACGGGCATGGTAACTGTGCCGTGGTCGACCATATCCACTTTGTTACGGGCAGGAAAACAGGGCGCGAGATATGTAAAACCGGACTGCTGAGAGCAGAAAGTAGAGAAAAAAAAGTATGGCGGGGATGGAGAAGAGAAAGAAAAGACGAGCCTTTTTCCACTCAAATATGGAACAGAGCTGCTATGTTTCAAAGGACCGTGTGTGTTGGTCCTGAACAGTGATTGATGCTGCCGGTATCCGCGCTGTTGTTGTTTGGCTCCGTTTTGTCTGAACCGAAAGTGAAGCCCCAGAACAAGACACCGCTCCTTCACGTATATATGGGTGAGTCGGACGGCTGATATAGTACTGAGAGAATGAGCAGAGAGGGGGCGAAAGGGGAAGGGAGGGAGAGACCACAGAGAATGGCTGGTGGGTATTTTTGTAGAGAAAGAACAGGAACAAAAAGCTGCGTTAGAGAAAAAAGAGGCAGGAGGGGTTAAAGAGCAGGCGAGAAGGCGATGCTCACAGCACACAGGCCTCAAAGAGCTGCCTTTCGTTCCCATCGACTCTAATTGGGCAGCAGCGACACCACTCGAGCACCCTGCCCCCAAATCACCCCATGAGCGGCCTTGTGTCTCAGTTACTCGGGTGCAGAGACGCATGGGATCTCGCAATTGATGCACGCTCGGCGCCACAGACCGTCGTCCAGGAGGGCGCGAGGCTTGAGGCCCGTCTGCCGCTCTGCGTCATGTACGTGTTTATTGCCTGCCAGAATCGACGTTCCAGCACACAGCATTGTCCGGCCCGTCTGTCTCCGCGCTGCTTTTGGGCGGGCTCAAGTGCGCTGGCGAGCCATACTCGCACACAATCGGAGGCTGGTGCTAATTGCGGGCCTTATTGGCCCACGGGAAACGCGCCCAGCCCAGGAACTCTCTGAAGCTTTAATTCCCTCTCTTCGCAAAAGTATCCTGTTGCCCGCTCCCAATCATGTACTTTGGCCGATCGCAGATTCACACGCCGATTCCAGCCGCCCCTGAGTCGCTGGGCAGGCTCGTCGACAGCATCTTTGGTTCGCGCAGCACATCCGCCGCCGAGTCGCGTCGCGACAGCCCGCGCGCTACTGCCAGCCGCGCTTCAGAGACGGCGCCAGAGTAAGTCGCCCAGCTGCTGTGGCACTGTTTTGTTCCCCCCCATTGGTTGGGCCACAATGGGGAGGCGACATGGGATTGAGACGTTATTTGCCGCTGCTCCGTTGTGCATTTGCTAATGAACCCGAGAGGCGCTTTATATCGCCATTGGGATATTGTAGGCGCATTCCAGACCAGCTGGTGCCGGCGGTGCAAAGGTAGGCTGGTGGCTATTGTCAGCGCCTGCGGGATTACGCTTCAGTCCTTGCCTGCAAAGGAGGGCGATCACCGCGCTCCTGCTTCCACACACGCATGGATTCCAGCCATTGGCCCCTCCGCACACTGCTAAAGAAATCAGCTGCAAAGCGGTTAAAAATAGGTTCGAGGCGAGGTGGACCACCACCCAACGGCGACACAACCAGACCATGCACAAGTGCCAGGCAAGTTGTGTTGCTGCAGGACCGTCTGATGGGCGTGGAGGCTCGCAGGCCGTGCAGAGCGAGTGCTGATTCATGCAACCGTATGTAGGAAATCGACCAGCAGATCCGCCGTGTCATTGATGCTGCGCAGCGACACGGGGATGCTGCGCGCCGGGCCACAGCCGAGCTCGAGCTATTGGCCGACACGCAGGGCCAGCTCAGGGCTGTCGAGACTGCGGCGCGCGAGCTGCAGCCGGCCATTGCCGCCATGGAGGAGGTGTACACGGCGCTGGCCAACTCGAGCACAGCGTGGGTTGATGACCTGGCGCGCCAAGAGTCCGAGTACAAGCAGTCGCGCCACGAGCACTACGCCCAGCTGCAGCAGCAGATGGACCGCCAGTATGCGGAGCTGAGCCAGGAGACCGCTCAGCGGCGGGCTGCCGATGCATCGCTCGGGTTCCAGCGCGATCTCGAGCGCTTCCAGAAGTCGCGCCCGCCAACGCCAAGGCTCGGCAGACAGGGTCAGCATTCTTCATTTCCACAGCCCTCCCTTGGCACAAACACAACCACTCTCAGAGCAAGGGAGGGCCAATTCTTGGTATCCTACGGTTACGCATGTTTACTAAGCACTGAGGACTTCCCACTTGTAGCAGGCAGCCGCCCAGACCTCGGCAGCGTTGCGCTAGCGACAGACTGGGATGCGGACTCGCAGGGATTCTTCAGCGACGATGAGATCGACAGCAGCGCCTCGGCAGCTGCCACACCAAGACCGAAAATGCTGGGAAATGCTGTCGCAGAGCGCAAGGCGCCAGCACCACATAGCAGCAGCGCCAGCAGCAGCACCAGCAGCAGGCAAGGTAAGCATTTCTAGAGATTGCAATAACAACTCCATCGGGTTGGGAAATTATCCCAGAGATCCAGCGCAGACTCTTGGCGCACAGCTCAAAGATCAATCGCCTTTGTCCACTGTAGCCGGAAACCGACGCTCCCGCATTTGTCATAATCGGGGACGAGGACTTCCCCTGAAGCGGCGCTCGGGCGTGCGTGCCCAACCAGCCAATTTAGCCAGAAAACACGTGAGCCAATTTCAGCCCACCAGCCAGCCAAGCATTGCCAAGAGTCAGGTCTTGGCACTGGCAATTATTTTTATGCACTCTTTCCGCAAGGCTAGCAGGCGCGGAGAGCAGCAAGGCACACGCCCACCTCTCTTTTTCTCTGCCCCACTTTTTCCAGACATATTTTTCCACTTATAAATACTCTCAAAGTAAACCACCCACGGCTTCTGGGAGAATACAGCGTTTTTCCCTATTGGCCTTTATTCCTCTCTACAACATCAACAACAACCTCCATCTTTATCTCCCGTGTTCAGCAACAGCATATATAGCAACATACACACGATGAGCGACGACGGCATGCTTTATTGCAAGTGGGAGAGGCTGCACCATCACCGCCTTCCACGACCCCGAGACGCTTTACGCGCACATCACCAACGACCACGTCGGCCGCAAGTCCACCGGCAACCTGTGCCTCGAGTGCAAGTGGGAGGGCTGCCATGTCAAGCGCACCAAGCGCGACCACATCACGTCGCACATCCGCGTGCACGTGCCGCTCAAGCCCTTCAAGTGCCCGCTGTGCCCAAAGTCCTTCAAGCGTCCGCAGGACCTGAAGAAGCACGAAAAGACACACTCGGAGGGCCTGCACGCCGACGAAGACCACGCCGCAGATGTACGGCATGGACTACCAGTACTTTGCCAGCCAGATGCACACCCCGGCCCAGACCAACTCGTCGCCGACCGTTGGCTCCCTGAGCCCTGCCGACGGCCAGGTGCCCATTGACCTGATCGGCCACAGCGGAGGTAAGCAGAGCAGCCCCCTGCCAGCCTATCTGCGATAGCCACGGCGCTATTTTTAGCCGATTTCCAAAGCAACACCGCGCATCACAACGACATCACTTACTAAACATGAACGTCACTTTTGTGTTTGTAGCACACTTCCGCCGCAACTCGCCGTACACGCCCACAAACGTCTCGCCGCTCCACGGATACGTGCCGCACATCCCCGACACGCAGTACTACCCGAACAGCATGGCCCATGGCAAGCGCGGAATCGAGGCGATCGAGCAGTTCCAGCAGACGGTCAAAAAGTGCCGCACCGATGAGACTAGTCAAGGTTTGGATTGTCTTGCACATGCTGTTGGTCTACGAGAAAAGCATGGCTGCCCTGCTGCCCTGCCTCCTGCTAACAATGCCAATTTTGCTGATGCCGACGCTGCTACCAGCGCCAGCAGCGCCCTGTACCCCACTTCTACTCCACCATCCCCCCATGTGCTGCCTCCCATCTCTCCCAAATCGCACTCGCACTCCCCCCAACTCCCCTCGCTCTCTGAGTACCGCATTACGCAAAAGAACCTTGCTGCTGTTGCTGCTGTTGCTGCTGTATCATCCCCTCTGCAAATCACCACCACAACAACACACACCACCCCACAGTCGCCATTCCCTCTGGCTGCCAGCGAGCCGGCAAAGACCTGCTCGCTGCCATCGCTCAGCCAGTCGTTGTCCTCGCTCGACACGCCCCCGGCCCTGTCTGCTGCCAGCAGCTGGAGCTCGGAGGCGTCGATGGGCGCGCTGTTCCCGCCGCTCCCGCGGCACTCGACAGCCCGGTCCTCGACTTTCTCGGCCAAATACAGCCTGTCCTCGGCCAGGACCCGCTGAGCCACGGCGGCTACTATGCGCGCAAGTCGTCGCTTAGTCTGTCCCCGCTGTCTCGCTCTCTGGCGCATTACCATACCCCGATCTCCGACCCGCTTGGATCGTTCGCGACCAGCGACTACGGGATCTGACACTCTGCTCTCCAGCTAAAGTGGGTGGTTTACACTTAAGCTTATTTCTGCATTTCCCCCTCGCTTCGTTTCTTATTTCTCACTTCATTTCTTATTTCTCATTCCCTTTCTGCGTTGGCCTCCCCCTCTCGTGCTCTGTGGTTGTGTAGAAGTGGTCTCCCCTCTCCCCTCTATCCTCTATTTCTCTTCCCTCTCGCGTTGTAGCAATATCAGCAGCAGCAGCAGCAGCAGGCAGTTGGCGGCCCTGTTTTTGGGATTCCCAAAAGCACTTTTCTCTGTAGTGCCATTTAGCGGCTATGTGTATTGCAACTCCATTCCGATTCTTATCTCCTGCATCTGTCACTTGTGCCTCCCCCTTCTCGCATATCCCATGTTACTCGACTTATTCCCTCTATTTCCCCACGTCCTTACACACGTCTCTACCTGTTCCATATAGCTCTTCAGTTTCCAATAGCATCATCTGTTTTTGCTCTCAGCTTTGCACACTGTTTCTCACCTGGGGAGGGAAGGGCAGCTATTGTCACTGCAGCGACTCTTGGCACATACACACTCGTCACCAGACAACCAGTGAGTAGAAGGGAGCTTCTTGGCGAAGGTCTTGGCATTTCGTAATTATTGACCGGCATGCGGCAGCAGATATACGAGGCAGGCATTGGCTCGGCGGCAGCCATGCTTTTTTTTTTTTTGTTTGAACTCGTCTGGCCAACACTCCACTGCATATTGGCTCATATCTGCGATGCACGCATACTAACCCGCCTTGTCCTCCAACTGCTCTTCATGTATAGGTCAGGACCAGCTGTACTCGTTCCTGCAGCAGTACGACGCCAACAACCTGAACTTTAGCGAGCTGCCGGCCTCGCTGCAGTCGGCCACTGAGATCAAGCAGCTCAACGAGGGCCTGCTGCAGCTGCTGCCCGACCTGACCGAGGTCGGCGGGCGCTCGATGTTCATCGACCAGCTGATCAAGCAGCTCGACAGCTCGAACCCGAGCGGCCTCTACGACATGTTCTCGCTGGGCAACAATCTGCAGGCCGGCCCGAGCCCCGATCCACTGCTGTCGTCAGCGTCGTCGGGCGGCATGTACGCCGGTTTGAGCGCGCCAGGCGCGATGCCCGCCACCATGGCCGCATCCACCGGCTTTGCCTTCGATCTGACTGCCAGCCCCGAGGGCAGCGCCGGGTTGAGCACGGCCCTGCCTCTGGGCCAGCCAGGTCATGGTCGACGGCAGCGGCAACGTCGTGCCGCTGCCCAACCCGACGCTCAACGACCTGGCGCTGGGCGCGGTCAACCCGGCCGTCTCGAGCGCCGGCTCGGCGCTGTCTGATGGCAGCACTGGGTCCATCAGCGTGGTGCCTGACTCGGTGACCACAGCGCGCCCGATTGCGCGCCCCCGCGGCTACTCCAACGCCCAGGTAGCGCCGCACCCGCAGAACACGTCGCTGTACTCGCAGCTGTACACGCCGGCTCAGCTGCAGCAGGCGCAGCAGAAGGCCATTGCCGACAGCCTGATGAGCACCAACCCGTACCTGCAGCGCCAGCGCGCCGCCGTGCCGCAGGCCCAGGTCGTCGACCCGGCCATGCAGCAGGCGCACCTGAACACGCTGATGGCGTACCGCGCCATGGGCCTGCAGTGCAAGGCGCCGGAGGACGAGGATGCAGGAGGACGAGGATGCGGGCAAGGAGGTTTCGCTCGATGAGTGGCTCGACGCCGAGAAGCTGACCGACCTCGAGATCGCCGGCACCTCCGACAAGACTGCGGCGCCGACCAGCAGCAGCCAGGCCATGGATGTTCCTGCCGACACCCGTGGCTACGCCCGCTGCTGCTGCCGTCGCTGCCTCGGAGGTCGACGAGCCTGAGCTCGAGGACACCGAGGAGAGCGAGCGCAGCTTTATTGCCAAGAACGCCGATGTCAAGACATCAATCCTGGTGCAAAAGTCGTACGCCAAGCGGTCTGTCGCTGTCGGCAACACCTCGGACGAGCCCGTGTCGTACCTGCGCCAGCGCGCTGGCATGGTTGCCGACCAGCCGAGGGAGGCTGTGCAGCAGCAGTCGGCGCCTGCCATGGACCGCCGCCAGCTGCTCGATGTTGCCGCCAAGCTGCTGACCCGGATCAACACGCTGTATCTGCAGAAGCTCAAGGAGGAGAGCAGCAATGCAGCTGTGCATGACCACGACGCCAGCGCCGGCGAGGAGGGATGACGACCTGGCAGAGCTGGAGAACGAGCTCAGCGCCATGGGCCTGGACGATGCCCCCGAGAAGGAGGAGGTGGTCAGCAGCCAGCAGCAGATCATGGACCGTCTGGCCAAGCTGAGCCTGGCGCCGTCGCAGGTCAATGCTTGAGCAAGCGAACTAAAAATGGACCATGCCACCATCCTGCTTGCTTGTCCCCTCTCAACATCCGTCAACACATTTTAAACTGTTCTCCCCTTCTATTTCACTCATTCATCATGTTCTATATATTTGTTGTTGCCTCCTACATGCATCACCAGGTGCTGATGTGCTACATACAATGTCGTATGCTATGCCATTAATAACTATTGCTAAACTTGGAGAGAAAGGGATGCTAGCTCGTCGGCGGCCTTGGTTACCTCGTCAATGTCCATCGCCTTGAGCATCATTGCCTTTGCATCCATCTTCAGGTGCGGGCCGCAGTTCAACATGGTATCCCACAGAAGCTTGACATCCTCAACCGACTGATCCAGCTCGCGGGTCCACTCGCTCAGCAGAACAGCCGGACTGCCAGTGTCTTTCAATGCCTTCTTGCACCGGCGGATCTGGCGCAGCAGGATGCTTGTCACAATCACCATGCTGATGAACGAGCTGGACTCGTACCGGTCGACCGGGATATCGCTGTTGCTCCGCAGCGATCCAGCCAGAGAATGTGCCGACCAGACGCACACCTTCCATGACTCGGGCTCGGTATCGTCAGCAACCAGTCCCTGTCCCCACACCCCACCAAATGCTGCCTTGAAGGCCTGTCGGAGCGCATGCTCCTTTGGATCGGCCATACCATCCTGATCGGCCAGTAGCTCGGGCGGACGGTCAAACTCGGTGAAGAACGAGCGGCGGTTGGCTGAGTGCAGGATGATTATGGCCGAATATATGTTGCACTGTAGGGCCAGACAGCGCAGCCGCAGGGCATGCTGGGCGTAGTCTGCATCGCCAAACCTTGCAGCTGGGTCGCCGAACCTGCAATGGTCCTCGTGCAGCGACTCGGGTTTCTTGACGCGGTCGAGCAGGGACCGCAGTTTCTGGTCGCAGATCTGGAACTCGGCATACTCGGAGACGACCTCAACATTGCGGCTTACTGCAATCACCAGATGCTCGGAGCCTGGCGTTGGGCTCAGGAAGTCGACAGCTGGGAATGGCCGCTCCGCCAGGTCTTCCTCTGGGTCGATCTTGGCAGCCTTGGCATTGTACAGGAACCTGGCGATCCGGCTGTCAACCGCAATCAGTTCACAGAGCAGCGCAAACGAGTGCGATATTGCTCCAGTGACAGCCGTCGGGTCGGTAGGCTGGGTGCTGGTGCTGGTGCTGCTGCTCTGCGACTCGACAGATTTCTCCCTGCGCCGCTCAATTCGTGCCGATGGGGACAGCGGGAAGTCGACGTCTATCCACTCCGAGTCGGCACACGGCGACCGCACATACATCACCGACTCAGGAATCATGGCTGGGCGGCCCTGGAAAAACGAACCGATTGAAGTCGCCGTGGATGATACACCAGAAGGTCCTGCGCTTTGTCTCTGCATCGACCCACTCGTCCCAGGTCTTCGCCTTCTTGGTTTTGTACAGGTCGATCTCGTGCCATCCCAGTTTGATAATGGTGCCAATTGCCACCGACATCAGCGCCGAGAACGACGTTGCTCGCTCATGGCGCATCTCGGTAATGTAGAGAAAGAACACGGCATGAATCACATCGATTGTCGGGGTCTCGATGGCAAATAGGATGCGTGCCTTGACGTTATCGATAAGCTGCTGCGCGTCAATGTGGTTGTAGGCACCTGACTTGATATACGGAGCTGACAGGGCTTTGATGATGTCGATGAGGAGCGGATTGACGTCGCCAGCAACAACTCGTCGGATAAATGTGGACGGATGGAAAACGGGCAAAAATGCGTAGATGTAATCAAAGAACGCCAGCAGTGCCTCTCGTGTGTCGGCGTCCACCTTGTCCGAGAAAAAGTCCTCGACCAGGGATCCAATCGGCGGTGGAGCGACGATTCCTTCCGACAGGCTGCTGCACTCAGACGCAGGTGTGTTTGGTTCGGCAACGACAGTCTTGCCCGGCGACAGCGCTTCAGAGCCAACTGACTTTTCTGGGCTGCTGTCGCGCACGCTGTTTGGCTTGCTAGTGTCAGGGGCCAAGAGGTTCGACAGATCTGCGGCAGAGGGCTTGTGCTTGATTGTCTTCTTCACTGGCTGCGCGGCGGCTGATATCTGGGCGTGGGTCCTGGGCTTTGGTCCACGCCGCTTCATTTTCCGCCATTGGCACCGGATGTCCCTCTTTGTGCAGCTGTTGCAGGGGTTGCCACCCTCACACTTTATACGCTTCGAGTGGCACCAATCGCATGCCTGGGTCCGCCTCTGCTTACGCACCAGCCCTGCTGAATCGGCGCTCGTCCTGGGGTGGCTGGTTGGGGATGTTTGCGGGGCACCCGTCTTTTGCATAAACAGATAGGGCATGGCATATCCCGGTATCATGTCACTAGCGTAGGGGTGGTGTCGGTAGTCTGCTGCTAGCGTCTCGAGCTCAACCCGCACTGCACCGGTCGGATGCAGCAGGTTGTCTGCCAGATGAGCCCTGGGCGGATGCTGATGCTGATTCTGGTTCTGGATTTGGTTCTGGCTCTGGTGCTGTAGCATGGGCGACTGCCTGAACTCTGCCACTTTATCCGCACTATTCGCGCGGCGGCGGGGTATCGATTCATTCATGTCAATAGTTGGTGGTGGTGGTAGTGGTGGTGGTGGAGAGTATTGCTCAAAGTGGGAGTGGAAAATTTTGCGTGTGAAAGAGGAGAAAAGGGGGAGTGCGGGGAGAAGATATACGCCCGGACTGATGCATGCCGGTTTGAAGAAGCTAAAAAAAAAAAAAGCGTACTATGCGGAATCATACACATCGTGGTGGCGTCAGCCATGCGTGCCTGAACTTTTCAAGAACATTAGCAACTGGCTGCTATTTATAAGAGTGAAAATTCGAAAATCAGCGTGTGCCGGTGGACCTCCGTTGTGGTGGTCGCTTTTGCAATATCCATTGATAGCAGCATGTCGGTCATGTCGGTTGTCGTCCATATCAGGTTGAAGCCCTGTAGTTTCCTCCACAGCACCCGTGTTTCCTCAACGCACCGCTCTAGCTCCTCCTGCCACTCTTCCAGAGACATTTGGGAGTCCCTGCCGGTCCCAAGTGCAGTCTTGCATATGTTTATCTGTCGCAACAGCACGCTCGATACAATAAACAGGCACTGTGCGGACGCATATGTGATGCGGGTGTGCGGAAGATCGCTGTTGCGCTCGATGAATCGCGCAAGCTTGTGTGCATATTCGACACACACCTTCCATGACTCGGGCTCAATGTCGTTAGCCAGCAGGCTCTGGCTCCAGGTTGCACCGAACCGCTTCTTGAGCAGCAGACGCTTTCTCAAGTCATCAGGGCTCATGCTCTCGGGCTGCATTTCGGGCGGGCAATCGAACTCGGCGAAGAATGACTGGTCGGTTCGACGAGTGCAGCAGGATGAGCACGGCGCAGACAAAGCACTGCAGTACCAAGTACCGAACACGCACCGGGAACTGGCCATACATGGTGTTCCGGAGGCAGCCTTCTTCTGACGCCCTGTCCATGAACTGCTCTGGTGGACTGGACCTGCGTATAGAACGTGCACAGGCGGTCCGAGTACTTCTGAAACTCTGGGTACTCCGAGATGAGCCGTGCTTTGCGGCGGATCGGGTAAGCCAGTATTCCCTTGCTGGGCAGCTTTTCCAGAAAGTTGGCTGCTGGGAACGGCCGCTCTGAAAGCCCGTACTTGTCTCGGTCGTATACCCCTGTCTTGGCATCCCAGAGGAAGCGGACGATGCGACAGTTGTTTGGAGCCCAGCTCGATGATCTTGGCGTAGGAATGTGACATGGCACCGCTGACAACGGTGCGGGTCTCTGTCAGCAGGCTTGGGGACGATGGTGGCTCGACACCAAGTCTGTAGGTTCTGTATCCTCTGCTGGCTGCCTACATTTGGGCGTGTAGTCTGCAAAGTCGATATCGTTCCACTCAGTGTCCATGCACGGCGCACGCACGAATATGACGGACTCTGGAATACTCGTTGAATGCCCGCCATCAGTAATGGACACCAGGTTGTCGAACTGGAAGACAGCCCAAAACACACGGCGCTTGGTTTCCATCTCGACCCACTCGGCCCATGTCTCTGGCTTTTTGGTCTTGTACAGGTCAATCTCATTCCACTTGAGCTGGATGATGAGCCCAATGGTCGCGTTCAGCAGCGCTGCAAGCGAATAATGGCGCTCCCTGAATATTTCAAGCAGCGACATAACCACCATGGCCTGCATGACTTCGAGCGACGGCTCCTCATCCATGCACAGCAAGATGCGGGATTTGACGCTTGTCACCAGCTTCTCGGTGTCGATGGTGTAGCCCGACATGTTGTATGAACTCAGTGCTTTGATGGCGTCGATGAAGCAGAGGGTTGGCCGTGTGGTTGACCACGCTACGGATGAGAGTGGATGGATGAAAGATGGGTAGCTTGGCATAGTGTATGTCAAAGAATGTGATAATTGCTTCGCGGGTCTCTGCACAGACCTTGTCGGAGTAGAACTGGTCCAGTAGATCGCCGACAGATGATACCTCAAAGCTCAGCGTGCTAGCATGTGCACTGGTAGTCTCGGGCAACTCCAAAGCACTCCTGGGTGTTGCTCTCGGGGCTGCTGGCAGACTCTTGTTTTGGCGAGAGGTGGGTTACGATTGCCACGCGATGGTCGCTGAGCAGCAGATTGGAGATGTCGGCTGCCGACGGGGCCTTCTTTTCAGCAGACTGGCTGGGAACGACGACCCCCGGCTTGCCCTTCCTCGGCTTAGGACCACGCCGCTTCATCTTTCGCCACTCGCATCGAACATCCTGGGTAATGCAGTTGTTGCACGGCACTCCCGCCCTCGCAGCGCGCGCGCTTGGCATGGCAAAAGTTGCATGCTTGTGTGCGTCGCTGCCGTCGAGGCGCCTTTCCGTGCTGCCACTGCACAATTGTCGGTGACTTGTCAGAAACAGCCTGCAGCGAGCTGGCCGACGTGGCTGGGACTTTGGCTAGACTTGATATCGATTACGCTGCCACTGTGTGCTGCTTCTGGGGGGTACGGCTGGAACCTGTTGTCTGGCTGTGCAGTGGCTGTCCGTGGGATTTGCGTGCGCGCACCAGAATACAAATCACCCGACGGAGGCTCCGAAGAGTGGCCAGCTCCAGAGATGGATAGCTGGGCAAATGTCGACCGATCATGATCTGCCTGAAGAAACGGCGGCGTGCTATTGTTTTGGCCGGCGGAAGCTAGCTGAGGGCTTGATGGTGTCGTTTGTAGAGACGGGAAACGCACTGAAGCCGCCGCTATTCAGAGTCCTGTCGGTGGTAGGCGTGGTGCATGGGTGAGGGCATGGCTGGCATCGGCACGGCTGGCATCGGCATGGCCGTCTGCCTGCTATATCTGGCCTGGTGGGAGTCCTGTGGGCTGGCCTATTCGATTGTCCATGTATGAGAAAATGAAACGGCAAAGGTGATGTCGTGTGGCAGCAGCCTAGCAAACGGTAAAGAAAAGACTGTAAAGAAAAAGCAGAGAAGAAAGAATTGCCAGGCGAAAGTCGCTCGGTGGTCCCAAGAAACCTGCGAGCTCCAAACCTTCACATGCAGCAGAGATCGTTGCAAATGGCAATGTTGAATTCTACTCAAAAGACCGCTGGAAAGCCTCACCGATCCGCACAGATCGCATGGAGTGTCCCCTGGTTTAGCCACCAGAATTCCCGGGTTCTTTTCCACACCAATGCCGAGCAAAGTTCTAGCGGCACCATTAAAGGCTCGGCGTTTGTTAGATCGGACGACAAGTGCAGTGGTCCAGCATATGCTAGGGAACACTGTACCACTGGAAATCTTGGCGAACTCGCTTTTAGGCCAATGACATTGGTGACCAGCTTTGGCTACGGTGCGTGTGGGGTTGAATGTTGACGCTAAAATTTAAAACACATCCGATTTTATTCCGACCTTTTTGGGCTTGGCTTACTCAAGGACAACGGTGGCACCCAGAGCCTCCAGCGCCTTCTTGATCTTCTCGGCCTCCTCCTTGGGAGCCAGGTCCTTGACGACCTTGGGCACGCTCTCGACAAACTTCTTGGCAGCAACCAGGTTCATATCAGGGATCAGGTTCTTAATCTCGCGGATGACCTTGGCCTTCTGGGCCGCGTCGATCTTCTCCAGCTTGATCTTGAACTCAGTCTTCTCAGCAGCCTTCTCCTCGGCGGCAGGGGCAGCAGCGGCAGCAGGGGCAGCACCACCAGGGGCAGCAGCGACCTGGATCGCCTCAGTGATGTTGAACTTGCTCTTGAGCGCGTCAACCAGCTGCGAGGTCTCAAGCAGAGTCAGCTCGGCGACCTTGTCGACAATGGCGGAGATCTTGGGGCTGATCTCGGCCGGAGCACCGGAGCCCTCGGGTGTGGCAATCGGCTCAGCAGCCCGCCGAACGGCGCTGATGTGCACGAGTCTGCGGCTGGCCATGGGGCGAGCAATGGAACGGACCAACGAAGCGCGGAACATTTTTCTAGTTCGACTACAGCAAGGATCAGGGATCTGGTTAGCTAGGGGCCTGTCGACATGTGCAGGAGTGCGCAGGCCGTCTCATGTTGTGGTGTGCGTAGGGCGCTCCGCATTGGCGTGATTCGGAGTCAAATGTCGGCTGCTGGGACTGAATTCGATTATGCAAGCGCAATTCTACCCCCAGTGCTGGCTCTTATCGCCTCTCCTACGGCGCAGTTCCGTGCCGCATTCCTCCTTACCTAGCGTTCTGATGTAAATTGAGAAAAAGGAGAGACGGTGGGAGAGGCGTGTGCCGAATTGAGACTGGAGCAAAGTAGAAAAGAGGTTCTTAGTCTAAGCAATGGCGCCAGGGCATAGATCGCAGACTCAATATTTTTCAACAAAAAAATGATAACAGGTGCAGCTAGACTCGGCTCGGCTCGGTGCTCAGGAAAACTTGTAGCTCTCTGGCAGCGTGCTGGTGCGCCGGTGCCCGCGGTCCTCTCGATCATCGCAGTCCAAGGCCGGTGCCAGAGTTGAGGACGGGGTCACGGACTTGCTCATCGGGTACTGCTGCTCTTGCGGCTGGATCAGAAACACGGTCGAGTGCCGCGGCTGGCTCGGCGATGTCAGATGCTTGGTGTACAGCATGACGGGCTTGAGCTCGCGGAACAGCTCGAGCGCGTGCTGCGACGACGGGTCGGCATTGTTCTGCGAGCGCTCGTTTACTTTGCTCTCGAACTTGTCCATGCTGGTTTCGAGGCAGAGCAAAAAGTCAAGGCTGACCATGCTGTTGTCCACCGCCTCGCCGCCCTCGGATGCCCGTGGCGTGTTTGGCGATAGCGACGGGTCGATAGATGAGGGGTGGTAGCCGGGGATGTCAATGGTCGATCTGATCGGTGGCGGGCTGCTGGTAGGGATTAGAGTTGGCGACCTTGTCCGGGCCAGCTTTGGTATTGCCGCAGTTGCATGCATGAGCTCCGGCGGAATGGCTGGCACCGGCGGAATCACCTCGTGGCTGCCTGCGTTGGGACGATGTAGCGAGACCTTGCTCTTGCGGCGCTCCTCGTTGGTCGCAACCTTGGCGCCGACCGATGCTGCCTGGAATTGCGAGGCCAGCTCGTCCATGGTAAAAGAATCGCTGTCGCTGCACTCGTCATCAGACATGTGTCCGTCGCCGTCGTGCAGGGCAGTGATGGATGCACCTGAAATCGACGAAATAGAGTGCAGGTACCTGCGCAGTTTTCGGCCGGTATTCGCGGATCAGGCCGTTCATGGGGGACAAGCACGGCTCCTTGGACCCAAACGACATGCCATTGCACAGCACCGCCATGACCTTGGCACATAGCAAGAGACCGCGGCGGTGGGCCGGCGACAGCTCGATATCGATATCATATGTGTCGGGCGCAGTCAGGATCGGGATGAAGAAGCGCACAAACAGGAGCATGCTGATGACGGTCTCTACTGGCGAGAAGTAGGAGCCGCTGAAGCGCTTGCTCAAGTGCTTCTTTGCGCGCTTTGCTTTCTTTGACTTTATATCCTGTGCCTTGGTCTTTGTGTTCATTGGGAATGTTGTGTCCAGCCTGTTGAGCTCTGCAAAGGACGATGTGACCAGATCCTGGATGCTCTTGCGCGTGTCTATCTCGGTCCTTTCGGCTGGAGATTCGGTGAAGATGCTGCTGCACCGTTTGGAGCTTGCTGCGCTTTCCCGACTACTCTCGTCTGTCAGTGCCAGGCCAAGCACAGCCTTCTCAAACATCTCGTACTTGTCCGACACGCTCTTTGGCTCCTCCAGCCGCTCCTCGAGAGCCGCGCTAATGTCTGACATGATATCTGTCTGCACTGTCGATTTCAAGGTCGGTCTCCCACTCGCGCAAGCTCCAGCATAGGGCTGCAGCTGCATCTTCATCTTCCCCGGAGAGTCGGGGCTGGCAGGCTTCAGCACATAGGAATTGAGCATCGAATCGTGCCTGGCGGCTGTCGCTACGGGTGGGTCCCACTGCGACTCGATTTCGTGGCGAATAAAGGCACACATTCGCCGCATCTCGGGGGGTGCATACTTGACAGCGACAAACACAGCATCCAGCACAGATCGACACACGGTATACAGGTTGAATGCATTGCAGTCGAGCGTGTCGGTGGTGGTGCCGGGGGGCAGGCGGAGCAGGTCGAGCTCGCAGCTTCTCCACATAGGGAGAGATTGCCTTCATAACCGGCTGCATGATCGACACAAGGTATGCCCTGCAAGTCTGCTGAAGATAGCACACAACCAGCATCGTGGCCAGGTTGTTGTCGCGCAGCAGGTTGCGCGGGATTCCGTGTAGCAGCCGCATAGTCGTGGATATAGTCTGCAAAGGCATCTGTGATACATGCCTCCACATGGTGCTGCGATTGCGGGTTGTCTCGGAGAAACGAGATCAGGTGGCTGGCAGTCGAGGCTGCCCGATCACCTGATATATCGAGCCGGCATATTGTTTTGGCCAGGGCAAAGTTGTGCTCGAGCAGCAGCACAGTGGACCGCTTCTGGATGTAGCTGGTCTCGAACTCGATGACGCCAGACTAAAATAGATTGGTTGTGCGAAGTTATTAATAGCATTCTTGGAGAAAATTGATGCAATTCATAAGACAATGGCCACCACGATTCATTGATTGACAAAATGGACCAGCAAGAGCAAAAGCAGCGGTTCCAATAGCGCTGCCAATAAACAAAGTGACGAAAAAGGCTCCAAGCACGGTCCCGCCGATTGTTGTCTAAAGACCACCTCTTTCATGTGGGGATTGCACAGCGAGATGGGTTGCAGCGCCATCTGTCAACAATTGCTCCTCCCCTCCCCATGGGCGCAGGCGTCACGCCTTGGCCCTTCACCTGTCCCTACCTAGCCCACACATACAAATTCGGAAGCCAGGACACTAATTATCAGGGCAGGCAATCCCCACAGAAGCATGTGCATCCAGCTTGCATGCACCTCCTTGTGGCAAGAAGGGCAAAACACAGAGCGCCTGGCACTGGGTGAATGCACTGGAGCCCGGCCCGGTTTTAGAAACCAAACAAAAACAAACCCACTTACCCTTTCTACGCGCTCGACTTTTGCGCGTGTCGGCGTGATGTCTGTGTTCAGCACCCGCGAGTTGCGGTGCTTGAAGAGCCGGCTGAACCGGCCGGCGGCCTACATGCACGAAGCACAAAATGGGTCATTGGTCTCACCTGCCATTGTCGTACAACGCAGACCACCCAGCCCATGGTCTGTATTGCGAGGTCGTGCCCGTTCATTGAATGCGAATCAAAATCGATGGCTGGGGGCGTTCTGTGTTCTGTTTTCAGTTACATACCGTCGCGTTCTGGGCGTTTGGTGGCCGGGCTCGTGGGATTGGTGTTGTGGTTCCACGCATGCTGAAAGGCAGTACTCCAAGAATAGCATCTGCTGTCGGCATCACAAGTCGACGTGGGCGTGTGCGCGGGCGTGTGGCGTGGAGGACGCTGAAAGCAAGAAATTAGTTCAAATAAAAGTGCCGGCGGTGCGAAAGAAGCAAGAAGCCGGAACGGAAAACGAATGATGCAGAGGGGGATTAAATAGACCGCTGGGAAAGATCTCAGGCGATGCAATGCGTATGTGGGCGAGTGTGATATGCAAGAGTCCTGCTCTACAGCAACAAAAAATGGCAACGAGGATAAAAATGAAAGGGAGGCGAATTTCAGAAAACGGAAAATAAAGAGAAGACAAAAAGACCACCAAGAGCGAAGACACTAGCGATCAGGTAACAGAAAAGTGGAGTTTCTCAGTGAAGTGGCTCGTAGCCGCCAAAAATAGACTGGCTCGGCCAGTGGCCCTTGATGGCAACCTTGTATGCAAGATGGTGATGTAAACTGTTGATTCCATACTGGGTATACCGAACAAGACACTACAGGCCACTAAGAATCTTCGCCTGCACTGCATTCTCCGCCTGCCAGACGCTGATTTTGTCCTGGCTATCGCGAATGGTCTTGAGCAGGAACTGCACGCGGCCTTGGAGCTCACATGGAATGCCAGGTATGATGGTGGGCGGCGACTGTGGAGGTGGGGCTGTCCTAGCATGCGGTTCACGCTTTGGATCCTGCTTGGGCTGGCTGGGCCGGCCAAACACCCACCCGAGCCACGACCTTGATCGACCAGACGCAGACTCCTTCTCGCTCTCGGCCGCCTCGGCCTGCAGCTGCAGCTGCCGGATCACAGGGCTGTTGCTGTTGCTCACTCTAAGAGCATCGGCAAAGAACATCTCCGCCTCTTGCGTGATGGTGACTTCATCGCCGTGCTTGGTGCGATCTCTGCCGGACCACGACGAGCTCCGGCCCCCACCCCCGCCCATGGCTGAGATCATTGCCAAGCCGGACATCAGCGCCTTGTGCGAATCCACACTGGCGCTAAACACGTTCATTAGCGAAAGCTCCTCCTGGGCCTTTCGGATTTTGGCAGTCTCGAGCTCGATGAACTTCTTGTTCATCTTCACCGACATGGACGAGGCAAATCCTGGATCATCCAGAATGCGCTGGAACGCTGCCTGGAAGATAGGGCGCCCGGGCTTAATCCTCGACGGACGGTCGTTCTCGTACTGCATGCTGATGAGCTGGGCCTCTTCCAGGCCAAGCAGCGCATTGTCCTTATCGACAAACAGCGTCGAATTGCGGATGCGGTCGTAGCTGACGCTGCCGTCGCGAGCCAGCTCAGTCAGCAGGTACCAGAACTGCTCCGGCGACCACGTGTGCTCGTACTGGCCCACCTCGGCATCGCCCGAGAATGCGTACTTGCGGATTTCGGTGATGGAGCGCTGGATGATGTCCTCCAGCGACCCGTCGACGCTCTCACCCGCCTTGACCTTCTGCACAAACACCTCAAGGTCTTCTAGTCGCCCGCCCAGGATACCGACGGCCGCCTCCAGCTTCTCACTCGATACGGCATCCAGCTGCTCTTCATAAAGGGCAGCTTCACGCTCAGCATCCTTGCTGCTGATGCGGTCGTCCTGGGGGAGCTGCGGCGCCTTAGGGCTCTAGCTGACTCTGCAGCATCAGCAGGGCGTTCATTGGCGATGCATCGTCCAGCGACAGCAGGCTGACAGCCCGCTGCGGCTGGGCACGCTGGATATCACGGTACCCGCCGATCGAATGGGTGGTTGCGATGACATGGGCCAGTCCCGACTCAACCATGCTCGCCTGCCCACTCTAGCATGACGCCGTCGACCATCAGGTCCTTGTCCTTGACGTTCTCCAGGATGATGATGGGGAATGTCCTCGGGCGGCAGTAGATCGTTTCTGCCCAGCAGGTCGTCGACATTCTCGTCCGCAATGGCGCCCCTGGATCCAACATGCCCCTCGCGAGCAATCTTTTTGGTGGTGAATCAGGCGGTCACGGCGGATCTTGGTCAGCACCAGTGCTAGACAATCAAGAACCTTGCGCGTCTGCGACTCGGGCGTTGCCGAGATACCAGCCTTGGATCCCGTAGTAGCCGCTACCATCAGATCAATCATGTTGGTAATGCTGATGATTGCGCTGAAGATCGGCCAGTACCCGAGCTGCTTGGCCAGCAACGCCATCTGCTCGATCTCAGTATGCACCGACGACAGCTTGGCCGCGTCAATAGTGATCCGGTACTTTTTGTTGCGCGTGGCATTGCGCACCAGCAGTGTCTTGCCAGAGCCGTGGGGGCCAGAGACCACAACAAAATTCTCAGGCGGCTCGTTCAACATCGAGACCAGCCTCTCCTCCTGCTCGACGCGTGCCGACCACATCGACACGCGCTCACCTGTCGACGTATCGCGCCTCAGCATGTCCCACAGGCTGAAGTCCTTGCGCAGCTTGCCGATAATCGGCAGGCGAGAGATGTCAAAGCGCCTGGTGATCTTGTTCTCGACAAAGAACTCGCGGATCGGGTCAAACACAGCGTAGATGGCTGCTATCAGTGCCGCTGCTGCCAACGGGATGGTGAACTTTGAGTGCGATTTGAGCCATTGCAGAATGACATTTTCGTGGTGCATCTGTATGTACGACAGCAACAGCTTGGTATCGCCCACTGTATCTCCGTGGACGCAATTGCGCGCGCTGGTGGCAGACCGCAGACGCTGGAAGTGCACATTGGCCCAGCGCGGCGTGTCCTTGTTTGACGACGGCTGCTGCTCAATGTCCAGAATCCGTCCAAACGGCCTGAATTCTCTAAACAGATCTTCTACAGACAAGTCCTTGCCAGAGAACTCGACCTTGACCTTCTTCGACGGCAGCAAACGCACAATGTCCTCGTTGAATGGAGTCCCCATCACCGAAAAGACCCGTGCTGGTTCAAACGTATACCACTTGCTGCCCGATGTTGCCTGCACGTGGGCATTGATAGTGTCCACTAGGTCCTGCGCAGCCTTTTGCGCCTCTTGGCCGGTGGTCGGACCAGTGATTGTAAAATACACGATGCTGCCACCGTCGCGCTGGTGCGGCTCAACCATGTCCACAGCAAAGCTGTTGGGCAGTCCCTCAGGAAGCAGCGCCAAGACCTTCTGCCGCATGGTGTCAATGTTGCGTGACATAATGTATGGCCGGATATCAAATGACGACATCTTGAGCGGAAACACCTTGTCGATAAACAGGCCGGCGCGGTACTTTGCTGCACCCGTAGTCTCGTCGGGCGAGACTTGCTCAACATGGATGTCGCGGTGCTGGATACGGGCCATGAGCTGTCCATGGTAGAGCGTCGCAACCCAGGCCCGCCGAACAGGCCGGATGCCCTTATGTAGTATGTTTCGCGATAGCATTAGAAACTGAGCTTGAATTTGGAGAAGAGCAAGGCCAAAACTGGTGGCTCTTCGTCACGGCATCTGCTCGCCAGAAGCATTCGGCTGTGTCTTGGCACCCGGCTCGGCTCGCGGACTGACAGTTCCACCAGCCCCAGAAAACCAAAAAAAAAAAAATTAGAGCGTCGTCCCGGCCGCTTCTTGCTCCAGCTTGTCCATCGAATTTTATCTTTACTCTCTTCATTTCTTGCACAATGGACGGCTACCTAGACAGACTCTCGCGCACCTTTTCCGACCACCGCGTGCAGCTAGTGACAGCGGCAGTTGCTGCCTCAGCAGCGACGGCCAGCGCCATGTGGGGCACTCGGCACATTCAGCGGCGGCAGCGTGCGCGCAAGCTCAAGAAGGAGTCGATTGACCTGCTCTCCCTAGGACGACAGCACTGTCTTTGGCGACGACTCGCAGACCCAGTCCACGCCTCTTCTCGAGAAGGGCGCGGCAGGTGACCAAGCACACGCCGATCTCGTTGACGCCAAACGAGGAGTCACTGATCCGCGAGCAGCTAGCACGGCACTACGCCTTCCTGGGAGACGACGGCATGAAGAGGCTGCGCGACAGCTTCGTTGTTGTGGTAGGTGCTGGTGGTGTTGGGTCGTGGGCGGCGACTGATGCTGCTGCGCTCGGGGGTCCAGCGCATGCGCATCATCGACTTTGACCAGGTCACGCTGAGCTCGCTGAACCGCCATGCTGCGGCGACACGGTCCACAGTGGGAATCTCAAAGGTCGAGGCGCTGCGGGCCAGCTTTGCCGACATTGCACCGCATGCCAAGATCGATACCCGCGTGTCGCTGTTCAATGCCGATAACGCCGACGAGCTTCTGGGTGGCGAGCCAGGACTATGTGCTGGACTGCATTGACAACATGGATACCAAGCTTGATTTGATCATGTACTGCAAAAAGCACAATCTGCCGGTCATTAGTGCCATGGGCGCTGGCATGAAGTCCGATCCGTCGCGCGTGCAGATCGCTGATATCGGCGACACATTCGAGGACCCGATGTCGCGGGCTGTGCGGCGTAAACTCAAGAAGATAGGGCGTCGAGAGCGGCGTCAAAGTCATCTATTCGACGGAGAAGCCCGGCAAGGTCGGTTTGGTGTCGCTAGGCTGAGAGCCAGCAGGAGCAGCCGGGCGATTTCTCGGTGCTGCCTGACTTCCGCGTGCGCATCGTTCCCGTGCTGGGCACCATGCCGGCCATGTTTGGAATTGCCATGGGCACGCATATTCTGACCGAGCTGGCTGGGTTCCCGACCGATCCTCTAGCAATCAAGGGCCGCAACGCGCTGTACGCGCGCCTGCACCGCGAACTGGGCAACCGCGAGGTGAAAATTTCGCTGAGCGGCGGGACAGCACCAGCTGTGGATGTCCCCTGATGACGTTGGCTACATCCTGGAGGAGATCTGGCGCGGAAAGAGCGCCATTTCGGGCAGCACTGACAAGTTAGCCCTGGTCCGCTGGAAGCGCGATTTGCCGATGACGACACACAACTGCATCGTCATGACCAAGAAGGAGGCCGACGAGCACGAGAAGATCGAGGGCAATCCAGAGGATGTCTACCCGGCCGGCATTATTGCGTTTATCAACGAACGGTTCGAGGAGGAAAGGCGTCTCAGCCAGCTGCGCTAGCAGCCCTATAGAGTCTGTAGTTCTCTGTCCTGAGGTCTTTGAGCAATGGATCTATTTATGGCACTGTGAGACCTGAGTTTGCTAGGCGCAGTCCTCACATACAGATCGATGGTTTGTGACGTCTGCACACGTCATATTTGCACAGCCCTATTCGCCACTAGTTTGTGAGATTGGCTAAGGCATCTCCCGGACTGTGTCGGGTTTCCGTTGACAAGGGGCTACTCCTTCGGATCTGGGCACGGTTTCAAAAACAAATATTTGATCGAGGATATTCGGCCCAGCTGTAATGCAACACGCCTGTGTGCAATGGTAACTCGGTCAGCGTATTAGCAGCGATAAAAGCCAATGTGCGCCTGGCAAGGCACGTACGGGATCGTATAAGGCAACCTGTTGCGCACATCGATTACATGTGCTATGCTACCCGGTTCTTCCATGTTTGGGCTGCCATTGCTTGAGTACCACCTTGCTGCTCGGCCATGCAAAAGCCAACACCGAGCGTCAAGGGTACTGTCGAAAGGGTTGGCGTTTGCTGCTTAAACACGGGCGACTTTGGTGGTACGGCCACCGATCACACCAATTATGCAGATCGATATCTGTCGACTTGTGTCGCTGGCATATGCTTCTGCATACCTATTAAATACCAGCTAATCCATGCTGTTGGTGACTGGCGTATTTGCTATTAAATAGCTCTGTGGCAGGCCCCGCCTCGGCGTATACAGTGTTTACAGCGGAAACCGGTGCCATATGACAGCCGAGCCTTTTCGCTCAGCAAGATCGGCACGGCTTTCAGATGCCAAACTGGCGGAATTAGAACAACTGCTCGCCCGACTATAAAACGGTGGCGCTCGCTGAGCGCCTGCGGGCGTATGCATGGGCCATTCAGCTTTGCTTCATTGAACCTTCCCTTTTCCTCATTAGCCACTCGGACTTTTTCGCAATGGTTTCTTCCCCATCAGGACAACTCGACCATCCGTGGGTTTACATCACCTGCCCACGACGTTGACATGAGCAAGATCCTGGAGCTGGAGGAGCTCGATGTCAATCTCTACCGTAGCAAATACCTGCGCAAGCCAGTGCACGCGCGCGGTGTGTTCGGTGGCCATGTCGTTGGCCAGGCGCTCGTCTCCGCTACAAAAACCGTCTCGCCAGAGTACAAGGTGCACTCGCTGCACTCGCATTTCCTCCTAGCCGGCGACAACACCGTGCCCATCATCTACGAGGTTCAGCGTGTGCGCGACGGCCGGATCATTTGCTACCCGCGTAGTGCTGGCCAAGCAGCACGGCAGGGGTATTTTTACTTGCACAATTTCGTTCCAGCGGCCTGAAAAGTCACAGCTGGTGCACCAGTACGTTATGCCGGATGTGCCGCAGCCCGAGAGCATCCCGTCGTGGGGAGAGGTGTACAGCAAGGCCAAGGACATGCAGGATCTGCCTGATCGCTTCCGCGAGTATCTGGCGCTGCGCTACGAAGAGCCGCTGCTGATTGACGTCCGCCGCGTGTCCAACATGGACCCGAAGGACATGGTTGAGCCGAAGGCGCTGCCGCCGCGCCAGCTCATGTGGATGCGCGCCACCGAACGGCTCAACGGCGACCCGTCGATCCACCACTGCGTGCTGGCGTACTGCACCGACCACGAATTCCTCGATACCTCGGTGTTGCCGCATGCTGTCAGCGCCTACAGCCCGGACCGCCAGCTCAACATGATTGTCAGCCTGGACCACACTATTTGGTTCCACGCTGACTTCAGAGCCGACGACTGGCTGCTGTATGAGATGGAGAGCCCGTATGCCGGCGGCGGCCGCGGCCTGTCGTTTGGCAGGGTGTATACAAGGGACGGTCTGCTGGTAGCCTCGATTGCCCAGGAGGGCGTGATCCGCGCAAACATCAGCGGGCCATCGGACGAAAAGCTCTTTGTCAGTGCGCCGATCACGGAGTACACACCAGCCGTAATTCCCGACAGGCGACGTGCTGCAAAGCTCTAAGACATGTAAAGTGATTTTTCAACGGTTCATTATGAAAGAGTTCACTGAGAAACTATATACGGGGCCAGCAGGTTGTGCGCACACTTGACCACCGGGTACTCGCTCGAGTCCTCGCCCAGAGTCCTGAGCATGTCTTCGACCTCAATAAAGATCTTGTCGGCAAACTCGGCCTTGCACGGCTGCCGCCATCCACACTGGTCAACCATGACAGAGTACAGCGAATCTGCCTCGTCCCTGCTGTGCTCTTCAGAATACAGATCGTGGATTCCAGCGACGATCGGCCTGGAACACGCGCACAACCAGGCCAAGCGACGGCTCAGTCTGGTCGCCTGTGGTCTTTTAGTGCTGCTGGCCAGATGCTGAGCACATTGGCAATGACTGGCAATGTGTGGGCCTGGTCGACTGCCTCCATCAGCAGGTCGCACAAAAGGACGCGCAGCCGTTGGATGTCCTGCGCCAGGAAACAGAGCGCAGCAAAGATTCGGGCCAGAGAGCAGGTCGCTGCTACGGTCCGGTCACTGCCACTGATGGTGCGCTGGGCCAGCAGCCGCATCAGGTTGCCAAAGAACTGGACCCGGTCGCACTTGTAAGCAAAGATCCACACCGCCATCGCCACATCCGACTCGAAGCTGCTAAGGCGCCTGGGGACATGCCCAGCGATCTGGTTATCAACGACAAAAGCGACAGGTCGCAGGCAGGCCGCTATCGCTGGCGGAGCCCGGGGCCAACAGCACCTTGCCTATACCCGGGCTAGCCATGTGCGACGAAAGCGTCTTCAGAAACTCCGCAGGGTCGACCTCGGGGATCTCGCCAGTGATCTGGAGCAAAGACGCGTGCAGCTTCTGTGGAGTCTTCTGCAGGATGCTGAAGAAGCGTTTGGCACGGTTGGCGCTGCTAATGCGCTTGTCCTTGAGCAGCCGCTCAATTGACTCGACTGTCTGCTCCGTGCCGCTTGCTTGCTTGGCTGAAGGGACATTGGCTGTCTTTTTCTGCACCGCTGGCACGCCGTTTTGCTTGGCAAGGCTGATGCTCGGAACCTGCTTGGGCCGCTTCGCCAACACTGTGCCCGACTGAGCAACCTCCTCACCCACATCCTGGGCCCGTTTCCTAGGTGTGATCGGCTGTAGGGCTGGGCGTGCATCATCGACTGCTGGCGGCACGGAGTGCCCAGCACCATCACGCAGATGCATAATCTTGACCTGCTGTTCGGTCACAATCTCCTGCAGCGCCCGCTTCTCAGTCTCCAGCTTTTCGACCTTTGCCCTCAGCGCAGCAATCCTCGACATACAGCGCCTCGTGCTTCGAGCTATCAGGCTTCGCCTCTGCCTGTGCCTTCCGGCCACGAGCTCCTTGGGAGCCCCCGCGACCCGCAGTCGCTGTTTGAGGTGCTGCTGCTGCTGATGTTGCTGCTGCTGATACAACGCCTGCGGCTGCTGAGCGTTTCGAATTTGACGAGTGCCGCAGCCGCATCGGCCGCTCATTTGCTGCCTCCTGTGCTTCCTTCAGCTCGCGCTCCAGCTCTGTAGTCCTCTGCACCCTGCTCTTCAGATCCGACTCGAGGGCAATGATCTTCAAATCAAGCTGCGCAATTGGTGCTGGCAGCGTCGGTAGGCGATATGTTTGCGTTCGACACCTCGGCAGCTATTTCGCTGTGGCTGACCTCGGTGCCCTCAGTGATGTGCAGGGCCGTCTCCAGTTTCTCGATCTTCTGGTCGCGCACCTCCAAGTCTGCCTTTAGCTGGTCGATTTCGGCCTGCAACGTCGCTACCTTGCCACGCGGTCTGCGGCCGCCTTCGGGGTTCTGCTTGCGCTCGAGCTCCTCAACCATCACTCCCAGCTTGCGGATTGTCTCGTCTTTGTGCACAGCGTCGACGCGCAGAGTAGCCACTTCTTCGCGCAGCTCTTCTACAGCCATATCGGCCACATCCTCGATGGCTGCTGAGATGGCCTCGGCTGCGGTCGACGTGGACTTTGGCCGCGGGCGTGTTTTTTGCTTTTGGTGTTCCTTTGCATGCTCCTTTGCCTTGGCTAGCGCCGTCTCAAGATCTGCTATCCGCTTCTCATCGCGCTTCATGGCCCGTGTGTACTTTGCAACCTCTGACCGGTGCTCCGATCCGCGCGCCTTGTTCTCCGCCTTGGCCGCTGCCTTCAGCTCATCAATCTCCATTTGCGCGTCCTGGTAGCTCTTGGTCATGGTATCGAGACTGGCCTTGAGCTCGGCCGCGTTCTCCTCGAGTTGTGATGTGCGCATGGTCAGATCCATCTCCAGCTGCATCAGGCGCTCTTGCTCCTGCTCCAGCTCCGCCTCCTTGCTGGCCAGCGCCAGCCGGTGCCGCGTCATCTCCTTCTCCTGGCGGTCCACAAGCTCGGCCTGCTCGCGCGCGTACTTTGCCTGGATACTGATAACCTCGGCTTTGGTCGACGACCGGATCGAATCACGTGCGATTTTGAGCGACTTTATCGATCCTTCCTTTGCCAGCAGGTCCTTCTTTAGCCGCTCAACTTCCTCCAGCAACGAAGTGTTAGGTGACTTGGGCGGTGCGCCAACGCTGACTGCCGACTGGCGGAGCTCCGACACCTTCGCCTCCAGATCCTCCTTCAGGCCGCGCACACGCGACAGCTCGCGCTCGCGCTGCACCAGCAGGGAGCGTGCATCGTCGGTCTCGGCATTGGCCTTTGTTAGTTCGCGGTTCTTTGACTCCATGTCGCGCTGCAGGTTCTGGTACGCTGTGTGTTGTCGCTTCGCCTCATCGCGGCACTTTGCGATCTCTGCCCTGGCCGTGGCCAGCTCCTTCTCCTGGTCATTGAATACCTTCAGCAGCCGGACTGGTGTTTACCACTGCCTCTTTGAACTGCCGGATATTCTGCGCCGGCACGCTGACTGTGACATTGCTGGAGTCTGTGGCTGTGTCTGCTGGGCGATTCCCGCTGGGTGTGTCATTGCCGTCCTGCGCTGGTCTGTCTGAGGGTGCTGGCGACTGGGTGCTGGCTGAATCGTTGGCGGCCTTTGACTCTGGGCGCGTCCCGACATCCATTTTTTTTTTCTTCCTTTTAATAAATACACGAATTACCGTACGAAATGGTTTTCGAAATAAAAAAATTACACGCCACGCTTGCGAGTTTGTAGCTTTTTCTTTTTACCAGTGGAGCGACTCGGCTCGATCGATTTCGCGCCTCCTTTCGTGGCAGCTTGTTAGGAAAATTGGCAACCCACCTTTTTCTCCTCCGATAATTCAGCTTTTTTTTTCTTGCATTCAACAAACTCTATTCAATGGCCGGGCCAAAGCAAAAGCCAAAGGGGCTGAGCCGCGAACTGACGTCCCTATACCTGGAGAACCAGCCGGTGCCTGTGGCGCTGGACCAATTCCGGGCCAAGCCAAAATTCGGCACCAAAGCAGAGCGCTGGGTGTGGCGAGGGTTCAAGAGCAGCGCGCGCAACGACGACCTTGTGCTGCACCACTGGACCAAGGCCAACGAGCAGTTTACAGACTACTTCTACGCGCGGTACAATGCAAAGACGAAGCCGTGCCAGTACACCGATGACGAATACACAAAGCGCATTGAGCCATTAGACGCGGCGTGGACGCGCACAGAAACGGACTACTTGCTGAAGCTGTGCGAGCAGTTTGACCTGCGGTTCGTGGTGATACATGACCGCTACTACACACACCCGGAGTGTCCGAAGGAGGGGATGAGGCTGGACCGCACGCTGGAGGACTTGAAGGACCGGTACTATGCGGTGAGCCGGGTATTGACGCAGAGCCGGGCACAGCAGGATACACGCGATCTGGATGACCTGCCATTGCAGGCAACAAACAAGCTGGCTGATGACCTGGCGCTGCTGCGGTTCGATAAGACCAAGGAGCAGGAGCGAAAGAGGTATCTCGAGGCACTGTTCAGACGCACCAAGGATGAGATTGAGGAGGAGGAAATGCTGATTGCCGAGGCACGGCGCATCGAGGCTAACGAGCGGCGACTGGTGCATGAGCGCGAGATGCTGATCCAGTCGCATGTGCTGTTCGATGAGGTGCCCGCCGGAGATGTGGGCCCAGCAGTCAAGGTGCAGTTCTCGTCAGGCTCAGATCTGCCGCTGCAGAGTGGAGTGGCGACTCCACTGGGAGAGCACGGCCGGGTGCGCAAGGGCGGGCCTGATGGGTCAGACACGGGCAGCATCAAGTCTATAAAGCGCCACAAGTCGTCGCACAACGTGGCGGGCAGACATCGGGCGGGCTCGCAAAAGGCCGATGCGCACCATGGAGCACCCAAGCTGAGCACCAGCAGCGTTGATGCCGGTGGACGTCACCGCACGCCCTCATCGCCGGGGCTGGGCAGCGCACCGCGTGTGAAGGACGAGCGTGGCTCGATGCCGCCCGAGTTTGGCAAGCTGACATTTGCCACTGAGGAACACCTGGTGGATCCGGCAATCTCGTATGTGAGTATCGGGGAGGGCGAGACCGTGGCTGTTGCGCAGCGCGATACCAAGCTCGGCCCTGGCGTGTTCCTGCGGTCTGACAAGCTACACCCGATCCCCAAGAACAAGCTGGAGGCGGTCAAGGATTTCATGCACGACCTTGGCCTCAGCAGCCCGAACACAATCTGGCCGCGGCCCGTGATGGCCACGCCTGCAGTGTGCGACCGCTTCGACAGCCTGCAGTCGACAATCATCCCGCTGCTGGACTGCAAGAAGACCGTGGACAAGCTCGAGACCGAGGTCCAGGTGCTGCGGTCGCGGCGGCGGCTGCTGGTCAACGACATCGGCGAGGCCAAGGCACAGGCCATTCGTGAGCAAACTGCCGCCGCTGACGCCAGCCAAGATTGCCGAGGCCAGCCGGTCGTTGTCTCCGGCAGGTCAGCGAGACGCCGCTGGCGGGCAGACATAACCGCAAGGGCAGCTCGGCCAGCAGCCGCAAGAAGCACCGCGACTAGGCTGTTTTTTGTTGGAAATGGGACATGTTTTATTTGCGCCTTCGCCGAATAAATCTATGGAAAGTCTGTTTTTACAGCCGGAGCCTGGGGATGCATGTAATATCCCACACTCGCAGGTGGTGGCGACTGTGCTGACAGTGAGAATTGAAAGGCCGCTTTGTGTGACACGGAAATGCCATGTTCGATGCGGCCCTGCTTATCTTACCCATCAGTAAGCGCCCAGATAGGGGTAAAAAAGCCGGCACCAGTTGCTTACCGCAATGGTGGCTCTTCTTTTGGCTCTTTTGGAGGGAGGCGGGCCCTGTTAGGCAGCCAGGAGCATAGTCTGCGCCTGCTTTCCGCTCAGCCAGAATGGTCGACACGACCTGCTCCAGGCCCATGCGCCCAATGCTGGCGTTATCCTTGAACCGATTGACGCAAAAGTCTTCGACCCTGCTCGCAAACCGCGACATGGCCCCAGCGGCCTTCACCTGCGCGGACTGCACAAACACCGTGTGCTTGACGTTCTCCGGATCCGGCTTGTACACGATGTGCTCACCGACCGACAGCAGGTTGCCGAACGTCAGGTTCTGGCTCTGCATGGTCAGCGTGCGCTGCTTCGGGTCGACCTCCGAGTACTCAAGCACGTACGAGACGTCACCGCCAAAGAGCTTGCGAATCAGAGTTGGCACGTTCTGCTTCACCATGATGAGCCGTTCCATGCGCAGGATGCCGGTGGTTTCGTCGAGCTCCTGGTTGATGACCTCGACGTGGCGGACGTGCGGCGTCTTGTCGTTCGGGTACTTGCGCCAGTTGGCCAGACTCACTGTGTCCCAGTCGTGCTTGAAAACGTGTGTGGCCTCGAAGAGTCTCATTGTGAAGGGCTGTTGAGAAATTAGAGTAGTGAATGCAGATAACGAGAGTAATACAAGAACAGAGGAGAAAGCACGCCCAGGGAGAAAGACAAACCGACTCTGCTGGCACCAGGAACAAAAGAAAAGACGATACAGGGAGGCGAGAAGAAGGTGCGGTGGGGACGGTTGAGCACAGGCGAACCGTCTTTTATACCATGAATGTGAAAGAGTCCACTTCAAAAAAATTTCGCACCCCAACGAAATCGCGCACCGGGTTGAGACTGCTTTCCGCTTGCGATTGGACAACGGGGGCTGCGATTGGCTCGAATTTCCCTGGCGCTTATAGAATGTACCCGCCATATCGCGGACATGGCGGAACATCTTGCCAAGGAGCGCCGCTGAACATGCCTGTGTCCATGCTAAGGATAGTCGCCGGTGGCGAAAAGAGCGGGGGTCTGTATATGTCGCGGTCGGCCACGACTGGCCATGTGTGATGCTCCCAAGCAAAGTACCACTTGGCTCTGTGGATAATGTGTAGAGATAATGCGGGGAAGGGATCTGCAGATCCGGTGATTTCATGATCTGGACGGTGGTCCTGCTTGGGCAAAATGACGCTGGGCATGAGCCCCGAAGGCTCGCATGCTATCGACTCCCATGGAGTCTGACAGTGCATAGGTTGACTGCTGAGAAATGTAGAGCGGAATGGTGCATAGGATAGCTCAGAAGTAAACTGGCATTGCACTGTAGCTGCACATCTTGTACCATCTATGGAGCTGGCAGCGTAGCCGCTTTACATGCTGCTGGAAAGCGGCCAGCAACCCGGAATTTGCAACCACCAGCAAGGCATGCGCAGCATGGTGGTCCAGGAGGCACGTTGAACATGGATGCAGAAGTGGAATGCACCAAAGTGGCATGCCCCCTTCTCCATGTCCATCGGAGAGGTTTGCAGTCCAGCAGAGCCCATCTGAGCCATTCTGTCCGATTGTCAGAAGTTCTTTTTTCTGCGATCGTCCCCAGCGATCAGTCTAGCAAATTGGCACCTTTTCATTTTTTTCCAGGAGCAAAAAGATGGTCGCCACGTCACGCTAGCAAGCTCGGCCAGTGAGGAGTTCTCACGGCAAGAAAGTGGGCGTATTTAGCCAACGCGCAGCGGCGCCATTCTTCGCGGTCTGCTGTTCTTCTTGTCTCTTCTTTCGGTATATTTCTTTGGTATTCTACAAGGCATTGTTTTTGCAAATGACAAGACTCAATCTGCTAATGCTAGCAGCACTGACCGTGCTGAGCAGCAACCGGGCCATGGGCGACGAGGTTCTGGAGCAAGCCAGCGGACGTGCCGCCAGAGGCCAAGCCCACCATCAAGCTGCCTGCATTTGAGCCCTATGCGGTCGATGGTGCCGCTATGTGGGAGCAGTTCACTGACTCGAGCGCGTCTCGCTGGCGGCGTAGCCAGGCTGAGAAGAAGGGCGAGGAGGGCCTGCGCTATGACGGCGAGTGGGAAGTTGAGGAGCTGACCAAGCTGGCGGGTATCGAGGGCGACAAGGCACTGGTGGTCAAGAGCGAGGCTCGCCACCACGCCATTTCGGCCAAGCTTGATAAGACATTCGACCCGGCCACTGATGGCATGGTGTTCCAGTACGAGGTCAAGCTGCAGGAGAGCCTGGGGTGCGGCGGTGCGTACGCCAAGCTACTGACCACGCCGTTTGCCGGCGAGTTCAGTGACGCTACTCCGTACACGATCATGTTTGGTCCTGACAAGTGCGGTGAGAGCAAGATCCATCTCATCTTCCGGCACAAGAACCCGATCACCGGCGAGTACACTGAGCACCACCTGGACCAGCCGCCGATGCCGCCAGTAGACCACCTGTCGCATCTGTACACCCTGGTGATCCATCCGAACAACACATTCAACATGCTGGTAGACAACGTCGAGAAGCGCACTGGCAGTCTGCTGGCTGACTTTGTGCCGCCAGTCAACCCGCCCAAGGAAATCGTCGACGAGAACGACAAGAAGCCAGAGGACTGGGTTGACGACGCCGAGATCCCTGATCCTAAGGCCAGAAAGCCGGAGGACTGGGACGAGGATGCGCCGCTGCTGATTCCTGACGAGGAGGCTGAAAAGCCTAAGGGCTGGCTTGAAGACGAGCCGCTGATGGTGCCGGCGCCCGACGCCGAGAAGCCCGCGGACTGGGACGATGAAGAGGATGGCGATTGGTCGCCGCCGCTCGTGCCCAACCCCAAGTGCGAGGACGCCCCTGGGTGCGGCCCGTGGGAGCGGCCCATGAAGCGCAATCCTGAGTTCAAGGGCCAGTGGAGCGCACCGCTGATCGAAAACCCGCTGTACAAGGGCCAGTGGGCGCCGCGCAACATCCCGAACCCGGCGTTTTTTGAGGACCTGGAGCTGTACAAGTTGAACAAGATCGACGCTGTCGGCTTTGAGCTGTGGACCATGCAGGCCTGGCATCTCATTCGACAACATCTACCTGGGTGCCAGCGCCGACGTTGCTTCTCAGATCGCCAAGGACGTGTGGGCGCCCAAGCTTGCTTCTGAAAACGAGGTTGAGGTGGCCACGCGCCCCAAGCCGCCTCCTGCCCCCAAGCCGCAGATGCCGCCGGTTCTCGACATGTTCAAGGCGCGCTTTGTCGAGGTCATCGACAGCATTCACGCCTTCTACGAGGAATTCACCAACGAGGGCATCATCTCGGCTCTGCGCAACGAGCGCCATGGTGCCTTTGGCATCCTGATGTTGGCGGCTGGCCTGAGCTGGATGATGTGGAACATCGTGCTGGTCTTTGGCTTTGTGAGCCGGATCTGGAGGGAGACCACACCCAGGGCTCCTGGTGCGGGTGCTGCCGCCGCCGGTTCTGGAGATGCCGCCGAGGGATCCTCGACTGGTCGTGCTGCCGCTGCTGCCACCACTGCCACCAAGCGCAGCGCGAAAAAGTCAGAGTAAAATCAACGCAAAACCTACAGCCAACCGGTTTGGGAGTGACGTTTCTTGGCGGTGCCTTCTCCGCATGCGGCCTTGCTTCGCTTCACCTTTACTTTTCTCACATTGTCTCAATTAAAAACACTTTACCCCTTTTTTGCATTTCGATTGACAGATGGGAGGAGAGAACAGCAAATTGGCCTTCCGCAAGTGTGTGTTCCGCCTGGCCGAGCAGCGAGTACGTTCATTAGACTCTGCCCAGCATGCATGTCTGCCTTTGACACCACCTGTTTCTAACCAGCCCTTTCTCTTGCTTCTGTAGAGCCTTCCCGATAGCGCCGAGGATGCATGGAGCCCAGTAAGTAGAGCTGCAAAGATAAAAAAGCATGTTTACCTGCATCCGTGGTGAGGACTCGTGCTAAATAGCCTTGGCCCATCCTGTAGTTTTGGCTGCTGCCTGAAGGACCAGGTGACGTATTCTCGCTGGTGACGCCTGCCGATATCCGGCGAATCCGCGACCATGCGCAGGAGAACTTTATAAAGCTTATTGACAAGGTGTTCGATCGGCTGCTGGTGATGAAAGCAGCGCCTGATCTGGCAAAATCGCCTGCGAACACTAAGCAGCTGCTAAACTGCGTGCGCGTGCTGACACGTCTAATCCCGTTCGCCTTCGAGCAGTGCCCTGACGGCAGCAGAATCGAGGACATATTGCTGTGGACTCAGCGCCCGCGGCCTGGCAGCGGTGCGGACTATATACTGGGCCGCCAGCTGGTGGCAGCTACCATCGACCTGCTCTTTACGTCCGGGTTTACGATTCCGGCGGCTACAGTGGGCGAAAACGCGGTGGTGCGCTATACGATCTGGGAGAACGGTGTGGGGCAAACGTCATCGCTGGGGTCGTCCAAGGAGCATATCAGTAACCGGGTCGAGGTTATGCGCCTGCTACTGGTGTTGTGCTCAAAGACTATGTATGTGACGCCACCGCATGCTGTGGCCCAGCCGAACGAGGCCCTGCACCTTGTATCGTACAACACAAACAAGAAGATGGTGCTTTGCCTGCTGTGCAGTCTGATCAACACAGCGCTCAAGGACCGCACCCAGGGATGGGCACTGCCGTACCGCAACTCGGCAGTACAGGACCCATCAGAAACCCTGGCGCTGCAGTCGATGCAAGCGCTGTTCATCCTGCTTGACTACCAGACGCCGCCGACAAAAAAGGGCGCATTAGAGCCTGCAGTAGAAGGTAGCGGCGAGGAGAACACGCCATCGATGGTTCTGGTTACCGGTACAGCTACTGGCGCGCAGAACCTGTTTAGCGTATTCGTGTCAAAGCTGCACCGCAGCCAAGAGTTTGACTTTTTGATCACCAACATCCTGCGGCTGCTGGAAGAGGCGATGCGCTCCAACTTGTCGATCCTGGCGTCGGTGACCAAACAGCAGTCTCGCAGTATCATGCACCAGGAGGCCGCTATCCTGCTGTGGACTCTGCTCGAGAGCAACAAACAGCTGAAGGAATACCTGGTCGACCACAACTTGACACTGCGGCTGTTTGCCGTGCTGACATATTTCATGCTCAACGGCTACAATGACCCAGCACAGGCCGGCATGGTGCGCACCATCTCACACATCCTTCATTTCCTGTCTGAGGACAGCAGCTTCGCAACGCGCCTGATGCAGCCCTTCGACCAGTCAATTCTGCCCAGCACCATGCGTATGCCTGACCACTCGCTGACGCATGCTGACTTTATGATCAACACCGTCTACACGCTGCTCAGTGCCTCGAAACCGTACCTGGTGCCGGTGTACTCGAACCTGCTGCTTCTAGTGCGCAATGTCTCGCCATATCTGACTCAGATGTGCAATACCACTGCCGACCGGCTGGTCGCACTGTTTGACATCATCTCGTCACCGGCCTTCATCATCTCCGAGTCGTACCATGTCAGATGGCTGATCTACTTGATTGAAGTCTTTGACTACGTTGTGCACTACCGGGCCGTTGACAACCCACATTTGATGCTGAGCATGGTCCGCTCGCGCGCCTGCTTCACACGCTTGCGGGACTTTGATTTGGCTCTGGCTGAGAGGGAATTGGCGGCTCTGCGCGACAAGAAGAGCAAGTCGGAATCTGCACGCACCATTGGGCGACGCACAAGCTCAAATTCTGGAACACCTACAGCTGCCGGCGAAAGTCCCGGTGCGGAGAGTCTCCGGGAGACTGATGCTGCCCATACAGCCACGCCAGAGCCGCAGGAGGCTGCGGCAGACGGCACAGCGAGTCCAGCACTGTCCGCCAAGGCGCGCGGCAAGATGCCTGACACAGGCGACAGCAGCGCTGCCATTGGACGGGCGCAGTCGACAGCCAGTCTGGCCAAGCAAGGTAGTGGTGGCACGGGGGCGCGCCAGTTCCAGCCCAGCAAAGAGTGGGTGTTTTCGTGGCTGCCAGACTTGCCACTGGACCCGATCATTGCCGTGCTTGAGGTACTGGCGACACACATCGACGAGATTGCGAACCAGGTACAGGCTGATGCTGATGCGGCTGCGGCTGCTGCTGCCACCCCAGGCAGTGACGCCAAGGTGGACCCCAGTGACCCCAGCAGCGGCACACCTGGGCTTGCAACCAGCAACGCTGAAGCCACGCCTGTGCCAGCGGACCCGACCAGCACGATTCTGCAGTGGCTCGGGTCTGATGCAATGGCTAAGGTGCTGCCTGACCTGGAGGAGTCGATGCCGCAGATCCGGCCACGGCTACAGGGCATGAGTCCGGCACTAGTGGTGTGGTTCCGCAGCTTGCTGTGGAGTCTCATCTATGCGTCTGGAATGAAGCCTTTTGGCGTGTGGAAGAACACCCATGTCCGTTTGTTCGTCGTCAGGAACTCTGTCTAATGGCAGGACTCTTTCTGCAGATTTCTATTTTTCTACCCAATACACACTGTGCCACGTTTTTAGTAACAAACCATGTCAGTCTTGCTGGTGCATCAACATCCGCAACTGCCAAATATACATTTATCCATTTGGAATGTTCGGGCCGCTGCGCAGCCATATGCTAAGGGTGGAACAGGTAAGGTGATTTCTGAAGCATTTACAAAGGCAGTCGTCAAGAAGCCTAAGGCGTGAGTAGTTTCCTTCTGGATCATCAATATATCATATACTCCTACTAGAATGATTTTGGTCACGATGCGAGCTTGGCTGCTAGTCAGCATTGTTTGACATATCGACAAAAGCACCACGGTGAACCGATCATTTGAACACTCCAGATTACTGTTGGTGTGATGGTGATCTTGGACACCTCTTGTCTTAATGGTCTGCTCAGCGCAGGCATTTCTGCGCTGGTTTACTGCTGCTGGCAGCAGAATCGCCTGCAGCTGCACTACGCCTCTTGTATATGGTAGAGATGTCTCTCATTGGCACACATGTATGTGCTGATAACCTGATTGTATCGCTAATTTATTGTTGATACCAGCGCCCAGACGTGAATTAACTATTGGTTGGAGCCCCATGGCTCAGACAATTTTTGCTCCGTGGTGCTAGACTCCCTGTCACTCAAATGCTGTTGCTCAATATATTGCATCCATTGTGCTCCGCTTTTAGCACATAATACGAGCAGATCCGTTACTATTTTAGTCACACGAGGCTGCAGCAATTATCTACTGCTCTCTGGCTTTGAGCGGGCCGCGTGCCAAGGCTGTAAACGGCCATGCTGCTTTTATAAATCAACCCATGCTCAGAGAGTGCAAAAGGGGGTCGCAGAATCCAAACGCTTTCTTCTCTCTGAAACACCACCATTCCTCATAGTAGCCCCATGAAGTTTTTTATTTTGTCCCCTCTGTTTGCCATTGCCCTTGGCAGCACAGCGATTGCAACCTCCAGCACGCCAGTTGCACCAAGCACGGACGTTAAATGTCCTAGCCCCAGCGTGTGCTATAACGATGTCATCAAGCCTGTATGCACGGCAGGGGTACCGTGCCCACAGTGGGAGCGCCTCGTTGTCGCCTGTGCCTGGGGATGCGGAAAAACACCTCCGAAAGGATGTGAGGAGCGCTGTCGCCCGTGCAAGACCGAAGTGTGCCCTGCCATCTGCTATTGTGAGATTGTGTGCAATGTCCCGGGCCCTTGTACTGCCGGGCTCCAAACTCCGCCAGCCTAGATGATCTAAATATGTTTATGAAATGGATCAATGGAACTGAAGTATTGAGGATGCAAGCGAGTGGGTGTATTATGAACCGGATCTGTTGTTGCACGCCCAGTATTTAGGTACATGGCTGGTGCATAATGTTCATTCTATATTGATTGACAACCTCTCTTCTTTTAGTTAGCTAAGGGCATCACTAGCCGCATCTCCTCCTATGTTAGCTACTGACCATTCCCAGATACTCATCTGTGCTCCCAGGAGTAAGCTAGCATATTGATATATCGGCTACTCTCATAGAGTTCCACCCAAGAACCGCCGGACAAAGAAGGTTACCAGAAGTATTGAAACCTCGTTGGATAATTACGACCTGCACCTGTTGCTTTCAGCAGCCGAGTTAGCCCGTAATATTTGTGCTGGTGAACTAGCCCCTGGGCAAGTGCTCCAGGCATACATAAATCGCATCGAAAAGGTTAACCCTCTGCTTATTCTCGTGGCTACAAAGCGGCTGCAAAGCGCGCACGCAACGAGGTTGTTCCCTACTTGGACAAGCTGCGTGGGGACTTGCATGAGCTACTTGGCGAAAACGGCGTCTTGAGCTTCCCACCGTATCCATAGGCTGCGCAGTCTCAGTGGATGTTCTACATCAGTACCCCTAGCTATGCACTGGCCAGTGTCTTTAGTATTTTCAGGATCCCTGTTACCCAAGCTCCGAGTCGCCTCAGCAAGGATGGTCTACCGCTTGGTGTTCAGACCGTCGCTCGCAAGTATGAAGATCTCAAAGCAATTGCCGTTGAATTGCAGCTTAGGCATTTTGAGGATTGGATTATACCTCGCCATCTCGGTGTTCTGCTCGCAGAATGCGAGGTGGAGTCGCTCTGTACCCACCAGCATCAAATAAATACAGCGCACTAGCTGTTAAGGCTATATAGCGTATTGATTCGTGCATATGGTAGTCAGTGAAGCAGCATGTAGGTTGAGGTAGTAATTGATAGGTGATTGAGAAGAAAATGGGAGGACATTCTTCCTGCGCGGCATTTGGAATATCCATGCAAAGAAAAAGGACCAGAGTCGGATGCAGAATGAAATACACATTCTTTCACATGTCTGTTTTCTAGCTGAGAATGACATACGCTTTAACCAGTACATACCCTGTAGCCTTGAGCACATAGCCTGCTGCATGAAATTCGCGGTCTTTTTGCGTCCCTGGGCATAATATGCCACAGATCAGTATTAGCACTCGTGATTCCAAACATATCCACACCAGCCACACACCATGCACTATTTCCCCAGCACACTATTTGCTTATCGCTTCAGCATGCAGACAGCATTGTTTCTAGCGGCCCAACAGCGGTCAAGGTGGGGCTTATGTGGATATGAAAATGAAATATCCTGTTGTTCAGTTTGTGCGCCACAAATTACAGTGCCAGTCACAAATGTTTGTGAAAACAAAACACTGCATATTGGGACACAAGGCGGCTGCTATTATGCAAAGGCAAACTGCAGCAAATTCAGGTACATTAAAAAGAATCATAATATCAGGCACATGTGAGAATGTGCTTGGCCAGGATGTTGTCACCCAGCCAGTGTATCCAGCTAGTAGTAGACCATGCGGAGGGGAGTTGCACGGCCATACTGTCCAACAAGTGGCATATAGGTTTTCTCCAACTAGATATATATTTTTTTGGTTTTGAAATCTGAAGGGAAAAGCACTAGGTATATGGAAGAAATTATGACGAAGAAAAAAGACAGAATAAAGGGTGGTGGGTTGAAATAAAAAACTCAGATTTTTTGATTCCTCACTCTTCAGCAATGACATGCTCGTTGATGCTCTCCAGGCTGGCCATCAGGTGGGCATTGGCAATGCGGCGCTCGCGCTCCGCCTCCAGCTGGCCGTAGAGCAGATACAGCGCCTTCTCGTTGCACTCGGGGGTGCCGGTGATGGTGAACAGACGCTCGCCGCCCTCGCTCTCCGAGGCCTTGGCGATGGAAATGCGGGAGCCCGACAGGCGGCGGATCTCGGTGATGCGCGAGCCGCCCTTGCCAATAATGCACCCGACCATGTCACCCGGAATGGCAATCTCTTGGGTGCGGATGTTCGAGGCGATTGCGGCAGGGTCGATCTGGCGCTGGACGCTGACGGACTGCGAGCGCATGCGCGCGCTGGCCAGGTGCGGGGCCGGGGCGTAGCCGGGCGGGGTGATGGAGCCGGAGGGGTTCGGGAAGGCCACGGAGCGGCGCGGCGGCATCGGCATGGAGGACGTCAAAAAGTCGGCGGTGGTGGCACGGGTCACCGACACCGTGTGGGAGCGGTGGCGGCTCAGCGCAGCAACGGCGGCCGAGTGCGGGACGACGGGCACGGGGTCGGCGTGGGTGAAGTCGACCGAGGCGCGCATGTTGTTGACGTACGGGTTGGACGTCGACGAGACCGTCGGCACGCGCGTCGCAGGGTTATACAGAACCGTGCCGACACCGCGCTCCCAGTCCTCGATCAGGCACTTGCCGATCTCCTCGATTGCAATGCGGATGGCGTCGACGCTGCCGTGCACCTCCACTACGCGCTCGGTCGACTGCGGCAGCATCTCCTTGGTTGCCACCAGGCGCGCGGTCGACGCATCCTGGATGTGCTTGATCTTCAGGCCTTGGCGGCCAATAATAGTGCCCATCAGGTTGTGCGAGATCAGAATGCGCACCACGGTCTGCAGGGATGCAGGCGCAGTCGGCTGCAGGCCCGGGTGGGTCGTGGCCATGGGGTTCTCGACCAGTGTCTGGGCGACCAGCTCGTAGGCGTGGGCGACGTTGGGTAGGAAGCCGGTCACCGAGAGCACGCGGTCGTGGACGCCGGGGACGACCTTGGAGACGCCCGCCTTGACGTTCGCCACGTCGCGCAGGTCGGCCACGTTCTTGCCGCCCTTGCCGATGATCACACCGGCCTCCTTGGTCGACACCAGCGCGCGCAGGGTCAGCTGCGTGTCCTGGATCGAGGGCGCGTCGCCGCTGCCCATGGCTGCCTTGGTCAGATCGACGGTGGATGCGCTGGGGCTGTCCTCGTGCTCGGACGAGCTGCTGCCGGGGTCGGGGAAGGCAACGCCGTTGGTTGGCTTGGCGGTCTCGAGGTTCAGGGCGGCAAGCTGGTCGGCTGCGCTGTCAACGCCGTTGGTGTAGTGGTTCTGAGACATGTTGCTGGTGGGTGGGTGGGGGACTACAGGGGCCAATTAAAAACAGGGGCAGGGGATTTTCAGCTTAAGCGGCCAAGAAAGAAACAAAACGGAGAAATGGGCAGCGTGAAAGGGGGAGGGGGAGCATGATGGTTCCAAGAAACCGGAAACATCACGGAAAACACAAAGTACATGGCCCACGCGAAAGGAGGTTTTGGAAGCCAGATGAAGGCATGCTGGCTGGGCTGCTTGCTGGCAAAGCATCCAGTGCTTACAAATATTGCGTGGTCCTTGACGCACAGTAGCGGGGGGTTACCCAAAAAGCGACTAGAGTGGTAAGCTTACCTTTATCGAAAATGCCACGAGATAGTGAGTGGAAATAGTGGAGCTCGAAAACGAAGTCAGAAGGGTTTGGGAGCTGGGTCTGTTGTGCTGTTCAGGTCTTTTCGTCGTAGGTGGAGGAATACAAAAAGGCGAAAGAGCAAGAATAAAGCAGGGGCTGTGTAGGGGAAGAGAAAAATGAAGGAAGAATGAAAATGAAAGGGGGTAGAGAGGTAGGGGAAGAGGAAGAGAGAAGGGCGGGTGGGAAATGGACGACTATAATTACAAGTCGGGTTGAATGAGAAAGAGAGAAAAAGAGGTGGAAGTGGGTAGGGGAGGAGAGAAGAGAGGAGGGCGAAGGAGAAAAAGGGCTGAGGAAATAAATGGGCAGTCAGGAGAGGGACAAGGTGGGCTCAGTGTTTACGAGTGCCAGAGAAATCCGACCAATGGATGGCGCCAACGAGCCAGGGCTTCAAAAAATTCTTCACTCAGCATGGCACCGGCAGGCGGCCCTTTTCCACCCTTGTATTCACGTATCCAGTATTCATGTTTATCGACACGTTTGAGCTATCGTGCTATGTGCCGTCGCGGCAGGACGGACGGGCGCTGGAGACGCGCGTGGTGGTGAGCCAGGCCACGGCGGCAGAGACGGAAGAGTATTCTCCGCACCACGCCATCGTGTTCCTGCACCCATACCCGCCGCTGGGCGGACAGTTCCGCAACAACATCGTCCACGAGCTCAACGCACAGTACGCGCAGCGCGTGCGGCTCGCGGTGTCGTTCAACCTGCGTGGTGCCGGGCGCTCGGAGGGCAGCACATCATGGACCGGGATCGCCGAGCAGGAAGACCTACGGACGATGCTCGATGCACTGGCCACCCGGCGCCTGCCGCTGCACGCCAAGGCGCTGAAGACCAGCAGGCCCGCCCTGCTGCAAATGCAGGCAAGGGGCTTTGTGGAGACGGTCGAGGATGCCGTGCCATTGCCGGAGATCTCCAGGGTTCTGCTGTGCGGGTACAGCTACGGCTCGGTGGTTGCGTCGGCGATTTCGCCGGAGGAATATCCGGGGCTAGCCATTGATTATGCATACGTGTCGTTTCCCTATAGCGTGCTGTGGGCGCTGACGCTGCACCGCAAGAGCTGGTATCTGCAGCACATTGAGGCGACGGTTGCTGCTGCCGCTGTGGCTTTTGCCCGTGACGGCAATAGTGCGTGTGCTCCACGCTCCATGTTCATTTCGGGCTCGTCAGATACATTCACGTCGTCGTCGTCGTATGAGCGCTGGTGGGCCATGCTGCGCACGCGAGCCATGCGGGCGGCCACGGAGGCGCTGGCGGGGACCGATGACGCCGAGACGAGAGCAAAAGCAGCGGTCGGCCAGGCGCTGAGCGTGGTGATGGTGCAGAACGCCGACCACGGGTGGTGCCGGCGCGAGACCGATGTGTCTGATGCGCTGGGCAAGTGGTGGCCGTGAGCAGATTCTGCAATCGTCCGACATCACGTGGCCACAGCGTTCCATGTTTACGTTTGGGCTCGCGATGATTTGCTCCTCCCCCGCCGCCGATCCACGCACCAGCCAATTCTCAACTGTACACATAGCATGGTCCAAAAAGCAATAGAACATTTCATTAAACGGTGACGGCATTCTGCATAAACAGATTCTGGTAGAACCGCACGCCCTCAACGGTCTCGTCGCGGCACACCTGGCCAGCGCGCTCGCACAGCCCCAGGTGCTCCTCGGCCAGCGGCAGCGAGCACTCCTCCATGGCGGCCAATTCGCCAGACGTGATGGGGCCGAAGCTGCGGATATACTGGGCAACGCGCTGGATAATCGCGGCGTCGCTGGCCGAACTAGCATCCTCGATGGTCAGCAGGCCGCTCGGGTACTCGCGCAGCCGCAGGGCCAAGTGCAGGCGCTCAAAGTTTCGGCACGCCATGACAAAGTCGGCCGGGTAGACCAGCGAGAACTCGCGCGCGCGGTTATACAGGCAGTATGCGTCGACCAGCGCCACGGTGCCGCCATGCTTGGCCACGTAGTTCTCCAGGAAATCGGACAGCTCGCGCGCCAGCTCCTCGTGGAACATGGCGCCGGCAGTGTCGCGCGTCACAGGGCTGTCAATGCCCAGGTCCAGCAGGTACTGCCGGAACGCATCCGCCTGCTCTGCGTCGTCGTCTTTGCTGCGCAGCTTGCTGGCTGCCGGCGAGTTCAGCTGCGTGGCAATCTTCTCTGCCAGGGACACAATCTCCTTGGCCTTGGCTGCCAGGCCGTCCAGGTCCGCAAACGCTGTCTTGAGCGTGTCGTCGCGCGTGCGCTCGTTCTCGTGCGCTGCACTGACCAATGTCGAGATCCCGCCCACTGTCGGCCGCCGATCGCCTGGGAACATAGGCTGCGCTGGGCTCGCAGCCTCTGCCGGCTCCAGCCACGCCTTGTCGCTAAGCACGTCCTTCAGCGCCGAGTGGAACGACGACGACCCGCCGGCGCGGAACGACAGCTTCAACAGCTCGCTTGCGTCCTCGTCGTCCGAGTCATCATGCACTGCGCGCTCCCCGGGCGTCGGCGGGACCGGTCGCGTAAGCTCGGCCTCGCACATTTCGCACCTGGCCATGCTGATGTGGTTGTGGAATGTGCATACCGCGCATGTCAGCTGCAGCTCGGCTTTCTGCGTGGGCTCCTCGTACGGCACCCCGCACAGCGAGCACTTGTCCAATGCACCCACGTTCATGTTGTCGCAGATAGGGCACTGCCATTCAGTGCGGGACTGGCTGGTGGCTGGCTGCGTGGGCTCGCTGCCGCGCCGTGACCCGTCCAGTGCCCGCAGCCCAGAGTCGCGCGCAGGCGCTATGTGGAGGCGGACTTTGCCCGACGAGTAGATGAACCCGCTGTGCACCGAGCTGCGCTTGACCCGCGCCAAATCCAGCGCTGCCGAGCGCTCGTGTGGCCGTGCCTGATCGACATAGACAATCCTGTGTGTGGTCAAGTACACCGTGCCATTGTCGTGCTCCTCGTCGCGCTCCGCCCTACACCACATCAGTTTCCTAAGCCTGGTGGACAAAACACAGTCCTGGGACATTACGTCTGCTTATGCGTAATACGTTGCCCTACCCCTTGTATAGCCCCACTTTGTTTTGCACGCTGATGATCTTCTCGTTGCTTTCCAAGAGCGGCCGTAGTGTCGGCGCCAGCTCCACTTGTTCCATCTTTTGGTTGGCTGCTGATAAGAGATAAAGGCGTGGTCTTGGCTGCGGAAATCAAATAAAAAGTGCTACGTAGATGGCGTATCTATACTCCCTGTGTCCACCATCTAGTTTTGCCTGCTTTGGCGCATGATAGCGTGCGCTCCAATTTATGGAGAAAAATGGCCTGTGATTTTCGGGTATATGTTCTTGCGCTTCAGGGAGCACCGTTAGCTAGTGCTTCCTCTTGCTGCCGGTTGCATGTTGCTCGCTTGGGGTCGATATTGCTCCTTTTGATACATTGCTGTGTACCCTACACGCAACAGCGCGCATACGGCTCAATCGCGCTGTTTTTTTTAATCGCCCAAGCGGCGTAATTCATACTGTCCCTTTTTGACACACTGCCCCTCGCACCATCAAAATGACTAAGCTAAGCTCTGGAACGCCCAATGAGCTTTTTTTAATCTTGCATCCCTATTCCTTCGCACGGCTCTGTGCTTAAAGCAAACGACGTGTGCGGCTTGTTCTCTTCAGCAGTTTATTTCTCGCCTCATATTTTATTTGTTGACTTTTTCCTCGCACACATTTCCGTCATTCATGGCAAATGCGTGCTAAGGTCGCTAGTCCCCTCCTCCTGTAAAGGTGAGTCTGCAAAGCGTTCGTCCCCCATGCCGCCAACTGGCATGTTTTCCCGAGTACTCAATCGCTTACAATCCCATGGCGCTTCCTCCACATAGACCTATATCTTGTCCTCTTCCCGTAAATGAACTTCAATATTCCACCGCAAGACACGCCCTCAGCACGGCCGGTCTCCAGCTCCTCCATCGACGGAGCCCCGCATTTCCTGGCGTCTCCCACGGTACCAACAGTGGCCGCAGCATTCGAGCAGCACGGTGATAGTCCCGGGTCACAATCAACCGACAGTAAGCGCCAGCGCATCTCTCGCGCATGTGACAGGTGCCGCCGCAAGAAAGTAAAGTGCGATGGCCGGCGCCCCATCTGCACGCACTGCCAGGCAATCGGCAGCTCCTGCACATACCTGGACGTGACCAAGAAGCGTGGCCCGCCCAAGGGATACATCGAGGCCATTGAGAGCCGGCTGCACCGGATGGAGGACCTGCTTGGCGCCCTAGTGCAGACCGATCCGAAGGCGGCCAAATACGTGCTGGAGGCGATGCGTGCGTCAGACGAGCACGGCGTCAGCGAGATGATGGCGAACCCGGGGGCCAAGATCATTGGTGATATGACGGTGAAGGAGCTCGAGAACGAAGCAAGGCAGGCATTCAATGACACGAAGCCTGACGTGCACATGCGGGAGAGCCCGGGGATCAAGAAGCTGCGGCGAACCAGCGTTCCGCCCGCCCTGCATGCGTCGCCGTCAACCGTGGCCTCGTCGGCCACACCCAGCAGCAACGCTGACGATCGGCCCGAGTCCATGCCGCCATTGGGACCGACACGGTCGCGGTCCAAATCCACGGCGGCGCTCGACCGCAACGGCAAGATGGTCGATGACGGCGACGAGCCCGAGGACATTGATCGCGCAGAGCACCTGACGCGGCTGGAAAAGGGTGTCGGCCATCTGACGCTCGATCCAACAGGTGCCTTACGGTACCTCGGTGACAGTAGCGGCTGGTACATCATCAACCGCAGCCTGGTGTCGTCGGAATCGAGCCCGCGGCTGACAAAGGGTGTCCACGGGGCCTTCCGCTGGCCACCAATCACAACCTTCAATTCGCGCGAGGGCGAGTCCAGCGGCAGCAAACCAGCAGCCAACGCTGCTCCATCTGGTATCGAGGCCTGCGCTCCAGGCGCCCAGCCTGTCAGCGACAGCGCCATGGCGTGTGTTGTCCCGGTGCCGCGGAACATGCCGCCCTGCGGTAAGCCGCCCATGCCCGACCGCGAGGAGGCCGACCAGCTGATCCACCTGTACTTCCAGTACGTCCACCCGGTCTTCCCCATCATCTACAAGTCGTACTTTTTGTCCCGCTACTACAACCAGGAGACACAGCCCTCGCACGCCCTGCTCTCTGCCATCTACGCGGCTGCGTCCACATACAAGGCGCGCGAGGCAAAGTGCGAAAAAGACCTGGCGCGGGTGCGGATCCAGATGGCAGTGCATTTCCAGCGCGCAAAGACGTTCCTGGACGAACAGTACACGCTCAACACCACCGCGTCGATTCTGACGCTGCTGCTGATGTCGGTGTACGAGCAAGGCACCATGTCGACGCGCAGCTGGCTGTACTCGGGTATGGCCATCCGCAAGGCCTACGATCTGGGGCTGCATCGCGATGTCGGCATCTCGAAGCACTGCCCGAATGCCATCGTGTCGCGCACCGAGACCGAGGTGCGGCTGCGCGCCTGGTGGGGATGCTTTATTATGGACATCATGGTCAGCGCGACACTGGGCCGCCCCACCACCATCCACGACTTCACCTTTGACGCCCCGTTCCCAACCGACTACGGCGATGACAACGATGAGCTGCTGGTCAGATCGTCGCTCACCGGCAGTACGCCTGCTGCTGCCACCCCGCCGCCCAATACGCACCGGACGCCCAGCAACCAGCCTGTGGGCTCGTCAAAGTGCATCCCGCCGGCAATGGCCGAGCGCATGCGCGACTATGTCTCGCTGGAGGTCGGTGATTCGGACTCGGACTCGGAAATCTCGGACATGGAGAGCGAGGAGGCTGGCCCCCGCAAGCCGCGCAAGTGCAAGCCGCTGGGTGTCTACTACCTCGAGCTCCTGCACATTTTCGGCCATGTCTTGTCGGAGATGTACGCATGCAAGCCGAATCGCAGCTTTGTGGCAAAGTACTGCCTGCACGAGCTGCACTCGCGCATCGAGCGTCTAATCACACTGGACCACGAGCTGCGGCGGTGGAAGATGTCGTTGCCGGTCGACCTGCAGTACCCGATTGAGGACATCCTCGCTGCGAAGCCTGCGCGGTGCGTGTACATTGCGCTGATCCACCTGGTGTATTACACTGCGATGATTTTGCTGCACCGCCCGTTCATTTCGCGTCTAGACGACCCGCAGAGCAGTGAGCAGGATGAGGGCGCGCCACACCACAACAAGCACAACGGCGAGTCGCCGATGCCATCGCACGCCATCTGCACATTGTCAGCGCAGATGATCTCGCTGATCGGCGAGGCGATCATCCAGGACTCGCGCATCTTCATCATGCCCTTCCTGACCTTCATGATGTTCACTGCCGGCACCATGCACCTGAACAATGTCATTGTGGCTGCCGACAGCTGGATTGCGCGGCGCTTCCTCAAGCGCACCCTGGACGTGATGAGCCGCCTGGGCGCTCACTGGCAGGTCTCCTACAAGTGCTACACTATGCTGAACACGCTGGTGCGCGCCAACCGCATTGGGTTGGACACTGTGATCGGGGACAGCGAGGCTGGTGTGCATCTGATCCGCGAGCGGTGCCGCGAGATCTGGCGTCTCGCGTACCAGGTCTACGAGAACCGCTCGCTGTACAGAGAGCGCGTGTCGACCACCCATCTCAATGCAATGCGTGGGGATGCTGCCGATAGGCGCTGCCAATCCATGGACCAGTCGCCGGCTACCAGCCACGAGTCGTTCGGGAAGCGCCCCGATAGCCATGCCAGCGATCCACTGGCAATGTTCTCTCGCGACATAAAGACCAGCGAGTCCGCACCTGATCTTTATGTCCAGCAGCAGGTCAATCAGGCAAAGCATCGCCTGCAGCGCGCTATGGAACGCCAGGGGCTACGTACCATTGACGTGCACCGCCCAGAGGATGCTGCCAGATTGTCGAGCAAGATCATGAAGGACTCGCCCGAGATCGCGACCTACCTGACTGCCCGCCTGCACGTCGACCGCACCGGCAACCCCGTGGTCCCTGCGTCGCCATTCACCTCCGTCAATCTCAGCGACCCAGAGCCGCAGACCACCACCCCGAATAACGGCGTGCCGTCATCGCAAACCAACACAAGTGTTCCGCTGCTCAGCCAGTCCGTGGTCAGCGAGCCTGTGCGGCTCGGGGCAGCTAATGCAGCGCTGAGTCTGGGCCAGTTCGTACCCTCTCTGGAGTTCTTCGCCAACGCGGATTTCCCACTGGGCATCGGTGGCCCCAACGGCCAGGCGTCGTCGGTTTTGCCGCAGGCAATGAGCGTGCGCAACAACGCCGGGCCCTACTCGCTGCTCAGCTTCTCGGACCAGGTCGGCCCATCGCCCGGCCTAGGTGTGTCAATGTCCAGCACCTCGACATTCACCAGCACTGTGGTGAATGCTGCGGTGCCGCCGCCAATGCGCTCGTCTGTGGTGCAGCCGAATGCGATTCCCGCAGACTCGTACGGGCAGACGGCGCCCGGAAATCCGCAGGCAATGCAGGCCTCGATGGGCTTGCAGGCTGGTGTCCTGCAGATGCCTGGCGCGCCCATGCAGGGCGGCTTCGGATACAATAACCCAAATAACGTCAAGTCGGCGCACATGGATCTCGACAGCAAGCTGATTGACGACGAGGTCATCCGCAATTTGCCCTTCACTGGTCCTGTGTCCTGCGACCTGAGCCTCGACAACGAGAACGATCTGATGTCAGCGCTCTGGCCGAACAGCAATGTGCGCTCATACACGCAGCAGTCAGCAGTGGCGGGTTCCAGCAGCAGCGGCCGCCAGCAGTCGGGCATAGGGGGAATGCAGATACCTGCGGCGACTAACAGCAATGGGTATATTGAGATGCCGTGGAAGGACTATGTCAACCAGGTCATTGGCAATATGCTTAATCCGGGCACGCCAGGCACGGGGCAGAGCTCGGACCGGGCCACCGATAGCAATGCCATGCAAATGTAACCACCTGAATTAGAACCTAATATCTAGTAATACACATGTACCAAAGAAGTCACTGAGGCTCAGTGGCATGCGTTTGAATATGTGTACTGATAGGTGCAGCTGGAGACAACATGGATGCCCACACTGGCACCTTTTAATGAAGCTTATGATTGCAATAGGTGCGAGATGGACGAATCGTTACATTTGATTCCCATTTCCAAGTGCACCGCTGTGCTTCACATCAGAAATATATATATTCACGCTCACGAAGGGTGCCACATCAAGTTTGAATTTTAAATGCGTTTTGTAGTGAGGACATCTGCCTAAAATCAAGATGATGCCTTCGTCTCGCAATCCCAGTCCACTTGCTTCTTCGCTAGATTCTTCTGTGCAAGGCTCCTGTTCTTGCTATGGCTATACATGTTCCACGACCCGATGCCTGTCGACACATTAGAGAATCGGGAAACCTCCTCTCCTGGTGCTGCGCGTGGTACCTCATTAGTTATCAACCAGTCCTTCACACTCGAAAGCCAACTCTTTTGTTTTGGCGCGTCCTTGGCCATGATTCAAGTAGTAGCCGGTCGGCAAGTAAAATAATAGTGCAAAATAAAAAAAGTAAAAAGTATAGAGAAAATGGAAATGTTTTTTGTCTACAGAAGACACTCATGTACAGCTATCAACCTGAAAATGGCTGCCCAGAATAGCCAAAGCGCAGCTCATGTGGGATAACAAGTTGCTGTCCTGTTTTAAGGATTCTCTGGCACAGTATTCTCGAAATCTTTGGTCTCACCATGGCCTATAAAAGGAATTGCTTTCACGAAGCGGAGGTCCGTGTTTGAGGATTCTTGCCATGATTTATTCAATGGCACTGCTCGGTATACTACTTGATAATGTGGGCAAGCAAATATATTCCGTTGAAAAATAACATGGGCGGACGATCCCTGGTTACAACCACATTGGAGATATTGGTAGCTCGCACCTTGCTATTGAACAAAAGAGTAGGTGCAAAACAACAGGTGTGTGATATAGTAATGCGTGATGTGCCTCTCTTTCATCGCGATCGTTAATGAATCCACATAGTACTGGCCATGGGACAGTCTGCCTGGTTGCTAAATGTATCCTTTAGGTGTTCTGTTGAAAGGTGACACTGGCTACATCACCACCCTCAACCATGCAAATGATGCTTATGCACGCACAGACGCTGAGGCAGATGTAAATGGTGCTAGGTGGCAGCATCTTGTATCTTTCCAGTACCCCAGTGACAGGTTCAGCAATTGGCTGTCCTGATTTTGGGCCCGAGTAAAGGCATATTGCTGGGATGCTAGCATCACATATTTTCTGCACAGCACAATGGTCAATTTCCGCTAGTGTACAATGTGTCATGTCTGCACTTGCATCTGCAGTCAGACGTTTTTCTACTGCAATGACTAACAAGTATCTTTTCTAAGAGTGAGGAAAGTGGGTATACACAGAAAATGCGTTGGAATGTGACTATTTCGTACAGATGACTTCAATAAAACTAGAGAGGAAAAGCGATAATTAAATGAGCGGCAAAGCGTGATTTTCGAAGAAATAGGTGGTAGCAATTGAGCTGGAGTTTGGATATCAACCAACTCGCTTATTTGGAGGACGAGCATACTTATATACCCTAGGTATTTTTCTTGCAGTTCCAATGTTGACGTAGTCATTCCGACGATATGAAAAGACTATGAATAGATGTACGAGACAACTAGTAAATGAAGAACGAAGGAAGAGCATGGAGACTGAAGAGCAATTGCAGCTATTTTGTGCTGGGCACATCTGGCCACTTAGATCCTAACCATGCCCTTTAGTACATCCTTCGAGAGTACCTTGAGCCCCTCTTGTCGTGTTTCCTGGTGTAAACTAATGGGAAATACAAGTGTCACCATCATAGCAGGTGTATTTATTGCTCTGCTCCTGTTCGTGTAAGAAATAGTGACGTACAAATCTAGAAGGCATATCGGTCGGACCAAGAGGGAACTTCCCACAAGGTTACAATCCCGAAGGTATGTTCACCATGTGAATCTCGGTCATAAGCTGGTTCAAATTCTGGTGAGCAATTCCTTTTTGATATTCACAGACTACTCCCTGTAACGTGCTTTGTTCGACAGCAGTGACTCCTTGCGACTAAGGTTCAGACCCTTGAAAGTCTGGAGCTCTGGAACTAGGCTCATGCGCTCCAATATCATAATGTCTCAGGGTGAGGTCAGCTTTCTGAATGGTCTCATCGTCCCCATCGAAATGATGCTGAGTGGACTACTGTGCACTAAATCTCATTACATCTCATTTACGGTATGCTATAGCATGTATTCTATGTGCCTAGTAGCAAGCAACAAGAGCAGAGCCAACATGCCACAAAGGCAGATGAATTACGAGTCTGCAGGCGGCTCTCCAGTTGAAGTGTTGCATGGTGTAAATCTGTAAAGTAGTGTGTTCTCTGTGTAGGATATCTGGTCAGCATATCAACTGATAATGCGTGGTTAATTGTCATGATACATGCTGAATGTGAAATATGTATATGTTGGCATAATATACTGTTCTGTTCGTAGAGAGGACTCTGCTTTCTCATATTGGAAAATGCATGTGTATAGAATCCCACAACTGGAACTGTGAGTGCACCAAAAGCCAAGTAGAAGTGCAATTTTTGATTTACATGCAGGCTCAAAAGTGACAACCTTTTTGTAAAATAGCCAGACACATTTTTACTACTATGATGACCCGGCTGTCTCCCACCATTCTGCCCACCAACAACAGCGAACAAAGACAGAGTCAATCTAGCAAGGTCACTGTCGAAGATAGCATCAAAGCTGAGGCAGCATAACTATTCGCATAGTGACCTATTCCGGGTTTGGTTCTATGGAAGCGTTGCTTTGGGGCTTTAAAGTAACAGATGATGGGCAGGTATACTGTAGATGCGGTATAGCAGTGGCTCCTAGCGATTCTGCTAGGAATCATATAACGACATGTCTTTCGTGTATCACTGATGCCTACGACCAGCTTTCCAGGCTTCAATCGGATCTGGTAGACGAATATAACCTTACGTTCCCAGTTTATAGCGATGAAATGGAGAACAACGCTTCTGACGATCTCGTGTTGCCTGGAACACAACCAGAGATGGGCGACTACTCAGGTGGTAAGTACAGTTGTATGCCTAGCAGTCTGGTGCCATAGTATGTAGCGACGCTGATAACAGCATACCTCGTTTATAGGAATTGTCCACCGAAAGTGCCCTTGGGAAAGTTGGACTTGTTTGTCCATTATCCATCGCACTTACTTATCTGTCGGATGTGCAAGTTGGTTGTTTCCAATCGAAAGATTAGAACCCACTATTGGAAAAGTGCGCTTCCCACTATGCGTCTAAGCGTAGCAGTACACCGCCATCTGCTGAAATCGCTGAGGCACAGGGCTATCTGAACCAGCATCCAAGCATACTGAGCGGCTATGAATCAGTCAGGGAGTGGGTTGGAGCTGAACAAAGGTCACGCAATCCCAAAGATACCCGGGCTTCAGGTGTGCTTAGCAAGGAAGTGCACTCTGTGTGGATATGTGTGCAAGAGCAGAGAGTCGCTGAAGCAACATTTCAGATACTTCCACAGAGGAATGTCGCGGCCTCGCTATACAATTGCCGCACTTGCGCAGAAAGTCATCTCCAAAGGTCCAATTTTCCACTACGTGGAAGTGTGTGATGACTCAGGTATACTTGACTAGCCCAGCACACAAACCGCAGCAGCACACAGTACTATCTTGGCAGCTCTTACTTGCAAAATATACATATCCGAAGGCTGTCTGAACAAGCATTAGCCCTCGATCATACTCGCCATAACGGCCTAGATCTTGGCTAAAGGGTTGTATTTTTGCGGTGTCCAGGACAACAGTTGGATCGTCAACATTGCCGTCAATTCTTTCCGCTTGTATTTCCCGCCACTACCATGGACATCACCGAGCTATTGCAGAGCTGCCTTGGGTTCATTTTGACTGCGCTGTGCTGGGGGTTCACCTAACCCGTTCATCAAGCGCGGATCGGCAGGCGTCGAGAACATCAAAAGAGACTCTTGGCTCAAGCAGACGCTTGCTGAAACGTGGTTCCTGTTCACGAACTGGAAGGTAAATGTCGAGATGAACAAGCAGCCGTTTATCAACCTAGGTGTGATACTAACAGCCAGCAGCAATCTTGGTAGTATGTCGTCCCACTGGCCATCAACCTGAGCGGATCGGCGGTGTACTACTACACCCTGAGCTCGGCCGAAATCACCATCGCAGTCCCGATCACCAACTCGCTGGCACTGATCTTCACCATCCTGGCCGGCGTGCTGATCGGCGAGAAGCTGCCAACGCCGAAGGAAATGTTCGGCATGGCCTGTATCGTCCTGGGTGTCGCACTCTGCGTTACTGGCTAGGAAAAAATATAGAGAATGATGTATTTGAATGAACAGACCGCCCCCCTCAGTCGTACTTGTACGGACCAAGCGCCTTCTCCTTGTCGCTGAGATACCGCTGGATCTTCTTCTTGATCTGCTTCTCTGTGAGCTGGTCGATATTGAGCTTCTTGTCCCAGAACATTTTGCTGTAGTCGTCGCCATGCGCATCAATAAAGTCCTGCAGCATCTGGCGCTCGCCCTGGGCCAGCCACCGCTGCTTCTTCTCGTGGTACATGTTTGCGTACTCTTCCAGCGCCCGGGCGCCCTCCTTCTTGGCCTCGACCTTCTCGGCCTCGTAGTCGCTGTCCAGCGGGTCCTGGGGCTCCTCGGGCATAATAATATTGATCACATTGCCAGTCGTCGTCGCGCTCAATGATACCGTAGCCCTGCGGGATGTGCTTCCGCAGCTCGTCGTTCGTCATGTTCGCCATGTCCATCCTTGGCCTGCTCGTCGGCCTCCTCCTTGGCCTTTCCAAACAGCGGGGTCACTTGGCCGCCCTTCTCGCCGTTCAGGACGGGCCACCAAGCCCAGGTTGCGGTAGTTCTCCGCCATGGTCAGGCTCGAGTCCCACATGTCGCGCAGCAAGGGGTGGCCCGTGAACTTTTTATTGCGGGCAGCGTTGGCCCGCCGGCGGGTCGTCTTGAGCTTCGGGTTGCGCAGCTTCTTGCGGGCAATAGGGCGGGTCATGGCTGTGTGTGTGTCTGTGAGTATAATAGAGGTTGTGCTGGAAATGGGCAGCAGAGCAAGAGGCGTGTTGCTGCGAATTGCGCTTTATCCAAGAAAAAAAAATCCTCGCAGCACAAAAAAGTTTGGGGCCAAATCGGCAGATCACCTCCGTGTTCCCAATCAGATCACCAAGCGTCATGTATTATTTTCTTTCAACTAGAGACCCAGCGACTTCTGCACGATATCCTCGACAATTGCGTTATACTGCTCGCGGTCGTCGCGCCACATTTTGCTTGCGTCGACATTGGCGCCGCTCTCGTCGTTGGGCTCGGCAATCATGCTGAGCACCGACAGCAGAATCTTCTCGACGCTCTGCACCGGGCTCCACCGCTCCGAGCTGCTCTCGTAGTGGTTCGGGTCGTCGCCGGGCGGGTGCAGGATTGAAATGCACACGACGCCGTTGGCGTACACGTTCGGGTGGAACATGGGGCATGTGAACTTCATCGTCGGCGGGTTCAGCGGGTAGTCGCGCGGAAAGGACAGCGTCGCCGTGAATATGCCGCCCTCGAAGGGCGTGTCGGGCGGCCCAGCAATGACCGCTTCCCACTCGAAAAAGTTGTCTTCGGAAACTGGCCCGGCCGTAATTCCCTCAGGCGCATGCAGACAGAGCTCTACAAAAAGCGCCAGCATGGCAGGTTAGCGGCGAGCCTGCATGTGAAATGGAGGAGCACAGCGTCCAAATGACCTACCCTTGTACTCTGTCATCAGCCGTTTTAACGCTGTCGAACCGCCGCTTTTGTACATTTTGGCGCAAGAGGTGTGTAAAAACAAATAGTGCGATTCAATGCAGAGGAAAGAAAATGGCGAAAAAAAGAAAGCGCCAGTGTCCAGCAAAGAGATTTTCATGTAGCCACCTCAACGTCATCATCAAAGAAAGAAAATTGGAGGTATGTTCATGTTAGAAGCAGGGAAGTAGAGTGGATGTGCAAGACTTGAAAAATAAAAAGGTTAACGCTACATTAGGACACGGCGAAATGCTTCACCGCTCAAAGACATGCTCCAAATACGCCAGGTAGTCGAAGCCGTTGGTAGCCGAAGGCGACTGGGGCATCACCTGCACCAGATACGCAATAGATGGCAGGCGACAAATCCGACATCCTCAGGTCGCCTTCGGTAACGTAGTCCTTGTCGGCAGCAATGACACGGAACGACTCAAGCAGCTGCTCGGGTGTGGTCTGGTCCTCGGTCAGCTCGACCAGGAACCGGAATATAGATCTCAAAGGTGATGTACCCATTGCCGCCCGTCAGCTGGTCGTAGAGCGGGGCGAATTCCTCGTCAGAGAAGAAATACCCCAGGCTCTCCATGGCCGTCCTGAATTCGATGTCGTGGAGCACGTTGGTGTCATCGCGGTCAAAGTGCTTGAAGGTCGACTCGAACTCCTCGAGCTGCGCCGGGGTCAGATTGGTCATGTTGCGGGCGACATTCTGGTTCTCGATGAACTGCGACTTTTTCTCCAGCGCCTTCATCATCATCTCAATGTCATACTCGAGGTCGCTCACAGAGTACACCGGTGTAGTCGTACTCGTCAATGTTTGCGTCGATGCATTTCTGCTCAAGCACGCTGACCCGCTTCAGCGCGGCTGACAGGGGCTCGGCAGTAGCATACAGTGCGTCAACGGTGGCCTGCTGGTCGTTGAGATCGCCGCTCAGCGCCGACAGCCCGCTGGAGATGCTGTTGAGCGTGGCCATGATGCCGTTGGCCTCATCGCCATATGCGCGCTGCAGGCGGTCCTGCGACTCGCGGATACACTGGTTGATGGTCTTGCGGTGCTTGACCTCGGCCTCCGCCAGCTCGCTCCACGCAGCCTCCAGATCCCGCGGACTCAGCCCAGGCCGTGGCACGAACGGCGACAGGTTGTATGTAGCACGCTTGGTCTGGAATGTTGCCCAGCAGCGTGTCGAGCTCAATCTTCTCGTGGGTCCATGGCCGCTTGTCCTTGACCTTGTAGTCGTTGAAGTCATCCGAGTGCTTGCGCGCGCTGGCATAGGACGTCTCAAACTTGGTGCGCCGCCACTCGTCCTGCTTGGTGTGGATGGCGTCGATAAGCCTGGCCACGCGGAGCCTCAAAGTCATTCTCCATGTCGTAGACAGACTGCATGACGTCAGTAAACTTGCCCAATCGGCGGCCTGCGGTCTCAGCCTTGTTCAGCGATGAAAAGGCGTGGAAGTACTGAGCCACGTAGGTCATGATGGACCGCTCGTCAGGCTTCGTCGTGTCGCACACATCCTCAACATCAAGCAGCTTCGGGATGCCCAGGTAGCGCTCGGCAACCTCAAAGGCCAGCGCGGTGTTGCCATGGATGTCGCGCTTGTCCAGGGACGTGGTAGTCGAGCAGGTCAGGGCGGTGGCGGTGGATCAGCGCGCAGAACGCCAGGCCATCCTGCCAGCTGTACGTAAAGTCCTGCACGTCCACGTCCTGATACGGCGCGGTCTTGCGCTGGCACCACAGCAGCAGGCCCTCCTTGGCGCTCAGCCCCTCTTCGTTGATGTCAGTCGATGGTGAACCGCAGAATGATGGTCCACACCATGCCCAGAATCAGCTTTGGATTCGAGTCGACAATGTCCTCGGCGCCGATATTTGTCAGGCTGATGCCGCGCATACGGATGTAGTCCAGGGCCAGGTTGACGTTCTCCACCTTCTGGATGCGCATGCGCGGGGTCCGGTTGTACCGCCCCAGGCGCTCGTCGCCGATTATCTCCAGTAGATGAATGAGCGCTGTGCCGTCGTGGAAGTCTGTGCAAATGTTGTTGAGCGCGCCTAGCGAGTTTTCTGACAGTCGGGCGTTTACCCTAGTGAAGTAGTGTGCAGGATTAGTTGTGCGAAGCAGCAGCATGCGCGTCGTATGTGTGGAGAGCGAGACACAAGGACGCTTACCATTTTGTGAAGGCTAGGTACGCGCAGCAGGAACAAAGGCCGTTGGCGGCGGCGATGCCAGTGGCGGGCAGCAACGGAGGTCATACAATGGAGAGCGCTGTTAGTGTATGTGTGCCGAAGGGACCGTCGATAGGACCATGCATACTTACTCTTTGCCTGCACCGACTCCCATGTCTTGTCTGCCGACGGGGCGGGCGCAAAGGACGAGCGAGGCTCGCTGACTGGTCTTGTGCAGAGCATAGTGTGTGGTGGAAGAAACGTCCTTCAATTAAAAGGAGAGCTCGAATTTCAAACAGAAAACACAGAAACAAAAAAGCGGTAGCAAGAGAAGAAAAAAGAGGGATGCTGAACGGATTTCCTCTCATCTCGCCCTGGCATATCCCCTCCCCACACATGCGAGCTGGGAGGGATTTTTCTCCTGCCACTGACTCTTTCTCTGACAAGCTTGGGGCAGCGTGTAGAGCAAAAACTCTAAATTGTGCGCTCTGCATTGGTAAGACTGTAGAGGTATAGTGCTACCCAGGCACTGCGATGGGCAGGGCAGCGTGCTCAACCCCAATGGAAATCCCGGCTTTTCGCGCGACTACATGTGTCGACATGAGCGCTGCACTATGAGCAAAGGTGGGCGTCGATGAGAGAGTGCAAGCTTGATGCAAACGCGTGCATGAGATGATCCACCATATCCGACTGCGCAGCCAGGGGCGTTGCAGGCAGTTGAGATTTATCACTTGGTCAGTATATTCACAAAGGTGTCGGTAAACAGGCAGTTGCGGCTGCACAGACGCACCTTGAACGGGATGATGCGGTGCTGCAGCAGCGGCATCGTGGCCCACACCAGCACCTCGACGGTGGGCAGCAGGAACCACTGGTTGCACACAGCGCACTGATGGCCGATCGGCAGCTCCAGGTGCTGGGCCTTGAGCGCAGCCGACACGCAGTTGCTGGAGGTTTCTACTGCGGGACCGACAATGCGGCCGATCGGCGGGCGGGCGTCTTCGAGGCACAGCGCCAGATTGTGCTTGTATGTCTTGAGCTCGGCTCGCGTCAGATGGCGTGCTGCCAGATCGGCCAGCCGCGGCACGCTTGAATGCGAAACAACCATGAACTGCCGCAGCAGCTCTGATTTCACACCCTGCCAGCACTCTACGCAGCGCAGCTTCCATTTCCGGTATTTGCCGGCGCGCGCTCGGTGTATAGTGGGCCGGGTCCAGGAACGGGTTGGCCGCCAGGTTCAGGATCTCGAGCCTGGTCAGCTTGGTCAGCTCGTACGGCAGCACCGTTAGCTTGTTGCTGGCCACCGACAGCTCGCGCAGATTGGCCAGGTTGCCGATCTCGGGCGGCAGATGCGTTATACGGTTGTCTGATATCAGCAGCGTGGTCAGGTTGGTCAGCTCGCACACGGCCATCGGGAAAGGCGCGCAGAGCGGTTCGAGGTCAGCATCAGCTCCAGGTCTGTGGCCAGCGTGTGGCTGGGCGTCAGCACCACCAGGTCCCTCAGCTCGGCCAGCTCGTCGGGCACCGACTCCAGCTGCAGGTCGCTCAGATCGATCTGCGAGTTGCCGTTCTCCACCGCTTCCCTGATAACCGCCAGCGCCGCCTCCTCGGCCTCATGGCAGATTGCCAGGTACCTGATTCTGTCCTCGGGCGCCTCGGGCCCGTCGGACTTGTCCTCGAAGAACAGCCGCCGCCGCATCCGCCGCTGCGAAACCGGCGAGTCCTTTGGCAGGCGCTTGCGGTGCGGCGACAGCTGGAACCGCTCGGTGGGCGGGCTGTGGAATGGCGGCGAGCCCGGCGGCGACATGTTCTGCGGTGTGACACCAAACACATTGCGGCTGTCCGAGTGCAGCGGCGACTGCAGCGAGTGGGCGCGGTCCAGGCTCTGGCGCCGCGACTCGGGCGTGTGGTTGGGGTATCCGCTGGTGCTCGCGTTGCGCTGGCCCAGCAGCTGCGGAGTCGCCCGGTGGTAGGCATAGGGCGAGAGCCCTGGCTGGAGGGGTGCGGTGCCACGGCGGTTGGGCGAGTTCATTGGGAACACATGCAGGAATACAGCAAGATATAGCACGGAAAAATAGTGGTGGCAGGATGCACAGAGCAAAAAAGAGTGCCAGAATAGCGCATGTGCGGTGCCCAAGCCCTCTTTTAACCCCCTCAATCACGAGGGGCTGCTCTGCCGGTACTTTTATCAATCACAGCCAATTATAGCGGGCCGCCGGGTGGGTTTCAAGTGCATCGGATTTTGGCGAAATCCAGGAGGGTTCTCGCTGGACAACGCAGAAAAGGTGGAGACCGTACTCGTGGGAATCTGCAAAAATTTCTATCTACGAGCGTTTCTTGGAGGCAGCAGTAGGCTGCTTGGGCTTGACCGAGTCCTCGTAGCTCTTGGCGACGCTGGCCATGTAGCCCTTGGCCAGCACTGCTGCAACCCGCATGACGTAGGCAATCTGGCGGATCTCGTGAACATGCTCCAGGCAGTACTCCATGGTCATGTCCCGGTTGGTGGACATGGCGACCTGGCACGACTCGATGTCCGTCATGGTGAAGTCCCTATCGTACGGGATGTACCCAATGTACACAAACATGTCGATGAACAGCGCCATGGCGAACCAGCGCACGTGCCCGTGGTCCTTCTTGTGCTGCCCGTAGAACAGAGCGACAGACGACACGGCCATCCAGATGTTGTAGAGCACCCACGGCGAGCGGTAGCCGGTGGCGATGCCAAACCCGTGCCAGACGGTCAGCAGGGCAGCGATGATTGCTGCGCCTGTGTTGAGCGGGATGCACCCAAGCAGACTGCGAGGCGAGGGGAGGATAGCGCGCAGCATTGTACGATTGTGAGGATTAGGAAGTTGGGATAAAAATATCAAAAACAGCAAAGTCTTGGGGAGGAGATGGAAAGCACAAAGCCAAGAGTCCGGACATCGGCCACTGGCTAAAAAGGTCTCCATGTGCTCTCCACGCTGGACTTTTGGGCGAAAATCAGCTCGACTAAAAAGGGGGAGGCAGAGGACGCTCTCTGACGATTCGCTCTCTTGGCTTTTTTTTTTTTTTTTTTAATTTCACCCCTTCTTTATTTATTCCTCTGCATTTCCAACCCGTTAATTTCTTCTCTTGTATATGACATAATGGCAAACACAGCGTCGTCCGCAATGCCCCTGCCCGTCAAGGACTCGGCCGCACAGGTAAGCAGGCGCCGGTTATCTCTCGGCACGCACGGGCAATAGCGCAGCAGCAAAAAACAAAGAACTAAGCGCATACCCCTGCTAGGCTATTTCCAATGGCGAACCGGTGCTGACGTTTGCGCCGTCGACGCGGTTCTCACCGCCGCCCATCGCCCGCCGACGCACAGCATCATCGCATGACTCAGACGAGCAGGACACCGACCCCGATGACCTGGTGGCCAGCCAAACAGACCTTGCGCGGGAGCAGCTGAAGCGAGACGTGGTCGGGCCCGGCCTGGTAAAGGAGAAGGAGGTCAAGTGCGGGTTCCTCGCAAAGCGCACCGGAGGGGCCGGCAAGGTAAGGGGCAGCCAGATATAGAGAGGGCAGCAGGACGATCAGCGCAGAGGGGTTGTCAGTGGTTGACTAACAGACGGGCAAACTTGGATTCTTCTTTTTAGACGTGGAACAAGCGGTGGTGCGTGCTGCGGCTGCAGTCATTGTCGATATACAAAAACAACAGCGAGTACAAGCTGAAGCGCATAATCCGGGTCGACGAGATCGTCAGCGTGAAGCCCATTGAGAAGCGCAACCGGCCGTTCGCCTTTATGGTGACCACCAACGACCGCAGCTTCTACTTTGACGCATCTAGCAGCCAGGAGCTGGACAGCTGGCTCGAGGCAGTGCAGCGCGCCATCGATATCGTCAATGGCCAGGACGGGCGGGAATCGGATGAGACAGTGCGCCGGCAATTTGCCACGGCCTCGCGCGCATTATCGCCACAGGCAACTACTGCCCAGGCTACTGCTGGCGACTTCTTTTCGCTGCCGGCTGCAGGCAACCAGCGCCGCTCCAGCGGTATGGCCAGAGCAGTGCACACCATCTTCGAAGGTAGGTCGTTGTTGCGAACTGTGTTGGTCGTTCAGAGCCAGCATGTGGCCCCGGTAGTTCTTGCTGAGGATTTGCATTTGGTGATGACAGAGGCGTGGGTGTCAACCAGCAGCACGTATCGTATGCGCTGGCAAGGAGGAACATCCAGGCTGTCAGCTTTCCAGCGCACATGATAGGCGGCAGCCGAAACGCCCCATGCACGGCAAGTAGAGACGCCATTATTGACCACCCCCTCCATCCCCTCCATACCTGCCCGTATGTGGGGGTGAATTATTACACCTCTCCCCGCGCCCCTCTCCTTGCTGGCGAATGGCCATTGCAGCATGTCACCTGGGGCGGCGCATCCCTGAGCTACAAGACAAAAGACACGCAATGGCTCCTGCATGCTGAGCATCCTGTTCCATCCTTGTAGGCAGTGCCGACGACAGAAACATCTACTCGGAGCCCAGCACGTCGCCCGACCTTATCCCTGTGGCTGCTGTAAAGAGCACATCGATGCCCAGCGACGCACACCAGGGTCTGTGCATTGACACCAATCCGCATGTGCTGAAGCAGCAGGGGACTGGGCAGCTTGCAGCGGAGGAGACAGACGCGGTCACTGCATTCCCGCCCGGTATCAACCCGGAGAGCGAGGCAGCGCCCGTGCTCGACGACGAAGAGGAAGACGACGAGCCCAACTTCAACACCGACCATCGGCGCGAGATCGAGGACAAGCTGGCCGACGACCAGGTCATCCTCAGCGGATACCTGCTGAAGCAGGACAAGCTGAAGCAGTGGCGCAAGCGGTGGTTCGTGCTGAGGCGCAACACCCTGTCATACTACCACAGCAGCAAGGAGTACGAGCTGAAGCAGATTATGCGCCGGGAGGATGTCCACTCGGTGCGCGAACCCGACCCATGCACAGCCAAGGCAAAGTCGCTGCACCGCGGCTACTTCAAGATCGTCACCACGAAGCGCAGCTACTGGATTGCCCACGACAACAACGCCATGGCTGGCGCCTGGTTCAAGGCCCTGGAGCAGTGGAAGGCTGGCACCATTGACATGTCGTCGCAGGCGGTCAAGCTGGCCAAGAAGCTGGCCAGCCTTGACCCAGCTGAGGGCGCACCCGGCCACCCGCATGGCCCGTCGGGCGCCCGCCAGCGCCGTCGCAGCAGTGCTGCCAACTTCTGATTAATCCCCCTTTGTAAGTAAATTATTTTCCTTAGCCGCTGCTTGCTCTCACTAGAGAGCGCCGTTCGATCGGCCAAATTGTTGTCCCACGTCCAGTGACCGGACAGGACACAAGGAATTGGAAGCCAGACCTTTCTTGCTGCTGCTTTCATCTTCTGGAGACCTATTATTTTTCCAGCTCTTGAAAAAAATTTTATTCTGAAATGTCTGACCACAGTGTACAGGACCAGACCGGCGAGTCGTCGGAGGCCGGCAGGCAGAAGCCAAAGAAGGAGGACATTGGCGAGCTTGTGGCCAAGGCCTGCCGCAACGAAGCGGTTCAAGAAGGTGCCGCTGACGCCCGAGTATCTGCAGGAGGACTATGAGCAGAACATGCTGGGCACAACCGCCGGGTTCTTTTGCGCGATCTGGGCCGGCACCCTGCTGAGCGAGCCGCTGGCCAGCTCCTTCACATCGTTTGACTACCCCGATGTGGACGTCGACGGCTACTACTACTTTGGCGGCAAGGACATCGCGCTGAGCCTGCTGCTCGCCAGCAAGCTGCTGTTTGTGCGCGCCCTGCTGTTCCGCTACGTTCTGCGGCCCCTGCTGCGTGCGTGCGGTGTCACGACCTTTGAGCGGCGGCAGCAGATCGCAGAGCACCTGTACCTGGCCGCTGTCTCGGGCGTGTCGGTGCTGGCTGGCGCCTATTTCGCTCTGCCGCTGGTAGAGGGAGTCGAGGGCGTGTGGAGCGGGTACCCGTCACTCAGCGTGCCGTTTGCCGCCAAGGTGTTTGTGGTCACGCAGGCTGCGTACCGCATCTCGGAGCTGGCTGTCTTGTACTTTGAGGGCGAGAGCCGCCAGGACTACTACGATCACGCCATCGTCCTCTATCTGACTGCCGGGCTTATCGCCTGCGCTGGCCGTCTGGGCCTGGTTGGCTTCGCCGGTGCCGTGGCGGTCTGCATTGACCTGCCGGTGCTCTGCTCGGCTGCCGCGCGTATCACGGGCATCGGCTTCGGGGCGGCCAAGATGGCGGCCATCGCCGTCCGCTGTGCTGTGCTCCCGTTGCTGGCGCTCAGCACAGCCAGGGGCGCACCCGAGGTCCTGGCTGAGGGCAACCCCGACGAGGGTCTGCTGTGGACGCAGGGCATGCGGATCACGTTCCTGTCGACGCTTTTCGTCGTCCTGGCCCTTGGCATCAACGAGGCCATTGGCGCCAAGGCCGAGGAGACCACAAAGGCTGTGGCCCGTGGCAAGAAGGACCAGTGAGCCAGGATTATCTGCTCGGATTAGCCGGCGCTGTGCGACAATTTTTTACCTAGCCATTTTATTGCAGCCTGCCAATCACATGGATGTTGTGTTTTCCCCATCGCCCACATCGCCAGCCCAGCAGCAAGAGGGGTACGGTTCGCGGCAGCCCGACGGGATCCCGCCCAGCGCTGCAATGAGCGAGTTTCAACAATGAAGCCGCTCCTGCAGCGTCCGCCTCTCAGCACTGGCAGATCCTCCTCCATGGCTGCCTCCTCGAACGAGCCTTTTTCTCTTGTTTCCTTTTTTCTCTCCTTACCCATTCCAGCTTGTCTCTCCGTTTCTTCGCCTCCGTACCCGACAACAATAGCAACGTTCGAATGACCAGCCCTGTGAAGCTCAAGGAGCCCTCGTACTTTGAGGCCAAGGCTGCGCGCGAGGCCGCCGCCAGGAATTCCACTCCACTTCGCAAGGCATGCCAGTGGATTGTCAACAACCAAATTGGTAAGCCAGACTTGTAGTCAGCCAGACAGCAAAGGCTATGTCTGCCAGAGCCATTGAACCTCCCCGCTGCTAACACGCTGCCTCTGTAGTTGGGTCGCTGGCGGCGCTGGCTGCCATCCACGGCTACGACTTTGTCACTGGCGGCAAGTCGGCGATGGTGCACCTGCAAAACCAGATTCCGGGCGATGCCCAGGGCCGGTACATGCGTGGACTGAACGACGTGTGGTACATCATGCACTGGGTGGTTCTGTTCACGCTAATCCGCGCCACCGTCATGTACAAGATCCTCGAGCCCTTCGTCAAGTGGTGGGGCGTCAGGTCGGCGCGCAAGATTACGCGGTTCTCGGAGCAAGGCTGGTTGACCATCTTCTACATCGTGTCGAGCTCGGCTGGCCTGTTCGTGATGTCGCATGAGCCCCACTGGATGAACACCAAGCACTTCTGGATCAACTACCCCGAGGGCCACAAGCAGATGAGCTACCTGATGAAGTCGTACTACCTGATCCAGATGGGCTTCTGGTTCCAGCAGATCTTTGTGCTGCTGATCGAGGAGCCACGCAAGGACTTTTTGGTCATGGGCATCCACCACATCGTCACCTGCAATCTGCTAGGCCTGGTCGCTCTACGCCAACTTTGTGCGCATCGGCAATGCCGTCCTGGTGTGCATGGATGTGGCCGACATCTTCCTGAGCGGCACAAAGTGCCTGCGCTACCTGGGATTCGAGAATCTCGCCGTCGGCTCGTTTGTGGTGCTCATGGGCTCGTGGATGTATACGCGCCACTATCTGTACGGCAAGATCCTGTACAGCGTGTATTTTGAGTCGAACGCCATCCTCGATGACTCGATCTTCAACCCCGCCAACGGCAGCGTGTACCGCCGCGACATCATCCTGATGTTCTTTCGCGCTGCTGGCCACTCTGCAAGGCCTGCTGTTCTACTGGCTCTTCCTCCTCTTCCGCATCATCTACCGCATTGCCTTCCAGGGCAACCTCGATGACAGCCGCAGCGATTCGGAGGACGGCAGCGACAGCGACGATGGCAGCCACAGCTCGAAGAAGCCTGCCACCACCAAAAAGAACCAGTAAAGGATCTAATAAATTTTCAGCATGTAATCCGGTTTTTTCTTCCAGCTCCCCCATGTCCACGTGTCACCATAGTTTGTTGATGACATAGGTGACGGCTACCTTTTTGCTGTAGTAAGCAGGTTTTATGGCCCACCCCCACATCTCTGCGTCTCTTCCTCGCTCTCCGTACATTTCCAGACTACTCTTTTGATTCATGACAGAGATAGAGCCGCCAACTACCAATAATCACGTCCGTGCGTTTGCCAAACAAACCCTGCGCTCGGGCACAATCAAGGGCGTCGTGCATGGCTGCTTCCAGCCTGGATCCTCGGGCTTGCCAGCCGATCTGATTATTGCTCACGAAACATCGCTCGACCTGTATACTAAGGACGCCGAACTGGCGAGCATCTGCACTGCACCGGTATTTGGCAACATCCTGGGCATCTGCCGCATCAGCAAGCCATTGCCGTCAAACGCCGACGTGTGCGCCGTTCTCGCCGAGTCTGGCCAGCTGCTGCTGGTCTACGTTGAGGAGTACAATCCAGGCAAACTGCGATTCAGACTCCTGGACCAGATCCATGCCGGATCTAGCCAGGGCATGGATCCTGGCCAGTACAGTATGCTACGCAAGGTTGTGTCCGACCCCCTGTCTCGCGCATTGGTTATCGTATCATGGACGAACACGCTGGAGCTGGTAGCAATTTGACTGGATGTCGAGCTAAAAAACTGTTGCCTGTGCTAGTCCAAGTCGACGGCATTATCTGCGATGCGGCCATCCTGGCACCTTCCCAGCTAGAAACACAGCGGATCATGATTGTGGCTGCAGTTATCGACAGTGCCACTGAGGCATTTTCTTTGCATCTGTTTGAGTCGTGGGTGCAATCGGAGTCAGTAGCACCGCCAGTCCGGCTGCTGGCCAAACTGCCCATGCCGCACGATATGTCGATGCCGCTACAAGTCGCGGTGCTACCAGCAATACCCGAGCGCATCTTGCTGATTACCGAGCATGAGGCCGTGTTTGTCAGTGCTGTTCAGATTCTATCGGGCGATGTGCATTTGTGTCGGATGCCGCTGCCAGTCATGGACGATGACAGCAGCACTGGACCTGATTGCGGCATGCTGTGCTGTAGACAGCAATCCATTGGCAGAGGAGACCAAGGATAGGCGCACAGACCCTCGGCGTGCCAGCTGGTGCCTCTGCAGTTGGTATGTCGCAGCGACTTGTCATGGGTATGCAAAGCGGTGCGCTACTACGAGTCGACGTTAGTGATCGGCCGAGTATCAGGTTTGCCAAGATTTTGGACCTGTCAAGCACCGGCTCTAAGATGGCCATCGGTGACTACATGGTGCATCTCGGGTCCGGCAGTCTATTTGTTGCAGGGGACTGTGTTGACCACACCATCATCCAGATATCCACGTTCGAAACGGACATGCCCACTATGACAGCATCGCCGGTACTCGCCAGCCAGTCGCCACTGCTTGATCTGGCCATCAACTCTGGCTCCCACCTCGCGTATTGGACCAGCGGCCGCATGCACACGGGTGCCATTCACGAGGCACGGTTCGGCCGCACAGTGCAGTGTCTCTATACCTTGGACACTGGTTTGTCTGAAGGCGACTGCACGATTTCCCGTGCATGGGGAGTCACGATGCACAACTCCTTGCAGTGCGTTGTCATGACGACGATTAACTCTTGCGTTGCAGCCTGCGTTGATAGAGACAATAGCTGGCGCATCCATGAGGAGCTACAGCAGTGGCTGTCTGCCATGGAGCCCGTGTTTGTAGGGAATGCTGGACCTCGGATTGTCTGTGTGTCAAAGGACAGCCTGGACATCCTGGACTCACTGCAGACCAGGCGCATTGCTAATGCCAGCGACAGAGAGTTGTTCACTCATGGTGCCAGTACTGTGCTCGGTAGCATCTCCATTGCGGCTGTCGTGGTCAGGCTACCGCTGGGCGACAGCAACGTTAGTTGGCCATGTTATTACCGGTCAGCAATCCGGGTATTTGACATCTGTGCCCAGGAGCTGGTATTTGAGGACATGCTCGGCTCTGAGGTATCGGCCGTGCGCATTCTGCACATCGGGACTGCAGCCATATTTGGCTATTGGCACATATGGACCGCGGATGATCATCTACCGGATTTGTGACAGCGGTGCACTGGAGCAAGTATTAGACTGGGATCTGAATTGCAGCTGCACAACCCAATCCAAGACGAACGTCGAGTTTCCAGACCAGCACAAGCCTGGCTTATGTCATCAACGACATCTTTGCACTATGCACATCGGATCGGTCCTGCCTGCTGATAGGCCTGCGCAACGGAACCCTGGTCAAGGCGCATGTACATACTAGCACGACCGGCCCGTTTTCACTAGGAGAGGCTGTAGAGGACCAGATAGGTGGCGCACCTGTCAAGTTCACGCCAGTACCAGAACCACTGTCTCCACCAACGATCAGCAGCTCCAAGGTTGTTGTGCTTTCTGGCTCGCTACATACTGCCGAACTCATCGACCACGGATATATGAGGATGGTGCCATGCATTGGCAGTGATTTCAACCTACCCAATGTCCTCCATCTGCTGCCACTCTTTGCGGCAGACAGCTGCTTCTTCGGCATCAGCGACAGCAACGCCATCAGCATCCAGACCATTGACTTTTCGTCGCAATGCCACATCCGCACGCTGCCAGTTGGGGACGAGCCACGGCGGATCCTGGTGGATCGCGACACCGGAATGCTGGTGGTCGCTGCCATGAGATGGCAGCTGTCAGACTCGCCGCCTATTCCAACATCGTCACTAAAGGTTATAGACCCGCGCGACGGCACGCTGCATGCCGAGTCCCGGCTCCAGAAAAACGAGGCAGTCTTTGCGCTGTCACACTGGCATGTTCAAGGCCGCAAGTCATACTGCTTTGTTTGCGTTCGGCACCTGGCATGTACTCTGCTGCCGGTGTGCCTGCACCCGATCCCACCAAAGGCGGTCGCATTGTGATCTACAGTCTGAAAACACTGAAGCGCAAGCGACCAGGCGCTGTAGCCTCGCCGATCTCAAGCGCTGCATCGTCGCCCCGCCTCCAGCCGCAGCCTGACGCGTCGTATGACCTGAAGTTCCGGTGGGAGTCGGCACGCAGCGGACCAGTCACAGCCCTGGCCCCGCTCGGCGACTCGTACCTGGTCGTTGGAGCTGGCATGTCGTGTATCGTGCTTGCAGCTAGATATGGAGCGCGGTCCGGCTGATCGAGTGCTGCGAGGTTGTTTTGAGGTTCCTGGTTACTTGCGTGCATGTTTCTGGCAACCAGATTGCTGTCGGGTCGCAGCGCGAGTCAGTGCATTTGTTTGAGTTCGTGTCGGGCGATGGCCAGGATACACTGGCGATGAAAAGCCAGCGCTAGATTTGGCTTGCAGACTGCTGATGCCCGGTTCCTCTCACCCAGCATGGTGGTTGGCGCAGATCGCAATGGGTTCGTGTTCGCCATGGCCACCAGCGCAGATAACAGCGACGAGTTTGCAGTCGACTACAAGATGGGATTCCACCTCGGCAACGCATGCACTCGTGTAGTGCCGGGACAGCTGGTCAGCTACCTGCACCGACCTGATCACATTGTGCCATGGTGTACGGGATGCCTCCAGGCGGGCGGATGCTGTGCTAGCCAGCACGATAACCGGGGCAATGTGGTCGTTTGTGCGCGTCAGTGAGCAGGCGTTCGACCTGGTAAAGCTGCTGGAAGAAGCGCTTCTGTCCTTTGAACTACTCGCACCCGGCGTTCCCTTTGCTGGCTAGACCGGGATCTATCTGCAGAGCGACACGGCCAGCCTACAATCTGCAGCAACAAAGTGTGGTTGATGGCGAGCTGTCGACGCTGTTCCTGGATCTTCTGACTGAAGACGAGCAGCAGCATGGTAGTCGCCTCGTCGTTGGAGCTGCGCACCACGGCTCTGGCAATGAGCGACTTTGCATCACCGCCTGACGACTCGTCCAGGATTGCAACAGCAGCCAGCACCATCCGCACACTGATTCAGGGCCTCAACCGAGCGTGCCTTTACTAAAAAGAGAAACCTCATGGCAGATGCGAATACACTAGTCAGATCACATAAAGTCATCGAAATCGTCAAAGTCCCGGCTATAGTCGTTCATATCGAGCTGCTCCTTGGGCGGGGCCGTGACCACAGCCTTCTTGCCGCCCTTCTTCTTGCCCTTGGCGGCATCCCTCGCCGCCCGCTGCTTCTCGTTAGCCAGGGTGGTCAGCACGCTCGAGAACTTGCGCACCTCGACGTCCTTGAGCGGCAGCGCCAGCTCGCGGATCAGACCCTCCAGGAACGACACGTACAGACGCTGCGACTGCGTCTTCTGGATGCGCTCCACCAGAGCCTTCCGGAACTCGTCAAACTCTGCCTGGGTCTTGGGGTTGATAGTGTTCAGGACGTCGGCCACCTGGGTGTCCTTCACCGTCAGGCCTGCGAACAGATCCTCGGTGTTCTGCAAGTCGGATGCGACCTGGGCGCGACGCGCCTGCAGCTTCCTCGAGACAATGTCTTCCTCGTCGACCTCGCTGTCATCAGAGCCCAGCAGCTCCTTCTTCTTGGCCTCGCGCTCGGCCTGCCGCTCGGCGATCCGCTCCGAAAGGCTCTTCTTGGTCTTGGGCTTGGGCGCCGGCACCGCTGTCTGCTTGGACTTGTCTTCGTCCTCCGGACTCGGACTCGTCGGACGAGTTGTCCCAGTTGTCGGGCGCGCTGCTGTCGCTGTCCTCCTCCTCGTCGTCCCACTTCTTCTTGGGCACCTTCACCACAGGGGTATCGTCGAAGTCCTCGTTCTCTAGAATTCAAGCGGCCTTAGCAAGACTGCAACTTGCTTTGGCAGCGAAACTGCTGCGCTGACGCCGTCTACTTACCCCAGTCAGACATTGCTCTCTTTTGAAACGGTTGAATTTGTAAAGAAATGTAGAGAGAAAGCGTGAAATTGGCTGACCCTTGCTCATTTGAAGCCATTTCTGAAAAACTTGTCGGCTCACTCCAAAGCCGGCTCGCATGAATCAGAACCGGCTGGTGGCTCGCTTGCACAGGAACTGGCAATCGGCGCAAGATGTAGAATCGGCACAAGTGTTGATTTGTAAAGGCTAGGAAATCGAGTTTTACTGCTGCTCCGAGCGCTGCTTGATGGCCTCGTCCATAAGAGTCTGCAGGAACTGCGACTTCTCGGGGTTCAGGCTCTGCACGATGACATTGTAGGTGGCCGGGTTGCTGCTCTGCATCTCGGCCAGCTTGTCCTGGAGCCACACATGCGGCTTGACAGCGTCCAGCGGGCTCTCAAAGGCCAGCTCCTCCTCCAGCGCCTCGTCGTAGTCGTCCTCGTCGTCGTCGTCAAACTCACCCTCGGCACCCTCGCCCAGGGCCTCGCCTGCCCGGCCAGCGAGCTGGCGCAGGTACTCCTGCTGGAGCTCATCGGCATCGTCTTCGGCCAGGTCGTCGTCGACCAGCTCATCCTGCACGCCGTCCCACTCGTAGTCGCCGTCAAAGTCGTCGCCAGTGCCATCATACATGCGCTCCAGCGCATCGCGGGCCTCAACAGCCTCACCCAGAGTGTGGAAAGTCTGCAGGATGCCCTCAAACACCTGTGGCAGACCGGCCTGCAGCGAGGCCGGCAGCTGGTCGGCGGGCACAGACAGCAGAGAAGTCAGACCCAGGACCACCAGCTTCTTGTCGTTGACGCGGGTGAACTTGTCGATGCTCTGCACCAGGCGGGTGAAGATGCCGCTGGTCCACTGGAACTGCTCGAGCACGCTGAGCGTGATGACTGGGTTGTAGTACAGGGCATTGAGGATGACCTCGAGGGTGTAAACCAAGAAGCCGCGCGTCTGGATCGCGTCGTTGACCAGCAGGTAAGCGGCAGCCAGGCTGATCAGGCCCGGGATCATGCCGTCGACCTTGCCGCGCCCGTTGAGCATGATCGCCTCAGCCAGCTTGCACGCGCAGATGCGCTCGGACTCGCCGGCGCGCTCGCTCTTCATGACAGTCTCGATGATGTCAAACAGACGCGACTGCACCTCGCTGTTGGTCGACACAACATCCATGCCATACGACACAAAGTTGTCGAGCGACGGCAGCATCTCCTCAATGAAATCGCTGCTGTCGTTCTTGAACGTGGTGTAGATGACGTCAAACAGGCTCCACGCGTTGGGCGAAATGGTCTTGACCGCGAACGTGCAGCAGTCCAGGATCTCATACACCTCGTCGTACAGGTCCACAAGGCGCTGGTCCAGCACAAACCGCACAATGGGGAAGATGACCTCCTCGAGCTTGAACACGACGTCGGCCGAGCTCTCCAGATTCAGCACCAAGGTGCCCAGCGTCTTGAGCACGCCCATGGCCGCCATGGTCTTGTCGCTGATATCGTCGATATCAACCGTGGAGATATCAGGCGTGTTGACAGTGATGTCGCCCATGATGCGCATGAACGTGTCACACAGCTGCTGCGCCAGCTTGCACCGCGAACGGCGCCATCTGGTCGGCGAAGATCTCGACGAACTCCTCGATGACGTGCGTGATGGTGTCCGAGTCGATCTCGTTGGTCAGGATTCAAGAACACCTGCATCACCTGCGGCAGATGGCTCTGCAGCAGACCACGGATGTCCTCATTCTCGATCATGGGCTGCAGGGCCAGCGCAGCGTGGACCCGGACCGGCAGCTCGGGATCGCTGAGCAGCCCATAGACGCCCTCGAAGACGCCCTGCTGCACCTGCTTGTCGCTGAACTCGATGCTGCTGTAGCGGCAGTACACGTCGAGAGCGCGGGCGCGCACGAAGCCGTACTTGCTCTTGAACAGCGGGATGACGTTGGTCAGCAGGAAGTCGGGCAGCGTGCTGTAAATCGGCGACTTGCGCGAGCACAGCGGGCCGCACAGGGCACCCATCATGTTCAGGGCGCCGTCGATGAGCTGCGGGTTGCGTGTCTCCTCGGAGGCCTGCGAGTACTGCGTGATGATCGAGTTGACAAAGTTGAGGATGATGCTCAGCGTCGCGCTCTTGCGGTCGACGGCAAAGTCAATGAGCAGGTTGGAGGCAGCGACGGTCGACGAGCCAAAGTCGTCGAGCGGGTCGATCTTCTTCTGCACGTACTCGACGGGGTTGTCCTCCCACAGCTCCTTGTCGTCCTCGCTGAAGCACATCTGCGGGAAGATGTACTGCGACACAATACTCTCGACGTGCGGCTTGACCAGCTTCCATGCCGCCTTCTCCTTGACACACTCGGCAATCATCTGGGACACCAGCCCGCGGATGCGCGACGACATCCACACTGTTCCCTGCACGTACCCATCGATCTGCTTAAAGTACGCCTGCATGATCTGCGGCAGGAAGTTGGCTGTGAACACCTTGGCGAACGTCTTGTAGCGCTTCTGGCTCGGCGCCAGCGTGGCCGGGTTGCCGAAACGGCTGTACAGCCGGTTGACGCTGCGGAATCGCCCACTTCTTGGCCTTCCACACGGGCTCCTTGGCCGTGTCCTCATCGACCAGGCTGCGGTCGAACGCGACCGGCTTCTCCATCATCTTGATAAACGAAGTGCCCCACGCCACCAGGCTGCCCGGCTCCTGCAGGGCCACCGGCAGCGCAACCTGGATCGCCGCGTAGTATGTCTTGAACGCAGCCCACACCATGCGCATGGCCAGCTCGTCGTCCGATCCAATGGCATCGTCAACCACTGCCTGCACACGCGGGAACAGGTCGCGGGCAACGGCGTCAATTACCGTGCGCTTAGTCTGGCTGTAGCGGTACAGACGCACCAGCTCGCGCAGCGCCAGCAGGCCCGTGTACACCATCTGCGGGTCCTGTGCGCTAAGCAGCTCCTTCAGCTGCCCATCGAACTGGGCCCACTTGTCCGGGTAGTCAAAGTTCAGGATCACGCCCAGACAGCTGGTCAGCTGCACCTTGATCGTGTGCGGGGTAGCGTATATGAACTTCAGGATGTTCTCCTTGGCCGCTGCACGGTCGCTCTCGCTGATCGGCGCGTGGTTGTCCAGCGCATGCTGGCTGGCCGACCACGCCCGACTGACACGGTTTTTGAAGTAAATAGCCGCCGCCTGCTTCGTGCCCGTCGAGAGCTCATCAGCACCGATGATCTGAAGGATTGTGCTCAGAAAGCCGTCGTTGGCCTCGAACTAGAAGGGACAAGTGTATGTTGTTCAGTGTTTGGGTCTGTGCTATGCTGGGGGTTGCGGAAACTGTGTCTTCTTACCTGCTTCAGCTGCGCCTCGGCGTTGTTGCGGACATTGACGTCCGGGTGGTACGTGGAGTCGAAGAGACCGACAAGCGAGTTGAGATCCATGGCAAGAAAGGTGGCTATTATTCCCTGTCCCGGAGGGTGTGTATACAAGTGGGAAATGTAGAAAAGAGTGTAAAAATAGAGGGAAGCGGCGAAGCGATAATTGAACCTTTTCTTTCTGGCGCTAAGCAAAAAAACAAATGGCTAGAGCCTCAATGCCAAAAAAAAAAAAAAAAACTTTGAGTCGTGATCTGCATCCAACGATCAAGACTCGTGCAGATCACGGCCTTCTGGCGCTCAGTGGGGGTATACTGGCTGGTGTAGTGTCGGCGTATAGGCGTTGGGGGAGGGAGGGCGAATGGCATTTGAGAGCCAGTGCGCCTGTGCAGCGGGGGATTGGTGGGGGCTGTGTGGGGCACACTGCCACCACATTAGCATTCGCCTGGAGTAAACCGATATACTACCCCCGGAGCAAAAAACAGAAAAGTCGGGCGCTATGTGCAGCCAGAGCTTCCCCAGCCACAGGCGCAGCAGTGGCCGGCAAGTCACAGTGCCATTCACCGGCCCGGGAGGCGAATACTATTGAAAGGCGAATACTATTAAATATTCAAGGAATTCCTGAAGTATATTTGACTTCCTTGTGGTGGCCATTGAGTCCAAATAGAAACAAGCCTGCCGTCAGCAGCAATGGCTGGGCACAATGTCGGCATCATGTGGGCCGCTCTCAGCAATTTGTGGTCACAGCTCGGACGGACACCACGCCCTCCACATGTCCTCCACATCGGCAATCCCGGTGGATGAGCACACGACGGGGACGGTGTAGGAGCGGGATGTATGTCAAATGCCCAATATTTTTCCTATACATCAAATATAAAAAAGCCTGCGCCTTGTCTTTACACTCCCCACCCTCGCGCCCGCATTAAAAATACATACCATCATCAGACGGGATGAATGACTCCACCAATTCAGCTGCATATATAGCCCGCCCACCCCCCACTCCACTGACCAATTCGTTTTTTGGCAACACTCGCTTGTTCCCGCCCATTCCTTTCCATCCTTCAACTCTGTGCATAATGCTAGCTAACGACCTTTGCGGCCTAGTGAGCTATCCGAGACTACCCGCCGCCGCCCAGGCCACCGACCACGATTTACGCCTGCTCCCTGTAAATGTACTTTCCGCCCCTCTTGCATACTAGAAATTACTAGACACGTGAATAAATCACCGCACATCAAATCACCAGATCACAGATGCACTTTGAATTTCGCCTGGCTGGGTGCGCCCAAGCAATGATCCATAGCACAAGCACGAGGCGGGGCTAAGAATCGAATCTCTCTTTTTATTTCGCCCCGTCATTGAAATCAATTAAAAATGGGTAAGCGTCGCCAGAAGGATTCGTGTGGGAGCAGAAAATCGCAGATGATGGATGCGCGTGTGCACTCGGTGGATGCGATCGGTGGAAAATGCGGAAAGGCGGAAGGGTTTCCGGTCCCGAAATGCAGAGCCCGGAATTTCAGAGCCTGCAATTTGAGAGGGCGTGCAATTTGCTAATTCGCACTTTGATATTTAGGTAAAGGCAAGCCTAGAGGATTGAACGCCGCGCGTAAGCTGCGCACTCACCGCCGTGAGCAGCGCTGGGCCGACAAGCAGTACAAGAAGCGCGCCCTCGGTACCGCGTACAAGTCGTCGCCTTTCGGTGGCTCGTCGCACGCCAAGGGTATTGTCCTTGAGAAGATCGGTGTTGAGGCCAAGCAGCCCAACTCTGCTATCCGTAAGTGTGTGCGTTGCCAGCTCATCAAGAACGGCAAGAAGATCACCGCTTTCGTGCCCAACGACGGTTGCCTCAACTACGTCGATGAGAACGACGAGGTGCTCATTGCCGGTTTCGGTCGTAAGGGTCGTGCCGTTGGTGATATTCCGGGTGTCCGCTTCAAGATTGTGAAGGTCTCGGGTGTCTCCCTGTTCGCTCTGTACAAGGAGAAGAAGGAGAAGCCCCGCTCGTAAATCTCTTCAACGCAAGCAACCGCTTTGTTCTGCCCAAATTGCAATATATATTGTGCGGATATTACGTGTATACATGTCGGTGCTCCATGCCATATTAGTCGCTGGCTGCGCAGCCATTGCGGTGCAGGGGTCGGCTCTTGAGGTGCTATTTGCTTGGCCGCAAGAGCATGAGATGATATGCAAATGTGGAAGGCATTATGTACTGGTAGCAACATAGATATCTAAAAGCTGTTGTGCTGAAGTGCTTTTGAAGGAAAATGCATTGTATATGACTGGACATGGCATTCAAAAGGGCAGTGGCAAAGGCCACAATGTGCGCATATGTTCAAAACTAATAGAGTAGTAGTACCGGTAGAGCCCGTCAGGGCTGTGCATGATATCATAGTCGACTGCAAGTATTGCGACAAAGATCATTACACACAGGCTGTTCTCTTTTCAACTAAAGGCTCTCTTTGTGGCGGTATTGAGTGTGAGTCGTCGACAGGTATCACCGCCTGCATGGCTGCTCACGTACTTGAGAACTAGCTACAACCCAGCAGTCCTGGTATGACTCGCGCTTGCACTATGTGCCAGTGCATTTGCGATCCAGGCATCAGGATTTTTGATATTGCTAATCCGCCCTGATTCTGCCAGAGAGGGCTGACGTGGCCCTGATGCGCGTCAGGCTTATTTTGCGATTTTTCTCAGCAACGCAGGCCACGCAAGCGCAATCGGCAATTCAGCTCTTTTCTGACCTTTTACACAAATTACGCTTTTCTATTAAATTCAATGGTGCTCGAGGCTACAGTACTTGTTATCGACAACTCCGAGTGGTCGCGTGACGGCGATTTCACGCCCAACAGGTTCCAGGCACAGATGGATTCGGTGCATTACCTGTTCAGTGTGAAAACCAACGACAATCCCGAGAACACTGTCGGGGTCATTGCCAACGGCGGTGACAGCCCCGATGTTCGCGTGTCACTGACCGGAGACCTGGGCGTGCTGCTGAAGGGTCTGCACGGCCTTGGAATCCGCGGCGAGTCTCATTTCGACACCGGAATTCAAATTGCACAGGTAAATTGCTCTAGCTTCTGGCATGGCCCACACAAGTGAGGCATACAGTTGTATGGCTACTTAATGTTTTTGCTATCTGGGTGTAGCTCATTCTGAAGCATCGCGCGAACAAGCACCAGAAGCAGCGGATCATCGCGTTTCAGCGCCAGTCCCATTAAGGCTGACGAGCGGTCGCTGATCAAGCTGGGCAAGAAGCTGAAGAAGAACGGCGTGTCTGTCGATGTTGTAAACTTTGGCGAGCATGCTATTAACGAGCAGAAGCTGGCCGCGTTTGTTGATGCAGCCAACAACAACGACACTTCGCACCTGGTCACGGTTCCCCCTGGCCCGCACATCCTGAGCGAGCAGATCCGGTCGTCGCCCATTGTAGGTGGAGGACCCAGCAGCAGCGGCGCAGGCGGCAGCGGCGGCGGTGACTTTGAATTTGGAATCGACGCGGACGCAGACCCCGAGTTGGCCCTTGCCCTACGCATGTCGCTGCAGGAGGAGGAGGAGAGGCAGAGGCGAGATGCTGCGCAGCGGGGTACAGCCGCAGCTGCAGAAGGTACCAGTGGCCAAAATCCAGCTGCCGACGAGGACGTGACTATGGAGGAGCTTGGACGAGGATGAGCAGCTGAGGCGGGCCATTCAAATGTCGCTGCAGGAGAGCGGCGAGTCGGGTGCACAGGATGGCGGTAGTAACGAGAATGATGACTTGGTTGCATCGCTGATTGGGTCGCTGCCTGGTGTCAACCCCGACGACCCTGCGCTGCAGAGCGCACTGAATCCTGACGCTGCCAAGAAAGACGGCGACGACAAAGACAAGACAGAAGGCGGTCAGTAAACAATAGCTGCGCCGTTTCTACTCACCTTTTCTGTTGACTATTTGCAAGACAAAAATATCTAGTTCAATGAGCCACGCGTATTAGACGTCTGCCAAACTCAGTGCCTCAACAGATATAAAACCTCCCAAGTCCAGGAGAGCTCCAGGGCTTGCAAACCTCCCTCTTCACACCCGTATCTTTTCCTTTTTTCTGCAATGACAGACCCAAGGTACTTTGAGGTGCTCAATACAATTGTCTACTTGGACCTGGTCCCAATCGAACTGCGTGGAATATCAGTATGTCTGGCTACCTAGAGAGCTACGGTCTGCCTATATGAAGGTCGAGGCAATACTTGGACTCGTGCACCCCAGCACGGAAGTTCCTGCTCATTTACAACCTTTTGGAGAGCAGGGTTGCTGGTATCAAGCGGCGAACCTGCGAAGAGCACAAGGACAAGATGCTGAGCGAGCTCCAAGTGCTTTTTGAGATGAATAGCAATGTCTCCCTGCCAGAGACCATAGCTACCTATATGGTATCTGCGAACGCAGAGATATGACGCGTCTTGATGCAAGAATCTGCAACACAATAAACTAGTTGATTTGCAAACAGACATGAGCCCAGGATAGTCCTTGCGCCAACAGCATAATAGAAACATATTGACTTTCCCTTGTCAATCTAGGGGATGAGTGGGTATCGAGTATATGGAAAAAAAATAATTTGTCAAAAAGCGACAGGGGACGAAGCAAGGCTGATCGTCTGTCTGGGCCTTTGTACGTATGCGTTTCGGCCTTGCCCCATAATGGCGCAGGGGAGCTCCGGACCCCGAATGTCAATATTCCTTACTCATTCAAGCTAGTGTCATAGTCTAACTGCTTTTCCGCAGTGAACCTCAGATCGTCCATGCCACAATCAACTGCCGATCCGCCTTTTGCAGGATCAGAATAGGCCAGCAAGTGCGGAGTTTGCAACCATGCTGACCTGACACGCCCTCTACCCCACGATCCATCGGCGGTAATAATGACTATATACGAGACCGAACCCGAAATGTACACCGAAGTGCGGGAAGCCGTGCTTGCATGGGATGTTCACCTGCTGTATAAAAACTATGTGAGGACACACCAAACCGGACTAGTTTCAACTACTGTACTCACTTCCTTCCATATCGTGTCTGTTCACCCCACTAAGCGGATAAAGAATTTAGCTTCGTCATGTCCGTCAAACAAAGTCATCATTGTCACGGGTGTGTCGCGTGGAATTGGCAGAGGCAATCGTCCTCCATTTACTATCCAAGGATGTATCTGTTGTTGGCGTAGACCTCAACAAAGATGGTCTGCAGAAGCTTATCGATGAAGTTGCAAAGTCTCTCATTTTCTGCCAAGCTAATTCCAGGTGGTCCGGCGATATTACTCTTGAGGCCGTCCAGCAAGATGCTGTCAGCAAGGGCTATCTTCAGTGGTACGCTAGTGGCATTGGTCAACAATGCTGGTATTGTTCAGCCCATAGAGTCAGTGGAGACTATCTCGCTGACAGCCTTCGAAGCCCAGTTGCGTCCTCAACGTCGTGGCTCCGCTTGCATTGATCCAGAAGACGCTTCCTTACCTGCGTGCTATCAACGGACGTATTATCAACATCTCTTCTGACGCAAGTAGATACCCACTTGTTAACCATGCTGCATACGGTGCGACAAAGGCGGCGCTCAGCTACATTACCTCTGTGCTGGCAATTGAGGAGCCCGATATCACTACAATTGCCTTCCATCCGGGTGTTGTCGACACCCCTCTATGCTCTGCTATGGAGGATGAATTCCAAAAGGTTGGAGAACGTGCCAAGGCTTCTGCAGACTTCATCGCTTCAATGAAAATAGGAGCTGAAGTCCCTGGAGGAATTATTGGGAATCTGGCCATTGGTGCTGAGCACTCATTGTCAGGCAGATATATCGCGTACAACCATGACGACCTTGCAAAGTATGCATAGTAGAATTCTATACATTGATTTAATAGATCAACTATATTAAAGTGGTGCAGATGTAAACTACTGCAAATGCACATGTAGCATGTTAGTATGCTGCATATCCATGGGTAATCAGCTGATGCATCCATAGAGTATAGGAGGCACTATTTCTTAGGAGGTACACTTAGCAGCTATGATCCTTTCTGATACCTTATTAGCTAGCAAGAATGCACTATGAAACATACATTCAGCTAATATCTTCAATAAGGATTTCTGTTTCTATATGCTCAACTGCATGCTATAAACCCTCTAATGATTATATCCCACATATATTAATAGGGGTGTTTCTGACTATTTCCTATTATTGAGAGGATAGTGGTAGATAACAGAAATAGACTATAGCATTTCAGCACATTATAAAATAAGGGACCTAGTAGTTAATATGCACTGCTCCTATTCAGTTGAGTATTAGTGAATAAGGCAGCTAGTAAGAGGGAATAGGCAGCTACTTTATATGAATATTTCCTATTCTAGGCAATACTTTGTCCTAGGTTACATTGCTATTACAAAGCTAGGTATAAAGAATAAGTAAAGAGATAGAATTATTACTAGTAGTACCTAGGCTTATAGAGGTTCATTCAAAGATAAGAAAGTTCATACTGCTTAAGAAATACAGAGGTTATACAGAGTCACTTATCTGCCTAGTAACTTGTTTAATGCTATATTATAACTACTAGTAATTTTAGTATAATAGCCAAAAAATATATCTTAGGTAATTATTTATAAGTATATAAACATTTTGGTTATAATAATTATTAACATCTATTGCTAAAAATATCTAGTTAGTAAAAATTTGTTCTGAAAAATGATTATTCAAAGTATCCAACTAATTATTGCCAAAGTTAGCTAAAAACTTATAAGTTCTAAAGAAATAGATCTCCCAAATGTCTTTTCCATTTACCATTATCTAAAATATATAACATTGATTTTTTCTATGTGAATGCCTATAAAGATATCAAAGATACACAATGAGAATAAATACCTTCTTATAAAATCTAATATATCAAAGTATGCAGTATGTGGTCCTTAAAAGCTAGGAGGTAGTTCTGATATCAGATATAGAATAGGAATAGGTTAGTAAAATATCTGATACACTGATATCTTTTATGTATCTTTAAGTGGCTATTGTCCATAAATCATTCTATAGCTGGATAAAAGTAATATTTGTATATTTTTATATTAGTAGGTAAATAGGGATAATGGTACTGTCCACAGAGTATCTGATGCGTATACATATATAGAGCCAATACTCTAACTCAAATGTTATTGACCATACTGGCTAGTAGGATTATTTTATTTATGTAGTCAGGTATTCAGTGTAGGCGTGTATGCAGGGTTGATGATTGGCATGCTAAAATGGCCATAAGCATAAGGCATTTATTTACAAAGATCTTTCTGGAGGCTTGATTTTTATTTAATAAAACCTCTAACCACAACCCAGTCAACTATAGGCACAGCAGCATACGATCGGCATGGAACAGGCAAGGCAAGGCATCAGTGAAAGTAGATGAATCGTCGATTCAGCCATTTGAGCTCCAGGTAGCGGGACACGACGGGGTGTTGGCAGTAGAGGATAACAAGATGATAATCAAACCACTGAACAAGCGCGAGCAGCAGTTCTACGAAGGCGCCAGCGGAGAGTTCAAAAGCTTCATGCCCGAATACTACGGCACACTGCAGCGCACCAGCACAGATGGGGGAGCGGCCGGCGAAATGGTAGGTGAATAGATACGGTCACAGGAACACACTGCAGCGCACTAAACCTGTCCTCTATTGTGTAGTATGTTTGCATGGAAAACGTGACGAGCGGGTTCGCGCGGGCATGCGTGATGGACGTGAAGGTGGGCACGCGGCTCCATGATGACGATGCGACGGAGGAGAAGAAGCAAGAGGATGGAGAAGAAGGCGCAGCAGACGACCACGGCGTCGCTGGGGGTGCGGGTTTGCGGTATGGCGGTGGCCGGGCGGGCGCCGGCAGACCGTGACTGGTGTCGCGGGCTGACGGACCAAACAATCAGTGAAGCGTTTAAAGAGTTCTTTGCCGGCAGCCGGTGAAGTGTCGGAGGAGTTCCGCAGGTATATTGTGCGGCAGTTTGTGCTGGAGCTGCAGGACTATCTGCGGGTGGTGGAGGGTATGGAGGCGCGGATGTATGCGAGCTCATTGCTGTTTGTGTATGAGGCGGATGCGGAGCGGTACCAGAGGTTCCTGGCGGATGACGGGGTGGATGGGATGCTGGACATGCGAGCGATTGATTTTGCCCATTCGCGGTGGACTCCTGGCCAGGGCAGCGATGCATGCTATCTGGTGGGGCTGCACAGGCTGATCGACCTGGTTGGTGCGTGCGAACAGCAGTGATAAGATGGCGGGAGAAAGCTTTTTTTCCGTATCAGTGTGTCACGCGGGCACGCCTGATTATGTCGCAAATTGGCGCACCCTATGGTTCCTGCAATGCCCGACCATATGCAGCCGCAGTGAAAGCGTGGGCACGGTGGCCGAGAGTGGGGAGGGGGCAGGCGGATAGAGGCATTTTTCTTTTTCATCTCACAAATATTTGTTTTTCTACTATTTGAGTGGCAACAAAAAAGCGACACATTTGAGCACAGCAAATTAGCGACATAAAGCAATACAGCGGATGGCAGCAGACTCTAACCGACTTTCGTGGGCAGTGTCACGGCTCTCGCAGGATCCGAACGCTGGACGGACACTGCGCCGGTTGACATATCGGGCGATATCGGCGTCACTGAACACGATTCTAGCCAAACAGCAGAGCGGCAGCGCAGCCGATGGGTGGGTAGCGCGGGCAGCGCGTAGCTGGATAGAAGGCAAGAGGCAGGAAGCTGCTGGCATGGGAGGCAGGCAGCGAGACTGGGAGGCTCGACCGGCGGGCAGCTCCAGCGCGCGCCGCCATCTACCGGCCACGGCAGCGGTGGAGTGCCTGGCAGGGTGGGGAGTTTGCGACGCTAAACTCGTCGTTCCCATTCACGATCCCGGCGGTGCCCTCGGGCGTGTTTCTGTTTGCGCAGACACCGCACCCTCACGTACCATCGGCAGTCCTGGTCCCGCCGGGCATGGGCACGGCTGCACGCAAGTTCCACTCGTCGTCGCTGGGGCGGCAGCCGGGCTCGCCGTTTGGCGACCGGACCGAGCACGTTCTGGCGCCGACAGACAGTGCGTCGATCTCGGCGCAGCTGCACAGCGACGGACGGTCCTCGACGGGTCGCGAGAAGTCGCGGCGGCACGAGTCGCGTCGGTGTGCAGCGCAGCTTTGTGTTTGCGCATGCGGCGTCGGGGATCCCAAAGCATGCAGGGCGGGTGCCACTGGAGCGGCCACTGGAGGGCGAGTCGCTGGCAGCGAGCTGCGGCGAGGATGCGTTTTTCCACCGCAACGATGCCTTGGGCATTGCCGATGGTGTGGGCGGGTGGGCGGGCGTCGGAGATGCAGATCCGGCGCTGTTTGCGCGGCGGCTCATGCACCACGCCAGTGCCGAGGTGGCCCGGTTCGAGGACATTGACGATGAGCAGTTCGCTCACTACCATGCGGCGGCTCCGGTGGACATTCTGCGGCGCGCGTACGAGATCACTTTGGACGAGATGGAGGCACTGGGTGTGCGTGGGTCGTCGACTGCGTGTGTGGTGGTATTGCGTGGCGATGAGCTGCGGGTAGCCAATCTGGGAGACTGCAGCCTGACGGTGGTGCGCCAGGGCGACATGGTGTACCGCACCGAGGAGCAGCAGCACTCGTTCAACTTCCCCTACCAAGCTCGGCACCGAGGAGCACTCCGACGGGCCCTCTGACGCCCAGGTCTTCCGCCTCAAGGTGCAGCGCGGGGATATTGTCATCGTCGGCTCCGACGGCGTCTTTGACAATCTCTTTGACGATGACATCCTCGACGAGGTCAACCAGCATCTGCCGGCTGCCATGCGCGCTGCAGGTGCGCCTGAGCTCAAGTATTCGACCGACTCGCTGTGGTACGAGGCGCAGCAATCGGGTGGCAAGCTCGACGCCATGTGCGAGGGTGGTAGTGATGACCAGGTAGTTTCGCCTGTCCCCACCGCCTCGCGCGTCGTGCCTGCCCCGCCGCCCAAGCTGCAGAAGATGCTGCCGCAGTTCCACGTTGATCCGCGCGCCATCAGCCGCGCCATAGCCGAGCGCGCCAAGCTCGTCAGCGAGGACACACGGTACGCCGAGAGTCCGTTCCAGATGCGTGCTATGCAGGAGGGCCTATACTACCAGGGAGGAAAGCGCGACGACATCTCTGTCATAGTCGCCATCGTTACCGATCTCGAAGACTCGCCGGATCGCCGCTAAAAGGAGAAATTCCTTTGCCTCGGATATTTCCGACCTGTCACGGAGAATTGGTTTTGCCCCACGACCCCCTGGTCCCAACTAAAAGCGCTGTGATCTTCACAGATTGGGCTCCTGGAAGCAGCCTTGCCTTCACTTATCTTTGTTTCCCCTTTTTTTTTCGTTTACAACAAGAAAATGCTTGGTGCAATTAGAGCCCGTTCGCAGTTTGCGCGCCCGCTGCTACTGCGGCTGTACCACAAGCCGGCGCGCAACGCGCAGTTCAAGAAGCTGACGTCGTCGGACATGGAATTCTTCAAGCGCGTTTTGCCGGCTGAGACCATCCTGGCCACACCCGCGGTGGGCGGGACCTCTGACCCGGTGGAGCTGGAGGGCTTCAACGCCGACTGGCTGAACAAGTACCGTGGCGACTCGCAGGTGGTGCTGCGACCAAAGACCACGGCCGAGGTATCGCAGATTCTAAAGTACTGCAATGAGAACAAGATCGCTGTGGTGCCGCAAGGAGGCAACACGGGGCTGGTGGGCGGCAGTGTGCCGGTTCACGACGAGGTGGTGTTGAGTCTGCGTAATATGAACAAGGTGCGTAGCTTTGACGACATCTCGGGCATAGTGACGTGCGATGCCGGGTGTGTACTGGAGGAGCTGGACAACTATGTCGGCGAGCGCGGGTACACGATGCCGTTGGATCTGGGCGCGAAGGGCAGCTGCCAGATCGGAGGTAATGTAGCAACGAATGCGGGCGGCATCCGGTTCCTGCGGTACGGCACTCTGCACGGCTCGGTGCTGGGCCTGGAGGTGGTGCTTCCGGACGGCACGATTCTTGACAATCTGAGCACCCTGCGCAAGGACAACACGGGCTATGATCTGAAGCAGCTGTTTATTGGCTCGGAAGGCTCGCTGGGTGTGATCACGGGCGTGTCGATCACGACGCCGCAGCGCCCGTCAGCCGTCAATGTGGCTGTGCTGGGGGTTCCCAGCTACGCGGCGGTGCAGGACGCCTTCCGCCTAGCGCGGCGGCGGTGCGGCGAAGTACTGAGTGCCTTTGAGTTCTGGGACCAGAGCTGCATGGGCGCTGTGCTGCATCACCAGCAGCTGAAGAGCCCGCTGGCCAGCGAGTTCCCGTTCTACGTGCTGGTGGAGACCAGCGGGTCGAACAAGGACCACGATGACGAGAAGCTGGGGTCTCTGCTCGAGGAGCTGATGGAGAGCGGCACTGTCGAGGACGGCGCCCTGGCGCAGGACGAGCAGCAGATCCGCCGCATGTGGATGATGCGTGAGGGCATCCCGGAGTCGCTGGGCAAGACCGGCGCCACGTACAAGTACGACATCTCCATCCCTATCCCCGTGCTGTACGATATTGTCGGCGACATTGCTGGCAAGCTGAAGACTGCTGGTCTGTACCAGTCCTCGGCTGATCCGGTCAAGATCGTCTGCGGCTACGGCCATATTGGCGACGGCAACCTGCACCTGAATGTGGTGGCTGACAAGTTCCAGAACCGCGTCACCGAGGTCTTTGAGCCATACGTGTATGAGTGGGTCGCTAGCCACCGTGGGTCCATTTCAGCCGAGCATGGCGTCGGCCTGATGAAGCGTGACTACCTCGGCTACTCCAAGCCCAAGGAGATGATCGATTATATGCGTCGCATCAAGGCCATGTTCGACCCAAACGGCATCCTTAATCCATACAAGGTTCTGTGATCAAACCGAATTATCTTTGCTGCGCGTTTAGTTCGCGTTGCCCCTTTCCCAGCAAATACATGCTTTTCTTGCTCTCAATCCCCCTTCTTTAATTCAGCTTTCCCTTGTACATTGCGCAAATGGATTTCTTTAACCGTCCCTCCAAAGCTGCAGCCACGTCCACAGACAGCAGCAAGCCGGTGCACGTCGAGCGCCTGGTTCCCTGGGTCGAAAAATACCGCCCCAAGAGCATCGAGTCGGTAGCTGCGCAGGAGGAGGTTGTGCAGGTGCTGCGCAAGTCGCTGGAGACAAAGAACCTGCCGCATCTGCTGTTCTATGGGCCGCCGGGGACTGGCAAGACCTCGACGATTCTGGCACTGGCCCGCGACATGTACGGCCCGGAGGCCATGAAGACACGCGTGCTGGAGCTGAACGCCTCAGATGAGCGCGGTATCGGCGTGGTGCGCGCCAAGGTCAAGGACTTTGCGCGCAGCGTGGTGTCCCCAGCCGACCCACAGTACCCGTCGCCGCCGTACAAGATTGTAATCCTGGATGAGGCCGACTCCATGACGGCAGATGCCCAGGCAGCGCTGCGGCGGATCATGGAGAAGTACGCGCGTATTACACGGTTCTGCCTTGTGTGCAATTACGTGAGCCGCATCATCGAGCCGCTGGCTAGCCGGTGCGCCAAATTCCGTTTCAAGAGTCTACCTAAGGAGCAGGCGGTCGCGCGCGTCTCCCTGGTGGCCGACAAGGAAAATGTCAGTATTGGCAAGCCGGCCGTCGATGCACTGGTCACTGCGTCTGAGGGCGACTTGCGGCGCGCGATCATGTCGCTGCAGAGCGCGTCGCGTATGGCTGCGCAGACTGAGATTGACGAGCGGATGGTGCGCGAGCTTGTGGGTGCTGTGCCGGACTCTGTCATTGACGGGCTGCGCAGAGCCTGGAGCGGCCAGGATACGGACTCGTGCATTAGGGCTGTCGACGAGCTCGGCTTCAGCGGCTTCCCGGCGGCCCAGGTTCTCGCCCAGCTGCACGACCAGGCTATGCAGGATGAAGCACTGAGCTCGCTGCAGAAGGCAAAGCTGGCCGTGCTCATGGCCAACGTCGACGTAGCCCTGTCTGAGGGCGCCGATGAGCAGCTGCAGATGTTGGATCTGATGATGCAGGCATCGCTGATTGTCTCGAAGGCATAGGCTGCTACATAAGCTTCCAATTTTCATTCCGTAAACTATGAATCGTAAAAAAGTACCAAAATTTCCATAGAGTTCCAGTCTGGTAGGGGAGTGGGTTCCCCCTCCCCATACGCTACTGGGGGTGCTTAGACGCCCCAGTTGCCCGCGCTGGTGCGCTCCGGCGAATATCCGCTGTCCGCTGTCTTGGCCGGCTTCTTGTCCTCCCAGTCTGGCATGGCATCCCGGTCCTTGTACTTCTTTCCGCTGCCCGCTTGCCCGCGGCGCCGCCCGGGGCTGCGCGAATCCCTGCGCGCCCGGCGATGGCGATTCGACCGCTCGTCATCGCGCGTACGCCCGTGCCGCCGCGTCCCGGACCGCGAACGGCTGCGCCGCCGCTCGCTGCGCCGCTCGCGACGGTGCCGATCACGCGATCTTGATCTGGAGGGAATTAAATAGGTGGAATGTAATGGTTAAGGCTGGGGACGATATACACGGGGAGAGGGCTTGTGCTGGCACCGGGAGGGCGGGGAGGCTCGAAGCGGCGTTTTTGCATTACTCCATGTAGTCCACAATGTCTGGGAGAGCTTACCTGCGCGGGCTACGGCTGCGTTCGCCGCGACGCGACGATCTGGCGTCCGGGCAATCCCTGGCCCAATGACCTACCGACAGCAAGTCGCTGGCTTTAATATCCCTCCAATGCCTTGAAGACAACACCGCATGTCTCTAAACTGTAGTTTACCTGGCCGCCCGCACCGGAAACACGCACCGTCGTCGCGGTTGCGCGCCGGGCCCTTGGCGAACTCTACCACGATGTTCTCGCCCTGGATCTCCTTGCCGTTCAGCTCCTCCAGCGCCGCCTTGCCGTCCGCCGCCGCCTTGAACGCAATGAACCCGTAGCCTACATACCACCCTCGTTAGCCCTTTGCCGACTGCGCCTGTATAATGCCCCTGCTACGTTCGCCTATCTCTTACTCAGGTTCGAGCCCCGCTACATGCCACAGGATATGTGCTGTTAGCCCGTGCTACATTTTGCCTTATTTGGATATATCCTTTAATTCTCCGCAGACTGTACCTTGACGTCGCAGCGCGACATTTCGCCAAACCTCTCGAACAGCTCCCGCAGCTCCTCCGAGCGCATGGTGCGCGGCAGGCGCCCAACAAACAGCTGCTGTGTTTCGCCACTCATTTTCTTTTTAAATAGCTACTGAGCTGCGACCTTTTTGCAAGCTAGATGAGCAGAAATCTTTATGCCAGAAGGAAAAGGGAAAAGCTGAATTCCGAATAAAACGCAAAAAAAACGAAAACAACCCTTCTATGGACTTTTTTTTTGTTCAAGGAAAATACCCGGCCAGGGTGAGAAGAATAAATTTTCAGCTGGACAGAATGAGGGAAGGGGAGGGAAGGGGCTGTTGCGGCTGCACCAGAGCTGGGTCCTGTTTCCCTGCAGTTTCATGCCCAGGACGAACCAGGTTTGCCTATTCGCCCACCCAGCCATTATCACGGAGGGGCAATCAGTGCCTCCCACCCCTCGACAATTAGACGCGCATCCACGCGACACCACCGCCTCATGTCCCTCACTCGTTCTCCTGCTCATAGAAGAAGCGCAGAAACTCCCTGGCCTTGCGATACTCGCTCCGGCCCTCCACCAGCTCAGCGCCGATTTCCCTTAGCGCCGTATCCTCATCCACCTGGCCTTGGCCGTCGCTGCCGCGCAGCCTGCCCAGCTGCTGAATGTGCTCACAGCAGTCGCGCACGCGCTTTACGCCTATCGACGCCGAGCTGCCCTTCAAAAAGTGGCCCAGCTCTGAGAGCCGCACCAAGTCTCGTGCCTTTATCGCCTTGTCCATGCTTGTGAATGTCGTCTCGGCTTGCTCGAAGTAGTTGTACACCAGCTGCTGGCTGAACTCGTCGTCCTCGCCGTCCATTGCCAGCAGCTGGTCAAACACGTCCAGGTCCAGGATGTTGCCGCCGAGCTCGTCGTCTGCTATGTCGCTATTTACATTGGTCATTTGGAGAACTCCGAATGTGCAATGTGCCAAGTAAAAGTACAAGGTAGTGGAAAGTGTAGAAAGCGAAGCTTGCGCAAGGCAGAGAAAGAACATCAGTTGTCCTCCAAGGTACACATGACCACGTACTGGTGCAGCTATATCTTTCAGGCGCAACACCCTCCTTGAAAACAGGTTTGCTTCTAATATTTCTGATGCATGCCCTTCTCTGGCCACAAAATGGCACTGACAATGCACAGCACGCCAGTGTCCATTGCTGGCCAGGAAGATATTCTATACAATATTCCAGCCCAGGTCTGCTTTATAAAACCTGCTATTCATAACTTATTGGGCCACATAGCAGATGCACCACATTATGCAACTAGCTACATTAGAAGCAAGATCCCATGTACCTACTTTACCTAACTATATGCCAGTTAGGATGTGACCCTAAATATATGAGGGCTATTTGCCTGAATTAAAATAGAAAAGAAAGGAAGAGACAATTTTGAATTCTGGACAGTGATATATATATACATCCACCCTGACCCGAATGCCCTCAATATGTCAAAGACATCTCCTCTGACATGCTGTCACAATCATAATTCACCTCAGAGATCTGAACCTATGACCTTATAAATTGCAGTAGGTCAGAGCACTCATCGTCATGCACCTGACTCGGATTATGGTTATCAGCAACATTGTTGGTGGCAGTGCTTGCCTTGGTTGCGGTATAACAAGATGTCACTTTTATCCAACTCTAAAACGATTTATGGACAATGCCACTCAGACATGTGAAAGATATCACTGTATCAGTTATTTTACTACCTATTCCTATTCCATATCTAATTCCAGAACTACCTCCTGGCTTTTGAGGACTGCATACCACATGCTTTGATGCATATTGGATTTTAAGAGGTGTTTGTTCTCATTGTATTTTGATGGATCTTATACCGCTACATGGCAAAAATCAATATATGCATTTGGATGAAGGTGAAGAAAGACTTTTGAAAACATTCATATCAAGCATCTCTGCAACTACTTTTCCAGTGTGAAAACCATCATGTGTTCTAATGCCATTCCATTTTTATCTCTATATCATATTGAAAGAGTATTGTCAATTGCTGGCATTGCTAGTGGTAGACAGTTCCAGGTAGGGGGCTATTTGAGAGAAATTATAGTATAATCATTTTTGTAATATCTGAAAGCAATGTACCATATGAGTTATTGGCAGGTACAGGCAGTAGAACAAAAGCCTAATATGAAAATTGTTGCTAGTATTGTAATTGAAAAATAAAACTCATTCATGATGATGCTACTACTGAGAAAGATTTTGGTGATTCAACAAAACCCATGTTTTCTGTAATGTTTGGCTTAGGAAACAGCCAAAATAGTAGAAACTAGAATTGCTCTGCTCATGATGTGAGCTCGGCTGCTAGTCAGCATGGGTTGACATGTTGATAAGAGCATTATGGCGAACTGGTCATTTGAACATGTCAGATGGTTGTTGGTGCAATAACAATCCTGGATATCTCCTGTCCTGATAGCCTGCTCAGTGCAGGTGCTTCAGTGCTGGTTTGCTGCTGCTGCATGCCTCTTGCGCAGGGTCTTTGTTGTAGGGGTGGTGCTGGAAGCATTGGCAGTAATGGCCGTAGAGCGACAGAACCATTCAGGAACATTGCCTGAATCACAGAGTGACTGGAAAATGAGTCTGAAATTTAGAACTGCTGCGAGATCGCGGTTCAAGAGCCGAGACGAATAGGCCTGCCTGTATTGTGCCATGGCCTGCTTACATGACTCGCTTGTACAGCGGAGAAGGCCATGGCACTTCACAGTTGGGTTCTTCGATCTCTGGTAGGGCCGCGGGTTGGGAACATGCCGGAATGTCTGCAGCAGCAGCCAATGCACCTGCAAGCGAATCAGCCGCTACTGCTGCAGTTGCTGCAGTGGCCTCTGTTTCATCCGATGGCATCTTCGCTGCTTCGCGTGCAGCCTTCTTGGCCAATTTTCACCCTTTTCTGCTGCTTTCCTTGCCTCTGTTGCTGCCTTCTTTGCTGTGTTGATCTTGGTAACCTGCTCATGTGTTTTTGAAATAAACACCTGCTTGATTATTTGCTTGTCTAAGCGCACATGGCCTGGGATCCATGATGTCCGCAGAGGCAAGCATTGGGGGAGACTTGCCAAGCTGTTCATTCTCGATAAGCTGGCATAGGCGAATATATGCATGCAGATGCTTAAGTGGATTTACCTTGGCATCATAGGCATTAAGGACTGATGCCAGCTTGTTGTAGATTGCAAGCATCGGTGGGGTGAGCATACTGAGATCAGGGTGCCTAGAGGCAACTGCCTGGCGGAGTTTCTGTGCAGGCGTATAAATATACACTTGACATGCGTTATTGAACTCAGCCTTGGACACATTGCCCATTGTACTGTGCAGTGTGTTTTTGCGGCTGTGAATATCAATCAATTTGGCCAGAATCCACTGTAGGCAACTGCCATAGTGCAACACAATGTTGTTCTTGTATGCTGTCATCAGCTCGGTATCCATGTGTGTCGCCACCTGATTCATTTCGCGTATGCCATGTAGCTCGATATCGCCATTATGTAATAGATAATCATAAATATGGTATCTAACTACGTCACCGAAATCTGCGCTCGACAGTTCTGGCCTGTCCTTCTGGTTGACGAAATGCTTGGCATCAGTCTGACCAACAATGAGAGCAGCTCTTGCACTGAACCAATGGAGATATCTAGTGGAGACGTGTGACCACTACAATAACAACTTGTCACCCTGGTTTCACTGATAGGGCTAGACGCCGCACAGCAGCGAAATCTTCAAAAAAGGCTAGTGCGTGGCATCAGTAATTTTCCTTTCTCTTTTCCTTTTTCTTTAGTTATCAAATCCAAACTTATTCACATTCTCATTAGCACAACAATAGGTACAAATTGTGAATAAAATAGTCAACCATATAAGCCATAGCTGCTTATGCGCAGGGTAAGTATAAAACAAAAATTACCAGCGGTACTAAGTTCTAACTACCAGTATCAGTATTTTACTTGATGGTGAAGTAAATGTCGTTCATATAAAACTTCAAAGAATTCACTACTAAACCAGAAAGGGTTGCTGGTAGGGACCGAGCAGCGGCTCCTATACTGGGAAACTTGGCTTCAGGACTAATGGCTAATCGGACCCGCGCACTAACTAGTCGATTTATCGGCTGCTTCTTGATTATTCATGTTAGCGCACAGACGGAGCTGAAAAGCGTGACATGCTAGTTTTTAAACATATGGGCCAAATCCGTATACTGCTTCCGAGCCACCACCTTCAATACCTGGGTCGGCATCTCCTAAGATCGAAACAAATTTATATGGATATGAAGTATTCATGTTTGAAGTGTGTTCCTTATAAATCCTGTGCTTTTTCCGAAACTAAAAATAAAATAAAATAGATCTTGCAGGAATAGCTGTGAAGCAAAATGCGATAAAATTGGAATAAGGGACACACTTGCCGTCAATATATCTCTGCGAACCAGCTGAGCAGTCGGTTGCCAATTTGCCAGTATGAAGCGAGTACGGCTATTGCTGTCTACTGGCTTAGGCGCCTACAGTAAGTGGCAGAAAATTATGTTAGGCTATCAGTAGCTATCAATACGAAAGTTATTGACGCTATTGACTTGGAACAACTATCAGCTGGCCCACATTGTTACTTTTTTTGAAGACAAAACATCAGTAATGTTTTGATAAATGATAACCGGTTTCCACCTAGGTCCCATCGGACCGTCTCAACAAACAGCGAGGTTGCACAATATTGGACGATAATTCAGCCGCAAAAATCGAAAAGGCACTGATTTCAGCAAACATGTGCTCTCAGGACGCTGAGGTGCGTTACCGGAGAGCAACAGACCTCTCAGGGTTAAAGCTATATGCTAATGAGCTATAAAAACATCAGAACGCGTAAGGGTAGGCAGAAATATCGATGCTGCGGGCCGCCTTGACATAGTGAGGCAGCATGGCCTGGACATCCTGGACATGGTAGAAATTGATCTTGATCCTGGCGATTCTAGGCAGAAGCGCAACCAGCTCGCAGAACCCTTCGATATCAAAGTTCTTCTTAGATATGATGTGGAATTGCTCTAGGCATTGGCTGATAGGCGAGCTCTTGCGGGCTCTAAGGGTATAGATGGCCATAGTGTTTCTGTTTGCTTGGTCGGGGAATACTGAGGCAGCAGCGTCGTCAATGCACATAGATTCGCAATCGATCTTTATAGACTGCAGCGCTGGAAGCTGCAGGATCAGGTTGGCGATTCCATCCTTAGTGGCGATGCTTGCTGAAAAATTCAGGTCGTTCAGGTTGGTCCACTCAATGTGCAGAGGCAACGGCCATCTGAACCAGCTAATGACGGCCATCCTAAGATTGGACTTCAGGGCAAAAAGACGATCGACAGAAGCGGCCGAGTAGCAGTTCTCTACCCTTGTGCTTGTAGGGTGGCCAATGTTAAGGTAGTTTACCGTCTCTAAAGCGCGTTTGTTGATGCGGTCGAAGCCGGAAGGCTCATCGAAAATCGTCAGATCCGAGATATCGTTCACCAAGAAGTAGCCAAGAATATCAGCATAAACATATAACAAGCCAACGACACGCAGTTCTTTAAGCTTCGGGGAGGAGATGTTGTAGTCAAGGCCAGGGAATGGCATGAGGTGTCTGCTCCTTTGGATGAATTGCAGGCACAGAACTTCAAGGACGTCAAATGCCAGCACGCCCTGAGGTGACTTGAACAATGCCCATGGGATAACACCGTCAATTCGATAAAGGGTGAGGGTACGAAGATGGTTGGTCGGGATGAGAGCCAAACCGGTGTACTGGCGGAAATTCTGGATGTCAATGGACAAAGAGATGAGGCCAAAGAATTTGTCGAATGACAGAGGAGTACCGATAAGCAACTGAATGTGCTCCAGCTGGTGGATGTATGCTTTGATAGTCAGCGCATACAGTGGGCATGCGTTAGCAGACAGAGGCTGACGATGTCCGGGCGATGGCACCCACTCCTTGAGCAGGTGATACTTCACACTGTTGATACGAGGAAACAGGTACACCATATGCTCAACAGCTTTCCTTGCGTTCTTGTTTCTGACAAAGGCAGTCTGGAGGCGACCTGCGGTGAAGATACCTTGTCCAAGAAAGAGAATAGAGTGCACGTTTGGAAGAGGCCCACCAATGTCAGCAGTGATTTCCTTCAGAATCATATCCAGCTCCAGCGGCTGGTGACTTTCGTCGTGCATGACGACACGAATCTCAGTTACCAGGTTCAGCTTGCCAGCGTCAATGAGAAACTGTAGGTTGAGATACCACTGCCGCGGGGTTCCAGCTGCTGACGAGGGGTCGTGGTCATTTATATCGACGCGGCAATGGATGAAGAGCACGCTAAATGCAGAGTCCGGTAGTTCATCAAGAGAATCGGGATCTGTCTCGACGAAGTTCATAATGCGGGTGTACTCCATATAGGTGGAGCCAGGATACAGCGACGATGCGCACAGGCCGGCGATGTCGATTTGGGAGATCACTGCCAGCTGGTTGTCGGCCTGGTCAATATCCATTGCAACCACTTGAATGAAAAGGTGAAAGGCTGTTCAAGGGTTAGAACAAGGGTGCTGAATAAGCTAGGAGAGGTGGAAGAGCTATTGCTTGGAGGGGGTTTGTGGTGGTGGTGGTGGTGGTGAGGAGTGGAAAGGGAGGAGCAGCTCGGCCATCGCCCAGTTCTATGGTTAAATACCCGATTTCATTGCTGTCTACCTCCCAGCTGTCTTTTTTTTTTTTGACAACCCTGCCTGAAATTGCCCTTCGCCCTCCCTCAGCAAGCCAGTTTGCATGCAAGTGGATGGAGAGAAGAGTGCATATCCGAGCAGGCGTGACCTGGTGCCCCACATAAACTTGCTAGAAGAAATCGAACAAAGATGGCTGGTTTTGTGTCAGCAGGCACCCAGCAAGCCAGAATAGAGAGCGGATGCCCTCTGGCTTTGGAAAGACAGGGAGTAGGCCACATGAACAAAGGAACAACACACCACTCTTGGCGATGCTTTCTGACATTCCGTAGCTGAAAACCTGCTTGGCACCGCCCATTTCATTTCTGACAACTGCAAATAGTTGGCCAACAGTGCATATTAACACCAAATCTTTCGTCACCCTGTGTCGAGCACCGAGCGGCTCAGCACACTCCACACTCTAATTTCCCAACTGTGAACAGCTGGTACCTGCACTGGAGGACCTGTTTTGCTTCACAAAAGTGGACGGTGCATGTGTTCACTGCAGCAGATATGCAGCGGGCATTGTGTGTTCTTGTGGAGCGCTGGATGGAAAGGATGGCAAGGGAACTTCATTTTCCGACACACTGGCACTTGGCTAAAAGCAGAAATGAGCCGGCAACAGGGAGCACAACTGTGGCAAATTTTAGTTTCAAAGATACGAACTAAGCACCTCCATAGCCCAGAGTCGGCAGCGGGGTAGTACCTGGTCCAGCAGGTGTGGTGCAGTTCCGATATGAGCTGGGTGCTGCACACCTATTACATGTGTGGTGCCAGGTGCCTTTCTTCTGTCAGCACTCATCATACCCCACAAAGTATACTTCAATAATACGGCGCGTGCCTAAAACGACCTAGGTCAAAAGTCAGGGAAGAGGAAACTAGGTAGCGTGTTCTCCTAGTGATGATTGTAAATGTGCTGATAAAACCAAAAGTAAGCGTTCACAAAAATATATTGGAAAAACCAGGAGGAATCCCTGCTGCTAGGAGCCAGCAAGGGGTATTTAAGCAAGCGCCGAGTGCGCATACTGAGCCCTCATCTAAGCCGCGTACGGCCCTGGATAAAGCTGCGCCACTCTCAGTGAGTAATCCGCCTAGGGTGAGTCGGAACTGCCCTAGCGGCATGACACATGTTAGATTGCTTAATATGAAAATACAGCTGTGATTTGCACTGGGCACCTTGCTCGCTCAGGCAGGGCTGCCCGCTCGGGTGCCATGGTGGACACCTTTGGAGGGGTGGTGGCAGCCCTGAAGCGTGCCTGTGCGCATTTTCAGCTAGTTCATTTAGCATCGGCCAATCCTGCGTCTACACTCTTTCACGCCAACCCTCTGTGGCTGACAGTGCTGCAGTGTCGCCAATCTCTGCCATTGTTCTGGTTGAGCAACGCAAGGGCAGTCGATAAATTGAAGATAGGCAGATGTCAAAGGGGACAGCAGAGCGATGATTCCCGCTCTGCACCGGCCTATTGTTGGCACAAGAAATAGCTGCTGAAGCAAGGACGGCTGGGATGTAGACAGCTGGAGGCGGATTTCCGCTCTCTCCTGCACAAGGCGCAATTGTCCTCCACCATAGCGATCACAGGCTAGCTTTTGAAAGGAGGGTGGTGAGTGAATATTTGGGATGCCATGTGAAGCACCGCAATAGGAAATGCAGCAATCGTGAATGCTGAAGACAAGCTGAGGCCCAGAGGCATACATAAGCCAGGTGCCAACAGCGAAATTTCCGTCTCTTCGCTTATTCTTTGCATCTGGCTTTGTGACGGCAAGCAACCAGGACAAAGTGTTGCCCGGAACAGGAGACATTCACATGAAGTGGCTGCCACTCCCTCTTGCCAGCCGCCTTGTCACCAACATTCAGCTGACAGGAGCGGTGCCTGCCAACCACCGGGTCCTTGTTTTACAAGCGCTGAACGCTGTAGTTGGTTCTGTTGTCTACCACTGTCCTCTCAATAATGGAAATAGCAGAAACTCCCCGTTAACACAGGTGGGATACAGTCATAGGAGGTTTATAGCGTAGTTGAGCATGTAGAAACAGAAATCCCTGTTGAAGATATTAACAACATATATGTTTCATAGTGCAGTCTTGCCAACTAATAAGGTGTCAGAAGGATCATAGCTGACAAGTGTAGCTCCAAGAAATGGAGCCTTCATACTTCGTGGCTACATCAGTTGTTTCCCTTGATATGCAGCATGCTAGCCTGCTACATGTGCATGTGCGGCATTTACACTTTTGCCATCTTGTTAGCGGTGATGTTCGCTCCGGCCGCCGCACAACAATATACATATGTGGTGTATAAAGCATCATGTTTCGTCAAATGTGGATGTCAGATATAATATGGTTAAAAGTTGTTCCTGTATTTCTTAATCTCAACCATCACGTTCTGCACGCCTACTGGCTGGCACGTGCTAGTGGCTGAACCACGACGAGCAAAGCGCTTATCGTACAAACTGTGGAACCTCGTGTAGTAGATGATGAGCTGGCCGAGCACTGCATGCAGGATCTCTGTGCCGGTGCGGAAGTTGGAGAAGCTCTGAATAATCGATGAGTTAATGTTGGCAATCTGCGACCGCCAGCCAGCGTTGAACTCGCCAGCAACCCGGTCCAGCCCGTCGGTGCCCACCTGGCTGATATCCGACTGCTGCTCGGCCTCAAGCACAAACTGCTTGAGATATCCAAAGTGCTTGGCAAGCTCTGTCTCAGCAAACTCCATCACGGTCGCCGAGAACTCCTGCTTCCAGCTTGCCACCTCCTCCTCGCGCTCCGAGAACCCGTTTTCAAACAGAACCGTCAGCAGCAGATCGTAGCTGTTGATCAAGAAAACCAGCGCCTGGTGCTTGTCGGAGCTGCTGCCTGACACATGCGTCAGATACGACTGCACTGATGTGCGCAGACGCGCCAGTCCCAGGGACACTGCGTGCGTGTTGTAGGCGGCGTTGAGCCTCAGTATTGATGCTGCTAGCTCCGCATAGCGACGCACCGCTGCGGGGGGCTGCGTATCAAGCTTTGTCTTGCTCCTGTGCGCATTTGCCAGCCGCTTGATGCTCTCGATGTGCGTATCGATGATGGCCTGGAACTTTGGCCACAGGTGCATATTCATCGAGTTCACGTAGGATTCAAGCACAGGCACCAGGCGGCGCTGCAACTCACTGGCCAGGCTTGCCATAATGCGGATACACAGCAGGATGCCTAGCGCATCGTGCGCTGTCTCCAGGTAGCCCTTCAGGAACAGCTCGCCCACCCGCATACTGGGCTCAAATATGTGGCCAAAGATCATCCGCGCCATGTCCGATCCGGTCATCTTCTGGCGCGCCTTGGGGCTGACAAAGAACTGCATGATGAACTCGTACTCAGTTGTCGCGTTGTCGACCAGCGCCAGGTTGTAGCTGCGAAACAGCTCCTCGAACGGATACTTTGCATTCGAATCTGTCGCAATCGACAGCACGATGGCGCGTGGGTCGCTGCTGTCTAGAATCGCCGCGCGTGTACCCAGATTGAACACGTTGTTTTTGTCGCGCGCAACCGTCTTGGTTGATCCAAACAGGCTGAGCTTTGTCGACGACTCGTCCAGCCCTATGACATCGGATTTGTCTGCAATGACACGCTCGAGCTTCATCAGCCCGCGCTGGTACGTCTCGAAATGGTCCAAGTAGTACTGCCGCATAATGTGGATGTAGCTGTCGCGCACCTCGACCGCAGCCTCTGGGTGACGCTCGATCAGAAAGTGGTTGAAGAACCGGTATTTAAGGAAGATCGAGTTCTGCAGGATCAGGACATTGGTGCTGAGGGCGCGCAGGCCGTTGATCTTGTCAAGCAGGTACTCGCGGATCTTGGCTGACGCCCGCAGCCGCAACAGGTCCAGTTCAGGCTGAATCTCCTGGAACGCGCGCAGGCGCTTGTGCTGCTTGCCGTGTACCCTCATATAGGCAATCTTCTTGTTGACCTCAACCAGACACTCCAGGTACTTCTCGTTGACTTCACCATCGCAAATTGTCCGCACCGCATCTGGTGGCACCACCACGCCCTGTAGGATCTTGCTGAGCTGCTTCTCGGTCACCACCCGGTTCTTGAGCTTCAGGCTCATCGACAGCGAGTCCGTCTGCAGCGCCTGGATGTCGTTATTGATGGCGCCCAAGTTGGACTTGAAGTTAACCAGCAGCCGCTCCATGTTCTCGAGCACCTCGTCGCAGTTCTTGATCTCGGCGTCGAGTGCCAAAAGCTCGCTCTCGTGCTGCTCGTAGCTGGCCAGCTGCTCGTCCTCGAGGTCGTGCAGCTCCTGCTCGATTTGGCGCGAGTGCTGGCGCAGGTCAACTCCCTTGGTCAGTACCTGCTTGACTAGTTCGTCGTTCTGCGCGTTGCCCAGCTCCTCGTCGAGGTTAATGCTGAGGGAGGGGGAGTCGGCGGACAGCGCCTCAGGCTCGTTGGTCGTGTCAAACCCCTCGAAGGTGAGGTCGACCGGGTCCTTTTGCGGCGATGTCCCGGCCATGATGCGATTAGGTCGATTGAATGCAGTAAAAATAAACTTGCAGAAACGAAATACCGCGACGTAGAACGAAGGCTGACGTTTGTAGCTTTATGGCGGTGATCGGAGTCGAGGCTTCTCGCCACCGAATGCAGGCCATTGTGGCCTCGCGCGCACCAGGGCCGGTCCTCCCCAAGCGAGTGCCGGTTCTAGCCTTGGCCGGCAAATCAGCCCTCCCGCTTGTATTTTTCCACCACCCTTTGTGAGTATTTGCATTTCCAGCTCTCTTTCCACTTGCTACAAATCGTCTCCCCTTTTTGCTACATTAACAACACACGACTCTATTTCCCCTTGGGGCGGACAGCAAAGGAGAAACTTCACAGAAGGAGGCGCGAATTCGCATTTTCTTCTCTTAACCGTCGGGACATAGTAGCAGCAGCAGGAAGCATATTAATATGTCGGACGCCAAGTTCTTCCAGAGAGGCAAGTAGCAACAAACAGAGAGCCGCATTTCTGGCGCGAGCAGCGGCCATTACAGAACTGCACATCTTGCGGCCTGGTAGTGAATGGAGGAGAGTCTTTGTGGGAGGTTGAAATCCGGCGCAAATGGACAGTAGCAAGACTACATGCTAAACCTGCTTTTTTTTTTTTTGGAATGCATAGGCAAGGTGCATGACCTGCGGGCAGAGCTGACCTCGGAAAAGAAGGACCCGCGGTACCAGCGCAAGAAGGTGGCGATGAAGAAGGTGGTGGCCAACATGACCATGGGAAACGACATGTCGCCGCTGTACCAGGAGGTCATTGCATGCATGGGTATCCCGGACCTGGAGGTCAAGAAGATGGTGTATCTGTTCCTCATCAACTATGCCCGTGCACGGGCCGAAATCGCAAACCACGCAGTCAATGGCTTCGAGGATGTAAGTAGATGGCGGCTTGGAGCTGAGATAGAGGGGATATTGCTGCTGGAACTGCCCATTTATTAGCACTGTCGATCTCTTGGGCGAGTTGGCTCCCTTGTGCCGAAACCAGCCGCGCTCGTTAGCCCGACTATAGGCCGACGGCTAGAGAGGGATAGAGATCCAAGGGAGGCAAATCCTGTAGAAGCCCCGGCGCTAACATGTGATTTCTGGCTCATTAGGACGTCAACGACTCAAATCCGCTGGTGCGCGCCATGGCCATCCGCACTATGGGGTACATTTACGTTGAGCGGGTGATTGAGAGCCTGATTGACCCACTGCGGCATTGTCTGCGGGACCGCGATCCGTACGTGCGCAAGACAGCGGCCATGGCGGTGCTGAAGCTGTGCATGTTTGACCGGTCGTTGGTCGAGGAGGAGCGCTTCCTGGACATGCTCAAGGATCTGCTGGCAGACGGGAACCCATCGGTGGTGGCAAATGCGGTGGCAGCGCTTACGGAGATTTCGGAACGGTCGCCAAACATCAAGCTGAAGCTGAACATGAAGATCGCCAACAAGCTGATCACAGCGCTGAACGAGTGCAATGAGTGGGGCCAGGTGTACATCCTCGAGTCGCTGATGTACGTGACGCCGCAGGACAGCAACGATGCCGAGACCATCATCGAGCGCATTATGCCGCGGCTGCAGCACGGCAACTCGAGTGTGGTCCTGGTGGCTGTCAAGGTCATTGCGTACATGATGAACTACGTGGGCAAGGTGGAGGCACTGGAGCAGATTCTGCACAAGCTGTCGCCGCCGCTGGTCACGCTGCTGACGGCTGGTCCCGAAGTGCAGTACATCACGCTGCGCAACATCCAGCTCCTGCTGCAGCGGTGGCCGACGATTCTGCAAAACCAGATGCGCGCGTTCTTCTGCAAGTACGACGACCCGATCTACGTCAAGCTGGCCAAGCTGGAAGTGATTCTGGCGCTGACCACCGAGGAGAATGCCCGCGTGGTGCTGACAGAGCTGGTCGAGTACGCGACCGAGATCGACGTTGACTTTGTGCGCAAAGCTGTGCGCTCGATTGGCCGTATTGCGATCAAGATCGAGCTGGCCGCGGACCGGTGTGTGCGTGCGCTGCTGGATCTCATCCAGACCAAGGTCAACTACGTGGTGCAGGAGGCTATTGTGGTGATCCGCGATATCTTCCGCAAGTACCCGAACCGGTACGAGGCCATCATTGGTACGCTGTGCGAGAACCTTGACAGCCTGGACGAGCCCGAGGCGCGAGCAGCCATGATCTGGATCATCGGGCAGTACGCCGACCGTATCGACAACTCGGACGAGGTGCTGGACACGTTCCTGGACACGTTCCTGGAGGAGACCGGTGAGGTGCAGCTGGCGCTGCTAACAGCAATCGTCAAGCTGTTCATCATGCGGCCATCGGCAGGCCAGGAGCTGGTGCCCAAGGTGCTGAAATGGGCAACTGAGGAAGTCGACAGCCCGGACATCCGCGATCGTGGCTTCATCTACTGGCGCCTGCTGTCGACTGATCCCGAGCTTGCGCGCACAGTGGTGCTGTCGGACAAGCCTGAGATTACGGCCGAGGCTGAGAAGATTGATATGCCGCTGCTCGAGGAGCTGCTGCTGCAGGTCGGCACGCTGTCGGCCATATACCGCAAGCCGCCAGTGGCCTTCATCAACTTTGCCAAGCGCCGCGTGCTGGGCACTTCGCCCGCGCTGACGCGTCTGACGATCAACCCGCCGCCAACTGCGCGCCTGCCACGCGCCAATCCTTCGGCGATGAGCCAGCCAGCCAACGAGCGGCAGTCGAACCGGCAGTCAACCGAGCCACCGGCGACCACCCGCAGCAGCACGCAACTCAACTCGTCGGTGCTGGATGTGTCGGGCAATGCTGGCCTGAGCAACCCATACATCAACGATGTCGCGCCCGGCATGATGCAGGGTGGCGAGGCGGTGCTAATCGACCTGATGACGATGGATGACGACGAGGACGAAGCCCACGGCAACGAGACGCAGATCACATCGGGCGGCATGGTCGGGTTCAACGCCAACTACGACATGACCGGGATGAGCATGGTGCAGCTGGGCGGCGTGGGCCAGGCGCCCGACTCGCAGGTGCTCAACAGCGCATTCGACGCTGCCGGCCTGGATGCCCTGGGCAGCATGGCGACGCCCGTGGGCGGCAGCATGCCGGGGTCGAGCCAGTCGCCGGGGCCGATGATGCGCAACTTCACGTCGTCGTTTGACGTCACGACTGCAGGCGCTGGCGGGGTGAACGGCAGCTCGAGCGGGGTGGGGCTGGATAACCTGCTGATGGCAACTAATGCGGGGCCATCCTCGCCGTTCTACGACATGGCGCTTAGCAGCCAATCATCGGCAGCTGGTCTGGGGCCTTCTCCTTTCCCGTCGGCTGCAATTTCCACTCCTGCTTCCAACACATTGATTCAGCCGTTGTCGTCAGCGGCCATTACAAACACCTTCCAGCAGCAGCAGCAACCGGCTACTGTTGCCTCAGCACTTCCGACACCGATCAACACAACCACTGGCCCAGCAAACGACCTCGACCAGCTCGCGAAGCAAATGTTTAGCACGAATTTGTGTACGCCGACAGGGAATGCAACACCGAATGCACCGTATGTGCCCTCGCGTACAGTGCTGCTTGACGCCCAGCAGGCGCAGGGACTAGAGATTCTGGGCACGTTTGCGCGGCGTGGTGGACAAATTCAAATGGAGATGGTGTTTGCGAACAAGAGCAATGTGCCGGTCGGCGACTTTGCCATACAGTTCAACAAGAACACGTACGGGCTGGTGCCGAGCACACCGCTGAACGTGGGCACGCTGATGCCGATGACGTCCAGCGAGGTGACTCTGCCGCTGGCCATGGGCGGGCCGACGATGCCCATGCAGCCCCTAACGAACCTGCAAATAGCGATAAAGTGCTCGCAAGGCGTGTTCTACTTCCAGACGCAGTACTCGCTGCACATTTTGCTGGGCGAGGACGGCCGGTCCGACCAAGGCGTGTTCTTGCGCATGTGGAAGGACATTCCCGAGACCATGCAGATGGCGCAGGGCGCACAGAACATTCGGTTCGCGAGCATGGAGGACATGCGCAACAAGCTAAACATGAACGGCGTCTTCACTGTCGCGCAGCGATCCGTCGGCGATGCAACGCACTTCTATACAAGCAGCAAGCTGTGCGACGGCTCCATGTTCTACTCGGAAATCAAGGTTGCCAGTAACTTTTCGGCTGCCTTGATTTCGACAAAGTCGCCCAATGTCCAGCTCATCCCGCTGTACCAGAAGGCTGTCCAAGACATCATGACTGCCTTCTGAGGGGGCTACAAACGACCAACACCCTTTTTTCCTTTGCCAGTTTTAAAGAAATTGAACTAATAACAAAGCCTGCTACTGCTGCCGATCGCTGCTTCGGGGCTGGGTCGTGTGATCGGACCGCCAGGTCACAAAGTCTGTGCTTTTTTTACAGCAATGAATTTGATGGTTTGCAACAAAAAAATAAAAGATCCAAAAAAAGAGCAGGAGAAACTAGGGTTAGAAATGGAGAGGGGTTATATATAGTTTTTGTATGTGTTTGTGAGCAGCAGTGAGGGCTCGTCAGCGACGACCGAGCGCATCCGCGGGGTTCGATGAGGAAACTGACATGCGAGCAAGCTGTGGACCAAGCTGAGCGTTCTCCTGCTCCATCTTGAGCATATTCTCTTTGATGATGCTGTACGGCGAGCCCTGGTGCATAGTGAGCAGCTCCTGCTTCTGCTGGTGCACGCTCAGCTGGCTCTGCGTCGCATACCACGGATTTGCCGCCATGCTGGTAGTAGCCCCAAGCGTGATCAGACCGTCCGACTCGCGCCGCCTGTTGCTGTGCATACTGCTGATAGCTGGCAGTGCCATCGGGCTGGCGGCTGTGCTGTGGCAGATGCCGAACGGCGACGACCGATACCCGGTGCTGTAGCTGTTGGGGAACTGCAGGAAATCGCCGTTGGCTGCGCTGCTGCTCACCGACTTGCCCGTCGGCTGCCAGGTGGTGCTGTTCATGCGCTTCGACACAGAGTGCGCGTTGCTGCTGCTACTGCTCTTGTGGTGAGGGTTCTTTGATGCGCTGGGCGCCAGCGACGATGACGAGGCTGATGGCCTTGATGGCTTTGATGGCTTGCCCGGCCGCTGGTATACCTCGCACACCTCGTCGTACGAGCCGCCGTCACGCAGGATCCGGAAGGCCCGCTGGAACTCGTCGCGGATGCCCTCCACTGACACAGTATTGGCGCTGTGGCCCAGGTTCAGCCATGTCGAGAACGGCTCCTCGATGCAAAAGATGCGTGATGGACGGCCCGTATCCCACCCCTTCTGCTCTTTGCGCATGTAGCAGCCGCGGCGCAGAGACACCACCTGGTGGCGGTAATCAAACTCGTAGGCGTACGTGCGGAAGAAGGCGTACAGTAGGTACCCCAGCGACTCCTGGTTCGCAATCCCGAATCCGCGCAGCTGGTCGATGTTGTCGTTGAAGGTCAGATCAATCTGGCCGTTGATTGTATCGTCGTCGGTGGGAATGGGCGGCTGCACTGGGTGCAACACTGGCAGGATCGGCGGGCTGCGCGTCTGGAAAAAGTTCAGCGCCAGGTTGACCCACGCGTACGGCGACAATGTGCCGCCAAAGGCAGCGTCGTTGATCTCGCGGCACTTTGTCCAGTTTTTGATGGCCATGACAAACGGCCGTACGCGGGCATCAATGGCCACAAACGTCTGGATCATGCGTGTGTTGTGCAGCGCAATCGTGTTGTTGATGTTGATGTCTGATGCAATCCGCAGCTCTGGATCCCACGATTTGACAATCGGCACACGGGCGTGCGGCACACAATACGTGCGCATGCCGTACTTGCGCAGCGCTTTGTTGAGCACAAACACATTCTCCAGCTCCTTGTGCTGCGTCGTCAGGCAGATGTCGACGTCACTGCGCGATGTGCCTAGACCGTTGACCGACGAACCAAACACATGAATATCGACCTCCCACTCGGGGAACTCGACCGTCAGGATCGTCGCAAACTTCTCAATGAACGCCCGCTTGACCTCGATGCTCTCTGCTGACGGGCACAGCCGTGTCTCGTACGTGTGCAGGATCTGCGCGGTCAGCGTCTTCTCCAGGCCAGTTGGCAGCACTGTGCGCCCGCGTACCTCAGTGTCCCAGTCGTCCTGTGAGAATCCAATCGTATATTCAGAGTCGCTGAAATCGCTGTCCTCCACATGGCCCCCGCCCACCGCTGTGCTGTCGTCGTCACTATTCCGTGTGCTACCACCGCTTTTGCTGCGACCCTTGCTGTCCGCCCGCTGCTTTGATGCAGTGGCTGTCGACGCATCGCTGCTGCCCACGTTCGACAGGTACTGCAACGACGACTTGTTGCGCACGTGCCGCTTCCCCCGCCCATGTATCTGGTCCTTGCCACCCGCCTGCTGCTTCCGCGGCTGCTTTGTCTGCGGCGCGCCGGCTTTACTGCTCGTCTGTTTGCGCTGGCCCCCAGCCTGATCCTTCGCACGCCCTCCCTTCTTGCTGCTATTGTGCGATCCATCTTTTGCTCCTGCCTTGCGCGCTCCTGACGACTCCCGCTTAGTGCTGCCCTCCTCGTGCACGCCCAATGTACCGCCTTCCTCGGCTGCATTGTCGGCCTGTGCCCGCATCGGGTTCCGCCCACTGCGTGTCTTGGTCGTCTGGGACTCCACCTTGGCTGCGGCTGTCGATGGGCTGCAATTGGCGCTGTTGTTGCGCGTCGACGGTGGCGACACACACGCAGTAGCCGCACCAGCCATCCCCTGGTCTGTTACTGGCATCTTCTGTCCGGAAAACACTGCGTTGTAGTCTGTATCGGGCGACGGGCACTGGATCGGCTGCACCTTGACGCTGGTCGTATTGTCTGGCAGCACTGCTGACATCAAGTAGGGTTGTTTTTTTTCCACTGCGAAATAAAATAGAAAGAACCTTTGGTCGATTCTCCACAAAAATGCACAAGCCAATTTGAACGCTGGAGAGAAGAATAAATAAATGCGCCTAGTAAGAAAAATTTTCCTCCAGAGCAAACGAAAGGAGAAGAGGGAGACCAGTGTGTGGATCGCCCGGCGTGATTTGAGAGATCGGGTTGTGCGCTTGGTGCTGGCTGTCTATGAACGCAATACGAAGCACTACGGGCTCGCGAGCTGAGTGCTTTTTGGTCGGGTGGGACTCCGAAACGCCACCTGCGGTATGTAGCTCCGAGAACAGAGCAAGATGTGTTGATATTCCCCCCACGAGTATCAGAACGAAAAGATAAAATATCTGTCTTCTGCGCAAGAGGCTCAGGAAAGGGGTGCATAAAAGCAGTGTCCTTGGATGTTGTCCCCTCGACCTTTCTTTGAGCAATCACCAGGTGCGCGCAATAATATGAGCCGCAGCCTGGCCGTAGCAAATATATCCGGGCAGGTGATATGTGAGGCGTGAAAGCGTATGTCTCACACAAGCTGCGGCGCTGGAGATTTCGCTTTTAAAATAGATGTGGGAAAATGCTGTGAAGGGAGACAAGCAAGCCGTGTGTTGCTTGCAAGGGTCAGGCGCACACTGCACTGCTCTAATAAGACAGTGGAGAGAACGACGCAGACTGCACCGGGCTAATACGAGGAATAATCTGGAGCCCGTCTCTGCACAGTGCGGGCCAGGCAAACGAGATGAGGGGCGATACAGTATTAATGCCGAGAATATGTGACCTGGAGCAAGAGGAAAAGAGGAGAAATAAAGCTTCAAGCAAAACGCTGGGCGTCAAGGGGAGAGGTGAAGGCGTAGCAAAAGGGGGACGGCGTGGTATTTCTGAGGAGCGAGAGGTGGAGGGGCTCGCCTCTGTTTCGTGGTCGAGTCGTGTTTTTTTCAAAAGCAGCAGTGAAGATCGAAGCTGTCGCAGTCCAGAAGCGCGCCCGGAAAGAAAGCCCATGGCCAGGTGTCGGAGCGCTGAGACAACTCCTGGCCGGTCCCAATTTCTGCAAAGGCCCTTTGAGACCACATGAGCTTTTTCTATTCTCCTTGTTCGAAAATCAGCGCAGAATCTATTCCCAGACCACCAGACATCAAACAATGCATATTCTCGCTCCTTTATTTGTTGACCGTGAAAAGTGGCCGTCAGAGCTTGCCGACCACCTCGTCGCAGCGCCGGCATAGGGCCTCGGGCTCGGTAGAGTGGAGATTCCAGCAGCGCGGGCACTTGTGTAAGGACGAGCGCTGGCACACCGCCGTTACCTTGGTGGCCTCGCCGCCAAATGCAATCTCGTCGGTCTCCACAAACTCTGCGGGACCAGCCGGTAGCTGCGATGCATCGTGGACGCGCACCTGCGACGTAATGCTTGTCTGCCGCAGGCTGTCTGCGTACTGGGCCAGCAGCCTCCCAAGCCTCGAATCCAGCGCAACGTATATGTCGAGCTCTGCCTCCAGCGAGCTGCCAATCACCCTATTGTACGCAGAATAGCATTATCCGTTAGCTCCTTGTTGCTCGGCCCAAACCCCCCGCTACACCCCTCTTAGGAACCACACAATGGCGGCGCCCATGGTCAGTCAGCGCTACTTACTTGTCTTGGCGGGCAGCCTCAATCGCCCGGTTTGCCAGGCTGCGCACCTTCTTCAGCCCAGCCCACTCCTCGGCCAGCACCGCATCGTCCCATGCCGCATCCGTCTGGTCCCACTTTTGCTGGAACACGCTGAACTCGCCACCATTGCTGCCCCGCACGGGCTCCGAGAACTCCCAGATCTCCTCGGCCAGATGGCACGTGACTGGGGCTAGGGTTGTGGTGTAGTTGACAAGGATTTTGTACAGAACAGTCTGCACCGACCGCCGCGACAGGTCGGCTACTGCGTCCGCGTACAGACGATCCTTGCACACATCAAAGTAAAAGGCCGACAGCGTGGAGTTGGTGAAGTTGTTCAGCGCCTGCATCGCCCGGAAAAACTCATGCTTGTCAAACGCCTTCCTAGCCCGCTGCTTGAAGTGGTGCAGCTCGTGCAAGACGTACCGGTCGATCGGCTGCAGCTGCTCATACGGGACCTCCATGTCCTTCGTGAATCCGTCCAGGTTTCCGAGCATGAACCGCGTCGTGTTGCGGATCTTGCGGATCGTGTCGCTGAAGCTCGAGAAGACGGTCGGTCCAAAGCTGACATCCTGCGTGTAGTCAGTAGACCCGATCAGCAGCCGCAGCAAATCTACGCCATACGCCGGGTCCTTCTTCTTGTCCTTGCCGCCGCTGATCACAAAGCTCGGCGCAAGCGTGTTGCCAATCGACTTTGACATCTTGCGCCCCTGCTCATCGAGCGTAAACCCGTGGGTGACCAGCGTCTTATATGGCGACACGCCACGCACTGCAGTCGATGTCAGCAGCGACGACTGGAACCACCCGCGATGCTGGTCACTGCCCTCCAAGTACACGTCGGCGTATGGCCCCTCGCGCGGCTCGGCCCGCTTCTCCAGCAGCTTCCATGAGCTGCCACTGTCAAACCAGACGTCCATCGTATCGCTGCCACGCACATACGTCTCACCGCTGCTGCGGTACTCGGGGAGCAGGAACTCCTCCACCGGCAATGTCCACCATGAGTTCGAGCCGCCGTTGGCCCGGAACACGCTGATGATATGGTCAATCGACTCTACTGTCATCAAGGGCTCGCCTGTTCGCGCATTGTACAGCGCTGGGATCGGCACGCCCCACACACGCTGGCGCGAGATGCACCACTCGGACCGCCCAGTAACAAACGCCTCGAGACGTCGCCGTCCAGCCTCGGGCACAATCTGCACATCCTTGACCGAGTCCCACGCCGCTTGCTTCAGGTTCTTGATGTTGGCAAACCACTGCGGCGTGGCACGCTGGATGATCGGCTGCTTGGTGCGCCAGTCGTACGGGTAGCTGTGCACAAACTTATCGCTATGCAGCAGCACATTCTGCTCACCCAGCATTTCGATGACCTTGCTGGCCCCGTCGCCGAGCACCTCAAGGCCCTCCAGCCCCGATCCAGCATCGCTGGTGAACCGCCCATGGTCGTCAACCGGCGAGTACACCTCCAGCCCATTTGCAAGGCCAGCCTCGTAGTCCTCCTTTCCGTGGCCTGGGGCCGAGTGGACCAGCCCAGTCCCCGAATCAGCCGATACGTAGTCTGCAAGCATGATCTTGCACTCCTTGCCACGCAGCACGCTATTATACACCAGGCCATCAAGATCAGCACCCTTGAACTCGCGCACGACCTCGACATTCGACTCGGGCGGCAGGAGGCTAGCGATCTTCTCCAGGCGATCCTTGCCAACAAGCATAGTCGATGCCGGCTCGCCCCCACCTGAAACGCGAACCAGAGCATAGTCGAGCTCGGGATGCACATAGATCGCGCTGTTGGCGGGCAGAGTCCATGGCGTCGTTGTCCAGATCAGAGCGCTCACGCCACCCGAGACGCCTAGCCTCTGCGCTGACTCCTGGTTGAGCGGGAACTTCACATACGCGCTGGTGCTGACATGGTCGTCCTTGTACTCCAGCTCGGCCTCAGCCAGCGCCGTTCGCGACGACGGCGACCAATACACTGGCTTGTTCTGCCGGTAAATGTAGCCCTTGGCGAGCATAGATTTGAAGATCTCGAGCTGGTTTGCCTCGTACTCGGGGTGCAGCGTCAGATACGGATCCTCCCAGTCCCCCATGATGCCCCACTCCCGGAACCCCTTCTTCTGCTTGTCAACCGCCTTGAGCCCAAATTTGCGTGCCAGGGTCCGGATCTCCATCGGATCGAGCGAGTCGCGATCCCGCCCCTTCAGTGCCTCGAGCGCCTTGTGCTCAATCGGCAGCCCGTGCAGGTCCCACCCCGGGAAATACAGAACCCGTCTGCCCTGCATCACCTGGTACCGGTTCACGATGTCCTTCAGCACCTTGTTCATAAAGTGGCCAATGTGCAGATCGCCGTTGGCGTATGGCGGACCGTCATGGAGCACAAACTGTGCACCTGGGTTGTTCTTGAGCTGCCATGGATACAGCTGATCTGTACACCGCTCCCGGAACTGCTTCTCTCTGTTGACAGCATCAGCTCGCAGCGGAAATGCTGTCTTGGGTAGTTTCAGGGTGTGTGCATAGGGGCTCGGCTGCTTCTTTCCCTTGCTATCTGCCACCTGCGCATAGGCACGCATAAGCAAGCTCGCTCTGCCCGCTGCCAGTCGGGGTGTTTGCCTCGCAGACAGTGCGCGAGGTAGCGCTGCCAGCGTCTGATTCATTTGCTCTATAAGGTGAAATTCAGCAAAAGCGGTGGTGTCTAAAAGTACCAGAGATACCGGTCAACTCAGCCCGACAGCTACAGACTTCATAAGCAGGCTGGGCAGTCCGTAATCTCGAACACAAAAATGCAACACCCGATCTGTGGAATCTACAGCTCACGTGATATTTTGTAGCTGACCTCGAAAAGAAATCCGACCGTAGCCCGCCCATCACCACATCCACGCTACACACACGCCGTATATTGTTGGCCAGGTTTCCCACATCACCATGTAGGCAAGATGTTATTGTTTTCTGCTGGTTATCGGGTAGTTTGCGATTGCAGTGCCCGCTCTCGACCCCTGTGTCGGCTGTCAAACAACAAGCACAGGCTCAGACGTGGGCTATGCATGCTGCCGGCTTTTGCGAAAAGATGCCCAGCATGACCGTGTGTCCGCACTTGCCACTTTATGCATGTCAGTTGCGAGCTCGCACCCCTGTCAGTTTCCATCTTCGTCTCCACATATTTCATTACAGCTCTTTAAGCGATGTCCAGTACATTTGTATCTCGCATACGTGTTTCTCACCCCAACTCTACCTACTCGGCCGAGGATGACGCGACAACTGTTGCCGAGCTCAACAAGAACTTCAGTAAGTGGTCGCTAAAGACTAACCGCACTGAGCCCGACGCAGCGCTTCGCTATATGCAACACCTAATAGCCACCAAGCAGTCGTTTGACATGAAAATCGAAACTCTGCTGCCGTCGGCGTACCGTGAGATACTGTCTCTCAACCTGAAAGGAAAGCGCAAGAGGGGTTTCACTACAAATAACATCATGGTAGCCGGTGCCAACATCGAGCTGCAGAACCAGGCGTTTGTACGTCTGACACGGCATCTGAAAGAAGCGAACGATGGGTTGCAAACTGCCATGATTGACTATCTCGAGATGCTCCCAGACAGCGACAAAAAAGTGGCTATGACCCAGAAATGTCTGTCCATCATCGACATGGAGCGATGGGGCGCGTTCGACTCGCTCGAGTTTGCCACTGACGTCCCTGGCTACCTCGACGAGTTTGTCCCGCGGAGCGTGGCCGCAAGCAATGAGTGGAAGGCGTTCATGATTGACACTGCTTCACCATTGGTGTCGTATTTTGTCAAAGTTGAGCTTGGGCAGGTCACGGGATGGGCTGAGGCCAAAGAGAAGCTGCTCACTGCATTCTGCACCCCGCGCGAGCGCAGCGTCCTGCTTGAGCAGCGCAACGCCACGGTTGCAATTGGCACTTGCATTGGGGTCCTAGACTACCGCAAGGGTATCGAGCCCAAGACCCGTATCTCGCTGCGGGTCCTCGCCGCCACCTGCACCGACAGGCAGCAGCAGGTGTTTGCTGACGTTCTCTACAAGCTCAGGATTACCAACCCATCAACATACAGCTTCAAGAACCTCCGTCCGTATCTCCCCGCTGTTTCCGTTAACGAGCGCCTTTAAATATGCTGTTACCTATCTGCCTTTCGTATATATAAACTATTTATTTGACAGGAAGCTCGGCCAAGTGCTCGTGAGGATTTTAGTGCAATTCATTATAAGTATGTCATTCAATAGGTGTACTTCCAAAGATGAGCATGAGATACGTTTTTACGTGGCAGGCAGGGAATGTGCTAGCAACTTGTCATTCAAGGCTCCGCAAATCGGTAGCGCCAGATTGTCGATGACTGGGCCCACATCTGCACATTGGACAGGAGCACATGCGCTCAAGCACAATCCGAGGCACTATCTGCCTGCCAACAGCATTTGCTTGCCTCTGGTAGAGCATCTGGTATCTGTCCTGGCACTGTTAAGAGGATTACGTAGCTGCTGCCTAATTAGGATATACGACATGGTCCAGGCGTCATGAGGAGGGAGCCTCTGGTGCTTTATACCCGAGAGGTACAACTAGCGATCAATGCACCAATGTGTCGAGAGCTAGACAAGGGTAGCTGTGACAACTAACTAGCTTGCATAGCACCACAAAAATAGGTTCATAATGGTTAATGAGTTGAGGCGAGGGATTGAGACAATTGGATGGCAGTAGGAAGGGGCAGGCTTCTGAACTCAGCCGACAATGAACATACGGATATTTTCAGCCTCTCTGGCAGTGAGACGGCTAACTCGGCTGCTGCAAGAGTGCGTTTGACGTAGCACCTGCTGTGTCCTAGAACAAAACAACAGCTCGACATCTTCGCACATGGTCCCAATAGCCCTGACAAATGAGCCAATGCAGAGCCTAGAGCACTGGCGGTTTGAACTGCTTTATCCCTCCCCTCCCCGATACATCCATTCCAAGTTGAAACAGTCTTTTTTATTGCTTAGCAAGATCTATAGCTCACAAGAACTCATGCTGTACAACGTAACAATGGCGGCAAAGGAAGCTACTGTGCAGATAACTGCTGCTCCTGTCTGCAGGTTCTCAGAGCCGGCACTCGCCGCCGCTGCGACTACGTGTTTTTCCTAGTCTACACTTACACTACAAATAACAGCGGAATACAAAAAGTGAGCATTCTTTTATGCATGTTGCACTGCTACTTATGCGCAGCAGTGCAGTACCTCATCAGTGACCAAAGGGTCCCATGGATTGCGTTCCGCCGTGCGCTTCAGAATATCGCTGACATCGGGCGATGGCAGGTTCAGCTCCTTGATCCGACGCACAAGCCTACAGGGGTAAAGTGCATAGAGCCGAGCGAAGGGAGACGAGAAGAATTGAAGAGCACCCGCGGAAACGAAATGCACAGTGCATCTCCCAACCCTCAGTGGGTTAGCGCGTCGGTCCCGGCGCATCTTTAGCAACGTCAAGGCGATGGAATAGATAAAGGTACAAATATGCAGCATGCATCATCTCAAGTCTACATGGCTTGCTCGACTCCTACGCATGGTATCACAATACTACCTGACAATAATTTCCGTGTTGCGCCACGCGACCTTGGCCAAGTACCTGTCAATGGCCCACAGTGTCGTTTCCGATGTCGTCGTTTCAATCATCTTGCTCAATATGAAGTTCACATGCATGTAGCATGGTTTCCCAGTATGCGTGTAGTCGGGTGGAGATGAGCGAGTGCCATTTGAAAGCATGCTCTTGTGCATCTGGACAAAGTCATCCTTCGTCAGCGGACGCATATCGGCTTCAAGGCGCAGGATGTAAACCCAAATCTGCGCACGTCCGCCCGCATTCATGTTCGAGGCAATGTCCAGCCCGCATTGCAGCCAGTGCAGCATCCTTCCCTCGGCTTTTCTCTATGGATTCAGCGCGGGCTACGCCATAGTGCATGCACAGCAACTCCGAGATTGCTAGATTGATCCATACTCCGGCAATGTCCCATGGCTTTCTGGTATCCCTCTCGCTGCTACTGCTGCTGCTGCTGTCGTCGTCGTCGTCGTCCTCTTCGCACTCCTTTCCCTTCCAACTGCAATATGGTGTACGTCCTTGACTTGTACGCGTTCCATTCGTGAATTGCGATTATCTTGTTCATTGCCCGTGTCAGATCTTCCAGAGACATCTCATTGGCAGATTCCGACAGCTCGAGCAACATCAAGTAGGCGGCTCGGATGGCAGCAAGGCGCTGCTTAGGCGTATGAGCGGTGGTATCGAACGACACACTTACAGCAGCAGCCCTACTGGCGTCAGCAGCAGCAGCAGTAGCACGTTTGGCCATGTACAGCTTGACCTGCTGGTACATCAGATCGAGAGCGCGCTGGCACCAGGTATCAGTGTCGACTGTTTCACCGAAGGAGAACTCCTCGAGAACCCAGTGGCCCGGGCCAAACAAAGAGGACTGTTCCTTTATCAGGTTAGCATCGGGTGGGCCACTGTCCTGAGATGCATACAAATTGCCAACCAGACCGACAGTCCCATCTGACCACGTACCCGCGAGGTTAGGAAGGCGAAGCTCTATCTGCTGCATCGACACCCGCAGGGACACTATGCATGTGTTGAGCTGGTCCAGCTCTGCGTCGCCGGGGACTATTCTGTTCCAGCCACGGGGCCTGAATCTGCGCTCAACCAGATGGCTAATCGACCTGTAGAAGGTGTGCACGTTAGCTGAGTTTTTCCACCAGACTGCTGTGGCGAACCTAACTGCACCTGTTCGCGTATATGCAGGTAATACGTGCTTTTGGAGGCGCTGCCAGCGTTCAGCGTCGAGCACAGTGGACCGAACAGGTAGCGACGGGACAAAGTCGTCGTTCATGTAGCAATAGACAAACGTCTGGATGAGAACAAGCAGGTGGTTGGGCCGCAGGCAGTCTACCAAGAGACACATGTCGGGACTCCATTTGTGAGAGAATGCGCTCCACCGTGTGCTGCTATTCACACTGGTGCTGAGAATCACCCCCGGGACTGCCGCTAGGTACGGGATGTTAAGACACTCGTGCATCTGCGCGATCATCCGCTGCTTCCAGCGATCTTGGCTCGATCCGTGTCTCTAGCACTGCCCACGTCACTTTTCCAGAAAACCATGATAGGCCTCGGCGACAGCTGACGACTGCTCTTGCGATAGCAGGTTCTGGCTGTCGCGCAGCATCGCCGACAGGACTCGAGAGACATTATCTGCCATCATACCATGGTAAAACTCTGGGCTAGACTTGCTCCCTTTGAACAAGCTCGCGCTCAATGTTGAACTTGAACCAGCTGATGACCCGCCGCCACGCCAGCGTCGATGCAGCCGAAAATTTGTCCAGAACCTGCGTGTATTCCTTCTCAATCTCCATACGGCGCGTCCAACGTCCGCAGATGGAGTTCCAAGTAGAGATCCCAAATGAGAGGCGAGTGCCTGCACTTGCCTTTCACTGCCTCTTCCAGATACCGTTTGGCCAGTCCCACCGCTTGGGACTTGCCTGTGCGCAGATCAAGACACTGAACAGGGCGGATGCGGATATCGTCATCTACACGAATGCGTGGTACCCGCCTAAGCACACTCATTGCGGTTTGGTACACTGCCTTGGCGGAAGCGACCTCGCTCAAGTCTTCGTTAATCGGCGCAACAGCTTGGCTCATATTGACCCTGGCGGGAATCGCGCTTGGGTCGTCGTTATGCTCCTCATCGGACTCAGGATCCAAGTATGAGTTGGCATCGGCACCCATCGGAGATGATTTCATTGCCCGCCGCGGTGCAGTAGCGGAGATGGACCGGCTTAGCGGATGGCAACTCTTCGTTAGGTCCCAAAGAAGACACCCAAGATGTCGTGGTTCAGCAACGGCTGGGTCACTTTGTAGCTGTCAATCTTTTTCTTCAGCGACTCGAATGAGTTCAGGCTCCACGTCGGTTACCGTTGCAGGGGTGCGGTCAATGGTGAAGATACTGTCCTCTGCGGGATAATCCAGGGTTTGACGCAAGCGAGCTTGCCGCAAGCCAGTCAGCAAAAGGGTGGTAGGGTATTGGAGTCGATTACAGAGAGGTCCAGTGCTGCCGGCCGCGGCTGGTTGGTATCCAGCGGCGACTCGTAGTCCATGTAGTCCGGATAGTTATCCACGCCTGCACGCCTAGATCCGCTGTGAGGAGCTGGTGGCCGGATGATTGGCCGATCGCAGTCTGTGGTAGTTGACTTGCCCTTCGCCAGCGCCAAAATCGCTGCAGGAATGTCAAATACAGATCGCAGCGGCAGCTTATCGACAAATACCAAGCGGCTGCAGAGTGTAGGTGCCCGAGTCCGGCATGCCCGTCAGACTAGCCACCTTTACAGCACGGTGTTCGTCAGCGACCTCCTTTCCTTTCCGCGTCCGGTTGATGCCTCCCTGATCAGCATTGGCAGGCATACCTGATTGCGGAAGAATGTCAGCAAGTCTGCGGAATGCAGCAGCCTTGTAGAGATAGTGACTTGCTCGCTACAAGCGAATCCCCACTGTCATCTGATGCCTGGACCAACAGCGATTCTGAGAGTGTCCTGGTAGCTGGTAGCGGCACGAAGGCACAGCTCGCGGATACGGCCCTCGACCTCGTACAGCTCCAGTCGACGCCGCATGATCGCGATAGCCTCACGCAGCGCCCTCTGGGCAGCCTCGATATTCCGGAAGGCATCTTTCTCGACCTCATAGCTAAGCTCAGCTTGCGCAGAGAGCTGGTCCAGGTTCTCCTTGTCTGGCTGAGCCACATCGCTATCCCACAGCACTGCCTCTTGGATCCTTGAACCCAGCGATCCGGCTCAGTAGCTCGGTGATCCTGGCTGAGATGGTCTTTCTTTATCTGCGGCTGGGACGCATCGAGAATCACTCCTGTACGAACTACTCTTCAGCAGCTCACGCACGCCATTGATGATTGCAATAGGTGCAGAGCATGCGGGCTGGCTAGTAGCCGCTGGTGTTGGCTGACGGGTAGGAGCAGGTGTAGGGCTGCTGTGGTGTCATTGGGACGGCGGATGGCGGCGGTGGTGTATGCAGAGCAGACGGCGTCACAGACACGGCTGGAAGCAGACACAGGCGGGACAGACATCTCGACATCTACAGCAGTTTCCGACGGGATCAACAGGGGTAGCGAAGACGCTAGTTGCAGGAGAATGCTCGTCAGCGGTCACAAATGCCTCCTGGCTGACTCGCCCAGATGGCACAGGAGTTTCGGATATCGGTGTACTGGCCAGCATCTGGCGTGGTCCTTGCAGTTGTGTCTGGCGATTTGGGCACATTGCTAGCTTTCTGTCTCGAAGAGCTGGCAATTGCAGGGCTGCTGGCATATCTCGGATCGTGCCGGCGCTTCTTCAACGGCCCAGGCGCACCCTTATCGCACTCCACCACCTTGCGCTTTGCGGCGAGGAAACTCCGCCCTCTTCTCCCTGATCCTCCGCTTAAGGCTCTCCATTCCACTCTCCACTGCTGCAAGGTTCAAGGAGACCGCGGTGATCTGGTTCTGGCTGGAGCTGCTTGCCTCAGGATGCTGCACCCTGGGGCCCCGTGCTGGCCTGGCTGTTTCTCTGGGCCGGCACATCGTCGTTGCGGTTGTCACGAAGCACTTCGCGGCAGTAATTGGCAAGCATGCGACTCTCAGCAACTTGTGATAGCCTGGTCGATGTGGCAGCATCGGACTCTTGCTCGCTGGTACTGTCCGTGGGCGCTTGGGTCGCTGGCAGCTGGAACAGCACCTGCAGAAGTAGCTGCATCCTGATCATTTGCAGCCGGCTCCTCAAAGTCACTAATGTCCAGCGGCACAACAAACCTATTGTGGCCATTCATAGTGGTGAAATATTCTCCTTCCGGTGACTTATCAGGAGTCGACGACGCTGATTGCTCCTGGATTTGCACAGGTGTCGGAGGAACAGTTGTCTGTGGTGTATCGCTCGGAAAGTGGCCATACTCGCTGGATCCATGGGAGCTGCACGACGGAGTCTCAAGGATCGGCGCTGCTGCGGGAGACTGGCTGCTGAGCCATCGCACTACCCATCCTGACTCGGACAGCACGGCCCAAATCTAGCGGCAGAGGAGTGCCCACAGTGCGTTTCACACGCGGTGTAAGGTGAAGCGTGCTGGGTGGGCTGGGCGCCTGCGATCTGCTGAACAGCCCAGCTTGACTGCGGGGTAGTTGAAGCGTGATCTTGCTGCCAGCTGTGCTGCAAAGGATGCAGGCCCAGAAGTGCTGCCAATAGTAGCCAGCAGGGCAGGTGCCGGCGATGAGGACATGCGCACAGGCTCTCTGCGTGGTGGAGCCTCATCATCAGCACCCATGTCGAAATCAGAATCAGACTCTATGTCCATATCGACATCAGATGCGGCAGATGCGGCATATGGCGACGAGGGCGTTGATGAAACATCCATATCCATGAACCCCACGCTCGACGTAGGCGAATGGATATTCTCTGGCTCTGCGGCTGGCGGTGCTGGAATTGGTTCTTCAACCTCTGCCTGACCAGCAGTCAGGGCACCGGGGATTGCGCTAGTCAGCATCATGGTTGTGCATGCTTCACTAAGGAACGTCAGCTCGAATTCGTGAGCAAGCACATTGAGATGCGAAAGTACATCGGGCTGAAGTCGGCTAATGTGCTCGTAAATAGCCTCAGGGTCCTCAAGCCGGGTCAGCCTCTGGAGACTCATCAGTGCGCGGGCCATAAGTCTGTCTCCGGTTGTTGTGCTCCGTGATAGCGTCAATTGGCGCATGCGTTCTCGGATCCCGTCATGGACATTCTGGTCGGCTGCCGGGACTGGTTGCCTTTGAACCGGTTCAAAGTTGTCACCAGCTGCATGATGATCCTGACCCGCATCAGCTGTTGCTAGAGATGAAGAGGGGACATTGGAATTGGTCCGGATACCATTTGCTTCTGCCTCCGTACCGCGCTCACTCGATCCAGATATGCCATTTGGGCTGGCCTGTGCTTGCTGCTGATCAGCAGACGGTGGAGTTGGCGGTGGGGGCGGAGCAATCTGTGGGGGCGGAGGCGGAGGCGGGGGCGGATGAGTATTACCCAGACCCTGGTTATTTGCGAGACTGTGGCCAGCGTGCTGCTGCAGGTGAACTGTGCTGGCAGACATAATGGCATGCCCAGTGGGCTGTGCCATCGCTAAGGGCATTGGATACCAAGGCACCAGCCTGGGACCTGTTGTGAGCAGCGGCGTATGTACCGTGTGTGGGTTCCCCGAAACATACATGCCCATTGGATAAAAGTCCGAAGAAATCTGGCCAAACCCTGGCGACCCAAACCCATGGCTGGGTCTTGTCAGTGGCGGGTGCGCAGGGAACATTGGCCTATTCTGCAGAGTGTCGTAGTGGGAATGAGCGTGCGCATGCCCCCAGCGTCGCGGTCAAAATACACATTGCTGGAATGCGCATGGCTATAGCTCACGTCGTCATCGCCAGGTGGCAGCTGACCCTCTGTCTCGGTGCCAACCTCTCCGCGTGCGTAATCCGCCAACATACTCGCATATTCATCGCCATCCGAAACGTGCCGGCTGCCATTGTCTACAAATAGCGCTGCGAAGGAGTGAGTACCGTCTGCCCAATAAACAAGCAATGCATGCAGCACTGCATATCTCATTAGCCGTCTGCCAGTGTTTGGCGGAGGGGGTTGTCTCCTGCGATGCGTATGCAAGATATACATGGGTTGACCCATCAGCTGGTCAGCGCCACTCACCATTGGGCAGACCCGAGCTGGCATTGCCTTGGGTGCGAGTGCTCCTGCCAGCCTGGGAATTTGGAGTGCGGATACCAGGCTGAGTGCTGCTGGGCTGCCTGCGGTTTCTGCTCGAGGATGCCACTGGAACAAGCTCACCCTGTATTTCATCGGCAAAGCGACGGGGCATATCCGGCAGTGAACTAGAGCTGGATGCGCCGTTGTTGCTATTACCGTTACTGCTATCGCTGGTATTGGCGCCATTGTTTCTATTGCTGCCGCTGGCTTCACCTTCGTTATCTTCGCGCTCTCTACCTCGATCCGCGCTTTCCTTTCTCTGTTTACGCAATTTCTCTAAAAGAATCGCTCTAGTATCCTGCTGGCTGGCTCTGCCAGCACCAGGGGTTGGTTGGCGCGGTGGCTATACATGCAAAAGAGGGTGTTAGAAGGCATGTCTGCTAGCGATATGTCCAAGAAAAGGCTCCATGGCCCGCAATTTCGTGCTGGGCTGCACAGCGCGATTCACTACCTCGCTTCCAGTAGGCATCGAATTAGACGCCATCGTTTAAGGTTTCTAAGAAAGTAATTATCTTTGGCCGATTTGAAAAAGAAATTAGGAGCGAACAGGAGGAGAAATTAGGCTGACCCGCTCAAAAATATATTTTTCACTCATCCACAAAGAATACCGCTCTGGCCGGCAGCTTGGAAATGTGATTGAGCGCATAACGTCCCCGGGTCAGGACAGGCATACAGTGCAACACTGTCGCCACGGCTGATCAAAACCCTATGAAATCCTTGAAGTCAATCTAGGGCCGTTTCCAGGCTGGATAGAACTAAGAATACTGGCTACCCGAGACACGTTGCAGTGCCGTAGTTTTCTATTCCGAAGCTGAAGCTAGGGTATCCTGTGAACTAGGCTTTTGCGAGTTTCTGTCGAAGCCTCCGAGTCGGAGACACTACTCCAGCTGCGGCATATCTGGCATATCCAATCCAAGCATGATGTTCGCTATTGGATTCTAGCGAAGAGCTGAGCTTGTGATGTGGGTGGAGTAAACCATACCTGTCGCCCTGCTCCAAAAGTGAGAAGGCTGCGTGCTAGCATGCATCCGTTGCACATGGATCAGAAATGCCTTAATATTGAAATGAATAGGAGGCAGAGCTGCACATGCCAGGTCAACTGGTCACAATGAGATGATCCATATACGATATCCACGTCAACTACATAGGCAGCATATAAAAAACAATGGATGGAATTTGCTTCGTTGGGAATAGAGAAAGGAAACTATAGCTTTTGTGTGGAAAGATCCAGGCTCATTACGAGTTTAGAGCTCGTCGTGAGCAGGAGCCTCCTCATCGTCCTCGTCGTTGAGGGCAGCCTCGGCCTCGGCAGCCTCCTTGGCAGCCTGCTTGGCAGCCTCGGCAGCCTTCTTCGCCTTCGCGGCAGCCTTCGCGGCAGCCTCCTTCTTGGCAGCCTTCTTGGCAGCGGCAGCAGCCTTCTCGGCAGCGGCAGCAGCCTTCTCCTCCTCCTTCTTCTCCTTGACCTCAACCTCGGGCTCAGCCTCAGCCTCAGCCTCAGCCTCGGCCTCAACAGCAGCGGTGGTCTCGTCCTTGTCATCCTCATCGAGCTCATCGTCGACATCCTCCTTGGCCTTCTTGTCCTCCTTCTCAGCCTCCTCGGCCTCCTTCTCAGCCTTCTCGGCAGCCTCCTTCTCCTCGCGGGCCTTGCGCTCCTCCTCGGCCTTCTTGGCCTCCTCCTCATCAACGACCTTCTTGGCCTCGACCTCAGCCTCGACGTAGTTGGCCCATGTGGAGTTACCGAACTCACCGGCGTACTCAATATCGTCGGTGATCAGGATGTTGTTGAAGATGGTGCCAGACTTGACGGTCCAGACGTCGATGCCGACATAGCCAATGTTGAAGACGGCCAGGTCCTCGTCCTCCTCAAAGTCGGGGTTGTCGATCAGCGGCGCCGCCCACTCGCCCTTGTACTCGGGGTTCTTGATCTTGCGCGGCTTCCACTCGCCCTTGTACTCAGGGTTGTTGACCATGGGCGGCTCCCAGTCGCCGTCCATGTCATCGTCCCAGTCCTCAGGCTTCTTGGCCTCGGCGTCGGGAATGGTGGCTGGGCCATCAACCCAGTCCTCAGGCTTCTCGTCCTCGGGGTCGTCGATCATGACGGGCCCGTCAACCCAGTCCTCAGGCTTCTTGGCATCGGGGTCAGGGATCTGGCGCTCAGGCAGAACCTTCCAGAAGTCCTCAATCTTGCCTTCCTCCTGGACCTTGTTGTCGATGCGGATCTCGAAGGTCTTGTCGGACTTCACCCAGAACGTGTACTGGTGCGACAGCTGGTCGCCGCGCGGCTGGATGACCTTGTCAATCTGGTTGTTCGTGCTGTTGTAGTTGATAATGGCGTGCACGCGGCGGTTGGTCGAGCCGCAGATGTCGGGGCCGAACATGACCTCGTACGGCGACTCGCCCTCGAACTTGGCCGGATCGAAGGTCGGCGGCAGCAGCTTCAGGTAGGCGCCGCCGCAGTCAATGTCCTGCTCGTACTTGACGGTGAACTGCACAACGAAATCCTTGCCCTTGGTGTTGAACGGGCGCTTCAGCTTGGCCGAGTACGCGTAGAACCGCGCATCGTCGGCAATCTGCAGGCCGACGCTGTTCTCCTTGTCGGCGTACCACTTGCCGGGCGACAGCTTGATGCTGCCCAGGTCCTCGCGGACCTCGGATGGCTTGAACTGGTCGATGCTGTCGGGCGACGAGAACGTCTCCTCAAAGTAGACGCGGCCCATGGCGGACGAGGCCAGGGCGGCAAGCGCGGTCAGGGCAAAAGAGCAACGCATTGTTGTTGTGTTTTGTCGGGGGCGTGGGTAAGAGGGTAGGGTGGGTAGTGTACAAAATAGCGATAGCGATAAAACACAGCGAGCAGAGGAAAGAAAGAGATTAGGAGAGAACGCAGAGACGTCCGAGAAATACGTGTGTGTAGAAGTGGCGGCGGGCAACCTTGGAGCGACAGCCAGCCCGGGGCGCCGAGCGCCCGACAGACTGGCGCCCTTAAATGCCAGAGAGCAAGCGCACCCAGCGATGCTGGAATGGCGCAAGTAGGCGCAGAACATGCGCGGCGGTGATGTAGCACTCCGCCATTGGGCCCCAAGGCCGTGGACGTTGCGCGCACCGATTGGACCGCTTGAAAATAAATGGGAAAAGGCCCGAGCAGAAGGCGCCTGCAGAAGCGTGCTCGCAGCCCGCCGCGCTTTCCACGGCAATCCCGAAATTGCAGAGGCAGATCGGCCACAGCCACAGACCCTACAGTAACACTGGGCGAGGTCACGTTACGGTGATCGCCGTTGATTGTGATCCGGAGATCTGCGAGGTTTTGCCTCCCCTGCCCACAGCAGCCGATTTTTTTCAGCTCGCTCTGCCCCTCGACGCAGACGCCGGTTAGGTGTGAAGAAAATATTGACAAAAAACCGGCCCCGGATAGACGACAAGTGCTGGCGGCGCTAGGCGAGGTGCAGAGTCCCTCCTTTCCCTCCGCTTGTCTTTAAATTTAACAGACTCGAAGAAACACAAGAATAAAATGGAAAACGACCAGGGTGTTCTCGTTGACCTTTACGTCCCGCGCAAGTGGTAAGAATCGCTAGCAAGCTCGAAATTAGCACGAGAGCTCGTTCTCGATTTGAACGTGCAACAGCACCAGCAGAAATCAGACACTAAATCAGACCACCTTCTCTTCCTTTCTCCTCCTTCCTCTATGGTTTGCTATTTGCACAACGCCCGCGATCTTGACGCTTGGCTGACGGTGTTCTCGGTGTGTTCTCGGCTGGAATAATCGCGATGTTTACTTGGGGCTGTGACCTGCGCATGTCATGCGGGAAACCATGGTTCCAAAACCAACGTGCAACGACGGCGACGTGCACTGGCATTGCGGATTGTGATCTGACGTGGGGCTGTGTACGTGCGGGGCTGTGCTGGTTACGGTGTCTGTAGCTCTGCCACTAACCGCCTGATCGCTGCCAAGGACCACGCCGCCGTCCAGATCAACATCGCCGATGTCGACCCCGAGACCGGTGTTAAGCTTGAGACCTTCAAGACCTACGCCATCTCCGGCTACGTCCGCGCCCACGCCGAGTCCGACGACTCCCTCAACCGTCTGGCCACCCAGGACGGCTACCTGAAGAACGTCTGGAACTACCAGAAGTAAATTCTCTTCCTGTTCTATTAGGTGTTCTGTGTTGAACGGATCTTTAAACCGGTTGTTTTTCAATTCCAGAGCTCCCCTGTTCGTGAAAGCACGACCCACCCCGTGTCTTGTTGGCTGCTGGCTACTCGATTCCCAAGAGGGCTGGATCCCGTCCAGCTCGTCTGCTGCTTTGCGCTCTGGCACATACTGTCTACGCATACTAGCGGCATTTGCTCGCGGGGTGTAGCAGCAAGCTGATGGTGTGTATCGGGGGGTTTATTTATGAAACGAGGAGAGACCACGCTCAAAACACTTGTTTAGTCAGCAATGAGTTCCTGGACGCGCCAGTCCTCGTAGCTCATGTCGGGCAGGTACCGGCGGATGACAAACGGGATCTTCTTTTCGCGGAGCTCCTTGAGCGCGATCTCGTACGGGTCGCTCTCGCCGTCAAGCTCAACCATGATGGGCGCGTTCATGCTGATCTGCAGGGCACGGGCGCCCAGAATGCGCGCGCGCTCGTACTTGGTCATGTATGGCGTGGTGATGCGCTCGTTGGCGGGTGTGGGCTCGACGTTGTCCTCGGGCAGGAAGATCTCAGTGCTCTCCTCGGGCTGCTGAGTGTCCATGTCGGGCTCGTCGTCGTTGTAGTCCTGGTTGTCCTCGTAGTAATCCTCCTCGTGGTCCGACATTGCGCTTTTGTTACAAAATGAAATAAGAAGGGGTGGGCAAGAGGCGAAAAATTGTGAATTGGAGCAAATTTGAGCGCGTATTGAAGAAAAAAATATTTTTTACGCTAGTGTATGGTTCAGGCGGTTCGGAGTCGTGATCGAGGGCGGCGGCTCGTCCATAACGCTGGGCAACATGCAGGCATGGCTTTGAACCGCACACATCTGGCCTGCGCTTTTTTGGGCCCACATCATGCACATCCCGCCACATACCTCAATGCAGAACAACAGCACCAGCACACAGCAGAGCCAGCACACGGACACAGCCATCAGCGAGATGGAGCGCAAGATCCGGTTTGCGCTGGAGACACTGTCGCAAATAAGCGTCTCGGTCAGCAACTACGAGTCGGCAGACGAGCAGGTGCTGCAGCAGCGGGTAGAGAACCTGGTGCGCAGCTACTCGGAGATGCACGCAATGAAGGAGTCGCTGGACGCCAACATCCCGATGGAGGTGCTGAATTTCATCGAGGACGGGCGCAACCCCGACGAGTTCACGCGCAACTTCACAGAGCGCGTGGCAGCTGAGAACCAGTTCACCAACGGCAAGATCTCGGCGCTGAGCAACTTCAAGCAGGAGTTCGAGGCTCAGCTCAAGGAATCCTTCCCCGAAGACGCAGCAAGCAGGCTGAACAAAACATGAGCCTGGGTGGCCGAGAATGGTTGGCGGTTTACGTGATCGAGGGGTCCAGTGGAGGGCAGGCAAGAGACGCTTGTCCTGATGGAAAAGTTTTTTTTTTTCTGGCTCCTTTGCCTTTCTAACGCAGCTCGCTTTCGTACATTTACATTGCAAGGCAAATAAAGACGGCTACAGCAGAAAACTGAACAGCGAAAAATGTCGGGCTCATTCTTTGGAGATGGCTTTGGGCAAGCGGACGACCCGATAGCGAGGGAGCGCGCGGCGTTCTTTGCGCAGGGCACTGGCGGCGACCTAGATGCGCGCCTGGAATCGCTGGCGCTCAACGACAATCTGGGCGACAGGCTTGAGGAGGATCTGGACGATGTCAATGACCAGACATTTGACGCCGACGTGGGCGACATTGCCGGCAAGGAGTTTGACTTTTACCAGAACACGCTGGCCAACCAGAGCAAAGGTGCCTGGCCACGCACCCATGGTGCCGTTCCCAGGAGCCAGCGCTCCACCCATGCAGACCCAGGCGCCGGTGGAGCCACGTGTGCGGCGCGGCCTGACGCTGGCGGAGCTCGAGTCGCAGATGGCGCAGCGGGCGACACCGGCACCGCAGGCCGCGCAGTCGCTGCTGAGGACGCTGACAGGCGGCGCCCGAGGTCGTGGCCCAGCGGAAGCAGGCAGAGAGAGGACCGCATGGCAGAGCTGGCGCGGTACGACAACATGATGACCAGGCATGACAAGGACTACATTGTCCGCATCCAGATCTCGCAGCTGCTGACTGACGACCCAGCCGCCTGACGACTTCTACTGCCACATGTACCAGCTGTCGCGTGGCGTGCGACTTGGCCCGCCCGACGCGCAGCAGAGCACCCGGCCGTCGCAGTCGCCTGCTACGCCAGCAACCCCCACCGGCGCGCCGCAGCCCGAGCAGCAGCCCGAGCCGCAGTCCGAGCCAGGCAGAGCCAGCAGTCGAGCCAGGCGGACAGCCCACCAGGCGTCCGACACCACTTCGCGCGGACGCACCGCAGCAACACGCAGAGCTCGATGGCTCGCATGCAGCAGCAGGTGCAGCGGATCGTGAACGAGGCGCGGCGGCGGCCCAAAGCGGCGCACGTGGCACCCGAGGGCGCCCTGGGCAAGATCTCGGTGATTTCGGCCCGCAACCCGAAGCAGGTGATCCAGGTTGCGCGCCAGCACGCCGGCAGCGTGTCTGCCCACGACCGGCAGCACTCGCCGCAGCCCGGCGATCTGGGCGGCATCTTTGCCGGCCTCGGCGACGCACGCAACCCTGCGATCGAGCGCCGCAAGACGCTGCGGTCCATCGAGAGCGTGTATAACGCTGTGCTGCGCATGGAGCAGCTGATGCGCGAGCAGGTGCGGACTGCCGGCCAATGCCGACCACCCGGCCGTACACACCTGGCTGGCGCAGTACAATGCCGCCAAGGACATTGCCTGGAACGAAATCGAGGCCGCCCAGCCCATCTCAAACACGTACCCGCACGCGCTCGTGCGTTTCCTGTCATTTGCCAAGGGCAAGCGCATTATCCCGCGCCTCGTCCACCACCTGAGCATCGACCAGGTGCTGGCGCTGACCACCACCATCATTGCGAACTTTGAATCCCTGGACGTCTGCCGCTTTGCTACCTACAATGCCGGTGCAGCCGCCGCCAAGCAGCGCGAGGAAACCGACCTGTTCATGCAGGCTGTCATGCCGCCTGCCCTGGCTTTCCTCGCCGACACCTCCTTGCAGATCGTCAACGGCCTGTTTGCGCTGTTCATGGAGCGCAACAATGTCGCCTGGGTGGCCCGTACAAAGCCTGCTCTCGGATTTCTGTCCATGTTCCTGGGCCGCACCGAGATGCTCAAGCAGACCATGCAGTTCCCGTCTGCAGACAGCCCCGAGCTGTACCAGGCCGCCGAGCTCTATAACCACCTGTTCCAGTCGCTGCGCGGTGGCTTTGTCGCCATTTTCCCTCCTGCGCAGCAGCAGATCGACCTCCATCAGCCTGCGATGGGTCTGATGGAGGACGTCCACGCCTGGCAGTTCCTCGCCACCCTTGCCATCAGTGCATCGGTCGACCAGCAGCATGTGCTGGTTGCTGAGGTCCGCGAGAAGGTGCTCGAGAAGGTCCAGCTTGCCAATAGCGGCAGGGTGCCGGTGGAGATTGCCGCGGCGCTGACTGCCAATGTCAACTTGTTCCTGAATGCCCTCGGCCTCGATGCCTCGCAAGTGGCCATGTAATGTGGAATAGCCGCTCTCCTCTGCACTTTTATGTAGCACCAACCTAAAAAAATCATAAACACTTTTATGCATTATGAGGATATCGATGACTGATTCAATGCAGGTCACGGCTGTGGATACTGTTCTAGCCGCAACCTGGGTGTTGTGTCAACCTTTTTATCATTAGTTATCGTCTACTATTACTGTTACCAGCGGCAGAGAATACCGCGCAGAGGGCTAGTTGCGGGAAGTTATAGCTCAGGGCTGTGCTTTTCAGTTACAATATCCAGCAATAGTGGTCATATGTTGGCTTTTTATTTATCAGCTCTCTTTCTGCACCAGCTGATAACTCGTAACAGTAGACGCACCACCAAGCGCGAGATTATTTTGGACAAGGCAACCTAGAATACTTTTGAGCATTGGGAATACAGACACAAAGGCATAAAGAAACAGCTAAGTCACGAATAAGAGGTAGTAGGATGGCGAAGCTATTTGGACGTCTTGAGAGGTGGCAACCGCACCTCAATAACTCTATAGTAGTTCGCATTGCCTTCGGGGAACGTCCTCATACCGTCAATGCCAGCGAGTCCTGGCACGACATTGCCAGCACGAGCGTCGGCAGCCACCGGTGATTGCGCTTTGGTCGAAGCCGCCTTTGTCTGCTGCCTGCGGCTGTGTCGTCGAGGACTGACTACTGGTGCCGGTGACAAGGCCGGCGCCGCTGGGTTTGACCGCAATATGAAGCACAATCGACTTTGAGTCTGGGTTCAGACACACAGCCTTGTGCAGACGCACAACGCTCAGCAGCACGCCCGTCTCCATGTGCCTGATCTCCAAGAACTTTGGGTTGACAGCGACCAAGTACGGATAGCGGAAGGTGACTAGCGTCGGACGCATCTCCCACCGCACAAACACATTCGGTCTTGACCGTCTACCAAAGTTGTCAATGAAGAAGGCAAATTCCTCGTAGCACAGCAAGAACTCTTTGCCGACCTTGCACACTGCCAGCGCCTGGCCACTGTCGAACTGCGCAATAAACGAAAAGTCATCGTCCAGTGCATCGGGGAGAGAGCGCAGAGAAGCACCCGTCTGCACATCGACAATCTCAAAGTTATTGGCGCCGACGATGCACAGTTTGCGACGCAAAAAGTGGACCTTTTTGGTCTTGCCTGGCAGACTGAAGTCGCTGATCAGGCGCAGGCTTGCGCGGCTACCTTGATAAACAACACGCAGCGTGCGGACAGCAGGTTCTGACGAGTCAGTCTGCTGGTCGTTGTTGCTGGAGGAGCTGGCGCGGCGGGCAGAAGTGGCCTGCGACATCGGCGGCTGCAGCCTCAGGAGCAGCGGCGCTATCGTTCATCGTACGGCTGGATGCACTTGAAATGCGATCGGCTGCCACGTGGCTTCATCAGTACAATCAGCGGCGTACCCACATATGTACCCACGTCAAAGAACCCGACCGACGATGCGATCTTGGTGCTCGGCACGCTGCCATTGCTGCTGGTAGACTTTTCGATCGCCGACAGCGAAAACACCAGCAGCGAGGTGTCGGACAGTGCCACAACCATGTTGTACTTTCTCAGCACATGGATCTTCGATATGGATGTCGCATGTGAGACCCGCACGAATTGACGTTGGCACGCCATAAATTCCCATGAACATACCGTCCTTGTTGCCAAACAGAATCATCTGGCAGCCTGTCGACGACAAAAACGGTGCTGAGCAGGTAGGTGCCCGCCCCGGCACAAAGTCGCGGTCCGACAGGATGCGCGTCTCCTGTATACGCCTCTACCAGCGTCTGCGGCACACACACTCTCCTGTGCACAGCTTCGATCCATGCGTCTCGGTCACTCACCGAGCTTGCCAGCAGCGTGCGGCACAGCGTGCGGCATGCAATATGTAGAAATGTCAACGGCGCCCGCCCGCTGGCTGTGGCACCAGCCTGTCCGTCCCTTCATACTTGAGGATGACGGCGTATGACGCATCAGCGCACTGCGGCCGGTCTGCAAGCCGAACACTTCGCGGATTCCCATGAGGGCGCCCGTCTCAGCAGCAGGCACAGTGGCATCGAGCATGGAGATCGGGATGATGCGCTCAGTCGGCAATGTACCGGGAGATACCCTTGGCGTGGGCCACTTTGCTTTCGGTGGCCATGATCAGCGAGTTGTCAAACAGGAACACCAGCACTTGGCCGCCCTCGGCAACGCTAAACACGCCTTCCTTGATCAGCCGCCGGGCCGGTGCGTCGAGGGCCAGGCTATCGCGGGCACTCTTTGACAGTTCAAGCCGCTGGCTGATCTGCCGGATGCGGATCGACTCAGCACCCTTGCCTGTGCGCAGGTCGATTTCGTCCAGTGCGCGCTTGACCTTGTCGACGACCTGCTTCAGGGCCGTGACGTCGGCAGTTTCCCCAGATCGCTTGATAATGGCGTTGATTAGGAGCGGATAGCGAGCAAACCGTGTGGCCGGCCGTCCAATGAAGCTCTGGATCGGCAGGCGCCTGGCTTCAGGCGATGTCTCGGCCTGTTTCAGAAGCTCAGCCATGGGTGGGCTGCGCAGTAGCTCGGCTTCGAGCTCGGCTTGCGAGATCGGCACGTGTACCGAATACTCAATGAAGTTCTTCAGGTGCTTGTTGGCCCACTCAAGGAAGATGTCACCGATCTGCTCGACCATGGGCGCCTGCGCCTGCCTCTCCGCCAGTCCGCGTGCAAAGCTCACGTGACTGTCGCTGATCAGGTCGCGGAAGTTGAAGAACAGCGTATCGATGAATTGCTCTGCGCGCTCCCTCTCCATCACGCTGCGGTCGGCCATCAGGGGCTGCACATAAATGGCGTCAATCAGCTCCATATCGCGCAGGTAGTCGTGCTCGGTCATAATTAGCTCGTGAATTGCCTCTTGCTGGTCGATCTTGGTCTGCTCAAGCTGCTGCAGCAGCTCCTGCGGGATGGTATCTCGCCACAGGTGCAGCTGCTTCCCAACGCTACCGTACATGTATCCGTCGTCGTCGACAGCAGGTGCTGGCACGGTCAACAGAGTCGCGTCCCGATCATGATCATGTCGTGGCCGATATGCGCCATAGTGAGAGCGGGCGACGGGGAGCTGCTGGAGCCCAGTGATGTGCGGTTCATGAAGAGCGGGAAGCCGACCGATGATGCACGTGTGTGCGTGTGCGTGGCAGATGTGGATGCGTCGGGGTTATATGGCTCGGGCGTTGTGTACTTGCGCATGGACTTGACGTGGCTCAGGCCGCTGGATGTGACTAGCGAGTAGTACTTGGATCCGCTGCCTGTGTTTGACAAACCCTGCTGTTTCTGCTGATCGTCAGCGTCTTCGCCCTACACTAGCAGCAAACGAAAACGACCCCAGGTCCTGCGCTACCGGACTGCCTAACCGCGATAATGGCGCTGACGGTGGACCACTGGCTGAAGTAGCTGACGGCGGACCACCCGAGGAAAACGTGCCTTGCGGGATGCTGAGCGGTGTCAATGCCTCATCATCGCGCTTTGCCAGATTTACATCAATGGCGTCACTGCTGGCCACACCTGACTGGACGTGTGCTCGATTCACTGACGTTATTGCTCATGATCGGGATGATCGGATATCCCACTGGGCTCGCGCGTCATTGCTGGTGATTGGTACACGGACGGGCTGCTTTCGCTAGCACCCTCGTCAGACGTTGGCCGGGTCGAAATCAGTGCCGCTGACTCGGAACCGCCATCCCGTAATGCCTGGAATGTAGCTGGCCGTGGCACTTGCTTTGCGCTCATCAATTAGGGCCTGGGACTGAGTCGTATGCAGCTGTGTAATCGCTGGCTGCCCTTGGCAGACTGTTTGTGTTATGTACAACGGGCAGATCAAATGACCTGGCCGGCGGCAGCTGGTTGGGCGCCTGGCGCGGCGTATTGAACTCATTCGCTATGGTAATATCTGATAGCCTGGGCGAGTTCTCCACCACTGCCAATGTGTCGCGGTCGTATGGGAGCGGAACCGAGGGACGTGCAGAGCTGTGACGGCCGACATCCTGCGACTCACGGAATGTTGTATCTGATGCCGCGTCGCTGTACTGGTCAAACAGGCTGGGTGCCGATGGGTAGTGGCGCGCAGAGCCCGAGAACCGGCGCGGGTTGTTGGCTTGGTCCATATTATACACAGCCCAGCCGGCGCCGTACCCGCACTGCATGCTTCGCCCATCCCTCGCTATCGTCATCGCTGGGAAGTTCGTCATCAAGGTCGCTGTCCATCGATGGCTTGCATTTGATCGACGAGTCGGGCGAATCCACAGGCATTGTGCGGCGACGTGGGTCGGCGGGATCGGCCAGCCGGACTGTGCGGCGGCTTGGGCGTCGATGGCACTGAAGCGCGCAAAACCTGTGAGCGCGAGCTCGACTGGCAGCTCTCGCTGATAAACGACCACGAGTTCAGCAGGCCCTCCAGATTGCCGTCGGGAATCTGCACGTTCTGCAACGATGACGAGCTGCCTGTGTTTCCCGAATGGCTCGACTCGCCGCTCTCCCGGACGCTTGGCGACAGGCACACGGTCGTTGGCGTCTGTGGCACAAACTCGCGCTTCGTTGTCTCGCTGGACGTCGCCCTGGTCACCAGCGTATCTGACGGCGAGTGCACGTGCGCTGCGACCGATTCGCTATGTGCTTCATCCTCCGATCCACTTGTATCGACCGGCGGCGGCAGCGGCATATTGCGGGCTATTGCGGGCGGGTTGTCTGTGGCATCGCGGGAAGACGGAATCAGCACGTTGATTGAGGCTGGAGTGACGCGGGTTGCAGCGGTTGGCCGCACTGTGACTGGCCGCACTGCCTTCAGCTGTGCGGGGATGGGCGTGCGCGTCCGGTCGGTGCTGTGGATGCTGTTCATTATGACATGCGCTTCAGACGTCAGCGTGTAGACTTCCTCGTTGCTGTCTACGACGCACATATCGCCAAGCCCACTCGACGGCCCCGAGACGTGCCGGTATAGGCTGCAGTCAATGAGCCGCGACGCCACATTGCAGGCAAGCTTGCGGTCCGGCAGCCCAAAGTGGCCCTTGATAATGTCCTATGGAGTCGAGATCTGTTGAGTACATGTTGCCCATTGGGCAGACGCCTCTCAGTGCCCAATGTGACGGTATGCAAGGGCATTGCTATTATTGGCATGAGCTGCATGATAATGCCGATCAATCACCACCAACCCTCTTCCTCTATAATCGGGGCGCGGCAGACACCAGGCATGCACAATAAAGGCATGAACACCTTATCCCGGTCGCGGCTGTAGGCATCAATCCATGACAGCAGGGCGCGAACAATAAGCCCGAGAATTTTCCCTCTCATCAATCGCCGGTGTCCCTGAGCCTCCCCCAGGCCACCATGGGTGTAGTGCGCGGGGGAGAGAAGGAGCGAGGAGACACCGGCCTGCGCGAGTGCGGGAAATTAAAAAAAACCCCCTGGGGTGTTTCTAAAACCCACAAATAAAACTGTGGAGAAGAGGCCACCCAGCCGAGTGGACGTGAAACTTACAACAATCTGTGTGCCTGTAAACACCGAATGGTACCGCTTCCCGTCCACGTCAAAGTCGCCGAGCTGCAGCTTGCGCAGGAACACCAGCTTGATCTCCTCGGCCGGCGACGCCAGCTTGCTCGCATCCGGGGTATCGTCAGACTTCTTCAGCCAGTTTACGAACGGCGATGTCTTGTGTCGCCGCCCGTGGCTGCCCGACTGAACCCTGGGCGATGGTGGTTGTGGTGCCATTAAGAGTATAAGGTATTCAAGCCGGAAACAAAAATAATATGTAATACTAATAGAAAACGAAAAACGAGAGAAAGGGGGAAAGAAGGTGTGCGAGACCTACTCGTGGGTGGGACGTGTCTGCTAACGAGGAGGGGGTGTAACAAAACCCGACAAGAGCCAAGCAAACAATCGGTGTCACAACAGTTTTTTTTTTCTTTGCTGCGTTCCCTAAACGACGTCTTCGTTCGCAGCCAAAAAAAAAACCAGTATGACAGCAAAGTAATCTTGACGCGGGAAAACAGAGTCCTCTTCCCAAGCACCAAGAAGAAACCTTTAGGACAGAGACAATTAGCTGGGTTCTACTGGGAAACAGTTAGGACTGATGGTAGAGGCACCGCGCAGTAGCAAGGGAAAAAAGAAACAAATTTCGCCTTGTCGAACCTCACCCTGCTTTGCATCCACGGGGCGGGGAGGGGGGTGTTCCTAGGCATTCGCCATCTGCAAGGCAGGAACTCTGCTGCATTTCCGAGATGCCGACCGCGACCCCCAAGAGCAGTATTTGCATTACAAGACCCGCTTGTGCCCAGAGCTGTCAGACACACTCTTTTGCGCCGGGTGTTGCATCATGCCCATTATCCCACACGGCTCGCCCTCGGAGCGCTCGCCAGTACCCAGATCTGCGGTTACACATTTGGAGCTCAAGACACCGGTTCCCTTGAAATAGTCCCAGTAGAAGAAAAAAACAAAGTCAGATGACCAAACAGGAAACAGTTCAGGATCTCTAGTCGACCGGCAGCTTTTCAAGCTTCCGGAATGATGGCCTTCCAGATCTCGATGCTCTTGCTGTAAAACTCCATGTGCGATGACGCCAGAGCCGCAAAGGCACGCTTGAAGTCGTGCTGCTTGACCAGCCCAAACACCTCGTACTCGCTGGCCACCAGCTCGTTGAAAGCCAGCGAGTCCTCGTTGCTGGTCTCGACGGCGGTCTGCAGCTCCTTGATGCGCTCAGTAAGGTTCTGGATCCGCTGCTGACGTGACACCTGCCGGATCGACGCCCCGCAGGTCACGCACCTTGCCGCGGATGAAGTTGGTCACCGCCGAGACGCCCACAGCTGACTGGTGGTTGGCCAGTCGATCGCGCTCTGCGGTCGTCTGCTGCAGGTACTCGCTCAGGTCCTCGAACTCGGCCTGCTTCTGGTCGCGCAGGCGCAGCATGTCCTTGTACGCCTCGCAGTACGCAATGTACTCCTCGATCTCGCCCAGGAACAGGTCCTCAGTCTGGTCTGCCAGCGTCTTCAGCGCCACGTGGTGCGCCTTGAGCGCGTTGCCTGACTCTACCAGCGCCAGCGTCATGCCCGTCTCAATGTCGCCCAGGTCAATGAACCCGGTGCCCAGCTCCTCGTACGTCTGGTGCAACTCTTGCTGGCGCTTGGTCACCCGCAAATACAGTTTCTGCGTGCGTGTCAGGTTGTCCTCAAGCCGTGCGATGCTGTCGCGCATCTCGATGAAGCGCTCGTCGCGCTTGCGCACTTTGCTGAATGTGTTGAGCAGCGTGTCGCCGATATTGTCCAGCACGCCGTTCTCGCTCTTTGGCTTCTGCTCGTATTCGGAGCTCCAGTCCTTGGCCTCCAGGAACACAGTCAGGTGCTTGCTGGTCCGCAGCATCGGGTGCAGCCCAATACGCTTCAGGAACCGCTCCAGCCCGTGCTGCCGCCGCAACACAAACTCTTCGCTGAATCGATCGCCGGTCAGATACTCTAACCGGTGCTTACCCGGCAGCGGCGGCACCACACACGACACAAACTCCTGCGTCAGCTGCTCGTGCAACCACGCAAAGTCCTGGAAGCGTCGCCGCAACGCATACCGCCGCATCTCTCGCGTCGCCTGGTTCGTGCGCACCGTCTTCACTAGGTATGTGATGAATGGGCTGCTTGTGCCCTCGCCCTCCTTGCGCGGGTCGGTGACTGTAATCTCTGTCTGCACATCTGTCATACTGTCGCCGTTGGTTACCGAGCTGCGTCTGTTGCTGGCATCACCTGAGACACCACTCCTATGCCCTGCTGCTGACGTCGATGCCTCCTATACAAATCACGCATGGTGTTAGTAGGAATACTGTGCCAAGCCCTTCATGCTGCATAGTGCATTATAGTGCTTCTTTTCAGTGCAAAGGCATCGCAAAACACTGAAAGACAGCCCTCTCTTTTCTTACCCCACTACTGAATGGTGGGTCGAACGACGCCCCTGCTGCTGCCCCCTGGCCAAACGAGCCATCGTGGAAGTCTGGAGGTACCCCAAAATCCTGCGATGCGGCGTCACCAGGAAATGGCGGTGCCTGTGTGCTGAGAGGGGGACTCGATGCTGCTGGGCCGCTCGCCGCCGTAGCCTGCTCGCCGTCGTCGCCAGCCCGGGTGTCCCAGACCACGCTGTTGTATTCAGACTCCTGCATTGCGTATTAAGGAGAGTAGGATTGCGAACTTCAAAATGCTGCGAATGAAAGAGGAAATAAAGTGGTGAAAATGGTAGCTTTTAGCAGCAGAATTCGGAGCCTGCCCACAGCCCGCATTTTTCAGCGGACGTCACACGCCCACGCTGAGGCAAAGAATGATCGCTCAATCAGCTGATCAGTAATCTGTCCCCTTCCTTCACTTTTTGGCGCTGATAATCATCGCAAACCATGCGTCGCAGACCAGCAACACCACTTTTGTCTCTCTCTACTGCCCCTTTTCACACAAGTATAGCACAAACGATGGCGCTACGCTTATGCTCGATCCCCATGCTTGGTGTGCGGATACCGCACTGGACCTCAGCACCGTTTCTGCGGCGCTACTCCTCCGCGGCACTCAAGGGCAGCGAGCTGGTGGGCAAAAGCAATCTGACGCCGCGTATCATCGAGAAGCTCAAGGTGCTAGAGCAGAAATTCGAAGATCTCACTGCACGTGTGGGGGGCGATACAAGCCAGTTTGGCCGTGGCGAACTCGACAAGCTCTCCAAGGATCTCAGCGATGTGGGTCTGATCGTGCTTCCATTCAAGAATCTGCAGCAGCTGTACGCCGAAGTGATCGATCTGCAAGACATGATCGAGAGCGACTCGGCAGAGCTGCGCAAGATGGCCCAGGAGGAGCGCCAGGAGGTCATACAGAGCATCACGCAGTGCGAGTCCGAGATCATTAAGGCTCTGCTGCCAAAGGACAAGGCGGAGAAGGCTGGTGCGATTCTGGAAATCCGTGCCGGCACTGGCGGCGACGAAGCATCGCTGTTCAGCGGCGACCTGCTGCGTATGTACGAGCGGTATGCGCAGGCCCGGCGATGGAAGTTTGGAATCCTGTCAAAGGTTGAGGATGGCGACAAGGTGAAGGAGGCAGTGGCCGAAGTGTCGGGTCGCGGTGTGTTTGGTGCCCTGCGGTTTGAGTCGGGCGTGCACCGCGTGCAGCGGGTGCCAGCGACCGAGAGCCAGGGCAGAATCCACACCAGCACGGTAACTGTGGCTGTCCTGCCGCAGGCAACCAAACGTCGAGATCGAGATCAACGAGAAGGACCTGCGCTTCGAGGCCTTCCGGGCGTCAGGCAAGGGTGGCCAGCACGTGAACACCACAGACAGTGCTGTGCGAATCACGCATATCCCGACTGGCATTGCCGTCGAGAACCAGCAGGAGCGGTCGCAGCTGCGCAACAAGGAGAAGGCGATGCAGATTCTGCGCGCAAGGCTGTATGAGCGCGAGCGCCAGAAGCTAGAGAACGAGCGCCGGGCTTCGCGCAACAAGCTTATTGGATCTGGCGACCGGTCGGAGAAGTGCAGGACGTACAACTACGCACAGAACCGCGTTACCGATCACCGCGTCAACTTTAGCCTCTATGATCTCGAGGGCGTCATGAGCGGCCAGTCGCTGCAGCACATCATTGACCAGCTCCGGATCCAGCACGATTTGGACGAGCTTGCCGACATGTAAAACCTTTTTATAATAATAGCTGCTATCTTTTACAGCTGTTGTAATACGCGTCTGGACGTACTGCGCTGCTGGGCGTATTTCGCGGGATGATGTCTCAGCCAGACAGACTATTCTCACTGCTACTGTCAGCAAAAGTGTGGAGAACTGCCGGCCATATTGTATCACACTGCAGACAGGCATTTGTCCTAAACCAATGCTCTGTTTATTGCAGCTGTGAAAGATCCGGAGAAGCATGTGCCCCACCACCACTATCACCACCGGCCAGATCCTCTTCGGTATATATTGCCGTGGCAATATCATCACGATATGCAGACAAACACGCCCAACACCACCCATCGCGCTCATTTCCATTTCTCCTCCTCACACTCTGCACACATACAGCTCGCGCAATGAAGTATCTTCTCTGTCTCGTCCCTGTCACAGTGCTCGGCGCCCTCGCCTCGGCCATGAACGTGCTGAACCTGGATCCCTCCGAGTACGATATTCGCGAGGTCCCCAAGAACCTGAAAGATCTGGCCGAGCACAACGAAGGCAGTCTCTCGGTAACCCGGCGTATCACGTCCGTGCGCCCCGGCGACATGATGCAGGTGACCTTTGATATCCCGACCGATAAGCGCAACACGCCAAACTTTTCGTCCCTGATCGCTGCTGTCTACAATCCCAGCGATGGATCTCTGGTGCATGTCCTAGGCAAGACCCTGGCTACCCAGGTGCAGGGGCTGAAGGACGCAGAGTTCATGGGCGGATCGGGTCTCAACCTGCATATTCCGGTCCGCGGACTTGGCGAGGTGCAAAAGTTCTCCATGTTCAAGCTGGCACTGATTGCTCCTGAGAACGAGTCGACCGGCCAGTGGAAGACGTACTCGGCAGACACCATGTTGTTTGCCTACGACGGCGGCCATTAGATCCCACCTTGACATGCACCATATGGCATTCTACATTTTCAAAACACTTTTCCTCAATAGACGATATACAGTTTCTGCCATGTCCCTGACGCTGCTCTACACGCGCCCCTCCCATGTCGCAAAGATACATTTATTCTTTTCTAATCTTTTACTCTTCTACTTGCTGACAGGCTCCGCCGAGCGGTGCAGCTTCGGGTACAGCGGACGCGGCGGCAGCAGACCCGCGCGCTCCAGCAGGAATCGCACGCCATCCGTCGGCTGTGCACCCACGCCGAGCCAGTATTTTGTGCGCGCAAAGTCCAGGTTCACGTGCTTGGCGCCCTCCTTCTGGTCCGGGTGCGGGCTGTATGTGCCCAGCCGCTCCAGGGGCTTGCCGTCGCGCCGCGTGCGCGCATTGATTGCGACAATGTGGAAAATGGGCTGGTTCCGGAGTCCATGCCGGGCAAAGCGAATGCGAACTGCCATTGTTAACTTGTCCTTGCAAACGCCTGGGCAGTGATTATGAAAGCGAAACGGAAGAAATTGAGAGGCAAAGAATAAAAGAAAAGGCGCAATGGCAAGCTGGCTGGTGGATCGAAAACTGCAAAAAAGATAGGCTCGCAATGGCGCCCAGAGGCAGTCTGATTACCGATCAGCTGATCCGGAGATCATACCCATACAACATGCAGCGCGGCATTTGCAAACATCAACACACAGGATGATGCGCGTCCTCAGCAAAAATCCGGCAGCTTCAACCATTTTCGACACATAATCACACACAACGCGGAGTGAGCAGCAACCACATAGACATATACATAACGGAAGCACCTGGGTGATCATTCGATATACAATGTTTTTCCACAAGGAGCTCAACCACACAATCACCCTGCACCCGTCGTTCCTCGGCCCGCAGCTGAAGACGTTTGTCACAGACAAGCTGTACCGTGATGTCGAAGGCACATGCACTGGGCGGTACGGCTACATTGTAGCGGTGATTGCCATCCTGGATATCAACATGGGCAAGATCCTGCCTGGCACCGGCTCGGCTGAATTCGACGTTCAGTACTCTGCGATCGTGTTTAAACCGTTCAAGAATGAGGTTGTCGATGCAGTGGTCAGTACAGTCAACAAGATGGGATTTTTCGCTGACGTTGGGCCCTTGCAGGTGTTTGTTTCGCAGCATCTGATTCCAGCCGATATGGAGTTTGACCCGAACGGCAATCCGCCATCATATCACTCAGAGGAGCAAAAGGTTGAGAAGGGCACGTTGGTGCGGATCAAGATTGTCGGCACACGTATTGATGCCACAGAGATCTTTGCTATTGGCACTATTAAGGAGGACTACCTTGGTGTCATCGAGTAGCCAAAAATGGAAATATCCTACCAATATACGAGTACCTTCTAACGCCTCTATGATGTGCTTTAGTTGCGTCGACGAATATTAATGAATAATGCAGATATTGATCTACTACGATATGCCAAGCATCATTTAAATATGGTGTCAACGGGTATCCCCATGGAATTTACCCTCGTCCGAACCACGGTGGCTGAGTATAGGCAGTTGGATTCCCAGAACAGCTTGGGGCGCCATCAGGGCTTGCAGATGATAGTAGTAAATGCACGGTGATATCATACAGAGTATTTTAATTACACCATAACAATTTATTCATGCAGATACATGAACAGCCATTGACACGCTACATAGAATGCTGATTCGTAAGCAGATCAATGAGGTATACTCTAATTATGAAGGTTCCATTTCTTGAACCTGCACTCATGGTCAGCTATGATCCTTCTGACACCTCATTAGTTGGCAAGAGTGCACTATGAAACATACATGCTGCTGATATCTTCAACAGGGATTTCTGTTTCTACATGCTCAGCTACGCTATAAACCTCCTATGACTGTATCCCACCTGTGTTAATGGGGAGTTTCTGCTATTTCCATTATTGAGAGGACAGGGGTAGACAACAGAACCAACTACAGCGTTCAGCGCTTGTAAAACAGGGACCCGGTGGTTGGCAGGCACCGCTCCTGTCAGCTGAGTGTTGGCGACAAAGCGGCTGGCAAGAGGGAATGGCAGCCACTTCATGTGAATGTCTCCTGTTCCGGGCAACACTTTGTCCTGGGTGCTTGCCGTCACAAAGCCAGGTGCGAAGAATAAGCGAAGAGACGGAAGTTTCGCTGTTGGCACCTGGCTTATGTATGCCTCTGGGCCTCAGCTTGTCTTCGGCATTCACGATTGCTGCATTTCCTATTGCGGTGCTTCACATGGCATCCCAAATATTCACTCACCACCCTCCTTTCAAAAGCCAGCCTGCGATCGCTGTGGTGGAGGACAATTGCGCTTTGTGCAGGAGAGAGCGGAAATCCGCCTCCAGCTGTCTACATCCCAGCCGTCCTTGCTTCAGCAGCTACTTCTTGTGCCAACAATAGGCCGGTGCAGAGCGGGAATCGTCGCTCTGTTGTCCCCTTTGACATCTGCCTATCTTCAATTTATCGACCGCCCTTGCGTTGCTCAACCAGAACAATGGCAGAGATTGGCGACACCGCAACACTGTCGGCTACAGAGAGTTGGCGTGAAAGAGTGTAGACGCAGGATTGGCCGATGCTAAATGAACTAGCTGAAAATGCGCACAGGCACGCTTCAGGGCTGCCACCACCCCTCCAAAGGTGTGTTCCATGGCACCTGAGCGGGCAGTCCTGCCTGAGCGAGCAAGGTGCCCAGTGCAAATCACAGTTCTATTTTCATATTAAGCATTCTAACATGTACTAGGCGTGCAACATCCAGCTCATATCGGAACTGCACCACACCTGCTGGAGCAGGTACTACCCCGCTGCCGACTCTGGGCTATGGAGGTGCTTAGTTCGTATCTTTGAAACTAAAATTTGCCATAGCTGTGCTCCCTGTTGCCAGGCTCATTTCTGCTTTTAGCCAAGTGCCAGTGTGTCGGAAAATGAAGGCTCCCTTGCCATCCTTTCCATCCAGCGCTCCACAAGAACACACAATGCCCGCTGCATATCTGCTGCAGTGAACACATGCACCGTCCACTTTTGTGAAGCAAAACAGGTCCTCCAGCGCAGGTACCAGCTGTTCACAGTTGGGAAATTAGAGTGTGGGGTGTGCTGAGCCGCTCGGTGCTCGACACAAGGTGACGAAAGATTTGGTGTTAATATGCACTGTTGGCCAACCATTTGCAGTTGTCAGAAATGGAAATGGGCGGTGCCAAGCAGGTTTTCAGCTACGGAATGTCAGAAAGCATCGCCAAGAGTGGTGTGTTGTTCCTTTGTTCATGTGGCCTACTCCCTGTCTTCCCAAAGCCAGAGGGCATCCGCTCTCTATTCTGGCTTGCTGGGTGCCTGCTGACACAAAACCCAGCCATCTTTGCTCGATTTCTTCTAGCAAGTTTATGTGGGGCACCAGGTCACGCCTGCTCGGATATGCATTCTTTTCTCCATCCACTTGCATGCAAACTGGCTTGCTGAGGGAGGGCGAAGGGCAATTTCAGGCAGGGTTGTCAAAAAAAAGACAGCTGGGAGGCAGACAGCAATGAAATCGGGTATTTAACCATAGAACTGGGCGATGGCCGAGCTGCTCCTCCCTTTCCACTCCTCACCACCACCACCACCACCACCACAAACCCACTCCAAGCAATAGCTCTTCCACCTCTCCTAGCTTATTCAGCACCCTTGTTCTAACCTTTGGACAACCTTTCACCTTTCACCCAAGTGGTTGCAATGGATATTGACCAGGCCGACAACCAGCTAGTAGTAATCCCCCAAGTCGACATCGCCGGCCTGTGCGCATCGTCGCTGTACCCTGGCTCCACCTATATGGAGTACACCCGCATTATGGACTTTGCCAAGGCAAATCCTCATCGTGCTAGGGAACTGCCGGACTCTGCATTTAGCGTGCTCTTCATCCATTGCCGCGTTGAGGACGAAGATGCAGGTCCTTTGTTAAAGCTCAAGTATCCTCGCGAGTGGCTTCTCAACCTACAGTTTCTCATCGACCATGGAAAGCTAGACCTGGTAACTGAGGTTCGTGTAGCTATGTACGACGAAAGTCAGCAGCTGCTGGAGCTAGATACGATTTTGAAGGACATTGCTGTCGATATCGGCAGGCCACTTCCAAACGTGCACTCTATTCTCTATCTCGGAAAAGGCATTTTCACAGCAGGGCAGAACCAGACTATCAAGAATAGAAAAAGCGATGCAGAGGAGACTGTCAAGCTCATCAGGCACCTCTTCCCCCAGGTGAACGATTTGAAGTATCACTTGTATAATGCGTGGTTTTTGTCGGTTGGGCATACCACCCTACCTGATGATGCTAACCCGCTCTATGAACTCACCTTCGAAGCATGTGTGGAACAGCTGGAGCATCTCCAGCTTCACAATCCTATCCCGACAACCATTACCAAATTCCCTGAGCATGTCGTCTCGCTCTCTATCAACGCCGATTATGTTCGCGGACGTCCTGACCTGCCTCCCGTTGCTACCGACTGCCTTAGAGTGCTCTACCTTCTAAACAGCACTGACGTCTTCCCGTGGCAGCTGTTTAGGACATCCCAAGGACGTTTCGTATTTGACTGCCTTGAGGAGCTGTCGTTGCAGTTCACCAGGAGGGCTGACAATCTTGTGGCATTCCCCGGCGGCAACATCCATGTCAGTTTCCCCAACCTGAACACGCTACAAGTTTCTGGTGCGTGCTATGTCTACCACAACCTCTATGCGTTTTTCCAGGAATGTAGCATCACTGCTATGCAGATAGTGGACAAGCCATCCGACTTCAGCAGCATCAACCAACACACATTGGAGGCTGTGAAGCGTCTGATAGTCGGTCATCCCTTAGGCAAGGTATCTGACAATAGCTACTCGTCGGCTTCTGTTGAACATCTATTCATGCTACCGGCCAATATCGAGAAAGCCAAATTCACCTGGTTTAGATGGCCGTTGCCTCTGAACACCGCATGGATCAATCTGCGCGACCTGTCGTTCTCTGCAAACATTGCCACCAAGAGTATCCTCGCCAATCTGATTGTGCAGCTTCCGGTGCTACAGCTACTCAACATCAACTGTGTGACAATGGTGACGGATAACGTTGACAAGACAGTGTTCTCAGATGAGGTATCCCGGATCACCAAGTTCGGCCAGATTCTTGATCCCCTTGACGACTCATCTATCAGCGACAGTGTCGAGGAGTTCGAAATCATGGTCCAAGAAGTATTCGACATCGAGGGGTTTTGCGAGCTGATCTCTCGTCTGCCGAAGGTATCGAGGATCAAGGTCCACCCTCATTGGGTCCAAGACGTCCAGAACACACTTCGCCATTACTTTGAGGTGACACGCATCATCGACATCTCCGCCTACCCTCAAGTGCTTTGATTTCCTTTTACTTCTCATTTGTGCACATTTTAACCCTCAGAGCTCTGGTCTCAGGTGGCTGAGGTTTGTTGTCAGAGAATAACACCGCTGCTCCATGAAAACATGTGTTTGGTCGACAATTCAGCCGCAAAAAATTGACAAGCCATCGATTGTACCAATGCTATACCGATGGACCGATGGTCCTAACTATTAGGTGAGGCTTGGATGAAACAGTTCGGTTAGTCCAAGTGCGCTCTATCAGTATCAACGTTGCTTGTGAAGAAAATAACGGTGTTTTGAAAATATACCGATAAACGTGCATTTAAAGAGCGAGGAACAAAAGCTATTTAACTGCGCCATCAGTTCTGATGCATGTCATAGGTGGCATTTTCAACAACATTAAGATAGTAGGTACCTACGGATTGAAAAGGCAGATTGCCATTACTGTGGCTGGCTTAGTGAAGCAAAGTCTACTACTCTCTATGCAGAGAGATACAGTGATAAAATTGCACTAGTCAAATTAGCCACTGGCATGCTCAGGTATAAATAGGCAGTGCATCGAATCTGGACGAGTGTGCCTTGCAAAAATCTACCATTTAACTATTTCGTTCAAACACGCCAAAAACCATGGGTTCTCCGCCTTCTTACCAGCTGATTTCGAGACAGTGCAGATATGACCCTGTTGGAGAAGATGGTGGGAAGGCATTTGAATATTTTGATTAACAAGATATTCATTTTAATGTGCACCCAGTGATGACGGCACTTGTGCTGTCAACATAAAAGCTGACAGGGAGCTCTCAGGTACTCGTGCTGAAAATTATGGCCAGTTGAATAGCATTGTCCAAAAGGAGTCTCGCGCACGCGGCTATAACTTTCTCTTCAGGTTCAATAAAGCTGTTCATTCCCTTTGTTTTTTGCATATGCCTTCCATGCTTTGCGACAATAGGACCATCATCTGTGGCTATGAGGGCTACCTTGCAAAGGTATCCGCAACTATATACTGCTTGGACTCATGGGAGTATAGTGTTGGCTATATATACCAGTGTCCCTCAAGGAATGGGCTTAGGCGAGAAATATACAGAACATGTATCTGCTCTAATCGCCCTTGACCCGGTACTCCATGTCTGCTTTTACCGCTGGCATGGGCAACTACTGCCAATAGGCCAGTAGCAGAAAACATGCAGACAAAGGGAGGTGTCGCTGAAACATTCAACTATCCAGGGCATAAAAATGTAGCAAGGAAGACACGCACCGTGGTCATCCAATTACCTTTTGCTGATTATCCACCCTTCTGAGATACACATCAACTTTCGCCATAAAAGAACAGAGTCCGCCATGAACGGACTTCAGACCTGCATATTCCGTATCTTCGTCATAGTTATTTAGTGCCTAGTTTAACGGACTAAGATAGTGATGGTGGCAAAGCATCTGGGGTCACGTTTTCTATTTGGTTGAATTAGTAACAATTTTACAATTGGGTACAAAGTGCAGCCCGCTTTTACAAAACTCTCCAAGTGACATACAACTTCCTTTTTGAGACACCGCTAATAGCTAAATAGATGGTATCCAGCGCTCAATTGCACCTACTTTTTATCTGCTCCCTAGGTTAGGGATCGCTGGAGGCACGACTCTGGTTGAGCCACCAAAACAGCTTGCACCAGCAGTATTTTGGATTGGTTGTAGGAACTCTTTTATCCATGGCAGCATCAGCGTGTGGAGCATGTCCGTATTGCGGATGTGTGGTGTCCGCTGTATTAGGAGACCGCAGTTGGGGTGCAACCTCGGAGAGTGATGCAATTAATAGCCAGCACTTTTGCTGATTCCAAAGCATGATCGAAACGTCGGCCATAAGGCGCGAGATCACAAAAATCGCTGTCTGCTGCCATCTTGATCGGAGACCAAAAAAAAACTTTTTTCGTGTTTTACCGACTGTTTCAGATCTTTTTATGCTTAGAAGCTCGTTCACTAGGCTTTTTACTCGACCCTTCACTCGACAAACCCTCCGCAGTCAAACTACCTTTAAAACAGCCATGCCCAAGACTATCGGAACGCACAGTGGCACCTTCCACTGCGACGAGGCTCTGGCCTGCTACATGCTTCGCCAGCTGCCCGAGTACAAGGACGCCACCATCACCCGTTCGCGCGATCCGGCCACGCTTGACGCGTGCGATATTGTCGTCGATGTTGGCGGTGTGTACGACCACGAGAACAAGCGCTACGACCACCATCAGCGCGGCTTTGACGAGCAGTTCTCTGAGAAGTTCAAGACCAAGCTCAGCAGCGCAGGTCTGATCTACAAGCACTACGGCAAGGACGTGATAACTGCTGTGCTTGAAGGAAAGGTCAGCGAGGTCGAGGCCGAGATCCTGTACCAGAAGCTCTATGAGGTCATGATCGAGGGCATCGACGGTATCGACAACGGTGTGTCGCAGTACCCGGAGGACCTGGAGCCTGCATACAAAGAGTCGACAAACCTGTCGTCGCGTGTTGGCCGCCTTAACCCGTGGTGGAATGAGCCCGAGGGCGATATGGATGCGCGGTTCACCAAGGCTATGGACATGGTCGGCGAGGAGTTTTATGGCCGCGTGCGCTACTATGGCCTCGCGTGGCTGCCGGGCCGCAAGATTGTCGAGGATGGAATCAACGGCCGGTTTGATATTGACCGCAGCGGCCAGATCGTGCTGTTTGATCAGTTCTGCCCGTGGAAGGATCATCTGCACACGATCGAGGAGGAGATGCTGGCCAAGGACCCAGAGGCTCCTAAGATCCTCTACGTGCTGTACCCGGATACTTCCAACGCGTGGCGTGTGCAGGCTGTGCCAGAGAAGCCTGGAGCCTTCACGTCTCGTCACCCGCTGCCTGAGGCATGGCGTGGTGTGCGCGACGAAGCTCTGTCGGAGCGCACTGGCATCGAGGGATGTATCTTTGTTCACCAGGCCGGATTCATTGGCGGTAACAAGACCCGCGACGGTGCCCTGGAGCTTGCTCGCAAGGCGCTGACTATGGACTAGGCGTGTGCTCATTCTGCTCCTCGGATCCATAACACTATTTCAAAAGATAAAGGCTATCAATCATTCTCGCAGCGTGCCGCCAATGTAGATGGAATATGCTTAGCTTGTATCTTTGTGTATGTTCTATCATTGAGAGGCAGCTTCAAAATGTCAATAATCAAGGGAGCCTTGCTCGATCTCAGCGGCACACTCCACATTGACAAGGTCGCGACACCCAACGCAGTCGCAGCGCTAAAGAAGCTGCGTGCTGCCGGCGTCAAGGTACGGTTTGTCACGAACTCGACCAAGACCAGCGATGAGCGCCTCTACGCAAAGCTGACCAAGCTTGGATTCGAACTCGACCGAACTGAGATATTTACATCGCTGAGTGCAGCCAAGCGACTGGTCCAAGAGCACAGCCACCGGCCGCTGCTGCTGCTAGAGGACGAGGCTCTGGAGCAGTTCACCGATATCGACCAGTCGGAGCCGCACACAGCCGTGGTGCTTGGCCTCGCACCATCCAAGCTCGACTACGCCAACATGAACCGGGCCTTCACCGCACTGATGAACGGAGCAGAGCTGATCGGCATTCACCGCGCCAAGTACTTTGCATCGTCTGAAAACACGCTGTCTATTGGCCCAGGCGGGTTCATTGCTGCGTTGGAGTACGCGACAGGCAAGCAAGGGGTGCTTGTTGGCAAGCCCAAGAAGGAGTTTTATGAGCTGGCGCTCAGAGATATCGGACTGCTTGACCAGCCTGGATCGGTGGCCATGGTTGGCGATGATGTGCTGGCTGATTTAGGCGGTGGAGCACAGGAGCTTGGGCTCAAGCGAATCCTGGTTCGTACAGGAAAGTACATGGCCAACGATGAGGCCAAGGCCGAGGTCCCTCTGGACGGCACATTTGACACATTTGCCGATGCTGTCGACAAAATGGTTAGCTGGTAGCACTACTAGACTTATGGCGCTCGCGATGCGAGCTCAGCTACTCTATTTTTATTAGTCCTGGAAATGGATGTCGTCTAAATGGCTGTTTTGGAGCGAGTCGAGTGAGAAACTCACATCTCGTCTAGCAGCGGAACAAGATGCTGGACATAAGGTGAAATATGCTCGGTGTCGAGGATGGCCTCGAGTTGGGCAATCGTCTGCTTGTTGTCCCATGTGTTGCTGACCCATCGCCGCAGTGAAGGCAGTCGTGCCATGAACCACGCGTGCTCGATTATGTAGCTGGGATCCTGCAGTAGGCAGTGCGCGAATGTAGTGTGCAGGTACACAATCGATGTGCTAATCGCATTGTACGTCTCGGGGGTCCTGCCATCATCATATGAGTCTTCAAGCAAGTTGACTGGGCCAGCAACAAACACCATTAGGTGCAGTTGTCGCAGACACTTGAGCTGTCGCAACAGCTTGATCAGATGGCCACGGTCAGCAATGGCGTTGATTGTGAGCTGCTCTAGGCGCTGCAGCAGCACCGTATCCGGAACCGAAAAGTACGAGACCATCGAGTCGGAGAGCAGCCCGTTGGTAATGAAGAACGGGTCGGCGCCATTGAGCTCCAGGTGCCGGACTGTGCTGTCGGATATGAATAGCGGGTGCGCCCACGGCTCAGAGTTTTGGCGGTCAGAGTACGTCCAGTTGCCAAAGTTGACGCCCAAGGATTCCAGTGCTGTCATTTTCGAAATGTCAAGCGGCTGGGTGCCGTTGTTCTCTCGAATGCGTAGCTCCTTGATCTGGCCGAGAGGGAACAAGCTCAGGTAGTCCATTATATCACCCTGGTACCCAGTCAGCTCCAGCCGCACCAGGGCCGGGAATGCGATACTGGTAAACACACTGGTGTCTGGCAAACTCGGCCGCTCAGCCTTGTCATTGATGTGAAGCACAAGTGTATGCAGGTTTTCAAAATGCAGCTGGTTTTCGAGCTCGCCGTAGAAGAAGCCAAGCAGCATTTTCGGATGTAGCGATGTGATCTTCAGATACTCAATAGTTGACGCGCATAATTTTGTACCAGGAACCTGGTACTTCCGCCCATTGACCAGCATCCCCAGCCTCCTCAACCGCGGCAGGAACTTTGTGAATGTGACCTTTCTAACCGAGCAGTCGATGAACTCGATGGTCTCGAGCGTGTCCATTTTCGCCACAATAAATTCTTCGAGCACGGCCTTGGTAAACACATAGTTGCATTCGAACTGGTAGACGACCCGGGTCACACATGGAAGCGCCCTGGCCAGTGCCAGATTGAGCCGTGTCAGAGCCTGGTCGGAATAATTCTGCACCTTGATGTCCTTATTAAGCCCACCCAGCAGGTGCAAGGTGGTTATTGTCGGCCACTGCTGGTCAAAGAACCCGATGCTCTCGAGTTCCTGATGCGCTTTGTCGGGGGTCAGCTCAGAGACGAAGACGAGCAGGAGTTCGTGCGCGGCATCGGAGCACACATTGTCGATTATTTCTCCGATGTTTGTCTTGATCTCGCACTCGTCCTGTGTGTCTTGGCCCCTGCTGTCGATGCTAAAGTAGGCTTTTTTGTACAACGCGGCGCGCGCATGGTGTCTGAATGTGCGGGATACCGCTATGTCGGGAATGTCAAGGCCGGCCTCATCACAGTAATGGTACGGGTAATTGCGGCCGCCTTCGCGGAGGTACAGGAAGACCCTGGCCAGCATATCTGCCGGCAGAGACTCGAATGTTGACATGCAAAGAGGCGTACAAATAATGCAAGAAAATAATTTTTGCTTGGCACGGGTTCAGGGAGAGAAAGGAAAAACAAGCTGATTCAGGAACAAGACGGCTGGTGCATGAGGGGAGGGGATTTATACCTGACAGCTGTACAGGATGCTGGGTGTGGGGGAGAAAAGGCTTATTGTGCGTTGATTTTCCATTGCTGGCGTGCGGCGATCAGCCGGGTATGCAGACGGGACAGCAAGGAAGCCCCGGGCGTCGCGGCTGTGTTTGGCGAAAGCCCCGATTGACCAGAGACCAAGCGCACAAACCGCTCATAGATAAGAAACGCACATTTGGCCAATAGGTAGTGCACATCTCTATGTGAATGCCAATCGCCATCCCGATCCCCAGCCTTTCTACTGGCACCTAGGTGACCGCAGTCTACCATAGTCTACCTGTGGCGAGATGGTACCTTCCTGCTTCTACTGGGTCTCTGTGCGTGCTTGTGGATCATTGCCACGCCATTCGGAGCAGAAGGCAGATCCACGGTACGCGTAACAATCTAGTCCGGGGAAGGCACTGCAAATTGCCGTGTTGTGGCGGGATTTCAGATAATCTCATCACGCACATACTTTGGTACATGGGCACATATATAGTCGGCGGCCCTGTAACCGTGGGATCAATTGTCAGTGCGCGCATGAATGGAGGAATATGTATTAGTAGAGGGCTGTGAGTGCCTCCCTGAAGAATGACGCCATTCGAAGCCTGGGTTAGCTCAGCATCTCTGGAAAAAATACTAGTTAGGAAAGTCGCAAATTACAGAGTACATGGGCTACAGCATTTGGGGATCTTAGAGCTGAGCATGCTCGCCCTTGATCAGCTGCTGGATCTTGCCCGACTTGATGGCCGCCAGGGTATCGTCGCACCCGCCAATATGGTGGCCCTTGACGAAGATGTTCGGCACCGTGCGCTGCTTGGTGAGCTCAGCCAGATACGCCTGGATGTCGGAGCCGTTGGCCTCCTTATCGAGCTCGATAGCCTTGAATTCGACGTTGATGCCCTTCAGTGCAGCCTTGGCGCGGTTGCAGTAGGGGCAGTAGCTCTTCGAGAACACCATTACAGCGTTCTCGTTGATAAGCGGCTTTACGATCTTTGAGATGGCAGTCATGTCTACTGGCTGTGATGCACTGGCGCCCATATAGGTTGGAAAAAAAAGTCAAAAAGTGGAAAGGAAGGGAAAGGAAGGGTTGACAAGAGTCGAGTTGCAGCCAGAACGGCACAGAAGCAGTCTTGGTCTCCCTTTTATCTGAGCAGCAGACCGCGATATTTGTAATCCAATCACGCTCATGTGATCTGGTCAGTGAGCCGTTTCCGCCAGTGGCCTTCAAAAGCCGGGCGCCGGGGTGCGACCACTGACGACACTGCTCTCCGTCTTGTTTTCTTTCGACACGCAGTTCCTGGCACATCCTTTTTATATTTCTTCGGGCCGATTAGTAATAGACCTTCCCCACCAGCACACGCAGTCTACGGATATTATACCTTGTGTACCACGCGCGCCAGATCATGTTTGGATGTATTGTGGCTGGTCGGCTGGTGCAGACAAACCTGCGCCAGGTTGACGTGAACAAGTACGTGTTTGAATTGCCCGAGGCGCACCTCATTAACCACCTGGTAGTGTTCCTGCTGGGCACAATCCCGTTCGAGCCCGGGTACGCAGCCACTGTGCACCTGCTGTGGCCCAACAAGGACTGGCAGTTCCTCGGCGTGCTGTCCAACGACAAGCCAAGCGCGATCTTCCGCCTCAAATCGACAATATCGCCCGAGGAGGCAGCGCAGATGCCACATATGAACGCCGAGCTCGGCATCTCCATCGAGCCAGTCCAGGCGGTCGAGCAGGAGTTCCAAAGGGCGCGGGGCACGTCGCAGGCAGTGGTGCCGGCGGGACAGCAGGTGTCGCCGCAGACAGCCCAGGCCTTTGCGCAGAAGACGCTGGGCAACCTGTACGAATATGCGATGTCGTTTGCGACGCGCGCCGACTCCTCGATGGGATTGATCGGGTCTGGCGCCCCGGTCCAGGTTCTGCCGACAAAGGTGTTTGACGACTGGTACAACAACCTCCTGCGAAAGATCCGGCGGGATCCAGCAAATTCGATGAGCATGTGAAGTCCGCGCTAAGAAAAATAATTGTTTATTAAATGTTTCAACGGCTCCATAACGCGCCCACAAGGGCAGTGCAGACGACACCTGGGTGGCAGGGTGCGCTTTTTTGGGGAGGGGATATTTCAATTGGCACTCCTCTCAAAAACCGAGCCTGGAGGCTTCGTTTTGAAGTCTCTGCTCACTCTTTTTTCCTCGGATCCATAGCTCTGTGCGGTAGCTATATCCAGCGCCAAGGAGTTGGCGTTTCATGTACGGGGGAGGCCGCACACCAAAGCCGAGGTTTATCACTCGGCGGGCAAGAGCTAGCCGCTCGCACTATATCCCCGCCCGCCGCGTTTCATGCCCTCGCAACATCCACACCAATCGCCCCAAAATATGAGATTTCTCGCCACGCAGCGCCCGAGCGGAAGTGGGCTGCAGCTTACGCTCAGCACAGCGGCATCGCAGCGCAATTGTCCGTAGCCTGCAGCAATGCGAAAAGCAGTCACACATGGGGGTGAAATTGTGGTACGGCCCAAATGTATTATAACCTCGACCAAAAATGTTTTTATACAGACTACAGCACCTTAAAGGCGGTCGCGCGACCACTGGCTCTCGAACTTGCCATTCGGGTCCATCAGCTTCACGTTCTCGGACTGCTTGACGTGCAGCCACGGGTACGGGTTGTTCTTCTTGTCCCAGACGACCTCGGGGTTCTTCAGGGCGCGGCTGGCAAAGTATCCGCACACGCCGAGCGCGCCGACACAGATGCCGTAGATGGGGATCAGCTCCGAGCGGTACCAGTGCTTCTTCAGGTAGAGCTTAGTCGCGTTGGTGAACATGGCCGAGTGTGTAAAAGAGTATGAGAAAATCTAACTGGGATGGGAGAGAGAGAAGAGAAGCAGGGCGTGCGAGGAATGGCGGTTGGGGAGAGAGATGTTGAAGGAACTCGTCGCCTTCTATATATACGCCCGCTGTTCACAAGCCCAGCGCTACAGGGAAAAAGATAAGGATTCCTGCTGGCAGGCGTTGAAATGGCTGTTGGTTGGGTGGGTGGGGGAGGCGCGGAACGAGTCGGATTGCCATATACGAGCTTTTTTCATACACCTACGGGAATTTGTTATTTGCGGGATGGCGTCGATCCCCAACGACGAACAGGCTCGCACTAGCTCGCAGTGCTAGCAAACCGAGTCACAGAGCCCCAGGCGCAGACACGCCAACCACTCCTGCTCTGTAACACCAGCCGGTACATGGGACTCTTGACCAGTTAATGCCGAGCAGCAATCGCGGAACGACGTGTGCCGCACAAGTAACATAGCCACGGTCCGCTGCTTGGCTGTAGGATTAGCAAATGTTATGAGCAGAGGCTACACTGACAAAAAAGCCTCGAGTGCCTTCTATGAAATTGGGTACCCAACTACCCAGTGGTCGGGCAAATGACGGGGGCGATGCGCAGTCGACAAAGTGCTTCCGCCACGCCCGAATCATGCCGCCAACTCCCGCGGCACACATCTGCCTGCAGTCCTGACACATGCCTGACACATCGCTGACTGTCTGCCAGCATGCCGACGACTATCTCGCCGTGGTCCTGGAATTCCGGCCCACGCACGCGCGCCTTGAGCTCGCATAGCTCCCGGAGAACGTCTGGTAGATCGGCGGCATCGGCGTCCGGCAGCTGCGCCTGGGAGTCGGCAGACAGCAGCGAGCAGTGGGATGCGGCTACATCACGCACAATGTCCTTGAGCTGGTCGAGGCGGGCGTTCGGGATCCTGTCGTTGCGGCTCAAAAGCGCCGCTGCCGCCTTCCCGGCCCGCCCGATCTCGGGGCGCTCCTCCCACCCAACCCCATCCAATGGGGCGCCAAAGCAGGCTGCAATGTGCTGCTTGAACTTGATCGCACTGCGCTCGTACGTGTCGTGGCACTTCATGCATAGCGGCAGCAGGTCATACGACGACCGCGACTTGATTGCCTCGGGCATATATTGCCGGTACTGGTATGGCACGATGTGGTGCTGCGTCAGCGCCTGCGAGGATCCGCACACCACGCACTTGTTCTGCATGTCCTGCAAGTAGAACGGCTCGTTGCGCCGCCCGTCGCCTTTGTTGGCGAATGTCAGCTGGATGGTTTCCGGGTCGATGCGCTTGGCCAGCCCGCGGCTGAGATACCAGTCCAGGCGCTTCTGGCCGGCACGGAACAGCAGCCTGCCGGAGGAATCGAGGACGCGAAAGTTTTCGTAGATGGCCTTTTGACGCGGAAGCATTGGTGAGGTGAGAGGAAGGGTTGGGGGTGAGGCTGGGGAGTGCATTAGCTGGAGGCTTTATCACTGGGTATGTGGCGGTGATATTATGCCATTGGCCTGAACTCGCCGAGCAGACGCCAGCACTTCACAGATGTGTGGTTGTGGTGGAGCGAATTAAAACTGTTTTTTACATTGGGAGCAAGATTAACGGGGGAGGAATTAGGCGGTTTAGATTGGGTCCTTGGCCAGGATGTGCTGGATGCGCATCACCTCCTGGGCCTGGGCTGGGCGATGGCGACGTGACGCACAGGTTGACGTCCAGCTTGTTGGGCGACAGCGAGCTGCAGTTGCCGGTGATGATGACCTGCACGATGGCAGCAGTCTCCACGTGGTAGACCTCAATGAACGAGCTCTCGAAGGCCAGGATGTACGGATACTGCAGCTTGAACGACGTCGGGCTGCCGACCCAGTGGATCATCCAGTTGGAGCGCGCCCGCTGGCCATTGCGGTTCACGTAGAATGCAAACTCGTCGTAGCACAGCAGGAACTCGCCGTCGTGCACGCGGAATAGCGAAATAGGATGCGTCGTGTCGCGCTTGATTGATGAACCCGAGCGACGTGTCGGCAGGGGTCCAAAAGCGACTGCGTGTTCATTGTTGCCAGATCAACGATCTCGAAGCCACGGCTGCAGCCGACACAGAGGCGCGAGCGCAAAAAGTGCAGCGACGTCGACTCGGCCGCAATATAGCACTCCTTGATGCTCTTCCAGCTGTCGGCAGCCGTGTCGCCGCCAAACGACAGGAAGCGGCCCAGAGACCGGTTCTTTTGGCCGCTGACCACAGGCTTGTAGACGTGGATGATCGTCTGGTTGCTCAGCGTCGTCGATTTGACAGAGCACAAAATGTCGATGGTCGAGATAGTGGCCAAAGCGGAAGAACGACACATGCGTGTGCAGCGGCTTCATGCGCGTCGTCTGTCGACTGCCTGACGTGGCCGTCATCAGCAGATCAAGCGGGTACACATACAGGTTGCGGTCCTTGTCGGCGATCATGGCCATGGCGTTTAGCCTCTCGTTGATCTCCACCTGGTATACGCGGTCGTGTCGCAGGTGCGTCAGCTGCTGGAACGACCGCGGCTTCCCCGAGACACCCAGGTACAGACCGCGGTCTGTGCCCAGGAACAATGCACCGGCCGTGATCGTAGACGTCAGCAGTGTTGACGCGGATGCCAGGCGGGAACTGGCAGGCGACAGGCACCATCTCGAACTTGCGGTGCCGCTCCATCAGCTCCATCTGCTGCTGCTCAATCTTCTGGTACCACTTGTCACGCTCAGCAAGCTGGCTGGCATACAGCGTTACTGTGAATCCGCGACGTCCAAGATGCGTAATCTGCAGCGGGAACGTGTACTTTTTCGCGTCGTCGTTAATCGTGAGTGCAGTGGCCGAGGTCGGTGTCGCGTCCAGAGGTGCTGGCGACGCCTGCTGGGTCTGTGTCGCGACTGTGCCCATCGACTTGGAGCGACCAACGCCGATTGTGCCGCCCGGAGACATGGGCGCGCTCTGTGAATCGCGCCTAGCAGCCATGCGCGGACGCATCGACGTCGGATCCTCGGGGTTGCAGATGGTCAGCAGCTGCAGCGGAATCGGGTGCTTGTAAATGGTGTACTTTTCGGCTGATGTGCTCGGGTCCAGCTTGCACTTGCACATCAGCAGCATGTGGTCGAGCAGCAGCACCTTGATCTTGGAGTTGTCGTTGCCGCCGCGCTTGCGCAGCTCGCCGTCGCGCACCAGCTTCCGCTGGTCGTCAGTCAGCCGCAGATCGTTGCGGTCGCTGGACGAGCACATGAGCATCTCGTCAACATAGTACAGCCGCAGCCGGTTCGATGACTTTCCAGCCTCAATGTTGATGCGCTGCAGCATGGCCTCGATGCGGCTGATGGCATACGGGGATCGCTTCGCGGTCCGGATGCCCCTCAGGCGTGTATTTCAGAACCTCGCGCAGCAGCAGCGGGTACCGTGCCAGGCGGGTAGTCGGCAGGGCCATAAAGTGCTGGATGTTAAGCTTCCTGCACTCGGGGTTGCGCGACGTCTTCTCCAGAAAGTCGACTAGCTTCCTGTTTTGCTTCTTCTCGGCGTCCAAAAAGTGCTTGCTGTACGACGCATTGGCCCCGTACTCCAGATACGGCTCCAGGCGCTGTACAAACGGCGTGAAGATATCGCCGATCTGGTAGCAGATGTAATTCTCATTCTGCCGCTTCTCCAGTGCACGCTGGAACCCAGAGTTCTCTGCCAGAATGGCCAGCGCGTTCTTGAACACCTTTGTGATGAAGTTCTTGCGGCGCGACTCGTCGATGACATCGCTGTTGTGCAATGGCCGCATGAACAGGTCGCGCACTACACACAGGTCGTGGACGTAGTTGCGCTCGCCGTTAAAGATCTCAAAGATGCGCTCCTGGCGGTCCAGCTCCTTGCGAGTCACCGAGGCCACAATTTCCTTGGGCACCGATTTGCTCCAGTTCTTCTCGTTCTTCATCTCCGCAGCGACGTTCTTCTTTGCCGTCTTGCGCAGGTGGTCTTGCTGCGAGCGCTGGCGCGGGCATGTAACGCTGTAGCATGGCTGGCTGCTCGAGCATGTCGGCGAATAGCAGTCGGTCAGCATAACAAACACACCGTTGACCCGCAGATCCCCAATTGGCGCACCCGCCGGGGTCAGAGTGCGCGCATCGTTGCCGTCAATGTCTTCCTCCTCCTCGTCGTCGTCATCATCATCGCCAGCGTCAATGCTCGGCACGTCTTTTATAAGCTGCGCCCGCTGCACATCAGTTTCAAACGCAAACAGCTCGTTCGGGTCATCGCGCAGACCGCCGCTCGTACTCGACGTCCTGAAACAGCCTCTGCTGCGCCAACGCACGACCCACAACCACTGCCAGGTTGCGGTCGTTGGTCTGGATGATCACGCATATGGCATCTACTGCCTCGCGGCCAGTGAAGCACTGCGTGTACTCGAGCCCGTTGCGTGTATGCGTCTGAAGCACCTGTCCCATGACCTCGCTGAATGTTTTGGCCACCGCTGACAGCATCGCCGGGTACACAGGCTTGACGCCCTTCAGCAGCTCAACAAGCTCTGGATTGACTGGCTGGTTCTGGTGGCGAAGAGTGCCCGAGGGTGACACGCCCGTGCCATGGACACGCGGGGATGAGGTGCCATTAGCTGAATCTATATCGTTAGTGGTGTGGGTGGTGTGTCGTTTGGTTAGCGAAGCGTGTTCTCTGGTGCTGGTTGAGGGCACTAGCAGGCTGCGCGACTTTGGCCCCATGGTGGGAAATGGATGCAAAAGAAGTTGAAAATCAAGGCAGCAGAAAAAGCAAATAGTGCAGAAGAGAAAGACAAAAGCAGGGGGAGCGGGCGACATCAGGCGGGTTATCAAGAGAAAAAACAAGAACCCGGTTACTTACCTAGCGCATAGGTGTTGGTGGCGCTGCCGCCAGCAACCTCTTGGACGTTGTCGGACGACTTGCTGTGCTGCTGGCGCGGCAGCTGCATGTCGAGCTTGTATGCAGCCGATGGCGGCACAGCACTGGCAGACATTGGCTGCTGGAGCTATCTGAGAATTGGCTGCACTGCTGCCCATTGACGCCGACCCTGCAATGTCAGTCTGCACGCTGAGCGGGGCTACGCGCTGGTGCTGCTGCTGCATGGCTGCGGGAATCTGTGGCACCGGGTTGCTGCCAATATCGCTGGCCACCGCATTGATCGCCATTTTCATAGCGCCCATGTTCAGATCGGGCGTGCTGCGAGATCCAGGGTGCCCGTTGCGCACTGAATGGGATCCATTGGCGCTCCCGTACCTGTCCATGCCCGGCGGCGGCCCGTACCGACCGGCGCTGCTGGTAGAACGCATTGAGCCTGCCGAAGGTTGCTTACGCAGCTGATTGTGGCTCATGTGCTCCTGGCAGCGGCCTGCGCTGCGCGGTGTACATGGATCCATTGGGGGCAGCACGATAGCCACCAGACGACGACGACGCGCTGCTGGCGGATCTCCCGAGCCGCATGTCTGGCAGACCGCCGGGCTGTGGGCTCAGCGATGCCTGCACGGGGCTCTGGCCGGTAGCGGTTCGAGCTGGCGCCAAAATCCATTGAGCTGTTGCCATTGAACGGCTGCTCGGGAACCATGGCCATCGGCGCATATCGGTTGTCAGAGCTTGAACCAGCTGCTTGAAACGCTGCTTTTGGTTGCCTCGACGGTGGCCAGCAATGTTAGTAAAGTCGCGTTCGCGTTGCTGAGGGTGGATGCCCTGGCTGCCATATGGTGGTGGTGGCGCTGCATGGGGCGGTCTGGGTCCAGCCGGTCTCATGCTTGGTGGACGGTTCATTGGCTGCATTCCACCGCCCACTACCATCGCAGAAGGGTACTGGAAATGCCCAGGATTCTGCTGTTGCTGCTGCGGCTGCTGCTGGTGGTACTGGTGCGGCGGAGGTCGAGGCCGCATCTGCTGGTACGGTGGGGGCGGCTGCTGCTCGCTCATTGCCATGCGCTGGCTGTGCATGTGTTGCTGCTGGTGGTGCTGGTGCTGAGGCCTCCCAGAGTGCTGGACGTAGCTCTGCGTGCGCTGTGGCGGCTGCTCAGCATGAACCCCAACATCAGAATAGATTGACGCTCGATAAGAGCCCATGTCTTGCATGTATGGCTGCTGTTGTGGCGAAACCTCGCGAGTGAATCTCTGGCGCGGGTGCTGCGACCTGTCGGGTGGGTGGTACTGCTGGTGGGGCGCTGCTGCCATGTTGAATGTCGGCTGCTGCTGCTGTTGGTGGTGGTGGTGTTGCTGCTGGATGCTGCTGGTGTTGCTGCTGTTGGGGGCTGTTGCGAGGGATGCGCTGCAGACGCTTTGGAGGGGCAGGCGGCGGCGGCCGATCGAACTCCAGGTTGTCAAGGCCGCTGTACGTGCTGTTGGGCGAACCCAGCTGATTACGCGGTTGCATCTACTCTGATTCTTTAGTCAATGCTGTCGCTGCAAATGCCGAAAAACAGTGTGAATTAGTCCGCGGAGGCTTTACCTTACAAACTGAGAGGGAAAAAGTATTACGGAAAAATCAGTCGAGAGAGGCAAAAAGGGGAGGCGAATGCTGGTACAGCGTGTTTGGTGTCAAAGTTGAGATTTTCGCCCAAATAAACCCCTGTTGTAAAGCAACCAGACGCGCTGAGAAATTGACGGGAAGCGTTGCTGCCATCGGGCCATAAGCCGATTGAGACATGTTGGGCGGCTGACTGTATGTGCGCAAATCGGGCGTGTGGACGGCACCAGCTGACGGTATCCACTTTTTCTTTTCATTGCGCATTCATCGTCGAGCATCTCTGTCTATTTCAGCCATGTCTATCACGCACCGGCAGCAGGAGGGATTCACGCTGCCCGAGCTCGAGTACCTGGCCCAGGAGCGAGCCCATCACCATCGTCCCACTCTACCGGATGGAGCGCGTCGAGCTGGTCAGCGTAAGTAGAGATTGTCTGCGACAGCATCCGCAGAGGGGTTTTTTTGCCGGTATCTCACAAGGTTCCAAGTGTCTGCCGTAGGGTTCCATTGGTCCGTTCAGACCGCCACAGAAGACGTCGGTTCCGCTCTGGCTGGCTGTGCAGCTCAAGCGGTCAAGCCGCTGCCGCATAGTTGCTCCCAATTGGCTGTCGGCCGACCACCTGCTAGAAGCTTGTGCGCAAAGAGGAGCAGCCGTACTCGCGCTTCACCAAGCTGCCCATGCACTACCTGGAAATCGCGCACATCCTCCTCACATGTGCAGAGGATGACCTCATCGAAGCCGCAGAGCATCCGCCGCCTGTTGCAGGACCTGAGAGAGGTCAGGCAGGGCAAGGTCAGGCAGGGTCCTGGCGCTGCTGAACCCGCTGCAGCTCCAGATGGATAACCTGTCCATGGCCGAGATCAACGAGATCAGGCCGGTGTTCCGGACACTCATTCGACATGCTCCGGCAGCTGGAGACTCTGGAGAGAGAGGCCACGGCTCGGCAGCACGAGTCCCAGCCGATGGAGGATGCTGGCGACGATCCGTTCAGCTCGAGCAGCTTTTTACCCGTCCATGTAACGCGCTCCCCTTGTATTAATTTAGATTAAAATCGGCATTCAGCTGCAGCTCTCCTGGCGGCAGTAGTGATCGGACGGCTCCCATTACCTCCCAGGATATCCGACACAGCAGACCTTGGCGGCTGGCGGTTGGCGGCTGGCAGGGCGGATTGCAGGATCGTCAAAACCAGTCACAGCAATCTATCCTTTTTTCGATCTCGCAAAAATGAAGCACCTATTCGCCCGCTCCTTCAGCACATCTCTAGGCCCGTCCTGTCGCAGTATCCGTACACGCTCCACAAGATTGCCCGCCCGCCGGTCGCGCCATCGTCAGTGCCGCGCATGCCCGAGACAATGGCAGCGCTCACATTTGGAGCCCCAGAGAATGCTACCCGATCGAACGTCGTCGGGTGGCTCAAGGACAGCAGCGCCAAGATCGAGCCAGCGAAACTTTGTCGAGAACCCCGACTTCACCGCCAGGATCCAAAAGGTGCTGGAGAAACACGCTCACGAGGACCCGGTATTGCAGGCCCAGGCAGCGTTTCCAGAAGTCGGGCTGGATGAATATCGCTGACGGCAGAAACCCGCCGCCGCTGGGCAGGACGCCTGCCGCCAGAAGACATCCTGGGCGCTGTGTTTGTTGAGAACAAGGTCATCAAGGCCGGCTCCTTCCAACCAAACTTTGTGCACCGCCCAGTGTCGCTCGATGGGCTGTTCCAGCTGCCTGCGTTTCTGCACACGAAGCTTGTGGGCGGGCTGTAAGCCAATCGCTGCTTTTTCCCTCACACAGCGGGTTTCCTTTGCGATGGGGGCGGATGGGCTATTTTTGTGCTGCTCGCCAGGCTCCTCCTCCCAGGCTGAAAAAGGCAGTTTATTAAAATCGCGTTTTTTGGCTGTTCCCCTTTTCCTTCTCCAATACACATTTTTGTTCTTTTATTTCTCTCTCTTGCGCGCACAACCTGACTGCTTGCGGGCACCACAGCTCTTAAAACCTTATTGTACTATCACCAGGACCTTTCTTTTACCCTTAACGACGCATTTCGCCTTCTCTCTCTCACAACTTCACTCCGCTTCTCTTTCCTTGCCACTTGTCCCCCTTTAAACGACCTTTTTAACGACAGCGCGGACAGCACACCTGCGATGGTTGACGAGAAATACATTGGCATGGCGCTGGCCATGTCCTCGAGCTTGCTTATTGGAACCAGCTTTGTTCTGACAAAGAAGGGCCTGAACGAGACCACGTCGCGGTACGGCTCTGCGACCGAGGGCCTGCAGTACTTTAAGAACGTAATGTGGTGGGCCGGTATGATTACAAGTAAGTAACCTGCCCGTCGTGCCGGCGCCAGGCAATGCAGGCCCGCCTGGCGCTGCTGAAAGGCCTGGTGCTGGAGGAGCATGCGCTCTCTTTTTACTTTGACAGGATGCGGCCACGCCGCCCCCTAGCACACAGCTCAATCTCTCCACCTTGCAGCCTGGCGTCTACTATTTTGATGTTTCCCGTGTAACTGACCTATTGTTAACTGCGTTTATCCGCTTCCTTACTAACCCTCCCCTCCCCTTTTCTTTTCTGTTGGGCAATTGTCTAGTGGGTCTTGGCGAGGTTGCCAATTTTGCCGCCTATTCGTTCGCACCGGCCATCCTGGTTACGCCACTGGGGGCGCTGAGCGTTATCGTCGGCGCAGTACTGGCGTCCATTTTCCTTGGCGAAAAGATCAACATGATTGGAAAGGCAGGCTGTGCGCTGTGTCTGATGGGCTCGGTTGTGGTTGTGCTCAATGCTCCGCGCGACGGCGACATCGAGTCTGTCGAGCAGATCATGCACATGGTGGTACAGATCCCGTTCCTGACCTACGCGCTCACATCTGTCACCTTTTTGGTCTTTATGGTCCTGAAGGTTGCTGGCCGCTACGGGCAGCGCACCCCGCTGGTGTACGTCTCCATCTGCTCGGTGGCCGGCTCGCTGACCGTGACCGCCTGCAAGGCCTTTGGAATCGCCCTGAAGCTGACCTTTGCCGGCAACAACCAGTTCGTGCATGTCAGCACCTACTTCTTTGCCGCCGTGGTCGTTGCGTGCATCATGGTGCAGATGAACTACTTCAACAAGGCGCTGGAGCAGTTTGACACGAACCTCGTAACGCCCATCTACTACGTGTTCTTCACGTCTGCCACCATCCTTGCATCGGTGGCGCTGTTCCAGGGCTTCACCGACTCGACGAACAAGGAGCTGGCCTCGTTGTTCTGCGGCTTCATGACTATCTTTATTGGTGTATTTCTTCTTAACAGCACGAAGGGAGATGCTGCTGCGCATGGTGGATGCAGCAATGGACACCAGCCCCTGCCCACCGACGAACCCGAGCGCCTCAGCTACGACACACACGGCCGCCTCTCCCATAGCGGCGCCGCTGCCTATAACATCTCCGATTTCGAGTGCGGCAGTGACGAGGGCGGCGACATCCATATCAACGACGAATCATATCCTCTCCGCGAGCGAGGAAACACCATTGATTCTGAGAAGGGACGTACCCTGAACCGCCGCCACACCTTCACCAAGACCCGCGCAACCGACACCATCGACCTGTCCGAGGACGATGGCTCGCCGTCGACGTCGTCGCGCAGCAACTACGGTGCTCCGGTGTCGCCTGCATCCATGTCGAACGATGGCTCGTTGGAGGAGCTCCAGCATGGCCACCACAACACCACCAGCTTTGGGGATGTGCAGATAGATATCCCTGGGCCACCGGCATCTGCGCATCGCCGCAAGTCGTTGGCGTTCTGCCCATGAAATCGCTCACATCTCCTTTCTTTTTTATATTTCTTTGTCTATATAGAGCCCAACTCCATGTCCTGTTAGCCAGCCCCTTAATGGGCACCGTGCGTCTCTCCCTTTCTCCCGATGCACTTCTGTTCTCAAAGTCTCATTCTATGAACACTACCGCAAATCCTTTGGCGATACATGCGGCCGCATATGGCCTGACTGATATGTCCCCGCCACCTGCGGTCCGAGATAATCAAGGCTAGATCAGCTGATATTTCCCGATGATAAGTGCAGCCCAGGGCGTCTAGGCCAGCTGAGCTATTTTGCGTGCAGGCAAAGAGCTGAGGCTCAATTTGGAGGACGTGGATTCCCTTCTTCGTTTTGAAACTCTCCTTCAATTTTGAATTTCACCACATCCGCACAATGATCTCTGCTGTTGCTCGTACCTCGATGCGCTCCCGCGCCGTTGCCCGTGTTGCCCGCTCGGACCACTTCCACTCGCCGAACGGCATGGTAAGGACACTTTGAGGAGAAATATAGGAAGGCGTGATTTCAGGACAATTTCGACCGGGCTTCATTTGCTGAAACGCACCTTTATCTTCTGTAGCACCTTCCCGTTCGACACCCAGAAGGGCGGCTTCAAGTTCCTGTACTGGGGCTCGTGCGCCTTCTTCTCGTCGCTCCCGTGCATTGCCGCCTGGTGGCAGCTGCGCAAGGGCAACGGCAACACCGAGTACTAAGTCGCCTGCCGCTTATTAAGGGCCCTTTTCCGAGCACTAGACATTCCCGTTTTGATGTAACCCCTGTCTTGTTCAAATACATGATCTGAACGACATAGCAGCGGCTGGGGCGTGGGATGCCAGCGAGACAGTGCTGTATCGCCTAGCAGAGTGTCGTGTATCTGAGATGTATGATCAGCAGATTAACCCAGATAACCTGTGCGTTTAGTTTTTTTTGGCTAAGCATGCCGACTGCTGCCTTCAATTTGAATGCACCGTCTCTCCAACCTCTATCAGCCCCTTTCTCCTCTTTTAATTTCAGCTTGCTCTGCGTGAATTCGCTTCCTCTGAGCTTCCATTCTCGCGGGACCACGTAATCAGAGCGCACGACCTTGAAATTCTCACATTCTAAACAGGACAGGCAGTGAACTGAAACCATGCTTACCCGTGTTCGATCTGCTCCGATCCGGAGCCTCGCGGCAGCGCCGCTTTCGCGGAGCATCCACATTGCGCAGGTCCTGCGCGAGACCGAGGGCAAGTCCGGCCTGCCAACAGACGCAAAGCAGACCGAGGCAAAGGCTGAGGCGGCGGTGGCGACGACCACCGACGAGCCCAAGGTGATCGAAGTGAAGCCGGCAGATCCTTCGGCAGGCCAGCCCTCCACCGATGAGCCGAGACAGAGGTCGATTCGCGCTACCGGCTTCAAGAGGTGGCTGCGCAGCGACGGTGGCAAATACAAGAACGTGATGGGCGGGAAGACGAACTGGGTCGGTGGCACCGTGCCGTTCCCGCTGAACCCGGTGTTCCGCCCGTCGGCGCCGCTGCCAGACACGATCAAGGAGCAGATCTACAAGGACTACCGGGCTGACCCTCTGGCCAACACCCCGCGTGTGCTGGGCGAGAAGTACCAGGTGTCAATCAAGCGCGTCGAGGCGATCCTGAAGCTCAAAGCGATTGAGCACCAGATGATTGAGTACAAGCAGGGCGCGGCCCAGAAGAAGCTGACCGCTGCTATGGAGAGCATGCTGGGTGTTGGAACTGCCAAGAAGCTGCGCGAGGGGCTTGTTACAGAGATGCCTCGGGTGTCTGGTCCCCGATTCCACGCTGTGCCCGAGGGCAAGCCGTTCTCGGCTGCTGATGCCGCCGATGTGCTTGGCCGCAAGCCCTACCAGCATATCATCGACCGTCTGGCCGCCAGCAAGCCCTATGTGATTGAGTATGATGGGCTGGACGAGGAATTTGCCCCGCGTCCCCAGCAGAAGCTGAACAAGAGGGAGGCCAACAAGCTGGAGTCGCTGGGTCCTGCCGAGGACCAGGTTATCGCCAAGGACGAGGTGCTGGCGAGCAGGCGGTGGAAGTTTGTCTTCACGGACGTCGGCAAGGGTCTGGAGATGAAGGACCGCGAGGTGCTGATCCGTGAGACGGACGGAACCCTGAAGAAGGCTGGCAGAGAGTACAAGCTCAAGCGCTACGGCAAGGTCTGGTCCCACTAAATACACTCGTTCAAAATCCCACTTCTCTACAAAAAATATTTCACAGATTCTCAAGTCAGGCTGGGGTGCTGCTGGTTCCGAAAGCGCGGGCTCGTGGACTGGCTCTGATCATATGTTCCGGCTCGGCGAGCACGGAGGAAATTGCGGCAGATTTGCGTTCTGTGTGGAAATGGCCACATGCTAGCATCTCCTGCTCCGACAAACATGGAGCGATGTTCTGGGAATGCGCACACATACGGGCACTTGTAGATCCCCTCTGCCAACAGCAAGTGCCGATATGGCAACAGAACCTTCTGCTGGTGTTTGTGGAAGGCGAAGCGCTTTCAGACTAGTCCATATTGAGATAGAATGACAGCACATGTGATGGTAGCACTCTCACACTATTGCTTTCATACTACATGCCCGAGCTACGTGTCTGCTGTATGGTTTTGTCGACATTGGCCCAGCTATCTGATCACCTGTCGAGTCCCAGCAAACGGCATTACTGTGGTGCCTGGTTCAGTATGACTTTAGGTCGGAAATAGGAACTGGCTAGAGCAGCTGGACTGTGGGTGCCAGGACGAGAATCAATCCGGCTCACATCTCGTTTTTGCGACAAGCATGTTTTATTGCAATTCTGGCAGATCCCCCTAGCCATGCGCCCACATGCTATACATCCACATGCTCGAAATTCGTTTCATGGATGTTTATTCTTCAGAGCACACCGACATCCATTCCCGAGTCTCCAAAGAAACAGGGACTATTTGGGGGGGGGGTATCTAGTGTCTACTATTTGGCCAAACTACAAGCACATGCAACTGTTGAGCGGGATGGACAGGCGGTACATTTCCTGCCACGAGTAAATCACCTATGAGCCCACCACTGCCATGGGCTGCTCACTCGCTAGCATCGGCATGATCCGAGCCACACAATTATTCCCCTCTATTCTCAGCCTGTAAAAGGAGCCAAGTAAGCGTAGGCACTTTTAGAAAACATCTGAGTTCCAAGTGTGTTTTACAGAAACCATCGATTGCAATGTGGAGCACCGTTTATGGCCGTTCGGCTAGAAAACACCAGAATTCTGGCTGTCAACGCCATACAGAATTAGACCAGCGAGCAACTAATCCTCTATTATCGCTTTTATTTCCTTTTGCATTAATATAATGCAGTTCAAGACACTCATCACTGCTGCTGGTCTGGCACTCAGCATGTCTGTCGGTGGCTGGACTGGATCCAACCTCTTCTCGACTATTTTGAAGAACACCGCAACACGCACCGCGTTCCTGAACAACATGGTCAGCTTTGTGCAGACAAACAACCTCGATGGTGTTGATATCGACTGGGAGTACCCGGGACGCGAGGGCAATACCTGCAATGCATATGATCCGGCAAACGATTCAAAAAACATTTCCTCTCCTTCCTGCAAGACCTGCGTGCCAAGCTGGACTCGGACAGCCATGGTGATGAGCTTGGTTCCAGTACCAAAGGTCGTGTTCAGCCTTTCGATGGTCCCAACGGCCCGATGAAGGATGTCTCTGCGTTTGCCAAGGTCACCGACTATATCAACCTGATGCAGTACGACATCAATGGAAACTGGGATTCGACCACAGGCCCGAATGCTCCTCTGCAGTATGCCCCAGGCAAGGGTGAGCAGGTCTCTTCTGAGTCTGCCATTGATGCTTGGTCTGCCGCTGGATGGCCTACTTCCAAGATGGACGCTGGAGTACCTTTCTATGGTCGCAGTCTGACAGCCACCGCAAACATGCTGAACAATCCATCTAAGATGTATGCCCAGTTCTTGCCCACTGTCCCAAAGGGCGACAATCACGATATTCCTTGGGCCGATACCTGCGCCGGTGGACCCGCCATATACTCTGGTAACTGGAGATGCAGGCGCCTGCGTGATCAGGCCTATTCTCAAACCCGACCACTGCAGTGGCTCCTTGGGTTCGCACCTGGGACAACACCACGTCCACGCCTTGGCTGTTCAACCCAAGCACCAGCATCTTCATTTCGTATGATGATCCGCAGAGTCTCAAGGCAAAGGTCGACTACGCTGCTGCCAAGGGTCTAGCTGGCACCATGCTGTGGAGTATGGAGATGGACTATAACAACGAGCTGCTGGATGTGCTGAACAGCTTCCCTAGCGGCGGATCTACCACCACAGCGACTACCCCAGGAACCAGTTCCACGGCAACCCAGCCTGGAACTACCTCGGCTACCAAGAGTGCTACCACTGGTGTTCCTCCTGTGACCTCGTCTACCTCGTCTGCTCCGGCTACCAGCTCCTCAACCAATACCGGTGGACCGGTTGCTGGTGGACCTTGCAGCACTGGTGGTGCGTACCAGTGTGCCGACACCACTGGCAAGAACCCGGCTTACTTTATCTGCAACAGCGGTGCCTGGCTGGCACAGTCCTGCGGTTCAGGAACTGCATGCTTCCAGTCTGGACTTTCGATTTATTGCAACTGGCCCTCGGCTTAAGTGCAAGTAAGCTGCACAGTTCGCAACAGATGGTTGCTAGCTGGAGAGAATTCTAATAAATATCCCTCTGCTGAACCTCTTCATTCTTGGCCATGATAAAGGCAGTGGATTGAATACAAATTTCGCTGTTAGCAAAGTTGGACGCTATGAAGCATCGATTTGTTGCAATGTGCAATGCTGCCAACATGACAGGCTCTGCTCTCGTTTTTCATAAGATTACCGCAAGCCTGTTTCAATAGCCACCATGCATTGGCGGTCCAAAAGGCTCGCTTGTTTGATCTACACCCCTGTTGAAACTCCAGCTGCAAGGTTCAATTACAGTGAGCAGACAGATGGAGACAAAAGCTGAATGATAAACTGTAGTTGAGGTCACGCTGTCCCATGCATTTCCGCTATTTCTCCTGAATGCCCTCTTTACGCGGATTCAGGCTTATAACCATATTTTTCCTAGATCGTGCCTTGGCCGGACCCAGTCTTCTCGGTGCTTTAATGGCCATCTATCCCGAGCAATTCACATCCAATGGTATCTCCGGGGGCATCAAACGGAGTTGATAGCGGGCATCTTTACGGGGTGGATAGAAGCCAAGCACATGTGGCAGATTGCCAAGATATGGTAGACACATTCTTCTATCACACAGCTGGATAATTAGATGGATGCCTTCTCTTCGATATCCAGCTATAATTCCCAACCGCAGAGGCCTATATAAAGTGTAAGCGAGCCCGCTCACATTTTCACTCTCGCTACAACACAACCTAGTTAACATAATCTGTCTTTAAAGCACCTACTACTCTGTCCAATCTATAATGCAATTCAAGACGCTCATCACTGCTGCTGGTCTGGCACTCAGCATGACTGTCGGCGTTCTAGGCCGTGCCAACGTCGTCGGCTACTATCCCAATTGGGTTACTATGCCTTCTTTGACTCTATCCAAGTACACCCACATCAACTTTGCCTTCGCGATTCCTAAGGCTGATGGTTCCCTGAAGTACGACAACCAGTCTGATATGCCAGGCCTTGTCACCAATTTCCACAACGCTGGTGTTAAGGCTCTCATCTCGATTGGTGGCTGGACTGGATCCAACCTCTTCTCGACGATCCTCAAGAACACTACTACTCGTACTGCGTTCCTGACCAATATCATCAACTATGTGAAAAAGTACAACCTCGATGGTGTTGACATCGACTGGGAGTACCCTGGCCGCGAGGGTGATACCTGCAACGTATACGATCCGAACAATGACACCAACAACTTCCTCTCCTTCCTGCAAGACCTGCGTGCCAAGCTGGACTCGACCTTTGGAACGCGTGCCAAGCTCATCACCATGGCTGTCCGTGTCGAGCCTTTCGATGGTCCAAATGGTCCTATCTCTGATGTCTCTGCGTTTGCCAAGGTCACCGACTATATCAACCTGATGCAGTACGACATCAATGGAAACTGGGATTCGACCACAGGCCCGAACGCTCCTCTGCAGTATGCCCCAGGCAAGGGTGAGCAGTTTTCATTCGCCACTGCTATCGCTGCCTGGACTAGTGCTGGATGGCCAGCTTCTCAGATGAACGCCGGCATGCCTTTCTACGGCCACAGTACGACAGCTTTGTCAAACATGCTGAACAACCCGTCCAACATGTATGTGCAGATTTCGACGACTGTCCCCAAGGGCGACCAGGAGGATGAGCCGTGGGCCGATACCTGCGCCGGTGGACCTGCTGTCTACTCAGGTGACTGGCAGTACAAGCATCTTCGCGACCAGGGTCTACTCTCTAACCCGACCACTGCAGTGGCTCCTTGGGTTCGCACCTGGGACAACACCACGTCCACGCCTTGGCTGTTCAACCCAAGCACCAGCATCTTCATTTCGTATGATGATCCGCAGAGTCTCAAGGCAAAGGTCGACTACGCTGCTGCCAAGGGTCTAGCTGGCACCATGCTGTGGAGCATGGAGATGGACTATAACAACGAGCTGCTGGATGTGCTGAACAGCTTCCCTAGCGGCGGATCTACCACCACAGCGACTACCCCAGGAACCAGCTCCACGGCAACCCAGCCTGGAACTACCTCGGCTACCAAGAGTGCTACCACTGGTGTTCCTCCTGTGACCTCGTCTACCTCGTCTGCTCCGGCTACCAGCTCCTCAACCAATACCGGTGGACCGGTTGCTGGTGGACCTTGCAGCACTGGTGGTGCGTACCAGTGTGCCGACACCACCGGCAAGAACCCGGCTTACTTTATCTGCAACAGCGGTGCCTGGCTGGCACAGTCCTGCGGTTCAGGAACTGCATGCTTCCAGTCTGGGTCTTCGATCTATTGCAACTGGCCCTCGGCTTAAACTATTGACAAGCTTTCTTAGTTGACGAATTTGTGATACTGGTCATTGCAGACCGAATATACCACTCTTGTCATTGCACATTATCTCCTATTCTTGGGTGTACAGCGTGGTGCAGTAGGTGAAAATAGAAGGCTGGATGCATTCAGTTGTGTTAAGCACCGACCGCTGAAGGCACCAATATCCAGACCTGACCAGGCCACCATCCAGGCAGAATACAATCCCTCCTTTTCATGATTTTCGTAGAACCTTTTCTCGAAGCTGCCATGCGTACAGACCTGATCTCCATGCTCATCCACTTTGCCACTGCGGAATTGGCATTCCTTGCGAATATTAGCGGACAGCACAGATGCAGCAAGGTATGAAAATCAATGGAAAAGTGGTAGCTATCAGAAAGGAAAGGGCGGACCGTTCTCGAGGTCACGCTGTTTTGTGCATTTTCGCCAATTTTTCCTTCGTAAATGCATGGGAACACAGGTGCAATAAGCATATTCTGGCCAGTCAGTATCCTGTTTGAATCCTGTTGCCTCAGCATTTGTATCTATCCAACATCGGCCCTTTCCAATCCTACAGCAAGAACGAGGATGCCGAACGGAGCAAATAACGGACTTCTTTACGGCAAATAGAGGTGAAAGGGACCGCCAGATGGAACCATGTGGTGATTGGCCAAGGCAAGGCAAGTACTCTTCGCTATCTACGGAGAATGATTTAGTAGAGTACCTGATAATACCTCTACACTTCCATTCGAGGCAATATATGCCGGAGACAGGCTATATAAACCGCCTCCTGGACCACCCGTCAAACAACAACCACACCAAACAACAACCTAGTTGATCTCGTCTTTTTAATAGCCTTATAATTCTAATACCTTTACTTTCAACGATGCAGTTCAAGACACTCATCACTGCTGCTGGTCTGGCACTCAGCATGACTGTCGGCGTTCTAGGCCGTGCCAACGTCGTCGGCTACTACGCCAACTGGGCTAACATGCCCGCCCTCACTCTTTCCAAGTACACCCACATCAACTTTGCCTTCGCGATTCCCAAGGCTGACGGCTCCCTTCAGTACGACAATGTGGAAACAATCCCTGGCCTGGTTTCTGGTTTCCATGCTGCTGGAGTCAAGGCACTGGTGTCTGTCGGTGGTTGGACTGGATCCAACCTCTTCTCGACTATTTTGAAGAACACTGCAACACGCACCGCGTTCCTGAACAACATGGTCAGCTTTGTGCAGACAAACAACCTCGATGGTGTTGATATCGACTGGGAGTACCCGGGACGCGAGGGTAATACCTGCAATGCATATGATCCGGCAAACGATTCGAAAAACTTCCTCTCCTTCCTGCAAGACCTGCGTGCCAAGCTGGACTCGACCTTTGGTGCTGGAACCAAGCTCATCACCATGGCTGTCCGTGTTCAGCCTTTCGATGGTCCCAACGGCCCGATGAAGGATGTCTCTGCGTTTGCCAAGGTCACCGACTATATCAACCTGATGCAGTACGACATTAACGGCTCGTGGAGCTCCACCACCGGCCCGAACGCTCCTCTGCAGTATGCCCCAGGCAAGGGTGAGCAGGTCTCATTCGCCACTGCTATCTCTGCTTGGTCCGCTGCTGGATGGCCTACTTCCAAGATGAACGCAGGTGTGCCATTCTATGGTCATAGTGTGAAGGCTTTGTCAAACATGCTGAACAATCCGTCCAACATGTACGCCCAGTTCTCACCTACTGTCCCCAAGGGCGACCAGGAGGATGAGCCGTGGGCCGATACTTGCGCCGGTGGACCTGCTGTCTACTCAGGTGACTGGCAGTACAAGCATCTTCGCGACCAGGGTCTACTCTCTAACCCGACCACTGCAGCGGCTCCTTGGGTTCGCACCTGGGACAACACCACGTCTACACCTTGGCTGTTCAACCCAAGCACCAATGTCTTCATTTCGTATGATGATCCGCAGAGTCTCAAGGCAAAGGTCGACTACGCTGCTGCCAAGGGTCTAGCTGGCACCATGCTGTGGAGCATGGAGATGGACTATAACAACGAGCTGCTGGATGTGCTGAACAGCTTCCCTAGCGGCGGATCTACCACCACAGCGACTACCCCAGGAACCAGCTCCACGGCAACCCAGCCTGGAACTACCTCGGCTACCAAGAGTGCTACCACTGGTGTTCCTCCTGTGACCTCGTCTACCTCGTCTGCTCCGGCTACCAGCTCCTCAACCAATACCGGTGGACCGGTTGCTGGTGGACCTTGCAGCACTGGTGGTGCGTACCAGTGTGCCGACACCACTGGCAAGAACCCGGCTTACTTTATCTGCAACAACGGTGCCTGGCTGGCACAGTCCTGCGGTTCAGGAACTGCATGCTTCCAGTCTGGGTCTTCGATCTATTGCAACTGGCCTTCTTCGTAAATAACCAATGCCTCCTGGTTTTGGTTAAGCGAGTACTTTTAATAATATTTTTGCTCAAAAAAATCTTGCAATTATGCTGCGGTCTATGTACGCCCAGAAACGTCACAATAGTGGTTCATTGTTCCCGCTCTTTTTCATAGTAATCCACGCATCACCAAAACTAGCACTTATAGATCATGCTACAAACAATGTCGAGTAGAGTGCTATGTGTAATCATAGACGATGAGCCGCTTAGGCCACAGATTTGAATCCTTCTGGGAATTGCCACCCCATATATTCCCTGCTTCCCATCCCTTCTTTCCCTATCTTTAATATTTTCAAATATGCATGGTTTTATATTTTTATCCTCCGCCTTTGATGTCATTTGAGTTCCCGCCGTTCGAGAAGTCGCGAGTCGAAACCGCGGCACTCTTCGATGTAAGCCTGGATCCGGTCAGCCACACTGATATGTCGACAATTATTGAAATCAGCGTGGTCTATGCACTGGACCTTTTTGCGCTTATCTACCTGCTCATTCACCGCAGCTACCCCTTGATAAAGGCTAAAAGCGCTTATAGTATAATAACTCTCTGCATGACGGTTGTGGTATGGTCTGTAGGGGGTATTTCAACTGGTGGAATGGTACATCTTTATACTAACGGCATCTTGAGAAGCTGCAAACTGACCCTTCTCTGGTTTAGATTAGGACTTGGGGCTACATATATTGCCACCATCTTCAGCGTGCGTAGCTATGCCCTATACCGTGTGTTTTGCCAAGGCAGGCTGTCTATATAAACGGTCATGCGGATTAGTTGCGTGCTTGCTTTTTGCTAGGTGGCCCTATTTCCACGGTGTCTTTTCTATTGCCCGAGCGAATGTCCACTTACTATAAGAATGTACTTGTGCTATGTTAACAGGTAATTTTCTATTCTTTCCATCGGAAAGACCTGCTGCTTTTTAGTATTTGTTTCTGTCATCACTTGGCGGCTTCGAAGCATACTATTCGCACTCAATAAGTTCTGAGAGGTCATCACCGCCATGGCCATAGTCGGCGTGGTGACCATTGCCAATTCACTGGCTCTATTATCTGTCAAGCTCTATCCAGCTGGCGCTGCTTGGAGGAACTCGCTCGTCTACATTGACCACGTATGTGCTAATATAGGCTTTTGGATTATCAATTGGGAGCCATTCTACCAGTGCCTTACGCGTCGCGATGAATATCTTGAATATTGGACAGATACACTGGAAGGCGGTATAGAAGGCGTCTATAACCTTACTAGCCGGTTCGCTGACGACACACATAGCTTAGTTAGAGGGACAGAGCGGGGCATTGCATGCAGCTCGAAGGACATGCACGTCGGTACCTATCACATTCCAGGAACCTTGTCGGAGCTGTGCCTTGCCAATAAGCTTTCGCACGACTGAAATGATGTGCCCAGAATCAGAAACCGCAATCGTTTTGCACGCCCTCAGGGATGCAGCTCTCCCTGTTCGCACTGGCCCTTTCGCACAGAACTAATAAAACCGTGGTATTCCAAGTACACCCCAGTGCTGGTTGTAAGCTATTGATATTTTTATATGATAATGGCGATAGTGAAGCTGGTGTGGCTCTTCGATGCCTAAACTGCGTGTTCACCACGGGCGGCAGCCAAAAGTGCACGCTCGCGACGGCGGGCCAGGCGGCGCTCGACCTTTCCACGAACCAGTGACCGCATACCAGTGAGCAGCTCGGTCATGTTGTGCTGGAGACAAAAGTCCTCACAGACTTGATCAATGTTATCGTTGGCACGTAGCTGCAGTAGCTTGCGGCCGTCCTTGGGTGTCTCGATGTTGAGCTCCATCAGGACATCCCTCGGGCGCTTGATGGCAGACCGCTGGATACCCGACGCACTAGGGCGAGGGATATCTCTGGGCGCAATTCCCGCTCCTTGCTCAGGCATTACACCATGGTCCCTGAAGTTTTCAGGGAATGCAGGTGTCGAGAACGTGGACAGCGGCATGCTGCGCTGTGGTACAACCTGGTCATAGTATGCCTGTTCAGGAGTAGCTTCGAACTGTACGCTCTTGCTTGATGGAGACATGGCAGCTGCGCTACCCGAAAGGATTCCAGGAAGAGGCTCAGTCGGGACAGCTGAGAATTCGTCAATAGTCTCCTGCTGAAGTGCAGATACGTCCCTGGTCGATTCGGACAGACCCCTGTGTCCCGCGTCAATGCCGGGAATAGAGTCAGGGTGTAATGCTTCCTGGGTTTCACGAGGCACGCTGGGACCCTGGTCGTTAGATGGCGTGCTGGCGTCGGCCTGGGCAGCTGGGACAGGGAGCGGGGCCATTGTGGCCTCACCCTCTTCCTGCCCCTGGCTATCGACAGACTCTGCATCGACCATTTCGACGGTCCCCACGACCGTGGGCTTCGTAGCCGTTTCCTGCTCATCGAACAACGGAGGGGTAATGCCCGCCTGCGCCTCGGACTGCGGAATGCCTCGCTGCAAGATCTCCTTAGCAGCATCTTCGGATAATGTAGTTGCCAGATCTATATCGGTAGGCGGTGCTGTAATGTCAGCACCTCGATCTGTCGGAACGCTTGGCTGGCCAGCAATCGCAGCGATTGTCGCGGCAACCGTTTCAGCCTGCGGTTCCTGACTGGACTCCACTGGTTCGTAAGGGGAGGCAGGAGAGGCAGGGGACGAGGAAATTGCCTCATCCGCTTCGACGGCCTTGGGCTCAGAGCTGGGGGCCACATTACTGGAGTGGGCAGCACTAGCTTTTGCAGTGGCAATCTCGGCCTCAGCAGGCTCACTCGGTATCTGGTCACCAGTAGCAGCAACAGAAACAGCGTCCTTTTTCACATCGGCATCGGCGAATCCTTCGTCAACCTCGTCTTGGGCACCTGGAGTTGAGTCGGATACAGCATCCTGGTCAGACTCCACGGATTCGGATTGATATGCTAGATCGGTCTCATCCAAGATAACAGCATCAGCTGGCGACTCCGCGATCGTGTCCTTAGCCATAGGCTCACTTGCCTCACCCAAGGTGTTGTCTGTTTCTGTTGGCTCAATCGCATCTGGCTGCTCAATAACGCCGGGTTGCTCAGTAACGGCCTGCTCCGTAACGGCCAGAGGTTCAGCAGAACTAGGCTCCCTAGTATCAACCGGCTCCTCAGCAGGGGCGGGGGGTACATCCATTTCACCACTAGTTGCCTGGCCCTCAACCGGGGCTGCATGCTGCTCCATTACAGCAGCTGCAGACTCTTGAACAGCAGGCACCTCGATGATAGAGTTAGCTACTGGTGAAGGGGTCTCCTCGGTCGTATGCACCTCCTTGGCAAGGCTAGGACCTTCTGGCGCAACAGGTACATCAGCAGCAGGAGTGATCTCCTCAAAGAGTAGCTCACCCATAGCGGGCGCATCCTCAATCGCGTTGTCCACAACAGCATCGACGGCCGGCTTCGCAGAAACATCAGTAGCTACCTCCTTGGCAACATCTGAAGGCCTAACATCAGAAATTGCAGCCCTATCCGACGCAGGAGCCTCGGACGCAGGCTCGTCAGGCACAACATGCTCGTCAGTAGCAACTGCACGTGGCTCTTCGTCCAAGGTATCCTTAGCTGCGGTTGTCCCACTACTGGTGGCCTCCGTGGCGACAGGCGGTACAACAGCATCAACTGGCTCCGTAGTAGGCGTAGGCTCATCGGTAACAGGTAAGTCCGATGCTGCTGGCTCGCTACTTACCACAGGTGTTTCGGTGGTCATGGGTTCCGCAACTAGAGCAGGATCCTCAACTGCTGCAGCTCCCTCAGCATCTGCTGAACCATTGCCAGATTCCGGTGCCTTTTCGGCAGCAGGATCATCGGCTGTTTCATGGCTCTCGTCTGCGATCCCGCGATCATGGGTCTCCGCATCCGCAGTGGACACGTCGGTAGTGGTAGCAGCGGCTGTGAGTTGGTCAACACCTTGTTTAGCTGCGACAACCGTCTCCTCGACAGCAGCAATATCACTGATCGTGCCGTCCTCCACATTAGCCGATCCAACAGAAATCGCCGGCTCATTGGTTGCAGCAGGCTTGTCACCCTCAATCTCCTCTGCTTCAACATGTGTCTCGTCAGCCACAGGTGCGTCTGCTGTAATGGCGGTGTCTTCCACACCAATATCCCGAGATGCTGCCTCCAGTGCAGCAGGCTGCTCAGCAACGGATTCCTCGACTGTGCCAGATTCCTCAGATTTGATAGGCGACTCGGCGGCCATGACGGTTTCATCCGCACCTGGTGCCTCCCTGCCAGGTGTAGTCACGCCCTTGGCTGCAATGGCCTCCGCAGCAGACATCTCGTCAACAGGAGCATCAGAGATCCCATGTACCTCGGCCGTGCTAGGCTCCATGATGCTGGCATCCTTCTCGGCGTCTACTGCGTTTTCGGCTGCAATATCCTCGGCGACTGCAGACTCCTCAGCACTAGCGGGCATCTCAGTAGTCTCCGGAGCTTCTCTAGCGGCTTCTGGCTGCTCCACAGTAGGCTTGCCAGAATCAACAGCGGTATCCTCAACGGTGGTCTGCTCAGCCGCGATCTTTTCGGACTCAGTAGACGGCTCCTCGACAGCAGCCGGTGCTTCAGCGTCAACGGGTGCCTGGCCATCGATGAGCCCTTCTGTGGAAGCAGGAGCAGATGCGCTTGCCTCTGCAATCTCCTCAACTGCAGGCTCAGCTGCAGGTACAGAATCGCTCATGGCAATTGCATCGTCACCAGCCGGAACTTCAGCTGCAACGCACCCGTCAGCAATGGCAGTAGCATCTTCAGACACGGCATCGTGCCCAAGTGCAGGAGCTTCATCAGCAGGAACAGAGACATCTTCAGACACTGGCATGCTGGAAGCAGCAGTCAGGTCCTTAGCCGCAGTCGCTTCGGTAGCTGCGGGATCGTCAGCAACTGGCGTGTCTTTGGCGCTTGCCTCCTCCGTGGTAGGGATAGAAGCATCCTCGGGAACAGTGGTCTCCTTAACAGCAGCAGTACCTTCCTCAGGCGAGCCCACCTTCGCAGTTGTATCAGATTCGACTGCAAGTGTCCCATCAGCTGCAGCATGCTCTTCGGTAGTGGGCGGCGGCTCGGTCGCAAGTATCGCCTCAGCAGGGACTGGAGTTTCCTCAGCAGCAGGCTCTTCAGCGGCGCTAGGTGTAGGATCTTCAGCAGCAAGTGTCTCCTCCATGTCAGTTGTAGAAACCTCTGTGCCAGCAGGTAGGTTGGCGGTATCTGCGATCTCCTTGATAGCTGTTTCATCGGATGCGGGCTCCTCAGTCGGTGCGATTATCTCCTCTGCGGCAGCAGGGCTCTCTTTAGTTGTAGCGGGCTGTTCAGTAGCAGGTGCAGTATCCATGCTCGTAATAGGGGTTGTATCAGCAGCAGGCTCTTTATCGACAGCAGTAGTAGATTGGTTCTCAGCCGCAACTGGCTGTTCGGTGATAAGCACGTCAACTGTGGACTCATCGACTGGAGAAGGTACATCTGTGGTAGCAGGTGTTTCAATCACAGGCTGTTTCGGTAAAATGACGTTGTTAGCTGTTGCAAGGGTGTCGTCAGTGACACTCTCCTCGGCAGTTGCAGATATTTGCTTGACAGCAGCCTCCTCGGTGGCAGCCTCCTCGGTGGCAGTGAGCTCCTCGGTGGCAGCCTCCTCGGTGGCAGTGAGCTCCTCGGCAGCAGCGGGCTCTTCAGCCTCAGCAGGTTCTTCAGCAGTAGACTCCATAGCGGCAGACTCCTCGGCAGCAGCAGGCTCTTCAGCAACAGTGGGCTCTTCAGCCTCAGCAGGCTCCTTGGTGGCAGGCTCTTCAGCAGCAGCAGGCTCCTCGGTGGCGGCAGGCTCTTCAGCCTTAGCCGGTTCCTCAGCAGCGGGCTCCTCGAGAGCAGCAGATTCCTCGGCAGCAGCAGGCTCTTCGGCAACAGTGGGCTCTTCAGCCCCAGCAGGCTCCTCGACAGCAGGCTCCTCGGCAGCAGCAGACTCTTCGGCAGCAGCAGACTCTTCAGCCCCAGCAGGTTCCTCGACAGCAGGCTCCTCGACAGCAGGCTCCTCGACAGCAGGCTCCTCGGCGGCAGGCTCGTCGGCAGCAGTGGGCTCTTCAGCCTTAACCGGTTCCTCAGCAGCGGGCTCCTCGAGAGCAGCAGATTCCTCGGCAGCAGCAGGCTCTTTGGCACCAGTGGGCTCTTCAGCCTCAGCAGGTTCCTCGACAGCAGCCTCCTCGGTGGCAGGCTCCTCGACAGCAGGCTCCTCGACAGCAGGCTCCTCGACAGCAGGCTCCTCGGCGGCAGGCTCGTCGGCAGCAGTGGGCTCTTCAGCCTCAGCAGGTTCCTCGACAGCAGCAGGCTCTTCAGCTTTAGCAGCCTCCTCGGTAGCGGCGGGCTCCTCAGCCTTAACAGGTTCCTCGGCAGTAGGCTCCTTGACAGCAGCCTCCTCGGCAGCAGCAGGCTCTTCGGCAGCAGTGGGTTCTTCAGCCTTAGCAGGTTCCTCGACAGCAGGTTCCTTGGCAGCAGGCTCCTCGGTGGCAGTGAGCTCTTCAGCCTTAGCTGGTTCCTCAGCAGCAGGCTCCTCGAGAGCAGCAGGCCCCTTGACAGCAGGCTCCTCGACAGCAGGACTCTTAGAGGCAGCAACAGTATCTTGCTCAGACACTATATCTCGAGGTGCTGCTTCATCTGCCGGAACCTCATCAGTACCAACTGACGCATTGACTTGC